CCAATTCCGGAGAAGGAATTTGAGACGCTTTAAATAATTAGATAGATGCGCTTTTGTTACTCGAAATAAAACGTAATATCTCGGCGATGACTTGTTGTGGCTTTTCCTGGTGCACACTGTGATTTGTTCCAGGGACTACAACCAGCTTGGAGTTTGGAATGAGGCTGCAAATGATTTTGCTTTGCGAGGGCGGGCAAATCCAGTCCTTTTCTCCGACAATCACAAGTGTCGGAGTTTGCAACAATAGAAGCTTGTCCCTATAGTCGAAATATTTCTCCGACTCTGCATATAAATCGTTGTGGCTCTGAGCCCGATAAACGGTGTTGAGGCATGTCGTTAATCCCACATTTGGATTATACGTTTCTGAATACAATGGGCCTAACGCAAACATAACCAACTGCATCTCCAGGTCGCTCTCAAATCGGCCGAACACTTTGCGGAGCATGTCAATCGAAACACACGGGTACTGGGGCAACCGGCTACGAAGCACCTCGAAAGCCTCAGACTCGTGGTGGTGAGAGGCTGCCGTCCCGCGGAGAACGAGGTAACTGAGCGTGGACGGATAGGTGATTGCATACTGCTGTGCCAGAAACCCGCCAAAGCTGCCGCCTATGATGATTACCTTGCCCTCTTTCCCCACGAAATGCTCCCTCACGGCCTCAATGTCGTCCACTATCTGAGAGAACGTGAAAGGTGGAGTGAAAGAGGAGTGTCCGTGGCCTCGGAAGTCGAAGCTGACCACTTTGTAACCATAATCTGCTAGTTTGGAGTACACTCTAAAATCACCCGTTTTGCTCCCAAAGCCACGGCCTCCGTGCAAAGTAATCACCAGTGGACCTTCTCCTTTGGTAAAGTAAGCAAGCTGTGCTCCGTTGACCTCGAGAAACTGCTCAGTCGCCATTGGTGGAAATTAAACTTTGTGATTCCAGAGATTTGTTCACCCGCCACAAAATGTAGTTTCGATCCTGCAGGAGAAATGTCCGCTGTGGCGGTGCATATATAAAAAAAAGGTTCAGTCCTGTATCTCTGATAATTGTGCTGAGAAATGGTGAAGAAAATTCAGATCGCTATAGGTATGTGCAATTTCTCAGCCCTGCAGACTAACATATAGACCGCGGCGGAACGTTCTGTGATGTCTGGGCGAATATACCCGGTCAAGGGGAGACCGTGTTCAAAATTCTTTCTGAAGACCCGCAAAATTATCCAGATGCTCCAGCAGAAGGTATAAGAATTGTGCTGGAGAAGTTCACTGGCCAGAAGATTGCACGCGGCGAGAAACTTGACGGAAGCCTTATTGAGTGTGTCCGCATGGGCACCACCGTGGCCACCAATGCGCTGCTGGAACGCAAAGGCGAGAAGTTTGTCTACCTCACAACAGAGGGGTTCCGAGACGTGCTTGAAATCGGCACTCAGGCCAGACCAGAACTGTTCAATCTCAAGGTCAAGAAGCCTGAGACCTTGTACGACACCGTGATTGAGGCAGAAGAGCGCATCACCGTCGAGACGTCGTCTGACGATCCGAATGAGGTTGTCATTAACGAGGCAGACCCGCACGTGAAACTGACGCCCTCGGGCACTTATGTGCGCGTGTTGAAGCCGCTGAACGTGCCAGATCTGGAGGCCAAGCTGGCGCATGCTTACGAGCAGGGATACCGCAGCATTGCCATCTGTTTTGCGCATTCGTACCTGTACGACGAGCACGAGCTGATTGCTGCCGAAATAGCGCGCAAAGCCGGGTTCCAGTTTGTCAGCATATCATCGGAGGTGTCACGCACGGTGAATTATCTCCAGCGCGGAAACTCGACCTGTATTGATGCGTACTTGACTCCCCATGTCCAGAATTATATCCGCAAATTTCTGAGTGCTTTCAGCACGGTGCCAAAGGTGGAGTTCATGCAGAGCGACGGAGGCCTCACCGACGCAAAGCTATTCAAAGGAATCAACGCCATTTTGTCGGGTCCAGCCGGCGGAGTGGTGGGCGTTGCGGAAACCTGCTACGAAAACAAGCCCTTGGTCGGCTTCGACATGGGAGGCACGTCGACCGACGTGTCGCGGATCGACGGCTCGTCGTTCGACGTCTCCTATGATAACAACACGGCCGGCCTGGAAATCTCTGTTGGCCAGCTGCAGATCCACACCGTTGCTGCCGGCGGAGGCTCAATTTTGAAATGGGAGAACGGCCTGTTCCACGTTGGGCCCGAAAGCGCCGGCTCGGACCCGGGAGCCGCGTGCTACCGTAAAGGTGGTCCGCTCACGGTCACGGACGCGAACCTGTTTCTGGGAAGACTCGTGATCTCGCAGTTCCCGCACATCTTTGGTCCGTCCGGAGACCAGCCGCTGGATTTGGAAGTCACGACACGCAAGTTCGAGGAGCTCACAGAGCAGATTGCCAAGGACACAGGCAAGAGCCTGACGCCGTACGAGGTGGCGCTGGGATTCCTGCAAATTGCGAATGTCAAGATGGCCAACTCGATCAGAGAAATCACCGAGTCCCGCGGCTTTGTGGCCAAGAACCACAACCTCGTTTCCTTTGGAGGTGCCGGCTCGCAGAACTGCTCGGCGGTGGCACGCAACTTGGGGATCTCGAGAGTGCTCATCCACAAGTACTCGTCGATTCTGTCTGCGTACGGAATAGCACGTGCCCGCGTGTCACGTGAGCTGAAGGCGCCGTTTGTGAGGCAGTATGTTGCGGCGATCAAGCAGGACGCCGAGCCGTTGGTGGCGAATCTGAAGCAGCGGATTGTGGCAGAGCTGGCCGAGAGCCAGGGGGTTGCCAAGGAGCAGATCGAGTTCAAGGTCACCTTCGGCATGAAGTACAAGTCGTCCAACACCGTTTTCGAGGTCGATTACGACAGCGACGACATTCGCCAGAGCTTCCTTGAGACTCACAGAAGAGAGTTCGGCTTTGTGCTTCCAGACAGCTCGCCGATCTTCACGTCCACTGTTTCTGTGAAGGGAATTAGCGTGGAGAAAAAGCAGACCAACGTCAACATTGAGGAGCAGCTCGAAAAATACGCGAGCGCCGCCAGCTGGCCGGACTCCTTCGACAGCAGGCAGATCGTGTACTTCGAGGACGGCCCGGTGGAAACGAAGGTGTTCAAGCTGCCGCATCTGCGTGCGGGCGACAAGATCAACGGCCCGGCACTGCTGATTGACTCCACGCAGACTATTCTCGTGGAGAAGTTCTCGGTGGCCACCATTTTGGACTCGCACGTAGTGATCGACATCCAGAAGGCCAAGGACAGCGAGTTTGCCGAGGTTGGCGGCGTCGACGAGAACACGCCGCTCAGCAAGGCCGACCCGATCCTGCTGACGGTGTTCGGCCACAGATTCATGGGCATTGCAGAAACCATGGGCCGCACGCTGCAGCGGACGTCTGTCTCGTCCTCGATCAAGGAGCGGCTGGACTTTTCGTGTGCCATCTTCGGTCCAGACGGCCGTTTAGTGGCCAACGCACCACACATCCCGGTGCATCTAGGCTCCATGCAGTACGCCATCCAGTACCAGCACGAGCTGTGGAAGGGGAAACTAAAGAAAGGCGACGTGCTTGTTTCCAACCACCCGGAGGCAGGCGGCACGCATCTTCCCGATATCACGGTAATCACGCCTGTTTTCCACCAGGGCGAGATCGTCTTCTACGTGGCTTCCAGAGGACACCACGCAGACATTGGCGGAGCAGGAATCACCGCGATGTCTCCAAACTCCAAGGAGCTGTGGCAGGAAGGAGTCTCGATCAAGTCGTTCAAGCTGGTCAGCGAGGGCAGATTCGACGAAGAGGGTATAGTGGAGCTGTTCAACAAGGCCGGCGAGTTCCCCGGCTGCTCGGCGACGAGAAAGATCAAGGACAACCTGAGCGACCTGCGTGCGCAAGTGAGTGCCAACCAGAATGGAATCTTGCTTATGGAGGCTCTTTTCGAGGAGTACGGCAAGGAGTTTGTCCAGTTTTATATGCGTGCCATTTGTTTCAACGCAGAGCAGGCGGTGAGACAGTTTTTCCGCAAAATTCACCGCCAGCACGGCGGCAGACCTTTGGAAGCCATCGACTATTTCGACGACGGAACTCCCGTCAAGTGCAAAATCACCATCGACGGCGAAAAGGGCGAGGGCTTCTTCGACTTCAGCGGAACAGGCCCGGAAACTTACGGGCCGATGAACACCCCGGCCTCCATCACACACTCGTGCGTGATCTACGTTCTGCGGTGCCTGATCGACCTCAACATCCCTCTCAACCAGGGCTGTCTGGCGCCGTGCCACATTCACATCCCGAAAAACACGATTCTCAACCCGAGCGACTTCGTGGCCATCTGCGGGTCCACCATTTCGGGCCAGCGCATCACCGACGTGATTCTCAAGTGCTTCGGCGTGTGTGCCGCTTCTCAGGGCTGTGCAAACTCGTTTGGCTGGGGCCGTGGAGGCAAGGACGTGTATACGGGCAAGATCTCGCCTGGTTTTGCTACCGGCGAGGCTCTCGGAGGCGGTGTCGGCGCCATGGAGGGATACCATGGGGCCTCGGCCTGTAATGTCCACTGTACCAACACTAAGACTACGGATATCGAGATTGTGGAGGCACGGACGCCTGTCGTCGTTACCAAATGGTGCATCCGGCGTGGATCTGGAGGAGCAGGCAAATGGCGCGGCGGAGACGGAGCCACGCGCGAGATCGAGGCTCGTGTGCCGTTGCGCGTCTCGATTTTGTCTGAGCGGAGAATCTACCACCCGTACGGTGTGGCTGGCGGTAAGCCCGGGTCACGTGGCGAGAACTTCTGGTTCAGGAAACAGGCCGACGGCGGATACGTGGTGACGAAGATGGGTGGAAAGGAGATCATCCAGGTCCAACCAGGCGACCGGGTCCAGATCAACACTCCTGGTGGGGGCGGTTTCGGCAAGAGCCTCCGGAGTTGAGGGGAGGGGCTCTTCCCCGCATGTAGACAATAATATTACCTGATAAGAAAAACGGTATAAAAAGCCTCAAATTTTCGGGATTTCCACCATTTTTCTTCATGTCTGCCACCACTACCGTTACGGCAGTTCCGATTGCTCCGCCGTCGACCGTGACGCTGGAGCCTGCTGTTTTTGTGTCCAAGCGCGAGTTCAACAACGACAAGATCAAGACTGTGATCGACCGTATCGCCCAGAAAACGTATGGCGACTGGAGAGACGATCTTTTCCGCGACGGCTACGCCGTGGTGAAGAACGCTGTTCCGCGCGAGCGCGCCCAGCAGTACCAGCAGGAGGCGTTCAAGTGGCTGGGTCGGTTCAGCGACAAGTTCGACATTCGCAACCCCGACACATGGACGAGAGGAAACCTGCCTCCAATGTCCAACACCAACATTTTCAAGTCGCACTGTGTGAGCCACGAAAAGTTCATGTGGGATGCGAGGCTCGAGCCTGGCGTGATCAAAGCGTTTGAGCGCCTGTGGCAGACCGACCAGCTGCTTGTGTCGTTCGACGCTTTGAACGTGACTCTTCCACACCTCAAGGACAAGGAGGCCGTGGCTCCCTGGCCGCACGTGGACCAGACCCCGTACCGGAAAGGGATGCATTGTGCGCAAGGTATCATTTCTTTGAGCGACCACGGACCAGAGGACGGCGGCCTGGTGGTGTACAAAGGCACGCACGAGCTGATGGAGGAGTTCTTCACCAGCGTTGTTCCAAAAAAAGACTGGACCGAGCGCGACTTTTTCATGATCTCCGACGAGCAGCTGCAGTGGTTTCTGGACCGTGGGTGTGAAGAAATCAAGATCGAGTGCGAGGCCGGCGACCTGATCATCTGGGACTCCAGAACGATCCATTGGGGGAAAGAGCCATCGCCATCAAGCAACACCATCCGAACCGTGATATATGCCTGCTACACTCCGGCCCACTTTGCCACGGAGAAGAGTCTTGCGGAGAAGAAGTCCTTGTTTGAGTCCTGGTCTGGCACCACCCACTGGCCCCACGATAATCTTGTCCGCACGGGCCGCAAGGCGTACTACGCCGATGGCCGCGAGTGCGAGAATAACCGCGACGAGCCGTTTGAGAAGCCTGCGCTCACAGACCAGTTGCTGAGACTTGCCGGAGTCAAACCGTACGAAAATAAATAAAATAAAATAGATATTTTGATTTTATCCCCTTTTTTTCCCACTTTTTTGTATCCTCTTGTATATTTACATGAGAAAAAGAGCCTGCGACAAGTGCCACAAGGCGAAGCGCTCCTGTTCGGGCATACCATGCGCGTTCTGCCAGCGCAGACGGCTAGAGTGCACGCTGAACCGGCCGCTGAAGAAATTTGGCCGTCCGTCCAAGCACATCCCTGCCCCCGTGTCGATGGGCGAAAAAAGCGTGGTACTATCTGACTGCTCAAACACAAGCGTTGAGGATGCAAACGACTACTGGAAGCACGGAACGGTCGTTTTGAGGCAGCAGCTGAGCTACCATTTCAACTTTGACCATAGGGAAAAAGCGGTTTTGGAGCAGTTCATCGACACAGGTGCCGCTGTTTTGTTTGGGAGCAGAGCAAACTCGTTTTTGCAGGCAGTGATCCCGCTAGCCTTCTCGTTCAATTGCATCAAGTTCCCAATTCTCGCCATTGCTGCTGCCTCAAGTTCCCATCTGTCGGCCTTAAGAGAGACCCAAAAATTCCGGTCGCTGGCCAAGCTGGTCCGGAGGGACGCCGTGCTGCAGGAAACAAGAATCCTGGCCATGCTGCTCGTGGTGCTCATGGAGATCCTCATGGGCGACGGGATGGACTCCGCAACGTATTTGGAGGAGATCCAGAAAGCGGTAAGTCCTGTCTGTTCGTGGCTCGCCAGACAAGATACAGACCTGCACCAGATCATGTCAGACCTGTTCTTCTACTACCAATCGTTGCTCGGTTACAACTTCGGGATCAGAAACTGCGAAATTAGGCCGAGCTCTTTCAGATTGACTTTTGGCCTCGACCAGGGTACCCTGCAAACTCTCTCGCAGATCCGCACTCTTCAAAAGCTGAAAAAACAAACATCCCTGTCTTCGAACGAGTTCTCGCAATTTGCAACGCTTATAGAGACAAAAATCCAGAGTGCTTCAAGCTTGGATCATTTGGGTACTGCCATACAATGTGCGTGCTATCTACAGCTATACCAACTGGAGCCAGGCATGGAACTGTCAACAGGAAACTGTCTCAATGCTCTGCTGGAAAACATCAAAGCAGCACAGATCCCATCTGAATGCCAGCTACTCTTCCCTCTAATTATTGCAGGAACCGCAGTCACCGCTACTGAAGATCAAAACTACATCCTAGATCGTCTAGGTGTGATCCATAAAAGCCTAAAGTTCCCATTCATTAGTCGCTATCAAGATCTTTTGCGTCTCTTTTGGCGATCGAACGAATCGCTCGGCACCATAATTAAATATCAATTCCCGGGATTATTCATATTATAGTCATTATCAAGCTTTAGCCAACTCCTTCTCATTGTCGATAATCACGATGCCATTTACTTCACTTTGCTGTCTCTCCTGTCTCTTATAAAACCATAGAACAACAAACGTCCATAGCACAAGACAGAACGCGCTACAGGCAGTGAAGGTGAAACCCTTCAGATAACGCGGTGCCTCCGAAGTTTTCCAAACGAGAACCGAAATCCAGGCTGTCGAAGACTGAGCCAGTATATTCATTGTGACCAAAATGACAGCCCTGTACTGCGGATCGTGGCGACATATATCGTTCATCCAGCCATATAGCACTGGAGCCATGGCCCAGCCAGTATACTGCAGCATGAAGGCAAACCATTTAGCGCCTTCAGGCACATCCCAGACCGCCAGAATTATGTTTCCAGTGATGTTGAGGACTTGTGAGAGTAAGATGGCCTGCCAACGCGAGTGGAAAAAGTCTGCGTAGCAGCCTGTGAGGATGAGCCACAGAATTCCAATTGCAGGACTGACAGCACCCAGCTGATTGACTTTGCCGACGCTGTATCTGTTCAGAGACTTGATCCAGAGCAAATAAGCTCCGGACGTCCCGTTGTTGTTGTTCCAACAGAAGATGTCCCACAGAGAGAGGACGTAGATGTGCCACGACGTGAGGATTTTTCTCCACAGATTGCGGTCGAAGAATGCTCGATCAACAGGGACCGTGTACGAAGTGTTGTTGTCCTTGAGTCTTTTTCTTGCGAGCAGGATTTCCTCGTCGGTGAGGAAAATCGAATAGCATTTCTGAGGCGTTCCTGGAATGGCATAGAACCCAATGAGACCCACCACTATCGAGATAACTGCATCGATGATGAACATCCATCTCCAGCCTTCCAAACCGTCCTTCATATTCAAGCCATCAAAAATGGCTCCTTGTAAAAGACCGGAGGTCAAGACACCCAAGTACTGACCGATATAGTACACCATGGAACGGCGAACAATCTCGTCAACTTTATACCAGCTGCCAAACAGATACATGTATGCGAGATAACCTGGGGCCTCGAAACATCCGATGAAAAATCTCATGGCCTCCAAATGGCTAACGTTGTTTGCACGGTAGGCTCCCAGAGTGAATAAACTCCAGCAAAGGTCCAGAGTAGGCAGCACATAATTCAATGGGGCCTTGTACAAGATGTACATAAAGGGAATCTGGAACACAATGGTTCCGACGGTGAAAACGGCCTGCGTGTGCACGAGATCGTCTCCTTTCATGCCGATCGACTCCTTCATGCCACTCACGTAGGCGTTGTTGAGGTTGGTCTGGTCGAGATATTTGACCCAGTACGCCATGAGTGAGTAAAAGCAAAGCAGTATGTCCAGCTTGATCACGAGTTTTCTCTCCGCAGGGGTGTCATCCTTGTTGAACCAATGGTACCACTTGTGGTTTCTACGGCGATTCTTGTTCTGGCGGTACTCGTACTCGTCGAAGAACTTGTACCATTTTCTGTTGGATTCGTCTCGGTACTCGATTTCCGGAATCTCGTGCGACTCCTCGGTCTCTGCTACTTTGGCGAGCGATTCCTGCTCCGAGTCGGACGCGTCAACGATGTCTACCACGAGTCTTTCAACAGGGAAAATCCCCCACTTGAGACGTTTGAGCGGGTCCAACAACAGAGATCCGGCAGGCATTTGCGTTCGAGACAAACGGGGTCTGGGTGCATATTTATAACGTGCAGGTCGAGCAACGGCTTTAGCGAAAAAAGAACTGTGGCTACTCATCATTTTTTTTTCAAGGGGTCCTGCAGGGTACATGTGATATTGCGAATCGATTCAGACTACTACTATGTACGAGCCCTGAAAAGCTAGACCTTCTCCTCACACGTGTCGTCCGATTTGTCCTCCTGGTCTTCCACGTTCTCGTCTTGCGACGCTGCGACTGGCTTCGTTTGTTTGGAGAACACCATCATCACCAGCTCGACCGCGAAGCACGCCACAGTGAACCACAAGGCGTTGACACATTTGGTCTGCACGTAGTCCTTGGTGTACGTGTTCGAGGAGTCGAGCGCGCCGATGATAGACGAGGCAATGGCTGTGCCGAGACAAATGCCGATCTGGCCCACGGTCTGGAAAATGCCAGTCACGTTTCCTTGGAGGTGCAGCGGCGTCTGGGAGAGCAGAGCAAGCATGTACACCTGGTAGAACAGGTTGATTCCATACCCGTACAGCAGCTGCGGCACAAACTCGTAGATCCAGAACGAGTTCTTGTTGGTGTGGTGGATTCTGGTGATCCAAATGGAGGAGCCGAGACACACCAGGGCAGACCAGATGAGCAGCGGCTTGCTACCAAGTTTCTGCTGCAACCACGGTCTGTAGATCACTGTGCCGATGATGATGCCCGCAGCCGTGCAGAATACCTTGCCTGCCGAGAGCACGGCTGAGTTGCCGTCGACAAACTCGTGGTAGAGCAGCAGCGACGTCATGAGTGAAGTGAACCCTGCGTAATTGACCGTGAGGCCGACTAGGAAGGGCACGAAATTGGTGATTCTAACCATCTCTGCTGGGAATAGTACCACCAGCTTGGCTCTGTAGGTATTGAGCGTCGGATGTCTTCTCTGGTACGGCCTCACATAGAGGTTTTCGAAGAGGAGCACGCCCAGCACCATGAGAAAGCCAACGGGAATGGTGACGTACACTTTAGGCGACCGCCAGCGAATGCCTGCCTCTGTGAGACCGCAGATAATGAGCAGCAGGCCTCCGACAAGGAGGATGGCGCCGCCGTAGTTGAGGTACTTGGAGCTGAGCAGCTCGTGTTCTTTAGTTCTCTCAACGGGGACGACAATGAAGAAGAGCACGATGGAGGTGACGAAACTGATGGCGAACGAGAAATAGAAAAAGGCGCGGTAGCCAATGCTGGTGAGCGAGAACGCGCCACCCAGCACGACTCCGAGCCCGACCGATGCGGACAGAGCCAGCATCAGATAGTTGATAGCGGTGGCGAGCTTGGGGCCCTGGAAGTAGTTGCCGCAAATGCCCACGGCGCTGGGGATGAGCGAAGCTCCGGCGATGCCCTGGAGCGCACGGAACACAATGAGCGGGATGATGCTGCTGGTGATGACTGCGCAAATGAGGGTCATGATGGACATCACAAACAGCCCAATCGTGAACACCTTGTGCAAGCCATGGATGTCGCCCAACTTGCCAAAGAGCAGGATAAACGCGCCAAGCGTGAGGGCGTAGGCAGAAACCACCCAGGTGGAGTCGGCGGAGTTGGCTCCCAGCTCTTTCTGCAGACTCTCAGTCATGCTGAACCCGGCGGCAACATTGAGGTTGTCCATGGCGGTGCCCAGCAGGATGAAGCCGTATGCAAGCTTCTTGGACCGGTACTTGTCATCGACGAGGTTGCGCACTCTGAGCAGCGACGCGGTAGCAGAGCTAAGGAACTTCATTGCGGATTCTCAGAAAAATTCGCGGCTCTTATATAGCTATATGGGTGGAGCGCCGCAGTTAGCGTCTGACAAATCCATTTGCCACATCGCTGCAACACACAGGGCAGGAAGTGCCTGGCAATCTCTTGTTTTGAAGAAGAGATGGAAAACAATAAAGAAAACGCCGAGGAACAATGCACAAAATTTGTCTACAGCCTTCCGTGGAAAAGCTCCACCATGCACCTGCCGATTGCGATGCCGTCATTGGAAAGGCTCGAGTTTCGGCTCTTCGCGTCGTTGTACAGCGCATCGTCTACCTGGCCTGCTCTGCGCCGCGATTCGACTAGCACCTCGCCGCACGCCGTGGTGAACTCGGGATGGCCCTGGAACGTGAGCACCCGGTGCTTCTTGTATAGGCCCTGGCACCGGCACACAGCCGACGAACCTACGTTCATGTAGCTCGGCGGCAGATTTGCCGGGTTAGTCAGAACCTCGTCCTGGTGCATCTCCATCACAGTGAAATTATTTTCTCCTGAATTACTAATCAAGGGACGGAGATTTATCGCCGAGTTGATTTGCACCTGTGTGAGTCCCATTTCCCAGCCATGCGGACTGCGTCCCACGGCGAGCCCCAGAGCCGTCGCAACAAGCTGGTGTCCAAAACAAGAGGCTGTGATCGGGAACTCGTACTCCCGCAGACACATGCTCACAAACTCGCGCAGTCGGTTGATCCATGGTGAGCTGGCAAACGCGTCCGAACGAGAGCCCGTCAGGTACAGGCCCTGACAGCGTTGCAGCTCCTCGGCCGTCGGATACTCCATTTTGCTGATAACGTCGTACTTGCGGAAAGACGTGTCTGCCATGCCTGCAGCGCGGAAAAGCGCGATTGCCTGGTCGCCAAAATCGCCGAACTCCCTCAACACATCGATCGGCGTGTCGCACACCAGTATTGCCACAAACGCGTCGTCCATTGACTTCCTCGGTGCCAGGGCCTTATCTTTATATTCCATTTATTTCGGACCCATATCGCGCCTGCCTATTTGGGAAGCTTTTGTCTCTGCTGGTCACGTGACCAACAGAGCAGACAGCATCTCGTCCACCGAGACGTTGGCCTCGAAGCCCCTGTGCTTTGCTGGCGGGCTGTCTGTGCGGTACCGCTCCAGCAGCGGGCGCTCGCTGCCGTCCAGAGCCTCCAGCAGCGCAAGCGTCTGCGCCAGAAACAGCCGGCCGAGCCGCGCGCCGTCGCACTGCGCCAGGCCGTGCATCACGGCGAGCGCGTGGTCGATGTGGAACCGCGTGGTCTCATGCACGCCGAACGTCACATTGAACAGCACGAGCGTCGCCACGGCGCCATACAGATACTCCAAGTCGGAGCGGCCGCCCTGCACGAATTGGCCGCTCTCCCAGAGGCTCCAGAGACACCGCACGGTGTTCATGGAGGCCTGGAACGACGCATTGAGCAGAGAAAGCTGTGTGCTCGGGCAGTCGTGCAGGCTAATAAAGCCACGGCCGCGCTGTGCGACGGAAAGCTCGAGCAGCAGCGGGCGCACGGCGAGATTGAGGCCCTGGAAGTACTCCAGCATGATATTTGCCGTGGCGCGCGAATTGTGCACCTCCTTGAGACTGTAGTCGCAGTCGACACTCTCGTGCACGGCGCGCTTCCACCGCAGCAGACCCACCACCATCTCGCGCACCGTGGTTACACAGCTGGCGGGTCCCGGGTGCAGCTTACGTAAGACAGTGCTGTTGAGCTTGGTTACGGCGACCAGCTCGAGCTGCGGTTCTGGGTCTGGGAACACGAACGGGTGCTGGTGTTCGAAACGGGCAGTGCCGGGCAGCTCGCATCGGAGCACGTGGTCGCACAGGAGCACTGGCGAGCCGTGGGCCGCGGCAATGACGCGTTCCTGGACGTATATTGTCCAGAGCAGCCGGTGGCGGTGCTCTGTGGCAGCAGAGTGGTCCTGTTCGGCGTCACAGTGGTACTGATGCGTGAGGGCGAGACGCGCGGCTTGCGAAATATAACCAGCGGCGTCGAGACCGCGCGTCTGGAGGAGGAAGTAGCTGTACAGCAGCAGAGTCTCGAGGCCGTCGGTATCTGCGGCATTTTGGACTGTTCCCGAAGCCAGAAGCAGCCCAGACAACCGAACTGGAGCGGTGCACGATTTGGGGTTTTGGAATAGCTCGGAGAGGGCGAGGACGAGCTCGAGCTGGCAAATTGCAAGCGCGGTGGTGTGCGAGGCCAGGCTCTCGATCTCGTCGGCGTCGTATAACTCGTACAGCTTTTGTTTGAGCGCACCGCCGTTGAAGAAGTAGTAGCCGGCAGTGTACGCTTCAAACGCGTCGATGGCGGCGACGGCGTCGTTGTAGAAGGGCAGAAACACCTGTGCATCTGCGGCGCCAACGGCGACGTTGCAGATGTGGCCGATCTTGGACACGACAACGGCGATGCTGGTTATGGCTGCCGGGTTATCTTGCAAAAGCGCGCTGTGCAGCTCGGCGTCGACGAGACTGTGGCCCTTGCACGGTGCCGCGTCGTCGAGCAGCGCGCGCAGCCGCATGTTTTCGGCCGCGAGCTGGGCCGCGTGGTCGCGCATCTCCGCCACGGCAGACTCTTTGAGAAGCACCTTGCGCTCGGCCTGCTGGTACTCGCACTTCTTGCACGCTGCCGCGCACTGAGAGCAGGGGCCTCCGTTGCCGTCGCACTTCGCGTGCCGGCGGCGACAGCGCACACACGCCGGCTGGCCGCTGCGCTTGAGGGGCGCCCGTTTGGGCTTTTGAATAGAAAACTTGATTTGGCGAGTCTCCTTATTGAGCACCATAAAGAAAAAAGAAATAGTGCTTATCTTATCAATAAAAAAAAGTGTAACTAACTATTCATAGTTATATCCATACTGTTGGCCACGTTCAGACACTCATCGGCAAAATAATTTCCGCCCCACGCGGTCCCGCTGTGGTCGTGGCCGCCCGCCAGCGATGGCCGCTGCACGTCGCGGACATAACCGGCAATGCCCTCCTTCTTGAACATCCGCGCAAACTCATACACGTACATGTTGACGCCCTGAAGTGCGAAAATCGGCTGTGTCTGGAACACGATGCCCATCTCGGCAAGCCGCGCTGGCAGCTCGCACACTTCCTGCCACGTATAGCCGGCCGCTTCGTAGTCGAAACTGCCCGTGAAGCCGAACCCGAAACACCGTTCGCTGTCGACCGCACGCAGAGCCGTGTGGATCTCAACGATATCGCGCCAGACAGGCGTGTCCATGCGAGCCCACGTAGTGTCTGTAAGCGGCATGGCGGCGACGGCGCGCTCTATAACTGCCTGCGGACACGCCTTGTACAGGTATTGCCCGGCGCTGGTGCGGGCCACGTCCCAGTCGAAATAAATTTTGGTGGCCACCGTTTTCTTGGCAAACGCGCGCATCTCGTCCAGGCTCGGAGCGGGACGGGCTTCAAAAAGCCGGCAGAACTCTGTGTACTCCTCTGCCGTGGCTGCCTGCTCGACGGCCTCCGGGAACGTCATAACTTTCGCCTGCTCGAGCCACCGGGCACGCGCTGCTGCTGCGTTCTCACCCCTTTCGAGCGCACGGTTCATGGTCCCGATGAAAGACTCGATCCCGGCCACTGTGGCCCCCCGCACGTACTTGTGGTCCCGGGAGTCCACGACAGAAGTAATGAAGTCGGCGTGATAACAGTCTACGCGCGACATGAGCAGCATCTCGGATCCCAGCACGTCCAGCTGGAACCGTGCCGCAGTTAGCCGGCGCAGGTACTCGCTCAGCGGGACGACTGTGCGGCCTACTTTCTCGGTGAATTTCTTGAGCCCGATGGCCAGGTCGTCGTAGTGCACCATCGCCGTACCGGCCTCTGCAAACATCTTGGTTTGTTTCATGATGGCCGTCACGCTGCCAAAGCCCATGTCCCCGTCTGCCACCATCGGCAGCAGGTAGTCGTAGACTGGCAACTCTGCCTGTTCCGCCGCCAGACGGCCGAGATAGTAGGATTTTTGCCTGCGATCGTGGAATAACTGGGTCTTGAACAGCCGTGCCACTACTTTTGGCACCGTGTCGCTTGGATAGTCAGCGTGGTCGCGGCCAATTTCGTCTGCCACCTGCAGAGCAGACACGCCACCGGAAACGTAGACGGCCTCGATTCCGGCACGGGACATCTGCGACGCGGTGGCCGGGTCGACGCAGCCAAACGTGAGGAGTGGCGTACGTTCCTTGCGATGCTTATTTAGCAGCTCCCACAGCTTATTGCCCTGTGCAGACGAGACGTGGTCGATGTGCACGGAGTTGCGCATGGCGGCTACTTTTTCCGCCGGATACGGTCTCTGGAGGTGTTTCTGGCGGGGTGACTGCCAACGCTGCTTTATTTCGGACACGTCGGCCTCAAACTGTGCAATTAGGTTGCTCATTTTGCTACAAAAGGGGACAATAAGCTCGAGTTATATGTGTGTTATCTCCATTTCCTAAATAGGCAGGAGGAAGTGCTCTTCCTATCACCCTTGAAATCAGGACTCAGAATGGCAAAGTCACGTCAAGTGAGTCGGCTGCAAACATCTGGTCATCCGACAGTTTGGCGCCGCACCACGACGTTTCAAACCCGTCGGTGTTGTTCTTCTTGCAGAACTGAATAATGTCGCGGTCATAACCATAGATTCCCTCCCGCTTGAACATCTTGCCAAATTCAAAACTCATCATGTTCAAACCCTGGCACGCGTAGATTGGCTGCGTCTGGAATACGACGCCCAGTTTGGCAAGCTCCCAATGCAGGTTTTTGAGCTGCTCCTCAGTGAATCCGGCCGCGTAGTAGTCGTAGTTGCCAATATAACCAAACCCGTACGCTCTGCGGCTATCAATTGCCCGCAGTTTTTCGTGGAACTCCACAATCTCGTTCCATTTGGGAGCGTCCATGCGTGCCCAGGTAGTATCTGTCACAGGCAGTGCGGCAATGGCGCGGTCAATAACGTGCTCCAGCGTGTGCTTGAAGAAGTATTGGCCGTCCGTGGACCGTGCGGCCTCCCAGTCGAAAAAGACTGGCTTGGAAACCATCTTTGCAGCATGGGCCCTTCTCTCGGTTATACTCTTAAACTTGGAGTCCTTGAACAGAGCCATGTATTCCGCATACTCCTCTGGGGTGGCGACCTGCTCGACGGCCTCGTCAAAAGTCATCAGCCGCGCCTTCTCCAGCCACGCCTTGCGCGTGCTCCTGTAGTCGCGACCTTCCCGCTGGGCCTTCACCATCGTCTCCAACAGTGGCTCACACTCAGGGTTTGTCACGCCTTGTACATAACCGTGGTCACGTGGATCGATAACCGAGGTTATGTACTCGGCGTGCAACGAGTCCGCACGGCCCATGAGCAGCGTCTCGGCCCCCATGAGGTCCAGCTGGAACCTGGCGGCCGTGAGCCGCTTGAGGTACTCGCACGTAGGCACCACAGTTCTGCCCTCGCCGATCGTGAACCGTTTCATCCCGATGGCCAGGTCGTCAAGATGGAACATAGCCACGCCTGCCTCTACAAACTTCTTGGTGAGTTTCATGATTCCAGTGGTGCTGCCGAAACCCATATCGCCGTCGGCAATGAGAGGCACCAAATAGTCAATCTCTGGCGTGGCAGCAAGCTCCTCGGGAGTCATCAGAGACCGCAGATGGTTCTGGCGCCGGTCATGCCATAACTGCGAATTGACAAGTTTTTGCACCGTGTTGGGGACTGTGTCCCAGGGGTAGTCTGCCGTATCCATCGATGGCTCCGCCACATTGGAGAGACCACACACGGCCCCACTGACATAACCGATCTCTAGTCCTGCCTTGCACAGCTGGGACAGCAGAATCGGGTCGACTGCGCCGTAAGTGAGCAGGGGCTCCTGCTTGGCAATTTTATCTTCGAATAACTTCCACAGCTTGGTGGCCTGCTGTGAGGACACATGGTGGTTCAGCTCAATGGAGTTTCTCATTCTGGCAACATCGAGGGCCGAGTACGGCCGCCGGAGCCTGCTTTGTTTTTCAGACTTCCACCAATTCTCGACTTTTTCCACCTCCGCCTGGAGCCTCTTATCTCTAGTTGTCACGGTCATGATAACCCAACATGTTTCCTGCCCCAAACATTTATAACCAGCGTCAAGATAGGCCTGCTCCCCAAAGGGGTAATTTCGGATGTTTCCTCCAACGCATCACTTATCGCAAATATTGGGGTCGCAGATATCCAGATAGCAAGGGTGGCATACAGAGGGGCTGTCGGGGCCTATAAAAAGCACATGGCACCACCTAGGATCTGCAACGATGGCAGAGAAATTAGCAGGTAACGTGAGTGTCAAGGATGTCAGTATGGCCTCCGTCGAGGAGGCACCCTTCGAAGTGGTGGAAGAGGCTGACGACATTGGTGCCAAGTATGTCCACCTAATCAAGGATGGGTATACGAAAAAAGAGCTGCGCAAAGCCAGATGGAAGGTTGATCTCAACCTGGTGCCGTTTCTCTGGCTCAACGTCTCTATCGCAGCCATGGACAAAGTGACATCTGCTACAGCCGCTTTGTACGGGCTCAAGACCGACCTCCACTTGAAAGGCGACGAGTACAGCTGGATCGGCTCCTCGTTCTACTTTGGTTATCTTATTTTCTGTTTCCCAGCTGGCTGGTTATTGCAGAAATTCCCCGTTATAACTGTCGGATCGGTGTGCTTCATCCTATGGGGAATCATTCTGATTGGCTCTGGTTTTGCAAAGGCGTTTGTGCCAATGATTGTGAGTCGAGTGCTGCTTGGTGTTCTTGAGTCTCCCGTCGTGGCCATGACACTGCTGGTTATTTCTTCTTTTTACACCCGTGAAGACCAGCCGTTGAGAACTGGTCTGATGTACACAGGGCTGTCGACGCTGTTCACAGGGCCAATAGGTTACGCCGTCGGCGGTTATAAGCATGTCTCCTACTCGCCATGGAGAGCTTTCTACTGGATAACGGGCGCCATGTCCATTGGATGGGGAGTTATCATCTATTTCCTGCTCCCAAGCTCGCCTGCAAATTGCTTCTGGCTATCTGAAAAAGAGAAGGCCATAATTATCCACCAGGTGAAGAAGAATCAAACGGGTATCAAGTCTAAAAAGTGGAAGTGGGAACAGTTCAGAGAAGCCATGTTAGACCCAAAAGTCTGGGTTATGTTTTTCTTCCAGATTTTCATCTCAATTCCAAACGGTGGACTCACCAACTTCTCTCCGCTGATTGTGAAAGGCCTCGGATGGTCCTCACGTTATTCAGCGCTTCTGGGAACCGTCAATGGAGTTATGCAAACAGCTTCTTCCTGGTTCACCACATTCACGATTTTCTTTATCGAAAAGAAATGGCCCAACGCTAAATCCAGAGGTTTTGTCATGATTGGCTATCTGATCCCGGCCCTGATTTCCGCCGTCCTGCTCTACAAGCTTCCGTACACCAACTACAGAGGCCGTCTTGTTTCGCTTTATTTTTCGTTCTTTTATTTGGGCCCCTACATTGCCTCTTTGACCCTGATCCAGGCCAACACCGCCGGTTATACGAAGAAGGTCACGTGCAACGCTCTTTACTTCATTGCGTACTCTGTTTCCAACATTATCGGCCCACAGTTCTTCAAAGCCGACCAGGCTCCTTCTTATTCGCTGGGAATTGGCTCCATTTTCGGGGCGTACGCGTTGAGCATTTTCTCGCTGCTGCTGTACATGTTCCTATGTTATCGTGATAACTGCAGACGCGAGGAAAAAGATCCCGATGCCCTCCAAGTGGAGGACCATGAAGATACCGACTTTAAGGATCTCACTGATTTGCAAAACATCCACTTCCGGTACAAGTGGTAGAGATAGCCACACCTTTTAAATATGGATAGTTATGTTATCGAAACTTTATCGATTCAGGGTAATTCGGCTCTGGTATTCCTGTTTCCTGATTTGGACGCTGCAAAAGTATATATTTGGGTGCCATGGTCTCATGGTACCTTCACCTAAAATGCCACCCAAGTATAACTTCTTTAGAGGACACCCTTCGCCGTACTTGCTGCCAACAAGAGAGGTGCTGGACGCCACGACTAGCGTTTATAACCGTGTCATAGAAAATGAACACTGCTACGACGACGTTTCTAACAGGCACCCATTGCAATACGGTCTAGGCTTGGGAAACGAGGAGGTGAGACAGGCGATTGCAGACTGGAATAACCGCTGCTTTGAGATGGATGTGCGCTCTGAGGCAAACTGCATCAATCTGACTAACGGCGCCAGTTATGGAGTTATGAACATTCTTGCCCAAACCACCTCACCGCATAACGGTATAACCAGAAGAGCATTTTTGGTAACGCCTACATATTTTCTCATCAATTCCACTTTCATAGATGCTGGATTTGGGGGCAAGCTTACGGGCATTGAAGAGCTTTCCAACGGCCAGTTGGACTTGGACGAGTTTGCCAGCAAGCTGAAATATTACGACTCGCTCGTAGAGATAAAGCCACCAAGACCAGAAGATTTGGAAGCCATCCAGCACCCTTCGAAAATGCAAAAGAAGGTCTACAGATACGTTCTGTATTTGACGCCTACTTTTTCAAACCCTAGAGGAGGCACTCTGACGCTCTCTACAAGACACAAACTAATTGACTTGGCCAGAAAACACGATGTTTTGATTATTTGCGACGACGTGTACGATGTTCTCAACTATACGAGTGAGAAATTAGTTCCTCGTCTCGTTTATTGCGACAAGCAGACTTTGCCAGACACTGAAGGATACGGCAACACCGTTTCCAATGCAACGTTCTCGAAACTGGCCGGCCCGGGACTTCGTGTTGGCTGGCAAGAAACGGTGTCTCCAAAGCTGGTAATGCAGATACACTATGGTGGAGCGAATATTTCTGGTGGAGCTCCGTCCCACACAAACAGCGTTATAATTGGTGAAATGGTGAAAACGGGAGCAATGGACGATATCGTCAGTAAACTTTGCAAAGTGTACTCTGAGAGGGCGCTGGCGTTGAAAGAGGCTGTTGAAAAATACATGCCAAAGGGCACCAGACTGGATGGTGGCAATGGTGGCTACTTTGTTTGGATAACTTTACCGGATGGTTATAACTGTCGAGTTATATGTGAGATGGCAGCTAAACAAGGACTTGTCCTAGCCAACGGAGACCACTTCGAAGTTGTGGGAGATTCTCGTGGGTGGGGAGCGCAGACCGCACGCCTATCCATCAGTTTCTTATCCAAAACTGCTATCGTTGAGGGCATCAAGCTCTGGGGTGACATTTGTAAGACCTATAAGCAGTTATAAAGGTAGCAGATCTATCCCTGCCGCAAGCCATGTTTTGCCCGCCAGTATCTCTTCCAGCGACTCTCCGCTGGAACAGACAGCATTCGCTAGATTGACCACCATAGAGAAGCTGGAAGAATTATAAACTCCTTCAATTCCTTTCAGATAAGTTATGAATTCTTTGTGTTCGCAGGCAATCTGCATAACTGGCCATATCATGTGTGCTACCAATGGCAACGTTTTGTCCAGAGATGAGTACACATCTGCGAACTCCCATCCAATGTGGTCTATGATAGATCGGTGTTCCTTGTGCGGTCTCACGGTGCTTAGAAGTTTTGTCAGTATGGCCAATGACCAGCATTGGGCAATCTTGAGTCTCATCAGGTAATAACTTTTATCGGAATACTTGCTTGCCTTGGGCGGTTGCAAGTTATAGGAAACGTACATTCTGTAATCAGACAACTCTGTGCGCAGCTCACAGTAGAGTTTTCTGATCTCTGTACCCAGGAGCTTGTTGTGCTTGATTCCGTTGCGAAGATGGCATAACTTCGACATGCACACAAATAGCTGTCCTGGACACCCCGACTGCTCTTCTATATCCCTATCCAGGTTATACCAGCGGGGATTACAGTATGGTGTGCGACAATCCGGCGAAACAAGAGCAGAAACAGTGTCCCACCAGGCCATGCTTACACATAGGGTTTTGTTAGCCTGGCTGAGTTCCTGTGCCACGTTGAATGTGCTGTGTTCCACCAGCTGGGCAAATAACTTGAAAAACACTCTAGATAACCCAGAGCGGCCATTCTCCAGGATGCCGTATAGCACCTGAACGTATAACATGAAGCATACGAAGAAGACCGATTTTTTTGAGCTGAGGATGTTTGGGGATGCATCGTTGGCTTGGAAGTTGCTGTTCATGAGAGAGTTATGGATATTATTGTCTTGAATGAAGCGGAGAAGATAATCGAGTGTATTGTTGATATTCAAAGCGCCTTTTTCCAGTAGCTTACGTTTGGTGCCCGTGTCGTTGACCCAGCCGGCAAGATGCAATGCACCGAGAGACACAAAGCAACTTCTGACGATAGTTTTGTCGCAGTATTGAATAGCAGCTCCTGGCCACAATGGATTATAACTTGAAGATACCGACGGCAGTAGCCGGGTGAAAAAGTGCTTCACGATCGTCACATCGTCGGTATAGTTTGAGGGGGTCCCATATAAATCTAGCGATCTGTAAATTCGCTCCAGTAGATAGTTTCCTTGACTATCCATAAGTTGTGATAACTCAGGTAGCGGCGACTCTTGTCGCGATGGAGGCTCCATGATCTGTTTCAGCTTTGTGTAGAAGTAGTCTTGATCGTTTTCGATCTTGCGCATTGCTGTCACCATTTCCGCTTCTCGGGATCTTTTTGCTCTAGACAAATGTGGAGTTATTGTTGTACCCCCGTCAGGTTTCTGAAATAATTCGGTTTCGGGAATCATTTCTGCAAGAATACGAGGTTTGGGTACCGGTACAGTTTGTGGTAGCCGCTGTGATGAAAGTTGCGTGGGGGAAGACGATAGGTTCCTGTCTTTAGAGATTGGACTCTCCACGTGCTCCATGGGGGACATCATGTATTGCCTATTCGGAGTCATGAGGAGCTTTTATTTTTGCAAATTGAAGCCTTTGAATTTTCATCGGAACTGTTATCTCTGAAAATCGTTATCTTTGATTATCGTAGGCGGGCATGGCCGTGGTTATTTAAATGAGGATTTTGCTGTTAAAAAGTAATGGCTCTTGGTTTAGAAGCCTGTCTTGCACACCCTCTGCGACTGTCCTCTGCCTCGCAAGCAGAGTTCGGAGATCCTCGAAATTATACTTGATTCGGAAAATATATGCATGAAAAATAGATAACGAAAATAACCATCAGTTATGTCTACGGGAGAGGGCCAGGGGAGTCGCAAACGGCAAAAGAAGGAGTCCAGAGCATGTACAAGTTGCAGAAAGCGAAGGGTAAAGTGTAACTTTGAAATCCCATGTAATCGCTGCATAGATCGCAACCGGGCAAGCCTGTGCACTCGAGACCCAGACGCGGAATTGGAGCAGGTAGATCAAGAGTTAGACGTTCTGCAGGAAAACAGAATACTTAGGAATAAGGTAGCCGAGCTAGAGGAACTGATTTTGCAGGCCAGGAGCCAGCAAGACTCCGATGAAAGCACACAAACCCCTGAAATTGAGCCAATCGAGGATAATAGCTGGAGTTATTACGTTCAGGCAATTGCGTCTGCAAAACAGATTTCTCTAGGCTGGCTAAGCGAGGAGACAAGACTTGCAGACACGGAGGACTGGCTGCCGGCCAATAACGAGGAGCTGACAGCGGAATACGAGGATGTGTGGTGCTACTACTACAGAAAGGTCAAAGGCATAGAAAAGCACGTTTTGGAGAGAATACTGCAGGAAGCACGCAACGTCTCGTTCTTGTATAACGTGATAGATTGGGACAAGTTCTGGACGGAATATAACGAACACTGGGAAACTGAAGCAGAACCACATATTGCACCTTTCTACTCGAAAGACAAACGCAAGTATCTCTTTATGTGCCAGTATTACCTGTTGTTGTGCATTGGGCTATACTACTCTGATGATGGTCTCCAGCAAGAAATAAAATGTTCAAGCGAGGAGTGGGGGCTGCTCCCCAAAATGTTCTTCTCGTGTGCTTTCCAGTGTTTGATGCGAGGACGGATTCTCACCTACCCGGATGTGATGTCTATACAGTGTTTCTGCCTATTGAGACTATGTTCTCCGATGCTGGGCGGTTACAACCTGCAGAATTGTTTGCTCAAAGTTATGTGCTACCACGCACGGCAGCTGGAGCTGGACAAGATGTCTGCCTCGGACGACAGGATCAAGATCTTGTGCTGGTGGTCGCTGGTTATTATCGACTGGCACGACTCGGAGTTCCGCCTCTCTTCCATCCCCCTGAACAGCTTCTCCACGCCACTGCCTGACAAATATATTAGCGCTAAGAAAATCAACGAGCACAGCTACTACCATCTGTTCAACGCGCGGATTGCACTCATCAAAAAACAATACTACTGTAACCCATCCCCATCGCTCGACCAACTTATAACTGCAGAGGCAGAGCTGCACGAGCTCGAGATGGAGCAGGTGTCCGACCTCGACCAATTTTCCTCTAGCATGTCGTCGCGTTATATCAGATTTATAATCAGGTACATTCTGCTGTACGAGAAACTTGCCATTTGCTGCAAAATCGCCTCCTGCATAACCAAATCTGAGTGGCTCCAGAAATACCATCGCCGGTGCTTTGCGCATGCTGACCAGCTCGTCCGCATCTACCTGTCTCCGGACACCCCCATAGCATATAAAAAGCCGTGGTTTATGGCCGACATGACGGTATCGGCAGCGGTGTTTCTTCTGGTAGACGCGTTCTTCAACGAGCACGCCATTTGTACACAGGAAAAAGCTGTTGGGGTGGCCCGACAGCTTGTGGCCGCGCTGACCTCGTTTTCGCAACTGATCCGACCGGCTTTACGTGGGGCCCAGGTTATTGAAAACCTGGTTGATTATTTGACTCGAGATGCCAGCAGAATGGCCAGAAACATTGCCGGGCCTAGCTCGTCTCCTGTCCATCACAGCGGGCTCTTTGAGAATCCTTGGCACGAGCTGCTGCACACGTTTCGCGAAACGCCTTCGCCCCGCGATTACAAGTCACCCGCCTAACTTGCCAACACCGCGAACTTGGCTACCACTCCACAACCGTGGCCACAACGGAAAAACGCAGGAATTAATCCAAATCGTCAGTAAAAGCACACATTTGGGTTCTCTTCCCCCCGCCCAACGCCAGTCACCTACAAAGCCATTGTTTGCGCGAGTCTGGCCTACTGCTGACCATTGATGACTATGAGCTCTCAAAACCGATGGCAGGAACTGTCGTCGCCGAAACGCTTTAGCTCCTAAAATCAAAAGAATCAAAGAGCTCGTCGTAGCCAAAGCCCCTATCCCCATCGCATGTCTGCCATTAGTTCCAGGAAACGAGGGGACATCGACTCTGTCTTTGCGAGCAGCAGCTTGCAGGTGGACAGCTGGGTTGTCTTGGCTCACTGGCCTTCTCGAAAGAAGCCTGGTGGAGCTCTCCAGTAAGCAAGTTGCGGGAGCCACACCTTCCGAGGAGCTGGCAGAGCTTAAATACAAGAAGGGTGGCTATCTGCCGGAGTACGCGCTCGAATACAGGGATAACTGCTGCCGTCCTACAGAGCTATCTGTCGCATCCGCTAAAGTACGATGTACACAAGAGACGGGGCCAAGGACCTGACCATGCTGGCGGTACGTGGCACGCTTGAACACTGGGCTGTGCGCAGGAGCCAAACTTCTGCCTCTCAACAGCTTGAGACTTGTTCCGCTAGCTGCGGCGGCCTCGTTGTGCTGGAGTTGGCTGCAGACGCAAGGTTACATAAGCACACGCATGGAAAACGGCGACTGCTGATTATCGAAGATAACATATTTACGCGATGTAGAACCAGATTCTCTCCAGAAAGTTCTTTGGCTGTGGCGGCACGTACTCGGCGGCCTCCTTCTCGATCTGCTCAAGGCCAGAAATACAATCGATCTCCTCCGGTGGAGCGAAGAGCTTGAAGTTTCTGAACCACAGCATGTGTCCCACATAGAGCACAACCACAATAGGCAGCGTGATGTATGCGGCGAAAAAGTCGGCGGCATTAAAGTCGAAAAACACACCGTAACCGTTGGTGATGGTGATGACAATAAAGAAGCCCGCGCAGAGGTAGGCCCCAGCTTTCTGCAATGGCGGTCTGAACACGATCTTGTCGTCGAGGCCGTGGTACGCAATGGCCTTTCTGAAGTGGAGGTAGGTGAGCGACACGAAAATCCACGAGATGAAGCCGGAAATCGTGCAGATGTTGGTGAGCCAGGTGAACACTTTGGCGGACGAGTTGGAGCAGTTGAGGAACGCGAGCAGGGCGATGGCTCCTGTGAGAGCGACCGAGTAGATTGGCACGCCGTTTCTGGTGCAGCGGGCGAAGATAGCCGGCACCTCTCCGTTGCAGGCCAGCGAGTGCAAGCTTCTGGTAGCGGCGAAAAACTGCGAGTTACCGCACGAGTACGCCGACGTGAGGATGGCGGCGTTGACGATGTGGTTGAGCACCTTGATTCCGGCGTTCTGGATGCCGATCACGTACGGCGAGCCGGCGGCACTGCTGGCTCCCGAGTTGACGGCGTCCATGAGCCGTGGGTCGTTCGAGCCAACGATAACGCCGACCACAATCACGCCGACGACGTAGAAGAAGGCGAGTCTGTAGATGAACCTCTTGCAGGCCTTTGGCAGGTTCGACCTTGGGGCCTCGGCCTCGGCGGCACACGCGGTGATCAGCTCCGGGCTGAGAACGAAAGCAAACGCGCTCTTGACGATTCCTGTCCAGCACGCGAGGAACTTGCCGGTGTTGCCGGGAGCAAGGTGCTCAACAAAGGCGCCTGGGTGTTTCCAGTAGTGGAAACCGAGCACGCCGTGCGAGGCAGGCGCTCCGCCGAAGAAAATGACGATTCCCACGATAATCAGGCCGATGATGGTGATGATCTTGATGGACGAGATCCAGAACTCGACCTCGCCGAAGAACTTCACCGCACAGAAGTTGAGCACCACGCACGAGACCCAGAAGATCGAGATGAAGATGGCCACGTTGGCGTCGGTCCAGTACTGGATCACAAAAGCAGCGGCGGTCATTTCTGAGGGCGCAATCAGCGCCTGGGCGTAGTAGAGGTTCAGGCCGGCAGCAAACGCAAACGACTTGTTGCCCGTGTAGCGCTCGCACAGAGCGTGCATCGTGGACTGGCCGGATATCGGGATAAACGACACCATTTCGCCGAGCTGGTTCATGATGCACCACACGAAGAAAGACAGAATCAGATAGCCGACCAGCAGGCCTGCAGGTCCGCACGTCGCCAGCGTCGAGCCGGTACCGACGAAGATACCCGTGCCGATGGCTCCACCGAGCGCGATCAGCTGGACGTGTCTGCTCTTGAGACCGCGGTGGACCTCTGTGCACTGCTCTTTCTCGGACGCCACCTCCACGGTGAAGAGGAAGTTGGACTTGCTACCGTCAGCACTGGTTTTTTCCGGGGCTTCAGACATTGGTTGGTGGTCAGGAGGAAAGCGAAACGGTGGTATATATGCGTTTAATCCAGGACATATAATGTGCGCTGCAGAGATAAGAGCTTGCAGATAAGAGCTTGCAGATAAGAGCTTCGCGGCTGATAGCAGCTACGGCATTTAACGAGACTGTCATGGCTGACGTGCAGCCGTCTGCGCAGAACTTTGGGAAGTCTCCGCGAGGGAGGCTTATCGGGAGCGAGCCCTGGATGGCGCCATTGCCCAAAATCAGCTGCCTAGAAAAATATTACATACGCCTGGCGTCGCAGGACCCTAGAGATAAGCCCTGTCACGTGCGAGTGCCGCATGGGCGGCACAGCGGGCGCACCACTCGACCACGCCTCGCACCTACCACGTCTGAGGAAGTGAAAGTCTTATCTGAAAAGTCCATACGTAAAAAGCAAAATTAATCGCAACGGGCCGCCGGGGCGCTGCTTAATTTTTCTCCGTGTCGAGTCTCTCGAGCTGCGTGACCTCTGCGACGGTGTCGTCCAGGCGGTAGTGCACCTCGCCGTCGAATTTCTTGTCGATCTCCTCCAGCGTCAGGCCCTTGACCTCGACAAACGTCCACCAGATAATCACCGCCTGCGCAAGATTGTACACGCCGTTGATCATGTAGTACTTCCACGAGATGTGGTCGAGCGCGATCGGGATCACGTACTGGTTGAAGAAGCCGAACCCGAACGTGACGACCTGCGAGAACGCCATGCCCTTCGTCCGGATACTGTAGTTGACAATTTCGACCGGGTACGACACGCACAGCGGCGTGTAGCTGAACGAGTACGTGCCGCTGAACAGGAACACCATGAAGATCAGCGCGTTGGTGGCGTTGACGTTGGTTCCGTCCGCGTAGTACTTCTGGACTGCTCCCATGATGAACAGACACACGCCCATGAGCACCGTGGACCACAGCAGGATGAACACCCGGCCAAGCCCTTCGGTCAAGTACGAGCCGGCGCACGCAAAGAACAGGTTCGAGATCTGCAGACCGAGGTTCAGCACGATCTGCCGTCTCGTGGACGTGTAGCCGGCGTTCTCGAGGAACAGCCCCAGATAGGTGCCCACGATGTTGCTTCCGGTGAGCTGCGAGGCCACGCCCATCCAGAAAATGATCCACAGTCTCCAGCGGTTGCCTCTGGTCTTCAGCATGGCCACCCAGCCGATCTTGTTCTCCTTCTCGTAGCGCAAGACCTGCTTGATTTCCTCGAACTCGAGCGCCACCAGCGGAGTCTCCTCGCCGTTGCCGTGGTAGTTTTTCAGAATTTGCAGGGCCTCGTCTTCGCGGTCGGTGTAAACGAGGAACCGCGGCGTCTCTGGGATGAACGCCAGCAGCGGCAGACACAGCACGGACGGCGCGATCTGCCACAGCGAGATGCCTCTCCAGGCCCAACTGGAATTTTCGGTGTAAGTACCGAGCGAAATGCCGGTGGTAATTATCGCCGCCAGATACCAGCTGGCCATGTACATACCGGCGAACAGACCGCGGTGCTGCGGTTTGACCATCTCGGCAACGTACGTGGGGGCGCTCACCGCGTTGATGGTGACGGCCACGCCGATAATTATGCGGCCAATGACGAACATGGCCCTGTTGCGGGCCCCGGTCTGCAAGCCCACGCCCAGAAACGTCAGCACCGCAGCGATGAACATGCCCCCCTTACGCCCCACGCGGCGAATATCGATCAGCTGAGCAGCAAAAAAACCTCCGAAAACAGAGCCGATGTTGATGGCGGCGGAAAAAAGCCCCTCCATGTTGGAGTCCAGGTCGAAAAATTCCAGATACTGGTCGATCATGTTGAGGTTGGTCATCATGCTCTGGTCCACGCCCATGGTGCACCCGTTGATGATGGCGCACGCTAGCGCGATGGCCATGAGCTTGGTACTATTAACACTCCTGGTGCCCATTATCTTTGACATATTTAAAAAATAACCAAGCAATAGAAAATGATGCGATAAATATAAAAAAATGTTTCACCCTAAAGGAAAAAAAAACAAAAAAAGGCCGTCGGTATCTCCGTCGGATACCCAGCTAGTATTCGCAAGATTTTAGCCGGCTAAACATTTATCTCTCTTCTTATGAGAAAGGTTGTTATAGACTGCGATCCGGGCATCGACGACGCCAGCGCACTGCTGCTGGCGCTTGCGCCGGGAAACTTGGACGTCCGGGCGATCACCACCGTGTCGGGCAACCTCCGGGCCAGTTCCTGCACCCAGAACCTCAAGAAGGTGCTGTCTATGGTCAACCGGCTGGACGTGCCCATCGGACAAGGCCCTGAAAAGCCTCTGGTGCGCAAATACCCGCGCGACCCGTTTTCGCACGGGTCCGACGGGCTCGGCGACCTGGGCATGCCCGAGCTCTCCACCGAGCCGTGGGACGCTACCGGGAAGAGCGTCGCCGTGGCAAGCGACCTGATCGTTGACACGGTCAACGAGCACGCAGGCGACATCAGCATCGTTTGTCTGGGCCCCTTGACGAACCTGGCGCTTGCCCTGATCAAGGACCCCGAGCTGCCGCGGAAGGTGGAGAAAGTGATCATCATCGGGGGCTCGTTTGGATTCTCGCCGTCAGAGGCGCTACATGCCACGGGCGACAACCCAGTGAGCGAGTGGAATATCTACGTGGACCCGGAGGCAGCTGAGCTTGTGTGGGGGGCCAAGTTCAACCTGACTGCCATCGGCATGGACATATTCTGTCAGCCGTGCATCGCGATGACGCAGAAGTACCAGGACAAGCTGGCCAAGTCGGACTCTCCGGCGGCGATGTTTGTGCTCGGCGTGCTCGCGTGGCTCAGACGCCGCGGCTTCGGCGACTACTGCGCCCTTATCGACTCGCTGGCGGTGGCATACGCCATCGACGAGTCCATCATGAAAACCGAGAAAGTCGACTGTCTGGTCGAGACCAAGTCGGACATCGCGCTCGGGCAGATCGTGGTGGACCGCCGCAAAAACTTCAAGTGGCAGAACCTGCCGCAAATCGACGCCGTGGCAAGTGTGGATGGTGAAAAATATCTCGCCATATTGACCGACGGGTTCACTAAATATTAAAAAAATCTGTACTCGTATGAAAAAAAGCTCACCAAACAGGACGCCCAAGTTCCACGTGCGCCGCGCCGCGCTCGCGTGCTCGCAGTGCCGCCGCTCCAAAACACGCTGCCACTACCTCAACAACGGCCAGACGTGTTTCCGCTGCACCAACCTGGGCATCCGGTGCTCGCTCGCCGACGTCAACCTGACGGACTCGCTCATCTCGCAGAACGCCGTTTCCTCGACAGAAAACTCCTCCGTCGCGCAGAAACTCGACGAGGTGCTCAGCAAGGTCGACCTGCTGCTGGGCGTGCGCCGCGCCGCCGAGATGGTCGACCAGGAGCTCGACAACCAGCCCGAGGCGTCAAACTTGCTCGACAAGCTCTACTTCGACGTCACGCCGTTCCGGGACGTGCGACGCGCCGGCGACATGACCCAGATCCCCTTCAACAAGGAATTGGCCCACGGGATCTGGCCGCTCGTGCTCTCGCACCCCGCCGACGCCGACGTCGTCGCCAGCGGCCTGCTGTCCGAGTCGCTCGCCAGCGAGCTCGTGCGGCTCGCCGTCGACTTCTACGGCTTCTGGGGCGGCATCTACGCCGTGCCGCACAACTACGTCAGCGAGCTGCGCACGCAGTGCCCGCTGCTGCTCGCCGTGCTGTGCCTGCTGGGGCTGCGCTTCTACCGCGGCCTCCTGCCGCAGAACATGGACGTGCTCGCGCGCTCGCTGCTGCACACGATCCAGCGGCTGCTCTCGGCGTCGCTCCTCGTCGTCCCGCAGACAAAGTACCAGATCCAGGCGTTCCTGCTGATTGCGCTGTTTTCCATCTCGCTCTCGTACCAGGCCTTCTACTTCGACGGCTGGTTCCTGTCGGGCTACGCGCTGCTGCACTACATCACGCGCGAGATGGACCTGAACCTGCTGTCGGACCGCTTCAAGATGCACCCGGACCGCATCGAGAGCTTCCGGCTCTGGAACCAGCTCGCGCTCACGCACCTGTGCTACTGCATCCTGTCTGGCCGGCCGTGCCTGATCGACACGCTGCGGCTCGACCAGTGCCGCAACATCCTGGACATCCCGTCCGCGTCGAGCTTCGACGGCCGCATCGTCAGCCAGCTCTCGATCCTGCTCACGCTGTACAACGCGCTGCAGTTCAAGGAGCCGCTCGAGACGTCGCTCAAGGACCTCAAGTCGTCGTTCAACGACTGGAAGCACCTGCTCGAGCAGGACACCGTGGGGCCCATGATCGTCATCACCTACCGCTTCTCCAAGGTGATGCTGTACCGGCGAGCGTACCTGACGACGCTGGACCCGAAGCTGATCCAGGACCTCGACAACGAGTGCGAGAAGCTGATCGACATCTTCAAGGAGACGGACATCATGCTGCTGGTGCGGAGCAGCGACCTGCTCAAGTTCTTCATGCTGTTTGCGGCACTGAACCTTGCGCAGCACGGCAAGAACGGGCCCGTGCTGGCCACGAGCGAGATCTACCGCGTGTTCGAGCACAAGATGGTGTACTACAACCAGTTTGTGTCGGTCTACCGGCGGCTGCTGGAGTCCGTTGTGCGGTCCTACACCCAGCCGTAGCGGTTGTTTCTCCGCGGCGTTTTGCCGGCAGCTGATTAATTTTATTTTTTTATTTCGGACTTCATGGTAACCCGTCTCTCGTGCCTCGCGTGCAAACAGCGAAAAACCAGGTGCGACAAGACCCACCCGACCTGCTCGACCTGCGCAAAGCGCGGCGTCGCCTGCAAGTACCCGTCGACCTTCAGAAACGCGCCGATCCGCACGCCAGGCCTCGCGGACTCCGCCTCGCCCGGCTCGCTCTCGGAGCGCTACTACGGCATCACGTCCGCCCACCGCGTCGGCCAGATGGCCGGCAGGCTTGTGCCAAGCCGCGAGGAGCCCATCAAGGAACACTACCTCGACTTCCCGCTGCTGTTCGGCGACAAGGCCGAGACCCAGCGCTTCATCACCGAGGGCCTGCGGCTGTACGCCGAAACGGCTGAATTCTGCTCGCACGAGCCGTTTCTGGACGCCTTCGAGCTCACGCACAGCGTCGGCCTCTTCCTCGCAACGCTCTCGTTCCCCTGCCGCACGCTGTGCCAGCTGCTCGGCGTGCTGCTGGTCGGCGCCCGCTACAACCCGCGCTGCTCGCCCGACGTCTACGAGGTGCTCCACCGCGAGTTCTCGCGCGTCGGACTCTTCACGGAGGACAGCATGGAGCTGGTCCAGGCGCGCCTGCTGCTGCTCGAGTACTTCGTCTACTCGCTCAAGATGGAGTCCGCGTGGTCGCTGCTCTTCAACACCGTGTGCACCGCGTACGCGCTGGGGTATCACGTGCGCGACCCCGGCGACGACGCAGACGAGCGCAAACTCGTTCTCTGGCGCACCATCGTCTTCTACGACTGCCTGATCGGGTCCACGAACGGCCGCCCCAACGCCACGTCGTGTCTGCTGGACCCGGCCTCGTCGCTGCTGTGCGACCTGATCCACCTCTACCGCGACACCAACCGCGCGTTCCAGGCGTACGGCAAGGACCCGGCGCTGTACGAGGCGCAGATCCTGCCGCTCGACAGCCGCATGGCCGCCGTGCTCGGCCGCAACTACGACACAGACTCGCTGCTGCTCCGCAACTATCGCCTCCTCATCCTCACCAACCAGATCAAGCTCCACTACCCGTTCTTACGTAAGCACAGGTACTCGCAGTACCAGCTGAACGCGCTGCTGTGCGCGTTTTCGTACGAGTTTGTGGACTTTGTGCGGTTTGCCAGCGAGAGGGCGCCGGTGCCCTACGTCAAGCTGCGCGAGTCGTTTGCGTTCGTGTCGTGCCACTCGTACCAGGCCCTGGCCATTGCGATTGCGTGTATTAAAAAAGACCTACATGTTCTGGAGCCGCGGCTGTTCCAGTCGTTCCTGCTGATGAGCGAGCGGCTGCGCGCGTTTGCCGACTTCCTCGCTACGGACGAGCCGCTGCAGCAGATTCTCGGCGCGCTCCACGAGCTGGCAGAGCCGCAGAACCAGCACTCTGTCGCGCCGCTGCCGATCGAAAGCCACTCGAGCTTCGTCCACGACGACCCGTTTTTCTTCCAGATGTTCTATGCCACGGAGCGGTGACTATGCGTCAGGCGTTTTAGCTTTCGTCCGGTGGCCCCGTATATACACCGCAAGGCAGCAGAGCCAGCCCACACTGGAGACCGCGATCAGCACGTAGCCGCAGATGCGGAACTTCTCGTCGGTCTTGGCGCCGTTGCCAAGAACCGACGTGACGACCGCAAAACACACACTCACGCCGACCTGGCCAAACGTCTGCATCACGCCCGACACAAGGCCGCGCACGTCCGGGTCGGCGGCGCCGATCAGCACGCTGAGCGCGTGCGGGAAGAAAAAGCTGCTGCCGGCGGACCCGAGCGCCTGCATGGGCACAATCCACCGCCAGTAGAAGTGGCTGCGGCTGCTGTCCCATGTAGCACACAGCGCCGTCGAGGCCACCACCCCCGAGAAGCCCAGCATGAACGAGACGTACGGCGACATAATGTCGTTTTTCACCGACAGCAGCGTCGTCACGATGAACATGCTGATAAGGTTTGGTCCCAGCTTGACTGCCGACAGTATCGGCGAGTTTTGCTTCACGTACTGGTAATACTCCGCGCTCAGCGAGATCAGTGCAAACAGCGTGCAGTAGTTTGCAAACACGGCCACCAAAACACACACCGGCACCAGCGTCGTCAGCAGCGACTTAGGCATCAGCGGGATCGTCTGCTGGAAATGCCGGCCGCCTTCTTGGATGCGCACCAAAATGCTTGTGTTCCAGAAAAAGAACACCACGTAGAGGATTCCTCCCACCAACAGCGGGATATACGCTTTCGGCGAGTCCCACACCTCGCCGGCCTCAGTGAAGCCGACCACAATGAGTGTCGTGGCGCTAATCAGCAGCAGCGAGCCCACTGCGTCCAGGTTGGCCACTTTCTCGCCGGTAGGTGGTATACGCTTGATGAAGAAAAAACCCAGCACAGCGTCCACAAACATCACGCCGCCGCTCAGATAGTAGATGCCCTTATACCCCACAGACGTCAGGTCGAACGCGCCACCCACTATGTACCCCACGCCAAACGAGAGGCTGAACCCGGCGGCCAGAATAGAGAAGCGGGAGCCAAGCTTTTCTGGTGGGAACGAGCGGGAGACAATGGCGTAGCCGGACGGCACAAGAGCCGCGGCAGCAACTCCCTGCAGGGTTCTAAACAATATCGCTGTCCCCAGACTGTCCACGGCACCGCAGAGTATCGAAAAGAGAGCAAACAATAGCGAGCCCCAAATGTATAAGTTGTCGTGGCCAACGATGTCTCCAATGCGACCGGAAACAGCGATGAACCCCGAGAACGCCACGGCGTACGCGGACAACACCCACGACGCGTTGGAGTACGTGGTATCGAAATGGCGCTGAATCTCGGACATGCTCGAGATGGTGGCTGTCACGTTGACCAGGTCGAAAGCGCAGCCGACCAGCACGATCAGCAGCACAAAGTCACTTTTCTGGTGTTCGACGTGGCGGGCAGTTTTCACGAACTTCGCAACTGAATTCCAAACGATCATGGACAGCGGACTTCTCATGCCATACTCTTATATACTCTGTCCGGAGCCACTTGTGTCGACTGGAGTTTATAATCACCAAGTCCGACGTCCGACGTCGGTGTTCGGACTTGGTCTCGCAGCACGATCAGAAGAACGGTACAGAGGCGCCGTCGCCACGCGGGTCGCTGCCCCCAGCGTACACAAGCTTGCCCGCGCTCTGCTCGCGCCGAATCACCTGGCCCCGGCCGCACAGCGTGCGTTTTCGGTCCCGCAGCACGACAATATCGTGCCCCAATTTTCGGAGCTGACTAATATTTTCCTCGGACACTCCTTCCTCGATGTTCACCGTGGTCACTTGAGCGCTCATCGGCCCATTAGCGCCCAGCCCCAAGTCTGTGTGTTTGTAATCCTTGTGTGGTGTCATACAAAACCTAGGCGCGTCCAAAGCCTGCTGCGGATCCATTCCAAAGAGCACCATGTTCAAATACACCTGTACGTGGGCCTGCGGCTGGTTGAAGCCGCCCATGATTCCAAAACTGGCATACAGCTCCTCCCGAGCCCCGGCGGGCGTGGTGATCATGCTGGGGATGATTGTGTGGTACGTTCTCTTGCTGCCGGCGAGACAATTTTTCGACTCCGGGTTCAGACTAAAGTTATCTCCTCGGTTCTGCAGAATAAAGCCGTGCCCAGGAACCACAATGGCACTGCCAAAATGGCTGTAAATAGAGTTTATGAACGAGAACGCGTTGCCGTCGCTGTCGGTGACCGTGAAGTAGACGGTGTCGGACTGCATCGCCGGGTCGGGCACACCGTGTTTGATCGTCTGGTTATCCAGCACGGAGTCTTTGGAGAAATGTGCTGTGCGCTGCTTGAAAAAAGAAGGGTGCAGCAGGCTCTTGAGCTGGCCAGCAAGATCGACGCCCGTGGAGCGCCGATAATGCTCGTAATCGTGGACGTGCTCGTCCGAGTCCCTGAACGCAAGCTTGAGACACTCGATCACCACATGCAGGTACTCGGCCGAGTTATGCTGCATGGCCCGCAAGTTTATCACTCCGTCCCTGTCCAGCTGGCTGATATAACCCAGCGCCAGCAGAGCGATAATGCCCGACCCGTTGGGCGGGATCTCCCAGATCTTGTGCCCCAGCACGGGAACGCAGATCGGGTCCACAAACAGTGTCTCGTGCGCGGCCAGATCTGCCGTCGTCATCACGTGGTCACGTGACTGCAGCTCATGCACAATGGCCTCTGCCACGGGGCCCTCGTAGAACCCGCGCTTGCCCTGCTGCGCTATGCGCCGCAGCGTGGCGGCAAACGGCCTGTTGGTAAGCAGCTGGCCCTTTCGCGGGGCCGTGAAGTTTTCGTTGGGCAGGAAAACACGGAGGTCTGCGTCGTGCTTGTTCAGTCTTCGCAGCCTCGACTCCTCCTCCAGCCACATATCGGCACACACCTCGGAAATAACGAAGCCGTTTTCGGCGAGGTCGATGGCCGGCGCGAGGATCTCGGCCAGCGAGACTTTCCCGCTGCCCCAGCGCTCCACGGCGTCGCACCAGCCGGCCACGAGTCCCGGCACCTGTACAGCGTAGACAGAGTCTTTTTTGAGACGCAGCGTGGACAGTATGTGGTCAGGGTGGTGTGTCCGCAGCCAATCAATGCTCAAAGCCGCCGCTGAGCGGCCTGTTGCGTTCATGCCAGACACTTTGCCTGTTGCTGCGTCGTAAAACAGTCCAAACGCGTCGCCGCCGACTCCTGTCGACATTGGCTCGACGAGACACAGCACGGCGGCCACCGCGACGCAGGCGTCCACGCAGTTGCCACCCGCGCGGAGGATTTTGAGGCCGGCCTCGTTGGCGAGCGGCTGGGACGAGGAAACAATTCCCCGCGGGGAGTAAACAGTGGACCGTCTCGAATTGAACTGCATTGATAAGATAAAAAATAGTGAAATTACTTAATCTGTGCAAAAAAATTAGTGCTACATAAATATATTCAATGTGAAACACCGTTACCAAACGTTCCCTTGTTTAGCCAAAGACGACATCGTAGTGGGCACGCTAGCGGTTGGCCAGTAAACTGACAGCGTGACTCTGGCAGAACCAAGACCTGCTTGGTTGCAGTCACTGCCTCGTCTCCATAATATCCATGGACAATGCATCACGAAGCGTTAAATGATGGCCTGTTCTCTCGAAATGTTGCAGACACCTCGCCTTGAGAAGTTTGGTATTCCTTCTCAGCGCAATTTCCATCTCTGTCCATTCCTTGGGCAAGAAACCGCCGTCAGATGCCATTCTAATGTCCTCCATGAGCAGATTCATGTACTCGATATCGTCCGGATACAGTAAATCGTGGAAACTCGGCCGGCTGCCGCGCGAGCTCAGCAATTGGCGTTCCTGGCTGGCCATCTCCACATAGGCCGGCAACGCGATTTTTTTCTGCAGGATTTTAGCCAACCAGGTCCCCTGGATCTCTGCAACGTGAAACGGGAGCACGTACCGGGAAATCGCGATAAACGCCAGCCCCGGATACTCGTAGCTCCAACAGTGCCGATACAGCCCGTGGATCCTGTTTCCGTCCGTGATGAGGGGTTTGTCGGACGTGTTTATCTCGGCAAAAAATGGCAGCGACCGCAGGAATCCGGTAGCGAAGACTATGCATCCCACGTTGTCCAGCCTTCGACCGTCAACAAAATAAACAGAGGCCGTCTGCGGCTCCAGATGGCTGATGTCCGGCATCTCAATCACCAGGTCGCTCGTCCCGCCAGGAACGCGGCTCGCGGAGCGCGCGCTTTTGTATATCTTTCTCCTCGTGCATCTCGCGAATTGGTAGCAGATATCAATTCCCGAGGCAGAGTTGCCAATCACCAGGATATTTCCCTCGATGCCAGCCAGTTCGCGAGGACTGCGGAACGTTTTCGAGTGGAGAATCGTGTTGGGGAACTTTTCGTGCCACTCCCTGAGCCCCGTGAGCTCTGGGATCAAGGGCAGGTCGTAGACTCCGGTGGCCACCATCACCGCATCGTACTCCTCCGTTGTGTCGGGCACGGCGTCAGACTCCTTTAGCCCACCCTCTGTGGCGTCGCACACGGCTCGCGAGCGCACTAGCCACTTGTGCCGGTGTCGCACGTCCACAACTCTTGTGTTGAACCGGTAATGCTGCCTGAGATCCTCGCCGTACCTGCTGACGTAATCAAGGACCGCGGACCTGTGAGGGAAAAGTGGAGTCGTCTCGGGGAACTTGTGGTCTCTGAACTCCATCAGCGGGTACGGCGTGTTTGTCTCAAGCGCGTCGTACACTGCGTTTGGCCAGACGTAGCATTGTGCTGTTTTTATGGGGTTGACCACGGCCAGGGGGTCCACAGACGGAATATTGAGGTTCTGGTCTGCGCGCTCGCTGTAGTTCCAGATCCCGCCAACCGAGGCCCGTTGTTCAAACCCTACAACCTTCTCAAACCCGCCTTCTTCAAGAAACGCTCGCACGGTAGCCAATCCGCACGCCCCGCCGCCAATTACACAGACGGACTTGCACATGTGGAATTTTTAAAAAATATCGAAAATAAAAATTGAATAAAATAAATAAAATAAAGTAACTAATGGCAGTCATCAACCAGCCGTCGTCGCAGATCAGACTCACCAACGTGTCGTTGGTGAGAATGAAAAAGGGCAAGAAGCGGTTCGAAATAGCGTGCTACCAGAACAAGGTCCAGGACTATCGCGCCGGTGTCGAAAAGGACCTGGACGAGGTTCTTCAGATTCCGCAGGTGTTTATAAACGTCTCCAAGGGACAGGTGGCTTCGAACGAGGACCTCAAGAAAGCGTTTGGGTCCACGAACACAGACGAAATTATCCTAGAGATTCTGAAGAAAGGAGAAATCCAGCTGAGCGAGAAAGAGCGATCTGCACAGAACGAGAAATTGCACAACGAGATCCTGACCATCGTCTCTACAAAATGCATCAACCCAAGAACAAAGAAGCGATACCCGCCAACCATGATCGACAAGGCTCTCAAGGAGCTCAAGTTTAACTCTGTGAATGCGAAGAACGCCAAAGCCAAAGCGCTGGAGGCAATTAAGCTGCTGGTGGAAAAACAAATTATCCCCATCTCCAGAGCTCACATGAAGCTCAGAATTTCTCTCAACAGCAAAGAATACGCAAAGATTGAGACGGAAGTTAGAAAACTAATAGCTGCGGTGCAGGACGAGGAGAAAATCGACGCGGAAACAGAAATCGTGTGTCTGATCGAGCCCGAATACTACAAAGAGCTCACCGAGCTTGTGAAGTCGAGAAAAGGCTCTGTCGAAGTTCTGGACATGGCTGTCATCGCCGAGGGCGAGCAGAATCTGTGAATATTATTTACATAGTGGCTAGGAAATTTAGGAGAGGCTTTCCTAACACCTCTGTGAGATCGTCCGACCAGAGGACGTCTAGATGGCTGTAGTGTTTGACTTTAATGTAGCTGAAACGGCCGCGCATTTCGGGCTCCTTGAGTTCCAGATGTCGCACGAAAAGGTTGCCGTCCACCAGTCTGTCTTGCTCCCCGATCGCCAGGAACAGCGGGGGCGTCTTCCTCGAGAACCACTCCCGCTCGCTTTTCAGCAATGACTTGCCCATTTGGAAACCCTGTCCGTGGTGCTTGCTGAGCCACCACTTCATCAGTTTCGCCGAAACGTACACCGGCGAGAAAATGAAATGGTACTGTCTCAGGCTCCTGTCCCAGAGATAGTCGGTCCAGTCGAACAGGAAGCTGAACATCGCGTAACTCAGAAACCCAAACACCGGCGTGGTGACTATGATTCTGCGCAGAGCCATCATGACCGGCATGAACGAGTTGATTCCGAAAAACGAGTCGTAGAGCCAGTTGGGCAGCAGCTTGATGAAACGAATAAAGCCCTTGGAGTTCAACAGCGAACCGCCAAAAATCGCCGGCGCCAGAAGCACGCACGCCGAGATCTTGTCCTCGTAGCCTATCTCGAACTCGCTCGACAGCAGCATGACTATCTGGGCTGTTCCCTGGGAATGTCCTATCAGCGTCACTTTCGGCTTCCCCGTGGAGTGGAGAATCTCGTCTACCATACACGGCACGTCGTAGCGCGTCATTTCTGTGAGGTCCCAGTCCCACATCTTGGGGTCGTTCGGGCCGAGAGACGTGTGCTGGGGATGGAATCCGCACCGATTGTTGCCGAGCCACACGTCGTAGCCGTTTCTGAGCAGCAGGTAGCTCAAACTTTTGTAGCCGCTCGTGACAAACGAGCCAGACGACTGGAGCAGCCCATGGAGCAGCAGCACGGGCGGTCCGCTGGTCGGCACGGTGGGATCGACTATTCGCTGGAGCGTGATCACAAAGCCGTCCTTGGTGATGATGCGGTACTCAAACAGCTCCAGGCCCATGAGCTGGACGTAGTAGCGCAGATGCGTGCTCCTTTTTGGAGTTTTGACGGAATACGCGCGCTTTTTTGAGGACGTGTACTTGTGTTCCTTTTTAACATGGAGTTTGTAAACATGGGACACAACAGCGAAAAACATGAGCACGCCGAGGAAGAGGGAGCAGCACACGTACGATATGGTTATGGACACATAACCGAGCAGGACCCTGTGCTTTTTGCTCTCCAGCGGCTCCGGCTCTTGCTCGTTCGCAAGAAGAGATCGCGAGGGCATAACAAGAGTTAGTAACACAACACAGCCCAGGAAAAAATAAATAAATCAAGAAAAACTTCGATTCTCCTCTCCATGTTTTCAACCTCGTATCGCGAAAAGACGGTGCAGCTGGCCGGCCACGAGGTGAAATGTAGCGTGCTGGACTTTGCCGACAAACAGATCCTCTGCTTGTCGCGCGACGGAGAGCTGGACGTGACGTACGATCTCCAGACACGTCCGCTGGCGGTGGAGGGGTCGCGGACACAGGTGCCTACAGTGCTGATCGGCGGCAACCTCAAGACCCAGGTTCTGGCCAGCCAGATAGGCCAACACATCTCCAAGAACACTATTCTCAACGTGAGTGGGAAGCTCTTCGCCGGATCCGAGCCTGCCGACCAGGACCACGAGCTGCTTGTCGAGTTGGTGGCTCTGGTTAAGGCCGTGCTGCAGTCGCAGCCAGCATAGAAGTCTCTTGACGGCGCTGAGCTCGAACAGCAGTAGTTTCCGCTTAAGTCCGTAGAGAGAGGCGGACATAATCTTATATGCCGGTGCACACATGTAGAAATCAGATAGATGCTAACGCCGACGTGCGAGCTCCGATTGTTTTTTCTCGGAGTTAGTAGTGTCATGCTTTGTAATCCCAAACTGGCACATTTCACGGCTCAAAAAAATATATATCTCTTTAATGTGCAAGCACATATAAAAGTCAAAATAGGCGCTGCCCAAGTCCGCAAATTTAGCATGACTTCTTCTGAAACATCTTTGGGAAATGATGCCACGGACGATGCGAACCAGAAAGAACCACAGGAGTTCCGTCAGGAAAACAGCGACTCGCTCATGCGGATGGTGACTCAATACACCGAATACTCTGTTTCTCACGTCAACGAAGCGAATATGAATAACCAAGAGCGCGAGAACGACGAGAAAATGGCAAAGGAACAGCAGGAGCCAGTCAAGACAGGCTTTCTGTCTAAGAAATACGCTCAGCAGAGAAGAAAGTTTTTCAAGCAATACATAATTATTATTGTTGTGCTATGGACTTTCATTCTGTGCGTGTTTTCAATCTATTGGGGCTCTTTGTATAATCGCGGCACTCGTTTGGTCAACCTGAAAGTGCTTTTGGTTGTTGAGGACGGCGCCAGCATCGACAACAGCGATTACCCGGTGTCGCAGGCGTTGCTCCGGGCAGCCGAGTCGCCGCAGCTGAAGCGCTTGCTGGGGTGGACTCCCCGTAACTACACAGACGATGACTGGGTCATTAACGAGGTCCGGAAACAAAAATACTGGGGCGCAATTTACGTCACCAGCAACAACGTTTCGCAGCAGCTGGTCCAGGCGCTGGAAAACGGACAGGATTTCAACACTTCCACGCTCGTGAACGGCTATTACGAATCCGGTCGAGACCCCATTGGGGTTAGCACCTACGTTGAACCAAGCCTGCTCAAGCTCGCAATTGGCTTTAGCGACATAATGCAGCAGGAGGTGTATCCAAGTCTTCTCTCCCAGTTGACGTCGGAGCAGTTTGCGCGCCTGCAAAATATCACGACTCTATCCAGCACCCCGGAAATTACACTGAAAGACGGCGTTCCGATGACTGATTACACAATCATTGCACCGGTCCAGGTTGGTCTGATTTATATTGTCATTCTTACATTTTTCCAGGTCATGTGGTTCCAGAGAATCAATCAGGAGGCCGCCGAAACGCTCAAACCAGTGAGTTATATTATATACCGGATGGTGATCGCGCAGGTAAATTACTTGCTGATTTCGCTCGGGTACAGCTGTCTGAATGCCGCGTTCCAAATCAATTTCAACAACGCGTGGAAGGGTGGCTTTGGTGTCTACTGGATGATCTCGTACCTGACCATGTCGGCAGTGGGAGGAGCCAACGAGAACATTGCGCTGATCTGCTTTGCTGTGCTGCCGCCGCTGATGGGATTCTGGCTGGTGTTGTTTGTCGTTTGCAATATCTCGGCCACTTTCTCGCCTGTCGAGGTGTGCCCGAAGCTCTTCCGGTTCACGTATGCAATGCCGATCAAGAACTCGTACGAGCTCATGAAGGTGCTTCTTTTTGACACCTACCGCGGACATTTGGGCAGAAATTTTGGGATTTTGGTGGCATGGATCGTTCTCAACAATATCCTGCTTCCGTTCTGTCTGATGTTTTTCAGTTGGTACATGAAGCGCAAGCTGACCAAGGCCGCTAAAAGTTCGCATTAGGTTCTATGTCTAGCTCTTTATAATGGAACTCATGAGTAGAGAATCGTTGCACAACGCGAAGACACGAAGGTACGTAAACCGTCAATGGACCGCATCCCTTCTCGAACCTAACAAACCCAAGGTTGCTGATAATCAGGTCGCAGCAGCCTGCAGACGGGTGCAGTCTGTATGCTGTCCATCGCGAGCTGCTAACGTACCGGTGCTCCGCTAGCCAAGCTTGCCACTCTGCCACGTCCCTGAACATTTTCACAGGCCCCCAGAAATACTGTCTCAGCGCTAGCGGTCCCCTGTAGTCGGGCGAGTGTATACCCACGCACGGGCCCAGCCCCACCACCTGCTCTGTGTCTCTGAACGTATGTACCCGGGTCCGAATGGAGTTGGTAGCACCCCAGGACAATACGCTCTGCCGGAGCTGGGGACGCAGCACGGCATAGATGCTGTGCGTTTTCGGGAGCATTCCCGGCGTGTCCACAAGAGTGAGCCCAAAATACGAACAAACAAAAGTCCCGTTGCGGCGGGTCGAACATGGCTTCGCAGAAACCTTGGGCACCACGGGCACAGCCTCGTAGTCATTGCTTTCAACGATGAGTCGCTGCACCAGAGAGCTCTTGCCCGTATTTGTCTGGCCAATCACGTAGTAAGTCCTGTTGTGTTCTGGCTGGATGAGTCTCTCAAACAGTTTGGTCACCGACCGTGGATACTTTGTGCTCGTCACCATGACATTTTCCCTGTCTACTGTTTGCGAGCTGTACAGCGACAGGTAGCCGTTCAGCTCGCGCCAGTAACTTTCGCGCAAGGTCTGCAAGTCGGCGTCCCGCTCTAAGGGCCTGTCCAAAACCTGGTCTGCAAACGTGATCACGAAAAGCACGTTCTTCGCTGGAACGGACCGGGCCTTGAGCGTGTCAAAAATGGACGCTTTCAGGTTCAGCGGGAAATAGCGTGCCGACAGCGTGTACAGCACTTTTGTCTCCGGCGTGTTCTCAGGGATCGTTCTTACCACAGAGCTGTAGTCGGCTGGGTTCAGAGCACTGTCTGGCAGCCCGTCCTCCGCACCAGTGCGCTGGTCCAAAGCCATTCTCGCGATCTTCGGCACGTTGTGGTAATACTTAGACAGCAAGACGTGGCCCCCGCATGCCCGATAACCCGGTATTCGGGGAAAAACCCGGATCATGATGAATTATTTATTTTTTATTTTTCTTCTATCTAGTGAGAAACGTCTTGAAAACCAAATTATCGGTCTCGTCGTTGTACTTGTACCCCAGATCCCTCAAAAATTTGTCAAACTTCGCATTGTCCTCGGGCGGAACACAGATCCCCGCAAGCACCTTGCCAACGTCGTCGCCGTGGTTTCTGTAGTGGAACAGCGTGAGATTCCAGTTCATCTCCATGGACGACAGGAACCGTGTCAGAGCACCGGGCCGTTCTGGAAACTCGAACGAAACTATCCTCTCACCCGGAACGTGCACCTTACCCCCCACGAGGTATCTGCCGTGGCTCTTGGCCATCTCGTTGTCGGTCAAATCCTGCGCCTTGAACCCGGCCTGCTCCAGATCCTTCATCACCTTGCCCAGTTCCTTCTTTCTGTCGATCACAGAGAACGACGTGAAGATATTGGCCAGCCCGGTCTCCTCTGAGTCGGCCGAGATTCTGTACGAGAACTCCGTCACGTTTCTCGGATCTATGATGTGGTTCAGCTGTGCAAACGTGCCTGGCTTGTCTGGGATCTGCACCGTCAGGAACACCTCCTTGCCCTCGCCCAGCACGGCTCTTTCGCTAACAAATCTCAGTCTGTCGAAGTTCATGTTTGCTCCAGACAGAACAGGAACGTACGTTTTCGTGGAATGGTCGATTTCAGGGTGCAGCTCGACGTATTTCTTGAGCCCGGCCACCGTCATGGCTCCCGACGGCTCCATCAGAGATCTCGTGTCCTCAAACACGTCCTTGATCGCAGCACAGATCTCGTCCGTCGTCACGCGCACAACCTCGTCAACGCCAAACTCCTGGCACACAGCAAACGTCTCCTCCCCGACGACCCGGACCGCTGTTCCGTCCGCGAACCCGCCAACAGAGTCCAGAGTCACTCTCTCGCCCTTTTCCAGCGAGAGTCTCAGCGCATCCGCGTCAAACGTCTCCACAGCGATGATCTTCACGTGCGGTGCCAGCCGCTTCAGGTACGCCATGATGCCTGCAAGCAGCCCGCCGCCGCCCACGGCCACGAACACGGCGCTCAGCTTGTTGCTCTTCACCTGGCGAAGCAGTTCCATAGCAATGGTTCCCTGGCCCGCAATGACATAGGGGTGGTCAAAAGGAGGGATATTGGTCAGCCCCTGCTCGATGGTGAGTCTCTCGCACTCGGCCTTGGCAGAGTCGAAGTCGTTGCCGAACAGCACCACCCGCGAGCCCAGCCTGCTCACGTTCTTGAACTTGATGGACGGCGTGGCCACAGGCATCACAATGGTCGCCGGAATGCCCATCTCCTTGGCCGAGTACGCCACGCCCTGCGCGTGGTTGCCGGCCGAACAGGCAATAACACCCTTCGACTTACGCTCGTCCGACAAATGAGCGATCATGTTGTACGCGCCTCTCAGCTTGAACGAGAAAACAGGCAGCAGGTCTTCGCGCTTCAGCATTACCGTGGAGTTGGTTTTCTGCGACAGCGAGACAGCGGGCGAGATGGGGGACTCGTCGATGACGTCGTACACCCGCGACGTGAGGATCATCTTGAGGTAGTCCGGGCGGCCGTTGGGGAGCACGTCGTCCGGCCTGAGGTCCGGGAACCGGCGGCAGATATCGGTGGCCGAGGAGTACAGTCGCTGGACGGCTCTGGCGAGTCTCAGCTGTGCGACCTTCCGCATGTAATAACGATGTTTTTCTCTTTTTTTTTCAGTGATTCATCTTCGTACGATGCTGACGTCAGCAACCGTCGCACGGTGGGCGGTATTTGGCTGGGTAGCTCGGGGTTTGGTTGGCTTGCGGTCGGCTGCGACATGCACCAATAAAAACCGCGCGTGCAGCAGATCCCGTGCCCGCGCGCTGGCGTCTGCACGCGCACCAGCACACTACCAAACTCGCCTCTGGCCAATCTGCTCCTGGCTCGTGGTCCGTCGTCAAATTCCGGGTAAAAAAAGTATTTAAAGAGTAAATTTCGCAACCTACGCATACGCAACTAATATGAAGATTGTCAGCAAAGAAGAGATCGACGCCCATTCGTGGGCCACCATCGCCGGAGGATTCAACGGGTTCTGTCTGGGAACGCTTGTTTCCGTCGGAGTGTACGCGATGGCCCCCAGATACTATCCCAAGCTGCTCAAGATGCCGTGGTCGATCAAGACGGCCACGGCCATCATTCCGCCAGCGTTCACCACTGCCGTCAACGCCGAGCTGGCGTCCACGAGATTCGACTCGGAAATGTATTCGTCCGAGTTCCAGCAGCGCAAGGTGCTGGAAGAGCACAGGAGATGGGCCAAGCTGTCCACCACAGAGAAGATGGTCGAGTCTCTGTCGAACAACAAGTACAAGATCATCACCGGGCTGTGGGCGGCGTCGATGGTCGGGTCGTGGATGTACGTCAACAGAGACCCGCTGCTGACCAGGACGCAGAAGTTTGTGCAAGCGAGGATGTACGCGCAGTTCATCACGGTGGCCCTGCTCCTTGGGTCGATCGGCCTCAGCGTCTACGAGGAGAACCACCACCTGAACCAGCACGAGAGCGGCGACGACGCGTATCTGCGGGAGGTCTTAGAGGCCAACAGACAGAAGTGACTCATGTACATTACACTAATAACCAGCACGCCAGTGCGATGATACTCACCCCGACCACCACCGTGATGACGGCCGCGCCGGCGGTGTCGCCGCGGTCCAAACTCAGCGGCTGGTCCGTCAGCTGCGTGCTCTCCGAGCCCGCCGCTCCGTCGCCTGTGGACGAGCCCCCGTTCGACGAGGTGTACGGGGCGGGCCGTTCGTAGATGAGCAGGTTCTGGATGGCCTCCAGAGCACACATCTGCTCGCCCAGCCCGTAGTAGCCGTCCCAGCCGGTGTGCGTCCAGTTCAGGCCGCACGTGTGGCCGTCTGTGCCTCCCGAGCATGACTGCGCGGCCGCCTGCGCAGACTGCTGGATGTACTTGTTGATGGTGTCCTGGGTCTCCGGCACCATCATGGCCGTCAGCCCCATGAACCGGACCAGGTACGCCCTGAAGGAGCGCTGGTCGTTGTTGCAGGAGTCAGACCCCATACACGCAGTCTCCTGCAGCACATACACCCCGTCTTGCCCGCTGTTCGGCGTAAACACCACTAGCCCGTTCAGAAACTTGAGTGTCCGCTGTCTCCAGATGTCGTCCTCCGTGTAGTTGTACAGGTACGCACAGCCCGAGAGCAGCATCCCGGCATTGTACGACCACTGGTACTTCACGACAGACGAGCAGTTGTCGCTGATGCTGCCCCCATCGTACGCAAAGTTGTACGTGTCTCCTTCGGTGATAAAATTCACGCCAAGAAGCCAGTCGTAGATTTTTTCGGCCCAGTCGACATACGTGTCGTTGGAAGTATATCTCGCCAGCCGCGCGCCAATGTGGAACAGCCCCGCGTTCGAAACCGTGTTTTTGTAGTCGTAGCCCGAGTTCCACTGGAAAATCTGCCACCTGAGTCCACCGGCACAGTGCTCCGTGTCCCATCTCCACGCCATCGTGTTGAACACCGCCTGCGCAAGATACAGCCATTGCGGCTGGTCCGCGGTCGGGTTCGTGAAGTTCCGCTCGGCCGCCTGGATGGCAGCAATGCCCCAGAACGCCTGATCGTCGTTACCCTCGGTCGTGGACTGGTTCAAAGGGATGTAGTCCCAGTTGTCTCCTGTCTGGTACAGCAAGGCCTGTTTGATGGTTTCTTCGTACGTGTCGTTTTGCAGAAAGTACCAGTAGTCGATCATCGACCCCCAGGCTCCTCCGGCCTCCCACCAGTAGTATGGGCTCGTGAACATTCCTATGACTCCTCCGTACTTGTATCCCCAGTAGTAGTCCATCAGGCCGTCCGCAATCAGCGCCGTGGCCTTCTGGATCGAGTCTTTGCTGTTGATGTCGAGGTTGACGGCCATCGCCGACCCCAGAAGAACAAAAAGACTCGCAAGCTGCATCGAAGAAGAGTGCAAAAAAAGCCTCGCGTAGCTCGAGAAATACTCCAGAGAAAATATTACGTAATGGCTTACGATATTCTATGTCTCTAGTCCACGTCCTTACCCATGGCCATGCTGATCAGCAGCCAGAAGTTCATGATCGAGATGATTAGCCACACAATCACGCCCGCCACAGCGGTGGGAATGTTGTTGCTCATGTCCTTGTACTTCGGCTCGTCTAAGGCGTCGTCCAGCTCTAGCTCCGCGAGGTCGCTCACGTCGCCGAGCCGGTGGGAGCGCAGTGAGCGGTCGGACGTCGTGTTGTCCTCCCTGTCGGAAAGAAGGTCGACCGCGCTGTTGTCGCCATTGGAGACAAAGTCCATAGGGATGTTTTCCCCGGTTTCCTGCGGGGGCTCGGTTCCGCTAATCAGCACGCGCATGATGCTCTTTTTGCAGGTCAGGTACACGAGCGGCGCACTGATGAACGGCAGAAGCAGCGAGAGAACGACCTGGGTCGCATTCAGGACATTACTCAGGCCCTCTCGCCCCTGAGTGACGACAACAATGATGCATGGCGTGATGGCAATGATACGCGTGATGATACGTTTGATCGCAGGGTGCATGGAGATGCGAACATGTCCTTCCATGATCTGCTGGCTGGCGATGGTGACCACAGTGCCACCGCACAGACCAGAGCACAATAATGCCAGCGCAAAAACTGTACCTGCAGCTTTTGACAGTTGACTCGAAAGAAGATAGTGCAGCGTGAACAGATCGGCGTTCTCCAGGTCTCCGTCTCCGTCGTCGTCCATTGGCTGCGACAGCGCAGAGCCGGCGACAATCAGAATGGCAGCGTTGACAAAGAGCGCAACGGTAATCAGGGAAATCACCATCTCTGCAATGATGTACGACATGGTCCCGTCGATGGCCTCGATCGACGGAACGTATCTCACCTCCGCGGAGTCTGCCTCGATCGTGTTGCAAAGCAAACCTTTCTTCTTCTTCTTTGCCACTGGAGGGGTGTACAGGCCGCGTTTCATGTCGAAGGCCTTCATGCGCGCCTGGACAACTCCTGAACCCAAATACAACGAGTGCGGCATCAAGTTACTTCCCAGCAGGGCAGCAGTGAGGTAGAGACCCTTTGTATCAGTGAAGATCTCTTTGGATGGCAGGAACCCGCGAAACACGCTTCCCCAGTTGGTTGTAGGAGAAACGTTCACGAGCTCCACGATGAAACAGGCGACTGTGCCAAGGACCAGACACCCCACAGCAGCCTCGAAGACTTGGACCACAACAAGTGGCCCGTTGGGCCTATATGCAAGCAAAACAAAGAGAACATCGACAATCGTTAGCAACACACCGCCCAACAACGGGAGACCAAAGAGAATGTTGAATGCGATGGCGGTACCGATGATTTCAGCCATGTCTGTGGCTGCGACAGCGAGCTCTGCAAATATGTAGATGACGAAGTTAACGTATTTCGGCAGGTGGGCGCGGCAGTTGGCCGCCAGATCCTGACCTGTACAGATTCCAAGCTTGCTGGCCAGAACCTGCATAAACCCGGCCATCATGTTGGAAACTAGCAAAGAAAACAGGAGCTTGTATTGGAATTGTGCAGAAGAAATGGAACTGCTGAAATTTCCAGGGTCCATGTAGGACACAGAGACCATCAGTCCCGGCCCTATGAACTTGACAAATCTCTTCAGGACGAGAATCACCTTGACTTGTTTGGAATCCATTTTCGGGAGCTCGTCGTCGCTGTCGTTCTCGGGAAAAAAAGAATCTGTGGTGTTGTCCAGTTCAAAATTAGAATGGTCTGATGTTCCTGTTATGCTTTCCAGGCCGATATGTTCTTGAAAAGGGTCTTCGTGCCTTGTGTGACGGTCTGATGCTTGGAGACCTATGTATTCCATAAAAGACGCCTTTTCAGTAAATAAGATATGGAGGTGTATTTACAGCCGTCTTCAGCCACGGACACGCTTGTACGCTGAATCTTGTCGTTTGTTTATGGTACCAATAATATGGGTCCCTTATAAAATTTTTATAGCGCGAGACCAACGTGTCTTTTTATAGTAACTACCCCGGGTTCGAGGGTCGGTGCAAAGATGATAGGAAATAAATAAAAGTAAAATAATTGAGGGGATACGATCTAGATCCATGATTACGAGAGCCAGAAGCACAGCGGCCTCCCGGCTGCTACGTTTGGCTCAGCGACGGTTTACTGCCGCGCTCTCTGCTTCCACGCCTCTGGAGCCAGTCATCGAGGACACCATCCGGACCATTGGACCGATTAGCCTGTCAAAGTTCATGAGAACATGTCTCACCCACCCCGAACACGGCTATTACATACACAAGGACCCTTTGGACGTAAACAGCGGCGACTTTATAACCGCTCCGGAGATGTCTGTGGCGTACGGGATGACCTGCGGACTGGCGTTCGTGCGAATGTTTCTTGCCCAGCTGCAATACCAGAGTCGACACAACCCTGGTTTCCAGGTCAAGGACAAGATTTTCCGGGTAATTGAGTTTGGCCCTGGCAAGGGCTCCATGATGAGGGGTCTGGCCATTGTTTTCAAGCAGTACATAATTGATAACCCCGTGGAGATCGTCATGGTGGAAAAGTCCGACATTCTCATCAAGGAGCAGCACAAACTCTTGTGCAAGTCTCAGGAGCTCGAAAAGGTCGACGATTACAACTTCAGAAGTGTCACAGAATGGGGGCAGAAGATCACGTGGCAGAAAAACGATCTTGTTGAGCTGGATCTGGACCCCAAGTACATGAACTTTGTCGTTGCTCACGAGTTTTTCGACGCCCTGCCCATCGACCGATATACCAAGACCAAACACGGATGGCGAGAGTATCTGGTGGATGTGCGGACACCAGAAGCTGGCAGAGCAGGGAAGTTTGGGCTGGTGGTGGCTCCTCACGCCACGCCCGGGTCATTCATTCCAGCATCCAACGAACGCTACAATAAACTAGCCGTCGGGGCCAACGTGGAGATCTCGGCGGACGCTCACATGTACGCATCGCAGCTCGCCAAAATTATCAACTCTGCCGACGTCGGTGGAGCGCTGATCATAGACTACGGCCCAATGGATACAATCCCGATCAATTCTCTGCGAGGCATCAAGGGCCATAAATTTGTGGACCCGTTTTCAGAGCCTGGCAAAATCGACCTTTCTGTGGACGTCGACTTCTTGGGACTGAGCCGTCTGTTTGAGTCACAGGGACTGAAAACAATGATACAAACACAAAGCCACTTTCTCAACTCATCGGGGCTGCCAAGCATCTTGGAAGGTCTTGCCTCTAGCATGAAGGAGCATCAGCAGCGGATCGAGACGCTATACCAACGCCTCACCGGATCGGCTCCACAGGATATGGGAAGAGCGTACAAAGCGTTGCAGGTTTACAGGAACGCCAACAAGACTACCTGAAAATTGTCAAATGGAATATTGTATTAATCTACACTCTTATGCGCTTGAGGTTTTCTGCCTCTTCCAGATCCAGCTTGCGCTTCAACTCCTGTCTGTCTTCGACCTTTGCGTTGCTGTCCTGTATCTCTTCCCCAATATAATTACCCTCGTCGTCCATCTTGTTGAGCACAGCATCATAAATCTCATCATTCTCCTTAGCCTGACTCACCAGCCTGCATATCACGTTCTTGCCCCGAGTGTTTGGCATCATGACTGCAAGACAGTACTTCGAATTAGTTCGAGAGTTGTTGAATTGCTGTGCAAATCTGACATACTCTTTGGCAAGCTTAGGCCACGGAAGTGGTCCGTCGGGATTGAATACGGTTGGGTTGGTTTCTGCCTTGGAAGCAATCATGCAACTGATGTCACTCCCATATTTTTCCTGCATCTCTTTGAACTCCTGGTAGCTCTTGATCCCGCCGTTGATAACCAAGCTCACTTCCGCCTCATCACAGATCTCTTTGATTTTGTCAATGTAGTCTCTGATTGGGGGCTGGCCATTCCTCATTTCTCGCGTCCGGCAATGAACGGTCAGGTTTGCGATTCCTGTCTTGACAAGTTTGCGAACAAGGTCCAGGGTTTGCTGTTGTTCTGGCAAGAGTCTGATCTTGACGCTTATTGGCTTTTGGAAAGGTTTACCGACTTGCTCCACAAGAGACGACAAAATAGCGCAAAGAACGTCTGGAGTTTTAAGCAAAGCTGCCCCCATTCCCGAATGAACAGAGAAATGTTTCGGACAACCTGCGTTGATGTCTATGCCGTCCACGTCCGCAGCCACGATCTTGGCAGCCTGGACAGCGAGCTCTGGGCTTGCGGTGCCGAGCTGGAAGATCAACTTACCTTGCTCGAGCTTTCTGTACGTTCTGAAAACGAGGTCTGTAGTTCCTGGCACCTTTTTATTGCCGTCTTTCTGGATAAAGTCAACTGTATTAAGAATTGGATTGTAGACCCGTTCAGCGCGAACGAGCCGTTTGTCGATGATTTCCGGTCCCCAAACAAGATCCGCACCATATTTTAGAGCCAGAAGGCGGGTCGGCAGCTCTCCTATACGGACCATCGGAGCTAGAACGAGCTTTGCGCGGTAATCGACCATGGTTTCTATTTTTTTTTTTTTTTTTTTTTTTTTTTAATATTTTTCCTTTCAATATTTTAGTTTTTTTTCAAATTATTTTTTATTTTAAAGCCCTTATTTTTTTACATTATTTCTCCGCTGGCTATCTAGAAAACGTCGGTTCATGCTTTTCCCTCTATTGTGGCCTCCTCCTTCTTATCCTCCTCAGCAAGCTCCTCTTCCAGATTCAGATTCTCCTGGATATTCCACAGCTCCTTGTAAAGTGACTGCTTACGTTCCAGAAGCTCGTAGTGGGTACCTTCCTCCAGAACTTCTCCGTTACGAAGCACAATGATCTTGTCGGCATCGGCGATTGTTCTCAGACGATGAGCGATACTGACGTTGGTCTTGTTGCTCTCTTTGAACACTGTCCGGATCGTCTTCAGCAAAGCCTGCTCGGTGTGCGTGTCCAAAGCGGACGTTGCCTCGTCAAAGAACGTAATCGGAGCATCTTTGAGAAGTAGTCTGCCGATCGCAAGTCTCTGTTTTTCTCCTCCGGAGATCATCATTCCACGCTCTCCAACGATCGTGCGTACGCCATCTGGCATGTCGCGCACTAGGGTGTCCAGCTTGACCTTCTTGATCACCGCGTCCACCTCTTCGTCGGTGGCAGCCAAATTACCGTATCTGAGGTTCTCCAAAATAGTGTCATTGAAAAGCGGCGTGTCCTGCGGGACCACGCCAATGTGTCTTCGTAGATTGTCCAGGTCAACGTCTCTGATGTCCTGGCCGTCGATCAAAATTCTTCCGCTGGTGACGTCGTAGAACCGAAACACTAGTCTAAGAACTGTTGACTTTCCGCTCCCGGACGGACCCACAATGGCCACCTTCTGGCCGGCAGGGATCGTGAACGAGCAGTTTTTCAAAATCGGCCGGTCCGGATGGTAGCCAAAGGTCACGTTTTCAAACTTGATTTCTCCTCCCCTGAGCTCCAGCGGAGGAGCGTTGGGCTTTGATTTGATCTTCACGTCCACCTTCTGCAGGTTGAACAGCGACTCCATGTCGAGCAGCGACTGTTTCAGCTCGCGGTAGACGGAACCAAGAAAGTTGAGCGGCACGGACAGCTGGAACACGAGCTGGTTGATGAGCACCAGGTCGCCCACGGTCAAAGAGCCTGCTGCCACGCCTTGACAGGCCATGTACATCATTGCGGTCAGCGCGGTGGTGAAGATAAGGTTCTGGCCGGAGTTCAGAAACGCGAGCGACGTGGCCACCTTGACCGAGGCGTTTTTGTAGTTGTTGAGCGCAGAGTCGTACTTCTGCGACTGGAAGCCCTCGTTGTTGAAGTATTTCACCGACTCGTAGTTGATCAGCGAGTCGAGCGCCACGCTGGCAGCCTTCTGGTCGGCCTTGTTGGCCTGTCTTCGGAACCCGGTTCGCCAGGCCGTCGTTCTTATGGTGAAGACGGAGTACGCCAACATGGTCATCAGCGTGACGGCCGCAAACGAGGCGCCGTAGTTGTACGTGAGGATACCGCAGACAACGGAGATCTCAAACGTGATGGGCAGAATATGGAACACCATTGCCGTGAGCACGTACGAGATGCCTTTCGTTCCTCTGTCGATTGCTCGTGTGAGGCCGCCTGTCTGTCTCGCGAGATGAAAGTTGAGGTCCAGGTTGAGGAGATGCACAAAGGTGTTGTGCGCGACCTTCATGATGGCGTTCTGGGCGACCCTTGCGAAAATGGCGTTTCTGAGCTCGCCAAAGAGCACGGCTCCGAAACGGGTCACACCATACGCCAGGATAATGGCTATGATCGAGGTGGTCAGAAGCCCAGCTTGCGACACCCAGTCGACGTTCATCGAGTCAATGATCGACTTGAAAAAGAAGGGCACCTGGACGTTGAGCACCTTGGCCGCGATCAGCATGCCCAATGCCACCACGACCCGGAACTTGGCCCACGGGTTGTTTCTGGGCCAGATGTACGACAGCAGGTCTTTGAGGATGCGGATCTGCGAAAGGCGCTCCTCCTTGAGCACGGCCGGCGACGGCTTCTTCTGCTGGGCGGCCGTCCGCGACGAATGGAACCATTTGGCAGAATGCCATTGCAGAGGTGTGGCTCGCACATCTCGGAGGAGAGACTGCGGACGGCCCGGGGCGGCGGCAAAGGCCAGCGGCCGTCTCCAAAACAGGGCGAGCCTGGCAGGTCTCCACAGTTGCGGTCTGAACGCGTGCCGGACACAGAGCCCGGTGTTTAGCAGCATTCGTTCGTGGGACAAGGAATATATATTTTGGAATCAAAGAAATTTTGGCTCCTGCGAAAGTCGACGCGACGCCGTCGTCTGCCGCAGGCAGCAAACTAAATTCGCTGCCGAGGCTCGAGCCAGAATCTTTATTTCCGGAACGGGCATTGTTGTGACGCATTAGCTTCTAGCCTTGTTCTCAGAGCCCAGCGACAATGCGGCACGCACGTCAATTCCTTATCCACATGCAACCCCGTCGATATACGGGGTTTCCTGGCGTATAGCTTCAATCTTGCTACAGATGCATGCAGCTGGCAGACTTTCTGCACCCAAAGTCGTCTTTTGACAGCAGGGTTATTGTTGGAGTTTCCTTGATCCAGCCATGGCTGCGTGCTTCCCAGTGGCGGTGGATTGTTCGAGCGATTATGGCGCCGCATCCAGCCTTTTCGATAGTCGCACACATGCAGCTTATCAGGAGAACCCCGAGCCCAAAATGATATGCCTACAGAAAAATATGCTTATTGCAATTCTCCCAGAAATATACTATAGTCTGGCCCGGCCAACCAAACTTCCTTCTCCTCTTTGTTTCCCTGCTATGAACCATGGAGTTTAATCCAGAGCTACCCTCCCACGACGGCCTCGCAGCGTACTACTGGCCCAAGATGCACCCAGACCACCCTGCCACCATCGCTCACCCGGCCTGGGCCTCCTACGACCCGCATTCCGTCGCCCAGCACTCCATCAACCCGCTCCTCATCGTCAAGGGCACCCCACCGGAAAACGAAAATGAAGCCGGCTTCCCCAGAAGCCAGTCCCCCGTCCACGAGCTCTACCACGACCACAACTACCACCTCCTCAGCCAGGAGGAGGAAGTGTGTCCTCCGCGGTTTACCGAGCCCTTCAGTCTTGCCCATGTGACGTACTCGAAGTCGACCGTCTCATTGGACTCCCTGAAGCAGCCCGTCTTGTGGATCGACGAGCCCGCAACCGAGCAGACAGCAATAAACCACCAGGATCTGCCGGAGTCCAAAAACGCACCGTTTGTTCCCGGGCCCCGCCACTCCATACCATTCACCCCAACTGACCCGCACTATCGCCCGTGGCACAAGAGAACAGTTTCCGAGCCGGTCTTCGGAGCTAAAAATCAGGGCCCTGCATTTCCGAAAGTCACAATGAAGGAGCGGTCCGACTCCTGCCTGTTCGACGCAGAATACTGGTCCAACCTCCACAGGTTTCTCCCCGTGCCGTGCGAAGAGAACGCGCCGCCGGCTTTCACTGTGTCTTTTGCCCAGACGGCACAAGAGCTGGAAAAAACCTCGCAGAAGTTGATGAACTATCTTCTGAACGACTACGATCTCGTGGCGGAACTGCGCCAGAACCCAGACTCGTTCGATCAGAATGTGGAGCTCTCCAGCAAAAGACGCAAGGTCGGCGACGACATCAACTGGAAGCCCATGTCCGCCGGCAGCGTGCTGGGACTAAACGAAATTTTCAAGCTCCACCAACGAGAAGTAAATAGCATGCTGCAGAACTGCACAGACTCCTGTTTCGGCGAACTCAACATGCGGGAGCTCCGGGCCTGGAAACGCGGCGACAGAGAGCTCAAACGGCGCCACCCCCAGGTATCCTCCTTCTAAACGACGCGGATCGAATATGCTGCTCTCCACGGTGAGCTCCCGTGGTAGCAGGAAACCTCGCATGACATAATCAGCATCCTACGGAAGCATCTTTCAATTCGGCTCGGATTCCGCGCCCTGCGAAACAACGCGAGCAGTACAAGAGGTTGTATAGGGGTTCGGTCGCAGGCGTGCGGCCTTCATTGTTTTGTTTTAGTCTACCCAGATAAATGCTATTGCTGTTTACAGGCTTTGTTTACCCCTAGTGGCGTTCCTCCCAGCGGAAGTTACGGTCGTGTGCCGCACAAGAGATGCCTTGGAACTACAAGAAGTTGTCTCGTTGGCGAAAAAAAAAATTTCTGCTATTTAAATGTCGCGATCCCCCGATTATTCATTCGCGGCCGTGTTTCACAAAATTTTCTTTTTCTGCCAATTCAGACAAGTGCAGTTAATTGTTTAGTGGTGATGTCATTAGAAGAACCAAGTGCTTCCATACAGACTTCTTCTATTTCAGACATCCCGGTTAATGGCAAGCCTGAGCTGGAGGTCTCGGGGAAACACGCCCTTGACCCGGAGTCTCCAGACGGCACCGACGTGAAGAAGCAGAAACTGGACGCAGACGAGCAACCCACACAAACTGCACAGCCCGACCAGGCTGCTCCTGCTGAGGCTCCCGAACAGCAGCCTGAGGGGCCCAAGGTGGAAGCCTCTCCGGATACAGGGGCGCCTGCGCTTGTTCCTGCCAACATGGAGCCTGCTCCCAAACCGCCCTCGGAGCCTGACATGGACAACCTTCCCGAGCATCCGCTACCGGCACATCAAAAGAAGCATGCCATCACCTCTATAAAGGCCGTGCGGCGACTGAAGGATGCTGGTCCGTTCCTGACGCCGGTCGACACAGTCAAGCTCAACATTCCATTCTACTATAACTTCATCAAACGGCCAATGGACCTGTCGACGATCGAGAAAAAGCTGAATGTAGACGCGTACGAGACCCCGGAGCAGGTTATGGATGATTTCAACTTGATGGTGAACAACTGTATCACGTTCAACGGTAAGGACTCCGCGATCTCTCAGATGGCAAGAAACATACAGGCAAGCTTCGAGAAACATATGCTCAACATGCCACCCAAGGATTTGCCACCGGGAATGCAGGTTTCGGCCACGAAGGGTACCAGAAGAAAGACCAATGCCGGCTTAGAGGTCCCGCAACTCAGAAGAGATAGCGCGTTGGACAACGGGAGGCCCAAGCGGGAGATTCACCCGCCAAAGCCTAAGGACATGCCATACGACATCCGCCCAAGAAAGAAGAAGTTCCAGGCCGAGCTGCGGTTCTGTCAACAGGTGATCAAGGAACTGATGTCGAAGAAGTACGACTCGATTTCGTATCCGTTTTTGGCTCCCGTTGATCCTGTGGCTCTTGATTGTCCAACTTATTTTGACGTGGTGAAGGAGCCCATGGACTTGGGGACTATCTACAGCAAGTTGCAGAATGGGGAGTATGAGAACGCAGACGAGTTTGAGAAGGACGTGAGGCTCGTCTTCCATAATTGCTATCTCTTCAACCCTGAGGGCACGGCCGTGAACATAATGGGGCACAGACTGGAGAGTGTATTCAATGAGAAGTGGGCGAACCGTCCGACGACTCCGGTGTCTCCTGCAAATGTCTCTGATTTCGACTCGGACTACGACGACGACGACGACTTCAACGTGGACATCGACTCGATCACCGACCCAACCATTGAGTTTTTGGTAGCCAACATCGAGCGCATGACCCAGGACCTCAAGAAAATGAGGCAGGAGAAGTACGAGCAGATGAGGAAGGAGTGGCTGAAGAAGCGCAAGAATAAGAAGGGAGGCAAGAAGGGCACCAAGAAGAGAAAGGAGTCGATCTCGCAGCCCAACGGTATTTATCCTACGCATGTGACGTACGAGATGAAGAAGGAAATCAGCGAGGCCATGGGATCTATCAACGAAAAGATGCTGAAGAACGTGATCGCTATCATCAAGGAAGGTATTCCAGATCTTGCTGACGACGAGGAGATCGAGCTGGACATGGACCAGCTGAACAACGAGACCTTGTTGAAACTGTACAACTATATTGTCAAGGGCAAGAGTTCCAAGTCCCAGCGCAAGAAGAAGAAGGGGGGTAATAGCGAGGAGAAGAAGATCGAGAGTTTGAAGAAGAAGCTCGCGCAGTTCGAGAACGCCGAGGTGGACGAGAGCTCCGACGAGGACGAGGACGAGGATGAGGACGAGAGCTCCGAGGAGGAGTGATTTGGACGGGAGGTTTTCCGTCGTGTATATTTCGGTTAGTAGTGTAAATTATTACGGTGTATCAGGGCAGTGCATTTTCTTTTTCGGACTAGAAACTTTTCTTTCATGACATGACGATAAAGGTGTCTGTCATTGGTGGCACGGCGCTGGTTTTCGACCCGTGCGACTGTGCGGTCCTGCGCAAGGAGCACGGCATTGCTGGCGTGCTGTCAGGAACGCTTCCCAGCGCCCCGCAGCAGAGCTTGCTGCTGGGCATTCCTCTGCGGCTGTGTGTCGAGGAAGTGTTGTATCTGTACGAGCGCGAGGCCGTTGAGTTTGTTTCGCCGCTTGTGCCGGACACTAGCGCGAAAAGCCGCGATGATTCATTTTTTCAGACGCCCGACGCAGCGGAATCAGCTGCGCTGCCGGATCAGGAGCACGTCCTCGCACAGTACGTGTCTGGACAAAGACGGGATCTCGACGAGCTTTATCGGACATACTGCATTTTCAAGACGGTGAAGGAAAACGGCCATTTCACGCTTCCCGGGCTGCGGTTTGGGGGCAAGTTCGTGTCGTACCCCGGCGACCCGCTGCTGTACCACTCGCATCTCATCATAAATACCAAGGACTTCTACAGCGACAGGCTGGACCTGGCGCAGCTGGTGAAGGGCGGCCGACTGGCTACCGGGACGAAAAAGACGTGGCTACTGGCCGGAGAAAAGGGCCCTGGGCCTCGAAAAAAAACGGCTTTGCAATTGTTGAATCGGGAAACCAGAACCGTATGTTTCTCTGTTGAATGGGCCGGTTTCGGATAAATTCATTGTTCATGCGATTATGTTGTAGCAGAGAAAAACTTATCGGCCGATTTTGTACGATTTATTTAAAAGACCAGATTCCCTTGGAATATTTGAGTACTTTCGACATGACAGACCGCAAACACACAGCCATCGTGATCGGCGCCGGTATCTCGGGGCTCAAGTCGTGCATCGAGCTCAGCAAGAACGGAATCGACACGCTGATGCTCGAGGCCCGCGACAGACTCGGAGGACGTCTCCACACGGTCACCACCGAGTCGGGCCTCAAGCTCGATCTCGGCGCATCCTGGTTCCACGACTGTCTGTACAACCCGCTTCTGAAAAAGTCCTTGGAGAAGGGCAACGTCGAGATCTACTTCGACAACGGCAAGTTCAACGTCCACGATAAGGATATCGGAGTTGTCGACGACAACTACAAAATCCGGCCTGTTGTCGACGAGATGTCCGACTATTTGCAGTACGTGTGTGCCCAGATGGCCCAGTCGGACGACATGAGCGTCAAGAATGCCGCCCTTAGATACCTCAGGGACAAGAAGAACACGCTGACCGAGTGCCAGATCAAGCTTGCTCCGCAGCTGCTGAGATACTACGAGATGTGGATCGGGTCGTCGTGGAACATGCTGAGCGCGCGGCTCATCGCAAGCGACAGCCACCAGGGCCGCGACGCCATGGTCACCAACGGCTACCGCACCGTGTACGACAACGAGCTCGAGGAGCTGTACGAGATCATGGGCCGTCGCGACCTTGTCGGCTCGCAGATCCTGCTGCAGAAGGTGGTCTTCAAGATCGAGTTCGACGACCGCACCAAGGAGATCGCCGTCCACACGAGAGACTACAACGGCCGCGTCGAGACGTTCTTCTGCGAATATCTGGTCTGCTCCGTGCCCCTGAGCGTGCTCCAGCTGCAGGACAAAAAAGAGCAGGGCCACATCGAGTGGAGCCCGCCACTGCCGCTCTCGCTCAGAAACAAGCTCCAGGGAATCACGTACTCGCAGCTGGGCAAGGTCTTCTTCGAGTTCGATCACGTGTTCTGGCCGACCGACGTGGACAGGTTTTTCTGCATTCCGGAGTTCGACCACGAGATCACCAGGTGCATCGAGGCCAACACGGACACCAAGTTCGAGAACCTCCAGCAGGACCCCGTCTTGGAGAACTCGCCCAAACCCTGGGCACACCCGATCCTGTTCCTCAACGTCTACAGAGGCACCGGAAGACCGGTGTTGCTCGCGCTCACGTCGAGTCCGCTCACCAGGTACATCGAGTCGCACGAGATCGGCGACTTCTGGCCCGTCTTCAGACCGGCGCTCGCCAACATCGCCAACCTGCCGGATTCGTGCATCCCGCGGCCCACCAACGTGGTCACGTCCAACTGGTCGGCCGATCCGTTTGCCAGAGGCTCGTATCTGGGCTGTGCGGTCGGCGACCTGGTCGACGAGGCGATCGACGCGTTCACCGAGGCCAAGGACGTCTTCGACGGGAAGGGCAGGGTCAGGTTTGTGGGCGAGGCGCTAATCGACGAAGGCAACGGGTGCGCGCACGGCGCGTGGATGACGGCTATCAGGGAGACGGAAAAAATCATCAAGGCAATCAACCGTGGCAAACTATAGATATGTAGATACGCAATTATACGTCACTGTATTGTACACTGTTTTACATCCTAGTACGGTCTGAAGCCGCCCCTGCCCCTGGCCCGGAACCCTCTGCCTCTGCCCCTGAACGCGCCCCTGCCTCTGGGCCCGCCTCGCCCGCGGCCCCGGCCTCTGCTGCCCATTCCTGGCAGGTTTGTTCTTTTGGGGCTGATCTTGAGCTCTCGGCCTCTGAAAAGCGACCTGTTCTTCTCGTCAATGGCCTTCTGCACAAGCGCAGGCTCCGAGAACTCGATATACGCAAACCCCTTCGGGTTGCCCGTGTATTTGTCTGTCAGGATTGTAATTCTATTAATACTGCCAACGTCCTGGAAATGGCTGTGTAGCTCCTCTGGCGTCGCCGCGTAGTCCACGCTGCCCACATATATCGACCGCGCGTCGATTGCCTCGCGCTCCGCGAAGTCCAGATGCGAGTCGGCGTCCTCCATCGACACGTTCGGGTCTGCACCCTCCTCGCTTATCTGCTGCTGGAGCTCGCGCAATTTCGCGGTCTCCTGCTCCATCTCCTGCACTTTCGCCTTCAACGCTGCGAGCCGTTCTTCCTCCGTCTGCTGCGTCGTCTCAACGCCATTCGACGGCTCGTTCTGCGACATGCTTGGCTCAGACATTTTTTTTTCAATAAATTGACGGTGCAGGGAGTGTTCATTAATTCTGTCTATAAAATTAATTAGCAACCTCTTTGTTATCGTGCTTTGCTATATCCCCGGCCCCGTGTCTGCCATGTGGGATCTGCTTTCTAGAACCTTGATTCTAGGGCTTCTGTTTATCTCAGGGGCGTGCAAAGAAAGCCCTGACGACGACGTACCTCCCACGACCACCATTATAGACATCCTCTCGAGCAACGCCAACTTCAGCAAGATCCTGCTCAGTCTGCAGCGCAGCGACCTGGTCGACTACGTCAACGAGCTTGGGAATGTCACTTTTCTTGCGCCATTGAATACAGCCTTCTCCGAAGGCCAGCTCTACCAGAGCCTCTCTTTAAACGACGTCTCGCGACATATGATCGATCAGCCGGTGAACGCGGACGAGGTGCGCGGTCTCGAAGTGTACAGAACACTTCTGTTCAACACGTCGGTGCTGTCCGGAGGTGTTCAGCGGCCAATCCTGCTCGACAATAGAGACGACCTGTTTCTGGCCGATAATGCGATCGTCACCGAGCAGTACGACGTGAGGTCGAGCAACTCGGCTGTTTTTGGCATCTCCTCGTTTCTAGAGCGCCGCAAGTCTGCGTGTGAGTTCTTTGCAGACATCGCCCACGCAGATCCTGTATTCGCAGAGTACCAGAGCCTGGGGCGATTATTTTCCGATAACGATTTTTGTGCTACGAGGAAAATCACCAACGTCACCTTCTTGGTCCCTTCTGACGCCAGTGTGGGCCTGAATGAGATTGAGCTAAACTACCTGAATACAGACCAGGGTCTAGAGGACAAAACGAGGCTCCTTGAGTCGCACGTTGTTTCTGGCATCTGGGGAGGCCGGCTGGACCCTGTCCACACCAAAACTCTGACCAACCAAAAAGTCCGTCTTTCTTCCAACTCAGAAGGAAGCAACGTTAGAGTACAAAACACCAGCTCCACATTCGCAAATTACCTGCTTTCCGACGGCATTGTTCATCTGTACGACGCTCTTCCCTTAGAAAACTCCATTCCCGTCTTCACTCCGCGCAAGTACCTTCTGGGACTGGGCCTCGCGTCTGTGGTGGACCAGCTGGACTTCCATAAATTGTCCGGCCTCATCGACGACCGCAACGTGAGCCAGACGATATTCGTGACCGAGAGTGCCGAGTCGACAGAATCGAAAAGCTCGCTGCTGTACCATTTTGTCGACGGCGCGGTGGAATTTGACCGCGACGAGCTGCTCACCACGAAATACTGCTCCAGCTCGGTTTTGGGCCACTGCCAGAAGCTCAAGGTCCTCAAACGCGGCGACCAGGTGTCACTCAACAACAACGTCTTCGTCACCTCTCCAAAAATACCCATCGGCAACACATACATCTACTTCGTCGACGAAGACCTCCCGCTGCCGCTTCCGTTCCAGCACGCCGTGTCGCCGTTTCTGCGCTGCGCCAAGAGCATCAAGCTGCTCCACGACTTTGGCCTGCTCAAATTCCACAACAACGGCGGTCTGGGATACACCGTCTTTCTGCCGAACGCGGACGCGTGGCGCGACCTTGATCTCGTGCTGGACTATCTCTACGCGAACCGTGACGTCATGCTGGAGATTCTGGGAAACCTCGTTGTCAACGGCCTGATCTACGACGACTTCCGGGGCTCAGCTACCCTGACTACGTTGCTAGACAAACCGCTTGAGGTGGAAACAGACTCAGACACACTCTTCATAAACGGTACCGCAGTTGACGTCTCCATTGAGTCTGAGGTGCTGTTTGACAAAGGAGTGGCCCATCCGATAGGGAGTCTCGTCTTCCCTGCGACAGTGCAGATCGGCGTGCCGGAGCTGCTCTCTACCGTCGACGGCGAGGAGTTCCTCAGGGTTCTGCAGCTCCTGCGGCTCGACCATCTTCTCTACGAGGACTACTCGTTCATTGTGCCGAGCTCGCGCTCGATGAGACTCGAGAACTTCACGTCTGAGCTGTCCAACCTAGCCAGACTCGAAAAATTCGCTCGCTTGCACATTCTGCCTGCTGGAGGCATGGAAAAAATTATTGAGTGCAACGACACCATCCCGACGCTGCTGGAGAACGTGCACCTATCGTGTCGCGAGCTCACGTCGGGCATCTCCATGTTGCGCGTGCGCGAGGGCAACGACCACGAGGTGCGCGTTTTGCGGCACGGACTCGCCATCAGCAGCACGGACACCGCGACAGGCATTTTGCTCGTGGACCGGTCGATCAACCCGGACTGGCTCAGCGCCTCGGCGGGCCCGATCCACCTGCACCTGCCGTTTGTTGCTCTGCTGGTTGGCGTCGTGATCGGCATGCTGCTGCTTGCGGTCGTGGCGTCGTGCTGTCTGGTGTGCTCTGTCGGCAAGCACACGTCGGTGTCGAGCGAAACGGCTCCTCTGCTGCGTGCGCACGAACGTCTCGAGAACCACGCGCCGCCAAGCCCGCCGCCGCCCAACGAATCCGAGTCGTACTCGAACTACTACTCTACGCATTCGTCCTCAAGACCGATCGACGTGGACCAACCGTGACAGTACAATGCATCATATTTTATTTAGTTAACAAGCGAAAACATCTCCAGGATAGCCGAATAGTGGCCCAGAACGCCCAGCAACACAAATATATGCCAGATATGGTGCGAGCTGAAGACGTAGTCGACCCACCACATGGAAAGCCAGCTTTTGCGCGCGGGAGTCTCGTCTGGGGTCTTGTTGAGGTACTCGTCCAGCTTGTCTGATTTCTCGAGCTCGGTGATCGCCTCGTCGTAGACGTCCAGCTTGTCGACAATGACGTCGTTTCTCCATCTTTCCGGCACCAGCGTGCCGTAGAACTGGACCCCGATCAGGTACCACACGAAGCTTTTCAGCAGCGGAGCGTATAGACGGAACGAGTACTCGAGGCCCCTGAGCACGGCACTGGAGCAGAAAGCGGCGACTCCGAGCGCGGAGAGCGAGATGAAAAATAGGATTCTGACGGGCCGCGACTCCGGCTTGTCGAAAAATTCGGACCACGTGAACAGCACCCCAACGATGCCGGCGATGGTGGAGAACGAGATGAAGCCGAGCTCTGTGGCCGGGAACTCCTTCAGTGCGATGTGTTCGGTGGTGATGATGGACGCCGTGATCAGCACGGTGATCCCTGTGTAGTCGATACACGCAAATCTTTTGCGCAGCTTGAGCTGCGAGATGCAGTTGTAGGTGTGCCAAACAACAGACGACATGAGACAGTTGATGGAGGAAAGGAAGAAACAGTGGGTCACCAGCTTGTCGCCGAAGCTGGAACGTGCATAGATCTCGGTCGCCGGATAGTGCTTGAGCATAATGTACAGGAGGAGAAGAGACCCGACTATGTGTGTCCAGATATTGGCAGTTTCGTTGTGGAGCTGGAAGACGCTCTTCAGAGCCGCCAGATGGCTCGAGTTGAACCGATAGCCGTAGATAATGTACTTGTTTTCGCGCCATTGGAAGGGCAGCTCGTAGAAATGAAGCAGTCTCTTCGACCCGGCTGCCACGGCCTTATCGAAATTGTACAGCTTCTCTTTCAGTCTGCCGAGATGCTCCTGCGGACTCAGCGGGATGCTGAAAGTCTTCTCGAACAAGTCGATCTTCTCGTCCAGAAACTGCAGCCCGGTGGATATTTTCTGGTACATGTCGGTGGAGTCGGCCTCTTTTTTCTCGTCCAGCAGGCCGCCATAGTACCTGTCCAATATCTGAGAAAACGCGTGCAGGCTGCGCTGCTGGTTCTGAACCACTGCGGCCTTGATGGATTTCAGCGCCTCGAAGAAGGCGTAGTGCGTATGGTTCGATTTGTGGGCGGAGTCGGTGAAGTATTTTTCGAAATCCTCGATCCGCGACTCCAGCTTGGCAAGAAACCGGTCGAACCGCTCCAGCACACGCTCTTCCAGCGACGCGTCGCTGTTCAGCTCAGACTGCGACTTGATCCGCTGCATGAGTTTCTGGTCGTGTTCATCAAACAGGTCGGACACGTGCACCTCAACGCCAGTGGACGACATGATGCTTATCCAGATAGAGTTGCAAGAAATTTATCACCTTGTCTGGCCCAGCGCACACCATAAAATTTTCATCATATATTACGTAAGCACGCTATAGAAACTGCTGCTCGATGTCGAACGCCAGCGGCCACAGCACCGAGTGCAGGTGTGTGAGCTGCGATATCGGGCTTTCGTCTGTGCCTGCGCTGGCGAGCAAGTCGGCTGCCGCGTCTGCAGAGGCAACGTACTCGGCCCCCAGAGACTTGCTGAGCTCCAGAACCTTGGTGGCTATCGGACATATGTGCAGCAGCCGCTGGAGGACCTGCTCGGCCGTCAGAATGTCCCGTTTCCAGTGCTCTGCCTGGGCTGCCAGCGGGTCGTTCCGCAGACACACCAGAGGCATGAGGAAGGCGGGAACCAGGAAGAAAACCGTGTACCATGCCTCCATCCTGGTGGTGGTCTCCTTGCGCTGCCAGAACGCTGCCATGCTCTGGATGGTCGCCGAGCACTTGCGCAGACACTTTTCGGCGGCCTCCTCTTCCTCTTGGCACAGGGGCTCGTCGTCTGGGCGGCGGAACACCTTTTTCAGCAGGCTTGTTCTGTACATGATGATCTGCAGGTTTTTCCGTCTCCAGTGCAGAACGTGGTGTGCGAGCGTGAACGGCTGCGAGACCTCGCTGTCCTGCCGGAAGTAGTCGGGAACCAGGCTCTTCCAGCGCCCTATGAACCGGGTGTCCCACTCGAGCAGCTCTTTCGCGGACGGGAACGGGTCGGAGGTGATGCGCTCGTAGATGCAGTTGGTGAGCAGATGGAACAGGCTTTGCAGCCGCACGCTCGTGTAGATCGTCGGCTCCTGGGCCTCGCCCGGCAGGCACTCCGACGCCGCCGTCAGCTCTGTGTCGCTGATGTTCAGCGGCAGCCGGGCGTCGATGCCCGCGCAGGGGATCCCGAGCGGACGGCCGAACGTGATGGTCTGGCCGCAGTCAAACACGTAGATGCACCACCAGATGCGCCGGCCGATCTCCTGTTCCAGCAGGTTGTCTGCGCTGTCGGTCTGTTTGTGCAGCCCGAGGCCCATGGCCATCCGGACTGCCAGCCCGAGGTAGTTGTATCCCGAGTTCGGCTTGTCTCTTTTCTGGAGATAGTTCGAGAGCAGCGCGAGCGTCTGCACCAGGCTGATGCTGCCCGTCTCGAGCAGCTCGAAATTCAGGTGCGACTTGGCCTTGTCGATCAGCACCAGGTCGTCCTCGTTGTCTGGGTTGCTGGAGCCCATGAACGCGCCGATCGCCGCCATCGTGTACATCAGGCTGTCCCAGCCGATCTCGGGCCGCGGCACGATCTGGTTATACTGCGCCCAGAACATGGGCCGGTACACGATAGGATACGAGACGTGGTAGGTCTCAAAATAGCGGTTCAGATACTGCTCGATCTTGGCGCCGGAAACCGACGCCCTGTCCCGCCGGACGGGACTGCGCGGCGTGCCGCCCCACGAGTAGCCCCCAAACACGAGACTGATCACCGCCACGCTCGAATGCGACCCCAGATACCCGCTTCTATCGGTGATGGCCATGCCGTCTATTGCCTTGTGGTCCCGCTCATCCCACGAGTAAACGGGCTTCTGGTTCTCGCTCGTGTTCTTGTAGTCCTCGTTCACGGCTAGAGGCAGGAGCTGCGGCACCTGGAAGTTTCTATCCGACGCGATCGGGTCCTGTCTGTTCTGTCTCAAGCGGCCGAGTTCCGGGATCTCCCAGACGGAAAACCCGTTCTTGACGTTGGCCAGTATAGAGTGGATGTCCAGATCGGGCGAGAGCGCGCGCAGAAGCTCGGTGGCGACCCGCAGCTCTTCCTCCACCTGGGTCAGATGCCTGCGAGTGAGCGGACTCTGGCTGTGTCTATTGTAGAGACAGTGTCTCTTGAACTTGGCGCACGAGACGCATGTGGGCAGGTCGCGCGAACAGCGCAGCTTGCGGCGGCGACATTCGTTGCACGAGTGCTGTTTGGTGGCGTCCGTTGTCATTGCACAGGACCATGTACGCTCTCTGGAGTTTTTTTTCTTCCCCACAATAATGTGACATTTCGTGGTGCGAGGTGTGGATCCGTGGTCCTCCACACAGCCGCGTCCGTCCCATGGAGAAAAACAATGCGGGCTGAAGGAATTTCAGGCATTTCATCCGGACAGAGCGCGGCGGGGAAAACCGAGGGCCGCGGTGCAGACCAGCTTCGAGCCAGAGGGGCTAGCAATGCTGCACTCGTCGGCGCCGGCAAAAGCCAGTCACGGCTGATGTGCCATCCCCGCCATTCGCAGTAATGGTCGCAGAGATTTTCCGCGATCGTCGATGTATGCTAAGCCATGCACGGTCGTGCCGCACGACTATTCCAAAAGAATATCCGAGCCCTTTGTCTCCCCCAGCCTCTGCAGATGCGACTCCGCATCTCGCACGGGTCGACAAGCCTGCCGTTATTGTCTTGGCTGCAGACAACCCTGTCTTGGGAGATAGCCATTCGTCAGCACAAGTTACTCCGGCCGCTATAAAAAAAGCAGTCCCCCCCCCCCCCCCTGCTTTTTTAATCCGATCCCATGGAAGAATACAAAGACGCCCGCTCGGTCGACGAGCTCAGCAATATCGACAAGCTGGACACGCTTGGACCTCAGGGCCAGGACCTTGAGGCCCGCTTCGAGCAGTACGAGATCCTGGCCGAGGAGGCCAAGTCCCACAACACGCTCTGGGACAGGATGGTGCTGAAATCCGGCTACACTTTTCAGTTCAAGGAGAAAAAATATATGGTGCGCATGCTGGCGTTTTTCGCGTCGCTCGGTGGCATGCTCTCTGGTGTCGACCAGTCGCTCATCTCTGGTGCCAAGGTGTCTCTTGTTCCGTCGTTGTCGCTCACGTCGCACGAGCAGTCGCTGGTGAGTGCGCTGATGCCTGTGGGAGCCATGGGTGGCTGTATTTTCCTGTCTCCGCTCAACGAGTTTCTGGGCAGAAGACTGTCCATCATGGTGGCTTGCATCTCGTACACGGTCGGCGGCATTCTGTGTGCTGCCACGCCGAACGTGGAGGGCTTGTACGCGGGCCGTTTTTTCATAGGCTTTGGAGTCGGCCTGGAATCTATCATTCCTGCGTACGTTTCTGAGTGCGCTCCTTCAGAGCTCAGAGGCAACCTGGTGTCGCTGTACCAGTTCAACATCGCGCTCGGCGAGGTGTTTGGCTACGCCATCGCTGCCATGTTCTATTCGCTCGACGACGCGTGGAGATACATCCTGGGCTCGTCGCTGTTTTTCTCGACGCTGCTCTTCGTCGGCATGTTTTTCCTGCCTGAGTCGCCTAGATACCTCGTTCACAAGAACAAGGTGGGCGCCGCGTACTCGATCTGGAAACGGCTCAGAGATATCGACGACGTCTCCAACAAGGTGGAGTTCCTCGACATGATCCAGTCGCTCGAGCAGGAGAAGCTGGAGGACGCGCACCTCTCGTCAAAGCACAAGTGGATGGACTTCATCACGAACCCAAGAGCGCGCCGGTCGCTGGTCTATGCCAACATCATGATCTTCCTCGGCCAGTTCACAGGTGTCAACGCCATCATGTACTACATGTCGACGCTCATGGCGTCGATCGGCTTCAACCAGAAAAACTCCGTCTTCATGTCGCTAGTCGGCGGCGGAGCATTGCTGCTCGGCACCATCCCGGCCATCCTGTACATGGACTACTGCGGCCGCCGGTTCTGGGCCAACTCCATGCTTCCGGGCTTCTTCCTCGGCCTCGTCTTCGTCGGCATCTCGTACCAGCTGCCCGTCACCGACGCCTCTGCTCTCGGCCTCTACCTCACCGGTATCATCCTCTACATGGGCTTCTTCGGCTCCTACGCCTGTCTCACCTGGGTCGTCCCCTCCGAGGTGTACCCGACGTACCTGCGTTCCTACGGAATCACCGCCTCCAGCACCATGCTCTACCTGTGGACGTTCATCATCACGTACAACTTCACCGACATGTGGAACGCGTTCACCAACACGGGGCTCACGCTGGGTTTCTACGGGGGTATTGCGGCCCTCGGCTGGATCTACCAGCTGCTGTTTGTGGTCGAGACCAAGGGCCGGTCGCTCGAGGAGATCGACGATCTTTTCTCCAAGCCGACTCTCACGCTCGTCGGCATCAACCTCAAGTGCACGAAGAGGGACTTCTACAACATCTTCCACGGCAACTTCAAGGAAGTCGTCCGCGGGACCTCCTACTAGTGTATGACAAGATCTATGTAACAGGTATGGTAACAAGAGTGCGGTATCGGAGTATTTGCTGCTGCTGGTTGCGTCTTGCGGCACACCTTGGACCACGTTTGTGCCTCAGCTGATGGCCCCCAGTGCGCACTCTGTGGCGTCGATTGCATGCTCATGTGCCATTGGCGCGGCAGCGCGGCCCGCTTTCCTGCAATAGGCTACGTTGCTACCGCCCCTGCTAACTCCAGGGCGTGTGGTGACTCAAATATTTTCCTGTGCGCAGCGCACGACAAAGGTATATAAGGAAGCCAGATCCTGCCGTGGATATTACCCCTTATTGCCGGAATTATCTCCCACAATGACCTCCAACAAAATTACCTTCTGTCTCAACTGGACTCCTGAGCCGTACCACATCCCTGTGTTTCTGGCCCAGAGCAAGGGCTTTTTCAAGGAGCAAGGCCTTGACGTTGCCATTCTCGAGCCCTCGAACCCTTCGGACGTCACTGAGCTGATTGGCTCGGGCAAGGTGGACATGGGCCTCAAGGCCATGATCCACACGCTCGCCGCCAAGGCCAGGGGCTGGAACGTCACGTCGATCGGCTCGCTTCTGGACGAGCCGTTCACCGGCGTGCTGTATCTCAAGAACAAGCCCAACGGCGTCTCTGAGGACTTCCAGTCCCTCAGAGGCAAGAGAATCGGGTACGTCGGCGAGTTCGGCAAGATCCAGATCGACGAGCTGACCCGCCACTACGGCATGACGCCAGACGACTACACCGCTGTTCGTTGCGGCATGAACGTGGCCAAGGAGATCATCGAGGGCAACATCGACGCCGGCATCGGCATCGAGTGTGTCCAGCAGGTCGAGTTGGAGGAGCATCTCAGGGCAGAAGGCAGCGACGTGAACAACGTCGGCATGCTCAGAATCGACAGACTGGCCGAGCTCGGCTGCTGTTGTTTCTGCACGGTCCTGTACATTGCCAACGACAGGTTCATCGAGGCCCACCCTGACAAGGTCAGAAAGTTCATGAAGGCCATCAAGAAGGCTACCGACTACGTCATCGCCCATCCTCTCGATGCCTTCGAGGAGCTGTGCAGACTCAAGCCGCAGCTGAACAACGACCTGAACACCAAGATCTTTGAGAGATGTTTTGCGTACCTCAGCGACTCCTGCTACAACGTCAAGCGCGATTGGCAGAAGGTCAACAACTACGGTAAGAGACTGTTGGTGCTTCCACAAGACTTCCAACCAAACTACACCAACGAGTTCCTTTCCTGGAGGGAGCCTCAGGAGGTCAAGGACCCTGAGGAGGCGCAGAGACTGATGGGCATCCATCAGGAGCAGTGCAAATGCAACGGTGGCTACCGTAGACTGGTTCTCAACGGTGTTTAGGGAGCCGATCATTGACACATCGAACTGGGGGTCCTGTGTCAAGCTGCTCCTTAAGGGGTAATTCCGGCAAACAACTGTGTACTTATTCACTTAAGTATTCATTCTGGCAACTGCGCTGTAGCGGGCATGTTTCTATGCCCATGTAAAATTATTTTTTTTTAATTTTTCTGATATCCTGTCCGCATGAGTACCGTCAACAAGTCGGGAACGCGGTTCACGCCGAAGCTGACGCAGCGAAGCCGCTCGCGATCCGTTAGCACTAACAAACAGCAGCTGCCGACTCCCGTCTTGACGCACAAGACACCGCAGGACGCGGCCGAGAGCACTCCACAGGAAGCCTCTGCTATTGACGACCAGAACGACCAGAACGGCGAGCAGAACACAGACGTGTTTGCAAAGCCACGCAGAACGTCGACCGTGGCGCTGGGGAATCTCCGACGGCCGTCTGTCACAGGGCTCAAGACTCCGGAAAGCAGCCAGAGACGGCTTTCCTCCTTGGGACCCGGGGCCGCTGCTGGGTCCCTGGGGCTGCGCAGCCGGCAGGGCAGTGTCAGCAGCGTTTCCGAGAGACAGCGTTCGTCCGATGAGAGAGACACGCAGCCCATGAAGATCGGTATTCCAGAAATGTCTAGTAGTTTGGGCCGGAGACGCAGCTCGGTGCAGTCGAGCAAGGGGGAGGCTGGAGTCGAGTTCAAGAAAATTGCTCCGCGAGCGGGCGGCGGTGCGACGGACGACAGCGTCGACCCTCTAAAGCAGGGAAAGCCGCAGGAAGTGATGTTGACGAAAGCAGAGCGCGAAAAGCAGGTCAAGTTCATTATCGATCCTGAAAAACAGGTTGTGACCAAAGTGAGTATCGACGAGTACCAACAGATGCGGAATCTGCCGAACTCGCTGGTGATTGACGAGATCAAGGCGTTGAACAAGGTGCGCTACTCCGAAGACGCTGAGCTGCTCGAGAACTTTGTGATTAACGACGGCAAGGTGACGCTGGAAGAGCTGTGCAAGCCCGTGATACCGTTTGGAAAAGTGTCGAAAAACTACGAGCTCGCGATCGAAGGCGACAGGCGGCGGATGGCGCAGCGGGAGCTGCGTTGCAAGCGGCGGAAGCTTGCGCGCGAGATGCGGGTGCCCCTGAACCAGCTGGAAGGAGAAGAGGAAGAGAAGCTGGAGAAAGAGCGGCAGCAGAAAGCAAAAAGAATACTGGACTCCGGTGACACCGAGAGTGTGCGCAGAAACAAGCGGCAGCCGCAGCTGCAGCTGGACGAGAACCAGAAGCTGATCCTGGACCCGGAGTCGACCGTGATCGACCGCCACAGCGGGCCGGTCGACTCGGCCAGAGAAGTGGTGGACGAGAACCCGTTCCAGAACCTGATCACGTCGGGCTCGTACTCGAAGAAGAAGTATGTGGACAAGTGGACGGCCGAGGAGACGGCCGAGTTCTACAAGGCGCTCTCGACCTGGGGCACCGATTTTGGGCTGATTGCGCAGCTGTTCCCGTACCGCACGCGACGGCAGGTGAAGGCGAAGTTTGCGTCTGAGGAGCGACGCAACCCGCATTTCGTCGAGCTGGCGCTGCTGCGCAAGCTGCCCGTCGACGTTGCCGAGTACGCTGCCAAGACGGGCAAGGATTTCAAGACGCTAGAGGAGTACGAGGCCGAGATCAAGGCGTTGCAGACGAAGCACGAGAAAGAGATGAAGGAGATGAAGGCGATGAAGGAGCGTGCTCGTCTGGAGGACCTGAACAGCAACAACGAGCTGGAGACGACGAGGATGACGTCGCGGTCCCGAAGAGAAAAACTGATGGCGTTCCGCAAAGACGAGGAGGTGGTTGGATTTATCGACAGGAAATAAGTCAATTATCAAGGCGCAGCTTGAAAAAATAAATAAAAATGAGTAAATAAAAGTACGATCCGTACGTTTGCAAGCTACAGTGGTATGAGAAAAGACTACGTTCTGGAGGTCAGGAGCTCGGACGCCAAGTGTCCTGAGGTGATCTATCAGGACGACCGCAAGCGGACGAAAAGCACGGACGCCAGCGAGATCAAGCCTCAAAAGTACATGAAGTTCAGCGTGCGGTCGGCGCGACAGCACGACGGGACCTTGGCTCTCGTGATGCAGCTCGTCTTGCTGGCTGCTGCAGTTTATGCATTATATATTGCCATCTGCAACGGGCAGATGCTAGAGACAATACTACGCTCGGTGCAGCCCGAGAAACCCAGATGGGACGGCGTTTGGACTCTCCGGACGGTGCGAACGCTGGTGTGTCTTTTCTGCTACCAGGTGGTGAACTGGGGATACGGCTCGCTGCTGGCGCAGACGGAAGAGAGCCTCATAATTATTCCAAATCTGGGCGTGCAGAGCGAGTCGTACCTCGTGCGAAAAAGCGGGTCCGCATTGGTGCTTCTGCTGCTAAGCAGGGTTTTGGGGAAATCGGAATTAAGCAGACATGGACACACGGCGAAGACGCTAAACAGACAGTTCTTCCCGATGGAGGACGTGCATGACCTAGCGATAGTGGAGGGCTTCAAGAACTTCCAGGTCCTTTTCTACCTGGCTCTTGTGGTCAGGGAGTGTCCGCAAAACGATCGGCTACAAATGGTGGTGATTTTCCCCAATCTACTACCCAGGAAAAAGCTGTTGCAGGCTGTCTGGCGCAGAAGCCGGGCGTATCTGGATAATTCGTAATATTATAACAATCACCTGTCTCAGGGGTGGAGCATCCAATTTACCCAATACAGGCATTATCGCTGTGAAGTGGGCCAGGCATCGCAAACCCTGGAGCGTGCGGTACTGTAACCTTGGGCGCCGTCCCAATCGGGAAGCCAGATCTGGTCCAGACTCCCCGTTCGGGCAAGGTCGTGTCCTATCTGGCCGATTCGCAAATACTTCAAGCAAAACGTAAACAACCAGACAATGGGAAAAAGTTTTCCTGTACCCATTGTTTACTTCTGTAAACGAAATCCAACGAGAAAAGGATTTGTTTTCATTCTCTCTTATAAAGCGAAGCACTTGCTGCTGTTTATTCTTTTTCCCAGTTGTCCAATAACCAACTTACAGTCATTCCTTTAGTTCTCATCCCTAACTTGGTTATTTTCGCTCCCTACAATGCTAGCTAACACTATCATCAAGGCCCTTGCGCTGTCCGCTCTGGCCACCACCGGCCTGGCCCAACCAATCGGCCACCTCCACCACCAACACGCGAAGAGAGACGTTGTCGTCGTCACGGAGACCGTCGTCGTCTACGCAGGTTCCCAAAGTAGTACCGTCGAGTACGTCCACGCCGACCCAACTGCCGTCTCTATCTCTTCCCACGACAACAGCCTCCAGGTTGCTCCAACCGAGACTACCTCTTACACTCCATCAGCCACTGAGTCCGCCACTTACTCCACGTCGTCCGCTGCCGAGCCAACCTCCAGCTCCGACAGCAGCTTCAACGGTGGCTCCAAGGGTATCACCTACTCCCCTTACGCCTCCACCGGTGCCTGCAAGTCTCTCTCGGAGGTCAAGAGCGACCTTGAGAAGCTGACCGGCTACGAGTTCATCAGACTGTACGGTGTTGACTGCAACCAGGTCGAAAACGTCCTGCAAGCTAAGGCCGACAACCAGAAGCTGTTCTTGGGCATCTACTACGTTGACCAGATCCCGGCCGCCGTTTCCCAAATCAACGACGCTGTCTCCAGCTACGGCTCCTGGGACGACATTGACACCATCTCCGTTGGTAACGAGCTCGTCAACTCTGGCGCTGCCGACGTTTCCCAGATCAAGTCGTACATCGAGGAGGCCAAGTCCGCTCTCCAGAGCACCGGCTTCAAGGGCTCCGTTGTTTCCGTCGATACCCACGTTGCGATCATCAACAACCCAGGTCTGTGTGACCTGTCCGACTACATCGCCTTCAACGCGCACTCTTTCTGGGACGGAACCGTCTACCCAGACCAGGCTGGTGACTGGCTTCTCCTGCAAATGCAAAGAGTCTGGTCCGCTTGCGGAGGCAAAAAGAGCGTCATGTGCACTGAGTCCGGATGGCCACACCAGGGCTCCGCCTACGGCGTCGCTGTTCCATCCAAGGAGAACCAGGCCAAGGCCATCAGCTCTCTGAAGAGCGTTGTTGGCAACGACGTCATCCTGTTCACTGCCTTCGACGACCTGTGGAAGAACCCAGGCTCGAACGGTGTCGAGCAGTTCTGGGGTTTCACTTCTTAAGCTATTACGCTATTTCGTTTATCTAAACTGTAGGGCATATAACGACCTTTGATATCCAATACATACTATAGGCAGAAAAAGACTGAGTAAAAATTAAATTAAATAAAAATATTACTAATTCATGTTCAGATCGCTGGCCAGAAAACTGCCCCAGCCGCGGTTTGGCCGCCGGTTTCTGTCCTCCGACATGGACGAGTACGAGTCAATGATCTACAAGAAACTGGCGCAGGAGCTCGAGCCGTCCAACCTCTCGGTGAGAGACATCTCTGGAGGGTGCGGGTCCATGTTCGCCATCAACATAGAGAGCCCCAAGTTCAAGGGACTGCCCATGATCAAGCAGCATCGGCTGGTCAACGAGTTGCTGAAGGACGAAATAGCCAAGTGGCACGGGCTGCAGCTGAAAACCAAGGCCAAGAAATAAATACCATACTGTAAATATAATTATCATTACACCTACTCTATCACCTCTTCTTTCTCCTCCAGGATCTCCTCCTTGACCTCCTCGATCACCTCTTCTCTGGTGTCTGCCTGCTCCTGGTTGAGATGCAGTTCCTTCAGCTTGGCAACGACCTCCTTTCTCCAAGTGTACCACTCTTGCAGCAGTCTCTTTCTCTTGAGGATCAGCTCTCTCAGCTCGGCGTCTGCCTCCATCGCATCGGCCTCCTCGAACTGCGCAGCGTACTCCTTCAAGCTCTTTCTGACCTTCTTTCTGTCGTTCGAGCTCAACATCGATGGCGGTCTTGGTCTCCACTCGAACTCTCTGAATCCGTCGATCAGCTCCTCCTTGCGCAAGATGCCCACCAGGTCGTAGATCCGGTAGCCGTTCTCGATCTTGTGTCTCCAGGCGGACGACCAGCCGGCCACGTATCTTCCGGACGGGTCCCACGCCAGGTCGGTCAGCCCCTTGTACTCGTGGTGGTTCAGCAGCTTCAGGTTCGACTTCACCTTGTCGGACTGCTCTTTCTCCTTCTCGCCGTCGTAGTCCGAGTCGTAGAAGTCGAGCTCGCCGTTCGCGCCCGTGATGGTGGCCACCACGACGAACCGGCCCTTCGGCGACCATCTGATATGGTTCGCGTGGGTCTTGGTCACCGTCTTGTAGCACAGCCACTTCTTGATCACCTGTTTCGCAACCTTGGCCTCCTCCACGTCGTAGAACGACACCACGTTGTCGGGAATGGCGATGTTCGGGTTCGGCGTGTCCAGCTTCGACACCGTCACAAACCGCTCTCCGTGCGGCTCCCACTGGAACGAGCTCACCACCTCCTTGAGCTCGACCTTCTCGACGGGAATGTCTTTCTCGCCCAGCGACAGCAGCTCCAGGTTTGTGAACGTGGTTTTCTTCGACTTGGTGTGTCTGTCGACCTTGCAACACAGCAGCTTGGCCTCGTCCTGCCAGCACAGCTTCACGTCCGACACGTTGAACAGGTTCACCGTTCTCAGCACCTGGCGCGACGGCAGCTGCACCACGGAGACGCGGGCCGACTGGTTTGGCGTCTCCGGCGTCCAGAACGAGAACACCGTCTCCGGCGGATCGTTCTTCCGCGTGGTAGCCAGCCTCACGCCGGCCGGAGCAAACTCAAAGTCCATGATGCCCTCAGCCTTGTACAGCTTCTTGTCCAGCAGAGCAAACTCCTGCGTGGTGTCGTAGATGGCCAGCGCGTCGGGCCCCATTCTGGCACAGTACTTGTCGTCGAAAGACCATTTGATCAGCGGCCACGGCATCGACTGCTGCTTCTCAAGGTTTGGTGGCAGCGCAAACGTCCGCACCGGCAGGCCTGTCTGCAAGTCCCAGATGACCAGCTTGTGGCCGGCACTGTCTGCGCTGAACAGACACTGTGCGCGGGCCGGGTGGTCCTCGGGCGGGATGGCGATCGGCTCCGGCGACAGCGTCACCAGGAACTTCTCCGTGGGCGAGAAGTCCAGCAGCTGCACGCCCGGATGCACAAACCTGCGGATCCTGTCGAAATTCTCACCGCCCCACGCCTGCACTCCGCCAGGGAAGAACGAGAAGAGATACGTGCCCTTTGGCGAGAACTTCATCGACGCAGACGTCCAGTGGGCTCTCGGCTCGATCACCTCCTCGGGCTGGATATTCTTCTTATACCAGTAGACGCCCACGGTGTCGTGGTGGTGGAGCATGAACTGCTCGCGGCCGCTGGGGTCCAGCAGCCACGACTTGAGGTAGCCGTGCGAGCGGAACTCGGGGATGGCCGGCTCGCGGAACTCCTCGGTGATGCTGTCGTTGAGGGCGTACTTCTCCATGTCCGGCAGCTTGTTGACCGCCAATCTGTGCTTCACGTCCAGCTTCTTGCCGTGCAGCTGCTTGACGGCCTTGTCGGCCGCAGCCGCGCTTTCGAGCTCGATAATCAGATAGCCCTTGGTCTGGCCGTTTTCGAGCGGCATGAACATGTCGACAACCTTGCCGCACTGGGAAAACAGCTTGGTGAGCACCTTCTTCAGAACAGGGGCCTTGGCCTCCGGGGCAATGGGGGCGCCGTCGCAGATCACAAAGTGCTCGTAAGAGTGCTGTGGCTCGGGCACGTGGTACTGGGCCTCGAGATCGGAGAAATCGATCGACGACACGTCGATCTGGGATTCGTCAAAAGCGATGGGTTCTGGCATGGTTGAGGAAAATTTTCACTCGCGGAAATGTTTTTTTCTCACCGACGCAGTGCGACGCGTCGACAGCGAGAAGCTAGATAAGCCTGTTCAAGCAGCCACCACGAGGACATGGCCTGTGTGCGCCCAGAACAACCCCACGCGATCTGTGCAGGAAAGCGCACCTGTTTGCACTCTATCCACCGTCTGCTAGGACTAAGTTGCCGAAAGCAGTATGCAAAATAGCGGTGGACTTAATTTCCCAATCGGGCAGGTCTGTTATCAGTGGAAATTAGCCCCTCGCGCTATATAAGCCACCAAGCTTCGCTCTTGTCCCTCATAGCGTTCAGCATGGAAAGACTGCGCCAGATTGCCTCCCAAGCCACCGCTGCCTCGGCCGCGCCAGCCAGACCAGCCCACCCGCTGGACCCTCTGTCCACCGCCGAGATCAAGGCTGTCACCAGCACTGTCAAGAGCTACTTTGCCGGCAAGCAGATCAGCTTCAACACCGTCACCCTGAGAGAGCCTGCCAGAAAGGCCTACATCCAGTGGAAGGAGCAGGGCGGTCCGCTGCCTCCCAGACTTGCCTACTATGTGATTTTGGAGGCCGGCAAGCCCGGCGTGAAAGAGGGTCTTGTCGACCTGGCCTCCTTGTCTGTTATCGAGACCAGAGCTCTGGAGACTGTTCAGCCAATTCTGACCGTCGAGGACCTGTGCTCCACCGAGGAGGTCATCAGAAACGACCCTGCCGTCATCGAGCAGTGTGTTCTGTCGGGCATCCCTGCCAACGAGATGCACAAGGTGTACTGCGACCCATGGACCATCGGCTATGACGAAAGATGGGGAACCGGCAAGAGACTGCAGCAGGCTCTTGTCTACTACAGATCCGACGAGGACGACTCGCAGTACTCGCACCCGCTCGATTTCTGTCCGATCGTCGACACCGAGGAGAAGAAGGTGATTTTCATCGACATCCCGAACAGAAGAAGAAAAGTGTCCAAGCACAAGCACGCCAACTTCTATCCGAAACACATGGTCGAGAAGGTCGGCGCGATGAGGCCAGAAGCGCCTCCTATCAACGTGACGCAGCCAGAGGGAGTCTCGTTCAAGATGACCGGCAACGTCATGGAGTGGTCCAACTTCAAGTTCCACATCGGCTTCAACTACAGAGAAGGCATTGTTCTGTCGGACTTGTCGTACAACGACCACGGCAACGTGAGACCGATCTTCCACAGACTCTCGCTGTCCGAGATGATTGTTCCGTACGGCTCGCCAGAGTTCCCGCACCAGAGGAAACACGCTCTGGATATCGGCGAGTACGGCGCCGGCTACATGACGAACCCGCTGTCGCTTGGCTGCGACTGCAAGGGTGTTATCCACTATCTCGACGCCCACTTCTCGGACAGAGCAGGAGACCCTATCACCGTGAAGAACGCTGTCTGCATCCACGAGGAGGACGACGGGCTGCTTTTCAAGCACTCTGATTTCAGAGACAACTTTGCCACCTCGATCGTCACGAGAGCCACCAAGCTGGTCATCTCACAGATCTTCACGGCCGCCAACTACGAGTACTGTCTGTACTGGGTGTTTATGCAGGACGGAGCCATCAGACTCGACATCAGACTCACCGGTATCCTGAACACGTACATTCTGGGCGACGACGAGGACGCAGGCCCGTGGGGAACAAGAGTGTACCCTAACGTGAACGCTCACAACCACCAGCACCTGTTCTCCTTGAGAATTGACCCAAGAATTGACGGCGACGGAAACTCTGCTGCCGCCTGCGACGCCAAGTCATCGCCTTACCCACTCGGATCGCCAGAGAACATGTATGGCAACGCCTTTTACTCGGAAAAGACCACCTTCAAGACGGTCAAGGACTCGCTCACCAACTACGAGTCTGCCACCGGCAGATCCTGGGACATCTTCAACCCCAACAAGGTCAACCCGTACTCGGGCAAGCCTCCTTCCTACAAGCTGGTGTCCACCCAATGTCCACCTTTGCTGGCCAAGGAGGGCTCGTTGGTGGCCAAGAGAGCTCCGTGGGCCTCCCACTCGGTCAACGTTGTGCCCTACAAGGACAACAGACTGTACCCATCGGGCGACCACGTGCCCCAGTGGTCTGGAGACGGCGTGCGTGGTATGAGAGAGTGGATCGGCGACGGCTCGGAGAACATCGAGAACACCGACATCCTGTTCTTCCACACCTTCGGTATCACCCATTTCCCGGCCCCAGAGGACTTCCCATTGATGCCTGCCGAGCCAATCACCCTGATGCTCAGACCTCGGCACTTCTTCACTGAGAACCCGGGCCTGGACATCCAGCCTTCCTACGCGATGACCACCTCCGAGGCCAAGAGGGCCGTGCAGAAGGAGGTCAAGGACAAAACCTCGAGACTTGCCTTTGAGAGCTCTTGCTGCCGTAAATAAGTATATAGGACACGTTAATTCAGTAATCTCCACTGTTGACGAGCTCGTCGAACTGCGAAAACAGGTTTTCCATCTGGTCTGTCGGCATCAGCCCGGACTCGTCCTCCTGCGCAGGAGCAGCGGGCTCAGGGCCGGCCTGGGCGGGCTGATCCAGAAAGTCCAGGTTCAGGTCTGTGAGCGAGTCCATCGCAGACGGCTCGCTGTTCTCTGCGGTCTTCATATCGAAAATATCCTTCATCATGTCGTCGTTCTGCGGCCGCTCGCTCGCCTCGCCAAAGTCCAAGAAATCTGTGCGGAAATTGTCCAAGTCCAGGTTCATCAGGTCGTCCGCCGACCCAAACACGTCGTCGGCGCCGCCGCTCACCTGCTGCTCGGTCTGCCGCTGCTCCTGCTCCTGCTTCTTCTTGGACGCCTCGCCCTCGATCTTCTTCTTCATTTCGGCCTCTTCCTGCTTGATCTTCCTCATTTCCTCGTCCTTCACAGACTTCACCTTCAAGTATCGCAAAATTTGCTCCGCCTCGCGCAGGTTCATGTTGTGCTCGTCGAGAATCTGGTTGTAGCGGTCAAAGTCCTGTTTCAACGTCTGCGACAACGGCTTCACCAACGATTCGTTGTTGTGCGGTACCACCGTCCCCGTTGCCCTTCCGCTGAGCTTGTACGTCAGCTTGTCCAAAATCGTGGCTGTCGTGATGAAGATGTTGTTCGCAGCGTCCCGAAGCACCGAAGACATGATCTGCAGCGATAACAAAATGATATATATTTCGTAGCCAGGGGCAGACGACCGACGCGACGGTCGTGCGGACCAATGAAATGTGGTTTCTCAGATGCCACGAAATGGAAAAAAAATATCTCTTCCTCACCAATAATGTTCAGACAATCCCTTAGATCCATTGCCAGAACAGCAAGAACCGCCACTGTTGGTGTCAGAACCTACGCCGAGGCCGTCAACCCAGACGTTCTCAAGGTCTCGCTCGTCTCCCCGCACCAGGTAAGTGTGTCCGATATCTAGCTTCTAACAGGATAGGCCATTTTCACAAACAAAGAGGTCAGCCAGGTCAACTTGCCAGCCAGCTCTGGAGAAATGGGTGTTTTGGCCAACCACGTGCCAACGGTCGAAGAATTGGCTCCAGGAGTCGTCGAAGTGATCGAGTCGTCCGGCAACACCTCCAAATACTTTGTGTCCGGTGGTTTCGCTACCATCGTGCCAGGCTCGAAGCTCAACATCTCCACCGTCGAGGCCCACCCATTGGACGCTTTTTCCTCTGAGAACATCAAATCGCTTCTAGCCGAGGCGCAGAAAAACGCCTCTTCCGCAGATGAAACGGTTGCTGCCGAGGCTGCCATCGAAATCGAGGTCCTGGAAGCTCTCCAAGCTGTTGTTCACTAGATACGATCCTAAGTATGATAAAATTACACTATCCTGACCAATATCTATACAGTTGAGGAGCCTCGTAGCTCACCGGCTTGACCTCTTCTTCTCCGAGGCTGCGTTCTTCGTCCTTCGACTCAAACCCAAGCACGTTTAGGCTCTTCTTTGGAGGTTTCATGATCAGCTCTCTGGCATCCGACACCAGCTTCTTCAGCTTCTCTCCGCCCTCACTCTTGTCCTCCAACAGCTCAATGGCCTGCATCAGTTTCGACGACACAGTGTTGGCAGTCTTGAAGAACGAAAGACGGTCCAGAAACAGCTCATCGTTCTTCTTTGACAGCTGTTTCTTCTGAAATTCAAAGAGCCTGTCCAGCTTGCTCAGCTTGGTCAGCTTCAGCTCCACCAGCTTCAACTCGTTGTTCACAATGGCGGTCATCGCTTTGTTCATCTCTCTCTCCTCGTAGTTGGCAAAAACATGCGACCTCGCTGCCGCAAGCCCAAACGACGTGTTTGCCGCATCTTTCACGTCCGTGAGCGGGTCCTCCACTTCCATGTTGTCCTGTTCTTCGTTTGTATCCTCCTTGGGCTCATCCTTTATCTGCGTCGTCTCTTCGCTCCGCCCCGACCCGTCGAGCAGCTGAGTCAACTTATCATCCACCACCTTCTTCGCCCGATCTGCAGCAGCAACGGCCGCCTCCGTGTCTACTATGGACGTCAAAAAGGCCAAAGTCGACATTATAGGGTTATCGTTGGGCGAAAATGATAGGTTGGGCACATATTTCAATGGGCCAAGATGTTCTCTGTTTTTCTCCAGAAATTCGTCCTCGATCGGGAACTGCAAAAACCGTATAATACATTGCTCCGGACTCTTGTTGCCAACATGCTCTGCAATCTTGTACCATTCATTAGGGAACTGCTTGACTCCTTCAACCAGCTTTTCCAAGTCCGTCTGGGACCAGCCTTTGTTAATGTCTGGTTTTATGATTTTCCGCCTTTTGTTAGGTTCTCCATTCGATGCCGCGCTGCCGTTGTTGCCCGAATTCAAGAGTTCTTTCACTTTCGACATGTCAGGAAGATCCACAGGAGGTTTATAGCTCTCAAATGGAAATAGTCCCCGTGGAGTGTCGAAATCAACTGTGAACTCTCCCGTGTACGGTGGCTCCAACGGCACAGGGCGCGTCTCCGGGTTAACTTGGTAGTTGATTATCCCCCATTTGTCCAAGAATTTGTGTAGTCGGAGCAATGTGCCAGCATCTCCAACTAGGTTTCTCCTGACAGCAGTGAACGACAAGTACTCGTTGGGGTTTAGCCTGTACGTATTCACCATGAAATTCCGGTAGCGCGCATATATCTGAGGGGTTTTGTTTTTGTTGGTTCCGTTGAAGAACTCTGGAAGAGACTCTTTCTCGATTTTATGGATCTTCTTCATGTCAAACCACGCACTGTAAGACGGCAAAACAATCGTGTGCGTTTGTTTCTGTAGTGAAGACATGCTGATTGTGCTTTCCATTTGCGGTCTCGAGGTGAACATGTAGTCACTAGAAACTTGGTCTTGAGGGCCCATCGTGGTTTTGGTTTCTTCCAAATCTGCGCTTCCCTCCCCAGGCAATGGAATATTTTCGTTGCCGGGCTCTACTTTAACCTCGCTGGAACTGTCTGTAGTCTTTCTGGCTTTGTCATAAAGATGTTCTTGTTCCACAGACTCGGATGTTATATTCATGTCTGCGTCGTTTGCTCCCTCGCCGTCCTCGGCCTTCTGCTCGTTTTCGTCGTTGAGAACTACTTCTGAACCTCCATCGTTGCCATCACCAGTTGCTTGCACAACTCCATCGATATCCTGCTGTGCATTAGTTTCGTTGAGGTTCACTCCAGCGCCTTGTTCATTTCGCCCGGGACTTGGCGACAATCCTTGGTTGTCTTCCATCACAAAAATATTCTTCTGTTCTAGTAGTCACCCTCGTTGTTCCAGATTGCTTTACGACCCGACTAGCGTGTCAAAATTTATGTTTCAATGCGCAACAAACAGTTGAACTTTGTTTATCGTGGAGTTTTTGTATTTTTTTGGCAATTACGAAAAAGCTCCCGCGACGATCGACCTTTTATCCCCAAACATTTTTATTTCACGATATCCATCATGGCGTTTGCGAAAGGGTTCCTACGTTTTGCCGGTGTAACCGGCCTGTCTGTGGCGTCATTCGGTGCCGGTGTGTCTGTGTTTGGCCGTGCTTGGCCCGTTCTCAACGAAAAGGATAAACAGCTTGCCAACGAACGGTCGTTGCAATCGCTCGATGTTATCAAGAGCTCCAATATGTACAAGCAATTGGCAGCAGATAAGTCGTTCGAGCTGCTTTCTGGCTCGCAGCTCATCCCAGAGGCCCACAGACAGTACCACGTGGGCCAGGGCCTTTTGAACTCGCCGAACCACATGACCACCGACCCGATCATCTTCCTCAACCGCGACGAGGGGAAGATGTACTGCATAGCACATCTCGGAGCACAGACGGTGGGTACGGATCGGAAGATCCACAACGGTATCATCTCTACGATCATGGATGAAGGCCTATGTATGTGTGGGTTCTCAAAGCTGCCTTCCAAGCGGGGAGTCACTGCGCAGCTCAAGCTGGACTTCCTCCAAAAGGCGCCTCCTGACACCACCGTGGTTCTCAAGGCCCAGGTGCAGGAGTTCCGCGGCCGCAAGTGCATTATCACGGGCACGGTCGAGACTCTGGAACGGCGGCCGACCAAAGTTGCCGACGGCTACTGCGTTTTGGTGGAGCCTGTGTGGTTCAAATATTTGAACTGGGTCCCTGTTTTTGCATAACGAGGTTTGAATTCAGAGAAATATAAAAGATGCTAGTGTTGATCAGCGTAGTTCCATAAGCCAGTGGTACTATTCTGAACGTTGGCAGACTCTACGGCGTCTGGAGGGGAAATAAGAGATGCAATGGAGATTTTCTTGAGCCGTTGCGACGGACTCGCCTGCGGGTCGGAGCTCTTCGCGGGGTCTTGGAAGAGAGCCCGCTCGAAGCTAGCATCGGCCTCACATTTCTCCAGTTTGAACGGCACGTCTGGCTGCGAAAATTGCACCTTCGAGCCCGTGTGGTTCGGCCCCACATAGATGCGCAGCAGCTCGTCCTGTATGTTTTCGTCGTTGAACAGTTTGCTGAGTACGTGGTGGAACTTGTGTGTGAGATTCCAGTTATCGATACCGTTCTCGAGAATGTCTAGTAGATTGTCTGCGATTTCGCGTCCCCGTGTCGCGACGTTCGGGTCCGACGCCCTGAGAAAATAGGTCAGCACCTTGCCCAGCAGGAAAATCCAGATGACGATCTCCGTGCCGAAAATGGACAGGGCCGCAGTGTTTTTCAGCTCTTTCAATATCGTGTCGACTATTAGGCAGCATTGGAAGATCACTTCCCACGAAGGTCTATGCTTGTCCGCCTGGTTGTCTGACGGCGGTTGGCACGCAATTGAGTGCACAATGCTGGCGTGATGTAACGTGATGAGAGTGCAGAAGTAATTGCAGCAGATAATTAGACTGTGGTAGTTTGGGTTTTTTTTCGTGTGGGTGCCCAGTTTGAGCTCGTTAGGAACTGTGTCAAACCACATTCCCAGCAGGGTCTCCTGTTCGCTGGAAGGTAAGGTGGCGCCGCCGTTTATCACTGTCTGGTCGACGGCGGCCAGAGCTTCCGCCAGCCGCAAGTGTTCGATCGCGTATAGCTTTATAGTGTCTGTGATGTCGGTGTCGAACCGAAAGTCCCTGAGCGACAGCTTTTCTGACGGCACCGTGGACACGTCTATCAGACGCGGCTTGCCAAGAAAGACCGACACCACCGTGTCTTTGGAAATAAGAAACCAGACCAGCTTCCGGATTTGACACTGTTCCTCCTCAGTGTACTCGGAAAGATCGTTCTGAAAAAACCCGTGCGACTTGGCCACAGAAATCGACACCTGGAGCCACGAGTAGAGCGACCTCGTGTGCAAGTAGTGGTCCTCGAGTGCCAGTCCTAACAGCGCCATCGCTGCGAGCAGACTGATCGGGTTGCCCTCGAACTCGTGGTCAAGAAGAGCTTTGGCCCGGCCGTACAGTATGTTGGTAATCTTGGACTGCGTGAGCCTGCTCTCCTGGGACTCGCACTTCATAAACTTGGAGCCGACGAAAAGAACTGTCTGCAGCAGCAGCAAAGAAGTGGGGTTTGTATTTTTGCTGTTCTCGGCCAGAAAAGTCTCTTTGTTCAAGATCGGAATCAGGGGGTGCACATTTTGGAAATAGGAGTCGACGTAGGTTTGACAAACCGCATTCTCGGGCAAATTAAAGCAGCCCAGCAGGCTCAAGTTGCGGATACTCGCGTCGCTGACGTCCTGGAACTGCTGTTCTTTGGCGCACTCGTCGAACAGCCGGGTCACAAGCCTGTTTTCGGCATCCGAGTAACTCTTGTAAATGTACTCCCGATGGCGAGCTGTCTTCACCTTGTCCATCAAGTCGGCAGGGTCTATGCGGACCGCATTCAGAGTCTCGATCTTGGTCTTCTCCAGGAGATCGGACAGGTTCTTGTGGATCTGGAACTTTTTGATTCGCTTCTTGCGCTTGTACAGCTCGCACTCCAGATTCAACTCCTCGCAATTGGTGCATCGCTGCCCTACTTCCTTTAGGTCAAGGTCACACCTGATTTTGCGTTGATGGCAAATAACACAAGCCTTCAAAGCCCTCTTTCGTTTCCGCGCCCCGTCACTGTCACTCGCGGGTGACTTCGTGATCTCTGAGTCAACAGACATGGTCCAAAATTAGAGCACCGAATAATGATTGATAAATTAGATAAAGTTATTGAATTTGCAAACGACCTCAGTGATCTGGCAAACTTCGAATCCACTAGTGCGACGAGAAAGTTAAGTATTAATGCATGTTTCATTCCAACGGTCTGTCCTCTCCTGCAGGAAAATACGCACCAGTTTTGTACAACTTTTGCGTCGGTGGCCTCAACCGCGGTACCAAAACAGATTTCATGGACGAATTCACGGCAAATACTGCCAACGCGACACAGTTAGACAATGCTAGCCTTCCTCCACGACACATTTTAACTGTGGCCCACATAGTTTTCTCCGACGTTCATGTGAGATTATGTACATGCATGCGCCTTAGCGGGTATGACGTACTAAAGTCAAAAAAGAGAGGGCAATACAAGTAAAAATAAAATTAAAAACCAAGGGCCCGGCGGGACTCGAACCCGCAACCATGCACCTCCGGAAGATGACGTGATAACCATTACACCACGGGCCCAAAATAGTACCATTTTTGGTCCAATTACCAACATATCCAGCAGTACATGTCTCAGCAAGAGGCCATCCTTTTAGGAAATCCTGCATTAGATGGTCCATTTGCCCTGCGGCAAATGCCGAGCTAATCCCTCAGGACAGGCTAACCGCATGGAATTCAATCACGTAGCATGCTGCGAGGTGCTTCGTTTTAGCACTCGTGCGTGAGAAGAAGAAATGTGGCTGGCTGTATTCGCCTCAAGCTTTTGTTCAGCTGCATCTGCACTTTTGTCAAGCATCCTACGTACATGTCTGAGAACCTGAAAGCCGCCTTATCCCCTTGCAATTAGAAGACACCGACTCGAGATCCTATCTCATGGTGAACATCTCTGCACCGAAAGGAGTCGCGATTTGAAAAAATGGCCAAAAAAAAACTGACCAATTTTCTTAGTTGGTACTCGAATATATCCTCCTAGCCAATGTTGTCTCGCCTTTCAACCCTTGGCATACCGCAATCTGTGCGAAGACCTCTACTCTCCCAGCTGGCATCTCCAACATTCTCAATTGTGTCACTAAGATACCATTCGCATAGCCACCAAGATCACACAAACTCCCATAGCCATTCACATACTCATACTTCCTCTAGCACGCAAGAGCAGGCCCAAAAGACGAAGAAGTCGGGGTTCTCATTTTTTAGCAATTTTGTGCGGGGCTCAAAGTTCCTAGTTTCGTCGTCCATTGTGCTTCTTGCTCTCGGAGTTTCGTCTGTGTCGCTGTATCTGGTGTTCAGCGAGCTGTTTTCTCCATCCGGTGAGACATCGACCTTTAACAGAGTAGTTTCAATGATTGAGAAAAATGAAGAGGCGTTGAAGTTGCTTGGCTACTCGAAAGAAGAGATCGAAAGCGGCAAACACATCAGACTCAAAGCGTATGGTTACGCGGCTGGAGATAAATGGACCAGAAACAGACCAATCCAGGCTACTAAATACCTTGCCAAGGACAACAAAGAGCACATGCTGATGAAGTTCTTTGTGGAGAGCGATTACAAAATCGCCGTTGTTCAATTGGAAGCCATTGAGGAGAACTTTGTTGAACAGCAGCTCGTGTATGTGGCGATGGATGTGAAAGGACAGAAACGATTCTACCTGGTTGGAGGTCCGAAGTCCAGCTCTGTGAACAAAAGATTGGGCCTGATGAACGAGTCGGGATTCCTTGGCGTGAAATGGGGAAATAAAAAAGAGTGAACGGTAACGAGTTTAGCAATCCTGTCAAATAGAAATCAAGATCAATATCATCAACATATTCAGAATGCCAGTACATTTCGTGCGCCCAGCAGAGTTCAAGAATGCATTTTCGATTTCGTTGTCGATGTCCTCGTTGACCGTGTCTCTTTCGCCTGATGTGATCTGTTTTCTTGCCCTGCCAATCAAATATCGATCCCAGTCGTCCACAATTTCCTGTCGACATGACTTGCCGTTGTAGTCGTAGAGCGACTGGTAATTTTCGATGGAGTAGTTGTGGGCGACCAGCTTGCCGAGGCCACCCGCGTGGCAGAACGAAGCCTGGTTGCCATGGTACGAGTAGTACAGATTCAGAGCTATTGAGTGTCTTTGGAGCTTGGTGCAACTGGCAAAGATTCCGTAGCGCCCTTGTTCGACGTCATTTTCTATCGATCCGCAGTAAACCGTGTCACAAAAACGTTCCAGCTCGTTGAACTCCTGGTTCACCTTCTTTGGGTTTATCATGCAGCGAAGCGCCGACATTATACAGTCGCATCTGGAGGCTCTTGGCGTATGTGGAAGAGATGTGGTGCAAAAGGTCATATCTTCAGGACATGAGCCCGATCGGGGGCTGGGAAAGCTCATAGCCTGGTTAGAGTAGTAGAAGTCCACGGGATATAGCGTGTTGCACGCAAAATACTGGTCTACCGTGGTATTGAGATGCGAAGTTAGCTCCAGGCCGATCGGGATGTATCTCATTCGGTTGCGCACAAGGTACTTCTTCATGTCTCGCACGGCAGCTTTGAAAAAGGGCAGGTTGTGGTCTTCCAAGGATGCCTGGATCACAAACCCCACCAGTGTGGGGAAAAAATGTGCGTTGTCTATTACCGTGGTAAAGTCCTCATATAACTGTGTATCCCATGTCGAATTGGCGATTGTGCCCAGCTTGACCACAAAATATTCTTGCTGCTGCGACTGAATCACCTTGCGGCCCAAATCCAGGACAGCCTTGGGGCCCAGCATAGGCATTAATTCCGGGGGGCTAAATATGGACCCGTTGGTGGAATAGACCATTGTGCGGTTGTGGATTTGTATGGCGGGTCTGTCTGAGGGATGGTTATTTTCTTGCACACGCGGCTGGAGCAGAGACGGAAGAATTGATATCCCGCCCGCCTGCGCTAAGGTCCCTCCTGCCAAGGCCATCAGCGCTAGTGTGCCGTATCTCATGGGGATCGAGAAAAGACTTTATATTTAAATTAACATTTTTTATATCCCTGCTGCCCATTTATAAAAATCCCATTTTCCTAAGAACAGTAAGAAGAGGACGCAGGCCAATGTTTCTGCGGTAGAGAAATAAAATGAAAAGATAGACTCGAGTTTTGAGGAAGAGGCGCACTTTGTAGCCAATTGTCAAGGCAGGCTTGGCTGGGGAGAGAAGCGTTGCCGGGTCGTCTGTGACAACACCCTCCAGCAACGGCTGTCCGTCTATCTTGCGAGGTCCGTATTTGGAGATGGCCAACTCTAGGTCCTCTTTGCTGTTGACAGTCCAGAACCATAGTCGCACTTTCTCCCTCTCGCAGAACTCAAGGATCTCGTCAACCATGTACGCCAAACCGTTGGCAACAACGATCACAGACACACAGTCTAATCTGCCCCCCTTCGCCCTGATCTGGCTCGCAACTTTTTTACTGGTGAGCACGTCCACAGAAATATTGAGAACTTCAAACTGGGCTATTCTCTCGTCGTAGTAGGCCGCGCCCCACAGACCGTAGATGATCTTGCCCTTCCAGTACTCAATGCCACCGACGGCCTCCAGGTTTTGCAAAACCAGGTCCACGATGCGCTTTGGATCGTTGTCGGCCTTGATATCCAGCATCAGTTTGATCGGCTCTAGACGGGACTCGTTGGTCTTCACGGTCCACTCCAACACCTCTTTCAACGTCGGAATTGGCAGATGCGGAGCTTGCCGCGTGCGCAGCTCCGATAAAACGCCCTTATACGGAGTCTTTGTGACCACGTAATCCTGCCCAAAGACGCGGTTCGTGTCAATATCGTGGCATATCACTACCTCGCCATCCGAGGAAATATGCAGATCTGTCTCTATCACAGAGCACCCATTCTTGACTGCCTCTTCAAACGCTAGGATCGTGTTTTCCGGACATGTTTTTTTGAGTCTACCGTTAGCACGGCATGGCAAATCACTTACCCTCTGTGGCCGGCAAGAAGAAAAGTCATATTTCTGGCAAAATCAAAAACGTGCTCCGTTTGCTTCAGCTTAAAATCGGTGCGTGCATATTCAAATATACGGTATATCCAAATTTGGCTTTATTTTTTCACGAGGGCCGAAGCCGTATACAATTATCATGTTACAATCGAAGCGGGATGTCGTACGCCTGGTTGAGGAACTTTTCACGCTTCCTGATCCAGTAGTCGTCGTATAACAACGGTAGCTCGTCGATCGAGCTCAGCACCATGTTATAGTCGTTTTCAGCCTCCAGTAGCGTGAACAGCGTGGCAGTCTTAGTCCTATTATACTCGCCCCAGATGCTGTAATCATGGCACGCTCCAATGAAATTGCTTCCCCCTTTCTTGAACAGGTCAATGTCCTCGGTCGGCACATAATTGCACTGGTCGCTGTGGACCCACAGTCGGAGATGATCCACATATTTGTGGCCATAGAACTCTTTTGTCTTGATAATGTCCTTGTACAGCATGTCCAAAATCGAAATGAAGCGGTTGGGCACGTTTGCGAGTCTTCCTTCGAACAACGTGCGTCGGAGCGGGCTTATTTGGTCGATGTGATAGAAGAAGCCGGTTCCGCTATTTATGATTTTGCGTTTCGACGCGTCCACTGTTCTGTCGTCCTTGAGGTCTTCAAGCACGTCCCCCTCGTTGATGAACATCTCCATAGCGTTCTCCGGGATTGGCAGCCCGTAGCTGCTGATCATCAGCCCGGTAACCTCCAAATACAGTCCGGTGCGGATGTCGATGAACTTGAGGTCGATCGACTCCGGCGACGCGTCTCCGTTATTATTTCGGGCCCGCTCCATGTAGTACGGATTGACATCAAGGTAAAAAACTCCCGTGCCGTCTCTTGGGTCCTGGATCACCAGCGACCCGTTGAACGACTCAGCGAGCCTGATCATGTCCCTGGCAGGAACCTCGAAGTGGACGCTTTCCTCCCACGGACTCAGCAGTCCGTTTCTGTGCCACCCCAGCAGAGCTTCCTGCGACAGCCAGGTGGTGATGTCCATATTGGACGAAAATTGCAGCCATCCACGAATAAGCTGGTGCCAGGTGCTCCGTTTCTCGGCCTCGTCCTCGATGAGATTACTGAAAAAACGCCAATCGTATTTTTCTCTGCTCTCGCCTCCGTCCTTTTTCCTCAATAAAATATCATGATAATGCAGCACCTGGTAGTGGAATGCGGCCCCGGCGAGCTTGGTCTTCTTCTTATTGGCTGGAAACTCGAACTCGTCGATTGAGACCTCAGTTTTGTTCGACCCCGGCGCGGTGGCATCCACAAAGTCTCTGCCCAGAGTCTGTCGAATTTCTCCTAATGAGTCAAAAACGGAAATCGGCGAGCTGATCACCTGTTGGTACGTATGGTTGTACCGCGCCATCTGCGACTTGATGTAGCTTTCCAGCAGTCCGGACCTCACCACATCCTTTTTTTCGGCCACCTGGACTACAAATGCAAGATCTCCTGCAAGGAAAATAAGTTTTCTCGGCAGCGGTGCCACCTCAACCAGGTAGGTCTTACCCCTTAAATTGAGGCGGTAAGCGGACTCGTAGTCCGACGCGGGTGAATCAAAGTAGAAGTTCAGCTCGCTGCTGTCCTTGTTTTTCGCATCTATGCATCCTGGCCACGGAGTTCTAACGTTGGACCCTAAAACTCCGGCAACAAAGCAGTTGGGTTTCTGCTCCAGCAAAGGAATGAGATCGTGCATGTCAATCCAGTCTTTCCAATGGAAGTCGAATTCTGGGATCTGCGCCTTGGGATTCTGCTGTAGTTCGACGAGATGCCGGTTGATCGCCTCGAAATAAATTGCGTGTGTCGCACGCATATCTGACGTTTCTCTGGCGTGTTTGTAGGGAGCGTTGGGTAACACGGTCACGTCGGCCGTGTAGGGGAATTCGAGAAGCTGGTTTTGAGACTGCCTGTTTTCCTCCATTAACTTGTTTTTGGCATCTGGCTTGACATGTTTTCTGTTGAGAATTGCTCCAAGGGAGGGTAGCGAAAACGAGCGCGAGCTTTCAAGTGCATGGGTGTCCCCCTTATACTGGAACTTGCTCAAGACCAAAATGAATGCAACTAGATACAGCAGCGGAATCGCAACCTTGACGTATCTGTGTCGTCTCCACCGGCCCACCAGAATCCAGAAAGATTTTCTTTGTTTTCCGGCTGAATGGCTGTCGCTATCCGAGGCCATGCTAGACCGGCTTTTGCTCCTTGACTTCGGCTTCAGCTTGTCCTTGCGCACGCGCGTACCGGCGATTCTCGGTAGGCCTTGACTTTGAGAACCACTTCTGAGAAAAATATGATCACACATGGCTACCACGTTCTGTGAGCAAACCAGGTCTGTTGAAACGAGTGCTCAGACCTGAGGTAGCAGAAAGAATGCAGTTCGAAGAAAGTTTTAGTTTTGTACCACATTCTTTAGCTGTGTCAGGTGCCCAGATTTAGTGGCTGGCCAGCTGGCACTTGCAGATAAAACCCCTACACCGCTTTAAAAATTTTCTAATTTATTTTACCTTTCATGCGAGGCAGGTTATCAATCAGCCCGCTTTTGCACTAGTGGTGTTTTTTTGTGTTAATGTGTGCAATATTCAAAGGCCAGGGCTCGTGAGCATCGAGATCCAGCCTCTGCAATTGCGAGTCGATATATGGGATTCGTTTACCACAGTACGCCACAGAACAGGCCTGTCGGCCGAGGCGAGTATGGTGATAAATCCCAAACCAGTTCCGCTAAGAAACAATGACCACATTGCGTCTTAACGGGACTAAGCTTAAATTAAAACAGAACAAATTTTTCCGATTCCCGACCGAAGCTCTGCCGGGGTTCTGTGAGGCTTATGTAATATCACCAGCTGGCGCTAAGATAATATAACGGCTGTAGGTGTAAGGGTGCGGGTGGCTGGACTGTGGAGATGGACCGAAACTGCACCAAACGAGGATGCAGAGCGATGGACATCAGATGATGCTCAAATTCGCCTGGAAGAATATGGGCACCATGCGGGTTAGGCAAAAAAAAGCGATGCCTATTCGGCTTCCGAGCGAAAGAGAAGGAATTATGGCATGGAGGGCTGGCTCTAGAAATCAGCCTCCATGCAGGCGTGCGGTGTCAATCTCCTCAATGGCAATCAGAAATCAGCAGGTGTCTCCATCGATCATCGACCAGCAACTCCGGTAGCGAGGAATCATTTCTCCTCGTGTAATCCTTAGCTAAGCAATTGTATTGCCGATTTCTCAATATTTGATGATTAGAAATTACATAATCTAAGTTAGTCATGTTCACTGGGATTGTTGAGACAATTGGGACCATTAAGGAGGTGAGGAAGGTAGGCGAAAATGACGATCTTGATATTCTGATCGCTGACGCCTCGTCGATTCTCGGCGACTGCCATTTGGGTGACTCGATCGCCGTTAATGGTACTTGTCTGACAGTCACGCAGTTTACTGAGTCAGAGTTCAAGGTTGGTGTTTCGCAAGAGACTCTGCGCAAGACCAACGTTGGAGAGCTGCGAGTTGGCGACAAGGTCAACTTGGAGAGAGCAGTGTCAGGTGACGTGAGATATGGAGGCCATATGGTGCAAGGCCATGTCGATACCGTTGCCAGTCTTGTTGGCCGAGAGCCGGATGGAGACAGCATCCAGTTTGAGTTTGAGTTGCGCGACAAGGAGTTTATCAACTACATTGTTCCGAAGGGATTCATCTGCGTCGACGGTACCAGTTTGACTGTGATTGACGTGAACTACGAGAAAGCCAGATTTAAAATTATGATGGTGTCCTACACACAGGCAAAGGTGATTATGCCACTGAAGAAAATTGGCGATAAAGTCAACATCGAGGTCGATTTGACTGGCAAGCTGATCGAGCGTCAGATTCAGGCTTCCTTGCAGAACAAGGACAGCGCTTTCGGAAAAATGTTAGAAGAGCTTGTGGAGAGAAAAGTTAGGGAAGCAATGCAGAAATGATGAATATTAAATTATAGGGCAAACACCAGGGACACACCCTCGTCTCCCGCCGTAATCAGCCTAATCTTCGAGTTGTCAAGCGCAAAGTCCAGAACGCCCATGTGGTGGCCAACGTAGGTGTATAGCTGCTCGCCTGTTCTCGCGTCCCATTTGTACACCTTTCCGTCCATAGACGCGCCCAGAAGCAGCGGCGAGTTTTCGAGGAATTGCAGTTTAGTCACAGCATCCGAGCACTTGAGCGTGCGTCTCACCTTCCACGTTTTAGTGTCAAAAATGAAAACGTCACCAGAAACAAGGCCCAGAGCAGCAAGCGACAGGTTAGGGTCTCTGCACCAGCTGATGCTCTCGATCGAAACCTCGAACACATCCTGACCCTCCTGCAGCTCCAAAACCTTGAACGAGTTTTGGATTGCACCGGTTTCGCTGTTAATCACCACCACTTGCGAGTCTCTAGAGCCAACTACCAGTGCCTTTCCGTTTGGATCGGCCTCCATCGAAACCCACGGAGTTACCACTCCCTTGAGTCCCGAATCGGCGTCGATTTTGTAGATCTGGGTCTGAGTGAAACAGTTCCATCCGATGATAGAGCCATCCTCAGAGATGGTCACCAGATTCAGCTCGTCTAGGTTGTCCACATTGATGAACATGCCATTGGTGCATTCCATTGAGTGCGAAAAGCCTGTGAATATCACCTCCAAAGTAGGCTCAATTTGGTAGACCCACACAGAGCCGTCGCTTGCTCCAAATGCAAAAACGTTCTGTTTAGGATGCACCTTGATCCATGTGATCTCTTCCACATCCTCCAATGTCCCGTACAAATTCCAGACCTGAAACTTTTTGGACGCCTTGTGGACCAAGACTTTGCCTGTCATGTCTCCGGTAACAAGGTACGAGCCGTCAGCTGTGAATCCTCCGGCAATCACAGACTCCGTGTATCCCTCGAGTTTGGCAACCTGTTTCGTCGGGTTCGTGTGCGATGTCCATAAGTACGCAACATTGTCGCCTCCTCCTGTCATGATCAACGGCACAGAAGGATGCGTTGCAACCACAAAGATGGAATCTTGGTGGTTATCGAAGTAACCCTGAGAGTTATTGCTCAAGTCGACCTCTAACGGCTCCTCGTCTTCGTCCATCTCATCCTCACTGTGATACTGTTCTGCACCAGTGTCCTCAACGACCTCTTCAACCTCCTGGAGGTTGACGTACTCCGGCTCTTCGCTATCCATTAGTAATTAAATTTGAAAAAAAAAAAAATATTTTTTTCTTGCATTATTTATGACCTCATCTTATCGCGAGATACAACGTCTGCGAGACCAGTTGTTTTCCGACTCCATCGATGTTCCCCTGGATGGGGCTTACGCAAGGACGATACAGCGTAATGAGCTGGGGCCCTTTCCGCTGCCAAAACACATAGAGGCAAAGCTTGGGAAGCGGTCCATCCTGGACAAGCTTCGAAACCAGCCCATCAACTCGACCTCCGACTCAGCTGTTGTTCTTGCAAATAACATCCTCACCAAGGACGACCTCACCAATTCCGCCTTGGTCCCGCTTCTCGACAACAAACCGCGCCAGAAATACCATCACAGCAACTGGAAACTACACAAAGTCCTGCTTGGCCACACGGGCCAGGTCACCTCTGTCACGTTCGATCCTTTCAACAAGTACTTTGCCACCGGATCTGCTGACAGCACGATCAAAATATGGAATCTGGCAGCCTCCCGGTTGGATCTCACTTTAACAGGACACATCATGGCAGTCCGAGGACTGGTGGTTTCAGACAGACATCCGTACATGTTCAGTTGCTCGGAGGATAAGACAGTTAAGTGCTGGGATCTAGAAAAGAACGCTGTCATTAGGGACTATCACGGACATCTTAGTTCTGTTTATACTATTGACCTGCACCCCACGCTGGACTTAATAGTGACGGCTGGCCGTGACTCGAGTGTTCGAGTTTGGGATATTCGCACAAAAGTGGCTGTTTACACATTTACAGGCCACAAATCGAGCGTCAACATGGTGAAGACGCGAGCCACGAATCCGCAGGTGATCAGTTCTTCCATGGACTCTACCGTCAAAACATGGGACCTGATTGCTGGAAAGTGCGACAAAACGCTGACATACCACTCCAAATCTGTTCGCTCGTTTGCTCTTGGATCCAACGACCAGCAGCTGGTGTCTGCGTCGTCCGATGGAATCAAAAAGTTCCAGCTACCAGATTGCACTTATTTGCAAAATTTCGACTTCTTCGACACCAACAAAATAGAGCATGGAAACACGATCATCAACACACTGGCTTCGAACTCGGACGGGGTCATGTTCGGAGGCTGTGATGACGGCAAATTCGCTTTCTGGGATTGGGAGTCAGGCGAGATTTTCCAACAGGGGCAGAACGTAGCCGTGCCGGGGTCACTGGCTGGAGAGACGGGTATTCTGTGCTCTAAGTTCGACCAGAGTGGTCTGCGGTTGATTACCGGAAACGTCGACAAGAGCATTAAAATATGGAGACAGATGGATGAGACTATCTGACTACTTGTTGTTGAGCTGTGTTGAGCTGTGTTGATTCATGTATATTATGTACCCCTTGCTTCAAAATGCATCCATGGTATAGTCGTACTCAATTCCAGGTGTTACACTAGCAATGAACTTCAGGAAAATCACCAAGTACTGGTCCACACGAATAATGCCTTCCTCTCCTTGATCGACATTTTCCCAGTCATCTTCTTCGTCGGCATTCTTGCCATCTGCAAGACCAAGCTTGGCCACCCCCGTCACCAAATCCTCGTCCCTTATTTTTTTCGCCTGCGCGGCATGTGCGGCACGCTTCATCAAAACCCTCATCACGTTGGCATGACGACAAGGATGGATCGACACGGAAGTCGTGTTGGATAAAAATGGCGCTTTCTCGATTGTCACAGTCTTCTGTCTGTAGTCGCTGGCGATGTCTTCAAACATCTCGTTTGGCGATAATGGCACACCATTCGAGTCAAAGCCAACTAAATACATTTTGGGAACCCGATACGACGTCGAATAGGTGATGTAGAGATCATAGTTGCGTTTCTTTGGATCGTTGATGATGCCACCCTGCCCTGCATCGTTAGCAAGGTCGCTTTCCTCTGCTGTTTCGTCGATAAGTTCGTCAATGTCATTTATTTCGTGCTTTCCAGAACCCTCATGCTGTGCGACCCCATCCTCCAATGAAGACGCGCCGCTTTCAGTCATCTCAATGTACTTCATTGAATGTCGCCGTTCGGCCTCTGTGTCGCACCGCTGAAGAGCCACACTCTCGACATTAGTACTGGTCCACCCGTCTTCTTCTTCCATCATTTCAGTCTCTTTCTCCGTGTGCTCGTAGTCTGCTGCTCTGACATAAGAGGGGACATGCCGCGTCACGAGAAACTGTTTGCTGTGTGGAAGGAAATCGCGCTTCTTGGACTCTGGAGCAGGCGACCATTGCCATGTGGGAAACTTGTAAACCAGATAGTCGCCTGCAGCAACAAACTCCTCAGGAGTGATCTCTCCTGTATCTGTGAACGTGGACTTGTGGCTGATTGGCGTCAAATACTCCCTTAGAGAGCTGAAAGTGGATCTGAGGTATAAGCCTGTCATTTCTTAAAGAAAGGAGTAGAATATATGATAAACGAGCACTTTATTTGATCGAACACAAATTATTGAATATGTTTTGTATATCTTGGGCTATGTTATGGTAAAGCGCTAATATCAACCCTGTGTCTCGGCCGGAAAAATCAAGATTCCTTAAGTTGCCTTTAAATAATAATATCCCATTACATTTAAACTTTATCTAAATATGGGGCCCACCCTCGCACCATGTATTTTTTCAACGAGCATCAATTTAATTTCCTGTAAGATCTGCTCATTAATATAAACATGCCGTCGGAAAACTACACTCTCACTATTCTCGGTTGCGGTACAATGGGGACAGCTGTGCTGGCTGCCATGCTCCAAACCAGATTTGAACCTTACCCGGACAAAATTATCTGCTGCACGAACTCTGAGAAGTCTGCCCTGAAACTGAAAGAAACCTATGGGGACAAGATTGAGGTGTCCTTTGGCGCTGCAAACAACGCCAAGGCCGTCGGGGAAGCCGAGATCCTTATGCTGGGATGTAAACCTTTCCTTTGTCAACAGGTTTACGATCAAGTTAAATTCCATCTGCCTGGAGACCAGCTTGTCATTTCTTTGCTCGCTGGCTGGTCAATCGATCAATTGAGAATCTGGTCACCCAAAGCGGGCAAAATTGCTCGCGTCATGACAAACACTCCGGCAAAGTTTGGCTGTGGCCTGGCCGTGGTGTCGTTTTCCGACGAGTGTCTTCCTCACGAGGACTTCGTGATGAAGATTATCGGCGGAGTTGGAACGGCCATCAAGCTTCCAGAAAAAAACCAAGACGCTGCCACTGCATTAGTTGGGTCCGGTGTGGCTTTTTCGCTGCTATTCATGGAAGCCCTGACGGAAGGAGGAATTAGAATGGGTATTCCGGCTGCCATTGCCCAGGAATGTGCTGCTAAGGTGATGGAAGGCACTGCAAAGATGGTCAAAGAAACTGGCGCCCATCCGGGGGCCTTGAAACTCGCTGCTTGTACCCCTGGTGGTTGTACTATTGGCGGTCTTCTGGTGATGGAAGATAAGGGAGTCAGAAGCGGTGTGAGTCGTGCCGTCGAGGAGGCTACCAACATCGCCTCTCAATTGGGTAAGAAATAATCTATTTGTCTTCAAACTCCTTCATAATCTTCTTCATTTCGATTTCCTCTAGCTCCTTGGTCAGCTTCTCCTCCTCTTCTTCATTGAGTTCGCCTCTTTCGTACTTCTCCTTCAGATCCAAAGCCTTCTTCTGCTCGTTTTTCACTCTCTCCACTTTCTCATCCCTCAACGAGCTGAAAATCAAGACAGAAAACCAGATCTCCATGAAACAGTAGCCAAATATCAACGAATTGGAAATGATCGGGTTTCCTCCCATGTATGAGTAGAATACCAGAGCGAAGTGGAACAGAAGTCTGGCTGGGATGGTGGCCTCAAAATAGCCATGATTCCCGTCCAGCAAAGGCACCAGATCGCTCAGTGCAGTCATGAACAAGAGCAATGCCAGGGCCCCGTAGATGGAAGACCCTTCTGTCGTTAACAAAAGGGGCATGTTCATAGACGAAGCGAGGATAATCAGCCCTTCATACTCGAGAACAGATTTCGGATCTGTGAGCAGAAGATATGAAACAAACGCATAGAACGCAATTCTGATGGAATTTACGAGGTTGGAAGAAAGAATTGCCATGGTGAACGTGGTCAAGTATAAAAATATGTCGCGTTTTTCGCCTCGATCTGATGATACACCCAACACCGGGGCTCGTTTTATTAAGAGATTCTATAACTACAAATGGAACAACTTGAGGAACCAACTCTTGTGTAATTCCTCATAAATGTCTGTGTATCCCTGGAAGCGGTCCCAGCACGTGTGGTGTTTTTCGCAGTTCATGTAGTTTACTAGGAAATCCCGATCCTCAGGCCTGTAATGGAAATGCTGGTTACTTAAAAGTTGCGATCTGGCAGCTTCCGCTTTGGCAATCTCCTCAGGCTCCGAGGAAAGCAGTACCTCGAGGTCGTCGCCGAGATCGTCTGGATCCTTTATGCAAAAGTCGTCAGAAAGAGAGTTGAAGGTTTTTGTAGGCATGAATCCGATCTTAGATCTGATCCAAGACTGCGTGTTGAAAAGGTACTCCAGACAGTTTCTTTCTTCCACGTCGTTGTTGTATGAGTTGGAGTCGTATTCGTCCGTGCTCAATCTAAATCCATACTTCTTCTCTGTGCCGTGTTTCACCCACTTGATATGCATTTGTTTGTAGAATACAGGATCCCAAATCACGTCTAGAAGCAAGTTGGACCAATCGCTCTTTTTGATAAGGAATGAATTCAAATTGATGCCGTTGCAATCCTGCGTCAAAATGAGGTCCACGCTGTTGATGTCAATGGTCTCTTTCAACGAGGAGCCAATGGTGAACTGGTTCAAATCCTCATCAATGATCAAATTGTTGGGATTGAAATATTTTAGGTCGCGGTATAGATAATCCAGATTTTTGAATATCACGTCCTCAAGCGATAACTGTGGTTCCATTATGATGGTGTGTATATCCAGATACCAATACCATTGCTCAATAGGTGATGACTCCTCCTGGGGTGTCTGTTTCATTAGCTTCCGGAGCAAATCAAACTTTTCCCAGCCTTCTCTGAATTCGTGTTGGTACCGTTTTTGGTAAAGTCCAACGTCGTCGTCTAGAGCGTTGACAACTATTAGTTCGTAGCCATGTTTTTCGCAATAATGCTTCTTGTTCAACAAGGATAGCTTCTCCATGAGCCAGTACTCTTTGGACTTTTGATGCTTGATGCCAACTTCCGGTGAGTGTCCGAGAATAACGTATATTTTCCGTTTTGGCTTCAACAACCCAAACCTCTGCAGTAACGACTTCCTTGAGCTGCTTTTTTGCGTCATCGTTTTGCGTCTAGATACCTGGTCATCCTCTGAGGCAAATACTCCTGGAACCATTGGGTTAGGCGGCACTCCTGGTTTCTTGTGAGTCTTCTTGTTGGTGGCCAGCCCAAATCCTATGTTTTCATGATTGTTGGCCAGCTTACTATTAAGGAAGTCGTGGTAGCTCTTTTTAGAAACGTCAAAATAATTTCGTTCCTTCCTGTGTATCGGCTTGTGCGACCCCTCGGTCCCTTCTCCAGCGGAAGCCCAGTAGCAAAACAAAGTGATAATAATCAAAAGAATTGTGAGTTTAGTAATTGTTGAGCGATCACGGCGGTATACACTCAGCTTAAAACGCTGCCACAGATTCACGGCATACTCCTGCCAGTTGCGACTCCTGTTTTTCTTCTTTTGGAACTTCTCGTCGTCAAAATCCTGCATAGCTGGGGTGCAATCCTAGCTTTATTTTTTTAAAAGCCGGCTAAATAATAATCTTGCATCCCTACACAGCTCCACGCACCATCCGATTATTTCGCTAACAGCCGTTTCAATTTGGCTAAATGATATACAGAGCTCATTTTGGTGTAAAGGTGGGACAGAGACTAAAATTGGTGTGAGCAAAGCATACGCTTCCTTTTCCTTACCGATTTCGACTCAGCCGTTTTCTGAACAGTTTACTGATGTTGCACACGCAGGAAGCCCCCACGTTGTACCCCTCGGAAGAGGAGTTTTCCGATCCAATTAGGTACCTGAATACCAAAGAAATTATCAGTATTGGAGAGCAATATGGAATTTTGAAGATCAAACCTCCCAGAGGCTGGCAGCCCCCTTTTGCTCTAAACCCCGATACTTTCAGGTTCCATACCCGGTTACAGACTTTGAGCGAGTTGAGTCTGACCAATCGGTCGAGGCTCTTCTGGCTTAACGGATTTAATAATTATCTCAGGATGAAAGGTAAAGAGCAGCTTGAAACCGGTTTCGCTGCCCTGAAGCGGCCCATAGGAGAGCATCAAAATTATACAGGCGCCAAAAAAGAAGTTCATTTATACGACTTATACGTCGAAAACGAAGTCTCCTATTATAGGGGGAAATTTGAGGACGAAGCCCTTTACCGGGATTTTGTCCAGTACCTACGCTTTTTGAAGAATAAAGGAGAGGAGAAACCTTCCAGAACAAGTGTCGGTTCTCAGATGAAGGAGTTGTTTAAGAAAAAGAAAAGCAACGCGTGTGAAAAATGCGGCAAGCTGGATGAGCCGGATACTATTCTCATTTGCGATGACTGTAACAGAAATTTCCACATGAGATGTTTGGACCCAGTTTTGAAGGAAGTCCCCGATACCGACTGGTTCTGTGACGACTGTCTGAAAGGCTCCTCTGCTGAATACGGTTTCGAAGAGGACTTTGAGTCGATATACACCATTCGAGAGTTTGCCCGTGAGTGCGACGCCCTCAAGACGCAATATTGCAACGAAATGTTCAACGGAAATATGAATCCTTCCGTGGACGCGATTGAAAAAGTGTTTTGGAGACTTGTCGACACGCAGGATGAAGAGGATGAAGATTTTGAGGTCCGATATGGTGCCGATATCCATAACGATGGGCCTGGTGAAGTTTCCGGCTTTCCAACAAGATCACATCCTTTCAAGGAGGAGTATAGCAAGTACCTTGACCATCCATTCAATTTGACAAACCTGCCTTTCGCCAGGGGCTCGCTTCTCAGCTATATCAAAGAGAACCGCGACCAGATATCAGGGATGACCATTCCCTGGATGTACATCGGTTCCATGTTTTCGACGTTCTGCTGGCACAAAGAAGACCATTACACACTGAGCGCCAACTACTGCCATATGGGAGCCACGAAAAAATGGTACGGGATTCCCGCTGCCGATTGCGAGATATTTGAAAGTGTGTGTCATGACCTTTGTCCGGACTATTTTTCCAAACAGCCAGACTTACTACACCAGTTGGTGTCATTGTTGTCACCGGACCGCATTACAGAACTCGTTAGACAGAAATTTGGCCGGAAGATCCGCATCTTCTCTGTCAACCAAGAGCCCAATGAGTTTGTGATCACCTTCCCCAAGGTTTACCACGCGGGCTTGAATTGCGGTTTTAATGTAAACGAGGCAGTCAACTTTACTATGCCGTACTGGTTACGCTATGGAAAGCAGGCCATCGATGAATACAAGCCGGTGAAGAAGGAAAATGTGTTCAATCATTTCAAGCTATTGCGCAATATTTTGGATGATTTACGGGCTAACCGAGGAATGCGGGATGTTTGGTGGACCGACTTCGAGATTTCCAGCATCTCTTCCATGATGAAAACAGCACTTGTCGATTATTTGACGGCTGTGCGCAATTACAAAGCCAAGATCTCCAGCAGAGAGATTCAGTCCCTTCTCCACGGCTTGGAAGTTGTTGATTACCAGGATTACATAAAATCGCGCAAAGAGGACCATCTTTCCCGCCGAGCAGACAAGCTCTTTGGCCGCAAAGGAACAATGAGCACCGAAGAGGAGGCCGATGAGATCATATGCATGAACTGCAAGGCGTACCCGAATTTCAAATGGCTTGAGCTGGACATGCTGAAAAAAGTGCAGCTAGATATTGACAAGTACAACGAATTGCAGGAGTCGCTTTTGCCAACACCGAACCATACGCCTAAGCAGGATCATGCAGCTAGCTTTTTTAGAGAGGAGGATGGGGTGATCATCATCGTAGACGGCGACGATGAGCCTCGCGGGAAGCGTCGCTCGAACGAACCGGATGAAGAAACGCCTGTGAGAAAATCGAGGAGATTGGCCAAGAAGAGCGAGTCGCCTGCTCCTCAGCCAATTGACGAAGCAAAGCTGGAGCATGAAGCAAATCTCAGCCTTTTGAGACGTATAAAGAGAAGAAGAAAGCAGTTTCCAAACTATGGCAAGGTCTACATGTGCCTAAACTGTCTGGAACAACGTCTAGATGACTTCGATCGTGATCAATTAAAGCACTGTGGAGCAGTGTTCCTTGAAAACGAGTTCAGAGAGTTGGAAAACTATCTTACTGACCAATTGGGTGCTGAAATTGAGATTTGAATTTTTCAGTAAATATGACCCCAAAAATTTAATGCCGATAAAATATGTCCGCAGTTTGTAGGTGATCTCGTACAAAAGCTCTCGTAGATGACACAATTCATTCTCAATAGAAGAGCTTTGCTCCATTCAGCGCGGATTTGAAGCTGGAAGTCATTATTCGAGGCGCTTTTTTGGCTGCTACCGAATCCAGCCAATGATATTTTGTGTTGCCTGAATCTTGGTGACACGTTTTTTTAATGGCAGCTGTCGAGAAAATTGTACCAACGAAGCATCTGCTGTCGATTTTCCTTCTTCTTTTCTTTAGCTCTTGTTTATTCGAGATTATTTTCTGACTTGTCGTTATCAAATCGATTCGATAATCAAGAAACATGGTTGCTAGATTGTTTTCCGTCACCAAGAGAGCTACTTTGAAGGCCGCCAGAGCTAATTTAGCCCTTCAAAGAAGCTTGGCAACTGCCGGCCCAGCTTCTGGTAAGATCAGGTAAGTTCATTTCAGATGGCGTCAATTGAAGCTCAAGAGGTTGGCAAATGGCGTACATGCCGATTGTTGAGCGCAAGGGCGCACGATGCTCTGTTGTCGTTGTCACGCCGACCTCTTCCAGCTCGGTTGATTTCAATTGGTTTACAATGCTACGTTTCCGTTTGAATACAGGCGCGAGAGAGATCGTGATCGATTTCACAATGGTCGAAGAGAGCGAAACGGATGGTTTCCACCTCTCGTCAAATCAGAGGAGGGTATTTTTTCGCTCGCTCGTCTGGAAATATTTTTTCGGAAACATCAGGGGCTGCGTAACCAAAATTGTGGACATCAAGACTAACACATCTTAGAGCTGTTATCGGTGCCGTTGTCGACGTCCAGTTCGAGCAAGGCGAATTGCCTGCTATCTTGAATGCATTGACCATTGACCAAGGTAACAACCAAAAATTGGTTCTGGAGGTTGCCCAGCACTTGGGTGAGAATGCCGTCAGAGCTATTGCTATGGATGGTACCGAAGGTCTCGTGAGAGGTCAAACCGTTGTTGACACTGGTGCTCCAATCTCTGTCCCAGTCGGAAGAGGTACTTTGGGTAGAATTATCAACGTCGTTGGTGAGCCAATTGATGAGAGAGGTCCAATTGAATGCAAGCAAAGAAACCCAATTCACACTGACCCACCTTCCTTTGTGGAGCAGTCTACCGAGGCTGAGGTTTTGGAGACCGGTATCAAGGTTGTCGACTTGCTTGCCCCATACGCCAGAGGTGGTAAGATTGGATTGTTCGGTGGTGCCGGTGTCGGTAAAACCGTCTTCATTCAAGAGCTGATTAACAACATTGCCAAGGCTCACGGTGGTTTCTCTGTTTTCACCGGTGTTGGTGAGAGAACCAGAGAAGGTAACGATTTGTACCGTGAAATGAAGGAGACTGGTGTCATCAACTTGGAGGGTGATTCCAAGGTCGCCTTGGTCTTCGGTCAAATGAACGAGCCACCTGGAGCTAGAGCTAGAGTTGCTTTGACTGGTTTGACTATCGCTGAGTACTTCAGAGATGAGGAAGGTCAAGATGTGTTATTGTTCGTTGACAACATTTTCAGATTCACTCAAGCTGGTTCTGAAGTGTCTGCTTTGTTGGGTCGTATTCCATCTGCCGTCGGTTATCAACCAACCTTGGCTACTGATATGGGTTTGCTGCAGGAGAGAATTACCACCACTAGAAAGGGTTCCGTTACTTCCGTCCAAGCCGTTTACGTGCCAGCTGATGACTTGACTGATCCTGCTCCTGCCACCACTTTCGCTCACTTGGATGCTACCACTGTGTTGTCCAGAGGTATTTCTGAGTTGGGTATCTACCCAGCTGTCGACCCATTGGACTCCAAGTCTAGATTGCTCGATGTTTCCGTGGTCGGTCAAGAGCACTATGACGTTGCCACTGGTGTCCAACAAACCTTGCAAGCTTACAAGTCTCTCCAAGATATCATTGCTATTTTGGGTATGGACGAATTGTCTGAGCAAGATAAGTTGACTGTCGAGAGAGCCAGAAAGATTCAAAGATTCCTGTCTCAACCATTTGCCGTCGCCGAGGTCTTCACTGGTATTGAGGGTAAGCTGGTTAGATTGAAGGACACCATCGCTTCTTTCAAGGCTGTCTTGGAAGGTAAGTACGACCACTTGCCTGAAAACGCATTCTACATGGTTGGTGGCATTGAGGATGTCGTTGCCAAGGCCGAGAAGATTGCTGCTGAAGCCAACTAGATCAATTGACAAGTCATTGTATAGACAATTTCTGTTTTAGGCCTATGATCCACCTGAAAAAGACATGATTCTGAAAACTTTAAAGTAGAGTTAGTAGTATCGTACTGAGTTTTTCAAAACCGCGTTCGAAAATATCTTATTTTTTTTTATTATGAACTCTCTTATACAAAGTGCTAGTACCTTCTTCGATCGGCCAGGCTTTAACTGGAAGGCCGTAATATTGGGCTTTTCTACCGCCAGCTTCGTCTTCGAGTCCTACTTGAAGTACAGACAAATTCAAAAAGTGGCAAATGCAAAGGAAGTTTCTCCACTAATCAAGGACAAAATTGACAGCGAAACACTCTTGAAATCTTCCAGATATTCCCTGGCTAAACTTAAGTTTTCGCTCGTTGCCTCGTTTTATTCTCTTGTGCAAAACATTGCATTCTATCAATGTGACCTGCTAGCGAAATTGTGGTCGGGGGCCTCATATCTGGCGTCTTCGTCTGTTCTTCCAGCGGTCTTTGTCGGGTCTACAATCACAAAGTCCTTGTTCTTCATGGGCCAAATGTCTCTGATCAGTGTTGTTTTGAACTTGCCAGTCGATTACTACTCCAACTTTGTCATAGAAGAAAAGTATGGATTCAACAAACTGACTGTCAAGCTATGGCTTACTGATACAATCAAAGAAATTCTTGTTATGTTTTCCATCGGTGCTCCAGTCCTTGCTGGTTTTCTGAAAATTGTTGACTACTTTGGCGATCAATTCATGTATTATCTTTCTGTCTTCCTTTTTGTCGTTCAGATCTTCCTTATCATTATCTATCCTAAATTCATCCAGCCACTTTTCAACAAGCTTGAGCCTCTGGCTGACGGTGAGCTGAAGACCAAGATTGAGCAATTGGCTGAGAGAAACAAGTTCCCATTGGACAAGCTATACGTCATCGATGGCTCGAAGAGATCCTCCCACTCCAATGCTTACTTCATGGGTCTTCCATGGGGCTCCAAGCAAATTGTCATCTATGATACCCTGATTGCTTCATCCGAAGTGCAAGAAGTCGTCGCCGTGCTCGGCCATGAGATTGGTCACTGGTTCCTGTCTCATACGACCAAGCTGCTGCTCATCAATCAGGCCCACATCTTTGGAATCTTCACTTTGTTTGCTGCATTTATCAATAACAAATCGTTGTACCAGAGTTTTGGTTTCTACAAGGAGCAACCGGTTATTGTTGGATTTTTGTTGTTTGGCGACATTCTAAAGCCAGTGGACACCATTCTCGAGTTCGCCATGAACTTGCTTTCTAGAAAATACGAATACCAGGCTGATAGGTATGCGGTGGAGCAAGGATATGCTGAAGAGCTTAAGGTGGCACTGATCACACTCCACAAGGAAAATCTTAGCTCTTTGGACGTCGATTGGCTCTTTTCGGCTTACAACCACAGCCATCCGCACCTGCTTGAACGTTTAAGTTACATTGACCTCGTCGAGAGCGAGAAAAGCGAAAAGAAGCAGGACTGATTTGAAATTTAGTCTACCAGTCGATCTATCATCCTCATGATATTTCGCACCTTTTTTCGCGGAACAAGAAACCACTCTTTATGCACCCCGGAGTTGGCCGATTTGCATCCATCACAATACAGTCTCCCACTGCCGAATAAACTTCTTAGTTGCGCATGTACCTGCTGTTCAGATCTGAATGCATTTAAAGCTTTAAATGCTTGCTCATTGAAGTCGTATTTTTTGTAGCTGCGTAATGACAGACAGCTGAGCCTTTCCATCAAATCCGCCAGTTTATCTCTATTTGACGATACTACTCTGTCAAGAGTCTGTGGAGTCAAGAGCTGGAAATCTTGCTTGCACCGTTCTCTCCACTGGCTCAACCGGCGCCTGACCCGCTGCGTGGTATAACCCACCTTGATCAGGATATGTCGCTTCGGATCAAAAACCGACGTGTGTGCAAAATTGATCTGATTTTCGGGATTGGGATCTGCTTGTCGCAGCCATGTCTGTTTCTTGGGTGAACCCTCGATGAGATGCTTCAAGGTAAATATGTACACGTATCCGGCTTTGTCATTCGGCCCAGCCCCTTGGTTTATATGGTATTTACAATATGCTTCCTGTTTCAGTATTATCTTGCATCGCTCGCCCTTTGCCGTTGTCCCCAAACAACGTTTCATTCGAATAAATTTGAAAATAATATTATCTTTTTTCTAGTCTTTGGAGTTGGTAAACATGTAGCTCTGCTCCAGCACTTCCTTGGCACGGTTGATTTTCAGTGCTAGATACTCCGAGCCGCCTCTATCGGGATGATTGAGCAGCATCATCTTCCTATGCCGTTTCTTGACAATATCATGTGTAAGATGAAGTATCTCACTGGGCTGTATTTCGAGGATCAGTAAGGCTTCTGTCTCATTCATCTTTTCGTCAAATCCTCCTTTGTACATCCAAAATGGGTCCTTCGAATTGATGGGTTTGATGTTAATGTTATTCAAGATAGCAATCTGCTGGGGAGTCAAACGGACGAATTTGGAGTAAGCGGAAAGCGCCGACTTGACGGTCAAGGCGGCAACTGTAACCCCCACACCGATGATAAGAGGCAACACCTAAATGTTAGAGTCTGCTTATGTCCAAACTTACCATTGCTCGAGACACAGACGCTTCTGGTCTTTTAAATTTGGACTTTTTAAATATACAGGAATTAAATATTTTGGAGTATCCTGCAACATTAAATATGTCATAGCAGTGAGGAGATGATAAACGGTAGTCGAGCTCTCGATCATGGAGGGAGTAGAACCAAGCTATTAGATACCCAGCATAGGGGCCGTTAAGACAAAGCGGCGTCACAGCTTTAAGCGCGCCAGCTTCGGACGCCTCTGGGGCATCGATCGACTAGATCTAGTACACGCTATCTTCGAATACTGTTCCAAACTACGGTATTGTAGGCTACGGTGCGCACTTCAGTTGGTGGAACAGTAGGAAGCATGATCTTTGTCGGTTCCCAGATCTAAAAATTTCAGGCTGTGTTAAACTATACTCTGTTAAATTCGTGCTCGATAATGGTCAATAACAAGCCCGCCCAAAGTCAGACATCAGTATCCAAGTCTCCATCGGCGCTGATGCTGGTGGTATGTATTGCGGGCATATATGGTTCGTTCCTTTCCTGGTCGTACCTCCAGGAAAAAATCTCTTCCAAGAACTACTCGTCTGACGGTGAAGCCTATTTCAAAGCACCACTGATTATCAACAGTGTGCAGGCGTTTTTTGCAATGATCGTGGGAACAGTGTATATGTCGGTTAAATCACGGAGATTGGAAACACCTTTTCACTTCCTCTTTCGAGACGCAGAGCTGTTACGGAATTTTGTGCTCATAGCATTGAGTCAAGCTGTTTCTTCGCCAATTGCCTATCAATCGCTCAACCACCTGGACTATCTGTTCTACTTGCTTGCCAAATCATGCAAATTAATACCTGTCATGCTGGTCCACCGACTTCTATACAACTCCAAATTCCCCCCCTACAAGTATGTGGTGGCAGGTCTGGTGACTTTTGGCGTCGTGGTGTTTTCCATCAGTAATGAGACGAAATCCACCAGCAATGACGGTCGCATCCTACTTGGATTCGCGTATCTTTTTGTATCGCTCCTACTTGACGGGCTAACAAACTCGACTCAGGATCAACTGTTCTCGAAAGCTCAGTTCGAAAGAATCACCGGAGCTCATCTCATGGCCGGCCTGAACTTGCTCAACGTGGTCTTCACATCCACATACACAGTCTTATTTACGCGACAGCTGAGCTATTTCAAGCAGTTCATGGCCAACAATGGGTGGGAAGTGGCGCAGGATATCCTAATGTTCGGGTTGCTGGGATCTCTTGGCCAAATCTTCATTTTCTTAACGTTGGAGAACTTTGGCTCTCTGCTACTAGTCACAGTCACAGTGACGCGCAAGATGTTTTCGATGTGTCTCAGCGTGTTTCTTTTTGGCCACAAATTGAACGCGAGCCAGTGGTTCGGCCTCTTGACCGTCTTTGTGGGGATATTCCTGGAATCTTTCTACAAGATGTTCGCGCATCGGAAGAAAATAGATTAGACGTAGTATATTAAGTTGTATACTTTTTGCTAGTAATACAGTGATATGCTCATATACACAGAAGCCTGGCTCTCAGGCCAGTGGAAGAACTGAATCATCAAGATGCTAATGAAAAACTATCGGTGCGCCAACTGTAACAGGCACCGTGCTGCTCCTATAGAAGACGGAGTGGACATTAATCTTGTAGGAGACAAATCTATTTGGTTTGGTCTAGAGATCGAAGACAGCACCTTGGATGTCTCTGTCATGCTGGTGTTAAGCTGGGGCTTAATAGGGGTCATAAACGTGGAATCGGAGCCCAAAAGCGTGGAATCCGATTGATGGATCGCGTTTCGAGGCACAGGAGGAAGCTTGGCCTTGTTGGCGCCATTGGGAGTGGTAACAAAGCGCGAAGGAGATGTCTGGGCGACGCTGTTCAGAGTTGAAACTCTTCTATACTTCAAAGACGCCCGCTTCAAGTTAGCACTGGTGGCTCTTTTTTTAACAACGTCATCCAAGAAACTGACACCTCTCCTCCTCGTTTGTCCAGCTCTGCCATTTCTGTTCAAAACAGGAGTTGAGGAGGCCAGGAGGTCATCTAGCGCGTTGGACCGACGGCGCTTAGATATCGGAGAACCGTGTTGTCTTTCTTTGCCTGGAACCTTGAGGCTACTCAGTGGCACGTCCATTTGGTTGGTGGTGACCTTGTAGTATGCCAGCTGTAGCTTGAGCTTGAGCATTCTAGCTCTTTGGAGTTTGGGAGACATTTCTTTGGACCCTTCAAATGAGAGGACATGTTTGCTGCCGCTCACGTCTGGTATTCTCAGAGCATTGTTGTCCAAGCTTGCCAGAGCAGGTCTTGTGGTAGTCGTGGTAGTCATGGCTGCTCGTTAACCAGTTTATCCACCACCAATGCTAGTAAATGAAAGAACGACGAAGTTGTTAGATATGCCACACGCTTGAATAAACAAAATACTCGATCCGAGGGTGTTTGTTTTGGAATTACCAAAATAGTTACGCTACCCAGAAAAAATAATGGTAAGCCATGCGCGACGAATACACGAAAAATAAACGAGCGAGTTGCGCGACGGGTTTTTTGTACTAGCCGGAGTCCTGCAGGTATACGGTTGTGGCTAGAAGTCAAGCTCACCGATTACCTCATGCAACTTAGTAACATAGGTGGTGTTGATGGTATCTCCTCTACCGCTCGCAACGCGTAAAACCATCTCGTTCAGATCTGCACTTCCAAGAATGTCAACATGCTCCGCCGTTTTTGCACCGCCTCGAATATCGAATCTATCGGGCTCGTGCTTCATCTCCACAATTGTAACCTTCGAATTTCCCGGATTGTACATGTTATCTCCTTCCTGCGACCACTTGTGGCACATTGCGTGTGTCATTAGTGAGACCGTGCCATCGCCGTCGGAAAGAAGCACGCTCTGCTTGTTATCGGTGTCAATCGACACGTTCAGCTTTGATACATCCTTGTTCAGCTCCTCGCGGTAATTGTATGCGCGCTCTGTAGGGTTTCCAACACCATAGAAACAGTAAATCTTCATATCTGGCGCGTTAGGTAGGGGCACCTCCAGCGGATTGATCCATTTGTTGAATTGCTTCTCATTTTCCAAAAGCTCCTTTTTCGACTTTGCAACACCGTTGGAGTAGTGCTCTAATGTTCTGCGCGTAAACCAATCAGGGCCCTGCTCAAGCAGAAACTCAATGGATTGCGAAACAGTGAGGTTTCGTCTGGAGAAGTCTCCAACTTCCTCAACGAATCGGATGAACTTCCCCATTGTTTCATTAGCTTTTTGACCGTCGCCTGCGAAAGCGTCGTCCGGAGCAGACTCAAGATTTCCCCAAATCAGGTCTCCTCCCTTTGGTATCATACTGGCAATGCCTCCGAAGGACTTGAGCATGTCCAGCCTCTCTCTCCGAGAGAAGAATTTCTCCAGGCCCTGAACAGCAAGGGCGTTCAATTGGACAGTGTCTTTCATTTCTCCTGAGAGCAATGCCACGATCGCCTTGGGAGTACCCAATAAACAGCCCGAGATGTCAACAAACGCCTCAATGTGGTCATTTACCCACTGAGGACCACCATTTCCAAAATGTTCTCCTTTAGCTTCAACCCACTTGAGAAAATAAAATATCACCTGGGCACCCATTGAGTGACCGTAGAGCACGGTTTTCTCGCCATTGAGCTTCTTGCTTAACTCGATCTGAGATTTGAGCTTTGAAAAGTAGCCATCTCTTCTCTCCAAGTCCAGATAACTCAGTCTCCAATCATAAGCAGCGCTGAACATATTATTAGGGCCATATCCTATTACAGCCAGATTTTGAAGGATCTTGTTCCATATCCAGTAGCCGGCCATAAAGAAGTCCGCTGCTTCAAACCCTTGCGCTGCTCTCAACCTTATTCCTGGGGGGTCTAGTCCTGTTTCCGGATCTAACATAATATGCTTAAGCCAGCAAGCTTTATCCAAAAACATGGTCCTTATCATATAAAACGATCCCCAGAGTCTCTTTCTGAAATGAGGCTCGCTTCGACAATCCTCAGTGCCCTCTAGTCCCCAACTCTCTATTCCTGTACTGATGACACCGGGTACCATGATAACAGGGTGTTTTGCCTCAAAGCCTTCTTTCTTCAGCAGTCTACCAATTGCAAAAGACTCACTTGGGTCATGGAAGTCTTCAGTGCCGGTCTCTTCCAGCAAGCTTTGCAGAGAAGTAGGAAGTACGTCTTTCCAATCTTCAAAGTAGCCGCTGAGAGTCTCGAATTTGATTATGGAATCGAAGTCGGGTAGCATATCGTTATCAACCATGGATTTCGAGCCGAAATAAAGAGCAACAACAACACCAAAAAATATACCAGAGACAAACATAAACCGCTTCGTCATCAAGAAGGTCCTTGCTTTAGACCTATCATTCCCAGGGATGTTGGAGTCTTTTGTCGCACTTGGAGAAACTGTCGCAGGTACACTGATTTCAAGAATCTTGCTTTCATTGTCAATGACACTATGTACCGAAGCTCCGATCTCGTGAGCGGAAGTTTTCACTCCATTGTCTCCCTCAAAATTGCCGGCTCTTTTGGCTATACTTCTGCGTTTTGGGGGCATTTGCAAAAACCGGTGAGAGAATAAGGAGCCTTAATTTATCTAAACGAGATTTTATGAAATAGAGATTTGTGTTAGAGGTAAAACACAAAATTACGCATTTTATGGCTGTCGACAAGGATAACGAATTCCTTAATTTTGCTCCCTTACTGGACCAGAATTCTGCTCTGGACGATGCCAATGATGATGAACAGCTGCCTCTGCCTCAGTTATTGGCCAAGATCATTGCACAGCGAGGGTCCTTTTTGGACATTTCCGAGGACAAGTTGAGAGAGGAAATTGAAAACGAGCAATTGTCGAAAGAGACAGCGACTGATCAAGACGACGTTGAGATGGAGGCGGAACTGCCGTCTACTCAGGAGCAGCTCAGGTCTTACGAAGAGTTTACGAAAGTTAAACAAGAAATTATCAACTCTGTCCACTCTGCTTTGAACGAATCGTCTTTATCATTGGACTTTGTTTCCCTTTTGATTTCCTGTGTTCGTCCAGCGGCAGGTTCGTCATCCATGTCTCCTCATTTGAAGCAACACATCAAAATAGGATCTCTATCAAGCGACAAGGTCGACCCTCCAGAAGATACTGAAAAATTGCAGCTGGACATCTCAAAAGTCGGTCGAGGCTGGAAGTTGGAAAGTCTGGAGCGCGCAGCGGCAAATTTAAAGTCTTCCAGCTCCAGACTCAAAGATGAGGTGGCAAAAGAGAAAAATTTCTGGTCAGGCATGGTGGAGGTGCTGAAGTCGAACGAGGTGATCACGAGTATGAATATAAAAAACACCAGAGAGGTCTGTGTCAAGTACGGATATGGGGATGCCGGATCAACGTACTACGATAAGGGAATAGGAATTCTGAAAAAAGACGCGATCACCGGCAATCTCTTTTTCGAGAACTCTGCTCCAGCTAAAGAAGAAAAACGAGACAAGATTGTCAACGTCCGGATATATGAGAAAAACGGAGAGAACATTAATCTGATCGGCGAATCCAACCTAGAACCGAGATTGCGCACGTTTAAAGAGAAGGAAGGTGTGATAAACGAGATCGCAAAGGCAAGATATTTTCTGTTTGAAGAAGAGTTGTTTTATCAATTGCTCCGAGAGGCCGCAACTCTGATATCTCTCCAGGTATCCGCAGAGGAAGATAAGATCGTGATAGATCTCCATGATGAAGTCATAGAGATCACACAAATCACGCCCGAAAAAGTTCATGCTCCCGCAGACCTTCCATCAAATGAACGAGCAGACCTCATCCAGATATACTTGCGATTGATGCTCTATGCAGAGCACAAACATAATTTGGACCAGCGAAAAATACCTCCTTTAGCGTTGGACACAGAGTCCCAGAGCCCACCCCAGACATCTTTCTTGTCGCTAATTCGTCCAATTATCGTTTACAATCGCCATGAGCGCACGTTGGATTCCGTACGCGACGTGCTGGAATCTATCATTTTAAACCTCTTCGAGAACGACAGAACAAAAACTAAAGATCATTTAGCAGAACATTTGAAAATAAACAAGCATTGCAGCGAGTCATCTGCACGCTCGAAAGATCCCTTTGCGCGTATTAGCACGCCGCCTGCCTCAGTTCTGGAACTCGCTACTGACTCACTGTTGGTGCGAGTCAAGCTGACCTCGCTGTTTGCATCTGCTTATTCGGTGATGAACCTCACATTGGAAAACCGGACCGGTTCCACGATCTTGGATGTGACTCTTAATGACGTCAGAGAGCTAGAGGATTGTTTGAACTGGGCAGTGCGCAACCATGATTCCATATAAATTATATAAGGCTGTGCGTCCCCATATGCGAAGTGAAGCTCGTCTCGAAAAAATCTGGCTGCAATGAGCAAAACTAAAGTTCTTCTGGTTGGTAGCGGTGCCCTTGGAATTGTGGCTGCTTATACACTGGAATATAACGGATTTGCAGAGGTTACCGTGGTGGTGAGGTCAGGCTACAGAAAAGCCTCAACGGAGGGATACAAAATAGACTCGGTGCAATTTGGCAGCATTGACCATTGGAAGCCGATGAAGATGGTTAGTTCCGTTCACGAAGCTGTTGCGAATGGCGAAGTATACGACTACATATTTGTGTCCGTCAAGAACTTGCCAGACTCGCCAACGCCCTGCGAAATGATCATCGAGTCTGCGATGAAGACCAATCCAAATACGGCCGTTATACTGTGCCAGAACGGTATTGATATTGAAAAGCCATTAATAGAAAAATACCCGGGTCATGTGATTTTGAGCTGTGTCTCGCTCATAGGATGTACAAATATCGACTGTGTGGTGACCCAGATGACGCCAGATAACGTTCAACTAGGAGTTTTTGAAAACCCGACCTTGAAAGACCGCGCCAGAGCTGAGCAGATCTTGGACAAGTTCATTTCTATCTACCGTATGAAGGAGGGCAAGAACGTGGTCAACAAAGACACTAATGTTAGACAGACCAGATGGCAGAAGCTGTTGTATAATGCTGCGGTTAATACGTCGACTGCCCTGACCGATCTAGATTGTAGCAGGGCAGCAATGGCAGGTTGCAAAGAAGCTATATGGAGACCGGTCATGAGAGAAATATATGCAATCGCCAAGTCAGACGGATATACGCTTCCTCCAGAACTTGAGGACATCATGCTGAACATATCCGATGGCTTGTTCTACACCCCGTCGATGCTGGTCGACGTTAGAATGAACAGAATGATAGAGGTGGAAACTATTGTTGGAAATCCCCTCAGGATTGCTGAGAAACACGGCAATGTCGCGCCCCACCTTTCTATGATTTACCATCTGCTCAAGATGGTCCAGTTCCGCATCAAGGAAAAACAGGGTCTTATCTGTGTCGACGACTCTGTCAAGGAGTACAAGACAACTGATGAGTACGCCAAAGGCTTCTAAATAAATGACACCCCCACACCAAAATAGATTAAATTTATTCTGTATCATGAGCAAGATATTCAGTCGGTTCAGGTCCACCAAAGTGCTCGTGTTCCCAGGACAGGGCCGATTTGATGTCAATTCGCTATCTTCTTTGACCAAACACCAAAATGTGCCTTTGGTGCAGTCGCTGTTGGCCCAGACAGACGAGACGCTGCCTACATTGCGGTTGTCGGAGTTCATAACTGATCCCGCGACTGCGTTGACCCAAAGAGACATTCAATTGACGTCTATCCAGCAGCCGCTGCTGATACTAACATCTTACATTACTTACCATCTTCTCAGGGCCGTGAAAAATGAAAATATTCTCAACGATACCGATTTCTTGCTGGGCCATTCTGTGGGTGAAATATGCGCCTTGGTTGCGCAAGACTCAATCCCTTTTGTGGCAGGACTCGAATTGGCATACAAAAGGGGTATGCTAATGGAAAAACTAGTGAAGGAAACAGGGAAGGCTTTTTCAATGCAGGCATTGTTATTTCAACCGACTCACTATAAGTATATTACACAAATTCTAGAAGAGCTGGACGTACAAGTCAGCAACTACAACAACTACCAGCAGCTTGCCGTTAGTGGGGAGAAAACTGAATTGAGTCAGAAAATCGATCAACTCAAGGCAAGGATTGCTAAAGCCGGGGTCTGGAAAACACGAGTTCATAGCATCGATCTCGGGGTGAATATTCCATTCCACAACCCAGTTCTGCGACCCATAGAAAAGGAGTTGGGACAATTGTTTGAAAAGACAGTTCCCGTAAAACGTGCTTTGGGCGTTCCGATGGTGTCCAACCTGAATGGTGAAATGGTGGCAGATGTGAATACACAGGTGAAAAATATTGTCCAGGTGACCTCAAAACCAGTGCAGTTCCTTAAATGTCTTGAAACGTTAAGTTCCTTGGACGATGAATTTGAGTTTATCAGCTTCGGAGACACCACGTCAAAGATAATCCAGAAATACTTCCAGGATGCTCAAAAACTGAAAAATCTGCGCGCCAAATGTTCGACCAGGACGGTCGATGACCTATTGAGCGCGTAATGACATACTATTGTATAGGAATGAAATTTCCCACGATGCAGCTTGGAATGTTGTACTTGTCTCGGCGAATAGTGAAACTGAAACAGCAGTTCCTCTTTTTCCGACCGTCCTTGCTACGCAGGTTGCAGCTGGTCATGACGGCCTTCTGAGTGTTGTCAAATGCAATTGCTCCATACTTTTCCCAGAAGTTGACACTACTCTCTTCTGTCATCAGCTCGTAGATGGTGAGCTTGCCATTTTTGAGGTCGTCAATCGAAACTTCGACCAGAGACGCGAATTCTTTGTTTCCTCGATAAATTTCGCCCGTTCTTCTCCAAAGACAAGCAGGGATGGCCATCGACGTGAAAACACGATCGTAGTCCAGAAGCATTCTCTCGAAGTTCTCTTCCACCAAAATGAGATCGATATCCTTTAAAGCCTTCGCAATAGCCCGGAAACCCGGTCTAAACATGGACAGCGGTTTCAAAATTCTCTGTCTCGATGAAGCGGCCATATGGTTGTCCATGTAGTTCTGCAGTCTTTGATAACCTTTTGCATAATTGTAAGGCTTCAAAAGTCCAGCCTCGAGTTTGGCATTAATAACCTGTTTGAGTCGTTCTTCTGGTGAGATCTCAGTGGTGGGGTCGGCTGCGGTAAGGAAGAACTTGTCTCTTGCAGAATCAGACACAAACGGTTGTCCGGAGGACCTCGTGGATGGTTGAGCCACATTTGGGTTGACTTGTGGTTGAGAAACGAAGGGCTCATACAGATTCTGTGCGGCGCGAACGGAGCTGTTGGGCAGAGCCACCTGGGCAGATATTGGCGGATTCTGTTTTTCGATAGCTGGAGAGCTAGACGTTTTAGCAAAAAGACTATTTTCGAACGCAGGCTCAAAAGGCGGCATCTGGTTCAGGGTGGAGGCCGGATCGCTGTTCCCAGGCAGGCCTGTGAGTTTGTTGAGCAGCGGATCGTTGTCCAAATTGATCGAATTCATCATATCTGTATCGTCGATCATAGAGAGAAACTCGGTAAGGGAGTTGAATTCAGAACCTGCGTGTTCGGAGTAGAAAAACGGCTGCTGATTTATGGCACTTTCTGATGGCTTGGCTGACAGATAGCTGCGCGGATTGGCCTGCTGTGGTGTCGTCGCGTCGAAGTCGACAACGTCCTGGCTGATGGGCTGATGGCGGTATATTCCAAGGGGACTCAATTTTTCTGCACTGGAGCTGTTCGCCCGAACTTCGTCCAAGTTCGCGTACCCTGGCGATGAAGAGGACCGGTCAACGGTGGCGCTTGCTGACCTTTTGCTTCTGCGGCCTCCCTTAGTGGGCTCGTCGCGGCAAAGGTGGCCTATGTTTCGCTTCAGACATCGCTGGCAGGGACGGCCTTGATCGCAAATCATGTGCGATCTCCTGCAGTAAACACAGGCAACGTTGACTTTTTTGCGTTTTTTTGGTGGTCCATTGGGCATTATTTTGGAGTACTCTTGATTTTCCATCCGTTCTTCAGAGCTTTCCTGCTTTATCAAGGGCGTGGAGGTCTCTCCATCAGGCGACTGGTGCATACTCGACATACCGTTGTGCTGTTGCTGAGAGTCTTGTGAATTGTCGTCGCTGACACTCATTGTACATGTAAATGTCTCATAAAAGTGTAGTCCAAAGATTTTCGTTCCCCGGAAAATGAACAAATTGAACTAAGTGACGTAGACGAATTAGCAAGTCCAACAATTAATTGTGTATCTACCTTACAAAACCTAAACACCCTACTCCTGCTTCTTGTGGTCCTCCTTCACCATCTTTCTGTCGGCCACCATGTACAAGATGGAGACCACGACAAACGCAAGTATGAACTTGACCAGCATGTTGTACGCCACTGCATGAAAGTCTGCCTCTTCCACAGCGTCGGCAACGATTTTGGCACCGGAGAGCGGGTTCATCTGAGCCAAAAGAAGGTTGCTTGAGATTTAAAATAAATTAATTTTGCCCTGGCTGACTAATCTTTTCACCATGCTCTCGTTTCTGCCGTTTGCAAGAAAGGCATCTTCCCTATCTAGAATAGCGGTTCCAAACAACAAGCCCGTGCTGATCCTGGTGGTATCCATAGGCAACCCAGAAACCCAATACCACGGGACCCGTCACTCGGTCGGTCATATGATTTTGAAAAATTTATGCGAGTCTCAAGGTTTTTCCCAGGTCAAGCAATTAAATGGGTTCAAGTTCAAATGCAACGCAGACAAGCCAGACGTCCTCTTGTACCAAACCCCGGGGTTCATGAATCTAAGCGGGAAAAATCTAGCCAAGCCCTGGAAGGCGATCTTGGCACAGCCTCAATGGAACCCGGTGCTCGTGGTGCTCCACGACGAGCTCGATCTGGACCTGGGGAAAGTGCGTGTGCGAAAACAAAATTCTTCAGCACGCGGGCATAATGGTCTGAGATCTATCCAGCAGCACATCGGCAGAGGCTACAACGCCATACAGATCGGAATCGGAAGAGATTCCAGCAGCCAAAAAGACCCGGACTCCGTGAGCAAGTACGTGCTGTCTAAATTTAGCGCGCAGGAGGTGGAGCAACTCCACCAGCACGTAGTGCCCCGAGTGGCTGCCATAATTGAAGAGATGCGGCAGCACAAGCATATTTTTGAAACCTTGTGATTACATAATCCTCACGACTCACTGGGTAAGTGCGGAGTAGCATGGAGGCATGATGATGATTGTGGGGTGACTTTAGATATATATAGAGAGCGTAAGGAACGCAAAAATTGTAAGCATGTTCAAAACAGCAGCTGGCCGTACCCTCAGAGAAAGCTCAAGAGGACTTCTCAGACAGCCATCCACATCTCTTATCCGCCACTACTCCCTTGCAGACAGGCAGGGTGTCCTTAGATTAGAGGAGCTGATGCTCCAATGTCACGCTTATCCGGACCTCAGAACCAAGGCATATGACGCATTCAAAGTTGTTGACAAGGCCATCACGGTAGCAGACAAGCGTGCCAATTCGTTCTTCTTTGATAGATATTCGGCCATCACAAGTTTCATGTTCAGCGTGCTGTTCACGAGAGAGATACTCCGCAAGCCAAATAAAGAGGTTGTTGACCAGTTTTTGGATTCTATCGCGCTACATGACATCGACTTCCAGCTAGAGGATGTCAAACTGGTAATCCAATATTTGGGTACACTCAAGAGATTGCTGTGAACGGAACATATATGACGACATATACTATTTATTTATTTAACTGAATTTCCATCTATTTCCGCAGTTCTCGCATGTACAGAAGGTTGTAAGCGGCTCGTCCGCAGATCTCGTTTGCATCTGGTAGTAGCTGACCTCTCTCTTGTTGCACTTTCCGCACACAAATCTGTCTGTGATGGCACGCTTCTGCACCGCGCCCTGGGCGTCGAACAGGTTCTTCTGGTGCAGATCGGCAAGCTCTTTCTTCAGAGCTTCAGGGGCTAGCTCCTGGTTCGTCATGGTAACGAATTTCGACGACTTGATTTCTCTGCTCAGCAGCCGTGCTCGCAGTTCTGGATTGTTCTTATTTCTTAGGTTCATGATTAGTGATCTCATCTTGTTGCGGTACTGGTCCGACACTTTAGAGTCCGTCAGCTTGAAGGCCTCTGCCTCGATCTCCTGCGCTATTAACACGATTTCCGAAGGCAGTTTGTCGGAAGTCATGGCCAACGCCGTGTACAGACCAGAGATCGACCCGTTTCTCGTGGAGTTGTCGTGAATATTGATATTGACACCATCGTTTGCAGGGTTACGTGGTTTTGACGTCACAAACGTTTTGGTCTCTCTGTTTTCCACTGGAGGCGATGCTGACGTGGTGGCCGCAGGGCTCTCGGGCGATGACTCTTTAGGTGGAGCCTTGCTGGACTTCTTTTCCTTCGAAACCTGCTCCTTCCATTGCTTGATTATCTTCTTCACAAGCGAGCTCACTTCCACGTCCGCATGTGTCCGCAGCTTATTCACCGCCACTCCCACCTTAGTCTCTCTGAGAAACTTTTCAGTGGCTACCACTTCTTTTTTCAGCACTTCCAACAACTCAACAATTGTTTTCGTGTCTTGCGCCTTGTCGAGACTCTTTATCACAGTCTTCACTTCGTGGGCGTCCATGCTGTACGTTTCCGAGCTTCCCTGTTCTGTTTCTCGCCCTCGACCTCTCCCCGGTAAACAAAATACGCTTATCACTTTTCTTGAACAAAATTTCAGCACATGAGTCGTGTACACTTACATATTGCACTAGCGCGAGTCCGATCAGATCAAAATACTTATTAAAGCCGTATTTAGTTGGTGGTGACCTCGTGAATGGCCTTCGCCAGGTTGTCGACATTAGCAGGGTAGATACCGGCAATGGAGATTCTTCCGTCGGAAGTCAGGTAAACAGACTTCTCGATCAGTCTCTTCACCTGGTCCTCCTTCAAGCCAGTGTAACAGAACATACCCTTTTGGTTCAGCAAGTGGTCCCAGTTCAATGGGTTCTTGTAGGTGTTCTTCAGTTTGTCATGCAGCAGTTTTCTCATCTCAACAAGTCTGTCAGACATCACCCTCACGTCCTTCAGCCACTGCTGGTAGATAGCGTCGTCAGAAAGGATGATCTCGACCAGCTTCGAGCCGTGAGATGGGGGAGACGAATAGAGCGGTCTGATGACCTTTTCCAATTGCGACTTCACTCTAGCGGTTTCTTCTGGACCAGCAGTGATGAGAGACAACGAGCCGACTCTTTCACCGTAGAGACCCATATTTTTGGCAAACGATTGCGAAAGAAGGAAGTTGGAGATTTTTCCGTCCACAACGGCCTTGTTGAATTTGAACAGAATGGCCAAGTCGTCGATTGGAGAACCAGATCTAAATCCCTGGTAGGCCATGTCCAGAATTGGCAACAGCTGCTTCTGGGAAACAACATCCAGTATCTTGTCCCACTGCTCCAACTCCGGGTCGACACCAGTAGGATTGTGGCAGCATGCGTGCAGAAGAACGACGGTGCCCGGCTCTGCAGAAGCCAAATCGTTCAACAGACCAGCTTCGTCCAGTGCGTTGGTTTTGTAATCATAGTAGCTGTATTTGCCGGTGGTCAGGCCAGCCTTTTCGAGAATGGCGACGTGGTTGGCCCAGGTTGGGTTTGGAACGAGAACTTTCTTCGACTTTGGATAGAATGTTCTCACAAACTCCCCCAGAACTCTAAGAGAACCGGTACCGGAGATTCCCTGGGCAGTGAGAACACGGCCGTCCTCGAGAAGCTTCTTACCGGCCTCATCGTGCGAGTAGAGCATTTTCTTGATGAGTTCGTTGAATTTTGGCGACCCGACGATCGGAACGTACTCCTTATTGGTTTCGGTCTGTGCCAAGACTTGTTCTGCAGCCTTCACAGAAGGCAGAATCCATGGCTTTCCGTCATTGTCTCTGTAAGCTCCAACACCAAGGTTGATCTTGGATGGGTTTGTGTCGTTGTTGTACAGCACAGTCAGACCAAGAATTTTATCGGCTGGAGCAGCCTGGACTGAGGCCCAGGCAGACTCCTGTCTCTTGGCGACAAAGAAGGTAGCTTTTGAGAATTGCAGTCCTCTGGCGGCTCTTGAACTTGTAACTCTCAACATGGCTTAATTTTTAGTGCAAATTCAGGTTCCGTTTAAATGTTCTCTTGGTGCATATTTATACTACTCTCCATACACCCAGCTGCATATCTTTTTCAAGATGATTCAATTTTTTCATTTTCCATGCACGAAAACACCGGAGACGGCTAGGAGTCAAAAAGTTTGAGCTGGCCAATTGGCGCAATACGCCACGCAAATACTGACCGTTGAGAGAGAGCAGATCGGCAAGTCTCCGAATCGGTGATGCGATGTTCGCTAGCGTGGGCCACCGGAGTCACCTTTGGACAATACCAAGGCCCGGGGTTTTCCACGAACGGATCTACAGTTACCCGCTGATATATTTTTTTTGAGTCATACCCCTCATGGGTCACTTATAGTCTCGGCTCCCCTCTTCTCATCTCAAAACCGTTTACAAAGCCTTTAGTGTTATTATAGTCGCTGAAAGGTGTTATTTAGGCTATTTGCACGTGGACACCAGCTATTTGTGGCCGGCAAATCGAGACTGGCCTTTCGACCTCGTAGAAACCCGGCCCAAGCCTAAACGGCTGTAACACAGGAGAAATGGGAATAATGCTGGATGACATAATCAAGTATACCGATCACGCCTGGTTAATGTACATGGCATCGATCTTCTGAAGCGATTTGCCGAGATTCAGCTTGAGCTTGGTTCGGTACAATGCCGGCGCATTCAGCTGAATAGGATTGCCTTCAAAGTACACGGTGTCCAAATTTGGAAGGTGTCCCAATTGCTCTCTCACGTTATCAAACGAGTCGATCTTGTTGTATGAGCACCAAAAATCTGTCAATTCTGTCAGGTGGCTGAGATTCTCGAGCTTGCTGATCTGGTTAGCCGTAACATCCAGAACCATCAGCTTGTGCAAGTTGTCCAAGCCTTCAAGCTTGGTCAATTTGTTGTGCGATAGATACAGCTCCTCCAGGCTTTCGAGGTGATCCAAGTTTTCGATCTTGGTTATCTTGTTCGATTGGATAGATAGAACCCGGAGACGTTTCAGATTTTGGAGGTTTTCGAACTTTGAGATCATGTTCTTACCCAGCCAGAGTTGCTCAACACTTGGCAGATGGAGCAATGTCTCTGAAATAACTTCGATCCGGTTTCCACCCAGCTCGAGGTTCTTCAGGTTTTTAAGCGTCTCCAGATTCCGTATTTCCTTGATGCGGTTTTGCACAAAGTAAAGGTTCTCCAGTTTCGTGAGAGCTTCTAGGTGCTTGATGTTCTTGATATTATTGAAGGATAGGTCCAGAGTAGTAAGGTTGGTGAATTCGTTAATGTGTTTTGAGATGTGCTTGATCCTGTTGTCGTAAAGATCCAGCTCTTCTAGCTTTTCCTTGTTCGGTAACTTCTTGAGCCCGTTTGCACTCTCCAGCAAGTTGTCTCTCAGAACCAGGCTTTCCAGACTATGAAATCTCTCAAGCCCCAATGCATCGAGATCACGAATTTTGTACTGGATAAGATCAATGTATTGTACATCATCAGGAAGGCCTTCTGTTAGTTCTCTGTCTGAAGGCAGAACCTCTGGATTTGGATCATCAATGGTTTGCATTCCAAACTTCTCCTGTAGCTCTTCCACCTGGTCACGTGGCATCCCACGCTCCTCTGGAGCTTCCTGGTCATCTGAAGACATAATTTCTGCCATTTCAGCGTCCGATTGGATATTTTTATCGGTCTTCTCGTCACTCATTGCGCTAAATTCAAAATATATTTTATTTCTCAATCAATTAAATCGGGCCTAGATATCGAGTTCACATCTCTGCACCGCAATATGCCCCTTCCACACAACCTCTACTCAGTATGTTCATGATTCCATGATTATCTACATAACAAAGTCCCCGGACACCGTACAGCCAGAGGCAAAGGCACTTATTCGCCTCGTGTGGCACGAAACAATAAGCCTATTGGCTCAACGGATCTCGGGATCCAGGGATTCTTGAGCAGGCATGTAGCTCTTCAAGACATAGTCAACACATTCTCCCACGGACTTGATCTCGTTGGCAACTTTGTCGTCGAACACCACGTCAAACTCTTCCTCGAGGGCAACAAGCACATCGTTGTAGTCTAGCGAGTCCATGCCCAAATCCTTGATGAACTCGGTCTCCATACCAATCGAGCTGGATGGAACCTTCAGCTCGAAGGAGTTCAGCACGGAAATCGATCTGGCAAGCACATCCTCTTTGGTTAAAGAAGAAGTAGAGGAATAAAATTTGACGCCATTCATGAATCTGACCGGTTGCATTCTAGCAGCAGGAACAGGTCTCACTGCTCTAGCAACCCTGGCGGCATTTCTCATACTGTAAGCAAATCTCAACATCTTGTAATGTGTTTATAATCAGTGCGGTCGGATATTTGCCTAAGTTTTTTTTTTTCCAAAGTAGATTTCTCCTCTTTATTTCTGCAAAATTCGGAGCATTTTTTAATTTGAGCCATGGACTCGAAAGTCTTATTTTCTACGTATATGCGACATTCTTGAGTTTGTAAGTTGCTTTAGAGTTACAGGCAAAAGCAACAGTGATCCTGATGTTTTGGCACAGGTAGGATCGACCAAGGTCCCAACGGAGAGCTGATCTCCCATTACATCAATTTGCCTCTAGATAAATGGAAAAGCTTTTCCCAAGACAGAACATGTGGCACAGTAGCCATGACACGCCGGATAAATGCCACCTCCAAAGGTTTCCAAGATGAGCTGCCAAACTGTTGTTCACAGTTAGACGTGGCTCTTTCGGCACTTACCCGGCCGTCATACCGAGATGTAAACTTTGTTGAAAAAAACCTCTTACAACTATAGAACTCCTTTTGTTTCCGCCACATTCAGCTAATCGCTTACCAACGTGCCAAACATACGCATCTGTACATATTTTGATAGATTTGGCTGGTGAAGGAGACATTTAGGTTCGGTTACGCTTGTTTTTCGCCAATATTGTATATTAGTTTGTCATGTCGGATGTTAAGCGGTCAGTGTCGCCAGGGCCAGAAGCCTCCAAGATTCTGAAGAAAATCAAGAGGTCGGCCGAGCCTCTAGATGAGCTCAGCGAGTTTGGCCCTTTGACCCAGGAGGACGTTGTTTACTATCAGAAGGAGGCTCTTTATAGGATGATGAATCTCTACCGAAATCGAAATAGGCGACTCGGCAAGAGCCTCAAAGATCTTGAAGAGAACTATGCTCGAATTTACCGGTGCTATAGCATTTTGAACACCTGGTGGGCTGAGATTGTGGAGCATTTCAAAACTCACGACAAATTCGAGATGAAAGCTGACGTCAACGAGCACGTTTTAGTTCCTGTCGATGAAAACTTTGATGCCGATATGGAGAAGCTGAAGGAGACCAGAATAGCACTTATCAACTTGATTCAGCCCTTGTTATCTCTCCCAGTTTCGGAACATGATGACAAGCTGGCGACGTTGCAGGAATCTCTGGCCGGCTTGAGTGTTTTTAAAAGCCAGCTGGAGGACGAGAATAAGCTATTGCGAGACAAGATCGAGGAACTGAATCAGGAGCTGGACGTTTACATTGGTCACAAGGATCGAGCAGAGTCTAAGACTTTGGAGCGCATAAGCGATGTGAAGAAGGTGGAGGAACCAACAGTGAAAGAACAGACGCCCGAAATCAAAAAGGAAAATGGAGAGCCGAAACAAGAGAGCGATGCAAACGTTGCTGAGTTCGAAAACCTGAAAGTAGAGGTGGAAGAGCTCAAGACGAGGAACAATGTGATCACGCAGCAGCTCGAAGAGAAGATGAAGTTGATACAGGAACTGGAGGCCAAGCTTTCAGAGCTTTCGATCAAGCTTTTGGATCCTTCGGAAGAAGATCTAGAGAAGTCATCGCTATTCCAGAGTCTTTCTGCCAAAAACATCGAGCTCAACACAGAATTGAGCAAAGTGAAATACGAAGGCTCGAAGACCGAATCCCAGTATTTGGCTTTGGAGTCTAGTATAACGCAAAACCAGTCTGCTCTTGAGGAGAAGCTGCGTACAGAGATGAAGAGCAACAACGGCTACATTCAGAAGCTGGAAACCGATCTGTCTAGGATTCGCGCCGACAGAGACGAATTGCAGGCCCAAATTTCTGTGTTGAAGGCCGAAAAGGGCAAGAGCGAGCTGACCGAGGAGTACCGCAAGCTGAACGAGGTTTTGGAGAAACGCTTGGAGGAACTCGAAAAGAGCGTGAACAGGGACTACGAGGCCGAGGCTACGTCCAGCGAGGACATAGCCACCCTGCAAAAACACAACTCGATTCTCACGATGGAGCTCAAGCAAATGGAGGAGGCGTTCAAGCAGACGCGGCAGATTGCGCAATCGAAACTCCAGAAATACGCCGATTCTGACTCCTACATCAACAAACTTACAGTCGAGAAAAACAAGGCAGACCAGAAATATTTTCAAGCGATGCGGTCCAAAGATTCGCTGACATCGCAAAACAGGATTCTCAACTCGAATCTAGCCAAGCAGAACGAGCTCATAGATGTTCTCAAAGGCAACGAGAAAAACCTAATGAAAAAGTTTGAGATTGAGCAGCAGTTGTACGACAAACTGAAGAATCTCGAGATTGTGTTCAAAAACGATCTCAACTTCCAGGTCAATAAGAACAAAGAGCTGGAGCTGAAACTCAAGTCCACCACGCAGGTGAATCAGGAACTACAGGCGAAACTGAATCAGAAGAACGAGTCATCGGCAGAACAACAGAAGCGCATATCTGGTTTGGAAGCCGAGGCCAAAGGTCTTTCGTCCAAGGTGAAGTCGCTAGAGTCTCTGCTGATGAAGTACCGCACAAACAACCCGTCAGCCACTGCCGAGGACGAAGAGATCAACCAGGCTCTTCTGGCGATGACGAAATGCCAATTGTGCAACAAGAACTTCAAGAATCTCACGCTCAAGGTGTGTGGTCACTGTTTTTGCGCAGACTGCATCAACGATAGACTAAGTTCTCGTATGAGAAAGTGTCCCAGCTGTAACCAACAGTTCAGCAGCTACGATGTGCTGACTATCCATCTATAAGTACTAGTCGATGCCAGCTTAATGATGTAGTTTGGATGTATTGTTTATCGTGCGTCGACAATGACAGTCTTTTTGTTATCTCTATTGTTGCAAGAACGTTTTTTGTTTATCAGCCAATAGTGCCTCGGCGGCGAAAATTACGGGCCGCGCTCGCCGTCCCAAAATTGAATTGTTACGGGGGTTTCCGTTAGGCGTCGGGACGCCGATTACGACGAAAAAAATATAAGCTGCGGCAAGTTCTGCGAGACATCGATAAGAAAACCGTAAATAATTCAGTCTCAATTTGTTTATTTCCAATGGTTAACACAACAGGTTGGACTGCTTCCAAGTGGGTTAAGTTCCACCAGGACACCACGCCTGAGGAGTCCTTCCAGGTTCTGCTGGATCTGGTCAAGTCGCTCAAGACGTATCCTGAGGAGCCTGCCTGGATCTCTCTTGCTTCTGAGGAGAACCTCAAGCATCAATGGAGAATTCTCCAATCCAAGTCAAACAAAAAACAGCTCCGACTCTACGGAGTGCCTATTGCGGTCAAGGACAACATCGACGTGAAGGGTTTCGCTACTACTGCTGCCTGCCCTTCTTTCAGCTACGAGCCTGAGCAGGATGCAACTATAGTGTCTCTTCTCAAAGACCAAGGAGCCATCGTTGTGGGAAAAACAAACCTCGATCAATTTGCAACGGGCCTGGTCGGCACACGGTCTCCGTACGGAATCACGAGAAACGCTTTCAATGACAAGTACGTTTCCGGTGGTTCGTCTGCTGGGTCCGCGGTGGTTGTTGCTAGGGGAATGGTGCCCATTTCGCTTGGCACTGACACAGCTGGCTCAGGAAGAGTGCCTGCTGCTCTGAACAACCTGATCGGCCTAAAGCCTACGAAGGGCGTTTTTTCCACAGCTGGTGTCGTGCCTGCCTGCAAATCTCTGGATTGTCCGTCTGTTTTTGCTACAAACCTTGCCGATGCCCAATTGTGCTTTGACATCATGGCGAAGGCCGACTTCGCCCAATGCGAGTACTCAAGGGCTCTTCCGGCCAACCCAAGAAGACACTATCCTGCGAAGCCAAAAGTTGCTGTGCCTATTGATTTTTCGGGCCTCTGGTACGGCGACTCTGAAAATCCGAAAATCTACAACAAGGCTGTTGAGACATTCAAGCAGATGGGCGCCGAGATTGTTCCTTGCGACTTCACGCCGCTGCTGGACCTGGCCAAGTGCCTCTACGAAGGCCCATGGGTGGCAGAGAGATGGGCTGCCACCAGAGAATTTCTCGAGTCGAATCCGCCGGAGAAAGATTTAGACCCGACCGTGGCCAAGATTATCATAGGCGGAAAAGCCCCAGACGCAGCCACTGCTTTCAGCTACGAGTACAAAAGACAGGGCATTCTGAAGCGCGTCCACGAGAGTTTCAAGGGAACAGACGTCATGTTGGTGCCTACATGTCCGCTGAACCCAACTATCGAGGAAGTTCAGAAAGAACCCATTCTAGTTAACTCCAGACAGGGAACGTGGACCAATTTTGTGAATCTGGCCGACCTGTCCGCGCTGGCTCTTCCTGTTGGGTTCAGGGCCGACGGCTTGCCGAACGGTGTCACGCTATTGGGCCAGGCGTTTGAGGATTACGCCCTGTTGGATCTCGCAAGCAAGTTTTTCAAAACTCTGTATCCGAACGGCAGATTCCTGGGAGCCTTGAAGAACGTTGACGTTGGAGTCGCCGACGAGCTCGACCACTCGCTACCTGTCCCAAACCCAGCCACCACCGTCAAGCTGGCAGTTGTGGGAGCCCATCTCAAGGGACTGCCTCTCCACTGGCAGCTGGAGAAGGTGCAAGCTGCATTTGTTGAAAAAACCACCACTTCCAGAAACTACAAGCTGTACGCGCTGCCAATGACCGGTCCCATTGCCAAGCCGGGTTTGCGCAGGGTGAGCTACGACGAGCAGGGCTCTGAGATCGAAATTGAGATATACGCTATTCCGACAGAAAACTTTGGCGACTTCATCTCGATGGTTCCCGAACCCCTGGGAATCGGTTCTGTCGAGACCAAGTCGGGCGAGGTGGTGAAGTCGTTTATCTGCGAAGAGATCGGATACTCCCAGAAGGGAGCCGAGGACATCACTGCGCTTGGTGGCTGGAGAAACTATCTGAAGCAAAGAGAAGTCTCAAAGAAGAAAAAACCGTTTGAGACGGTTTTGGTGGCCAACAGAGGAGAAATTGCCGTGAGAATCATCAGAACGCTGAGAAAGCTCGGCATCAAGTCCGTCGCCGTCTACTCGGACCCAGACAGGTATGCCCAGCACAGTCTGATTGCGGACGTTGCCATTCCCTTGCACGGTGTCTCTGCTGCAGAGACGTACATCAACATTGACAAGATCGTCAAGGCGTGTAAGGACTCCGGAGCAGAGGCCGTTGTGCCTGGCTACGGCTTTTTGTCTGAGAACGCAGATTTTTCCGACAGACTGGCTGCCGAGGGCATCGTGTTCGTCGGTCCATCTGGGGACGCGATTAGAAAATTGGGTCTGAAACACTCTGCGAGAGAAATTGCCGAGAAAGCTGGCGTTCCGCTGGTTCCCGGGTCCGGGCTCGTGGCCACTGCCGCCGAGGCCAAGGAAATCGCCGCCAAGCTGGAGTATCCGGTCATGGTCAAGTCCACTGCAGGCGGTGGCGGAATCGGATTGCAGAAGGTGGACTCGGCAGAGGACATCGAGCGCGTTTTCCAGACGGTGCAGCACCAGGGTCAGGCGTACTTTGGAGATGCGGGCGTGTTCCTCGAACGGTTTGTCGAGAATGCGCGTCACGTGGAGATCCAGATGTTCGGAGACGGTTATGGCAAGGCCATTGCGCTGGGCGAGAGAGACTGCTCGTTGCAGAGAAGAAACCAGAAAATTATTGAGGAGACCCCTGCTCCCAACCTCCCAGACTCCACAAGAGCCAAGATGAGAAGGGCTGCCGAGCAGCTGGGAGCTTCGATGAACTACAAGTGCGCCGGCACGGTGGAATTCATTTACGATGAGAGAAGAGACGAGTTCTACTTCCTGGAGGTGAACGCGCGGTTGCAGGTCGAACACCCTATCACCGAACAGGTCACCGGGCTGGATCTCGTGGAGTGGATGCTCTACATTGCTGCCGACATGGCTCCTGACTTCAGCCAGCCGATCAAATGCGACGGCGCCTCGATGGAAGCCAGACTGTACGCCGAGAACCCGGTCAAGGACTTCATGCCGTCGCCGGGCCAGCTGACAGAGGTCAAATTCCCGTCCTGGGCCAGAGTCGACACGTGGGTCAAAACTGGAACCGTGGTTTCTGCCGAGTACGACCCTACGCTGGCCAAGATCATCGTCCACGGCAAGGACAGAGCAGACGCATTGAAAAAGCTGAGACAGGCCCTTGACGAGACGGTGGTGTACGGGTGTATCACCAACATCGACTACCTGCGCTCGATCGCCAACTCGGACATGTTTGAGCAGGCCAAGGTTGCCACAAAGGTGCTGGACTCGTTCGAGTACAAGGCCAACGCGTTTGAGATCACGTCTCCGGGCGCCTACACCACGGTGCAGGACTACCCGGGCAGAACTGGCTACTGGCGGATTGGTGTGCCACCATCGGGTCCTATGGATGCGTACTCGTTCAGACTCGCAAACCGAATCGTCGGCAACCACCACAGGGCGCCTGCCATTGAAATCACCCTCAGCGGGCCGTCGATCCTGTTCCACCACGAGGCTGTCATCGGAGTCACCGGAGGAGACGTTCCTTTGACCGTCAATGGACAGCCAGTGGCTATGTACGAGCCCGTGGCCGTCAAGAGGGGCGACAAACTGGTGATTGGCAAACTCACGTCCGGCTGCAGAAGCTACCTGGCCATTAGGGGCGGAATAGACGTCACGGAGTACCTTGGCTCTAGATCGACTTTTGCCTTGGGTAATCTCGGAGGCTATAACGGCAGAGTGCTCAAGCTTGGAGACGTGCTGTTCCTGGGGCAGCCGAATCTGGCCGCCTGCACGCTGCCTGCTCCCGTGTCTGCTCCGCAGGCCGTCCCGAAGTCGCTGGCTCCGCCGATGGCTGCCAAGGAATGGCGTGTGGCCGTCACGTGCGGCCCGCACGGGGCGCCAGACTTCTTCCTGCAGGAGTCTGTCCAGGACTTCTTTGCGAACCCGTGGAAAGTGCACTACAACTCCAACCGGTTCGGCGTGAGGCTGATTGGGCCTAAGCCGAAATGGGCCAGACCAGACGGTGGCGAGGGCGGCCTGCATCCGTCGAACGCACACGACTACGTGTACTCGCTGGGAGCCATCAACTTCACAGGAGACGAGCCGGTCATTTTGACCTGCGACGGTCCTTCGCTCGGCGGATTCGTGTGCGAGGCCGTTGTCGCGCAGGCGGAGATGTGGAAGATCGGCCAGGTCAAGCCGGGCGATCGGATCACGTTCTACCCGGTGTCGTTTGATGCTGCACTCAAATTGAAGGTGGACCAGGATAGGGCCATTGAGACGTTGCAGGGTACCGTTCCTGCCATCGAGTACGGGCTCTCTGCTCCTCAGGACCCTGTCCTCGCCAGATACCAACCGGGGGGCTCGTCCGTTGCGCCCGTCGTCACGTACAGACAGGCCGGCGACCGCTACGTGCTTGTGGAGTACGGCGAGAACGTGATGAACTTGAATTTGTCGTACAGAGTGCACAAGCTGATCGAGATGGTGAACACGCACAGGACGGTGGGAGTTGTGGAGATGTCGCAGGGTGTGCGGTCTGTGCTGGTCGAGTTCGACGGCACCAAGATCCACCAGAGCGATTTGGTCGAGACGCTTATTGCGTACGAGAGAGAGGTGGCGTTCACCAACAAGTGGACGGTCAAGTCACGTGTCGTGAGATTGCCTATGGCGTTCGAGGACAAGAAGACGCTGGACGCCGTCAAGAGGTACTCCGAGACGATCAGGTCCAGCGCGCCATGGCTGCCAAACAACGTCGACTTCATCGCGCAGATCAACGGCATCGAGAGGTCTGCCGTCAAGGACATGCTCTACACGGCGCGGTTCCTGGTTCTTGGCCTGGGAGACGTGTTTTTGGGTGCCCCCTGCGCCGTGCCGCTCGATCCTCGCCACCGGTTCCTCGGCACCAAGTACAACCCGTCCAGAACGTTCACGCCAAACGGCACGGTTGGCATTGGAGGCATGTACATGTGCATCTACACCATGGAGTCGCCTGGTGGCTACCAGCTGGTGGGAAGAACCATTCCTATCTGGGACAAGCTGTCGTTGGGCGCACACACTTCTGTACACAACGACGGTCATCCATGGCTGCTTACTCCGTTCGATCAGGTGGAGTTTTTCCCTGTGACAGAGGAAGAGCTCGACCAGATGGCCGAAGACTCGAAGCACGGCCACTACAAGGTCGACATGGTGGAGTCTGTGTTTGACCACGGAAAGTATCTGGCATGGATCCAGGAGAACTCCGAGTCGATCGAGGAGTTCCAGAAGAAACAGGGCGGCGAGAAGCTCGAAGAGTTCAAGAGACTCATCCAGGTCTCGAACGCAGAGCTGCAGAAGTCCGGTTCCACCGCCATCGAGAAGGAAGAGAGCTATCCGGAGGACGCCGAGATGGTGTACTCGGAGTACTCTGGACGGTTCTGGAAGCCGTTGGTCAAGGTCGGCGACGAGGTGAAGGAGGGCCAGGGCTTGGTCGTTGTCGAGGCCATGAAGACAGAAATGCTGGTGAACTCTCCAAGGGCAGGAAAAGTGCTTAAAATTCTACACACAAACGGAGACATGGTCGAGGCTGGCGACCTTGTGGTGGTGATCCAGTGAAGCACTCCTTTGAATAGGTAATTAATTAAATGTGCGACTGTTCTATCAATCGATCCTCTCGTAAAATAGCATGTACACGGCCCGAGAGTCGTCCATAACCTCAGAAACAGAACACTCGGTAATCTTCGAGTCGCTGATACGCCAAAACGGCGTTTTCACCGAGCTGGCAAGCTTCTTGTCGTGCGCAACCACTGGCTGCGCGTTCTCAAACACCGACGGCGACCTTGGCCTGGTGGCCCCCACCAGCGACGACACTCTCGAGCGTAGTTTCGACATTGAACTTTGTCTCTTGATGTCTGTGGTGCCCTCCTCCTCGTTCTCCTTCGCGTTGTCTTCCACGCCCTCCAGCTTTGGGAACTTATGGTAGTACTCGCCCGTCACGGCGTTCTTGTAAAACACAGGTTTTCGCCGATAGCATTCGTAGTGTCCTAGCGAGTGAGACCCCTGGTGCCGCACCACGGCATTCAGTTTATACGTGATAGTCTTGATGCCGCCGTCCGGGGCCGGACTGATATTGTGGCCCTCCATCTTGGTCGCCAAGTCGTCGTCGTCCTCGTCGTCTTCCAGCTCCTCGTCATCGTCGTCGTCTTGGTCGTCTTGTTTCTCGTCTTCTGCATCAGAGTGCACTTCTGACTCCTCCAAAAACTCGCTGCCCGGCTTCTCCTCCAGGATCGACGAGATCGCCCTTGTGAGCTGCGACGGCTCCTCATCTGTCGAATCGTCTTGGTCCTGGTCCATACTCTTGAACCTCTCCATCTCTGCAGTATCCACGTTTAACTTCAGAAACTCTTTGAATTCCACGTTGCATTGGTTGCGTCTGGCCTGCGTGTCATATATGGATCTCGAAAGATGGACAGCCAGCAGCTTTGGAGGCAGAATGATTGAGGTTTCCTTGTGTACCGTCGACTTCACGCTAGGGGACTTGACGCCCTCGTAGCTCTGCACAAACTCGTCCAGCTCAGGCTCCAGGTCGTCATTTATCAGCAGCTCGTCATTGAGTTTTCTCTTAAGTTTGTTCAACGTAGGGCTGCTCTGCTTCGCAGTGCTGAGAATATAATTAATTTTGCACCTTGTGCACGAGTAGTCATCAATAATGTCACTCTCGCTTCCTCTGAGCATGCTCTCCAAGTCAATCGACGACTCCTGTGGAACAGGGAGAGACAGAATCATCATCGGATTGTAGTTGGTCGAGCTCTTCTTACCGCACCTCATGCAACGCAGCTGTGAGGAAACCTCGCCCTTGAATGGGAACTCCGGAACATTCGGGGCCGTCTTTCTTAACTGAACATGCTCTTTCTCTAACGTCTCCAATATCAGCTGCAAGAGCTCGTGCGCGTCGTGCTGGCTTACAGATATCTTGCTGTTGTAGATTTTCTCAATAACATGCAAAAAGTCCCACACTGATAGCACACGGGGACGGTAAACGGTTTCTTGGAGTTTGGACAGAAGATGAATGAGCGCCTGGTGGAGCTCAAAAGAGGGCAGCTTGGAGTTTTGCTCAATGAGAGAGTTCCGAAATTCAGTCATGGCATTCAGGTACTCATTGAGTCCCGGAAGAGACGCGAGAGCCTGCACACAAACATTCGCAAAGCAGTCAGTGGTCATGTTGATGAGCCCGGTAGTCAGCTTGTCCGGCCTTTTCGAAAACATGTCGTACTGCTGAGAAGGGAATATAGTGGGATATAGTATGTAAAGCCCGATGCTGAAAAATAATAAATATAGTAGGGGTCTTTTGGATTGTCTTTGTGGCGGTGGCGAACAGGGTATGCTAGCGAAACGTCTGTTGTAGAACTGAATTAAGCGGTCAACTGGATGGGGCATCAAACTCCAGCAATGTCCAGTGAGACCAAATATTAGTTAATTATTATAATCTCGGGCTATACAATTCAAAAGCCTTCTTCTTCCTGCACGATTTTGCCGAATACCGACAAAATTAAAATACGCGGAACACCGTACTATTTTATTTACTTCGGACTTGATATAATGTTTCAATGTATCTACATTACCATTAGCTATTAACACACCATTAAAAATCGATCACATGAATTAATCAACCTCCTCCATAGCGGAATCAGCAACAGCCTCTTCAGATGGTGCCTCGGTAGCCTGTTCAGCAGGAGCCTCAGCCTCCTCGTCGATATTGAGACCAATTGCAATCAGAGAGTTGATTCTCTTGGCGAACGAGGTTGGCTCATCCAGAGAGAATCCAGAAGTCAACAGAGCGGTGTCAAACAACAAGGTGGTCAAGTTTTTGACAACCTTGTCCTCAGGACCGCTCTCCTCAACCTTAGCCTTCAATGCCTTGATGATAGGAGACTTTGGAGAAATCTCAAAGATCTTCTTCGAGGCCATGTAGGCTGACATGGAGGTGTCTCTCAAAGCTTGGGCCTTCATGATTCTCTCCATGTTAGCAGACCATCCAAATTGTCCAGTTCTGATAGCAGCTGGCGAGTCGACAAGCTTGAAGGAAACAACAACCTTCTCCACCTGGTCTCCCAAAATGTCTTTCAAAGTTTTGGTCAGTGGTTCGTAAGCCTTGGTGATCTCCTCTCTCTCCTTCTTTTCCTCTTCAGACTCCTCAAGCTCGAAGTCCTTGGTGATATCCACTAGCTTCTTGTCTTCGAACTCCTTCAATTGGGTCATGGCGTACTCGTCAATTGGGTCGACCAAGAACAGCACTTCAAAGTTCTTGGCTTTCAGAGCGTCCAAGAATGGAGAGTTCTCAACAGCCTTGATAGACTCACCAGTGATATAGTAGATGTTCTTCTGGTGTTCCGGCATTCTGGTGACGTAGTCAGACAGAGAAGTCAACTCATCAGTGGACTTAGTAGAGTTGAATCTCAACAGCTTGGCCAAAGCACCCCTGTTTTGTTGATCCTCGTGAATACCCAACTTGATGTTCTTCGAGAAGGCAGTGTAGAATTTGTCGAATTGCTCTTGGTCCTCAGCAATCTCGTTGAAGGTCTCAATAAGCTTCTTGACAATGTTCTTTCTGATGACCTTCAAGATCTTGTTTTGTTGCAACATCTCTCTGGACAGGTTCAATGGCAAGTCCTCAGAGTCAACAACACCCTTGACGAAAGAGAGCCACTCTGGAATAAGCTCCTCAGCCTCATCAGTAATGAACACTCTTCTAACGTACAATTTGATGTTGTTCTTCTTCTTCTTGGACTCGAACAAGTCGAATGGAGCCCTCTTTGGAATGAACAAAATAGCCTTGAACTCCAATTGACCTTCAACAGAGAAGTGCTTGACAGCCAATGGGTCCTCCCAGTCGTTGGAGATCGACTTGTAAAAGGCGTTGTACTCTTCCTGCGTGACTTCGGATGGGTTTCTGGTCCACAGTGGCTTGGTCTTGTTGAGCTCCTCGGTCTCAGTGACAAGCTCCTTGACTTTCTTAGGCTCCTTCTTCTCCTCCTCTTCGTCCTTGACTTCTTCGACCTTAGCCTCCTTGGTCTCTTCGTCTTTAGACTCTTCCTCCTTCTTCTCCTCTTCTTCTGGAACTTCCTTCTCGACCTCCTTGGTGACGACCAATTGGATTGGGTAAGAAACAAACTCAGAATGTCTCTTCACAACCTCCTTGATTCTCTTCTCTTCGAGGTATTCGAGTTGGTCATCCTTCAGGAACAGTCTGATGATGGAACCTCTGCCAATTCTCTCGTTCTCCTCGTCAAGAGTAACAGTGAACTTTCCACCAGCGTTCGATTCCCAAATATATTGCTCGTCGTCGTTGTTCTTCGAAATCACCTGGACGCGGTCGGCAACCAAGAATAGCGAGTAGAAACCGACACCGAATTGTCCAATCATGGACACATCAGCACCTGCAGAGAGGGCCTCCATGAAAGCCTTGGTACCAGACTTGGCGATGGTACCCAGGTTCTTGACCAACTCAGCTTTGGTCATACCGATACCGGAATCTCTGATCTCGAGGATCTTTTGTTCTGGCTTTGGAGTGATTCTGATAAACAGCTCAGGCTCAGTCTCGAGCACAGATGGATCAGACAGGGCCTGGTATCTGATCTTGTCCAGCGCATCGGAAGCGTTCGAGATCAACTCTCTGAGGAAGATCTCCTTGTTCGAATACACAGTGTTAATGAACAAGGACATCAACTGAGAGATCTCAGCCTGGAACTCATATGATTCAGTTTTGTTCGACATGATGTCTTTTTGCAGTTTTCAGATTATCAAGAAAAAAAACCCGGTCTAACTTGGGGGGCGAGAGGCTTCTTTATATATGCTGCTCATTGAAATATCCTTTCTTTCCAAAGTCGACCAAGTTTTTCGTCTAGAAAGTTCCACGATAAAATAAAAATTATAATCTTTCGGGTCGATCGACGCAGACAGAAAGTTCGAGACTAGGTTTTGAGAGTCACAACGTCCTTCTGAGCATACCATTGCCCTCTCCGAATACCAGTTGATGAGCAGATAGAGACCCTTTTTGAGAGCTTCATTTTGAGGGTGAAGATAACGTGTTTCGTAGCTAAGGACAGGACTTTGGTCTATTTTTTTATGCTGCTTCAAAGCGAGAATAGGATCAATGCATTTCTTTCACTTTGTTCTCCCAGCGTAGTCAACTCGGCAGATCTGATCTCGCTATCCAAGCCCATCTCTACGAAGATAAGTACACCCCTGCACCAGAAGTTTTTTACACCTGAGACCTCGTGTTTTTGTTTACAGTTGTATGTTTACAATTAATCCTAGACGTTTTTCTTTCAGCCATGTCGATGAACACCTCTGTTCGGAAAGATGGCAAGAAAAATCTGGCTTCCCAATACTTGGAGGCAATTAGCATGCCCCACTTGTCACCCCTGAAACCAACCAACTCATATAACACTAAAACTCCTAGCTCTCCAACCAGAAGAGCTACCACTACAAATCTTAAAGAAAATGAAACACCATTCAAGTCTCCCCAGAAAACAACGTTTCTGGAGAATGATTCTCCTGTGAAAAGACTGATTAAACAAAAGGAGCAAGATACCATTGAGAACAACGCCTCAAACTTTATACCCATTCCTGCTCCGTTTAATTTCAATAAACCTAGGTCTGAACCGCTGCACAAGCCAACCAAAAGCGAGATCAAGACAATGGGCCAGATTAGCAGTGCAATATCAAACTCCCCGTCACTGAAGAACCTAAACAAGTTGAGAACGATCGAGAACAAGTTACGCAAAACTTCCCGTGTTGAGTCGGTCTCGAAGAAATTTCAGTCAACGCCAGTAGGTGCTGACTTAGCATCTCAGACGGAGGAAGAGCCTGCCAAGTCCGGGTCTTGGATGGATCATGATAGGAAGTCACTGCAAACGTATGAGTTTTTGTGTCGCGTGACAGAAATCAAAATATGGATGGAAGAATGTTTGGACATCAGGATAGATTTGCAAAATGACTCAATTGCCGACTTTCAAGACTACATTAGAAACGGAATTTTGGTCGCAAAGCTTGCTCAGAAGTTCGGTTACTCTAAAGTCAAAAATATCTACTATGGAGAGAACAACCCATCAGGCACAAACTACAAGAACAAAAGCGGTTTGTACTTCAAGTTTACCGAGAACATTGTTGTGTTCCTCGAGTTCCTCAGGAGTATACAACTTCCAGAGATGTTTATTTTTGAGACAGCGGATCTCTTTGAGACCAAGAACATTCCGAAAGTCATTTTCTGCTTGCACGCACTGAGCTATATGATGGCAGCTACCAACAAGGCTCCTCAGTTGAGACGTTTAGATAAATATGATATCAAGGACTCGGACATCAAAAAGATCCAAATCAAAATCAGAGGCCTCAAACTGCCGAATTTCAAGAACATCGACGACGGGGTCCGAGTGAACCTTGGCGACAGCTTGATTACGACCAGGGTGTCTGAGGAAGAGAGTCGAGCACAACTGACCTCTCATCCGGATAACACCTCAATGAGGACCGCCAAAGTTGTGGACACAGCGTCAGCTATAGAAGAGACTGCGCATGCTAGACACTTGTTCAAAGAAAAATATACCCAAGACGACTTTGATGTTGACATCGACGATATTCATGCCAAATACACTTCTATGATCGATCAGGACAATGGTCTAAGCTTGAAGCCTGCAAGCGAACAGAGTTATGTGGCTCAGCTCATCCAGCTACAAGCAATTGCACGCGGGACCCTCTTGCGCTATGAATTGTTCGTAAACAGGTTCATGCTCAAGGTATTCACGCCAGACATAATCATATTCCAATCTCTCATTAGGGGGAGGTTAGCCAGATCCAAGAAGGCCACCACGCACCAGTCGCTCATGGCAAACTCTAGATCTCTTTCTGTGCTCCAGGCCATTTTGAAAAATGCAAAACGAGAGGATAAATATTCGGCAACAAGATCCAAACTGTTGCAAAACGAACAACTGGTTATTCGGCTACAGAGTTGGATCAGAGGTGGATTTACCAGAGAAAAGAAATATGCAGATAGAAAGGCGCTCCTTCGCCAAACGAGTGCAATTATCAGGTTGCAAGCCTGCATCAGGGGAAAGCTGATAAGGGAACATGAGAGCTATTTAGAGCATAAGCTTGCTCATCGTGCACAAAAGGCTCCACGAAGAGGTCTTCCTATTAGTGTTTCATGTCAAGAACACCTTTCCATCCACTACGTTGAAAAGGACTATAGGCTTAACGAGTTGCTAGCTATTTGCAGAGGAAAACTGGTTAGGGACGATATTGCGCATAAACGTAAACAACTCTACAAAGAAGCATCTGCTGTCAAACAACTACAAACAATATTCAGAGGTGTCCTGCAGAGATTTTACATCGAGATTCTTCAGGATGATTTACAGGACGCCGAGGAATCGATTACAGGCCTTCAGTCCGATGTTAGGGGCTACTTGCAGCGGAAACGTATAAGGGATAGAGAAGAATGGTTCAGGAGACCCGATAATCTTGCAAAGATCATCAAGCTTCAAAACTGGTTCCGCGCCGCTCGCACTAAGCACGATTATAAGTCCTTGATCTATGAGAAGAACCCTCCTCTGAAAGCTATAAAGAATTTTATCAATTTGCTTGACGGTCCTGGCTCTGAACTCGAGGACGAAAAAAAGATCCAGAAGTACAAGGATGAAATTGCAAAGGAGACAAGAAGAATCGAGCAGTGGGAGCTGGATCTCAGTCAACTAGGTGCCAAGATTCAGCTTCTGAAAAAGAACAATGTTTCTCTGGACGAGCTTCTGAAATTCAAGGATGAAAACATGAATTTAACTGGATACTCCAACAATCTCAATGAAAGTCTCAGTAAGAGTTTAGGAGGACACCCCGAGCAACTTTTGATCAAGCCTATCAGAACTCTGACCAGATTGTACGAGAAATTCTTCTATCTGCTGCAGACAAAGCCATGTTATTTTGGCCATTTACTGACTCTAGTCGACAATGAGACCGTTAGTTTAGATTTGAGCAGCGGCTCCATTGAAGACTGGATTCTGAAATGTTTCAACTTCAGCAATTTTTCAGCACCGGCATCGACCGCTCCGAAGCGAGAAGAGTTTCTCCTCATGCAATTAATATTGTTTGCCTCGAATGAGTGCTTCCAACAGTTGGGCTCCGTTGCCCGGCTCAAAAACTTTTTGAAGTCCAGACAGACGCTATCAAATATAAGCACAAAAAGTTGGGAGTCCCTGCTCATGACTTATGTCAATTCACCTCAGGAGAGAGCTTTAGCAAAGAGTATTTTGGTCGACTGTGTTTGGAAAGTGGCTTCGGACGAAGACGCATCTTACGAAGCTGATCCTACAGCCATTTATAGAGACATTATTGAGCGCGATGAACTGGAAGGTCGAATGACTCTGAAGTCCATGGACGACTTAGACAACATGGATCCAATTGACGATGATGACACTAGGAAACAATTTGTGAAAAACTTGACACAGCTGAGAGAGGCTTCTTACGATGTGATGAAAACAATCGGTAACCTCGTCGACAAAGTTCCAGTTTTTATCAGAGTGATCTGCCGTGGAGTCTACGATCAAATGAAGAAACTTTATCCAGGAGAAGCAGAAAGATTCTACCTGAGTGCTGCTGGTTCGATATTCATGAAGTCATATGTGCTTCCTATACTACTCACGCCGGAGAATTATGGAATCAATATAGACAGTATCGTCGATGATGAGTCTCATGTTTCGAGGGTTAGAAACAACCTCTTGCAAGTTGCCAAAGTCTTGAACCAGTTGGTTTTGATGAGGCCTTTCAACACTGAGAATGTATATTTGCAACCATTGAACCCGTTTGTCGAGGAGTTTGTGGAAGGAATCAGAAAGATCCTCAAAGACCTCATTGACGTAGGCACGATCGAAGAAGCTTATCAAATGAAATCCTCATATGACGATGTGGTTTCCAACCAGAAGCCCAAGCTGGAACTCTTGAAGGACGACATTTCAGAATTTTTGCAAATAGTCTTTGATCACCAAGATCTCCTGGTGACACAAAAAAACGACTATTTGCACTTCTTGCTAATGGAGATTGAAGAGTATTCATCCTATCACAACAAAATCGAAACCAGAAACGGTCTGGTTGAGATGTATTTGCAACCAATTGCCGAAAGTACCGATCCGGAAGTTGTTGGTACAAAGGTGGCTCTCTTGGAGGTGAAGGAATACCTGATATACATTATTAAAGTGCAAGATGGAGCGGATTTGCTGGATTTACTGTTGAGTGAGATCACTCCGCTTGACGAGCTCCGATTCAAAGAGATAATCAAAGAAGAGAAGGCGAACAGTGCCCTACCAGAGTTTGGCATGGAGAGGCGAACATTGCGCAAGATCCACAGCTCGACATTCCCCCAACTGAAGAAGCGGGCCATTGAACTCCTTCTTGAACTCGAGAATAATGGATATATTAGTCGTGAAGACGGCTACCAGGCAATACTTAATGAAATAGCGCACGACATCAAGATGAACAAATCGAAAAAAGAGGAAAGGGAGCGCCAACTCAAGCTGGTTATCGACACACTGACGAAGCTGAAGAAGAAAGAGAGAACGTGTTCGAAGGTTTACTCTGACTACATCAAAGAAATCGACAGGGTGATGATGCGCATGCAGCACCAGAGCGTGCATAAGAGAAAGGGGCCACTGCTCAAGTACTTCTCGAAGCAGTATTACCATGAAAAAGAGCTCAAGAAGAAGAAAGGATACGTTCCTAAATTCGGATCTTACAAGCACTCTGCCAAGCATTTGATGGATCGCCATATCCTGATTGAGTTTTGTAATGCTACTCTCACTTCTTTTGCCTTAAGTCGGATTCATCTCACCATCAGCTGTGAGCGCCAGGGAGAGTTCACGTTTGATATTTCCAAGAACTCGCTTGGTGTTAGTGGTCATGAAAGGATCACCATGGACGACTTCCTTAACCTACAATATGAACACAAGAAGACAGTGAAACTGTTTGGTGATAGCGTACTGTTTGATACAGACAACTTGGTGGCGTTTATTTTCAAGAAGTTTTATGAGGTGAACGAGAGTGTGTAGACTCCAGTAAAATATTCTAAGCGAGCATAAAAATAAAGTTAACGAATAATTATTTCGCTTATGACTCGATGGTGACTGTCACACAAATTTGTTGCACCATTGCATCAACATTCCCCAAGTTCGTGTGCACGGCACTACTTGTCTGGTCCTACTATGCTATAGTATTCAAAATGGTCCTTAGTGTGATAGATGGGGCAGCAAGCAGATTGGTCATTTTTGTCACTATTACTTTACTTGAGGCATTGTGTTTGATATCATATTACTTGGTGGTGGCGGTAGGTCCAGGCTCGCCGACAGAATGTTCTGAGCTTTGCTGTATCCAGCCTGACCAAGACGCCCGACTTGAGCCTCCAGAATTCCTCAAATCAAACGCAGTGATGGTGAAGAGAGATGGAGGCTATCGTTTCTGCAACAAGTGCAAAGTTTGGAAGCCTGATAGATGCCACCACTGCTCATCATGTGAACAATGCATTCTACGGATGGACCATCATTGTCCATGGTTTGCCGACTGCATTGGGTTCAAAAACCACAAATTCTTCGTTCAATTTCTTATTTATACGTCATTTTACACCGGGTTGGCTACCCTTATCTCAGGATACTGTCTATACAAGATCTACTACTTGCAAAGTGTTTCTCTGGATAAGTTCTCGCTGCACACCATGTTCGTGTTTGTGCTGGGAGCCATCATGTGGCTATGTGTTTCTGTGTTCACGCTGTTCACCATATATCAATTACTGATAAACAGAACGACCCTAGAATCGTACGAAACTCAGGGTTATCGCTCGAACGCGAATTCGCATGAAATCGGGAACATATTCGATCTCGGGTACAAGCAAAACTGGTGTTCCATAATGGGCATGACCTGGATGGAGTGGCTGCTACCAATCCGCACCTCCTCTGAGTACGGATCTGGCCTCACGTTTCAAGTGAACGATTCAGTGTACCGCAAGCTACAGCAGGAAACACAGTTGCAGGAGAGGCTGTCTCAGGAGATCACGAACTATAGGACGTTGCAGAAACAAATCACCAGTTCTGCACTTCCTCCCGCATAGGTGGCTCATCGCGTCCCCAAAAAAATTAAATATGTGAACAATGTACACCTCGCACCGAAGACAACATTTTCCATGTTGCCCTGTAGTTGTAGAAAGTTGGTGTTTTTTTTATCTCTTACAATAGAATGATCTTTGAGCTGAAACCTTTCGACGAGCTGAAAGTGAACCCCAGCAGCAAGAAGCGGGTTGCATACTTTTATGACTCCGACGTGGGCAACTACGCCTACGGTGCTGGACACCCAATGAAGCCTCACAGAATAAGGATGGCGCACTCATTGATCATGAACTATGGGCTGTACAAGAAAATGGAGATCTACCGGGCCAAACCGGCAACCAAACAGGAGATGTGTCAATTTCACACCGACGAATACATTGACTTTCTTGCCAGAGCCACCCCGGACAACCTAGAAATGTTCACCAAAGAACAGGCCAAGTTCAACGTGGGAGACGACTGTCCTGTTTTCGACGGACTTTTCGAGTACTGTGGTATTTCTGGAGGAGGATCGATGGAAGGAGCCGCTAGATTGAATAGAGGAAAGTGCGATATTGCCATCAACTACGCTGGAGGTTTGCACCACGCCAAGAAATCCGAGGCTTCGGGCTTCTGTTATGTGAATGACATTGTCTTGGGTATCATCGAGTTACTCAGATACCATCCTCGTGTGCTGTATATTGATATTGATGTGCACCATGGTGATGGTGTCGAGGAAGCTTTTTACACCACGGACCGTGTGATGACATGCTCGTTCCACAAATACGGAGAATTTTTCCCAGGTACAGGTGAGCTCAGAGATATCGGTGTGGGCAAGGGAAAATACCACGCTGTGAACATTCCTTTAAGAGACGGTATTGACGATGCTACGTACAAGTCTATTTTCGAGCCCGTGATCCAGAGAATCATGGATTGGTATCAGCCTTCTGCCGTTGTTCTCCAGTGTGGTGGAGACTCGCTTTCCGGGGACAAGCTTGGTTGTTTCAATCTCTCAATGCGCGGACATGCCAACTGCGTCAATTTTGTGAAGTCGTTCAACGTGCCGACAATGGTTGTCGGCGGTGGTGGATATACGATGAGGAACGTGGCGAGAACATGGGCTTTCGAGACCGGTTTGCTGAACGAGACACTGTTGGACGCTGAGCTGCCTTTCAACGACTACTACGAATACTTTGGACCCGACTACAAGTTGGATGTTAGACCGTCGAACATGCACAACGCCAACTCTCCAGAGTATCTGAACAGAATCCTGACTCAAGTTTTCGCCAACCTCGAAAACACAAAGCATGCTCCGTCGGTTCAAATGCAAGAGGTTCCCCCGGACCTTGTGGATTTTGACGACGATCCTGAGGAGGACACTAAGGAGGCCATAGACACCAGAGGTGGCTCTCAAAAAGCGCACGACGAGCGAATTGTTCCTGAAAACGAGTTCTATGATAAAGATGAGGACGCAGTTAGAGCGAAGGACTCAACTGACTACAATGAGGCGGAGAAGAAGCCAACTCCATCGATTATACCCGCTAGTTACTACAATGAGGTGGCAGAGGATATGGTGCGGGAGCTGGAACGGGACGAAAAAAATGAATTCAATAAAGACTCTAACGAGGCTGCTATTGCGCCCGCCTCCAACGGAAACGGAAACTATGTGAAAGAACACGATTAGATTTATTATGGATGAGCGTCGTTTATGCTTTTGAAACCGGAATTGAATCCCAGCAAATTGTTGATGCCCGTCACCCAGTCACCTTTTGTACGCGCGACGCACCAAAGACCTGTTTTGGCATCATCGGTGGTGGTCTTTTTCTTCAGTGATAAGGAGGTCGGGAGGTTCCACGAAGGGTCCAGTAGGGATCCCGACTCAGAAACAACGTGTATTTCGTCGCCCGCTGTGAGCTTCAATTGAGGCATCCCATCGATCGACAACTTTGCGGAGCATTCAGGTCCGCTCAGACTCTTGCTCCTGACGACTACCTTGATGTGCGAAATAGATGGGAGAATCAAGGGTCTGAAAGAAAGAGACCTGGGACACACCGGAGTGAGTAGGATACATGGAACCACGGGGTGGACCATAGATCCACCAGCAGAAAGAGAGTAGGCGGTTGATCCTGTGGGCGTGGCAAAAATCAAGCCATCTGCGGTGGTTGTTGTGAGGAAATGGCCATTCACATATACGTCCAGGTTGATGAGACTTGGCAGAGACCCGCGATGGAGCACTATATCGTTCATGGCGTGCATCTGTGATAATTCGTCCGAGCCACTTTTGTACATTGATTTTGGATTCGAGTCTGTAGTGGTACTCTTCTTAACAATGTGGCATTCCAGTCTCTCTCTGCGCAGCATCAACGCTCTGCTTTCGAACACCTGGCTGAAAGCTTCCTTGAAGTCTTTGAAATCGAAAGGAAGCAAGAATCCCAAAGTTCCCAGACTGAACGACAATATTGGTGGCACCTGTGTGTTTGAGAAGAGAGAAACGCCCCGTAATATAGTCCCGTCTCCTCCAAGAGAAACAATCATGTCGGTCTTGCTAACTATTTCTTCGCTCTTTCCCGTATACAGCTTGACATTTTCGCCGGACCTATTGAACACCTCAGGATTTTCGTAGAACTCTTTGGCAACTTCCTCAGTGACTATCACCGTGCAGTTAGGATAGGATGAATGGATGTGTGAGATGAACTGTGCCGTGGCCAGTGTCACATCCTCTTTCTGCGGTTTTTTCACCACCAAAATATTTGAAGGGGGTGTTTGCCAAACGAGGTTTCTGAAAAAGGAGTGCGGGTTCTGGGCGTATTGGGGAAACTGGCGCGGCTTCAACTGGGCCACAGATTCGATTTTGACCTTTGAAAGCGAAGCAGCACTTGTGGAGAACAGCTTTCTGGACCATAACACCCTTGGCGCCCTGACTGATATCATTTATAGTTTATCCGGGAAAATATGGGGTTTCGAATATTTAATTTTTCATGAGTCAATCTCTCTTTACAAGTAAAGAGAAGGGGTATGTGTGCTGCAATTTGTAAAATATCCATAGTGCCGTAAAGACTTCATACATAGCCCATACCTCATGCTGTGGTAGTTGCATATCCTCTCATCATCGTCACAGAGCCGACTGTGGTTGGGACTGAGGGTAAGACTTACCCGGCCGTGGTGTAGTATATAAAGCGATTTTGCAAGAAATTTTTTTCAACGCAAAATCACAGACAGGCTGGCACCCCTATCGCATCCTTTCGAGGTTGAGCCTCTTTCGGGAGCGCTCTGACCCAGGACATCACGGATACCGGTGCCAGACTTCGGTCTTCACGCTTGTACTGGAGAATAACGTGTCAATCTTGGGTGCAGTGGACCATCTGAAGCTCCTTGTAGCTTCTAAGGACCCGCCTTCGTGCATCCGTATGGGGTCTACTGCAAGGATTAACACGACATTATATTGTACTTGTAGCTTACTAGCGAGCTGTCTATTCATACTTAGCCAGGAATTTGATAACAGGTTGGAAAACTCTGTCTTCCACGTCCGAGGCCCAAAGGGTATCCATATGCTCGTAATTTTCTATACCTACAACCTGTACCGGACAGGAGAGTTGGTCGACCGTCTTGTCTATATCGATAAGCGAGTCGGACATTCCGTAAACGAGCAACATTGGGGTGGTGATGGTCAGCGTGGGAAATGGTGCGACTCTATTAGTTTTGGAGGTAGCCCCGCTCAAATACACCAGCTTTGATCCAGAAGCTCCTCCTTCGTCGTACATCTGAAACCTTTTGCTGTTTATGATCTGAAACCAGTGGATCACACTTTTCACGCTTGAAGGTGAGAACATGTGCGCATAACCAACCTTCTTCTGCGATTCGGTGACATTGTGCGATTTCCAGTTGAACAGAAACACCAGGGACTTGTCCACAACGGTCTGGTACAACTGCGGGCCCATCATCTTTTGCCAAAAGACAACGGAGGGGAGAATTGCACGACGTCCGAAGAGCCTGAACATGAGGTTTGGCGCGGAGTTGACGAAGAACTTCAGCAATGGATGGTTGAGCCCTTTTGGAATCATTGCAGGCGACAGCCCAATGAACTGCTTGATTTTGGAGTTGAGTGAAAAATCCAGCGAAAGGGCAGCCAGGCACTGCGCAGAGCCTTGACTGAAGCCAATGTAGGTGAGGTCTTTCTGATTGGTAGCGCGCAGAATGTAGTCTATGGTGTCTGGAATGTCGAACATAGCAAACTCGTCCAACGAGTAGTCCCAAAACTTGACATCGCGTGAGGAAAACGTGAGATGCTTGCGAGAATACTTATTCCCGCGATTATTGCCTAGCCAAACATCGTAGCCCAGTTCCAGCAGGCGGAACGGAAGACAACGTGACGTGGTGTCTCCCAACACAAAGAGCTCGCTGTTGGTGAGCAGACCATGGTGCATGTACACCACTGGCGTGTTTTTCGGTGCGTGATTGGCTATGATTCTGTGGATTGACAGCAGATACCCGTCCCTGGTCTGGACAACATGTTCGTGCACTTTATACCCATGGGCATGCACTATCTGCACAATATCTACCGCATCGGGAATTCTGTCGTGGAAGCGACAATCACCGTTGACTTTCCTTGTAGGAGAGACTTCGGGGGAGTTCCGCGGTACCGTTGACGACACGTTGTCGGGCTTACTGAAGGGCGACTGGAAGGACGCGAGCACGCTTTCGAGGCCCAGGGTGTGCAACACCAGCAGGGGGAACTGGATGGCTATCGCGATGATGTTCAGCAGCACGTTCGAAACAGCGCCCATCAGGTTGTACACTAAATTTCTGTATTCATCTGAGTAGTGGATTCTGGTTAAAAAGTAGCACAGCCAGAGATTAGTAAGTTCGGAACTTTTGTCAGGTAGCAACTTGGGCGTGGTGGAAAGGAGGACACTCTTTGCAGGAACCGGCGGCTAATGGCCGCGCGCAGCTACAGATGAGGTGGAACTGGCAACTACGAGTGTGAAAAGAACAGAATGCAGGTATGTTGGGCGAGAAATGCCAGGCCCGTAAAGTTGCAGGTCCAATGGAGCAACAGCTTGCTACGAGGAGCGAGAATCGCACGAGAAAAATCTCCCCTGTTTGCTGCGGCTCCTGTCCCAGAGCAGTTCCGCAAATGAAGGAGCAGCATGGTAAGTGCTCGGGTAAACAAAGGAGAGAGCCCATTGATAGTACGGAAACTCCATACCTGAGTCACGTTGTAAATGCCGCACATCATCTGATGGATCGTTCTGGCAACAGAACTATTAGTAGTACGCAGCACAGATGCATAAAGTCTGATTCTTTTACGTTATTTATGCGGCTTATATCCGATTATTAATTTATCTGCTCGGTTTCGGTACATTCTATGTAAGCCGACCGAGGGGTTTTTAGTCAGACATAAATATGGTCCGAAGTGCTCCACGACCCATCAGAAAAACGCATACAAGGCTCTACAGACACAGTTGACTATGCCTCTTTCCTCCACCTTGTCGTCGCCTGACCGGTACGGCGATAGAAAAGCCCAGCAGCAGAAGAAGAAGAGAGTCGGCAAGGCTTGCGATTCTTGCAGACTCAAGAAGACCAAGTGCTCAGGCAAACAGCCTTGCGAGAAGTGCCAGGCTGACAACAAAATCTGTATTTACACCGAGCGTAAAAAAAGCAGGGACAAAAGCTACTCCTATGATTACGTCGAGCTGATTGAAAAGAGACTGCGCATAGTCAACAAGGCTTTGATTAACCTCTCGGAAATGGTGAAGCTCAATAAAACGGGAGAGTTGCAACAGTTTGCGCAGAGCATTACCTACAACGAGGACGATGAAGGTGTTCCAATTTCCATCAACCAGGCCATTTCGCTGCTCGTTGACAAGTCGGACGTTGTAGACCATTCTGACAGCGAGACGAATCCCGAGCACTGGCAGGGCCACATCTCTAAGACCGAGTCTCAGGACAGCGCTCTTGAAGAGTCCTCGGGATCAGCTGTTCCGCAGCCGGCGGTCAAGAAGGAGGAGCTTTCTGCAGGCTTCATCCCATATTCGTCGCCAGATTCGCTTACCCCAAGATCGGACGATCCGTTCTCGCCTCTTCCCCAGAATGACTTCAGTGCGGAGTTTATGTTTGAGCAGCAAACAAACTCGACCCGCCTCGACGACATAAAGGAGGAAAAGAACGACGATTTCTTAAATCAGATGAGCCCCATGCCTACGAGTCTTATGATGGACGCGGTCCAGCCCCCTCCTGTGGAAAACGAATCTTACGATAATTACACTTCGATGACCCCCGCACAGTTTGATGTGAGCGGATTTAAATCCGGGGCAGGCTTAGCAGCTGCAGCTGTCAATGGCCTTCTGGGCCGCTCGCAAGCCTCTGGCTCCGGTTCCGGATTCATGATGTCTGACTTCGATCTTAATTCCCCACCGTCGATACTGGCCACCTCGCCTGATTCCGTGTACAACTCCAAAACGGTCATTCCTGCCTCGATGAACCTGTCGCGCAACGACAGCTCGTATTCGTCCTACTTTGGCGAAGATTCCTACATCGATTCTGCACACCCTCCAAGCAACCTGCAGAGATCTGCATCGACGAGGTCCACAGACAGCGGAAACAGAAAACACGGAACGTTACGCGGAAACCACCATTCGTACTCGCAGCACCCTCATCCATACAAAAAGACATCACACTCTGTCGGCAGTGCGCTTGTTTCCCCGCTATTGAAGGATGAGCTCCTCAGTATAAACTAATGTGATGAAGTTACGAGTTATGAGAACCCACACTCCCCCATATTATTCAAATAGATTACTATACATTTACTCGAAAATTACTAAAATAATCCGTTTCACGTCAGCTGATCGGTTCGGCATGCGCGAATATTTTTGCACTCTTTTCGGTTCGCACTGCGGAATTAAATCCGAATATTATTCCTTTAGATAACTGGGTGCTTGTGGTAGCGACGTTTGCGGAAAAAGGTGTCCAGTCTGTAGACTACCAGGCCAAGGAAGCGAAACAATGCCAGGCAAAACACACACCAAAGCACGAACGTCATGAACCTGTTGGAGCTCTTGCTGTCCACGCTTCTCTTCATCTTGCTTGTAGTTGTGGTGCTAGTACTGGCACCCTTGTGGTTCTTGTGGTCCTTGTAGTCGTCCAGTCCTCCCGTTCGCAGCACAAGAACCAGAACTATAAAGTTCGACGCCAGCCAGGCAAGCACCGTGTACGTTCTTCCCAAGGCATAATTCCGTTCCGAGGTTATTAAGGTGCTCTCCTTCTGGACCGCCTCGGGCCTGGAAATATTGTTGTTGGCCAGTAGATACAGCTCGTCAGGGTCCTGCAGGGCCTCTGATAGGATAAGCTCGTTAGACGACTCGCTCTTATTGGCCTCTTTCTTGCTCACCTCCTCGACCTTGAGTGCTCCCTTGGTTCCCCACGAGATATCGTGGATATTGCAGAACGCGAAAACGGTCAAGACGTTGATGTATGCAGGGCTCAGGATTATGTACTGCAGACTGCAGCCGAACAGGTGGAAGAACTCGAAAAACAGCAGAGACCCTAAAATGTACAGCGCGTACGTGGACGAGAGCGCCACCGTCAGGTCCCGGAACTTGGAGTTTTCCAGGTATGCCAGCACCTTGCTTTTCGTAGAGGCCGCGATCTCCTTTTGTATTGCGTGCACCGACGAGATTGTAAGCATAATCACGCAGAAGATCATGTACGCCATCACTATGGAGAAGAGCAGGAACGCGAGCTGGTACAGCCGTTTGGCGTCCTTGGGCTTGTTGCCAAACGAGATGATAAACGTGAGTGTCAGAGCTGCAATGTACAGCCACAGGAACACCACTGCCAGTATGTTACCGGCCTTGAACCCGACTGAGGTGTCTGTGAGTCCCAGAGTCAGTATGCGGAACACCAGGAAGTAGAACGAGATGGATAGCCACGAGAGACCGATATTGACCGTCTGGTACACCACCTCCACCAGCAGGACGAGTTTGCGGCGGAGAGTGTGGTTGGAACGGCCTATCCGATAGAAATGCATCACCGAGTAGAGCGCGGCGAAGAAAGAGCCGTTGAGCCATCTCCGCCGCTGGTTGATGAACTCGGAAATGTTTCCAGGCACGTCGGTGACCCCAAACGCGTCGTGGACGTACCGCAGCACGTACGACGCTCCTTTCTTGGCCACCAACTCAAAACACAGAATTCTGTCTTCTGCCAGGTACATGTTGGACTCCAGAGTTCCGGCAGGCTTCTCCGTGTTTGTTTTCATATCTTCGCCGTGGAAATATGCCTGCAGAGGGTCTCCCTGCAACGCGTCGTACTTATACGCGCTGAAAGCGCCAGGGAGAACCGCGACAAAGCCAAATGCCGACTCCATCGGCTTGTCAAGAATGTTGGATATTTTGTACTCGAAATTCTGTGCGGCAGTCAGTGGATTCAGCACCACGCATTTGAGGTCAGAAAAGGTTCGCACGACCCAGCGACCCAACTTCTCCACAACCGAGCCTTCGTCGTTCGGACTCGTCTTTTTTCCTAGCATGGCCCTGATTTCTCCGCAGGCCCCTCCAACCTGCGGGTCCTTGAATGCCTGCCAAAGCTTGTAGATCGAGTCCGGGCCTGGCTCGGTGCCAACGTCCAGCAAGCACACGATTTTCGGGTTCAGGTTTGGACACAGGAAGTTGAATGCCCATCTGTGCGAGTTGATCTTCTGCTTGTTCTGCTCCTTGAGTAAAAACATCATCTGCACAGGCACAGTCTGCTCCGTCACCAATGGAACAGTGAAGCCCTTGCCCTGGTCCCCGCGATGGTAGTCGAACTGTCCAATGCCAAAGGTGGTGGTGTACTCAAACAGGTGTGCATTGACGTCCTCGCCGTTCACTTTCTCCTGGATCACACCTTCCTGGTAGCAGCCCAGCAAAGTGAGCAGGGCCTTCGACCTCTCGTGGATCTTGGAGCGCCCGTCGCTGACTATCACCACCACGATTTTTTTCCAGGCGTTTTTGCCAAACGGATGCTCGTTAGTGCTCTTCTCCTTCAAGTTGTACATCGTCTTGATATTTTTGAAAACGCCCTTAAGCGTGCGGCCCAACAGAACCTCGTCCTCATTGTACATCGTACACACGATCATGAGCTCTGTCTCGCGTCGCACCCCATACACATTCGGCCGCAACGGGTAGTTCACAATGTCCCGTCTCTTCTCGGGGTCCCCGCTCGTAAAGTCCTTCGGATCTGCTGTAATGGCATGGTACCTCAAGTACGTGAACTCCGTCAGGTTCTTGGCGTCCTCAAACGGAATGCGGGCAACCAGCTGCTTGGGAACCGGAAAATCAAAACTGTAGTGCTTGTCGTCCAGCAATTGGACCTTGGTGTCACCGGAGGTAGCTACATTGAAAGGCTCAATAGCGTCGTTCTCCGTCTTGTCGAAAAGCAGATCCTCAATCATTGGCTCGTCTCCGTCTCTCGTAAAAGACTGGAACACGGGATAGCCTTGCTGATAGGGCAGTGGCGGCACTGGGGGCTGGTATATCACTGGCCTCGTATACGACGTGGACGATAGTTTTTCAGACCCCAGAAACGAGCTGCCAGATGAGAGGCTGGACTGAGTCGCGTCGTAAACATTCGAAGGCGGGCGGAGGATGGAATGGCGCGCTGGTGAAGGATCAGTTTCGTTGTATGAGTCCTGGTAATCGTTCAGATCAAAGCTACCCCTTTGAGCGTGGTTCGACGCCTGGTGCACGTCGTTGTCAACCATCTGCTCAAAAGGATTGTTTTGGAAGCTTTGCTCTTCAGCAGAGTCATCGTCATCTAATCGAAACGGATTATCATTCTGGTCCATTTCTGTGAAAAGTTGTCAGGGAGCTTTGTTACAGACCAATATATTCTATATTTCGATTTTGTATCAGCTGCGCCATTTCTAAAAATAATTTCAAGCGTGATCGTGTGGCTATGCTGGAGAAAAATCCTCAACCGAGATCTCGGAGATCTTCCAGCCCTCTGTGGCTTTAGTCGTACTCAATGGAGGAGATTTTCTGTCTGACAATGTCCGAGACGATCTGCGAGTCAGTGGGGTAGTATCTGACGACGTCGATCTCGTCTCCCTCGAACCCGACCCAGGGACCGTCCAGCTGCTCCTTCAACAATGGATATATGTAGCTCTGACATGCCTCGCGCGCCTCGTCAATCGTGCTTCTGCGTTTGCGCAGCACGTGTGCAGAAACCGCTTCTGGATCTGTATGCGAAGGGCTTGGAGACTCTGATGGGGTGCGCATGACCACCGACTTGCGTCCGGATCGCGGTTTGCGGCCGGCCCCATCCGGGGAGCTGAGAAAAGAGCCCAATTCGTCGGAGTCATCCGTCTCCGCAGACTCGCCCGACGTCTTGATGGCGTCGAGAGCAATGTAGAACAGCAGCGGCAGGTAGTTGCGGTTGAAGAAGAGTATCACCACAACCGTCGTGGGTAGCAGAGGTACGACCAGCGCAGCAAGCACAAACGACTGCTCCAAAGCGAGTGTGCCAAACATCTGCAGCTGGAAAAAAAGCATCCCCAAACACACCCGGTGGAACACTATGGGCCACAGCTTTCCTGTACTGTGATATGGATGGACCATGGAATACACCAGCTGATACTTGTAGACATAGTATCCGAGGACAAAGTACACCAGGCCCGAGGTGAGAATTTTCGTGGAGATCACAGAGTAGATGATGGTGATGATGAAAATGAGCAGATGTTGAGGCAGAATGAGGCCGACCTCAAACATGGCCGGCTTGTAAAACAGGTCTCTATAGCTTCTAGGGGTCTGCCACGAGTGTCGCAAAACGTACTCCCAAAAAATATACGCGAGATCTCCCGTCTGCAGCAGCTTGACCGGAAACATAACCAGACCCTGCAGCAAGATCAGATCGATGTAGAAGAGCGAGAGACTTTTAATCGAGGTGGCCAGCAAAGGCGCGATTTTCGTGGTGTCTGTCAGCAGAGCCTTGTAGCTAGACAGAGTACCGAACAGAGTGAACACAAGGAACAAGTTGAAGAAAATGTACATGAAGTTCTTGCGTGTAATTGAAAGATCGACGTCGCCCTTGGAAACCAGACCTTGCAAATTGGAGAGGAAGGAAATGACGTAGGGGAGCACAATGTTGATCAGCGTGAATAAGTAGGTCGGCAAGATACCGGTCACGATGGCCCTGAGAATCTCATGTTTTATCAGGTAGTCCCCGAACTCGGGCCATACCCTTTTGATAGCATTGACGTTAAGCAACGAAGACAGATATCGAATAGGTATAATGAGCAGGATGCTAAAGGCGATGATGATCAGCTCGACAATGTTCTTTCTGATGAATACGGATTTCGAGCTCAGATGCAGGTTGTCCCAGTTGACGTCCAGCGGAGCGGGTGCCAGACAGGTGATGAGCTGGAACGCTTTAGGCGAGAAGACGGCCTGCGCGGCCATCTGAGCGTCGCTGACGGAGTCCATAGTCACGAATGCCGAAGGAATGGGCTTGAAATCTCCTTTATCGCGCACCGCCATAATCTTTTGGTCCATCTGGACTAGCTCTTGGCAGTAGTAGTCGAAAAGATCGACTTTGGGGCCAAACGCAGTAATCCGGCCTGTGGGCCGCTTCTTCTCTCTTTTCTTCGAATCGTAAGCCTTAGGAAGCGGCACAGAGGTATCGAGATCGAGCTCCTGGCTGAGAAGATCCAGTTTCAGTTTCGCAAACGGGGTTTCCACGTCTTTGAAAATGCGAGTTTCGAGTCCGTAATAGTTTGAGTACAGCTGTTCCAGCTTGTGCAGTATGCCTGCGCGACGGTCAAACAGGATCCGCAGTTTCGTGTAGTCATATACGAGCGTGACTTTCTCGACGTTACCCACTCCCAAAGTCTCTATATGCGACTTGAGAGCCTCTTCGTCTTTCAGATGGTCTGGAATATGGGAGATCACGATCGTGCGGTCTGTGACCGATCGTTGCGAGCCCAGACAGCGTTGTCTTGTTTTGATTATGTGTAGAGTCTCTTTGAACAGGAAAAAGAACACAGCTGCTGTGAATACATACGTGAAGATCGTGCACACCACCAGATACCCCGTTGGTTCGGAGTCGTCGTGTTTGGCAGCCGTCTTCGCCGAACCCGTCATCACGCCATAGAACAGCTGCAGCCCCGTCATTTCCTTGTCAAACTTGCCGGTCAACAGATACCTCATGGGGCTCAAAACCAGCAGTCCCGCAACAGTCAGCGTAAAGAGAATCCTTATTCCCATGCGGAAGAAACAGAGGAACACGTACGCGTCGAGCCCGGCAACCTGGATGATCTCGTCTCCTGAGATCGAATGGAGAACTTTTAGCCAGCCAAGAAAGCTTTCGGGGAGCCTGCGTATCATCTTGTTGCGATAGGGGCGCACAGAGTATAACAGGGGAAACTTGTATCTGACCAGACAGAAAGTGAGGAAGATCACCAGACCCAAGATGGAACAGAAGTACAACTGCACCTTGAACAAGGTCTGTGTTTGGCGTCTGGGGTCAAAAAGAGGCGGCTCGTCTGAATTCTCCAGCATCGCGACAGATTTGTAGTACAATTAGTCCTCATACATATTATTATTTACGGGCGCGACAGAAGAGCGGACCATGTGGCGGTGTAATATTATTATGCTATCATCTATACAGTAATCTATTATTTGGAGAGATCGAGGTCTAAGTTCAACGAAGGCAAGCCAGAGGGATACAGGCTGTGTTCCGAGTGTGTTTGCTGCAAGGGCTGGGAGTTGAGAGTGAGCTCGTTGATGCGGGAGGACAGGCCCTGGAAGTCGTCCAGGCTTCCAGAATACGACGAGGCGCTGCCCTGCGAAAGCATCGGCTGAAACAGCGGAGTGCTGGAGGCAGAGTCGGGGAGCGAGCCACACCGCTTGCTTGCGGCCCCCGACAGCGGGTACTGCAGCAGGTTGTAGATGCCCTGTGCTGCCACCGGTGTAGAGGTGTCGGAGCCAGAAGCGTTGGAACGAAGGTTATGATGGTACTGCGGAGTGGCTATGGATCGGCGCTGGGCGACGCCGTATGCGTCCTGGTGGTACGAATACCCGTTGTAGGCGTTCACTGCCGGTTTCGGGCCCCCACATTTGAGGCAGCAGACGTTCTTGGCAAAATTATGGTATGCGCAGCTCTCGTTTGGACATTTCCAGTCGCCGGCTCTAAAGGGCACGTTCGACGAGCTGTTTGAGTTCGATTGTCTGTGGTAGTACTGGCCTGTGTTGATCGACTCCTGCACGGCTGCCGCAGAGGCAGCAGGGAACGAGCAGCGGAAACATGCTGTTCTTCGCTGGAAGTTGGAGAAACCGCACGACGGACAGGTCCAGTCGCCGGGCCTGGGTCTGTTTTTCGAAGACGGGAACGGCGTGAGAATCTCGTGCGCCTTGTCAAGCACGGAGGCGGACGAGGGCTGCACCTCCACGATTCTGTCATTCAGAAGTCTCCCCGTCATGGCCAAGGAGTCCAAGGCTTCTTCGTGGGTAGCAAACACAGCGAAACCTGAGCATGTGGGCTTCGTACCTGACGATTGTGAGCTCACGCTGTTGCTGCCGCTGCTGTTGCTGGTGTTGGACCCTGTGCGGCTGTTGCTCTGCGATTCTGGCAGGGGCAGGCTTTTCACGGTCCAGAATGCCACCGGTCTGCCACCATATTGAGTGAACCATGACTCCAGCTCGCTCTGCGTGGTGTCTGCCGGCAGATTGCTCATATACAGAATTCGGGATTTTTCCGACTCAAACTGGGCCAAGTCCAGCGCCATGTCATACGGTGTTTCGAGGATCTTCGAGCCCTGTGGAGACGATTTCTGGAGATGGCCGATCACCTTGATCAGCAGCTGCACTTCATCGGCCGCGCGCCGGGGCATGGAGAGCGTCAGAGAGTCGCCATACGACGTGTTCACGGGCTTTATATCGGCAACGTCGAGATCGAGCGCGGAAACGATGTGCGAAACGGTAAGGGAGCCAGGATGCTCCAACTCCTGGGACTGGCACTGCTGGAACTTGAGATACTCCTTCTTGAGATCAAAGTACCGAGAGTGCTCCAGATACGACGGCAGCTGTATGCTTTTTTCTCTACTTTCCTTTGGGAGCCGCATTCTGAGGTCCCAGCTGTTGAAAATAACAAACGTGAAGTCTTTTTTCGCGGAGACAAGGTGCTTCTCGATGTCCTGTTCCAACAGCAGGACGCAGTCCTTCAGAGAGGGAGCGTTCTTGACATTTTCCCAGGTTAAGGAAGTTTGCGAGGTACACAGCGGCGTGACGGGGGTGGTAAGGGGCTTGACGAGCGACGAGTTGGTCTTGATCTCGGCGAGCGACTGCGAGTCGACCACAGACCAGGCAATCTCGAGGATCTCGCTGGAGTCCTTGGAGGAGCTGAGGTCGTCGCCCGTGGTGGTGATGTGGAGAACAACAAACGCAGACGGGCTGGTTTGTCCAGACATTTTGCGGAGATGGTCGAGAAGATGGAAATTTTTTTATGGATGAAAAACCACAACACTGGGGGCCGAAAACATCCGTGCACGCCGAACCCCTCCCCACGGGCCGATTTTCCCTGATCGGTAAGCGCAAAGATCAGCGGGAGTATGTGCCCTGCCCTGATGTAATCGCGCAAGCGACAATACGAAACAGGGATCGGAAATTCACAATGTTGGCAGCACAGTACCTGCTGAAGCAGCAAGCAAAAAGACCGTTGACTCAGGTCGGCATATGCAACAGGAATAAATTCTTTGATTCTCTGTCAGGGGAGGAAGCGGATTGCAAAGTGTGTGTGCTGGAAACATGAGCGGCCTCGCTTAGCGGCCCGCGGGCGAAATTTTTTTCGCGCACGCCTGCCACGGACAAGGGCTGCATGCACCACGCGGGAAGCAAATCTGGCATGCTACAGGCGCGCAGCAGTGCTGCAAAGTAATGGTGAACTTTTTGAAGAGTGTTCATGTATGTAATGAAAGTTTTTTTTGGCAAGGGCTTTTACTTGAGGAAACTTCACCAATTGATGCAGTAAACATACGTTCGTTAATGTCCCAACAGTACTCGCAGTACCAGCAAAACTACCAGCCTTACCAGAGCTACCCGTCGTATCAGCAGGGCGTAATGCCTTCTGGTCCAGTGGCACATAATTACACCTTCCAGCCGTACCAGACCGCCGCCGCACCTAGCGGAGATTCCGCTGCGGCGCAGGGGGCATCGCAGCCCGGAGCAGTCGCCGCGCCGGCAGGCGAGGCTCAGTCTTACCAGTACTATCCAACGGCGCATTCCCACTATTCGCAATACTCCTATCCTCCCCAGCCTCCTGCCCAGTCCCAACAACAACCCCTGCAGCCACAGCAGGTGGGCTACTACTACCCGCAGCCCCACCCTTCCACCTTCTATCCAAGACATGGACAGTATCCTGGATACGGGCAGTCATACAAGGGTCACATGCAGTATGTTTATAATACTCCCGGCAGCGCGGCCACGTCTGAGACGCCCGTGCAACCTGCGGGAATGAGGCCAAAGATAACAACGACCATGTGGGAGGACGAGAAAACCCTGTGCTACCAGGTGGCAGCCAATGGCGTTGCCGTTGTAAGAAGAGCAGATAACGACATGATTAACGGAACCAAGCTTTTGAACGTCGCCAAGATGACCAGGGGCCGCAGAGATGGCATCCTGAAAGCCGAGAAGACGAGGCAGGTGGTCAAGATTGGCTCAATGCATCTCAAGGGGGTGTGGATTCCTTTTGAAAGAGCCCTTGCTATGGCTCAGAGAGAAGGTATCGTTGACCTCCTATATCCCTTGTTTGTCAAAGATATCAAAAAAGTGATACAGCAGGGAACTCCGACGACCCAGATGAGCAAGACTGCCTCGGTCCCGCCGTACTCGTACTACGTGCCTCAGCAATATGGCTCTTCGGAGCAGCTGAACGACGAAAAAAAGGCCAAACCGGCGGAGTCGGGGTATGAGAAGCCCAAGGCCAAGTCTGACTACTTTTACGGGTACAAATCCCAGCCTTCTGGAGGCATGCACTACTCAAACTCGTATGCGAACTACAATTCGCAAGCCTACATGCCTCAAGTGGCCTCCACTCAGCCTCCAGCAGATCCCAATGCGTCTCAAGGATCTTTAGCGTCCACGAGTACACCTTCCTCCTCTGTTGGCTACGTCAACTCTGCTCCGGCTCAAAAATCGTCTGCGTCGGACCATTCCGAGTCCTACATTAAAAAGAGTTCCGAGTCGAACTGAGTGTTTTTGTGTTGCTTTTACTATTACTTTTTCAAGGCTCCAATTTTATAGTTTGTATTAATACCATTTATTTCAAGACTGAAATTTTCTTAAAAAAATTAAAAAAAAATATATGTCTTTATTTGAAGTTGAAGGATGGGGTTTGGAAGGCAAGAAGGTTGCTGAGCCCATTCCCAAGGCCAAACCAGCTAAGGAAAATAACGTTACAAAGAAGAGCGGAAAAAAGGCGAAACAGAAGAACCAGAAGCAGGGTTCTAAGGTGCATCATGCCAAACTCGAGGACAATGATATTCCCCCCACAATGAGTTCTGATAATTCCAAAGCCATATCTGCTCAATCGGAGCCATCAAAAGCTCCCCAGGTCGCCTCTAACTCGTCGCTTACTCCGCTCCAACGCAAAATGATGGCCAAGCTTGCGGGTTCGAGGTTCAGATGGATCAACGAACAGCTCTACACCATCCGGTCTGATGAGGCTCTGAGACTGATACAAGAGCAACCAGAACTGTTTGAAGAGTACCACGAGGGTTTCAGATCGCAAGTGCAGTCGTGGCCAGAAAACCCTGTCGATGTCTTTGTTAATCAGATCAAAACTCGGGCTACCACCAGACACGTCAATGCACCGGGAGGTCTTCCTGGTTTGGCAAACGGCAGGGTTGTGATTGCTGATATGGGATGCGGAGAGGCTCAGCTTGCGCAGGACGTGAAGAAGTTTATGCCATCAATAAAGAAGAAGAAGATAAAGATAGATGTGCACTCGTTCGACCTGAAGAAAGCCAACAACTTTGTGACAGTGGCTGACATCAAGAATGTCCCGCTCGAGGACGAATCTTGCACAATCGTGGTATTCTGTTTGGCCCTGATGGGTACAAATTTTCTCGACTTCATTGCGGAAGCATACAGACTACTGGCTCCAAGAGGAGAGCTCTGGATTGCGGAAATCAAATCCCGTTTCAGCGACGAGAAGGGAGCGGAGTTTATAGAGGCACTCAAGAGCTTTGGGTTTTTCCACAAGTCTACGGACGACTCCAACCAAATGTTTACTAGGTTTGAATTCTTCAAGCCACCACCGGACATTCTGGCCGAGAGACGGGCCAAGGAGGAAAAGAAGCGCAAGTTTGTTGAAAAGGAAAACAAGCTCGAAGCTCTTGAAACCAAAAGACAGAAGCGGCCCGAGGGAGAGTGGCTACTAAAGCCTTGTATTTATAAAAGACGGTAATCGAGAATTTTGGGAGAAAAATATTTCATGTATAATAATTTCCTCAATTAACGTCATGGTACTGAGAATAGGATTTATCCCGGAGCATTTCTCCACTCCTCTGCAGTTTGCAATAAACAAAGGGTATTTTGCACAGAATGGCATTGAGTGCCAGCTGATCGAGTATCCGTCGGGCTCAGGACACCTTATCCAGTCCCTCAAGAACCGCGAAATCGACATGGCCATTGGCCTCACAGAAGCTTTTGTCAGAGGTATCTGCGAGGGAGACCACGAAAGTTACCAAATAGCCGGGACCTATGTGCAGTCGCCTCTCTGCTGGGCTATCTCCACCGGTGTCGAGCGCTCAGACCTGACCTCCGAGACCCAACTTCAAGGCGCATCGATCGGAGTCAGTCGGATTGGCTCAGGCTCGTACGTGATGTCCTTTGTTCTGGGTTTGCAGCACCACTTCAAGAGTCCATTTTTCAGCAAATTTGTTGTTCTGGACAACTTCAAGAACCTCAGAGACTCGGTCAACAAAAAGGACAACGTTGAGGCCTCGGACGCGTTCATGTGGGAGCATTTCACGAGCAAGAAATACTACGACAACGGCGAGATCAAGAAGATCGGCGAGATCTACACACCGTGGTCTTCGTGGGTCATTGTCTCCGGCAGAAGCGTGGAGCAAGAGCATGTCTCGTCCTTTTTGAAGGCTGTGCAACAGGGTATTGAGTACTACAACAACCACAAAGACGAGGCTGCGAAGTACATTGCTGACCATCTGGACTATTCGTATGAGGACGCCAAGGAGTGGCAAAAGACTGTCAAGTTTGCTGACAACGTCGAGGAAATCGATTTCGAAAAGGACATCCTCGGCACGAAGTCGGTCCTAAAGACTGCCGGAGTCGTCCAGAACGACGGCTCTGAGACGGACGAGCAGATTCTGCGAAAGCTGCATGCCGGCGTCATCCACTAGGTAGATATAAAGTTTTCTGTCATTCTTGTTCACGGTAGCAGAACATCAATTTCGGGGTAAGCATGTGATTTTCTTTCGACACAGAAGATCAGGACCCTAACTAAATTTACACCCTGTTACTGATTTTTGAGGACGTGCCAGATGTCGCTCGAAATGCCGCCCAGCAGCTCGAAGAGCCCAAGCTCGGGCTTGTTTTCGCCTGGGTTCACCAATGCCCCGGCTCAAGGCAACATGAACGCCGGTTGGGACACAAACGAGGCCACCGGGCACAACAGCGCACACCAGCCCGACTACTTTTCTGCAGATCTTGACTTTGACACCGCGTATATGCTGATGACTAACGAACTTGACGCGGGCGTGCCTCCTAATGCCGAGTTTGCCGCCGCGAACAAACACACCGCCGGCTCGCAAACCACCTCTGGATCCAGTTCTTCTGACCAGTCGACAACCTTTCCGCAGACGCCGCCGATGACAAACGTCGTGTCTACGGGGCTGTCGCCCTTCTATAGATCGCCGAAACTTGTGCACGAGCAACTTTCGCGACCGTTGACTCCAGACAACACCAAGCTTCATGAGAAAAACAGCTTTTTCGCGCGATCGTCCTCGTCGTTTCATCTTGGGGAGTCGAGTCCTGCGCAGGCCACGTCTCCCGTGTCGCCGAACACGAGGAATCTGCTCACAACGTTCAACAATCTGAGCTATTCTGCCAATTTGGTGGGCCTGGCCCGACAGCAGTCGTCAGAGCTTCTTTCCGTATCCGAAACGTCTGCCCTTGAGAACTTTCTGGACTCGATCGCCAACGACCAGAGCTTGTCGAACCTTTCTAAACACTGGCACTCTATTGATCCTCTGGCCAGCTCAATAAAGGACTCGAAAAAGGTCCCGGACGCGGAACTGGAAGTGGTTATCAAGACAGACGACGGAGAACAGACTCTGCGGTCTCCGCCGACGCAAGAGGAGAAGTTGGCCCGAGCAAATTACCAAAAGCGACAGCGGAGCGAATCTTTGTCCAAAAAGCTGCTTACAGAGGAGGAGAAGAAGCTGAACCACTCGACGTCGGAGCAGAAACGGCGCGCAATGATAAAGAATGCCTTTGAGGACCTATGCGATTTGATAACTTCGTCTCCTGTTTATCTGCGACAGACCAGAGGCGACGGTAGCAAGCCGAAGAGCAAGCGCAAAACAATGTCCAAATACAACATCATGATGCACTCGATAGAGGAAATTGATCGCCTCCAAGATGTTAATAGACGGCTCAAGCAGCTGATAGGGTAGATAGGGGTTTACTGATGAGATACGAGAGAACATTATTGTAAGTCGATCGACGCGTCTCTAAAAGCGCTCCGCGAAAAATGCCTGTTTATATTTTGTTTGTTTACCGTTCACCTGGCGCTACGAATTGGATACCATGCGCCAGCGCTCAAACTCTGCGTCTTCCGAGGACGATGACTACCTTGCAGATTCCTCTGAACTTCATCTTCATTTTGATAACAAGAGTTTCGACGACACGTTCAATGAAAATGAATTCATAGATATGGTTTTAAACAGAAGATCAGACCGAGGACACGAGAGCGCGTTCGGACGAGCTCTGCAAGCCCGCGAAAAAGAGTATAATGAAAACGCAGAGCCAACCCTTGACTTCCAAACGCCAATTCCCAACTCTGTGGCATCGTCCACTCCAAGACTGGTTCCGCCGCAGAATGTGGGGATATTACAGAGCCACCGCAGAAACGTGTTAAATGAACGTCTTGACAGCGCCAAATCAGAGCCGAATCAGGTTCAGAAACTGGTGGTCAAGTTTGACGATACCGTTCAGGATAAGGAGAATCATCATCATGTTCAAAAACTCAAAGCTCTGCAAACAGAAAAGGACCAGCTTCAAACCAAGATTGAAGAGTTGGGTTCACAGAATACGAAATTATTAATCGATCTGGATACAAAGAACAAGGAGATTGAAGACCTACACAAAAGAATAGACTCCCTGATAGACAGCCGAAGTGTTATTCAGAAGGAGCTGGACTCTTTCAAGGAAATGATCTTGGGAAGGGAGGAACTACAGAAGGATCTTGACTTGCTGCGCAAGTCCAAAGAGTCATTGGAGTTGGAGAATGTGAACTTGAAGACTGCTGTGCAGGACCAGGAGACCAAGCTTCTCGATTCTGAGAAGAGAAATTCCGAGCTGGAGATGAAACTAAAGGAACAGATGGACTCAGTTGCCAAGTTGTCTATTGAAAAGGAAACAGCAATAACCACGGCTGCCGAGCTCTGCGGAGTACGTACAGAGCTGGACAACGTAAAGAAAGAATTGCATATCTCTCGTGACCAGAACCAAACCTTGGAGAGAGAAAAGGAGAGACTACAAGTACAACTGGAGGATAAAACGCAAAAGCTTTTGGACTCTGAAAAACACAACTCTGAGGTTTCCGAGCAGCTAGACACCCACAAAATCCAAACAGAAAAGGAGAAAGGACATCTTTTGACGGAACTGCATGACGCGCGAAACCATTTAGATCAGTTGCTGCAGGAACGGCAGCATGCAGAAAAAAGACTTGAGGATTATGAGTATCTCATTGAGTCGCTAAAATTGGAGAATGAAAAGCACGTTGCCAAGCACGGGGATTTGAATTCCCAGCTAACGAAAGAGGATCTCAAAAATTATGCATTATTGAAGCTTGAAGAGATCGACTCATTGACGTTCGTGGAACTTGCCAACAACATGAAACAACTGCTTCACACGTTCGGGATTCGCTACCAAAACTTTGGTCCCTACTTCCATTTCTTGAGACAGTCGTTTGATTACTACGAGCAGTTTGCGCTGAACTTGCACGAGCTTCTATACAATGAGAAGCCAATGAATCCGGAGCTCCTTATTTCCCAAAACCTACGCAAATTTTCGCCCGTTAATGTCAAGAGTCTGAAGCGCTGTCTACAAGGCATGCTGGATGCTGTGGATACCAGAATGTATGGACAATAGAAATCGGATTTAAACAAATGCAACCAAATACCCAAATATTTCATTTCAGAGACGAGATGTCAACTTCCGGCCCAATAGTGACAATATCATCGTAAAGTAAAGTGGTCAGGAACTCAGCCACCTCGTTGTGGCCATTGATTTCCTTCTTGAGACAGTCCGCTGCAATCTTGAACTTGTTGTTTGGCTTGTTGGCAGCGCATCTTTCGGCCTCCTCGTCGATCAGCTTGCTGATGAACTCTGGAGTGATCGTCTTGCCGGTATCGTCCATCTTGACTGCATGTTTGCACCAGGAGTACAACTGCAGTCTGGAAACCTCTGCGGTGGCAGCATCTTCCATTAAGTTGTTGATAGGCACGCAACCAAGGCCTCTGAGCCAGCTCTCCATGTAGTTGAGGCCAATGTAGATGTTGGCACTCACGCCCTTCATGGTGATCTTGCCGCCAGGAATGTTAGTATCGACAAGATCAGCCTCTGTAATCTCGACGTCCTTTTGGATGTGGACCTGGTTAGGAGTAGGCATGTGCTCCTGGAAGACGGACAAGGCCGTAGGGAGCAATCCCGGGTGAGCAATCCAGGTGCCGTCGTGGCCTGCAAGAACCTCTCTGAGCTTGTCCTGTCTCACGGCCTCCATGGCAGCTGCATTCTTCTCTGGATCGTCCTTGATAGGAATGGTGGCAGCCATACCTCCCATGGCGTGAACACCTCTCTTGTGGCAGATCTTGATGAGCTGCTTGACGTAGTTGGTCATGAAAGGAACCGTCATGGTCACTTGGTGCCTATCAGGCAGAATATGTTGCTTTTGGTTTCTCAGTCTTTTGATGGTGGAGAACATGTAGTCCCATCTTCCACAGTTCAATCCTGCGGAGTGGTCTCTGAGAGCGTACAGAACCTCGTCCAGTTGGTAGGAAATAGGCAGGGTCTCGATCAAAACGGTGGCCTTGATGGTTCCTCTAGGGATTTCGAGGCAGTCCTGCGCAACACAGAAGATGTCATTCCACAGCTGGGCCTCCTTGTAGTGCTCCATCTTCGGCAGATAGAAAAATGGAGCAAGGCCCTGTGACAGCAGGAACTTCGCGTTGTGGAAGAAGAACAGGCCAAAGTCCATGATCGAGGCCGAGATAGGCTCTCCGTCGACCAAAATGTGCTTGTCCACCAGGTGCCAGCCTCTTGGTCTGACAATCATCACAGGCACTCTTCTGCCCTCTCTGTTGATTTTGTATCGTTTTCCAGTGGCTTCGTTGGTGAAGTCAATTCTGTCTCTGATGGCGTCGTACAAATTGACCTGGCCGTAAATCATGTTGTTCCAAGTTGGAGAGCACGAGTCCTCGAAGTCCGTCATATACGTGAACACGTCTGTGTTGAAGGCATTGACGATCATCTTTGCGTCTGGCGGACCAGTAATCTCGATCTTACGGCACTGCAGTTTAGGATGCGTCGGCAGACACTTCCAGGTAGGGTCGTCCCTAATGTACTTCGTTTCCTCGAGGAAGTGCAGCGACTCACCGGCGTCCAGCTTTGCCTGGACCTTTTGCCTGTTTTCCAGGAGCTGTTTCCGGGTCTCGTTGAAGCTTCTGTGAAGCAGGACGATGAACTTCAGAGCATCCTTGGTCAGGATATCCCTAGGAGTGGCCGTGGACAAGAGAGGTTTGTCAGAGACCTCACCTAGGATCTTCACGTTATCCAGCGTGGTTGGGTTGATTTGTGCCATTGGGGAATTGTCGGATGCAGTGCGCAATGGCTGCATTTATAGGGCGCGAGTCATCCCATTCCATTCATCCTGTATCCCACATGGTTGCGCCGCTGGGAGAAAAAATGCCGGGTTCGGGGTTCTCCGGAGACCCGATGAGCCTTGCGGCCGCTCTGGGGAACCGGAAAAAATTATTTTAAATACTATGTGTATCTTCTATAAAGTCACGCGTTTCGTGCTCGCTGTATGACTTGACCCTGCTGAACGCAAAACTGCGCTCGTTGCTGATATCCAGATCGCCCTCGTCCAGGGTCTCCTTGTTCACGAAACCCATACGCTTCCAGTTCAGCTTGTGGTGTCGCGCGTACTTACCACCGTTGACGATTTGGAACTCGTCCACAAAGGTGTACATCGGCACTGGTCCGCTGCAATGGCATCGCACATGCCCGTCAACAGTCATTGACCATGTTCCTTCGTAAACGCGCTCCCACTCGCTCGTCCCGAAAAGCTGTCTCCAGTTTCTGTAGAATTTGGGCACAACTTCCTGCGGTTGCATTATCGTAAGCAATTTTTGGCAGCTCCCGTCGGGGAAAAATCTGTAGTAGCGATAGTATGTTATCATGCGGAACGGCAGGTTCCACTGGTTCGAGAACTCTGAGCGGCCTCCCTCGCGCTGATAGTTCACCACGCTAATGTAGAGGCCGTTATACTTGATGAACGGCCGCTCGCTCAGCATCTTGTGCCAGCTGTGGTCCCAGATCCGCACCATCTGCCACTGGTCTGCCGTCACACCGTTGAGCACCCGTTCAGAGTCGTCGTACACCTGTTTCGGATACACCAGCATGCACAACCGTCTCCAGCTGGCGGCCTGGCCAAACCCTAGCCAGGCAAGCTTTCTACACGACATGGCGAAATTGAACCACGACGGCGTGTCGCTGCAGATCAGAATCTCTAAAATATTGCTAATGACCTCGTCCGGCAAGGTCTCCAGCCATATGGGCTTGTCCTCGTCTATGGGATGTAGAACGGCGTCGTGAAAGGACTCCAGCAACGGCTTGACTTTGATTTTGCTAAGATCCAGTTTCGTGAACCCGTTGTGCACAGACCCATCCTTGCGCCTCTCTGGCGTCGGCAAGCTCTTCACCAGGTTCTCGCGGTAGCGCAGATCCACCTTTTCATCTAGCTTGTACGCCTTTCGATAATAGTCAATTGCTTCGCTCAACGAACCGGCCTGCTCTTTGTTGCTGCCCAGCTCAAAAAATTCCAGCGCAATGTCTTCCTTAGTCTTAGTCGGGTGCTGCCGGATGGACTCCAGAGTCAGGTATTTCAGAGACTCTTCCAGACTATCATTGGACATCGGACTGGATTTTGATAAAAAATACGTTTGGATTACGTAACTTGGAGGCTCGGGCTTGTTTCAAGCATGTCTCCACCAGCCGATGTGAGTCGATGCTGCGACAGTTTGGTTACCATTAGTGTTTACCTGCTCACTTATATATACCAAGATGACCCATACCATTGTACTCATCAGTAATGACACAGCTGAAAGACAAGTTACGCGAACTGCGGGAGCTGACAGAAGCTTTATATCGAGATTTCGGGCTCAGATGCGAATATACCCTTTCAGACACCAAGGATACCTTGCTGCCAGAGACGAGTAGCGCCCCCAAGGAAGCTGACACTTCTGGCTCCTCGGCGGACGAGACTTCTGTGATCGAGTCGACTTTCAAGACCATCGACATCGACCCTTCCAACTCGAGTGAAGTTGACGAGTACCTTATTCAATGCTTTGACGAATTCCAGCAGATTCCATGCAAGTTGCTGGCAAAAGCATGGATAAGGCTCATCGAGCCTAAGAAACAAAGCAGATATCCTTACAAGCTTGGGGATCGGTCCAAGCCGTTGTGGTGGCCAGAGAGTTGTCGCCATAAGGAGCCGGACCACCTGCGCAAAGAAGAGCGGATCGACCTGCTGGTGTGCATAGTGAAGACCTTCAGGTTCCAAGCAAAAGATTTGATCGCGACGGCAGAGTCTGTCGGAGACTTCAGCATCGCCCATGGAGAACACACAGCAGTAAGCAGATTGAGTAGACGGAAGCTCGACATACTTATAGAAATGTTCAAAGTTCTCAACGCTGCGCCCGGTTCCGGGCCTGTGACTGTGAGTAAACCTGGCAAAAAATACTCCAGCAAGGTCTACACGAAAAAGGTGCTGCAGCGCAGGCTGGAGTCCGAGCAGCGTGAGAACATTCCTCCCGAAAAGCATAGGCTTCCGCCTAAAACGCCATCGCCACGAAGAGTGCTCGGGACGCCGCTGATACCCTCGAATACGCGACAAACCTCGACTCCGGAGATGAGCTTCCAAAATCACGACTTTGGGCACGAGAACATTGAGCCTAGCTTGGCAAGCCGAAACCCGCTCAGCCTTTTAACACCAAACAATTTCAACCTGCTGCTCTTGTACGGGCCATCATCAACCGACTTTGGCGGCCTTTTCCAAGCCAACGAGAATACCAGGCCCGCGCAGCGGGCAACGTATTTCCAAAGAGTGGACCAATTCGATAGCGACGAAACAGTGAGCGACTGTTGACACGTTCATCAGACACTCTCGCCTATCGGAAAGTATACTATTTGAGTAATGAATTTCCCGCCGTAGCGATGGATGCAGGAGCCCGCAAGAACGTTGTCGACCTTGGAGTTACAGGTGATGAGGTGGTTGAGCATCACATGGTTAGGAATGTCCTGGTGTTCAATGCTCTCAACGTAGTCTGAGTGCCGTAACTGTGAGATTGTCTGGACGCCCTGGTCGCTGGCCCTTTTTTTTAGCTGTTCCCTTATTGATTTTGAGCGGTGCTGGCGGCTGTACTTGTCCATCAAGTTCAGGTTGTTGATGTTGTAGTGGTGTTGTTCGTTTATGTAGACGTGGTTCGAGTACTGGTACTGGTACGGATATATGCGATAGTTGTGGGAGGGCGAGTCGTTCAAAAGGTTAGAGTTCAAATAAGGAGGTAAAAGCGGAGGTTCCTTGAATCCCAGCGACTGCAGAAAATCGAAGTGGTTCATCTTCTCGAACTCGGCGTCCGAGAAGTCGTATGGCGATTTATAGGGGTAGTGTAGCTTTTCGGGAAGGTAGAAATCGGGGATCTCGTTTGTGTATTCCTCTTTTTCCTGCTTTACCAGGCTGGACGTGGAAATATCTAAAAAACTTAGGTCGTGCGCAAGAGCTGCCTCAGAAAGCTCTTCGACCGTGGAAGAAGCGCTGGACGTGTTGGCCAGCGGCACGTGGTTGTACTCGTCCTCGAGACGCTGGTCGTCTACGTCGTCGGAAAAGAACATTCGCGAAATTGTGCGCTCCGGCTCCCTCTGCGACCTCTCCTCGTTTTCCGCGATGCCTGGGGCCGCGCGGCTCGACGCTGAGGACGACACTGTGGACGTTTCCGACGACGACAACACCGGATGGTCTTCGATATTCTCAATAAATGAGTACGAGCCTACTTTGTGAGCCCTGTTTTTTTCTTCCATCATGGATGGAACAGAGATAGTGCAGGTTAGCAAATATATATAAGAAGCCTGTGACGTCATTTCGTCTGAAGGTATCGCTCGCACAGCCACAAAAAAACATCACCCCCCGCATCAAGCTATGTAGCCCTGCGTTTTTTGTTGTTTTGCGGGTTTTCCTCTTGCATGTTCTCCTCCGCATCGGAGTTGAACAGTCGTTCAAGCTTGTCTCCGAGAGCTTGGAAAACTTTTTTCTGGAGCCCAAACTTGTCCATCGGAATATGCATGTTGTCAAACGCGATAATCGCTTCAATCCGGGGTGCATTGTCGACCATATCGGCGATCAGAGGCACTTTGAGAATCGGTGAACGCGGGTCCACTTCACTGTTGCTACGGAGTGGATTCTGCAACTTCTCGTACACCTTGGCTGCGCTCGAACAGTAGCGGTACCGTTGGCTGAAATGTGTCAGTAGCAGCTTCTTGGTCTTCATCAAAATGCCCATCTGCACGGCCTCCAACGTCGTGCTGTGTCTCTTTTCGATGGCGTCTTCGTACTTGTCGTCCTCCAAAGTGGCCTCGTGCACCAGCAGATCGCAGTCGTAGCCGAGTTTCGCGAAAGCCTGTCGCGGCCTCGTGTCTCCGGAGTACGCAACTTTGAACGACTCCGAGCCGACTGCAAAGTCCAGCACACAGCTATACGAATATTCGCAATGGAAGGCGTAGCATGTCTTTATGGCATTAAGACCGGCGTCTTTGTACAGCTGGCTCTGCAGCTGAATATTTTTTCTGGGCTCTATTTGCGTACCTCTCGCCTTGAGAGTCTCATTCTCGGGAACATCCTCGATAGGTATCTGCTCGAACTCGGGCCGGACCTTGCCGGAGTTGAACTGGTCGCAACTCAGGTACACGATATTCGCCAGATCCAGAGTGCTGTCAATACGCTGCAGTTCAACGAGAAACTTCTCGTATTGCCATGGAGCCACGACATACAGTTTGTCGTGCTCGCTTCTTACCTGGCACCATTTCTGTAGTAGTGCGACTATGCCGATGTGGTGGTCAGCGTGTAGATGCGACAAATACACCACTTTCAGCTCTCTGAAAAGCGTGGCAACGTCTTCCTGCGAGTACAGCTTGTTGATGCTGCCCAGGGTGTTTTCGCCAGCGTCCAGGAATATGGTTCGGTAGCCAGACTCGGTTGGCACTCTCACAGCATTAGAGATCACGTTTCTGAGCTTAGACGGCAGCGCCGAGCCCGTTCCCAGAACCAGAACTTCAACTTGTTCCTTCAAAGGCCGACGTCTGTCCGGAGCATGCTTCAGTTTATTATTTGGAGGAGCGGTAGCTAGCTTCACAAACTCTTCTTCAGAAACAAAATTTGAAAGCTGCAACGGAGCTATTTCTTCTGCATAAGCGTTTCGCACAGTCTTGACCACTTCGTCTGTGCTGGTACAACTGTTGGCTCTCATGATCGAGGTCACGCCAGGCCCGAAACCAAGAGTTTGGCCACATAGCATCGGCCGCACGTTGGATAAGCCTTCTGGTATCTGCTTTTCGGGCTGATCGCTCCATCTGAAAAGAGGAAACAGATCTGGAAGCAAAGCGTGCCACTTCAAAGAGACGACATACGACGCCAGAAAGTTCAATGTATCGGGAACGTATTGTCGGTGAGAAATAAAGTGGTAGGTGTCAGGGCCGAACGATCTAATGAATTGCTGGTATTCTGGGAGATCGAGCACATCATTGACCGATTCATCAACGAAATGGTAAACTGCTGAATATTTTTTTCCCGAGAGCTCGCTCTTCCAGTCGTGCTTTATAGTGTTTTGCAAATACTCCGGACCAGGAATGTCAAGGAATAAGATACTATCAAACGTCCTTTGGGGCTCCAAAACCTGTTCGGGCTTGATTTCAGTGCCATCGTCGAGCGTCACGCTCTGAAAGTTGCACAAGTTCTTATACTTCTGCCTCGGACATCCTAGCTCCTTGGCTTTTTCAACCAAAAATCTTCCACGGATAGGGTTCCCCGTCATAATGTAATTTGCGGACACTTTTGGATTGTGGACATCGGACGGTATCTCAATATTCATGAGAGCGCGCCCAGTATTGCCCATTCCTGTCTTTATGAGAAAGATGTACTGCACCAGATCAGATACGCGATCGAATGCTTTGCTAAGCTTCATGTGTTTTTGGCTTGCCGATTTGATATTCACTGCTTTCACTTTGTATGCGTCAGATTTGTATACATCCAAATCGTCAATTTTCAGCTTCAGTCCGAAGCGGAAGACAAAATACCTCCAGGATGCAACCACATACTGAAGAATATTGTTTCCAGTGTGCACCACTTGGAGGTCTTTTAGCCCTTGATCTGCAACGGTAAGAATAAGTCCAGGCAGCCCGCTTATTGCTGTCCAGTCCATAATGCCCGTGAGAAACATAGTGTCCAATCTAGAGGTTCTAAAGCCCATTTCATTGCATTGCCTCTGTAGACCTTCCGGCACTTGACCTATAAAATGCCGCTTGCCGGTCACCGAGTCTGTCACAAACACCGAAGGGCGGGCTATTTCGGCCGTCGGGTGGTTTGTGACTATGAGCTGGAACCTCATTCCGCTTTTGCTTACCAGTCGTCGTAACAATTTGGAAGTCTGAAGCAGTGAAAAAAATACTTTTGACACAGCCGTGAAAAAAAAATATATTCAAATTTTTTTTCAAATAAAAATTTTAGATCTTATTGTTGCCTGGCATGGTTGAAAAGCTAAAGAGAAAGAGAACAGAGAGAGACGAGGCCGGTGACAATAAGAAGTCGCTACTTTCTAAGAGCGCCGAGATCTCTTTTCCTAGAGGAGGAGGATCGGTGCTGACGCCGCTCGAGATCAAGGAGGTTGCGAATGAGGCCGTTAGCGATGCCCTAGCGGAAGCCAAAGAGTCAAAGGCCAGCAAGAAATCAAAAAAACAAAAAGCTGTTGTAGCACCTACTGAGCAGATTGAAGTTGAGCATGTCACCTTCAAAACGCTTCTTCCAGGAAGCATGGTCCTCGGACAGATTAAGCAGGTCAATCGCATGGAAATCGTTCTTTCGCTGATGGATAACCTGATGGGCTTCATTCCAATCACAAATATTAGTGACGCATTGGCTAGTCAGCTTCAAGAATTTGATGACGAGCAAGACGAGTCGGATGAAGAACCAGCATATGGCGATGATGAAGACACTTTCACAAATGGTATAATATCCTCGAAAAAGAAGTCGTTCCCGCAACTAGTTACTAGATTTCAGGTCGGACAGTGGCTGCGAGCTGTTGTTGTTGAAAGCACAAAGAGCAAGAAGAAGCGCATTGAACTGAGCATCGAGCCATCTAAAGTGAACGAACCAATCGATAACGAGGATTTGGTCACCAACGCTATTATTCAAGCCTCGGTCAAGTCTGTTGAAGACCACGGACTGGTTTTAGACGTGGGAAAAGAAAAAACTGGCGGTTTCATTGCGAAAAAAGACGTCCAATCCCTGGTAGATGTTGGTTCTGTCTTGCTGGTGAACATTGCCAGAAAAGATGGCAGAACGCTTATTTGCACCCCCGTCAATAAGCTCAGTGTTGTCCAAACTATTTCCTCGATTGACGCAATTCTTCCAGGTATGGGTGTGGAAGCCTTGGTGACAGCAGTGACTAAAGAAGGTGTCATTTGCAAGCTGTTCGGCGTAGGCAACGCTAGCATTCCCCTTTCTCACCTTGGAGTTTACGAATTCTCAGAGCTCAAACACAAGTTTGCTGTTGGAAGCAAACTCAAGTCGCGCGTGATGGTTTCTTACCTTAGAGCTGGCGACAAGAGGTTCCTTCTTTCTGTTCTTCCGCATGTCAAATCTTTGAACACCAACGTTTTTGGAGAGACATCTGCCCTGGAAGCCTTCCCAATCGGCCATATTTTTGACTCTGTCAGAGTCAGAGGAAAAGACTCAAGCTATATATATGTCGATGTGGGAAGCGACTTGGCAAGTGGACAGGCGCATATTACGAGAGTAAGCAGCACCAAAGACCTGGACATGGACTTTAAAATCGGTTCTACCCACCGCGCGAGAGTCCTGGGATTCTCTGCTACTGACAACCTGTATATTCTCACACTCGACAAGCAGCAAATAGAGCGCAAATTCTTGCGAGTCGAGGACATTCCTGCTGGCGAGCTCGTCAACTGCGAGGTTCGTTCTGTGGATGCCGAGAGAGGAATTGTTGTGAAGTTCGAGGAGGACTTTGAAGGAATTGTTCCGCCAGCATACATGAGCGATGTGAAATTGATTTATCCAGAGAGAAAATTCAAGATTGGATCCAAGATGAAGGGACGTGTTCTGCGTGTCGTCAATCAGAGCGGCAAGTCCAGGATCTATGTGACTTTGAAGAAGTCACTCGTGAACATAGAAGACGAAGATGTTATCTCCAGCATTGACCACGTTGAAGCAGGCAAGAAAACTCTTGCCACCATAGACAAAATGCTCCCAACCGGATGCGTCGTGAGGTTTTTTGGGTTTGTCAAGGCCTTCCTGCCGAACTCGGAAATCAGTGAGACGTTCGTGAAACGTCCGGAAGATCACGTCAAACTTGGACAGACCGTGAAAGTCCGTGTCGTTTCTGTGGACAGGGAAAATAACAGAATCAAGGTCAGCTGCCGAGTGTCGGAGGCACTGTCGGACATGCAAAAGAAAACGCTTTCCTCCATCGTTCCAGGAAGGTCCATCGTTGACGTCCAGGTTGTCGAGAAAGAAAAGGACTCTGCCATTGTGGAGCTCACCGAATCCGGCTTGCGTGGGATCATCTATGCTGGCCACCTCGGTGAAGGAAACTACGAACAATCTCGTGCCCAGCTGAAAAAGCTCCAAATCGGTGCCGAGATCAAGACTTTGGTGCTAGAAAAAGACGTGCGCTCTCGTGTGGTGAAGTTGAGTGCTAAAGAGTCGCTCATCAAAGACGCCCAGCAGGGAAAGCTGCCGCTACAATACAGAGACATAGAAATCAGCGATGAGCTGCTGCACGGCTTCGTCAAGTCTGTGACGCCGAACGGAGTCTTTGTAAGCTTTGGAAACGGCCTGACCGGTCTTGCACTGCCTCGTCATGCGGTCGAGAAACCTGTCGACGACCTGCAAAAGGCGTTCTTCACCAACCAGTCTGTCGCGTGTCACGTGATCAGGGTCGACGATGCGAACAAGCGGTTCCTTGTCTCCATGAAAAAGGAGACAAATACGACATCTGAGCCCGCGCAGAACCCTGTTGACAGCAAAATGAAGACGCTGGACGATTTCGCCGTTGGCAGGATCACCAAGGCTAAGGTCAAGTCTATCAAGCAGACACAGCTGAACGTGCAACTTGCAGACAACTTGCAAGGACGAATCGACGTAAGCGAGCTGTTTGACGGCATTTCAGAGATCAAGGACGCCAAGAGACCTCTATCACAGTTCCAGGCAGGCGACGTGCTAGATGTGAAGATCATTGGCTTCCACGACTCCAGAAACCACCGTTTTCTGCCGATCAGCCACAAGAGGACTAATCAGACCGTCTTGGAGCTGAGCGCGAAGAAAAGTAGCGTTCTCAGCCAGAAGCCGGTGGTTCCTGCCTCGATTGGAGACTTTCACCTTGGCGACGAGTGCACGGGATATATTAACAACTTTGCCAGGGGATTCTTGTGGGTCACGATCTCTCCAAACCTTAGAGCTCGCATCTCCTTGATGGACTTGTCTGACGACGCGTCGAAATTCGAAAATCTGGAAAAAGAGTACCCTGTTGGTTCTGTGGTGCGTGCTAAGGTGATTGATCTTGACACGGAACACAATATTTTGAGTCTGAGTGCTAGAAGCAAAGCAATTACTTCACTGGAGGACGTGGAAGTGGGATCTGTGATTCCTGCCAGAGTTCTGAAGACGAGAGAGAGCTATGTGGTTGTTGAGCTTGGCAAACAGGTTTCCGGTATTTCTTTCATCACCGACGCTCTGAACGATTACACCGATAAGCTCGACGATATTTTCTCCACTAATGACATCTGTGCTGCCACGGTGCTGGAAGTGGACCATTCCAACAAAAAGGTCTACGTTTCGCTGCGCACCCAGGACGTGAAAGACAAGAGGATTGCGTCGTATGAAGATCTCTCTCCAGGCACCCTTGTGCGTGGATTTGTCAAGAACGTCGCCGACAACGGTGTCTATGTTGCATTAGGAAGAACCGTGCATGCTCTTGTTCGTGTGAGCGATCTGTCGGACTCGTATTTGAAGGACTGGAAGCAGTATTTCAAGGTTCACCAGCCTGTTTTGGGTAAAATCACCAAATGCGAAGGCGTGAACCAGATTCTCATGACTCTGAAGCAAAGCGAGATTGACGGTGACTTCAGTCTTCTGAAGCGGTTTGATCAAATCCAAAAAGATGAAGTCTATGAAGGAAGCGTCAGACGAGTCACTAACTTCGGCGTTTTCGTGAACCTTGACGGAACGTTAAATATCAGTGGGTTGTGTCATCATTCTCAGATCGCAGACAATCCCGTTTCGAATCTCGAGTCTCTGTTCAGCGAAGGTGACCGTGTGAAGGTGAAGATTCTGGACGTTGACCGTGAGAAGCAACAACTCTCTCTTGGCATGAAGGCTTCCTATTTCACTGGCGAGACAGAAGAGCCTGCTGTTGAGGAAGATGAAGACGAGGTCATGTCTGATGAAAGTATTATTGACACCGCTTTCGGACACGAGTCCGACAAGGATGCTGAGTCGGACTATTCTGACGACACTGATGCTCAGGCTACCGACGGTCTCTCCGCTGGCTTCGACTGGACCGCTTCGATTCTGGACCAGGCCAAGGAAGACGTTTCCGATGATGACGAGATGGAGAAGCCAAGAAGAAAGAAGCGGAAGGTGGTTGCAGAGGATCAGACGGCCGACTTGAACTCCCGTCTACCGCAGTCTGTGTCTGACTTCGAGAGGCTTATTGTTGGAAACCCTGACTCGTCAATTTTGTGGATGAACTATATGTCTTTCCAAATCCAGTTGAGCGAAATTGACAAAGCCCGTGAAATTGGCGAACGCGCACTCAAAACTATCAATTACAGAGAGGAGCAGGAGAAACTGAATATCTGGATTGCGCTGTTGAACCTGGAGAACATGTTTGGCACAGAAGAGTCATTGGAAGCAACTTTCAAGCGCTCGTGCCAATACATGGATCCGTATGTGATGTACCAGAAATTGGCTGCCATTTACACCGCCTCTGAGAAGGTGGACCAGGTGGACCAGCTGTACACGGCAATGTGCAAGAAATTTGGCTCACAGCATACCTCTGTGTGGGTAGCATATGGATCGTTCCTTCTCCAGCAGCAGGAAGGAGAAAAGGCCCGTGAAGTGTTGGCCAAAGCCTTGCAAGTTCTGTCCAAACGTGACCATGTCGAGGTGGTCAAAAAGTTTGCTCAGCTTGAGTTCAGCAAGGGAGACTCAGAGCACGGCCGTTCGTTATTCGAAGGACTATTGTCGGATGTTCCAAAAAGAATTGATCTGTGGAATGTCTATATTGATCAAGAGATCAAGTTCGGCGACAAGAAGAAGGTGGAATCCATTTTCGAGAGAGTGATCACACGCAAGCTTAGTCGCAAACAGGCCAAGTTCTTCTTTGGAAAATGGTTGGAGTTTGAGGAGAGGCACGAGGACCAGAAGGCGTGCGACTACGTGAAAGCGAAAGCTGTAGAATATGCGCAAAGTCTCGGGAAAGAGTAATTGTTAATAGAAGTGCTAATACAAGACGTTTTCAAGGATTAATAAAAGGGCCAAAAAAATCCCCAAATATTTTGAGCTGAATTTATTATTTGTTGTATTTGTTCTATCGCCAAATACCCATCCCACGCTCTACAATGTCTTCTCTTACGCTGTTGTGGAAAACATATAGACAATTGAATCCCACCTGGATGCTCGGATTGGGCATAATAGCCGTACTAGTGGTTAGCGCTAGCATGAAACAGGCCCGTCTGACCAATGACTTTGTTTCCCAGTTGAGCACATCAAAGACCCTGAACTCGCTCATGAGCTGCTCAGGCTCTTACAGGAGTATTGACTGTCTCAAAAGATACCACAAAGATATTTTGCGAGAATTCGCCCCGACCCTTATACCAATTGTTCACGCTGAGTTGAAGTTTTGTCTGAATGGACTCCAGAACGGCCAAACAGGTGCAGATGCGCTTCTGGGCGTCCATTCATGTCTTAGCAGGGCTGACAAGCTCAATTCGGCTTTCCAAATGACACACGCAGAAACAGTACCATTCAATATCTCGCTATTTGCATATGTTTCAATCACCGCGCTATCCATAACATGGTTGCTGGGACCACTCCGAGCATCCGATCAAGAACCGCCTAAGTTCCAACACGATCTTGCATTGAAAAGTGTTGGCGAAAAGCTCGATCTTATGCTGAATGACATATCTGGCTTGAAAGAAAAGATACTGGGCCTCGAAAAGGCAGTTTGCAATCTAGAGCTCTTCGCCAACAGCTTTACAGGAACAGAGAGATCCTTCAGCAGAAGGCTTGAAAGCCTCTTACAGTCCTGCAAGGAAACCAGCCAACAGCTTGCATATGTTTCCGACCCCTTCCCTGTTGCGTCTGGTTCGATTGGTCGGACCACCAGACCGTCTGATATTTTGCTAGAGGACAAATCCATCAAGGTGGGCAACAAGACCTTCAACATCGCGACAAAGGATGGACTAGACCAATGGAAGACCTTTGTTCACCAAAGCATCAACAAAAAGCCAGAACCGGAGCCCATTGTGTCTGGTTCGGAGAACGATACAACACTCAGTCCCATTGATCTCAAAGCCTTGAGGACGACGGATGAGAACGGGAAGCCCTTTAGGCGGATTTTTGTGCCCAACAGAGGCTGGGTATCATCGAAGAAGCTCCATCAAGAACTGCAGCTAACGGCTTGAGCACTTTTGTGTTTGGTGTACGGGTGTGTTTTGTGTATATCCTTGTAAGTTGGCTATCGTAATAGGAAGTATCAATTGATGGTAATGCCAATTGTTTCGGCTAGATTGTGATGGAAGGTAATTTCTACTCCTCATATACGATACTATTTGACGTTTTCAAACCGGATCAATTGATAGGAGAGGTATTTTTACACGGCGAATCAAGCGTCAAGGCTGCAGAATATTTGGGAGTGCTAGACAAGAAACATCTGGTCAATTTCGGAGAAGATCTGTTTGCAGAGCCCTGGACTAATCTTGTTTTCGTTAATAAGGATATTTTCACCGAATTACCCAAAAAGTCTGTTACCGCAGGTGATCTAATAAGTTCATTGAGCAGTCTTACACCCACTGAGACTCTAATCGAACGGAAACTAAAGGCACTGAAGCTTCGCAACTCCAACAGAATTGACTACCGCTTTTCCAGAGTTGAGGTTGAGGTCGTGGATATGAACAGTATTGATTTGCACGCAAATGAGCCTCTGAAGGCCAAGTTGCTTGGCTATGGCGTAATCAGGCTCTTCAGGGACCGTGATGACATTCAGAACGAGGGAGGAGAGTCAAGGATTACTGGAGATGAAACAATGGTTGCTATATTGGGGGTTCCGTTCTACTTCTCGGCCAGCGACCTGTTGTTGGGATTCTTTGATGCCAATGTGAGAAACCAGGTGTCCCACTTCAGACTGATACGGACGCAGGCTCCTAATCGATTTATGGTCTTGATGAAGTTCAGAGATGCAGCGCATGCCAGGGAGTTTGTTGATAATTACAACGGGCAGCCATTCAACTCCATGGAGCCAGAAACATGTCAGGTTGTATTTATTAAGGAGATACTATTCCGTCCAAACAAGCACGACAACGATACCCTCAGCACGATACCATATCTCTTGGACGATCCTTTTACATCCAGCAACACAGCTCGGAGTTCCTCATCACAGCTAATCGAACTAGCTTCTTGCCCCGTTTGCTTGGAACGGCTTGATTCGTCCGTCACAGGGCTGCTTACCATCCCGTGCCAGCATACTTTCCATTGTCAATGCCTATCAAAGTGGAAGGATGACTCGTGTCCTGTGTGTCGTTACTCGGCCAAGTTTGACGCACGCAAGAACCATCAAGCACATCAGGAGGAAAGGTGTCTGGTCTGCGGGACTACCGATAATTTATGGATTTGTCTTATATGTGGCAACATAGGATGTGGACGGTACGACTTGGGCCACGCTATCGACCATTACAATGAGACTTCACATTGTTTTGCTATGGAAGCAACATCGCAGCGAGTCTGGGATTACGCCGGCGACAACTACGTGCATCGCTTAGTTCAAAACGAAGCCGACGGAAAACTGGTTGAGTTGCCTATACATAGCGGGAAAGAACATCAATCTAGCTCCTCAGGAAATGAGGACAAGGTTGAGAAGATTGGGTTTGAGTATTCAAAGATGTTGATCGCACAGTTGGAGTCCCAACGTGAGTTCTATGAGATGAAATTTGAGGAGGCTAATAATCGAGTCTTATTGGCCAACGAGAACATACAGACCATGAAGGAGCAGCTCAATGAGCTTCAACAGAGTTTGGCAAAAGTCAAAACAGAGAAAACAGAAAAGACTAAAAAGCAGAGAGATCTGGAACTGGAAAAAAAGTATAAAGAGGAAGTCACACTGAACGAGGCTCTATCGGAGAAGGTAGAGTATCTCACGAAAGAGAATCAGGAGCTAAAAGCACAGAATAAGGAGCTGCAGGAGCAAGTTAATGACATTATGTTTTATTTGGAATCGCAAGAAAAGTTTAAGAATGCACCGGACGAAGTGAAGGAAGGTAAAATTATCACAAAGCCTAGTCGCAAAGCAAAGAAGAAGCGCTAATCGTGGTCTCTCAGATTCACCAAGTACTCCTCATTGGTGTATGAGAAATTATTGAAATACACTGATTCCTCGAATTTATTGTCTGCCGTTGGTTTTTTGATTGCGATGTACGAGGACGTGCTATTGGATCTTGACTCTTCTTCTATTTCTTTGAGCAGAGAATGTTCAATTGGAGAGCTCGGAGGTGTGATCTTCATAGAAGTGAACTCTTCGTCGAAATTCTCTGCCAGCTCGGGATTCGTCACGACGGGCACTATTGGAGGTGGCTGTTCTGCATCATTTTGGTCTATAACATGCTGCCAGTTAATATACCGGAAGAATCTATGGGATCGAACTTTATTATCGAACTCAATGTCGCAATTGAGTCTCTTTTGCGGGTTCTTGTTGAGAAGCTTGATGAGCAGGTCTCTGGCGTCCTGCGAAAGGTAAAATGGATACTTGACTTTTTGAGTCAGGATCTTGTCCATGATTTTCTTGTTGTTGTTACCGGTGAATGGCGGTGACCCTGTCAGTAGGTCGAACGTGACTGCTCCCAGAGACCACCAGTCACATTGGCTGTCGTAACGTTCGCCTTGGATAACTTCAGGGGCGATGTACTGAGCGGTACCAAAGAGTGAACTACTTTCGGTAGACACTTTGCTGAGACCAAAATCTGTTAGGACCAAGTGTCCGCGTCGGTTGAGCATGCAATTTTCTGGCTTGAGATCACGATAAATCACGCCCGTATGCAGATGTAAATGCCTAAGAGCAAGGATTATCTCGGCTACGTAAAAGCACGCGATTTTCTCAGACAAGATCCTTTCCTGCGACAGGTGATGAAACAACTCCCCACCTTCTAGATACTCTAGAATGAGGTACAGTTTGTCAAAATCCTGAAGGGCGTAGAACAATTTGACCACATTTGGGTGTCTGACACGCTCTAGGATGGTTCTCTCTGTCAGCGTTCTTTCGTAATTTTTTGCGTTCACAATCATGGAAGCCTTGCGGAGCTGCTTTTGTGCGTACAATTTGCCTGAACTTTTGTCCTTGACCAATATGACTTTACCGTAGCTACCTTTGCCCAGAACTTTGATTGGCTGGAAATCTGTCACCTTCTTTTTGCGTTTTCCTGCTTGATAAGGCAAGTCGATGGGCACTTCATAGGACTTGGCGAGCCGGCTTCCAACCCCGTCAGACGAGGCAAACTCGCCAACTTTGGGCATCTCTGGCTCATCAGCTTCTTCCAAGTCTAGCTTTTCGATTTTTGACGCGAGCTGCTCATCGTCAAACTCGAATAACTGTGTCATCAAACACCCAGTATAAGTCGAAATATTTATTCTTATATAATCAAATATATGCAAAAAAACTCCAAAAAAAAAAATAATCGGGGAGCTGTAAGTATGCCATACAATGAGGTGACTCCGCGCACGACGCTCAGAAAGAACTACAAGGATCCAGCCACCTGGCCTGAAGCGCTGCATGGATTTATATCTGCCTCTTTCAAAAAAGCGTCGGAACTAAAGCTCACTCCCGACAAGAAGAAACAGTTTCAGGCGGAGCTTAAAGAACTAATCAACATGGCCATAGATCAGGGGAAAATCGAGACAAATCTTTGGGAAAGCCAGACTTTGCCTTCTCTAGGGGGATCCCAAAAATTGGATCTTTACTCCAATCAGGTGGAGGAGGCGCGGAAACACAAAGTATATAAGGAGCCAGTTCAGGCTCCAGTAAAACAGACGATCAAGAACAAAAATGTTTTCGATGAGCCGGACGGACAGCCTAGTTTTTCAGCGCTCCCTCCTCTCAAAAAAATGAAGAAGACTCAAAGAACCACCGAGAACGCAATGACTTCGCAGCAGCGCAAAGAGCTTCGAAGCCAGCGATTTGAGAGAGAGCTCAGCACCCCGTCTCCTGACCCTATTTCCGCCCCTGTGTACACGAACCCCAACACTCCACTTGTAGGAACATGCAAGGAGCTGGAGAAACGGTACTTAAGACTAACATCGCAGCCCAACCCAGCAACCGTCAGACCACTTCCAATACTGAAAAAGACGCTTCAACTTTTGATCGATAAGTATCTCCAGAACGCTAGTTACAATTACCTGTGTGACCAGTTCAAATCCATGAGACAGGATCTGACTGTGCAGCATATAAAAAACGCATTTACGGTAAAGGTTTATGAGTTCCACTGCAAAATAGCGATCCAGTTCCAGGACCTGGGAGAGTTCAACCAATGTCAGTCGCAGCTCAAGCTGCTGTATGTCCAGCTTGGAACTCCTTCAGCGGAGTTCTACTCATACCGCGTTCTCTACTACATCCTGACAAACAACTACAACGAGGCATTTGAGCTCAAGTCTCAGCTCCTGGACGCTAACCTTAGATTTGACGAGTACCTTGACACAGCATATAAACTCTTGGAGTACACAGTGACCAACGACTACAACCAATTTTTCCGTATAGTGAAACTCCTGCAGGAGAAACACGAGGAAGAGCTAAAGACACTGCAACCTGTCTCCCATCTAAACGTACTAACAGACAAGAACGCGCTGAAGCTAAATCACACGGCCTGGTTTTTTTTCCTGCAGCTGCTACAGCCAATCATCTCGAAAGTGCGTATCAATTCACTCGCAACAATCAGCAAATCGTACCGCAAATTGGCTGTCGCTGTGGTGCAACAGCTGCTCAATTTTTCCGAATCCGAGATGAGCGAGTATCTTGCACAAACAAAACTGGACCAGTTTGTAGACCAGGGAATGCTGGACTGTGTCCAGTGCCGACCAACGGTAGAGCAGCTCAAGAGCCAGAATAGAAAAATAGACATCAAGGGACAGGTCTAGCCGAGATCTGGACCAAGCGCGATCATTGCAAAGTTCATGCTGTTGTCCTCGTCCGCAAGAGACATGTACCGCTGCACGCGTTGCAGAACTAGCTGCGAGCTAATGGCATCCGACTCTGGCTCGGCTTGTCCCAGATCGACGGGGCCGTTTCTGCGACCGTCCAACTCGTAAAAGTGACCGTCCGTACCTTTTGTAAAGCATATAAAGTGTAAGTTAACGTCCTCCTCCGAGCTTGGCGCTTCTGTCTGGCCCTGTTTGCTGTATGTCTCGTAGAGCGACAGAGAGAGCTCTTTGACGAGCTTGGATTTCTCGTCGTGATTGTTTGAGTTGTTCACGTTCGGCAGCTGTCTCACGTTGTGAATAAATGTCTCGACTGGCGAATCTTGCACTAAAAGCCCTTCGGGCAAATTGCAAAGGGCATGAAGCAGGCCGTACAGACCGCAACCATTTCTAAGGAGCTGTTTGAACCAGATGATCTCCTCAAACTTATCGTCCTTCTCTTGGTCTCTGGCTTTTTCCTCTTCCCCTTTGAGGCTTTCATACTGTTCTGTCACAGGAAACAGGAGAATCAACGCGTAGACAGGTCTCGGAAGAAAAGACACCAGGTCGGGATCTGTGAGAGAATAGACATCGAAAAACGAAAGAAGTGGCGAAAGGCCGAGCTTGCGACCGAATTGAGTAAAGATTTCGGGATTTGACTCCAAGGGAATAACAGAGTCTTGGGACATGGCAAATGTGAATAAATTTAAATTCAATTTAGATAGATAATTCTTCATTTGGGAGATGAGGAGTCACTTGACTCTCGACGGTTTTTGACATGCAAGGAGCCAGGTAGAGTCTTTATAGCCAGCCGTGCGAAACTGAGATTAACTAGAACTACACTCATATGTAAATAGACCTACTTTTCAGTACAACCCACAGAGCGTTGTCGGATCGTACAGGTAGACAGGTACTCTTTGGCCTGCTGGTTATACCACTGAGTGGGGGGGACAGTAGATGCCGGCCAGCAGGCAAGATCAAGGGCGAGGTGGCTGCTTTTCGTCACAACGGCATGCGAATGTATTTTACGCCCAATTTTATTTTTTTCATGGATATAGTAATACCGGAAGGTGAGTATGAAGGGGAGTTGTTTGAAAATCACCGTGGACACGCCGTCTTTGAGGCCGTGAGCGAGCTGAGACGTCTGGGGTACGGGTTCAACGACATTCTCAAACAATCTGGGTGCGATCGAGCTTTTCTGGAAGGCCTCTTCCAGACAATGAAGATACCGCTACAGGAGCGTCGCCAGACAAAGCCGTTCCACACAAGCGAGTGGATAGACCAGCTGGTATTAGAGGTGAGCGAGGACGAGGAGCCTGAGGAGGCAGGGCCAGCCAGCTTGAGGGAAAAGCAAGATGAGATCCACCGGATGAGAGAGTATATCCGAGAGCTGGAAAGCCGGCGAGCGTCGCGGCCTGTGCCCAAAGACCCGAAAGTGGTCGAAATGGAGGCGCTTCGGAGAAGACTGAACTCTGCGAACAGGACTGCGCTCGCCCTGAATGAAACGATCCGGAAGCTGGACTTCCAACTGAAGCTGAAGAAAACCGACCTGGACAAGACCTTGAAAGAGATCGAGGAACTTGAGGATCGGATCGAAGCACTTCGAGCTTCGCCCCAGCCGCGTGAGCCTAGCGAAGTACTCGAGCTTTAGTATCTTGAAAATGCATAGACCCTTATTCTATTCACCCCCGCACCGACCTGAACGCTCGGATTCAGGCCTCCGAAAAAAAACAACTGGCGGGCAGTGTAGTGAAAATGAGGAGGAGTCGAAAATTTCGAAACCTCGGACCGAATACTGTTTACTATGGCCTCGGCATTCAGAAGATTTCTCAATAGCGAGACGGGACCTAAGACGGTCCATTTTTGGGTACGTAGAACCGGCTGCGCGGCGTTACTAACACTCCCCAGGCTCCTGTCATGAAAGTAAGTGGATACGCGGAAGCGAGACCTTTGTGATTCTCGCTTTTCCGATCGCGTTACTAACAACACAGTGGAGTTTGGTTTTTGCAGGCGCCAACGAAATGGTGAGGCCTGTCGAAAAAATATCGGGAAGCCAGCAGCTTGCGCTGTTGGCCACCGGCGCCATCTGGACGAGATGGTCGTTTCTGATTCGCCCACGAAATATGCTGCTGGCATCGGTTAATTTCCTGCTTGCTACGGTCGCCGGATACCAGGTGGTCCGGCTCTATAACTGGAGAAGGACACTGGGCGACTCACCGCTGGATTCCGTGAAGTACATCGTCAACGGAGCGCCAGAGACCAGCAGCACTACACCGGAGAAGACAGAAGCTTAGCGTGATAGATTCCCGTGTCAAGAGCATATTTACCTTCTACCAGCGTCCATGAACGATTCCTGCTTTAGCAGGCCTGTCAATTCGTCCAGGATGTGGCTGTTCTGGGAGTTGAACACCTTGAGTCGCGTGATCAGATCGTCCCTGGCGATATTGGTGTCGACAGGTTCTGGTTGCTCGTTTTCCTCCTCATTGTCTTCGTCCTCGCGCGGCACCAGGCCTTTGTAATCGTTGAATGGAAAGCTGGTCCTGGCCACTATCGCTTGCACTTTGTCAGCGTCAAAGTTTTTTCCCTTATCAATACATTCCAGCTTGTATTTTATAACTCCGCGGATTCGACACACCGTTACCCAATCGAGCCAGCCCGTCGCTTCCAGACACTGGTCCTGGATCTGGGCCTCTCTCAGGATCTTCCTGACGTCCTCGTCGGCCATGTCGCCAATCTGGAACGAAACGGCACACGTAGGGTTCACTCCGTCGTAGAATAGCTGTTTGGGCACTTTTCCTATACCGAGCTGGCTGATTTCGGAGTTGGGGTCGTCAAACTCGGCCGCGTGGCTGGCCAGCGTCGGCGGCACCACGAGCGGTTCCTCGCCCGCCTCCACCATTCGCTCCATCTCTGTCATCGTGAACGATTTGCTGCTCATTCTGAATGCCTCCACCTGGTAATCAACAGCTTCTTTATGCAGCGTCGGATCGTAACCCAGCTTGATGTACGACTGTCGCCAAGGGCCCTTCTTGGTGGTGAACGCCACGTACGGCAGCGCAAACCTCAATTGAGGCCGTAGCCGCGACGGTAGCATCCAGCTGATATGTCTTCGGAGCCAAATTGGCTTCATGTCAAATAGTTTTTTTAGGATTTCGATGCAACGCAGCAGATTGAAGGCTGGAGAGTCCGGCACAAGCCGCTCCAGGCCGCGTTCCTTCAGGCTCTCGACCTCCTGGACGCACTTGTCGAGCTCTTTTTGGAGCGCTGGGTTGTACGAGGTTGGCACTTTTTCTCCCCAGTCCACAAAAATAGTATGCAGCTTGACACTGTCACGGGTCAGCTCTCCGTTCTCGTCAATTAGGAGGTTGCCGACATATCTGTAGTTGTAGGGAATGTCCACGCGCGCGTACCTGACCAGCGGCGGCAGGTCCAGATCTTTGTTCTCGAACTTGGACGGCACCTGATGGTCTTTTTCGATGTAGTCCGCAAACTGCTTGATTTTCTCGAGATCGGCTTTGCCGACAGAGCCCAGAAACTGGTTTGTGAATGGCGAGTTCTTGGGCACAGTCTGGAAATCGGCGAGCTGGCGGAATTTGTAGGTTTTGTTGAGAATGCCCTCCACGCTAGAGCCGTACGCGATGTTATTTTCCTCGCATTCCTTCAGAGCTGCCTGCACGTTGTAGTTGTGCTTCTGAAGCACCTTCTTGGGAATGCTGAGCCGCATCAGCATGTTCTCGGTGGTGTCGCACTTCTCGGACGAAACAGGATGCGAATACACATCGTCAGGGCGCAGTTTAAGCTCGAGTCTCATTTCTGGCTCAATAAAACACTGCGCAATCTTCTCTGGCCCACCCACCATGCCAATCGCCTTTGCAACGTTCCTCACATTTAGCGGGTACTCAATGGAAAGATAGCTGGGGACGTTGAGTTCGTATCGCGGCGCGAGCTCGTTGAAAGGCATAGCACGACAACCGGTTTATTTATCTGATTATTTATTTCCTTCACCGCCTCCTGCGCCACAAGAAGCACAAAAATTCTGAAGGCAAGTGTAAAAATAATCAACAGAAACATGTCGACCGAGATAAGGCGCTCTTCACGAAAGACCAAGGGAGTGAATTCCCGACTTCAGGATCTTGACAAGATAAGCGAACCTACGCCCCCTTCAAAGAAACGGACAGCGAGCTCGAAGGCCAATGGGCAGAAAAAGAGGCAGCGTAAAAAGGCAGTGAAGGTGCCTGAAAAAGAAGAGGTGCGCTGTCTTCCGTGCGGGTCCCACGATCTCAATTACGACGAGGACGAGGATGAGCACGGCGTGATGATTCAATGCGACAAGTGCGAGACGTGGCAGCACGCAAAGTGCATGCTCGGAACAGATAGCGAGGAGAGTATACCGGATGATTACGTTTGCAACCTGTGCGACCCAGAAAACCCCAAATACAAGGATTTGGAGCTTGCATTGAGCCCAGATGATTACTATAAGGAGCGGTTCCCTGACAGAGTTGACGAGACTTACGACCAGGAGGAGGAAGATTTCGAAGACGCGGGTGCTGTGTACGGCGAGAGCGACGAGGAGTACAACGGGAACGGGGAGAAAGATGAGGACGACGATGCGGACGAAGAAGAAGAAGGCGATGATGCAGACGAGCCGGACGAGCCGGACGAGCCAGGAGAGCTTGACGAGCCGGAAGAAACGGTCAGGAAGCCCGTGCGGAAACCGCAAAAGGTGGTTCGCAAGAAGGTGGACAGAAATAAAACGAGACAGTCTGTGGTGAGCCAGTTTGCAAAGAAGCTGAAAGACCACATTCCGGACGACCACAAATTGCTGGAAGAAATGGACGTGAGCAGTGCAGCGGAGGAGATTGCCAGCGGGCTGGAGAACGCGCTGTTTGAAGCGTTCCCGCCTCCAAACAAGCGTTCCGAATCGATGTCGCCAGGGTATCTTAACAAATCCAGAACGTTACTTTTCAATCTTGACAAGTCCAACCTGAGTGACAAAGTGCTGTCTGGCCAGTACACATACGAGCAGATTGTGCATTTGACTCCCGAGGAAATGATGCGGGACGATTACAAGGAGTTTGCCGACGCGGTGAGGAAGCAGAGTATCAACCAGTCGGTGATTACAAACACTCTGGAGAAAGTCAAGATCAAGAGGACGCACAAGGGCGAAGAGATTGTGGAGGAGGACTACCAGTTTGACGATATCGACTCGAGAACGGCTGACGAGTCCCGTCTGAACGAGATCGAAAAGTTGCAGGAGGAGAAACGACTACAAGATGAAGAAAAAGAGGCAAGTGCGTCGCCTCCTCCTACGGCCAATCTGAATGCCAACATCATGACGACAATGGCGAACGACTATGACGATGAAGAGCAAGAGCAAGATCAGACTGGAGACGGACCAGAGGAAACTCTCGACAACGACGAGGATTTCGACAAGATTCTGAACGGCACAAAGGACGTGGTTCCCACGCCGCCGGAATCGCAAGCAGTCGTCAACGACGACGAGGACGACTACGATCCAGCACGCAACTTTGACGTTGACGAGACTCTCTGGAACGGTATACTGAGTTTTGCTCCCGTCGCCGACGTGCAGACGACTATCAAATTTCACGCTGCCTCGACATATGATAGCACCGAGGACAAAGTTGCCAAGGCGCGCAGAATCGTGAGCGACTTTGTCGCTCGCCACAACCGACTTGACATCGAGGGACGGCTGGACGCTCAGAAAGCGGTTGGCTACCTTTGGGAAATCATAAATACTAGAGACTTGTATTTAGTGGAACTAGTTCCATTTGAATCTCCACACCTCTCGGAATTCGAGAACCAGCAGACACAGACACAGTTCAGAAAACTATGGGAGTATTTCAACTCGCGCAACAAATACGGAGTCATTGCTTACAAGCCCGCATACATCAAGGACAGCTACCTGGTTGCAATGGACACTACAAGACAAGAGCAGGAGGGGTTGCCAAAATACTTCAGCCACTTCAACATGACCAGTCTCCACGGCGCCCGCGAGCGTCTGTTTGCCGTGTTTGTGGCGAAAAAAGATCTCTCGGCGGCACCGTCAGGCGCAGCCACAGCCAACCTGGACCAGATCCTGAGCGGACTGGCCGCCTGATCACGTGACGTGCGAGCCATTGGAAGATAGGTTGTGCTCCAGCGGCCCTGCCGTTCCTACAACCGCTGTACAGCCAAACTGCGTGCCTGGATACGCGCGCACTTTGTCCATACTGTAAACTACCCTGTATACTCAATACCAATTGCTTCAGTTATTTAATTAATGAAACCGTTGTACATCAAAGCCTTCCAAAGTTTCCAGGCTAGCTTGTTTCTATTTCGACATATATGCTGGCTTAGGCCTTGGCAATAGCCTTTTTGACAGCGTAGTTTCTCTGTTTCTTCAACACCAAGACTTGGAATCTTTCGAAGTCTGTAAGTTGCGATCTTCTTTCTCTCTGGGCGATCTTCTTAGCCCACGAGGTCTTGGCCCATTTGGCGTCGATGTCTGCAGCAGCCCACTTCTTGGAGACAGTGGCGGTTCTTGCGCCTCTTGGAAGGCCTTCGAGGACCAATGGGGTCAGAACGGTCTTGCCGAGGGAGATGGATTGTCTTTGGATAGCTGGACCGTCGATCAGAACTCTCTTTTGGTCGATGATCTCAACGATGGTGGCGAGCTTGTTGTTCACGAGAACGACTCTGCCGACTTGGACGAGTCTCCAGTTGGAAGCCTTGACGCTGGTTTCAGTAGACATCGTAAGGTATACTATGTGAATGTTAAAATTGTTTTCAAATTTTTCAAAAACTTTGCAGAGCGAGGTGTGCGGAGGGAGCGCCTGGGACGCTGCAGCGAATTTGGCGGCCAGTTTTGAGAATCACTGTGCGGTGTGAGGAGTGGTCTGGTGGGAAGCCCTTGTAGAGATCACGTGCGTCCTGGGTAAATTGTGCAAGGCCTTCGGATTCTGAGCATGTATTTTCTCAACCGTATTCTCCACACGGTGCTCGCGCCAGTGGGCGCCCGGCAGACTCCACAAACGGTAAGTGCAACTGTGATGACCGATAATTTGCGTTTGAGAAATAGACGTCCCGGAACACGCCTAGTTCCGTCAAGGGAGTCTATATACCATGCGACAACTTTCTTAACTGAGATTGTGCTAACACTTAGGCATGTGATTGGCCGTTCCTGTGCTGGGCATTTCGTTTGGACAGAGCATAAGATCAATCGAGATCCATCTGTTTATTCTATATAAGTGTAGGTGTCCATCTTACTTAAGCAGACTGATTTTTTAAGCAATAACATGTCCCGTGCTGCTGGTATCGAGCAGGAAAACGAGTCCCAATTCAACCTCCTGGCCAGCAAAATCTCTACGTTCAAGAATGTGGCCAACGATATCAACAACTACGCTCAGGAGGACTCCACCACGCTGTCCAACGTGTCCAACGCCATGAACGCACTGTTGGAGAACGTGAAGGCAACGTCGTCGAAGCTGGGCCGCGTGGTTGCCAGCAAACCGCACACGTTCCGCATGGTGGTGGCTGGGGTGTTGGGCTTTTTCATAATCTACACGTTACTGAAATTTATATGACTAACACGCTATTTCAGTGTCTTCCCCCAACAACGTCCTGGCCTAGTTTATAGTTTCCAATGGCGTCTCCCCACCTGACTTTGGACCGGTTAATCGGCAGCTGTCTTCTCAGGTTCTTGAAGAGGTCCTCGTTGAGGTTGGCGAACTTGCTGAACACAGCGGTCTCGAAAGCAGTCTCGGCCGTGGCTATGGTGTCCACGACGGAGGAGCCGACCTGCTCGCTGACCTTGGTTCCTGAGTTCAGAACCACGTTTCCGTCCTCGTAGTAGTGGATCTTGACGCTGATTTCTCCGGTCAGCTGTTTGGTGCTCGAGTTGTACTGGTAGAACGATTGCCATCTTCCGTTGTAGAAGTTTGCGTCGTTCAGGTTTTCATCCACAATCACGAAATATAGGACTGCCGGGTCGCTCTCGTCCGCAACCACAAGCGACTTGTAGAACGTCGGATAGTATTTGGCGCAGTACTCGGCGAGTTCCTTGTTGTAGCTGGCGACCTCGTCGGAAACTGGGGTCTGTCCGGCTTCGACATCTATCACCTTGAGCGCGTCGAAATCGTAGTCAAAAGTGACGTTGAGTGCCGGGTCGTAGAATTTGATGCCCTTCTTGTTGTATTTCGAAACCAGCGCAAAGTCGTTGTCGTTTATCTTGACGAGCTTGAAGTCCTTGTTGAGATGGAACTGTTCCAGGTTCTCAGCAATGATCCTGCGCGAGTCTTCCTTGTTCAGCAGGATTTTGATGTCATTGATGACGTTCAGATTGTTGCCCGGAGGCGCGTCGTCGATCATCGACGCCACGATAGACTGCAAAGACATGCCGATTACTTTTTTGATGTGCTATCATATTTATACGGGACATCCGTGCACCAGGGAACCAACCGAGACGGTAACGGCAGAGCCGCTGCTGCGCTCGGGAAGGCAAGCGCGCAGGCCCACATCCTTCGTTGAGCGTCGGCGGAGAGAGCCGTCTGCAGCACAGCCCGCCGACCAATAATTCAGTCAACCTCAGACCAGATATGTGTGCGCGCCAGATTCTTTCTTTTATGTCGCAGCTACTTCTTCAGCTCCCGTTCGAGCTGCAGCAGGCTGTTCTGGAATACGCGGGATCCATGGTCCTGGTCCAGCTGCTCAGCCACCCGACGTTGCACGGTCCCGCGTTCCAGGCGCTCAGAAAGGGGATCGTGCTGACTCCCCAGGAGACCAAGCGATCCGACATGGGCAAAGTGGACATGTCGATTTTGAGCGGGTCCTCGGACTATGCGCGGCTGAAACGGTACATCAAGGCCAACAGAGTGAGTCTCATGTATGTGGAAATATACTGGAAGCTGGACCTGTCGAAAATTGAGTTTGTCTTGGAAAACACTGCAGGAATCAAAATCGGGTGCTCGTATCTGGAGGAGCTGTTCGTTTTCCGCAACGGCAAGTATTTGGACAAGGTGCGGTCGCTGAAGGGGCTCATACTGTGTTTCGGGCTGTCCAAGCTCAACACAAGCAGAGACGTTCTGACGCGACTGACGCACCTGTCAGAAATCGATATCTGCACGAGCTCCACAATGTACCACTCCAAAGAGTACGAGAGAATCCTGGAAACCATCATTTGCCTCAACCCGAGCATCGAAACCGTCAAGCTGCGCATCGACACGCTGATTTCCACGCCTCTGCCGGCGTATCTGCAAACGGTCAGCAAAATGAAAATTAAAAAGCACATTAGTATAAATATGAAGGACCGGTCACTGCTCGGAGCAGCCAGCGAGCGCTCGGGCGCGACGATTTTCAACAGCATTTTCTCGGCCATCAGGACTATCGGCCTCGACAGCATATATGAGCTGGACCTGTCGCTGAAAGAAGAGCTCGACGCCTCGCACCCAGACTTGTCCTGGCTGGACAAAATGCACAGCCTGAAAAGCTTATCGATCAAGGTGGTCGGAGATAAAGCGCAGAGCTGCGACTATGTGATAGGGCTGCAGAGCAGATATTTGACCTCGCTCGCGATCAGCGGGGTGCTGCTCACGCAGAGCGGCATAGGGTTCGGCAGGCTGGAGAACCTGAAAGCCCTGACATTTTCAAATTGCACATTTTCCACCACAGCCTCAGATCTTCTCAACACCGGCTTACCTAAGCACCTAGAGAACTTGTGCCTGACCAACTGCAAGCTGGACTGGCACGCGGTGACGTTTCCCGCACAGCTTGGCAGGGTGTGCATTCTGAACTCGAGGCTGATCGAGTTCTCGACGGCGGTTCGCTCTCGCTTCAACATAGTGCCATTGCTCTCGGAATTTATCAAAATCTACCACCTCGACCGGGAGTGGACGGAACGAGCATAGTGTGGGCATCCAATACATAGAGAATAATAGCCTATCTAGCTTTGGGTAAGAGTGGCACACCTGTTCAAGCAGATGTACATTTCCGTTTTAGGATAACACGAGTAGTGGAGAATAACTCTCTCAAGAAGGCTCAGCAGATAAGCACAGGGAGCATGGGAGGGTAATTGCAAGGGTAATTAGCAGACGGACACGACCTGGTGGAAATTCGGCAGAAACAATAGGCCGAGACAATAGCTGGCATTGTCTTCTCGTCCAATGAATTTCATGTAAAGGCTCCATTGATTGTTTGACAATCGGTTATATTAATCTGCCTTTGTGGTGACAGTATATCAGCATTCCGATAAGCCTTCCTTCCAAAAAGTTATCCAGGAACTTTATGGACCAACCTTCGTCTTTCGCAATGGCCAACATCTACAGCTATCGTTCTGAACTGGACAATCGCCAGGGCAGCTCGGAATACCGCCATTTCGAACCCTTCTTATCCTCATCCCACGAGCTCATAGACCCTATCCAGTACGAGCTCATGCCAGAGCTGGTCTCTGATGTCAGGATCCCCCAGCCGGACTTTTCCACTGAGCTGCAGGACACACAGCTGTCGATGGAGTCGCCGGTCTCGTCGTCGTCGTCATCATCGGTGTTTGACGGCCCGCACTTCCCCAATTTCACGTTCACGGAGATGGACGACTACACGTTTGGCGGGTACCAGCAGCCTGCCAAACCACAGGACATTGAGCGCGTGTTCCACACGCACACGCAGTACGACAATGTCGAGACTATAAATACTGTGGAGCTGACCAAGCCCTTCGCCACACCGAAATACGCCAGCAGCTCGCCTGTTCTCAAATCGCAGAAGGACGAGGACCTGGTCGAGACAATCGAGACCCGCGAGACCGGCGAGCTACAGGCTCAGTCGCCAAAAAGCCTTTCGCTGGACTACGACGACCGCAAAAAGGATAATAAATACAAGAAGATCAGCGACTCGAGGCTGTCGCTGTCGCAGCTGTCGCACGTCCTGCAGCTCCCTAACGATATCCAGGAGACTGCGAAGCGGGAGAAGCAGATTCTGAACATTTTCAAAAAGGACCTTAATTTCCCGTTGGGAGAAAAAACATGGATCAGGGACACCCCTGCGGAGGAGAGACAGGCGCTGATCGAGAGGCTGTGGAAGCTGGTGGAGATGAAGTACCAGTACGGCTACTCGAAGGAAACCCTGGCCATAGTGATCAGAAGAGCAAGCTACTACCTCATGCAGGGAAGGCTGAGAAGAGAACGGAGGCTGGAGAAAAAAAAGCACGGCGAGCTGCCTTGGAAACGCAAGTCCAAGAGCTACTGAGGATCCCGGTTTACATTGTTTGTTAAGTCGTATTTGTTTTTTCTGAGCTAATCTGGTGAATTCCATCCAATTGCAGACAACTGTAGAAGATATTTTATTTCCTATAATAGCCGGTTTTCTCTTTTGGAGAACAGCATTGTTGGCCGAACAATCTACGGCATGAATCGAAGATGGAGAAAAAAAAACACAATGCGCTGACAGAAATGTCATATATTTGTAGAGCCCCGCTGCCGCAAGGGTCTAGGCCTGGCCCAGAAAAGCCGATCGCGAGACAAAACTTTCTAGACCGACCCATATTTTCCTCCCGCATCGGGCCGTCCGCTCTAATGCGCAAACTTGTCCCTTTTAATATTTGGCGGTGACACAGTCAACATGTGAGAAACTTTTCCATCGAGAGCAACGAAGTCCACTGGTCTATAAAAGCACAACGTTTCCGGTAGCGCAGCCATTTATGTCATTTCACATATAACGCCCTCATTAGTACCGTTCCTTTCGATGAGCACACAAGGGGAGAACCACACACCACTGAGTCTTAGACGGTACACGTCGAGCCCCTCCAACAAGCGAATAAAGCTGCCCAAGCTCGAGATCGACTCGGTCCACATCCATGATCTCGAAGATCAGTTCCGACACTCGAGTCTCAGACAGAACGCCGACCTTTTTCTCGAGTCGCCCTCCGACATATCGACCTCCGCCAACTCTCCTTTGAGAACCCCGCCGGACGACCACTTCACGTACGCCGCAAACAACATTCACGATTGCCTTCTACGACGCGACTCCACCCCGTCCATCAGCTTCGGCAGCCTGTGGTCTTCGGAACTCGGCCCGCAGAGATCGCTCACCACGCTTTCGTCGCCCGGAAGCAACCGCTATAGACATTCCGAGCCCAACCCGAACGAAAAGAAGCCGAGGGTCTCCGAGGAGCTGCTCACGCCGACGTGCGACGCAGCGCCCCACGAATACAAGTTCTCGCAGGACCAAGTCAAACGCCTCATCAGGGAGATCCATGGCGTCAAGTACGTGCACGAGGATCTGCCCATCCCTACATCGATCAGAGAGGAAGACGAGGCCATCAACGTTCTGGGCCAGCTCTCGGTCGCCAAGGCCAAGGGCCTCAACCAGATGAAGATCATACAGTGGTACTGTTGCCAGTGCGGCAAGAGCTACGGCGATCTAGACCATTTTGTCGTGGAACGCAGCCAGCTGGAAAACGCGGGCCCCAACGTGTCTGACGACGAGTACTGGAATTCCATAGCCGACGAGCTGCTGTCGAAGACCATCAACCGGTTTGACTGCAATCGCTGCAATCACATGATGTGTCCCTACTGCATAAAGGCTCGACTCAGCGACTTGCTGAACAAGTGATGCTACCTCGAGTTTCGCGAGCAACTTTAATTTTTTTCGCCCAGGCCCAGCTTAGGGGTGTGTACGACACACTGGTTTATTTCACCATACCTCTAATACTTATTTTTAATATATTATACCCTAGAGAAAAAATGGGGGGGTTTGATGACGACGACTTGCACGACTACGAGAACGAGGACTTGGGATTTGACGAGGACGCGCTGAACGACGACGAATACGACCAGCTGTACGACGCTCTTCCCAAGCTCAAGGCCCTCGCGAAGAACTACCAAGTCGACGAAAAGTCGTTGAAAGAAATCCTCTGGAGCAATTACTTCAGCGTAGACGACTCTTTCAAGGAGGTGAAACAGAACTACAAGCGTGAGTATGACGAGTACGTGTGGGTGGTCCCTACGGGTGGGCCCAATTGGATTCTAACAGTCAGAACGGCCAATGTCGAAGCTGGAGCTGCTGGCACAGCAACGTAGAGAGCGCACGGGCCTGCGCGGGCTCAGGAGCGAGGGCAACGCGGGCTTGTCTGGTCTTCTTGGGAAGGTCAAGGACACGCCGAAACGGGAGAGACTGAGAAGGCCCCGGCCGGCTGACGACAAACAGGAGGGGCAGACTGCCACTCCACAAGCGGACGTACAGGGCGCTCGAGAAACGCAGAAACCGGACGAGACCGAGCCCATCTGCTTGCTTCCGCCCCTTCCCGCCACCACAGCGTTCAACATACTAACCACCACTCCCGCCAGCCTGGTTTCGCTCCTTTTTGTGCGCCCCACAGAGCCTCCGACTCCGCTGCCCGCGGTCAGTCTTTATACTAACTCCGATCTAGCGAAGAAAGCCGCTGTGAATTTCGAGAAGCCGGGCCCGGACGACCACAAAGTAGAGACTATCACAGAGAAGGTGGCTAAGGTCAAGATAAAAGAGCCCAAGCCGGTGGCATCCAAGCCAAAGCAGAAAATCAACATCGACGCCGAGCTGGCGAAGAAAAACAGCAAGCCAAACCTGTCTTTCGTCGTGATCGGCCACGTCGACTCCGGCAAGTCTACCTTGATCGGCCGGCTGCTGTACGACCTGGGCATTGTCGACTCCAAAACGCTGCACAAGCTCACTAAGGAGAGCGACGCGATGGGCAAGTCGTCGTTCTCGCTCGCGTGGATCATGGACCAGACGCAGGAGGAGCGGTCCAGAGGCGTCACCGTCGACATTTGCCAGACGCAGATCGAGACGCCAACGCAGAAGTTCACCATTATCGACTCTCCCGGCCATAAAGACTACGTTCCGCAGATGATCAACGGCGTGAGCCAGGCCGACCTGGCGGTGATGAACATCGACGCAAACTCGTTCGAGAGCGGGTTCAGCAACCAGGGCCAGACCAAAGAGCATCTGACCATTGCCAAAAGCCTCGGCATCGAGCGGTGTGTGGTGACGATCAACAAGCTGGACGTTGTGCAGTGGTCGCAGACGGTGTACGACGCCATCTGCGACCAGATACGGCAGTTTCTAGTCGACGAGCTAGCGTACGACGCAGCGAACCTGGTTTTCGTGCCGACGTCTGGTTTCCTCGGCGACAACGTTGTCAAGCCAAGCAAGAAGCTGCCCTGGTACACGGGTCCTACGCTGATGCAAGCGTTGGAGCAGGAAAACAGAGCAATCAGCCACGTTGTGGACAGGAGCTCGCCCTTTGTCATGGTGATCAGCGACATCCAAGAGTCCAGCAAGAGCGACGAGCTGGTGGTCAGCGGACGTATCAACTCGGGCATCATCCAGCCCGGCGAGAGCGTGAGCATTTCTCCGAGCCTGGAGGTGGCCGTGGTGGACTCGATCTCGATCACGGCGTCGAGCGTCGGGTCGTCGGTGACCAAGCACGATCTGCAGAAACTGGCGCAGGAAGGCGAGTTTGTGGAGCTGAGGCTGAAGAAGCTGGCGTCGCGGGAAAATATAAAAGCCGGCGACGTGGTGACTCTGTCGTCGAACGCTCTGCAACCGGTGAAAAAGTTCAAGTGCGAGCTGAACCTTTTCAACATCGAGCGGCCGCTTCTCGTGGGCACGCCCTTTGTGCTGTTCAAAAACGGGATCTCCGTGCCGTCGCGGCTGAGCGAGATCGAGTCGATTGTGGCGAAGGACGGCAGGAGCAGGAAGCGGCGCCATCTCAGCTCGAACAGCACGGCCGTGGTGGTGGTGGAGCTGCTCGAGCGAGAGCTGCCGCTGGTGACGATCGCACAGGACCCCAAGCTGGGTCGCGTGGTCATCCGGAAAGACGGACGGAGCGTCGGCGCGGGGAAAATCCTCGAGCTGGTGGCATGATATTCCGTCACAGTATATAATCTATAGCCAGCAGCAGGAAGCTGAGAATTAGGATCAGGTAGCTGAGGTTCTGGCCCGACCGTTTCGCTCGCTCGTTGGCCTTGACCAGCTGTGTGTTGCCCATCTTGAGGTTGGCCACGGTGTCGTCCTGGTGCGAGCTCAGGACAGAAATGGCGTCGTTCTGCAGGTGCAGCTGGAGGTTGATCTCGTTGACGACCGAGGATATCTCGAGCATCGACTGCTCTATCTGGCTGACGCTCTCGATCTGCGCGTTCTTCATCTCGAGCAGAATCGACTCGTTCTCCTGCGACAGCTGCTGCAGCTGCTGCTGGTCCAGGCCGGCGGCGAGCTCGCCGTACTCGCTGGAAATCGCCTTTTCGGCAGCCTCGTGCTCCACCGGCTCGTACGACTCCCGCTGCAGGTACGTGCTCGCGCTGAGCGTTGACCTCGCGAGCTCCTTTTTCCGCTCCATGCGCCGGCTGTTGATGGAAACAAAATGCGCAGAGATCTTGGTCAGCCGCAACCCAAGCGACTTGAGGATGTTGCTGCGCATCTCGATGACTGTGTTGTTCGCGATCGTGACGCTCTGGCCGTACTCGCCCATCGTGAGCAGGTTCCGGCCAAGCTGCTCGACGGCGTTGCTGGATTCGAGCTGTCTGTCGAGCAGCTCGGCGTACGTTCGCAGGCTCTCGAGTTTTTTGTTCAGTATGCCCAGCTGCACTTTGAAATTCGTGTCGATCTCGTCCTTGTCGGCCTCAGACAGCTTCTTCGAGTGGCTCAGCAGGTAGTCCGTCTGGATCTCCTTGATAAACGAGCCCAGCTGGAGCATCATGGTGTTGAGCTTGATCGAGTCCTGGACAAACGTGTTCCCCGCCGTGAGCTGGCTCTGCCGCCGCGGCTCTCTGCCGGCCGGCTGCGGATCGGGCAGCCGCAGCTCCTGCTCGTAGATCGCGACACACTTGTGGAAAAAAGGAGTGTGGTCAAACATGCAAAATAAATGCAATTACACCTTGCTCCACAAGTGGCAAACCGATATTTTTTATTTATTTATTCATGAACCATTTCGAAGAGGAAAACGTCTGGAACGACGACGCCGCGCCGGGCGCGGGCCAGGGCGTGAGCGTGCTGTTCAACCCGGACGATAACCCGTACGCCAGTGAGTTTGGCGGCGCGGACATGGACGAGGTCGACTTCCGCGCAGAGTCCAACATCTACAGCGAGCTCACCGATACGATGCGGTCGGTCCACATCGGCAAAGAGGAGCACGTAGAGGCCGCGGAGCGGCCAGAGAGTGCAGGTGAACCACAGCCAGCGCAGGAGCGTGCTGAGGATGCAATTGACGAGACACAGCAGGCGCAGCAGATAGAGCAGGCCAAGCAGAAGAACAAGCAGCTGCTGTCGTCATTGGTGGCCGGCGAGGAGGAAAACAGTACGTGGGCGCAGTCAATTCTCTCGGACACGCCGAATGCTGACGAGCGGCTGTTCACGGCGGGCAACGAGGGGCCGCTGGACGCCGTTTTGGACTTCAGTGCTCCTAAGTCGCCGCCAAAAATCAGCGACGACCAGCCAAGGCCAGAACCGGTGACCTCGCCAAACAAGAAAACCAGGGTGTTGCGGCCGCGCAGGGCGCGCCGAAAGAGCGCGGATACCGCCAGTGCGTCCGATCCGCTGTCTGGCAAGACGGAGGAGCCGCAGACAGAGTCTGTGGAGTCGAGGAAGGAGAATCTGATTGCGGCGGTGGACAAGCCGCTGTTCGATATCAAAAGAGGTGCTGGTCCTGTGAAGCCCTCGCTCAAGACGCCTGCAACGCCGGAGCCGGCAGAGCATTTCGAGATCATTGTTGGCGACCCGGTCAAGGTCGGCGAGCTCACGAACGCGCACATAGTGTACTCGATCACGACGAAAACCAAATCGACTCTTCTCAAGAGCGAGACAACAACGGTGACGCGGCGATACAGGGATTTTCTCTGGCTGTACAACCAGCTGATGAACAACCACCCGGGCTACATCGTTCCTCCGCCGCCCGAGAAGCAGGCGTACGGCCGTTTCGACGAGAAGTTTATTGAGAACAGACGGCTTGCGCTGGAGAAAATGCTCAACAAGATCGCACGTGTGCCCGTCTTCCAGAAAGACTACGATTTCATTGTGTTTCTGCAGAGCGAGCGGTTTGCGGCCGAGTCCAAGGAGCGGGAGTTCATTTACTACCACGGCGGCAGCGGTAGCGACGACCAGTCGATCGGCGCGGGCGACGACGGCGCGAACGACTTCTCGGCCTCGTCGATCATCAACACGGCGACGGGCGGGTCGAACGGCGGGTTTTTGAGCTCGCTGATCAGCATCAGCACGCCGAAGTACGTGGAGAACGACCAGTTCATCATCGAGAAGCAGAACTACGTCGAGAGCCTGGACCAGCAGCTGCGGTCGCTGTCTAGAACGCTGGACCTGATTGTCGAGAAGCGCGAGGACGTGATCGCGTCGATGAACGAGCTGATCGTGATAATCCAGGAGCTGACCGATCTGGAGATCAACGCCGAGCTGAGCGAGCTGTTTGCAAACTACGAGGAGCTGCAGTCGAAGGTGAAGGAGCTGCTGGAGCGGACAAACCTGCAGCAGATCCTGACACTTGGAGCGACGATCGACGAGTATATCCGGACGATCGGGTCGATCCGCAACTGCTTCGAGATGCGGTTCAAGCTGTGCACCAACATTGTGAACCTGCAGAGCCAGCACTCGAAAAAGCAGAAGAACCTGATCAAGTTCAAGTCCAAGAACCACAACCAGCTCGACAAGATCAAGAAGTACGAGGACGAGCTGACCAGCATGGAGAACACGATCGCGCGGCAGGAGGAGTTCAAGGCCGAGTTCAACAGGAATTTCAAGCGCGAGCTCGACAAGTTCGAGTTCGAGAAGGTCGACGAGTTCCGAAGCACCATCGAGATCTACTGGGAGGGCCTGATCGAGAGCCAGAAAGAGCTCATCGAGCTGTGGGAGTCGTTCTACGACAAGTGCAATTTCCAGGATGAATAATATTAAATATAATACACATGCATCAGGCCAGCAGGACCTCCCAGTCCCACTCTTTCATGACGGTGCTCCAGTGCGACCAGCTGCCGACGCGCTCGTCGTCGTCGTCGGGCGGGCCGTCGCCGCCGTGGACAGCCTCGTTGATCTTGCGGCTCAGGCTCACAAACGAGTCGTCGTCGTCGTCGGTGCCGTCGCTGCGCGACTGCTGCGCCTGCGCTCTTTTGCGCCGCACAATGTCTTTGCGCGTCCACACCTCCTTCACCACCTCCAATGCCCGGTCGATGCTGCCCAGCCACATCTTGGAGCTCAGCAGCTCCCAGCGGGCCTTGACCCACTCGCGCTCCTCGCCGGGCTCTGCCTCGCACGACGCCACGAGCAGCGGGAAAATATGGGTCACGCACGTGCGCGACGAGGTCGGAATCGACGCCAGCAGCATCATCACCTTCTTGGCCAGGTTGTGCGACGATTTCGACGGGATCTCGGGCACCGCCTGGTGTAGATACAGCAGCGTCGAGTACCGGTACGCCTCGGCCGTCGCGACGGTCGACGCCATGTCGAACAGCGGGTCCTCCACCTGGTAGTTGCGCAGCGCCGGCGGCCGCCAGCGCTCCAGCTCCTGCTTCAGCTGCACAGCCTGTGTAATGATGCTTAATGAATTGCGCGACTCCTTGCGGACTCTCTGCACCAGCGACGCCACGTTGCCGATCACGGGGAACAGCTTCTGCATCACGCCGAGCAGCGGGTCGATGTCCTGCGTCGAGTGCGCGTGCGACGCCTCGAACCGCGAAACGAGCGAGTTGAAATCGGTGGCTCTTTTCTTGCCCGGCGGCTCGGCGTCCTCCTCGTCGTCGCCGTCGCCCGTCGCCGTCATGCGCGCCAGCACGTCGAAGTACATCCACGTGTTGAACAGGAACTTGAGGTCGCTCTTCTGCGGCGCCTGCTGCGCGCCCAAGAGCCGCGTGATCATCGTCCGTGCTCCGCGCAGGTGCCCGATCCCCGTGGTCACGTGCCGGTCCCAGGCCTCGCTCATGGCGAGCGCGAGACACGCGGCGAGCGCCACGTCGGGCGGGATGGTCTTGTCGCTGAGGCCGTGCACGAGCTCGACAATGGCGTTTTTCATGTGCGTCATGCCCTGCGATCGCAGCTGCTGGTCGCCGCGCGCGAGATGGAAGCACGCCATGGCGCTCACCGCGTTGCACACGACGGGGTACTCCTGCGTCATGGGCAGGAACAAGGTGCGCCACGGGTTCTCGGACGGCCCGTTTTTGATCGACATGATGGCGCTGGTGTACGTTTCGTATGCGCCGAGGATTTTGAACGTTTTGTCATTTATTTCAATGGCCCGCGGGATGGAGCTGGGCGAGCTTTTGGTGAGGATGTGGTGCGGCGCCAGCGCCGAGCGGTCGTCGGGGCTGGAGGGCTCCGAGCGGTCGGGACACGTGAACGCGCTCACGATGTTGGAGAAGACGGGCGATGCCGGTGTGCGCGCGTCGTCCAACGAGGTTAGCGGCGACATGGGTGCCAGCGGCGACATGGGTGCCAGCGGCGAGTTTCCCGTGCGGAACACCGTGCTGTATGTCGGGCTGGCCATCAGCTGCTGGTACTCCTCCATCGCGGCCGGGTTCTTCTCCAGCTGGGCTAGCAGCTTGGGCGAGTCGAGCCGGCCTTCGGGCGTGGTGACGCTGTTGAGCAGGTCGTAGAGCACGTTGCCCGGCACGAAGCGCGATTCCTTGGGAAGCGCGTCGTGGTAGAGACTCAGCGAGAGCCCCGGGTCGCTGAACGCGGGACTGGCGGCCAGCAGCGGCGAGTTGCTGAGCGGGGCGTCAGACAGCACGTTCTCCTCCTCGCGTTTGACGGCCGGCCGGTCCTCGCGTTTCTCCGGTGTGCCCGCAGACTGCACGGACGGCGTTCTGGCCGCAAGGTCGGTCAAAGTGGACGCGATCGACGACGCCAGGTCCGGGTTGCGGCCGCTCGCCATCAGAGCGTTGGCTATGGCGATTTCCTGGGTGGATTTCCCCGTCATCGACAGCGTGGCAGCCTCGAGCGCCTTCTGGATCACCTCGGACGGCAGCTGGGGGATAGCGGCGGCGTCCTGCTCAGCGACGGGAGCCGGCTCGTTGGCAGGCTTGGTGTCCGCCAGGTCGTCGGAGGACTCCGAGCTCTTGCGCGAGGCGCGCGACGATGTCTCGAACGGCGCCGTCTGGGTAAACCCCTTCCACTTGAAGCGGGTCTGGTACCCACCACAGACGATCTTGCGGCGAACACAGTTGGCGCACGCAGGCTTCTCCTCGCCGCACTTGAGCCGCTTCTTCTTGCACGTGATGCAGCCGTTTCTGGACTTGTGTCGTTTGGCCTTTTCAGTGTTGGACGACATTGTGTGGAAACACAAGACAAGACCCAAATAGTTTGCCGATATTCAACAATCGACAGCCTGTAGAAATGTCATAGATTACTGATAAGGGCCGCTTTCTGAAAGCGGAAATGATTTCCAGCGCGCGAGCTCGGACAAGACGTTCGGGCTGTGCAGAGAAAAAAATATACGTGAAAAATTATTTCAATGAAGTCTGTGCACCAGGTCGGGCCCGTGTGTGCCCTGACCGTTTTCGTGGACAGGTACCTGTTTGCCGGCGAGGGCCCGAACTTGGCGGTGTACGAGATAGCCACGGGCGAGCAGATTGCGTGCCGGGCGGTCTTTTCCCGCAACAAGATCCATGGAATCAGCGTTTCTGGCCCCGATCTGCGCTCGGCGCGACTCTGCGTCTGGGGCGGCCGGTCGCTTGCGCTATTTGCGTGGCCGCAGCTGTTCGAGGGGGAAATCGACCAGCTCGCGGTTGGCGACTGGATCAAGGACGCGCAGTTCTCGCTGGACGGCGCCGTCGTGTACTGTCTGCACGCGCACAACGTCGTGGTTGCCGTCGACGTGGCCGGGAAACGGCTCCTGGAGACGCGCAACTGCGGCGAGAAAAGCATACTGTACTCGGGGCGTCTCCGAGTGCTGTCCGACAGGGTGCTGGTGTGCGCAGGGACCGTCATGGACGGCATTCTTGTGTGGAGCTACGACGACTGCGCCGTGGTGCACCGGCTGCACGGCCACACGGGCTCGATATTCGGGCTGTGCACGAGCGACGACGGACGCTGGCTGGTCAGCTGCTCGGACGACCGGTCGATCAGGGTGTGGGATTTGGGCTCGGGCGAGCAGGTGGCTACGGGCTGGGGCCACGGTTCCAGGATTTGGTGGCTGCGAATTTACGCCGAGACAGAGCGCGGGTTTAGTGTGCTGAGCGGCTCTGAGGACCTGACGTGCCGCACGTGGCGGTTTGAGCAGGGCCACTCGTCGCTGGAGCCGGTCGACGTGTTTGAGACACACACTGGCCGCAACGTCTGGAGTGGCGCAGTCTGCGACGCTCTGGGGCTGGGGTTCAGTGGCGGTGCAGACGGCGCGATCACAGCGAGCGACCTGGCCGAGACGCAGCGCGAGGGGGCCGTGAGCGCGGCATGGACGCTGGCGCAGATCGCAGAGCAGGCAGGCGCGGCGTTTGCGCGCGACGAGATCGTCAAGGAGTACTACGACACGGGCACTGAGCTGGTAGCTGCTACGAGCCGCGGGAAGGTGTTGCGGCTGCGGAACGGCTTGTGGGAGCTTGTTCTGGAGGATGCGCGGTTCGAGAGGTTTTCGCTGGTGCGCGGCTTTGACACCGGCGTTGTGCTTATTGCGAACAAGACGGGCGATCTGCTGGTTTTGGGGAGCGGTGGCATGGCAGAAGCGAAAATAAAGTTTGAGCGCGGCGTGCTGGGCAACGTGCTGACAGCGACGAGAAACGGCCGGCAGTTTGCTCTGGCCGAGAGCGTGCTGGAAGAGCCGCTGGTGCTGCTGGAAATCGCGGGAACGGCTGTTGTTTCGGAGCGCCGACTAAGCAAGCCGGCGGGGAAGTTTGCGATGAGCGCGTTCGACGTGGACGTGGCGTCGGGCGCGGTGGTTGTGGGGTCGCGGTTCGCGACGTTGGCCGTTTTCCCGCGAGACGAGCGCTCGGCAGAGCCCCGTGTCTGGCGCAACTTCCTCAAAGGTGACACCGTCTCGAGCGTCGAGATTCTGGAGTCGCCGTTGCTGCAGGCGCTCGTGGTGATGAAGGACCGCGAGTACGGCGTGGTGCGGTGCGCGGGGCAGCTCGAACTGCTGCAGACAAACCGGCTCCAGCGCGGGTTCCTCGAAGGAGGCTATTTCGAGCACGGCGACCTGGTGCTGTACGGGTTCCGCTCCGACACGTTTTTCGTGTGGAACGAGACGAAGCAGCTGGAGCTGCTGCGCGAGGCGTGCGGAGGGCCCCATCGCCAGTGGAGTTTCCGCCACGGCGGCGGCGGTGGCCACCGGCTGTTCTACACGCGAAGCTCGAGCGTGCATTTCCGGCAAACCGGCGCCCGCGTTGCGCCGGAAACTCTGCGCACCGGGTTGCACGGGCGCGAAATCCGGTCCGTGGCCGCGTGCAAGACCAGCACGGGACATCTGCTCGTGTCCGGCTCTGAGGACACCACGGTGCGGGTGTCGCGCCTCGCCGCCGACGGCGCCGTCGTCCCGCTCTGGTGCGAGCGCCAGCACGGCTCCGGGCTCCAGGCCGTCCACTTTGTCAACAGCGACTACTTTGTCAGCTCCTCGGCCCGCGAAGAGGTGTATCTGTGGAAACTGAGCGACGAGAAGTACGTGCGGCTGCACCGCACGATCCGGCCGCGCAGCAGCAACCCGGAGACCAGGGTCATGGACTTCGACGCCGTCGAGGTGCGCCAGCACGGCCGCGTCGCCGGCTTTCTGCTGGCTGCCGTGTACTCGGACTCGAGCGTGCGGCTGTGGTACTACAGCTACGAGCTGAACACGTTCCGGCTGGTGGTGGAGGACGTCTACGCGAGCTGCTGCGTGCTGCGGGTGCGGATGGTGGTGCTGGACGCGATCTACGTGGTTTTGGCGGCCACCAACGGGCACCTAGCCGTGTACAGGGCGGGCGACGGCGGCGGCGTGCTGGGCGTCTGTGGCGGTGCTGTCGAGCTTGTGGCGGTGCCAGACCACGCAGAGAATCCGCCGCGGCTGGAGCAGCTGCTGATCAACCAGCAGATCCACCAGTCGTCGGTCAAGGCGTTCGACCTGGCCGTCGACGGCCACACGGCGCTCGTCGTTACCGGCGGCGACGACAACGGCATGGCGGTGTCGACGCTCGACTTTGCGGCCGTCGAGCTGGCCAGCACGTACGTCGCCGGCACCGCCTCGTCGACGATCACGGACGTGGTGCTGTGCGGGCGCAGCCGCGTGCTGACCACGTCCGTGGACCAGGTGGTGCGCGTGTGGCGCGTGCCGCAGCTCGAGCTCGAGACAGAGCGGTACACCACGGTCGCCGACACGGGGTGTGCGTGCGTGGCTGGCGGGCTCGTCGTGGTCGGCGGAGCCGGGCTCGAGGTCTTCCAGATAGACATGTAGCAAGTTATATTAGTATGAACAGTAGAAAAGGACAGTCACGACTGTCTCTGCTTGTGTTTCGGGTTCGCCTTGCACAGGACGTACAGTCTGCCCTTGCGTCTGGCCATGTAGCACTCGGAGCAGAACTTCTTCACGGACGTGCGCACCTTGTACGTCCTGACAAACGCCGCGACGTCCGCAAACAGCGGGCGCGCATTTCTGAAGCCGGCGGCCAGTCTTGAAAGCATGCTGCTCAAATGTATTTTTGTTAATTTTTGTCGACGCAAATTTAAAATATAATTTTTTGGCTCGAGGTGTCTATCTGATTATGGAGGGCTGGCACGAGGTAAGTACCCTGTCCCCCCGGCTAACGGCAGCTTATTTGCGTCCCGGGCGTCCGCGTGCCCAAGAGCCTGCCGCACGCGCCGCCGGAGCAGGCCAACAGGATCGTCACGGCGCTGCTGTTCGACGACGCGCACGAGCTGCTCTGGCTCGGCGACTCGCACGGGTACGTGTACTCGTACGAGGGCCTGAAACTGGGGCTGTACTGCTCGTTCCGCGCGCACAGACTGCCTGTGCTGCAGATTCTCAACCACAAGAAGGGCATTGTGTCGCTCGCCGCCGACGGCGTCCGCTTCGGCACGAGACAGGGCCTGGCCAAGTACACCGTGCCGGCGCCGGCTGACGTGCAATTCTCGTCCATGGCGTACACGTCGAACACACAGACGGAGCTGCTCGTGGGCACGAGCGGCAACCTGCTGCGCATCGACCTCACGCAGGGCACGGTGTCCGGGCGGCTCGAGTACGCCCACCCGGTGCAGTACATGCAGTCGAACCTGCGGTGCGTGGTGCTGGGGCGTGCGGACGGCGCGGTGGACGTGGTGGACCCGAAAACGTGGCAGGTGCTCAAGTCGTGGAGGGCGCACTCGGCAGCGCTCTCGTCGATCGCCGTGCGCGACAACGTGCTGGTCACGTGCGGCTACTCGCGGCGCAAGGACCAGTACGTGTTGGACCCGCTGGTGAACGTGTTCGACCTGCGCGAGATGAGCCTCGGGCTGCCTGTCGCGTTCCCCGCGGGCGCGTTCCAGGTGCACCTGCACCCGAAGCTGCCGAACGTGGCGGTGATCCTGTCGAGCATGGGCCAGATCAACTTCATCGATGTCTTCGACCCCTCGCGCATCCACCTGTACCAGGCGGACCTGAGCGCGTTCGTGACGATGTCGGACATCTCGTCGACGGGCGAGTGTCTTGCGTTTGTCGACGCGCTGCAGACGGTGCACCTGTGGACGGACCAGCTGCTGCGGCCGCCGTGCTTCGCCGTGCTTTCGCAGGAGCCCCTGCGCGCGTCGCTGGACGTCGAGCCTGTGCCGCGCGAGAACGCGCTCTCGTTCGAGTCCGACGCGCCGTTCAACCTGCTCAAGCTGCCGCGGTACGAGTCGATGCTGCTGTCGGCGTGGCCGGCCGACATGAAGTTCGAGGTCGGCAAGCTGCCGCGCCCGATCGAGCCCGAGATCCTGCGCGACGGGAGAACCATCAACGGGTTCACCATCGCGCGCTACGACCCGCGCAAGTACGGCCCGCGCAACCGTGCCGAGCGCCACGAGCTGCTCACCGCGCGCAGAGACAACGACACGCTGTTCCCCAAGTTCCTCAGCGAGCGGGAGGACGACTACGACGAGAACGAGGAGAAGGTCCGCGCAAAGCGCGAGATGATGGCCAACGCGTTCGTGTACACGCCCACGGGCAGCGACGTGCCCAACGCGTTCAAGAAGACAGACATACTGTACAGCAAGTTCGGCGTCGACGACTTCGACTTCACGTTCTACAACTCGACGCAGTTCTCGGGGCTCGAGTCGCACGTCGACAACTCGTACACGAACGCGGTGCTGCAGCTGTACCGCTTCACTCCGGCGCTCTTCAACTTTGTCGTGCGCACGCTCGCCGAAGACGTCCAGTACGACGACTGCGTCCTTGCCGAGCTCGGGTACCTGATGGATATGCTGGTCAAGGCGGGCGGACGCAACGTGGTGGCGGCCAACTTCCAGAAGCTGTTCAGCTCGCTGCCGCAGGCGCGCCAGCTGGGGCTGCTCAGCGCCGACGGCCGCGCACGTGACGACCGCGGCCAGCGGAGGCTCGTGCAGCTGTTCAACCGCTTCCTGCTCGAGCAGCTCGCGCGCGACGAGACAGAGCTGTACCGCAGGCCCGTGCCGCAGCGCATGGACGAGCTGTGCGGCGTCGCCGCGCAGACGACGGTGCGCTCGCACTTCTGCTCGCTCGAGCACGTGACCACTGTGCACGTGTACTCCCTAGACCTGAACGTGCTGCCGCCGCCGCCGCTGATCCCGGCCGAGTTCACGATCCTCAACTACCTGGAGGCTGCCGTCAACAAGACGGTGCAGCACAGCATCCTCTGCGACGTGTGCAAGAGCTACCACGCGATCGAGGCGGCGCTGCGCGTCGGCCGGCTCCCGCACGTGCTGATGCTGCACGTGGACCTGGACAACGAGCAGCTGAACGAGGTGCGCAGCTTCCAGCACTGGCTCGTGCCGGAGTTCTACACCACCGCGGCCACGGGCAGACCGATCTTCCGCACGAGCCCCGTCGCCGGCGCAGGCACGCGGTACGAGCTCGTCGGCTATGTGGCGCAGATCACGTCTAGGGACAACACGAATCACCTGGTGACGCTCTCGCGGACGCCGGAGGGCGAGTGGTACCTGTTGAACGACTTTCTGGTGACCAGGATATCCAGAGAGGAGGCCCTGAACCTCACGTACTGGTGGAAGCGGCCGGTGTTGGCGGTTTACCAGGACCTTTCGGAGCGCGAGTTTGACTACGACGGGTGGAAAGCTGTGATCAACGACTCGATCCTGTACCGCGACCATTTCGCGCAAGGCACGCGCGAGGGCAAGATCGTCGAGTACGAGCTGCTGACGCGGGAGGAGGCGCCGAAACCGGGCACGTTGGTGGCCATTGACGCGGAGTTTGTGCTGCTCGCGCCCGAGGAGTACGTTTTCCGCTCGAGCGGGGCCAAGGTGCTGGTACGGCCGAAAAAGGTGTCGCTGGCGAGAGTCTCCGTGATCCGCGGCGAGGGCCCCAGAGAGGGCGTGTGTTTCATCGACGACTACATTCTGACGGACGAGTCGAAGATCAAGGACTACATCACGTCGTTCTCGGGCATCGAGCCGGGCGACCTGACGCCGGAGAAGTCCAACAAGACCGTCGTCACGCTGCAGACGGCGTACCGCAAGATCTGGCTGCTGCTGAACCTGGGCTGCGTTTTCGTGGGCCACTCGCTCAGCGGCGACTTCCGCGCCATCAACATCCAGGTTCCGCCGCAGCAGGTGCGCGACACGGCCGAGCTGTTCTACCTGAAGCGCGAGAAGCGCAAGCTGGGCCTCAAGTTTCTGGTCTACCAGCTGTTCAACGACAGAGTCCAGACGGGCAACCACGACTCGATCGAGGACGCGCACTCGGCGCTGCGGCTGTACCGCAAGTATCTGGAGCTCAAGCAGTCGGGCGAGCTCGAGGAGACGCTACAACGGATATATCTGGAGGGACAGTATTCGCGGTTCAGAGTGCCGTCGAGCTAATAAATATTCACTGGTCTAGTTTTGTAGGTTGACGACGTTCAGCGAGGAGCGCTTGGCCTGCTGCTGCGCGCGCGTGGTGGGCGGCGGGTGGCCGTACTGGCGCACGGGCTGCGGGTGTGGGTGGGGCGGCTTCTTGCGCTCGGGAGCGCCGTGGTGCAGCTTGTGCTTCTGCTCGAAGTCGGCGCAGTTCTTCTTCCACATGCGGTCTACCACGGCGCCCAAGTCCGCGAGCCGGCCCGCGAACTCGTCGGGCTGCTCCGCGTCGCGTGTTTTCTTCACCTTGAGCGAACTCGAGCTCAGCCGTGCCAGAGACTTGATTGCCGGGTTGCTGTATCTGCGAATCGAGAGGAACTCGCGCGAGAGCTGCTCGAACGCGAGCCGCGTCGCGTTCGACGCAAAAACGTTGTTGGAGTCGGCCATGTCGGCCAGCGAGTGCAGGTTTTCTCGCTGCAGCCAGAGCTTCTGCTGCGTTCGGGTCTGGACGGACGTCTTGGCGGGCGTCGAGCTCGGCGGCGTCGCGGGCACGCTGGGCTCGTTCTGCGGCTGCGACGGCTCGGAGGACGACGGCCTCGAACTCCCGCTAGCCTGCAGCGGCGCGTCGTACATGGGCCTCTCCTCGTCTGCCGACTGCGACAGCCCGTAGCTCTTCTCGTGAAACGGTTGCGGCGCTGGCGCCGGAGCGTCTCGCGCGTTGTCGTCAAACGTGTCGACCTCCTCCTCGTCCTCGGACGAAACAGAGTCGTCGGCCTTGGCGTCGATCGTGAGCTTGTACTTGGAGGGCTTTGTGTTGAGCATCTTGAGGTTGGTCATGCTCTTGGTCCGCTCGTTGGCAGTGACCAGGCTGGTCAGCTTGTTGTTGTACGACAGCGTCTTGAGCATGTCTGCGGACGACTTGGAGCGCTGGAACTTGGGTCGTTCGGGCTCGTTGGAGGAGCCCCCCGAGTCGTTGCTCTTGATCCGCGTGAGCTTGTTGAGATACGTCCCGTACGAGGAGTTGCGGCTGACCTTGCCGGCGGTGAATTTCTTCAACGCCTTTTTTTTCGGCTCGTCTTTCAGCGAGTTCGACGACTTGCCCCGGGGGAGATGAAGAGCCATGTTGGAAATAATTTATTTTTAATTTATTTAATTTATTTATTTTATCCCATGGACCTCTACACAGTTGCCCAGCACTATTTGGACCGGATACTGGAGACGGACTCTGCCGACAAGATCCGTGTTCTGCTGCTGGACAAGACCACGTCTGCGGTGATCTCAATGGTCACGACACAGTCGGAGTTGCTCAAGAAGGACGTGTTTCTAGTGGACAAGCTCGACAACTTCCAGAGAGACAGTCTGCGCAACTTGTCGTGCATCTGTTTTCTCGAGCCCAGTCTGGAAACCATTGCCGACCTGTCGCGCGAAATAGCCAGCCCGAACTACCAGAAATACGACATTTTCTTTAACAACTCGGTGTCGAACTCCAAACTGGAACGCCTGGCTGAGTCGGACGACCTGGAGATGATCTCCAAGGTGGTGGAGATCTTCATGGACTACCTCGTTGTCAACAGAGCGTTTTTCGTCGTGCCGAACATCGTCTCGCCGTACGGCCCGCTCGTCCGCGACTCCTGGGACCCGTCGGCGTTCGACCAGTCTCTACAGAGCCTCATGTCGCTGCTGCTCTCGCTCAAGTACAAGCCTGTGATTCGCTACGAAACAAACTCGAAAATGTGCGCCAAGCTCGCCAACGCGGTGAACTTCGAAATCAACTCCAACCAGATGGTCTTTGGCCAGCTGCCGGCGAGAGACTTGCCGCCGTCGTTGCTGATCCTGGACCGCAAAAACGACCCCATCACCCCGTTGCTCTTCCCGTGGACGTACCAGGCGATGATCCACGAGCTGCTGGGGATCCACAACAACACGGTCAACATGTCGCGCGTCCACAACGTTTCGGAAGAGCTCAAGGAGGTCGTGGTCAACGAACAGACAGACCCGTTCTACAAGGAGTCCATGTACCTTAATTTCGGCGACCTCTCAGAGAGCCTGAAGAGGTTTATCGAGACATACAAGACCAAAACGAAAACCAGCTCCAACATCAGCTCCATCACAGATATGAAGTTTTTCCTGGAGAACTACCCCGAGTTCAAGAAAACGTCCATCAATTTGTCGAAACACATGCTGCTGTCCACGGAGATTGACAAGAAAATCAACGAGCTGCGCATGTGGGAGGTGGGCGAGCTGCAGCAGTCGCTCGCTACAAACGATAACAGCAGCGACGTTCTCGCAGAGCTCGAGGACCTGCTGTTTGACAGAAAAGTGCAGAACGGCGTCCCCGTGGCGCCGTTGTCCGAGGACACCAAACTGAAGCTCCTTGCAGTGTACGCGCTGCGGTACGAATCGCACCCGTCCAACCAGCTCTCCAGACTCACTAGACAGCTGCAACAGCTCGGATTCCCGAGCCACAAGCTGGACCTGATCAAACAGCTGCTGCAGACCAGCGGCGCGGCGCAGCGTCTGCACGACGACGGCGAGTCGATCTTTCAGAAAGTGTCCAACTCGGCGAAGGGGAGCACCGTCAACGGCATCAGCTTCAAAAATAACACCGACGGCAACGTGTACATGCAGCACAGTCCGCGGCTCAAACAGGTGCTGATGAAACTGTTCAAAAACAAGCTCAACTCCAAGAACTATGCGCTGCTCAAGCCCAACGGCTTGGAATCGTACACGGGCAATGACAAGATCCCGGACCAGGAGCTCGTTATTTTCATTGTGGGCGGTGTGACGTACGAAGAGGCCCGACTTGTTGCTGAGCTCAACCAGCAAAATCCCGGCGTGAAAATCGTGATTGGCGGAACACACATCCTAGACTCAGACACGTTTATCGGGCTGAAATGAACTAGCCGTACGACTTCTCCCAAGCGTTCAGTTTTTCCGTTAGAGAGTCCAGTTTCGTGACAGACTCGTTGTAGCACTCGATCAGCAGCTTCTGGAGCCGCAGGATCTCGTCTGTAGAGTCCTCGCTTCTGTAGTTGAGCAGACTGCGCTTGAAGTCCTCCTCGTTCGACAGTTCCGCCTGGATGTTGGAAACAAACTCCATGATGGAAAACACCCGTCTGCGCATCTCGTTCATGCTGATCTTTTGGCTTGGCAGGTTCGGCTTGAACGGTTTTTCGTCCGAAATCTCGATCTTGGGCTTCTTCTTGTCCTCTGGCTCCTCTCTCTTCTTCTTACTCTTTTTCGTGCTGCTCGACGTCGACGACGAGGCCGACGACGGCGGCGTGGCCTTCTGTGGCTGGCTCAGGTTGCTCTGCTGTGTGATGTCCTCCTCCTGCGAGTTCTCGTCCTTGACCTTCTTGCGCGACCGGGTCTCCCGCGACGCAGACTCGTTCGACGACGACAGGTTCACGTCGTCCGGCTGCACGCCGCTCTCCTTGGCCGACTCCTCCAGCACCCGCTTGAGCATCTGCTCGTACTCCGCGTCTCTGGAATTGAGCGTGCCGCGCGCACGTTTGCGCTTCTCGCCCTCCTCCTCGCTCTTGTCTCGCTCGCGTTTCATTTCTGGCTTGGACGCCGTCTCTGCGGCCGACCCAGGCGGCGACCCCGACCCGGATCCCGCGCTCGCAGCGGGTCCTGCCGCAGCCGCAGCAGCGTTGGCCGCGTCCTGGGCCTGCTGGCGGCGCCGGTGGCGTTTTATCTCCTGGTACGGGTTGTACCTGCTCCTGCGGAACCCATATCTGTCTGTGAACAGGTCGTGGTGTTCCGGCTGGCATCGCTCGCACCAGTACTTTTCCGGGGCCGTGTCCTCGTCGGTAATCCCGACACAGAACCCGTGCTGCCACACAGAGCACGACTCGCACTGGATGAAAAACCCGGTGTCGACGTCGTCAAACTCGGGGCCCGCGTCGTCCGGGATGACCAGCTCGTCGTTGCCGCAGATGCAGCGAGTGACCTCCTCGAGCGACTCTTCGTCGTACGAGCGGTTTTCCTCCGAGTCGCCGTGGTCCTTTTGCGGCTCTGGCTGCCGTCTAGTTCTGCGAGAGGACATAACAGAAACAAGGAAATAAATAGGGAAATAATATTTTTCTGTATTTTTATGTCTCGCGGTGCACAGACGAAAGACGAGCCCATCGACGTGGGGCCGCGCAGCAGTCTGCCCAGCGACGGCAGGGCCGCCGACACAGGCCCTCTGGAGCCGGCGCAGAAGAAAAGAAGGGTCAAGAAGTTCAGGGCGACCCACAAGCGCGACGACTCTGCTCCTTCTGACGTGCGCACGGCGTCGCCGTCGCCAGCGGCCCAGAGCCTCGTCGGCCTGAACCAGGAGCAGAAGGACGAGATCATCCGGCAGAAGTACAACGAGCAGACGCACCACGCGCGCAAAAGCCGCCGCACAGAGTCCAAGATCTACAAGCTGCGCTCGTTCAACAACTGCATCAAATACATCCTGATCTACAAGTACGCGCGGCCGGGGGGCAACGTGCTGGACCTGGGGTGCGGCAAGGGCGGCGACATGGCGAAATGGGAGGCTGTGCAGACAAGGTCGTACGTCGGCATCGATCTGTCGGACCTTTCGATCAAGGAGGCCGTCACGCGCTACAAGCGCTCGCGTTTCCACTTCCAGGCGGTCTTCGCCACGGGAGACGCGTTCAACGTGCCCGTGCCGCAGATCCTGAAGGACTTCCGCGACCAGGTGGACCTCCAGTTCGACACCGTGTCGATGCAGTTCTGCATGCACTACGCTTTCGACTCGGAGCTGACCGTGCGCAACATGCTGCAGAACGTGGCCCGGTCGCTCAAGGTGGGCGGCATGTTCATTGGGACGATCCCGTCGTCCGACTTCATCCGCTGGAAAGTCAACAAGCTGGGGCCTGGCGAGCGCAAATGGGGCAACTCGATCTACTCGGTCGAGTTCCCGTCGGAGCCGCCCAAGGACGCCAAGTTTGCGAATCCGTTCGGCAACGTGTACAACTACTATCTCGTCGACGCCGTCGACAACGTGCCGGAGTACGTCGTGCCGTTCGAGACGTTCCGTGCGCTGTGCGAGTCGTACAACCTGGAGCTGCGGTACAAAAAGAACTTCTTCGAGCTCTTCAACAAGGAGATCCCCAACTACTTCAGGCAGCTGCCGACGCCCGTCGTGGAGTCGCTGCGGCGCGAGGACGGCTCGTACGGCGTCAGCGGCGAGGACAGGGACGCGTGCTCGTTCTACCTCGCGTTTGCGTTCGAAAAAGTCGGCGCATAGCCACAGCTTTACTAACAGCATGTATAGACTACACAATGGTGAACTTGCGCTTGCGCTCGTCCAGAGAGCCCTTCAGACCCTCGACAAGACTGCGCTTGAACATCTCCACGGCCTGGCGCACGCTCATCTCGTTGTCGCTCTCGATCAGCAGGTACAGCTTCGGGTCGTCCTTGGGTCCCGGCTCCTTGCCCGGCCCGTAGTAGCGGCCCTTGGTCGTGATCGACGTGCCGGTCGCCTCCACCACCTTGTTGATGTTGTCCTTGTTGGACATGTGCCAACGCGTGCTCTGCGGCAGGTCGTTGATGTTCATCTTCGCGTGGTGGACAGCCGAGTCCTGGCCGCGCTTGACGCTGCCAAAGACGACCTGGAAATTGTTGAGCTTTTCAGACGGCACTTCTGCCGTCTCGTCGTCGTCGTCGTCGTCGTTTGTCTCGGACAGGTTCTCCCCCTCGTAGAGCGTTCTGTCAAGCTTCTTTTTCTGCTCCCGGATCTCCGCCAGCTTCTCCAGCCCGCGGCCCCCAAACCCGGATCCGTACTTCACCTCGCCGCGCTTGAGCTTTTCGCGGAACCGGCTCGCAAGCTGCGCCAGCTCTGCAGGCGGCTGCGCGCCCGAAAGCTCCAGCAGCCTCACTATGTCGCTCGCACTGCGTTCCTGGTGACGTGTGACAAAGGTGACCGCCGTGCCCGAGCGGCCTGCGCGACCCGTGCGCCCCACGCGGTGCACGTAGTCCTCCATGTGGTTGGGCGAGTCGTAGTTGACCACCAAGTTCAAATCCTTCACGTCCAGTCCCCGCGACGCAACCGACGTAGCAACCAATATATCTATCACGTTGCTCTTGAAGTCAGAGATGATGCCGTCCCTGTCAATCTGCTCTTTGCCGCCGTGCAGCGACAGCGTCGGATACCCTCTGATGATGAGCTGATTGGCCAGACTGTCGCAGCTGTCCTGCTTGTCGACGAAAATCAGTACCTTGCCCGAGTCGGTGCTCTGGAAACGGGCCAGAACCTGCAGCAAACGGCCGAACTTCTGGTCCTCGTCCAGAACCTCGAACTGCTGCGTGATCTTGTCGTTCACGAGGTTCTTGGCGCCGACAAGCACCTCGACCGGGTCCGTCAGACACCGCCTTGCAAGAGCCTCCATCCGCGGCGGAAACGTTGCCGAAAACAGAACGGTCTGCCGGTCCGGCCTGGTCACTCTCAGCACCTTCATCACCTGCGGCTCAAACCCCATGTCGAACATGCGGTCGGCCTCGTCCAGAACGAGGTACGTCACGTGACTGAGCCGCAGGACGCGGCCATTGTTCGCGCACAGCAGGTCGATGATGCGGCCCGGCGTGCCGACAATCAGGTCGCAGCCTTTCTTGATCTCCGCGATCTGCTGACTAATCGACTGTCCGCCGTAGCAGCAGCATCCACGCAGCTTGAGCGCCTTGAGGAAGACGCTGCTCTCGTTGAATATCTGCATCGCCAGCTCCCTCGTAGGCGTCATCACTAGAGCACGCACGGACGGCGCCGCCGGGTTTGCAAGCAGCTGGCGAAACAGAGGGAGCAGGAATGCGAGCGTCTTTCCGGAACCTGTCTTGGCGATGCCGATCAGGTCGTGGCCGCTCATCGCGTTAGGGAGAGCCTCGCACTGGATCGGCGTCGGAGCGTCGAAACCTAGCGAGTCCAGCGCACTCCGCAGCGAATTAGGCAGCGCCAGATGGTCCCACGTGATAATTGGCCGCACGACAGACTTGCCGCGCACGGTGATTGCGTCGCGGAGCCGCAGGGAGTCCACCTCGTCCGGCGACAGAGAGCTGATGAACGGGCTCTCGGTGTAGAGGCATCTGGTGTACGGGTGTGTGCTTGGAGGGTGTTCGGGCACCGACTTCTTGTTCTTCTCGTTGATGGCCTGGAGCAGCTTGGCCGGGTCGAGGTGCTCTGCGTCGGTGTCGGACTCTGAGCGGGCGTCGTCGTCGCTCTCGAAGATCGCGGCAGTGCTGTCGTTGCGCTGGGTGTGTTCCATGTTTTCGAGCAGCGTGTCCAGGTCTGGCGGGGCGTCGTCAGTTGTCTGCTCCGCTTTGTCCGCGGGCCCGTCGAGCAGGTTCTTGCGCGCCAGACGGGCGGGTTTTTTGGGCGTCGTTTTTGCCTTTGCCGCGAACTTGACAGGCTGCTTCTCGGCCTCGGCCTCTTTCTTCTTCTTCCACGCCGCTAGCTTAGCCAGCCGCGCGCGTCGCTTCTCCTCTGCACTGGTTAATTGCTGGCCCGCTACTCCAGGGCTACTTACAGCATCGGGAAACACGCTCATACTTGTATTTTTACCTTTTTTTTATCTTTTTATTTTATTTTATTTTATTTTTTTACCTCTAATCGCATTATTCTAGCTCATATGCTTTGCTCCCTCAATGTTTGATTCCCGTGGCCGCCATCCCAACTACGGGTCGATCGCGGACCCTAGAGCGGACGAAAAACCCCACAAACTGAACACCATGAACGGCGTCACGCTGCCGACGATCCTGAACGTGCTGTCTATATTGATGTTTCTGCGATTCGGTTTCGTTCTGGGCCAGATGGGCGTTCTGGGCACGCTGCTGCTGCTGGTTATGAGCTACGGCATTGATCTGCTCACCACGCTCTCCGTGAGCGCCATCGCGACGAACGGGACCGTTAAGGGCGGCGGGGCGTATTATATGATCAGCCGCAGTCTCGGGGTGGAATTCGGCGGCGCGATAGGCATCATCTTCTACATTGGCCAGGTCCTGAACGCTGCGCTGAACGTGGCCGGCCTGATCGAGCCGCTGCTGTACAATTTCAACAGCCAGACCGGCGTCGTGTGGAAACTGCTGCCCACGGACTACTGGTTCCAGTTCATCTACAGCACTGTGTTTTTGGCTCTCTGCACGGTGATCTCGCTGATTGGCTCGCAGACGGTTTCGAAGGCCGGCTCGCTGCTGTGTTTTCTGCTGATTCTGTCCACGCTGTCGGTGCCGCTGTCGTCGCTCGTGGTGGCTCCGTTTTATTCTAAAGAAAACGACGTTTTCTACACGGGCATCTCCTGGTCCACGCTCACAGAAAACCTGCTCCCGCACTTCACGCAGGGCGCCGCGGGGTCGCAGCTGCCGCGCAAGGAGAATTTCAGAGACGTGTTTGGCATTTTTTTCCCTGCTACGGCAGGCATCTTTGCCGGAGCGTCCATGAGCGGCGACCTCAAGACCCCGTCGAAATCCATCCCACTCGGGACGCTGAGCGGCCTGCTGATCACGTTTGTGTGCTACCTGCTGGTCATCCTCTCCATGGGCTGCTCCATCCCGCGCGAAATGCTGTACAAAGACGTGCAGGTCCTGCAGACGGTCAACTTGTCGCCGCTGCTGATAATTCTCGGCGAGGTGTCGACCTCCGTGTTCTCCGTCATTGTCGGCCTCGTGGGGGCCGCGAAGCTGCTCCAGGCCATTGCGATCGACGAGATCTTGCCCGGCCTGCGTGTCTTCGGCACAGACTCCGTCTACGGCATCCTGTTCACGTGGCTTCTGTGCCAGCTGTTTCTGTTTGCCGACGTCAACCAGATCGCGACGCTCATCACGATGGCTTTCCTCATGACATTCATCGTCACCAACGTGGCGTGTTTCCTGCTGAAGCTCGGCTCTGCCCCCAACTTCAGGCCCAGCTTCCGCTATTTCGGAACAGCCACCGCTCTCATGGGCACGCTGGCGTCCGGAGCGGCGATGTTCATCGTCGACGGTATCTCTGCGTCCTTCATCTTCATCATGCTGATGGCGCTCGTCCTGTTCATCCACTACATCTCGCCGCCAAAACAGTGGGGAGACGTGTCGCAGTCGCTCATTTACCACCAGGTGCGCAAGTACCTGCTCAAACTGCGCCAGGACAACGTCAAGTACTGGCGTCCGCAGATTCTGCTGCTCGTGGACAACCCGCGGACGAGCTGGAAGCTGATCAATTTCTGCAACCACCTCAAAAAAGGCGGTCTTTACATCCTCGGCCACGTCATGGTGGCAGACAGCTTCCAGGACCGTGTGGCCGATCTGAGCCGCCAGCGGTCCGCGTGGGTCAAGCTCCGCGACATGTCGAAGGTGAAAGCTTTTGTGCAGATTGCCATTGCCCCCACGTTCTGCTGGGGAGTCCGCAACGTGTTTCTGGGATCAGGATTGGGCGGAATGAAGCCGAATATTACCATCATCGGGTTTTATGATCTGTCAAGCTATAAGGCGCAGAAGCTGCCCAAGAGCATGAAGTTCGAGTGCAAGACGCTGGAATACTCCAAACAGGTGAACGTGAACATCTCCGGACTGCCCACGGATACGTGCATCCAGGAGGACCATCTGAGTCTGTGCGACTGGGTGCAAGTGCTGGAGGACCTGTCGCTGCTGGACAGCAATATCGCCGTCGCGAAGGGGTTCCCGCGACTGCACATCCCGAGCAACCACGAAAACGAGCTCCGGGACGCGGAGCAACGCTACATCGACCTGTACCCGATCCAGATGTCGAGTCACGTGACCAACAAGTCGGGCAAGAGCATCAGAACCAACAACTTCGACACGTACACGCTGATTTTGCAGCTGGGCGCCATTCTGCACACGGTGCCGTGCTGGAAGAAGACGCACCGGCTGCGCGTGGTGGTGTTTGTGGAGTACAAGCGGGACGTTGCTGAGGAAAAGCAGCGGCTGCGGTCGCTGCTGGAAATCTTGCGAATTAATGCCGAGGCTGTGGTGCTCTGCTTGGAGTCGGGCAACTTCGGCACGTACAACTACATTGCGAAAGGCGAGAAAGACGGGTTTGACACGGGCAAGGTGGACGCCCGACTCGAGCATGACGAGTGGTGGCACGCGGTGTTGGAGATGCGCAGTTCTGCCGCGCCGGCACCAAAGCCTGTGGCCAGCATCCAGGTTAATTCCAAGCTAGTGAGGAAATTCCACGCGGGCAACAGGAAACGGTACTCGGGCAGCTACATGCGCAAGAACGGCGTCGCGTTCTCGATGGTGACCAACGGCATTGCGAACTTGGACTTCCACAAGACGCTGGCAGACGCCTCGTCGTCAGAAGACGACTACTCATTTTCGGACAGCGAGTCGGTTGTGTCGTCTGCGTCATCGATCTCGCGCCACGAGGCGCATCCGCCGTCGGTGCCCGTCTACCAGTCGTCCGCGCAACACCTGCGGCGGCCAATGTTGCGGAACCTCAAGTCGTCGACGTCGCTGCTGAGGCAGAAAGTGTCCACTTTCTCTGCCGACACAATGCCCAATTCGCATGTGTTAGAAAACGCACAGGGCAACGAGCCGTCCATCATGTTTGTTCACGACGGGACCGAGCCAGGCGCGCTGTCGGGCAGCGAGTCGCCCGCTTTTGCGGCCACCGCATACGAAGACTCGGTATTTTCGTTCAACGAGCTGAGCAGCACGGCGCAGTACCTGATTCTGAACGAGCTCATGCGCACCACGTCTGCCAACACTGCCCTTATTTTCTCGACGTTGCCCGTGCCGGAAATCGGACTGCACAAGGACGAGCAAAGCTGCCTGGACTACGTCACCAATCTTGACACCTGGTGTAACGACCTTCCTCCCACGCTGCTGATAAATGCCAAGACTGTGACTGTGACTACGAATTTATAACTGGCTCGGTGGAAAATTCCGAAGTGCATAGTATTATTAGACAATTGAACTGGCAGGATACGACATACGACAATTGCTTGTAGTTTGGACGTAATTGGGGCATCTGTGGGAGGGAGGGGACGCGACAGTATGGCGTTTGTTGATGGCGGCCGAATTCCGGATTGGGTGTGGATTCTTTACAAAGGTTATTCGCCCGTGATTGGCTGTTAGCTGGCAGCGGGGTGCGTTTCACGAGAATACCTGTCAAACGGTGTTCGGCGGGATGCAGCATGCATATGCACATTAGGTAATCTGCAATCGGGTGGTTGGCTGGAAACCGAAAAGGACATTCCAACTTGCTTACGGGAAAATGCTTATTTGTACCGCGTCGGGAGGTCCGAAGGCTGCGGCGGTTTTAAGCCGCTGTCTTTTATGCACCGTTTGTTAAAAGGCGCATTGTTTGCTGTTGACAGCTGCAGGCTAGAAGGCACAATTCTACCGCACATGTTTCAAGCCGTCGGCTAAGCCGAGCCGTCGGGATATCCGAATTCACTCCACGTCACAGCACAAGTCAAAGTTGTCACAACGCGGGCTTAGGAAGATCTTTTTTGCACCGCTGGGCTCGGCCAACGTGCACGATACACCGCGGGAAAGCCGGTTGGCGCACGAGACGGGTGGGCGCCAATGTGCCAATCGGGCTGGGGCCAGTCGAGCCACTCAGGCACGAATACGCCGCAATGGCAGGCGGCCGATGGCATTGGCATAAGCATGGGCACAATAGCGAGGCTCATGACATGCGACGACGGCAAGGTTGCTGTTTACGGCGCGCGGTGGTGGGAAGAGTGGATTGAAACGCAACCGCACATAGGCGGATTTTACAGTTTCGAGGAACTGCCATCGGCAGAACCACGAAATTCTAGCTGTGCGTCTGGCAAGTTATTGAACCGAACAGTAAACGGCACATTAGATTGTCCCAATTCAGCTATTTTGCTCGGTCGCATAGAATTTCCAGGCCGCAGCCTATTGTCTCATGCATCGTAGTCACATTTTTTTTTTCTGAAAATGATGGACTTGTCTCCTGAATGGCCTTTTTGGTGCTATTATTCACGCACTTGCCGAACCTATTGTTGGAAGACGTGCTCCATATATTAAGCAACTGTCCTGGCACTTTTCCACTCTCTGAAAAATCATGGAAGTGTCCAGTCTCATCAACAAACACTACGCTGGCCCCCAGCGGCTCACCCCGCCGGCCTCTCCATACGACTCGCTTCCGGCCCCTCGTGTACAGCTGCCCTCCATCAAGCGGATCCTGGACTCCTCGATCCTCGACTCCATCAACAAATTCCCGCCCCAAAACTACGACCCTTCCGCCGTGCCAATTCTGCCTAGTCCCGTGCAGCAATTCCCCTACTCGCCGCTCTCCTCGAGATCCAGCTCGTTCTCCTCCCTGCTCGACTACCAGCTGCCGCCGCCGCTGCTCGCGCACCGCTCGCTGCCACACCTCTCTTTCCCAAGACGCTCGCTCACAGAGCCCGCCAGCCCGGGCCAGCAGCCCGCAGCGACCCGCTCCGACTCAGAGTACAACTCGCCGGCCTCGCCCTCGTCCGACTCCGACTGCGGCGCCAAGTACTCCAAGAAAAAGCGCTCCAACCTGCCCAAAAAGACAACGGTTATCCTGCTCAACTGGTTGAACGATAACCTCGAACACCCGTACCCCAACTCGAAGGAGAAAATGGAGCTCGTCGCAAAGACAGGCCTCACCAACCAGCAGCTCTCCAACTGGTTCATCAACGCTAGAAGACGCAAGATCCAGCTGCTCAGAGAGCTCAAGTCCAACAGCACCACCGTGTGATGCTCTGTCCATACTACGCCCTGTCTACAGTAATATATCGTTTTTTCCGCTCACGTTCTGTTGAGGTATCTGTCGATGTAGTACTGCCGCAGGCAGTCGTAGATGAACGCAAACTGCTCGAACTGCTGCACCATCAGCACGCGCTGGCTGCGCAGCTCCGACACGATCTCCAGCACGGGGTCCTGCACCTCGTGGTTGTTGACCGGCGTGATCAGGTCGTGGCGCGCGTCGTCGGTGTCTGGCGCCGTCAGACTCGCCGTGCAGTGCTGCAGAAAGTAGTCCACCGCGATGAACGTGCCGGACCGCCCCACGCCGGCCGAGCAGTGCACCACCACGGGGTCCGGGCTGCCGTGCGAGTGCACGCTGCTGCTCAGCTCCACCAGCGACGCCGCCTGCTCCGGCGCGCTGAAATCCGCCCACTCGTGGAACTGGTACTGCGTCACCGGCTTCAGCGCCCCGCTCGCCTCGTCGCGCAGCGTCCACCGCCGCACCGTGAAGTGCCCGCCCTCGCTTTCGCGCGCGCCCCCGAATTCCAGCACCAGCCCGTCTCCGGCGCAGAAATCCTTTTCCGACCAATACTTGTAGCATTTTTCGCGGCCCGCCTCGAACAGCGGCGTCAGCATCACAATCACCACCTCCTGCGCGCACTGCTCGGCACACATCTGCCAGAAATCCCCCCACGTCGCCGCCGTCGGGCCCTGCGCCGCTATGTACCGCCCCACGCCGTCGCCACACGTCAGCTCCAGCCACGACGCGTTGATGTAGTCGTTGTCCCCGCGCCGCAGCCGCACACGGTTCTTGTCGAACGGCAGCACGTCGCTGTACCGGTTGCGGTCCCTGTTGCGCAAGCCCGCCTCGTACGACCACGCCGACTGCGCGCGGTGCCGCATCGCGTCCACCAGCCGGCTCTTCTCGCGCCGGTTGATCTCCGCGTACTTCTCGCGCAGCGCCTCGCGCGACTGCGTCAGAAACTTGGGCATCCGTCTTGTCTTCACTGTGTCAGGCGGAGAAGAAAATTTTGTGCGCGGTCTCTTTCCTGCTGTGTCAGGTCGAGCTGCCACACGAGCCGGCCGATTTTCGCCCGCACCTCGTCGCCGCCGCGAACAGCGTACCGGTGCAGCCGCTGCGCCACCTTCAGAAGACACGCCAGCACGTCGTACCGCACGCTCGCGAGTCCGCGGGGCCGCGCCGCCAGCTGCTCCAGCACGCCGACCGCCGCGTCGACCGTCGCCGGCGAGAGCGCGGTGTACGGGTTTCGCAGCAGCTCGAGCACGGCGTAGCACGTCTGTTTCGCCACCACCGCGGCAAACGCCCCCGTCCTCGGCAGCAGCTCCGCGGCCACGACGCCCAGTAGCGCGCCGCACACGTCCGGGTACTCGCCCGCGCGCGCCACGCCCGGCAGCGCGTAGTCCACGAGCAGCCACCCGACCTGTTTTTCGAGCTCGTCCTGGTCGCGCGCAGAGGCCGCCAGCACGGCGACTGCCGTCGCGTACGCCGTCGGCAGCACCGTCCGCGACTCCGCCGCCGGCGTCAGCGACGGCAGCGCCAGCAGACACGGCGCAATCGCGTCCAGCAGCAGGCCTGCGATGCTGCTTCGCGCAATGATGTTGGCCGCGCTCGGCGGCGAGTTCACCTTCGCCACCACCGTCTGGAGCACCTCACACGCCGCGCTCTTCACCAGCACGTCGTGGTCGTCCAGGTAGTGCAGCAAAAGCAGGAAAACCACGTTCCAGCGCGCTTCTATGTCGCTGCCCGCGAGAAAATCCACCAAAAAAGCCAGGCTGCCGATCCGCGCCATGTATTTCGTCCTGATCCGGTCGTCCTCGCCCACGGGCGCGCGCCCCACGAGCGGCGTGTCTCTGGGCCCGTCGGCCGCGTTTTGCGATTTTCTGTACCCCCGAGCAGACACTTTTGCCGAGTGCTGGCCGACCTTGCTAAATTCGCGTAACATGGGCACGTAGCCGTCCATGAGCAGGAAGATCTCGTCTTTTGAGGGCTCGGCCCGGCGCAGAATGTCGCGCACGGCCTGGGCAGACTCTTGGGACGACCACGGATGGCGCTCGTCGTAGTAGAGCGATACTCTGTCCAGCAGCTTGGCCCGGTCGTACACTGCGCCGAACTGTAGTACCAGCCGCAGAGCCTGTAGTTGCGCCTGTTTGTGCTGGCGCAAAGTTTGCTGTTCACGCGATTCTGACGGGCGGAACCAGGTCCACTGGGCCTCTGGCACGGCCAGCATCTCCAGAAGCTCGCCAACTACCACGTGCCAGTTCTCGGGGGCCGCCGGCTGTTGTGGGCCGAGAGTCGCGCCCTCGTCTGGCCTCAGCCGGCGCTCCAGCTCCGCCAATCCTCCCTGCGGGTCCAACTTCAGCCTCTCCACCACAGTGTAAACGTCCTCCATACCGTGCGAACCTGAAAAACGGTTTTACCCGGCCCGACTATTTTTTTTATTTAGCAAAACTCTCTTGTCTAACGGCCCAGCACCTCCAAACAAGCCCGCCGCCGCTGCACAGAACCAGCCTCCCTTCCTGCGCCAGCGACTTGCACCGCGACACATTGAAGTATCAACAGGAAAAACAGGCAGTTGCACGGGATATTAGCTACTTAGCGACCTGAAACAACACATGGAGTCTTCGCTGAAAAGGGTCTTTTCGGGGACGCCAGACCCCTCGGCGCGGCCATCGAAGCTTAAGAAAATCACGAACAGCATCCTCGGCATCTTCCAGCGGCCCAAAGACGCCGGCTGCGACACCTCCGGACCACACCCTTCGAGACCCAACACCAGCACCGCCGCTAATCTCAGTCTCAACCACGACTCGTTCCGCTCCCAGTCGTCGCCGATCACCGCCCGCATGCTGGAGCAGTACTACGAGTCCATCAAGCGTGAAAACAACATGCTGTCCTCGAGACTGCGCGACGCAGACGACAGCCTCAAGGCAGAGTCCACCAGTCTGGGCGACGAGACCGTGCTCAACGGCACCGCGCGCTCGCCAGCGCCTGCGGCAGCCGCGAAGCGCAAGGTGTCCGCGTCAGCCAGCCATCCGCCGGCAAAACAGCCCAAGAAGCCACCACCGTCGTTCTCAATCGACCCTATAGAACGCGCTCAGCTGGTAATGCTCAAGCGGAGAATGCAGCAGGATAAGTACCGCAAGTCCAGAATGGCGTACCTGCGCGACCACACCAGAAACCTCGTGCATACATCGTCCAACGCGTCGGCCGGCTCCAAGTACGTCGACACCTCTGTCGAGACTGTTGAGCATGCCCCGGAACTTGCAACCAAGACAAAGTCGGTGCAGAAAATCCCTAAAGAGCGGCTGAACCAGCACGGCATCTTCAAGGCAGTGCTCGACTACGACGACGACGACGAAGAGCCAGAGGTCCAAAAGGTGGAGGTGAAGCCTTTGACCGAGAAAATAAAGTTTGCACCAAAGAAAGACGTCCAGTTCGCCCCCGAGAAGCTGGCGACCTCGTTCGACACGGCCACAAAGCCGAAATTCGTGCCCGAGAAGAAGCCAGAGCAGCCCCTGGACTCTGCTCCATTGAAACCCACCCCAGCATTCACATTAACGGACAAGAAACAGACAGACTCGCCGACATTTTCGCTCAAGTCTGCGGACTCGAAGCCAGACGCTCCCTCGTTCTCGCTTTCGAACGGCTCGTCTGCTCCTTCAGTGTCGCTTCCAAGCACAGCAGGAAAAAGCGAAGAGGAAGAGCCAAAGAGAAAGAGATTTACTTTGGGCTCTAAGCCAGACGAGTCTTCTAAGTCGGCTCCAGCGTTTTCCTTCAACACGGACTCTCAAAAGCCGCTGTTCTCGTTCGCCAAGCCTGAACAGGAGTCTGTGCAGAAGCCTGAGCAAAAAGACAATGCAGAGTCGAAGCCTGGCCCGGCGTTTTCATTTGGTGCTAAACCTGCGGACGCTGCTGAGAAGCCTGCTCCGCCTTCTTTCTCCTTTGGAAGCCAGACGAAGCCGGCCACCGAGGACAAAGCTGAAGCAAAGAGCCAGGAGGAGGCCAAGCCTGCGCCTTCTGCTGCATTCTCGTTTAGCACGAAGCCGCAGACTCCTGCTTTCTCTTTCTCCAAGCCGACTGAGGAGCCCGAAAAACCTGCTGCTTCCTCGTTTTCGTTCGGCTCCAAGCCAGAGCCGGCCAAACCAGAGGAACCGGCTAAAAAGCCAGAAACACCGACACTTTCTTTCGGTGCTAAGCCGGCTGAAACGGCACAACAGAACGACGAGTCAAACAAGCCTGCCACACCTTCTTTCTCCTTTGGCTCCAAACCAGCTGAACAAGGCACCCAGTCCACCGAGGCTGCTAAGCCAGCATTCAGTTTTTCCGGCAGCTCATTTGGCGCCAAGGAAACCGAAAAGGAGGAACAGAAACCTACAGAGTCCAAGCCGTTCAGCTTCGGCACCACCAAACCAGCCTTCTCGTTCGGCTCCCAGCCCTCGCAGTCCGCCGCTGCTCCTACCTCGTCGGGCTTTGGGGCCTCTACGGGCACGGCTGCCAACCCTGCTTCTAGCTCGGTGTTTGGCTCCGGCGCACCGGCCTCAACTCCTTCGTCGTCCACGTCTGGCTTCTCGTTCGGTGCCGCACCAAAACCGGCTGCTCCCGCTGCCCAGCCGGCACCGGCGTTTTCTTTTGGCACGTCGCAGGGCTTCTCGTTCGGCAAGCCGGCTGCCAGCGCAAGCGGCTCGCTCAGCTCTGCGGGATCTGCCTCGTCTGCGTTTGGCCAGCCGTCCGCGCCTGCGCCCGCACAGCCCGGATTTGGTGGCTCGCTGACGAACCCGGGCGCAGGACAGTCTGTGTTTGGCGGGTCGACGCCGCAGCCGCAGAACAAGATCTTCAACCTGGACGGAACGCACTTTGCCCAGGCACAGCCTCAGAGCCAGACGCCGTCCTCGTTTGGCGGGTTCAACCCGTCCAGGTCTGCCACGCCAAACTTCGACTTCACGGGAGCCTCCAGCTCGGCTAACGTGGACCCGTCCTCGGTGTTCTCGGCCGCGCCATCCACCACGCCTCCCCCAAACACGCAGGCGCGCCGCAAGATCTATCCGCGCAGCATGCTGAGAGGAAGAAGATAAAGTGTATGTAATGTAATTAAAGTCTGAAACCATCCTCGTGATCCGGGCTGTGCAGCAGGCATCCCCAGACGGGACGTGGACACGAAATTTTCTAGAAAAATAACACTCGAGTATTAAAACCTACCACTTTTGACAGCCAAACTACGATCTGTGATGTCGACAATTCCTCCTGAAGGTAAGTAAAGACAGCTCTGCAGCACTAACATTAGTTCTTTGGGCCCAAAGATCCAACGACTCGATTCCAGAGAAAAACCTGCTCTATCTCACGATCAATGTGGCCGATGTGGAGAAGCCAGAGATCACGCTGACTGCCAGCGAGCTGAAGTTCGAGGGCAAGTCGGGCGACCGGCATTACAAGCTGGACATTGAGTTTTTCGACGAGATCGACGACAAGAAGTCCAAGTACCAGATCACGGGATCGCACATCTTCTTTGTGCTGTACAAGAAGAAGCTCAATGCCGAGTTCTGGCCAAGACTGACCAAGTCGAAGGTCAAGCAGCACTACATAAAGACCGATTTCGACAAGTGGGTCGACGAGGACGAGCAGGACGAGAAGGACGACGACGACCTGCAGAACTCCATGGGCGACCTGGGCAACGCCTTCGGCGACGAGTCGATCGACTTTGCCAAGCTGGCCGCCGAGAGCGGCGGCGATTTCCCCTCGCTGAACACTCCTAGCGACCTGGACCAGCTGAGCAGCTCTGACGAGGAGGAGGGACCGGCCTCCGACGACAAGGCGCAGGAGCAGCCGAGCGAGGAAAAATAGTTTAATACATAGATGATGTTATTTTGGTATTCCCTCAGTTGCGCCTAAATAATCGTGATTGTGTGCTGGCAGCGCCACCGTCCGCCTTTGGCGAGCGTTGTGCCCTCAACTGCGCCAAACTCAACGCAGCACATGTTGCGGTAGCTGGATTTCGGCTCAAAGTCTTTCATCTTGGCTGCCCCCTCTTTCCACGGGTTCCAGACCACCAGGTCGCTCAGGTTCTCCGACGCCGTCAGTCGCACATTGTAATTGCCCGACAAAATGTCGATTTCCCGGTTGGCCTCGCCCAGCTTGTACATTTTGTCCGTCTGCTCCTCCACCTTGAGCATCGGACTGGTATCTAGCCGGTACCGGGTCTGCAGTCTGTCCAGGTACTTGGCCCCTTTCAGCCCCGTGATGTACATGTCGCGAACACAGGGCACCCGGAAATAGGTGTGGTACAGAAACTGAAACTCCAGTTCGGACACGTTCTCGTTCACAAGGCTCGTGTCCACTGTGATGTGGTCCGGAAACAGCTCAAAAACCATCGACAGCTCAAACTCGATGCGCTGGCCATAGAATTGGCACCAGGATATGTACTGCTGCTCGTTCTCGCACTGCCGATGGCTCAATCGAAACCGTGCTACCGTGCGCTCTGTCAACACCTCGGCTATGACGAAGTCCCAAGCCATGTTGCGCACAAACCCGTGCTGCTGGACCGCCTTCAGACTCTCCAGGTACGACTTGCCAAAGGCTGGGAAAATCAGCGGCATTCCGCCCCTCACGGGTGTCGAGCTCTTGCTCGACAGATTCGCAGCTTCCGAGAGGTACAAATACTCGTCGCCATTCACCACGAACGAGACCAAAGTGCAGCCTTTTCTGGCAACACACGCACGCGCGCCGCCATACGAGAACCTGATCAGATCACCTTCCACCTCAACAGACATTACAGAACAAAGTATTGCCGGCCACGCTTTCGCGCCTGCCGTGCGCTCGTAGCCTATCGCGATATTATTATTAAATACACCCCCCGTGAACCACCACCTTACTCCAGCTCGCGCAGCAGTTTCTCGAGCTCCTCGATCATTAGCCGTATCTCCTCTCTCTTCTTCACGGTCGCGGACGACGAGCTGAGCATCTTCCGCTGCTCCTCGTTCAGCTTCAGCATCAGTCTCCGGATCCTTCCGCGCTCCTCCTCTACCACGTTCTCGGACCTGTTCAGGTCTCCCATACCGTAGGAATAAATACACTTCAGGCCGTAGAGTGCGACGATCGTGCATGCGGCCAGCGCCACGTAGCCCTTGAACGTGAACCCGTCCGGCAATGGCGGTGGTTGCACGTTTTCTCCCGTCAGGTCCAGCCAGTGCTTGGCGTTGGCAGCAGCATTGCCTCTATAAGGAGTCTCGGAAGCTTTGCAAACACGTAGAAAGTATTCAGGCAGCTCTTTGGACGCAAACTGCTCCTGGAGCTCCAAAGGAGCTTCAATGAGCGTCATGGCAAGACCCTGCTCAAGATGGAAGTCGAGATGGCAGTGGAAGAACCAGACACCTGGGTTTTTCGCCTCAAACCGCAGCACCATGTGTCCGTTGCCTTCCACAACCATAGTGTCCCTGCGAACGGGGATCTCCGGTAGATTTGTCTCTGCGTCTGGGTCGTAGTGGTGAGGATCGTCGTATTGGTCGGATCTAACTATGGTCTGAAACTGGTGGCCGTGGAGGTGGAACGGATGCTTGTTGTCGTCCTCGTTATTCACCACAAGTTCCACAACGTCGCCGTAGCTGAGCACAAATGAGTTGGTGTTGGATCCGTATATTTTGGAGTTGGAAACGTACTCCTTAGGAGCAGTTAGCGCCGTGAGCAGAGTCGGCACCTTAGGAGCAACGTAGGTGTAGTTGTTGAAGAATGCATAGTTGACACCGTCTCCCAGATTCTCCATATGCAAAACAACCTCTATACGGTGGTCTGGGTCTGGAAGCAGGGGCTTGCCGTCCAGAGGACGAAGCTCGAAGTCGTCGAATGGAGCATACGATTCGACATCCAGCCACTCTTTCTTTAGCGTCGCCTCGGGCAAGCTCTTGTCGTAAACAAGCTGGTTAACAGAAACATACTGTAGATCGGCTGGCAAGGCATCCAGCATGGATATGTCCAGCGCATGGACGATGCCAAAGTTTCTGGAGGCAGAAGACTTGGTCTTTAGTAAAACACTCATTCTCTGGCCCACTGCCAAGTATATCATGGAGGCCCTTGCAGGATGAAGATACACGCCGTCTACCTCAATGATATCGACATCGTGATCTTCGAAAAACAGATACTGCGACGACATGATTCCAATATTGGCAATTCTGATCAGATACGTCGTGTCGGGCTCTACCTCCAAGGTGATGTTTTTGGTGTCATTTATGAGGGCATTTTGAGGGATCGGCTCAGCTCCTGTGGGATTGTATAAAGAGAGCTGCTTCCGAACCAAGACCTCACTTGAATCATGATACCAATCACTCAGAGACAAAACGAGCTCCTTGTCGAACTCGTAGTTGGACTCCACTTCCTCATCATGAACTATAAACAACCCACGTAGTCCATCGCTGTACTGAGACCCGCTGTGGCTATGATACCAATATGTTCCCACCTGGTCCACCTTGAACTCGTAGACAAAAGACTCGCCAGGAGGTATCGGACATTGAGTGACGGCAACGGGCCCGTCCATATGGTTAGAGCCATTCTGAAGCAGGCCATGGAAATGTAAAGATGTCGAAACGTCGAGCCCATTGATCAGATGCAGTTGCACGGAGTCGCCCTTGTTGACCTCGATGGTGGGCAAGGGCCAACTTCCGTTGAACGAGATGACTTGGCGCTCCTTCACGCCGTCTGGATTGGCTGTGATCCACTTTGTCTCGTAGAAGAGTGTATGTGTCTTAGCAGCAGCCTGGCATACTGCCATGGCAATTATGCCCAGGGTTACTAATAACACCATAACAAGGAGTTTTTTTTTTGTTTTCTTAGTTCAAGATCAGAGAATTTGGAAAAATAAATAAAAAACGATACGAGGGACTACAGACGCGTCGATTCAGCAGGATGAAAAATAACGTTATCACGAAATTTTCAGTACCCATTCATGTCAAGTGAGACTCAGCTGCGCCCCCGGACAATAGAACAAGACGGGTCCTTCTGTCATTTGGAAATCGTAAATTCCAGTCTTTTAAGTATTATTAGCTCCCCTGGCGAAAGACACGTTGACGGAGTTTCAGCCTCGTTCGCAGGCTTGCGCACAATGCAACGTGCTTCTAACGTTGACAAATCTGTCGAAACATATTTGTATGTGTCTAGAAACTAACAGTTGATTAGCAATACCCGCTATAAATTCTCAGGATGACAATTTATCGACCTCTGATTTGCTATTTTTTGACAAGAGGGGTCCGCAGCCAAGGCGCTTCCCAGAAACCCAGATGGGTGGCGCACGACCTGTACTTATTTTGAGAAGGTGCTTTAAAAAGTTGTAAGTGTTTTTCTATATTGACGACCTCTCTGCCCACACTACCAGTGCGTGATTTCTTTAGTAACACAGCGCGCTTTGGACTTGTTTATCTGTGAGCACAACTTATCTCCAGTCAATTGTTATTGCCATCCCATTTGCTAATATAATAGCACGTTCTCGGCGTGTATTTTGGGCGATCTTGCAAAAGGATTTGACGTTCAGGCAAATTTTATTGCTAACCGCGCAACTCACATCGTCTTGCCACACTCGAAACAGTTCCGCTACTTGCCCTTCCACGTCACTGATCCATTTGTGACAGACGACTTATTCGATACTATCGTATTCTACAAAAGAAATCAGCAATCATACATTAATTACAGCCAGGTATGAGTATAGTCGCCCTCAAAAGAGCCATCGTTTCCCTTTTTAGCTCATCTTCCAACCAAAGTGGCCCGCTCATGAGAAGCACTAATAGCAATAACTACGGTTCGCTTTCTGACGGCGATCTCGAATCTCAGCCCCTGACCCCAGGCTCTCCCAAGCTACAGCTAAAAGGTGACGACTCGGATAGTTCTCAGGAAACGGGCATGTTCGGCAAAGTGGACCCAAGAGCAATGAGTGATCTGATCATTGGTCTGAGTGACGGACTTACAGTTCCGTTTGCACTGACCGCCGGTCTGTCTTCTCTCGGAGACTCCAAGCTTGTCATCACCGGAGGTATGGCGGAGCTCGTGTCTGGTGCCATCTCGATGGGTCTCGGAGGCTACCTTGCCGCCCGTTCAGAATTGGAATACTACAAATCCCAAGTGAAAAAGGAAAAACAACTGTTTTTCGAGAATCCAGACTCTATAGCCGGGGAAGTTGGAGACGTCATGATCGAGATGGGCGCTTCTGAGGAAACCATCCAATCGTTTGTCCGGGACTTGGAGGCTGACCCCAAGACAATGATTGACTTTGTGATCAGATATGGTCGGGGGTTGGAGGAACCTGCCGACGGACGTCAATTGATGAGCGCATTAACAATTGGGTCTGGATATTTCTTCGGAGGTTTCATCCCATTAATCCCATACTTTTTCACTAGCACAGTCGGCACAGGACTGATAATATCGGTGGTGGTGATGATATTCACATTGTTCTGGTTTGGATACTTCAAGACCATCGTTTCCATGGGTGATGACACGCCTCATTACATAAGGGTATCGGAAGGTCTCCAGATGGTTGCCATTGGCTCGTTTGCTGCAGGCTGTGCCTGGGGACTTGTTTATCTGATAGACTCATAGCTGAGAACCATATATAAAGGCATATTCTTGAAAGTATTTGCTTTTCAGGAGTATACAATGAATGTGTTATTTAGCATCTAGTGGTTTTCTCACAACGTATAGCATCATAGGGGTGAACAGCTTCCTTTTTCCTCCCTCGACGAGGTAGACAGCAGCGTCCTCAAGAGCCTCGGTCACTTTCACGGAACCTTTAGGAGCAATGCCCAGTTTCTCCATGAGTCCAACAGAGCCGGTTGTTATTTTTCTGCCCATGGTGGACGTTCTGAAGAAAGTCCAAAGATCGCCAATCGTCTGCACGTACTTGAAGTCTCCACTCAACGGGTAATACCATGGGATCTCGTCGCCGACGTCGGCAAGGTCCCTGGCGTACTCGATCTCGAAACCAACGTTCTTCAAAGCCTTCTCGGCAACCTCTTTTTTGTACATTTTAGGGATACCGTCACCGACCTCAATTCCATATGCAATCTTGCGGTGTTCCTCGTTGGTTTCGTCGTACTCGTCCGTCATCACCCACTCGTAAACGCCAAAGACTCCACCGGGCTTCAATACTTTGTAGATCTGGCCATACACTCCTTCTAGCACAGGAGCATGGACGGTGGCCTCAATCGAGTAGACAGCGTCAAATGTCTCTGGCTCGAAGTCCATTTGCATAAAGTCTCCCTTCACGAAAGACAGCTTGTGGTCCAGTTTCATTTTCTTGGCGTAGTTGTTGGCTCTCTCAATTTGGTAGTCGTTATTATTGAGTCCCACAATCTCGCAATCCGTGAACCTCGTGATCTCTCTGGCAGGGCCACCGACTCCGCATCCGACGTCCAGCACCTTCATGTTCTCGGTGATGCCCATTTTCAATGCCAGATAGTGCTCGTGTCTAGCACAAGCCTGTCTGAATGGCTCTCCCTTGTAGTATCTGGAAAAGTGAAACGACGATCCCCATCCGTACTCGTAGAAATCCGTCACCAGGTTGTAGTAGTGCTTGGTGAGCGTCGAATAGTCCTCCAGTCTCGATTTCTCGGTCTCCCTGTCGGTTTTCCCGTCCCAGTGCTTGAAGTACCCTTCCATCGCGACCTTCTGGGCTTCCTTGTCCTTCTTCACCCAGGCACTCATTCCTGTTGCGCTCGTTGCGTCCTTGCCGTGCAGAGCCTTCGCAAACTCCTTGTCCTTCTCGTAGTCCTTTGGTGCAAGCTTAATTTCGGTGCTCATGTTTACTAAAATACAGTGGTGGTATAGCGCTTTTTATACTTTTTCTTCGGTTACGAAAAGAACGACAAATAAACGACGCTAAACGAGATCTTGCGGCTCACGGCGAACGCGTTCAAAAAAATCAGAGTTCAAGGCGGTGCAAACATAATCCGATGTAATGTCGACTAAAGCTCTTTAAATCTAGCCAATAACCAGTACAGAAACCGCGAATGCGCACAAAACAGCACCGACGCTGAAGCTCACTGCCTTCGAACCGCTGCTGGAGCCCGAGCTGGAGCCAGACGACGTCGACGTCGACCCAGACATGGACGAGGTGGCGGTTTCCACGCCCGACTCCGCCTTCATGGACGAAGTCACCTTTCCCGTGGTCACCGCAGTCACCGATCCCAGAGAAGTCGACTGGCCAATATCCAGAGCTGTGGCAGAGCCGCCCCACGTACTGGAGTAATCGGCAACCGACGAAGCGGAAGGAATGGAGTCGCTTGAGATGGCCTCAACTTGCTCGTTTCCAGGACTCAGGTTCACGTTGGCTATAGCCATTTTGTATCCCTCGAGGTCAGCCACGAAGTAGACGTTTTGCAGGAAAGAATCTCCCAGGGTAAAGGACTCGTCTCCGGAGGAGAAAATGCCCAATGCGCAGTAGGAGGAAACCTGCCCGGAGGTGGTTTGCAGAGCCACAAGGAAAGAACTCAAGGGAACCTCTATAACTTTACCCTGGAAGTCGAAATTAATAGAGTAGCTCTCGACAGAGTTGCATCTTGTCACGTAGGCCCCAACAGAGCTGCTGTAGTCGAAGTTGAGGCTTTCGGCAAGCTGTTCGATGACGTCGTTTGGAGCATACGTAAGAGTCGTTCCGGTATCGAAGAGTGCGGCCGCAGCGCCCGAACCGATGCTGACTTGCTGCCCTTTGCTGTTGCTGACGGTCATGGCAGACAAAGTGACTTCGAGCTTGATAGGTTTCTGGTAGCCGAGAGAAGCAGCCGAGTTTATGATAGGAAGCAAAACAAGGTCTCCGCTGTACTTGCTGTGGTCAACTGCACCAAAAAGGATCGAAGCGCTGCTGGCGTCAGACGAGTTGAGGTAGACAGAATACGCGGCTCTACCGATGAGTCCCTGGTTGACCATTTTGAAGGGCAAGTTGTCGTAGATGTAATGCTGCGATCCGCTTCCTGAGTACGTCGTTTCCAGTTCTCTAAACCCAATTCCCAAAACGCCCATTTGAGAATTGGTTTCATCGGCCACGGCCAACGAGAGATCGTTGACGGTGACACCGTTGAAAGTGACGTCGTCGTAGCCCCAGGTTCCATAGGCAAAAGAGTTGTCCTGGTACGAAATATGAAACGCGGTGCCGTTGTTGTGAAATGACTTGGACTCAGAAGGATCGAACGTTCCGAACTGCGAGCAGTCAAGAGTGGCCTGCGCAGCGGAAGCCGTCTGTGTCTCTTCCTGTGTGAAGATCTCGGTCGTGGTCACGTCTCCCCAGCCACCAAGCAGTGCTTTCGCATTGCCGTCGTCGTCTGGAGAGTTGAAATTGTACAAGTCGGAAAGATCGCGTCCCTTTTTGAGCATATCTGCCGAGCCGGCTCGTTTCACCTTTCTATTGCTGGAAGACGAACAGTAAGAGTTATTCGAGTTCATCACCCACATGTCCGAAGAGCCAGTATCAACCAGAACTCCGACCGTCTGGTTATTGGACCCTATCTGGACCTCGACTTCGTAAAAAGACTGCGCGTTTTGCAATTCCATCGTGACCGAGCCATCATCAGCCCTTTTTTCCAACATGTACGGCTTTGCCCCCTTCTGGGAGTCCTTGTAACTGGAACCTCGAAGAATAGAGGCATCCAGTCTGACGAACCCTGGATCCGCCCGCACACAGACGCTCGAGGCCAGCAAAAATAGTGTAGCAACTTTCATTGTGTCAAACCAGTTTTACTCTCTGAAAAAATACTGGTAGGTTAATTCGACGCTCTTAGTCCTTGGAAAGATGAAAATGCAATATTCTTTTTGAGTAGATGGTAGCCCGAGGTAAGAGGTTCCGATAGGAGTGCACGGTGTCAAACGATGTTCTGCTGCTATCTCCACGTAGAACCTTTTTTTCTAACAATAGAATTCAAAACCAACGGGGCAATTTTAAATATGACTTGCACAGCCTGTCTACGCCACTTAGAACGGTCCCAGATTTATGCACACTAAATGAGATTTAAAATAGAAGTTATCATACACACTACTCAACTAGCGACTTGAGAGTTTCGTCGTCAAAGATATTTCCGCTCTCTTTGAGAAGTCGGGCGAGGGTTTTGAGTGAATTCTCCTTGAAATCGGTTTTCTGACGCAGTGCATCCAGGTCCTCAGAGTAGGTGACCAGCATTTTCTTCAAATACTCGTTCTGTAGCTGCTCTCTCGCATTTTTTATCTGGTTTTGTGCTGCGTCAATGTCGAGTTTCACGTTGCTGATTAGGCTGTGTTCCAAGCTGGCCAGTCTGTCGGCGTTCAGCTGTTGTAGTCTCAGCTGTGTGCTGTCCGACACCTCTTGTGTGTCCAGGCCGTCGATGGTATATGATTCCGGCGCGTCCGGTTGCTCTTCGTGTACGCTGCTCACGCTCATGGAGTCACTATCGTTTTCAGACTCCGAAGAGCTTGAAAAGTCCTCTGTCCGCCGCTTCTTGCGGGCTCTTCTGCTAGGCATGTTCGGATTTTTTTTTTTTTTCATAGATTAACAAATCTAGCCTGCACAGCCTGGGCAATGGTGCTAGTTCGCGGACAGTAAGGGCATTTGAAGTTGGCCACACTGTTGCGACTCAGTTTGATGAGACTGTCTTTGGAAATGATATGGTGGCATGGAAGCACCATAGGGGGGTTTTCGGAAGTCGTTTCCTCCTTGGACACCGGACAGATGAAGATGGAGTGGAACTGCAGCGATGGAGGCAGGTTGATCTCGAACGGAAGCTCGTTGGTGGTGGTCCAGTTGAGATTGCCCGAACTCTTAGAGATCCTGTGGTATTTGATAAAGCTGGGCAAGGCGATGTAGCTGGTAAGCAGGGTGTTGTAGAGAGGCGAATTTGAGGAAAGTCCGATCAAAGAGCAATAGTCCTGACATATTTGGTTGTAAAAGGTCTCGTTTGACATATCCCCGTCAGTCAGGTAATTTTCAAAGCCGCAGTCAGGCGTCGACGAGGAGTACATGATTGTAAAGAGTAGTTTCGAGATCGTGTCTAGATGCGTTGTTCCAAAATCTGGGAAGTTGTCTCTTGCGTATTTGTAGGCTTCGAATGGCTCGTTGTTCTTGCTCTGATTGTATAGCTTGATGAATTGCAGTTTGTGCAGATTGAACTCCAGGTCGGAACCTATCGACTTCAGTTCATTAGAGTGGCGAGCGGCCCAGGTGATAGCTGGCCGAAGATCGTCATGTTCTCTGAAACTGATCAGGATATCGTTCAGTTGCTTGAACTTGTCTATTAGCTCCTGCGGGATTTTGATCCCGCGTTGCCTCTCAATGTGCTCCAGAACATCAAAATGGCCATTGCGCAGCAAGTCCATCACAATCGCGCGATCCACTAATTTTCGGGCCCGCGGATTTGAGTTCACATCCACCGTCTGATAGGTATAGACATCAGAGAGGTTGAAATTGAGCACCTTGTCAATCTTGGAGCTGTAGTTCTTGATCGATTTGTTTATGGACTTTTCGTTCTTCAGCGTGTTCTCATTCCACTTCTTGAACTGGGTCTTTATCATAGTCATATCATCTTGATCGTTCTCCACGTCGTTCCTGAGCTTTCGCAGGTTGTCCAAAAGCGACTTCGAGTCGGCCAATATATGCTCCAGCGAGTCATTGCTGGCCAGCTTGTCGACTTCCTCCGAAACCGTTTTGAAAGCAGACGACATGATAAGAAACTAAATTAATCAATGGGTATAAAATTATCTGATTAATTTCCCTCCACATTTGATTGCAAGATTATTTCTAAAGTTTGGGGCCACAAAAGTTTCACGCAATGCCCAAGTTTATTTCTGTTCCCCTGAAAAAAACCAAGCCTGTTGACTGGACAGGCCCTTTGAGTACCTATATTGGCCGTGTTTACGGCAAGGCCAGTGATTTCGAGCACGAAATCGCCACCTTTGACAAGCTAAGGACAGATATTATCCACTGCGACGAGGACCCGATTGGCAGAGATCTATACTATAGATATTATGGCCAGCTTGAGATGCTCGAGCTCAGAATTGCCGTGGACATACTGGGAATTGAGTTCTGCTGGTACGACGCCTACGTTCCCTCCGTCTCCCACAAGCAGCACTCGCTGGCATTTGAGAAGGCGAGCGTTTTATTTAATTTGGCGGGCATAATGTCACACCTCGCCGCCACAGCAGAAGAATTGAAGGTCAGCTACGAATGGTTCCAGAAAGCTAGCGGAGTTTACCAGTATATCCAAGAGAGTTTTCTGCACGCTCCTTCCGACGACCTTAGTGTTCAGAGCATGCAGGCTCTTGCAAAGTTGATGCTTGCACAGGCACAAGAAGCTTTCTTACTGCGATACATCGAAACCACACAAGAGCCAAAACAATCGCTCTTGGCCCGCTTGGCCAAATCTACTGCGAAATTGTACGGTTCAGCATCCGAGCTAATACAGAACGTCAAGACCATGCAGTACAACTGGCACCAATACACTAAATTGAAGGAACTCTACTATCTGTCTTACGCAAATTTTCAGCATTCTCAGCTACTCAAAAGCTCAAATAAGTATGGCCAGGCCATCGCCTATATGAGACTGGCTGAAGAGACTATAAAAAAGCATAGCGGTTACAGCTCTTTATTCGATCCAGCATTCAAGGACAAGCTTAAGGAACATGCCAAACTTGTGAAGTCAGAGTATGAACTGCTAGAGAAGGATAACGATTTTATCTACCACGATATGGTTCCAAACCCATCCACTTTACCGGAAATCAAGCCTATGGATAGTGCCAAGGCCATTGGCCTTGCTGATCAGAAAATCTCAGAGATTGTTGGCAAGGACTTGTTCGATAGGATCGTTCCCTTGAAAGTTCACGAGCAATCGAGCATGTACTCTGAGGAAGTTGCCAAGCTGCTTAGGGCCGAGAGCGAGAAATGTGAGCTGGCTGATCTTGAGCTAAACTCTACGCTCGAATTTCTTCAGCTTCCAAAGTCGCTTGTCGACCTTCGTTTTCTTCTAGAGGAACCGAACAGCAACGAAAGCAATGAGGTCAATGCAGACTCGATTGATGCGCGAGTGGTGCAAGGAGCAGCAGCGATCATGAACGAGCCGGTGGATAACTCGAGGTCTGCGAACCTCAGAGCACAGGTACAAAGCAATGTTGATACCTGTGACAGGCTCGTTGCTCAGGAAGCTCACAAATATGACTCGAACAAAGCCAAGTATGGCACAGCGTGGGTCCAGGAACAGTATCCTGCTGCGCTGATGAACCTGAAGCAAGATCTTGCACGCGCGAAAAAGTCTCTACTGGATGCAAGCGAGACAGATAAGAAGATTGGTGCAATTTACAATAAGATCAAGTCAGATGTTCAAATATTGAGCAAAGGTATATCTAGTCCTGAGGTGGCCCGTGAGTACAATAAGACCACTAAGGAGCCCGAATCTTTACTGGACATGGACGATGAGCCGGTGAATCTGGCTGGATCGAGACAAAAACTGGCCAAAGTCGATAGCAAACTGCAAGAGCTGAGGTACCTTCAAAAAGAAAGATCCAACACCTATGAGGATTTGAAGGAGAAAGCTCACAACGACGATATCTCGAAGTCCCTAATTATGAATCGGAATACGACCCAGATAGAGGACATTTTCGAGGCTGAGTTGGCGAAATTCCGGCCATATCAGGAAAGAATAGCTTTGACAGTTGATAAACAGATTCCATTGATCAACGATCTAAAAAGGGCAATGAACGAGGTGTTGGATGACTCTACGATAAAATATAGACTCAAGAAGCGCGAGTCGTCAAAGAGCACTACACAGACAGTCAACGCGCGGTTTCTCAATTCAATTGAGCAGTGGAATACGTACAAAGGCGGTGTTGCTGAAGGTGAAGCTTTCTATGAACGGTTGCTCACTTTCACCTCCAATTTGCGATTTGCACTTGAAAAGCTGGTGAGTGAGCGTAGCAACGGGGCAGATAAACTTGTTCACCAGATAGAGACGAACGGTCCGCAGAGAGACCAGGACTTGCTGCGGCAGCAGTTTGAACGGTTCAGCTTGCAGAACCAGGCGCCTGCGGGACAGTTCGGCCAGCCAGCCAGTTTTGCCTCTTCGTTTTCTTCTCCAGCAGGGTCGTTCTCGAGTCCGTCGGCCGCGCCGCCACTGCCTTCGAAGCCCACCACCACCACGGATTTCTATAGCACTCCATCTGCCTATGATCCGTCTCTCTATTCACAGTTCAACAGGAGAGTGTAATTAGACATCCAAAAAGTCAGCAGCGACAAGCAGTTCGAGCGCCATCTCGGTGGGGATGTCAAACTCCGGCACGTCGACCGATTCTTTATATTTGAGGTTGTAATACAAATATTCACACACTTTCTCAAGCAAGACTGCGTCCAGTTCGTGGAGTTTTATTGTGTTCGTCGACGATTCTTGGAACGAGGTGTTCAGCATACCCTTGAGCGTCCCGCTGACCATAGCAGCGTCCCGGGAAATCTGGAATTGGAACCCGTCGTTGGAGATCAACGTGACGTATGGCGATACCTCTTCAGTCATGGTGAGCTATAAAAAATATTTGATTTAATTTATTTGTATTTTGATGTCTTCTCCAAGTTTGGGCTGGGAACGATTGCAGACTGTATTTTATCGCAGTCGCCCGCTTTTTGCCCTGCAGTGGGAGGATGTGAATCTGAATGGTTGCATGGTGGCAATTGGGCCCTATGCCGCGGCAATTGCTGTGTTTCCGCACATGATGAGAACAGCGATAGAGATCTACTCGGGATCGGGATCACCGTTGACCTCCATTCCCTGGAACGCAAAGGCTGGGAACATTGTCAGTCTTGGCTGGACTGGACGGTGCGAGCTGGTGGTAGTTCTTCGCCACGGGAAGTACCGTGTGTATACAGATTACGACGGAGAGTTTGAAGAGTTCGTTATAGGATCTGAGGTTATCGATGTCCGGTTCTGGAATAACGGGGTTGTCTTCCGCACAATTGAGGGGTTCAAAAGCTTCACTTATGGCGCTGATGTTGCCGACGAGTTCCCTACCGTGGAAGGGTCCATCGTTGGATGGGCTATCATTCCTCCTGTCTATCACACTCCGTTGAAACTTGTTATTTCTACCCAGGACAGGCTCCTGCTGATAGACCGCGGCATACAGGACACCAAAAGGAACGAACGCGGGCCTTACAGTCTGATCTCTGCGTCGCCAAACGGAGACTTTGTCGCGCTGTACGGCGACCAGAGCGTGCTGATCGTGACCAGCGACTTCACTACCACCTTGAACGCGTTCAAGTGCGAGACGGGCATGCCTTTGCAACTTGAGTGGTGCGGAAACGACGCCGTGGTGGCTAGCTATGAGGACGAGATGCTGCTGATAGGTCCGTCCGACGAGTCTATCACCTTATTTCTGGACTCTCCTGCGATCGTGCGGCCCGAGGTGGACGGACTGTTGTATCTGGACAACTCCAGCCTGCAGTTCGTCTCCAGAGTCAGCAACTACACGGTCGAGACGTTCGGGATTGGCTCCACTTCGGCAAGTGCGATTTTGCTGGACGCCATCGAGCAGATCGATCAGCGGTCGCCAAAGGCCAACGAGAACTTGGAAATTATAGCGGACAAACTTGCTGACGCGGTCGACCATTGCATCCGGGCCGCATCGGAGGAGTTCGACCCTTACTGGCAAAAGAAGCTTCTGCGAGCAGCTACATTTGGTAAAACCACTTTGGACATGTATAACTCCGACGAGTTTGTCGAGACGTGCAACAACCTGCGAGTTCTCAACATTATCAGACAGCCAGAAATTGGGATATTCCTCACGTACAGCCAATTTATAGAGCTGGGGCTGGATAGGCTTATCGATCTGCTTCTTATGCGCAAATTGCATTATCTTTGTCTGAAAATAGCAGATTTTATGAGTTTACCTAAGGACAACATCTACATCAACTGGGCGTGTGCGAAGATCCGCAACTCAGAGCTCGCTAACGATGAGCTGCTCCAGGAATTGCTCAATAGACTCCAGGACAAGACTGTTTCTTTTGCACCGATCGCGCAGGCCGCCTACAACGAAGGCCGTGCAGACCTCGCTACCAAGCTGTTGAGTCTCGAGACCGATGTCAGTTTGGCTGTGCCTATGCTGCTGGAAATGGACCAGGACAGTCATGCGCTCAACAAAGCAGAAGAAAGCCTGGACACAGACTCCATCCTATACATTCTCGTGACGCTGCTGAACAAGGTCTCGGTCCCAGATTTGCTGAAAATGCTCAACAGAAAGAAGAACGCTTCGGGAATCTTTATTACGCAGGTGGCATCGCGGGATCTACAGCTCTTGAACGACTACTACTACAAGGAAGACTCTATATTTGGGTTGACAATGGTGAATCTGCAGAAACTCGCGCAGGAAACTGAAATTGACAAGCGCAAACAGCTGCTGAACAAAGCTTCTCAGACTCTGCAGAGATCAAAGTACATGAAAACCGAGTCCAAGTGGCTCAAAGACGAGGCCAAGAACCTTGACATAATAACTCCTATAGAGGCTAGTCTTAACACCAAGACTGCTTCGCATTTGGAGCTCTTGGAAGTGCTTCTTAAAACCGACTTCAAGAAAGCCGTGAAACTGCAAAAAGATCTCAAAATATCAGACAAACAATTCTACTACAAATTGCTCAAGACATACATCCAGCTTCCAGACAAAAGGCGCGAGCTATATGACTTCGCGACACAGAAACAGTCACCTATAGGCTACGAGCCGTTCTACACAGAGTCCTTGAAAGTCGGCGACAAACGACACGCGTCGCTGTATTTGGGACTTTGTACAAACATGCCGTACAAAACGAAAATTAAATGCTACCTCAGCTGTGATGACCACAAAGGCGCGATCGAAGAAGCTTTCAAGAGGAAAGATGCCGATATGATCAGGCTGATCAAGGATTTGGCAGGCAACACAGCGCACATCCATCTAGCAGATGACTATATCGAACGTCTAACTGGAAGGCGCTGAAGGCTGGAACACACCGTCCTTGACACGGCCAACTGTCGAGTTTTCAGCGCCAGTCAGCCAGCTTGGCACGTTCTCTGCTTCGATGATACCATCTACAGCCAACTGGTGCAGGCCTGCAAATACATCGTTGCCAAGCAATCTAAGCTTGATTTTAGGGGCCTCCAGGGCCCCTGGAAGTGTGTCCTCAAGAATAAACTCCCCGTACTGAACGGGGACCAAAGAGGCGTATTTCGATTGGGCTAATTGCTCATCGTTGAGCTTGCGAGTTTTCTGTGGCGGCTTGTTGGTGTCGAAGAGGGTTTCTGACTGGATTAGTGCTGTTGATCCTTTGAACTTGAGCGCTGAAACAAGACTATTCTTATCTTCCCCGACAGCGAGTCTCGAGGGCTTGATGCTGAGATGGTCTTCTGTTGCTCCCAGAGGATTGATATCCACTGTTCCATCGGCATAAGGCGTCCAACTAGCAAGTGACTGGCCGAATCGTGAGACACCCTTGAGCACGTGGACGGCCTCCAGCGTTCGCACAGGCGGGTCTGGGTTGGGAAACAGCTGGATTTGGCGAAGCGTGGACGAGAGAGTCATTTCGACAGACTGCAGGATTATCTTTGAAACAAGGTCCTCTTCATTGGCGGCCGAGTGGATCAAATTAGGCGAGCTCATTGGGATAGCCAGGTAGTATGGCGTTCGAGAGAGTATATCTGGCTGGCTTTTGTTAGCGACAGCAGGGTTGGCGGTCCGGGTCTTTTTGAAATGGACGTATTCGTACATTTGGATTCTGATCAGGATGAGAGGGAAGTTTGGGTGTCTGGAGATATAGATATGGGTTAGATAAAGGTTCGACAGGTTGGTTATAAGACGGTCGAGAAACGCCTGCGAGTCTAGCGAGAAGATGAAGTCGTCAAGAGCGCTATTTGTATCGTCATTCTCTTTTCCTTTCACGATCTTAGCTGTAGACGAAACCCAGCTGTAATTGTGAGGTTTATCGACCATCATTTGTATGTCTATCTGTGCCAATTGCAGAGCATTTAGACCTGACGGATAGTAATCAACAAGAAGACGGTCGATCAGTTTCCGTTTAGGAGCTTTCTGGTCTCTCAACACCTTCAGAGTATCGTTGCAGTACTCGAGGAGCTGTTTTTGGGTGAGTCCCTGAGCTCTTTGATCTTTGGACAACTTCGGCTGCGTCGCGCTCATCTTAAGCCAGAGTTCTACCAGGTTGAAAAGCGAGTCCGTGTTCAGCTTAGCAAGCTCCTTGGCCACCATTCGTGGCGGCAGGGGCGGGATATAATTATTCGAGAGAATCCCCGTTTGCTTCATGATAAACAAACGCGATTTAGTATTTTTTGAAGTTGAGGAAAACTTTCAGGTGCATAAAAAAATTTCAAAAAAATTTTAAGGATTCAGATAGATTAAGGGTCGCTGATCGTGTACTGTTTAGATGACGGATAAGCACTCTGCCGCCGAGAGCGAAGACAATTTAGACAGGAGGACACTGTTTGTGCAGTCGATTCCTGTTGAGGCCACAAAGGAGGAACTGAACGAGTTTTTCTCCCAATATGCCCCAGTGCGACATTCGGTTATTGTCACTGACACAGAGGGCAAGAGCAGAGGGTTTGGGTTTGTTTCGTTTGTGACGGACGAGGACGCCCTCAGTGCCCTCAAGGAAACCAAGAAGGTCAAGTTCCAGAACAAGCTGCTGAGAGTGTCTATTGCCAAACGGAGACAGCGAAAGGATAAACAAAACAAACAGGCCAAGCCGGTGGACGATGCAAAATTCAAGGCACAGGAGATTGCGCTGAAAAAGAGTGCGAAGCTGATTGTGCGCAATCTGCCGTGGTCGGTGAAAGACCCAAACGAGCTGGTGAAGGTGTTTTTGAAGTTTGGTAAAGTGAAGGAGGCCCATATTCCCAAGAAGAAGGACGGCAAGATGTCTGGGTTTGGATTTGTAACGATGATGAAGCACGCTGCGGCCGAGAAGGCTGTCAAGGAGACCGTGGGGTTGAAGTTGCAGGGCCGTGAGGTGGCTGTTGATTTTGCTATCGATAAGAACAAGTGGGAGGAGTTCAGGAAGGAGAAGAGCGATGAGAGAGAGGACGAGGAAGACGATGGGGAAGAAGAGAGCGAGGAGGAGGAAGAGGAAGAAAAGTCAGAGAAAGAAGAGTCAGAGGAAGAAGAGGCCAAAGACGAGACAGACGAATCAAAGGATGACGAGTCCGAGTCTGACGGTGAGGACCTCAACTTCAACAGGCCGCGTCCGAACAAGCAAGAAAACTTCTCTATTTTTGTGCGTAACGTTCCCTACGACGCCACGAGAGAATCTCTAGAGGAGCACTTCTCCAAATTCGGACCGATCAAGTACGCTCTCCCTGTCATGGACAAGGACACCCAGTTGGCCAAAGGGTCTGCGTTCGTGGCATTCCGGCGCGAGGAGGACTACGAGGAGTGTCTTTTGAACGCGCCAGAGGTGAATCCGAACTCGATGCTCATCCCAGACGACGTTTCCCCGTTGTATGTCTACGAAGGCCGTGTTCTGCAGATCACTGCCACCGTGGACCGCGAGTCTGCTGCCAGAATGGCCGAGCGCAACGCTCTTGCGCGAAAAGAGCTTCTGGGCCGTGTTCCAACGGAGAAAGACAAGCGTAATCTTTTCCTGCTGAACGAAGGACGCATAACCTCTGGCTCGAGACTGGCCTCGCTGATCAGCAAAACGGACCTGGACGTCCGTGAAAAATCGTACAATCTGCGTGTGCAGCAGCTGAACAAGAATCCGTCGCTGCATCTGTCGCTGACGAGACTCGCCATCAGAAACCTGCCTCGTGCCATGAACGAGAAGGCTCTGAAGGCCCTGGGGCGCAAGGCGATTGTCCAGTTTGCGGCTGAGGTCAAGGAGGGAAAGAGGCAGCCGCTGAACAAGGAGGAGCTTGCCAGATCACAGAGACACAAGGAGTTCATTGAGGAGAAGCTAGGAATCACGCCAGAGGACAAGAAGCGCAAAAAGCAGACGGGTGTGGTGAAGCAGGCCAAGATCATCAACGAGGTGAAGGGCTCAGGCGTGCTGGGCAGGTCCAGAGGATACGGGTTCTTGGAGTTCCGAGACCACAAGCACGCGCTGATGGCGCTGCGGTGGCTGAACGCTCACGAGGTGAGTCGCGAGGACATTCTGGTTGGGCTGACGGATGAGCAGAAGAAGGTGGCTGAGAGCGAGGGCACGATAACCAAGCGTCGGTTGATTGTGGAGTTTGCTATTGAGAACGCCAAGGTGGTGAAGCGGCGACACGAGCAGATCGCTTTTAGCAGGGCCAAGAGCCACAAGAGAGACGGCGAGGGCCAGGAGAGTGGCAGAGATAGAAAGCGGCTGAGAGTAAGCAGCCGCGACGAGAGAGCGGACGGCGGCAAAAGAGATGCAAACGGCAGCCAAGGCCAGTCGAAGCGCAGAAAGGCAGACACCCAAAATGTGCCCGAAACCAGCAAGAGCGGCCTTCCGAACGACGTCAAACGGTTGATCGGGTTCAAGAGAAAGCGCAGACACGCGAAGAAATAGACGTATACAGAGTGTATATTTAGTGGTTTCTAGGAGGCCGTTTCATCAGCGAGAGCGTATTTTCGACCCATCTGTCTGCACCGCCCTCCATGGCGATGATCTCGTACACCGACTTAGGGAGGAAGTTGTTGGGCCGGTAGCCGATCAGCGCCGCGTTTCTGGTGGAGGGAATTCTGAGCATCTCGCGCTCGACCTGCCACCCAAAAATGGTAGCAATGTACTCCACGTGATCTACAAGCGTGGCGTACCTGGAGGTGGAGGTGTACGAGGTGACGGAGTTGGCCTGTGCGATGCTCTTGATGGCCGGATACCGCACTTTTTCGCCGTTCAGGTTATGCGAGCAGCACGGAATAACCATAAATGGGTACCCGAGCAGGGGAATCCACGTGGTGAGCTCGTCGGAGTGGTTGCCGATGACAAATGTGTTTTTGGGGAACTCGGCCGCGTTGACCTGCGGCGAATTAAGCAGGTCGCCTGCCGTGAATACCTCCACCAGCTGGTGCTTCTCTGTGAGCCCCAGATCCTCGGGCAGTGTCCTGTCCACAGGCACCCTGAAGACTCTGCCGTTGTCGGAAAAATAGTGTGCTCTGGCAGCCGGGTGCGGTCTCAGCAGCACGCTGGGGATGATAACCTGCTCCTTCAGCTTGCTCTGCACCTCGGGCGGGTACATTTTCCACGATTTGCGCGCTCTCGCGTCGATTCCTATGCCTGTGTAGCCTTCCATGGTGAGCAGGTAGACCAGAAGGCCGTTTCCACAGCCAAGATCTCTAAACTCGAAGAGCTCCTTGTTGGGGTATATTTTGTTCCAGAACTCAATCAGAAAGGCGGCAATAGCGATGTCCTCAAACACGTGCTTGCGCGGGTCCGTGTTTTCTCGCCAATCGTCTACCAGAGCTTTGGCATATTTCTGCTTCAGACTGATATATCTGTCCTGGAAGGCCACCTTGGACACAATCAGATCGTGGTTGACCCGCTTCTCGTACCCCTTAACCACGCCGTCCGAGTGCCGTTGGGCAGTGCTCATCAGTCGGTATGCGATTCGGATCGGTCTTTCTATGGGCTTCATGGTTCTTAGCTCCTCAACCGAGCCAAACGGAAGATAGTGGATCGAGAGATTTCCCTGGGAATAAAGCAGCCCAATGGACCGCACAGGCGGAAGATAAAACGGAGTCTCCTCGGGCGAGCTGATGTGTGGAGTGTAGACAATCAAGATAGAGTCCTCGCTATCTTCCATCAGCAGACACGTCTGGTTGATCACGTAGTCTTTCGACGGGTTGCGGGGGATGATTCTTCTCACCATCTCGACTTTCGGCCTGAACTTCTTGCTGATAGGCACGCTTTTGATCTCTATGTCGTCGAGGTGCCGCGACCGTATTGGCTCCTCGGGGTTGTCGCTGGTGATGGAGATGGCTTCTGGGTTTTCTGCGATGTATTTCTCCAAAAACGGCTCGTCCGACCCGTCCGTGTACGTGTACTTGTAGTTCTTTAACACGTCAGCTCTGAGAATGACCGTGGAGTTGATGTTGGGGTTTCTCAACAGATTACTCATAGCCTGCTCAAAGTGTGAGGCCTCGAAGGTCACCGGGGTCTCGTAAATACCACACCATTCGGGACCGAGCACAGATGGCTTGTCGCGGATGTTGGGGATCTCGCGTGCTGACAGCGTCGCCTCGGTGTTGCGCCGGGGAGAGGTATGTGTATCAGTCATTGAGATCAATGCAAGAGTGAAAAATTTCGTCGATCGACCTGGCCGATCGACGGTTGATTTTTTTACGAAGAGGTGTCATATCCAGAAAATTATAGTACGGACTTAACTCAGATATGTCTGCTTCGGCCTCCCAATTTCAACAGCTGGAGAAACTAGGAGAGGGCACATACGCCACGGTCTTCAAGGGACGTAACCGTGCGCTGGGCACGTTTGTGGCGCTCAAAGAAATCAACCTGGACAGCGAAGAAGGGACGCCATCTACAGCTATAAGAGAGATTTCCATCATGAAAGAATTGAGACACGAAAATATTATCACCCTATACGACGTGATCCACACGGAAAACAAGCTGACCCTGGTGTTTGAGTACCTCGATAAGGATCTGAAAAAATACATGGACACCAACGGCTACAACAAGAGTGGGGCCTTGGAGCCTCATGTGGTCAAGTCCTTCATGTTCCAGCTGCTTCGAGGCATCATGTTCTGTCACGACAACAGGGTGCTTCACCGCGACTTGAAGCCTCAAAACCTTCTTATCAGCAGCAAGGGCGAACTGAAGCTGGGCGATTTTGGTCTGGCCAGAGCTTATGGCATTCCAGTCAACACCTTCTCCAACGAGGTTGTCACTCTGTGGTACCGCGCCCCAGACGTGTTACTGGGGTCTCGCAGTTACTCCACCTCGATCGATATGTGGTCCGCAGGGTGCATCATGGCAGAAATGTTTACTGGTAAACCGCTTTTCCCTGGCTCCTCCAACGAAGACCAACTGCTCAAGATCTTCAGAGTCATGGGCACACCAAATGAGAGAACATGGCCGGGTGTCACCAGCTATCCGAACTATAGATCCAACTTCAGCGTTTTCATCCCTCAAGACTTGCACACCCTGATTCCCAATATGGACAATCTCGCATTGAATCTGTTGCAAGGTCTGCTTCAGATGAGACCCGAGCTTCGACTAAGCGCTCGCCAAGCTCTCCAGCACGCGTGGTTCAACGATTTCACTGGAAACGCTGCCAGTGCCACCCCAGCGTTTGAACAAACTACACAGCAGCCACAGCAGCAGTATAATCACTAGCTGAAGATTTTGAGAACTCCTGAAGTCGGTTGGAGCCCTAGTTTTTCAAGTTGGTGGAAATAGCTGTAGTTTTTCGACTCCAGGATGAAGTTCCACACCTCGAGATCAGAAGCCAACTTGGCGAGATCGTACTCTTTGATTATCAACTTCAAGAGACTGTGTTCGTTGAACTTCAAACAGTTGACAATAACGCTAGGATCTGTGAGTTTTGACTTGCTTTCGGTTCCGTACTTGGGCGGCCTATTGTGGTCAATGAGTCTCTGGTATACCTTAGTGTCTATAATCTCGTTTTCAAAGCCAGCTCGTTTATAGGCATTCTTCAAATATATTATTAAGTTAACCATTTGGTATATTGGTGTGCTAAAGTGCGTATCGCGCTCAACCAGATGCCGTATCATTATGAGTTTATCTCGATAGTCGCTGTGAATGTAATCTATATCGTGATCATTGTCTCCATCCAAGTATGGGAAGGCGATCGCGGTGGTTTTGTACTGCTCTAGAAGTTTGGACTTGAGAGCATTTTCACCCCCTCTCTTGAGCTCCTCCAATTCCGGGGGTATCTGTGAAATCTGCTCGCCAGATAGAATCAAATCGGGAGACAACATCCTAAAGATATTCGATCTGAATACTGTGCTTTTGAAACATTTCTCGTCTAAAATGTTGATCTGGTAGGCAGACATATAGCAAGTGGGCTCCTCCAGGGGGAGCTCGGCCCTTATTCGTTCTAGCTCAGTGCGTAAGGCGTGTCTGTCATGGTCATGGTCTACATCGTTACTCACGCGTCGTTTTAAGAATGATAATTTCCGCTGTGTGGTCCGTATCGATGTGAAATATTTGCGCTTTATGGTTTCGTATGCTAAGTTGTCATAATTATGCTCAACAAGTGTGTGAAAAAGCTTGTTCACCTTGCCCAAACTATGAAGGCTTTCCGACTCCACAAATATCTCGAGTAATATCTCGGGCGGCAAGTGTGTTATGTGTTCAATTTTGCGCGGTTGCGGTGTCTTTCGCTGGCGAGCGTCGCCTTTCGAAGGTATTATGGAAGCCGTAGTACACTTGCGCTTATAGTCCAGATTAAAGTCCTTCTGTCTATCTTCGGCCACAAAAATGCGTTTCACCCCACGGTTATGCCGTCGGGACGATGACTTCACGTTTAGTTTTAGTATCACACCGGGTACTATGAAGCCCATAAACAAAACATCGATTTTTTTTTCTTGAATCCGTCGCTTAGATAATCCTTCCTGTCCTAGTAATCTTATCAGGAAAAAAAACCCCAAATCTCGTATCTTGTTATTTGTGTCCGCCGCAATGGGGTGCTTCTCTGCTGCACTGAGCATCTTTCTGTGTATCATAGCTGCTATTTTGACGGTCGATTGCTTTAGTCCTCAGCTGGAGCAGTATGTCGAGTCTTATCAGAAAACGTGGATGCGTACATCTGTGAGACATCTGTACAATATCTGCCAACGTGTTACTGGTGCACTGCTCTGGTATGGTAGAGCCTTACTGGGAATGAAAGTTCGCGGCAGATATGGTGGAACTGTGGACTATCTTTTGGTATATCCAATCAAAGCCGTATCAACTGGACTGAAAGTGGAAGAGTGGGAGCTGGATCATTATGGGCTCAAACACGACAGACAGTATGTTATATGTAAGTACGACACGATCAAGGAGTGTTACATGCCAATATTACTCAAAGAAGTCCCTAAACTTTCATCGGTCCATGTATCGCTTGGCGATGGGAGCTTCAAGTTCGAATACCATAGCACGGCTACAGATGAAAAGGCGGTGTTTTATCTCCCAATGAATGTGACGGACGACTATGTGGAACAGCACAGCTCTTTCGGAACTGAACTAAAGCCGATCAGCTTGTGGCTGGCCACTCTACAGGGCTATATCTTGGATAAAGCTCTGGATCCCGAATTTATTGCCAGTATGGGATTACCCAAAGAGGCTGTACTGGTTTATTCTCCGAACGGCAAAGCCTGCAAGGTGGGAGCGCCAAAGAACGTTGACAGAAAAACGCTATTCCATGATTACTACCCGATGCTCATGACTTCTCAGGAGAGCTACGAAGAGGTCAAACGAAATGCTGGGGAGAAGGGAAAGTACGTTCGAATGGAAGCGTTCCGTCCGAACTTGGTTATCAGAGATGTTGACAAGCCTTTTGCAGAGGATTTCTACCACAAATTTGATATCGTGGGAAAGGATTCGCGTATTCGCTTCACTGGTGCATTAAAGTGCATTAGATGTACCATTCCCAACATCGACGTTTCCAATGGAACAATGGACAAACATGGCACCATTAGTAAGACGATGTCGAAATATAGACGCGTGGACGAAGCGAATCCTTATAAGAGCTGTTTTGGAATGTACGTGATCCAGCACGAAAAGAATTTCGTCATCAGAAAGGGAAACAAGTTGGACATTCTACAGAAAAAGGCCATGAAAATGGATGAAAACCCGTTCTATTAAACATTTCTGACGTTCCTCTATAGTTTACAGTCATCGCCTCCGTAATTTATAGCCTTCCCACCCGTGTGCAATACTCTATCCAATGCCTGTCGGTCCATGTCCTTTATAATAACGTGAATATGAGGAACCGACTTCACGCTTTGTAATTTTGCCCAATTTTTAAACCATGCAATATGATCTCTAGGTATGTTCAGCCAGTTACAAAATGTCTCGTTGATGTACTTCTCTATCAAGAGTTTATCCTTTGCTGATATGTCTCCCATTGGGGAGTTCGGGTCCGGCGGCAATGGAAATTTCACCCATACGCAAAGGTGTTCAATGCCGGGCTCCAGATGATAAGGATACGAGTTTGGTATTATAGTCATGTCCTGCGCATTGGCGAACGGGCGCTTATCCACCGGCTTCACGACAGTCTCCAGTAGTTCGCGCGAAGGAGTGTCCAGCGGCGTATCCTCCGGGACCCAGTGCAATTCATGCGAAAGAATATAAGTCACCATATCTATTCCCTTATCTCTGAAGTACTGTTTGTGGGCATTGTACTTTTCCATAACCTCTGGCGATCTTGTTAGCTTGTCGAGCTCGCCACTGTTGACGCGCTTTCTTACAAGCTCGAACGACATTGGCTCCTCTGAGACAGACATGGTAGCCGATCTATGGGAACAAAATCAGTTTAGTGTATACAAAATAATATTTTATCTAGCAATTTCTGGAAAAGATGGGGTATTTTAGGGAATGGAATATAAAATAAGGTTCAATATTATCTCCTTATTATTTCTCTCAACGATTTATGAGCATGGACCAGATCATTCAACAATATCTACGGGATATTATCAACGAGCAGGGTTACAGACCTCATTCGGCTAGATCAGCCTACTACATTCAGCCGCAATATCCATTTGGCACTGGGTACAGAAGGGGATATCCGCAGGTGCCGGTGTATTACCCATACGAGGAATATGAAGACGACGCGGATGCTGCTGAGGATGAAAGCTCCAATGATGATGAGAGTGCTCAATATAGGCTAGAAGATTTAATTGGTCCATATTTTACGAGAAAGCTCACCAGACCTGGAAAGAGAGACGGACAGTTCGTTGTCAAACAGAGCTCGCAAACGCCTAGGGAGAAAAGTTCCAGAGACGCAGCTGCAGCCCCTACAGGCAAGATAGCTCCACCGTCAGCAGCTGAACAGCAGCAGGTTTCAGAAACTTCTCCAAAGGAACCAAAATTGAAGAGAAGAAGCTCGACCACGCTCAATATGCACGCTAAACATAACGAACCAAAGATCGATCCCCTTCAGATCTCTGCACCGCAGTTGAAGACTAATTTACCCTTCTCTCCGGCTGTCAATGTTTACGACTTCCCTGATAATTACATCATTGCCCTAGCTTTGCCAGGTGTGTCCAAAGAGTTTGTTGATATTGAGTTCCATCCTACGTCTTCGGAGCTAGTTGTGAAAGGTGAGCTGAAAAACAAGTATTTATCCGACGACTCCACGGTGGATAATTCCAAGATCCTGCGGGTTTCTGAGCAGCGCTTCGGCTCATTTGAGCGGGTGATCAAGCTACCGTCAGTTCCTGACGTGAAAGAAGAAGCCATCAGTGCTAAATTTCAATTAGGTATGCTGGAAATCAAGGTTCCGAAGTTGAAGGATTCTGAGAAGTTCAGAAAACCAAGGAAGATCACCCTTGAAGAGATTCCAGATGAGGAGCTGGAAAGAGAAAGTCAAAACTCGTAAATAGACATTCATCAATGCATTTTGAATTACATTTATACTAAACAGCATACTTTTCGACGATAGAGTCGAACGTCTGGTTCTTCTCTTTTAAGTCCTCAAGATAACCGCAGGTAGGGTCAATTCTCTTCAACTCGGCGAGCAACTCTTTGTACTCGTTGCCTTGAAGAATCTCGAAAGAAATTCTATTGATCAGCAAATGCGTCTTCCAATCCTTGACTCCTTCGTCCCCCAGCTCCGCAATCTTGTTCAGAACATCCTGTGCCTCCGGAAAATGTAAAAGTTTCATGTTGGAGATGAACAAGCAAAGCAGGTTTTTGGTGCTGACCGTGTTCTCGTTGGAGGAAAGCTCGTCGTAAAAGTAGTAAGCAGACTTCAACGACTCGTCGAAACCGATCAGGTCGTACCACGATTGCGAAAGTGTAAACACAACGTTATCCTGAGAAATTTGGCTGAAGTTGGACAAGATTTTTGCAGCTTCTTTGGTCTTGTTCAGCAACAGATGTGCATAAACAAGCAATGAGATATTCTCAAAGCCTTGTGAAGAAGACAATAACGAGATCGCGGAATCGAAATCCTCTAACGTCACGTAGTAAAGTCCGCCAAGCAGGTTTATCGTTTCGTTGTCACTATTGGAAGAGACGAGGGTTTCCAAGTCCTCTAACTTGGTCTTTCCATTTTTCAGAAAATCTGTGTACGCTTGCAAGGCTTTAAACTCGGATGCCAGTGGTTCATCCACTGAGACCTTAGCTATCTCGGACGCAGCCTCATCGTATTTGCCTAAAGCCAAAAGGGATCTAATTTGGAGCTGGTATGCTCTGTATTTATTCTCCTCATTGGAGAAAATCAAGTCCTCCAAGTTGGCACTTGCCAGATCATTGTACTTGGCAGCATAGAATTGCTGTTTAAGCTGATACAGTTCGCCGCTGTCACTGAAAGGATCCATTATATACAAATTTAGTGCTGTGTGAGTTTCTCAAACTTACATACCTGGCATTTGGTGCAAGGAGTGGAAGGAAATACGGAGTCCAATACAATAAATAACGTTCAACCCGAAGATATCACTAAAAGTATAAACCCAATCGATATGTTACACATAAACCTCGCTCATTATAACCCAGACAAAAACACTTAAGATCTCTCGCCTCTGAGTCTTCTGGCAAGTTGGATATCTTTCTTTTGAATAGTGACTCTCTTGGCGTGAATGGCGCACAAGTTGGTGTCCTCAAACAAGGAGACCAGGTAAGCCTCAACGGATTCCTGCAGAGCACCGATAGCAGAGGATTGGAATCTCAAGTCGGTCTTGAAGTCCTGTGCAATTTCTCTGACCAATCTCTGGAATGGCAATTTTCTGATAAGAAGTTCGGTAGATTTTTGGAATCTTCTAATTTCTCTCAGGGCAACGGTACCTGGCTTGTATCTGTGTGGCTTCTTGACACCACCAGTAGCCGGAGCGGACTTTCTTGCGGCCTTAGAAGCAAGTTGCTTTCTTGGGGCCTTTCCACCAGTGGACTTTCTTGCTGTTTGTTTAGTTCTGGCCATTTTAAATTAAATGCGTTCAAAAACTGTCTGAGCGCAGGGAGTGCGGATGCGCATGTATTTATAAGAAATTGTTGTGTACGCCCGCGGACATGTTTTTACACTGATGTTCATACAGACGTTTACTCACCCGAGTGAGTAAAATTTGGTCCTAATTTTTTTTCGTTTCGCGAGCGAGCTGGCGTATAGTTTTTGTGCCAAAACTGAGATCATCAGCCTCCGAATAGCAATATGCAGCAAAATATGAGTTTATTTTTTACACAGCTCGTGAGGAAATTTGAGACCAGCTAAGACACACAATATGATTGGCTAGTTTTTCGGCTTCTTGCGATTTCCTCATTTCCTGCCCAGTGTATATAAATATACATATATCCTTCTGTGGCAAACTACTCAAATCTATTATCACAAAATGTCAGGCAGAGGAAAAGGAGGAAAAGGTCTAGGAAAAGGTGGCGCTAAAAGACACAGAAAGATTCTCAGAGATAACATTCAAGGTATTACCAAGCCAGCCATCAGAAGACTTGCTAGAAGAGGTGGTGTCAAGAGAATCTCTGCTTTGATTTATGAAGAAGTGAGAGCTGTGCTCAAGTCTTTCCTAGAGAATGTGATCAGAGACGCTGTTACTTACACTGAGCACGCCAAGAGAAAGACTGTCACCTCTTTGGACGTCGTTTACGCTTTGAAGAGACAGGGTAGAACCTTGTACGGTTTCGGTGGTTAATGTGTGTTAGGGATAATTTAATGAAATATCTGGTGTAAGGATTAAATGATGAAAAAACTCGTGTGCTCAAAGCTAGATGGGCATGTTAACTACGGCAAAGCGACTGCTTGCGCGCTCCCTAAGACGCCACGAAGTTGACACATCACTCTCTAAATGCTACGGGGCCCATAGCTTTCCCCAGAAAAAAAAATTTTGCGCCTAGTCGGTTTTCTGCTAATACTGCATGCGTGCGATTCGCAAGAAAAGTTTTCTAACTTATAAAAGGAAAAGAGTCAGCCAGTAAAAAATTTTGTGGGCAAAAGGTTTACTTGTTTTCATTAAAGCAAACCCAAACCTTTAAGTGATCATTTTACCAGTTGGAGACCGCAAGGGAGTCTAATTTTGAACATCAGTTCGCCGCTCCTTTTGTTTAACCAGCGTCAACAACGAACAGATCACAAAAAAATAAGGATTTCTCAAACAAGAGAACGTCAAATTCAGAATAAATACTTGAGATATTAAGTTATTCTCAAGTTCAATTTATCCTTGATTCTTTTGAATCTTACTTGTTTGGACTATCCGCTTGTCAGGACGACCTTTTAATTAAGTCATCGTCTTGTCCCTTTTCAATTATGTTTGCATCGGGAAAAAATTACCTTCAACAATCATACACGGGAGTGTTACCTCAATATCACCAGCGCCATGCGTCATTTCAACCGCAAGGCCAACAATATCTAGTTAACACTTCTGTGCCGCAGCAACAGTATCGCCACCAACATTCTTTGTCCTATTCCGGAGGTTATAACATGGCTGGCTATTATGCCCCGCCAAGTGATTTCTTCCAACAACAGCAGTATCAGATGCATCCTCCAATTCAAGACCAGTCGGCTTCAAACCCAACGGGTGGAGTCTCGTCTGTGTTGGACTATGAACTTGATCAAATGGTCAAATTTGTTTGTTGGCTCAGTTATGGTTTGATGAAAAGAACTGATAATCCTACTCCGCTGTTCCACAACAATGTCAAATCTGTTCTGTCTGCTACTAGATTGCCGAAGTCCACAATTGTTCTTGCTTTGCTTTACTTATCCGAAAGGATGGAGGGCAGAGAAGACCCGATCACCACAGATTCCGAAGTGTTTGAACATCTGACAATTTCTTTGGTTCTCGCCAACAAATTCAATGATGACAATACCTTCCGGAACAAGTCATGGTCAGACGCTACCGGTCTCTCTTTGGAATGTATTAACAAACTAGAGAGAGACTGGCTTAGCTCTATCAAGTGGAGACTGCATTATGAGGATGGATTCTCTTGTATCGAGGAGTGCTGGAAGACCTGGTGCAACAAGTTCCAGGCTACTCCAGTTCAGAGCCCTTACAATGATCCATTTTTGTCGCCATCAGTTATGGACACCCCATCATCGTACCATGCCGGTACTCCTTATGAGTACAAATCTCCATCAAGTTCTTTGTTCTCTTCAAATTCGCAGTTCTCTCCAATGAGTACGCCTTTGAACTCTTCTCCTTATTACAATGATTATCAGCCTCCAGTGCAACAACAGGCATTTGAAAATCCTTATCAATTACAATACAACAACTCGTTGTTCAGCGCGCCTATTCCTGCGGCAGGTGACTACTTCTCATTACAACCGCAAGCCACTTCTAGAGCTGCTTATAAACAGCCTGGAATGTCGATGGCCGCTACTCAACGCTATTATCCTCTGAGCTATCATCAGCAGCAGATGGTTCCTCCACTAATGAGTACCGGTGTTTGCTATGGCGGTTCAGCTGCTGCCAGTGTTTTCTATCCGTCGCAACATATGCCTCCACGCCAACAGCAAACTCAGCATCAGGAGATTTACAATTATTGTGCTGCAACAGCTTGCTAAATAATGAGACATTGTCTCGAAGAATTCTTTTTGTTTTTCTTACCGTTTCCTGAAAACTCAGGAACGGACAGAAGTGCTTTGTTCGAACCTGTATTGTCCAGTGTTCATTTTTCAAATATTTTTTAATGAAGATTAAAAGCTTTATTGATTAGCACACTTTTTGGTGTAGAGGTGCAAATTTCATTTCTTCTATTGCTAGATCAGACTTTGAATTTGTGTCGTTTCGTTTCAATTCATCTCAATATCCCACATATCTTTGACACCTTTTGCCGGCTAAAAGATCGAGATGTCGTTGCAAATGATGATTGTGTTTGGCCTTTTGGTCACCGAAATGACGCTAATGACGATTCTGGTTATGCCTTTGCCCCACAAGGTCCAAAACGGTTTTGTCAATCTGGCTTATAAGTTACTCCAAAATCCAAATGTCAAGGTGGGATTGGTATTCGGGGCTTCAGTGCTTGGCATGATGTTCATGGATGCTCTCAGAACTGCCGTTCCAAAAATACCCGAAGAGTATCGTCCAGGAATGCCAGCTTCGGGAAATGTTCCACCGGTGCCTTCAATGATTGCAGGTGCTACCTGGAGCGAAGTGCGGGCGCGCAAGTTCTATTCTCAGCGTAACATGTACTTGACCGCTGGCGCTCTTTTCCTTGGCATTGCCATTTACTTTAACATCATTCTTTTAAAGAGCTTGGTCAAAAATAAAGAGAAGCTGATTAAGACCACCACCGTTGGCAAAGGAAAAAAGGCTGTTTCTACTGTGGAATACGAGGAACTAAAGCAGGTGCTAAAGAAGAAAGAAATCGATGTGGAGAACTTGAAAAAACAGATAACGAGACTTCATGAGGCATACCAAAACAAGGCCGACGAGAGCGAAAGCACAAGTTCCGCGACTTCAGCGAAAAAGGAGGATTAGATCGATCTGTCTCAGCATCTCCAGTCAGAAACGAAATATATGTATTATCTCCATGATTTGTTTAACGAGGTCAGAGAGATTCCCATTTCAAAAGTATTCATCATGTAGAGCGCTGCTTTGGACAGTCGATCTGTATCCTTATAGATGAAGCGTCCAAAGGTAGAGAGAGTAGTATGAAATCCGAGTGAAAAATTATCAGGTAAAGTTTTGGCTTTATATAGAGGGCTCCATAACCTGTCCACCACTTTTCTGCCTAATATTATCAGCTTCGCAATAATGCAAGGATACGGCAAAAAGTACGATCTTCCACGGCCTTACTCGATGACGCCGAAGCGTCATGGTGTTGATATGCTCGCCCGCAACTACTTCACCACTCCTCAAAGAAAGCTACTCGGCTACATAGTATTCTTCATCCTGTTCTCTCTCGTGATCTTGCAGTGTATTCCGGAACAGGAACGCGACAAGGACTACGAATTGGATCTTTCCGAGGTTCCGGAAATGAAGCTGGTGCAAGAAAGTGACGTAGTCAAGAAGGGCAGCTCCAAAAGACCGCTGGAAGACGACTACAGCGCCGACTACGACGAGCTGCTGAACGAGCTCGAGGAGAAAAAAGCAAGTTCCAAAAACCCGAAAAACAGAGCCGCAAATGACAAAGAGATTATGGGCGAAATAACCGAGGATGTCCTCGTCGACAATAGCGTGACAGTGTAAAATACGTTTCTATACTTAGTAAACCATTCATTCCTACGTCAATTCGAGATTCCGCGGCCCACAGCGTCAACGCGTTCCTGCCAAATCGTTTTACCGGTGCAAGAACACACATATTTGTCGTTTTCCCAGGCGCCTGCACTGCGTGCAATTACTCCGCATAGGCTCTCCCAAAAAACGTTCTTCGGCTCGTGCGAAACAACAAGCGAGCGGCCGATCAGACCCGAAATTCCCAAAGGCACCTTGATAAATTCCTGACACTTGTACAGCTCGCCGTCCTTGGTATTTGCCTCGATAGGCGGGAAGTCGTATATTGACTTGCCCGTTGTCAGCGCTCCCTTGAAAATGTTTCCGCTTTCGCGGATACTTGGATAGTACGTTCCCTGCTTCACACCGCTGAGCGTAAGGTCGACGTACATTTCATCTGGGCTAGTGGCCACCATACGAGCAAGGCCCTTGACAGGGGTCTGTTTATCGGCTTCATCGAACGACTCTAGGATGGCGACGGCAGCAGAGTTAGGTTTGCCGGTTCCGCGGATAATGGCGTCCTTCCCAGTCTTCTGGATAGCTTCAATGATTTTGGAAGGCGCAGCGTGGCCCTTGACCGTGATCTTTTGGGCGTCAAGGTCCACGTCCAACTTGGAGATGCCGTGAACGGGCTTCAGGGCCTCGGTCACGGACTCCACACAGGATTCGCAGTGCAAAGGAACGGCATAAACAGCCTGTCGTTAGCATTGGCTCTTTGCTTGGGCGTTAACGTACCTCAAATTCGTTTTCCACAGCAGTTGGCATATTAGTAATGATCCTAAAAAGGGATTTTTCCAGCGAAAAATAATATTTATTTATTCTTGGGTGCCGGGAGTGTCACCAACGGTTCTACAATGTCGGCATTCAAACAGCACATGCCCCTCGCGAGGTACTCGCTACGGGTGTGCCTGACTTTTCTGTCGTGGGTTCCCGTGGTCTACGTCGTCACAGAGCACGTCGCTTATATAGGGAAGGTTGAGGGAATGTCGATGAAGCCCACCTTCAACCCGTCAGATTCGCCCAGTACTCGAAACCACGTACTCTTGTGGAAATGGGGGGTCACCAACATCAATAATTTGGAAGTTGACGACGTTGTCTTTCTACGATCGCCAATAGACCCTGAAAAAATATACACCAAGCGAATAAAGGCCAAGCAGGGAGATCTTGTGGTGCCGCGGTACCCCGACACTCGGTCGCGCGTGCTGGTACCGGTGAACCACATATGGGTCGAGGGAGACAATGTGCACTCGATCGATTCGAACACGTACGGGCCTGTGAGCACGGGGTTGGTGATAGGCAAGGCGACGTATTTAATCTGGCCATTGAACAGGTTTGGCCCCATTCCGCGGGGAGGAAGAGAGTGCAGGGAGGCCAAACTCCGTCATGGCTACAAGGAATAATCGGATACAGTTCATATGCAATGTCTATTTCTTGATGATCGGCGTGTCGACGTGCTTTTCAAACCGTCGCGTCAGGTCTGAGAAATGGGGGAAATGTGGGGGCGTGGAGGTGAGCGAGCCCACTGTTTTGGACCGGAAATGCAGGGTCTTACGATGCGGCAAGTTGGGCAGTTTGAACAGTTTTTGCGGGCTCTGTGGCTTTTTAAATTCTTCGAATTTGGGCTGTGAGACAGGAGACGTTTTCAGCATGCTGGTTTTTTTCGCGATCGGCGACTCGTCGCACAGGTCGTCGAGATCAATCCTGCTGCCGAAACCGCCCAGCTCCCCGTCGCCGCTCAGGTCGCTGATTTCCGTCTTGGACTCGGCAAAACTGAAGATGCTGGTGGTGCTCTTGGTCGACTCGGCAAAGCTCAACACAGATGTCGACGTGTAGCTCTTGCGCAACGACAGCGGGCCCGGTCTGTCCTGGAACGAGGACTTGCGGTTGAGGCTCAGTTTGGAGTCTTTGCGCAGCTTGTACAGTCCATTTTCGCATTCGTCTTTGAACTGAGGATCGTGCATCTCAATATAATTTAGCGGATAGCAGTGCACTCCATTGAATCTCTCGTAGAATTTCTTGTAGCCGCCTTCCAGGATAACGATGTCCGGATAGTAGAGATGAGGATAATACTCTTTGTTGAGGTATCTGTCCCAAGTTCTTAGCAGGTTGGCCATAAGCGGGCCTCTGTGCGAAGAAAACTCGCAGTGGAAAATCAGCAGCTTGCGACACTCGGCCGTGTGCTCCATCGGCGTCTTTTTGATCACCGACTGGCCCAGCAGAAGCTCCTCCAGCTCTTTTTTCGACGACACGTTCAACGCGCAGTCGATGTGGCCTCCTTTGAACTCGTACTCAAACCGGCAGTCTACAACCATGAGCTCGTCAAAGTACTCGCGATACTTGTTCTTCCCTGTCTTCTTGTCTTCTTCTTTGAAACTCACCAGGATCTCGTGGAATTGGTCAACGTTGATGCGCGGAAGCGTGCAGTCGTCCACGAAAAACGTCGAGACCGGACTTTTGGACAGGACGGAATTCCCTGGACCAAAGTCGACCGAAGACTCGTCTAGACGCAATTTGTCGATGCGCCTGCTCTCAAGCGGGAATCCGTCTCGGCCAAAATCCAGCTCGTTGATTGTGTTGGCCAGCTGACTAGTACCGGCAGAAATAGCGCCTGTGTCTCCTTCGAAGCTGGAAGTAGACAACTTGAAGAGTTTGGGTTTGGGAGCCGGCCCAGAGGGCTGGATCATCGATGTGGCGCGCTGGAGCTTGTTTTTGATGTCGGTATTGAGCTCCATGCGCGACCTGCTGTGCGACCTGCTCTTCTGCTGCAACGGCGACCCGACCTCGTTGAGGCCGCTCTCGTCTTCGCGGTCGGAGTCCTCGTCCTCGCTCGAGGAGGACGATTCCGTCGGGTTGAAGCTATGGTATTGCGGGTTGATGAGCGAAAAGCTCTTCTTGAGTCTGCCGTTCCCTATGATGGACTGTGTTTCTGGAGACACCTGTGTAGGCGGAGGTATGGCGGTCGGTGTAGAGGTGTCTAGCAGAGACTTGGAACGGGTATGGAAGATGGACGACTGCGAGCCAGCGACGAGCGACGAGGACGAGTTTGAGCGGTGGTGGTAGAACGAGGACGCCAGGGAGTCGGACTTGAATGCAGGCAGTCTTTTTCCCTTGCGGTAGAGCACCTTCTTCGCATTTTCCTTGTTCTCCTCACCCACCATGCTTGGCAGAAGAATCTTCTTAGGGTTGGCGGAATGGCCCGAATTGACATGGAAATTCGAAGAGAAGTCGGCCGCCAGCACAGAGCATGTGGGGGAGTCCACCTTGGGCGACATTGTGAGCGGTCTCTTGAGCGAGTTTGTTCGCTGGTGGGTTGCAGGCCGTAGAGGCCGCGATTTGACAGACGCATTCAGCAACGGAGAGTCCTGGAGCTGGGCCTCTGCGCTGGTATCCGACTGGCTGTAGTTGGGAGAGTCGATCTCCATGTCCATGCTCATGACAGTGGTTTTGCAAGATAGATTAATGTAGACGGTATGGAAGGTCAGAGAGCATTTAAAATCCGATGTATCGTATTAGAAATATGAAAGCGCCTTGAAGAATATTTTGGCCTAGTTTTCCGGTTTTCTTCCCTGACAATAGCTACCAACTTTTTCCATGCTTTGGCTACAGCTACATTGCTACCAGATCCTTGAAATGCGATTGTTGCAAACTTCTTGATCTGCACCTCGATGTTTCATTTATTGTTCCGTCTCGGTCCGTTTCCATATTCATTCTTGTCGGTTTCTGCATAGGGTAAGCTGATTCCATTGGAGAAAATATTTACTTTTGCCCAATACAGAAGTGAATAAACACCTACGCGTGTTGTCCGGACTAATTGGGCTGTTTCCGCACAATTTCGCTATAACACAGCGCTTGGCCCTAATCTGAAACGACGCTTGCTCTTTTCGATGCCAAATTGGCACTCGTGCGCCAGACCCTTGACGCAAGCCCATATTACATTTCTACAATGTGCGTCGCACACCCTTACATATATCTTTTGCTTGACTTGCATTCCAGCTGGTACAATTATTTAGCTCTCAGGTTCTCCAGCACCTCCTCATACTTCCCATGCGTGGCGTTGTTGGCCCGCACAAGCTTGTTCTCCCCGCGCGCGTACCACTCCTCCTGCTCGCTTCCGCCAACCTCGAACAGGTTACCCATTGAGATCTCTGCCTCGGCAAGATCCACCCAGGTCTGCGGGTCTTCCTCGTCCCATGCCCCTTCCAGATACTCTATAGCCGTGCGGACGAGCTTCTGGGCCGACTGCTTGGCGTCAGCTGCAGAGACTCCGTTGATTTCCTGCTCCTCGGCATCGGAGTCGTATTCCAGCGTCGTGAAGATGGATATTGGCTCCTCGGCTTCCATGAGGTACGATTGTCCTAGCTTTCTCGCCAGTTTGCGTCTGATGGCCGTGTCAGGCTTCTCGTTCTTGTCCAGAATGCTCAGGCTTTTCTGCATGGCCTGACGCCAAAAAACGTTGTATTTGTCCGTGTTCTTGATTTCGTACAACGGATGCGTCGAGGATAACTGGGTGTCCGGCAAAATCTCTTCCTCCTCCGCCCCCTCTGCGTCACTATCCAGACCTTCGTCGTAGCTGCGGCCAAAATTGTCCACAATGTCCAGCAAGTCGTCAAGCGAGTCTAATATATCTAGCACTGTGCTGCCGTTGAAAATGGCGTAATTTTCTTTGGACTCCGCCGTCTTCGTCCCCAGCTCAAGCAGTCTCGTGGCTTCGTCCAGCATCTCGACTATATTTGGGAACTTCTTCTTCGAAGATTCCAGGTCCATCTGCGAAATGTACTCCAAGGGAATTCTATCCATAATGATCTGCGCTTTAGCAAACAAAAGCACTTCTTCGCCGGGGAACTTGTCCATACCGTTCTCAATCCGCTCAAGGGCATTTTCAAAGTACTCGGCGACGCTTGTTTCGCTGTCTTCTGTGTTGAACTGGGCCAGACCAGCTAGAGACCTGCCGTAAATGGCGTAGAACGAGGGCGTAAGCTCAATGTCCTCGGCCCCACCATTCTGTTTACAGTTTCTCAGTAGACGGTCGCACTCGTGAACTATACCGTTCAGGATCAACTCGCTATCCCTATCAGACATTAACCACGTGAGCCATAATCCTTCGAGCTGGTGCAGAGGATCGTTGGCGTCGACTTCTTGCGGAAGCTCCACAGTCAGCTCGTTCGTCACTGGAGCCTCTTCAGGGTCTGGTTCTGTCTTGCTCTTCTTCGCCTTGGAGCTCTTTCCAAAGCCCAGTGGTCTTTTTGGAGCCATAGTTTGAAAAATAAAATTCTGACATAAATAAAAGTACGAAAAATTGTAGAGATGTGCCTGCTAGTTCGTCGGTATACATGTGGACTTTGGAGTCACAGCCCACAGGACTGCCTTTACAACCCTGCCATTCTCGCCATACCTTCATGCACACAGATTATCCTCCGCCAGCACCCGTCAACGCACTTTTCATTCCCCGTCTCATTATTCTCCGCTGATAGGGTCACGTGACACGTGCAAATCGTATAAAAAAAATCAAACCCCTAAAACGCTCTCCGTGCAAGAGATGAAGTTTCTGTGTGCTCACGAGTGCTCTGGCGAGCACCACCTGATCATCGACGACTCGGCAAACCTATCGCGGGTGGTCATCAGCCGCATCACCAACATCATCGAGTCTGGGGCCAAGCCGATCCTGGTCAACGAGAACCTGGCAGTGCAGGCTCTGAACAGTGCGCTCTTCAACCAGCAGGAGCTTGAAGTTGTGCAGAAGAAGATAGAGATCCGAGATCTGGAGACCTTTGGTCGTTGCGAGGTGGATAACGTTGTCGATCGGGTCTTTGTCACGATGAAGAACGATTCCCCAGTCAAGCGTCAGCTATATGAGCGGTGCAAGAAACTGAGAATCCCTATCAACACGATCAACTCTTCTGAGCTTTCGTCGTTCACCATGCTGTCCACATACAAGAAGGGCGATTTCCAGCTGGGAGTGACAACCACGCACCAGAGCTGCAAGCTGGCGAACCGGCTAAAAAGAGAGATCGTTCAGAAGCTGCCTGAAAATCTGGACCGGATCGTTAGCAATATTGGGAATTTGAAGCGCAGGATTCAGTTCATTGACAGCGAGGATGAGGACATCCTGGATGACGTGAAGGACGCTAAGAGGCCCAGATGGCTTTCGCAGATCATCGAGTACTACCCTCTCAGCAAGCTCGCAGACATTTCCGTTTCTGATCTGACCGATGCCTATGCCAATATGCCTGTGGTGGAACTACAGGACGCTACGAAACAGGGCCGCATTTCTTTGGTCGGATCAGGCCCGGGCTCGCTTTCGATGCTCACGGTAGGTGCCCTGCACGAAATCTACAACGCAGATCTTATCTTGGCCGACAAACTGGTGCCGCAGCAGATCATAGACATCATTCCTCAAAGAACCGAAGTTTTCATTGCCAGAAAATTCCCCGGGAATGCCGAAAATGCACAGCAGGAGCTGCTCAACATCGGCCTCGAAAACCTGCGGCAAGGAAAACACATTGTGCGTCTCAAACAGGGTGACCCGTACATCTTTGGCCGCGGCGGCGAGGAGTACAACTTCTTTGCCTCGCACGGCTACAGGCCTGTTGTGATGCCGGGCTTGACGTCGGCGCTGGTGGCACCGGTCGTTGCAACCATTCCCACTACACACAGAGACGTCTCCGACCAGGTCCTGGTGTGCACCGGCACGGGAAAGAAGGGGAAGTTACCCGACTTGCCAGCTTTCGAGGCGAACAGAACAGTGGTGTTTCTGATGTCGCTGGGCAAAATGGTGGATATTCTGCCGTTGTTGTACGACAGAAAGTGGCCAACAGATCTGCCGGTGTGTGTGGTGGAAAGAGCTTCATGTCCGGACCAGCGTCTGATTCGCACCCGACTGGGAGATTTGATTAACGTTTTAAAGTCTGTGGAAAGCCGGCCGCCAGGGTTGTTGGTGACGGGATACTCCTGCGACGTCTTATGCAAGTTGGAAGAAGGCCAGACATACCGCATCGAGGAGGGCTACCAGGAGACCCATGTGCGGGCGTCATTGCATGAGATAATTGGCGTCCTGAGCGAGGATAAACCGGTCAAACAGACGCATGTATAATTATTAAGACCATAATTTTATGACATCCCCATTTCCGCCCAATAGGGATAGTTTTTTTCCGTCTTCAGAAGTATTCTGTATTATTAAAACGTTGCGGTATTCTTAGGAGGTTTTTAAATTTAGTCCTCTCTTTAACAACGAATATAGAACTATATTGATTCAGTTTCTATAGAAAATGGACTCTTCTAAGATCGTTGCCGTCGTTTTGGGTAAGTGACATCCACCAATTGGGTCTAATCTAAGCTATTTTGCTTCCTCCGCTTGCTGTGTTCTTGGAGAGGGGCATGGGCACGCAGTTGATCATTAACGTTGTCCTGTGTATCTTTGCTTGGTTCCCAGGCATTCTGCACGCTCTGTATGTTGTCTTCTCCTCCAGATAAAGCCCGTTGCTGGTGCACAGCGTTGTGTACCGTGTACAGATTCTATGTACTATAAGACGCCGGAAAGCTGGTATTGATGACCGTATCTTTGTAGACCGTCTGCTCCATGTGTTCTCTGCCCTCCGCTGGCTGCGCCGGGCAGAAGCTTTCGGACTACAGACTCGTAAGAAGATAAGAGATTCTTTCATTTTTACAGAACATACACGCCATTCATACCATCTATTCATTTCACTGTTTATGACTATTCACAGGTAGATTGCTCCGGCCACCCCGCTAAAACTGGGGGACCAACATGTCCATGACGGGCGACTGAATAAGTGCAACGCCGGCCTACGAGTTAGCGACAGCCGCGGATGAGAATACTTACAATGAAGATTCCTGCATTCAGCAGAATCTTGAACGTCGGCGTGGAAGTGAACGACTCTTGCTTTTCCTCGGTTCTTTGGAATCCAGACATGTCGCAGTTGCTATTAAAATTTTCCAAATCGATTCCAACGAGGAGCCAGAAAAAGAGGAGGCGCGCACCCGTACACCAGCAAATAGAGAGCCAAACACTTGACTTCTTATCGCATGTTCTGAGTCAGATCCCGGCAGCAGGTGCGCCACTATTAGTGGCTATGTTTTTTAAAAAGAAAGGGTGGCAAAATATTTAGAATCTATGTTCTTTCATCAATTTCTTTCCCATTAGAGTGTTAGCAAATGAAGGTTACTGTGAAATCATCCAACGACCAAGCGTTCCAGGTCACTGTCCCGGATAATTCCACCGTGGGGGACCTCAAGGTGGCAGCCGTGGTGGCCCTCCCTCCAGACTCTGGAGTCAACAAATCGAAAGTCAAGGTCTGGTATTCCGGAAAGAAGATGGAGCTTTCCAAGTCGTTGGAGTCCTACGGAATCACCCAGAACTCCAATTCCACTGTGTATCTGACCTGTATCGACGAGTCGTCGTCTGCGTTGTCCGACGATGAGTCAGCTGTTGTCGAGCAGCCCAAGACCAAGGTGAGAAGAAAGTCCAGCAAGAAGAGCAGCAAGTGCAGCTTTGAATCGTGTAATTCTGCGCCACTGCGGATGGTGGGCGACTGTTCCTTTTGCAACGGCAAGTTCTGTTCCAAACACAGATTGCTAGAGAGTCATAAGTGCAAGGGTCTACAAAGCTGCAAGGAGAAGAGCTACGAGAGAAACGCTCTAAAGCTTCAGAGCGAACAGACTGTCGCATCCAAGGTCTAGATCATAGAGACCGAGCCCGCGTAATTAGATGAGTTAATGTATTTGATATCATGCGTATTTCTCTAGAGCAGCGAACACACCGTCCCGGACGTTGTCGAAGGTGCCGAACGTTGGTTTCGCCAGTTTTGAGTCCTGCTCAAAGTCCCCGTCTTTGAAAACGCCCGTTCTCACCAGAATCGTATCCCAGTTGTAGGCATTGCCTCCCAAGATGTCTGACTCCGGGTTGTCGCCAACCATGAACACCCTGTCGAACGGCGAATTTGCTGGTGCAACGTTGAGCTGGGGCAGGCAGGGAGGTTTTTCAAAATCCCCGTTCTGGAGATTCTCGTAGAAGTCTATCAGCACGTGGTGAGCATAGTCGTACGTCACCTTGTACGGTTTTCCCAAAGTGAGCTGCTGCAACTGCTTGCCATTGTTTGTGTGCTGGTACAATGCCTGGATCATAATTTTGAAAGCACCCTGGCCGAACCGAGGCAGTTTGAAATCGGTGGCCCATAGCAGGTCGTTGTTCGAGAAAACGATAGGCACCGACGGCGTGGATGACGAGTATGTCCGGCGCGTCCCCAGCAGCCCATCTTCCGAGTTCAGCAGGTCCATAATGATCTGGAAATCGGATCCCATGTCGCGCGGGTCGTTGAAGACCATGATGGAGTCAATTGGCTCGTTCTGTCCGTCGACGTCCACCTTGCTGATCTCCGGGTCCAGTGACCACTCGTCGATCTCCTGCTGGGAGTATTTGTGAAACGGCCAGATATTTGAGTTCGCTCTAATCAGGTCGATGGGCCTGAGCACCTCGCGGAACCCATATTCCTGGGCGACGCCTCGGGCCGAGTCGGCAGGACCACCCACGACCAGGACCCGGCGATGTTTGTTGACGAGGGTGCGCAGTGGCGTGTGCGACTGCACAATTTGCCGCGATAAGAGGGGCGACTGCAGTTTGAGCTTCTGCGAGATGAACTCGCAGCGGGCCGACTCCAACACGCCTCCTCCATTGGTGAGCAGAATAAAGGGCACCTTTTCGGCCTGTAGCGTGTTGAGGGCCTCTGTTGCTTCCGGGATGGCGTTGTGGCCCTTGAGAAGCACGCCGTCAATGTCGAACACAAAGCCCAGAGTCGAATGACAGCGACGAAATACCCTAAACATGGCAGGCTGCACAAATTCCAAATACTAAGCAAATAAATAAATAATATTCCATGGAATTATGTAATATGCGATGCAAATTAAGCGGTCTTAGCGAGCCATCTCTCGTTGCACCATCCCTTGACGGTGAACTGAGTAAGATTAGCAGTGTGGCCATTCGGACGCACACATTTTTTGTTGTTCGAGTCGAAGTCTTGCAAGTTGAGCCACGGCACAAACTTGCCAGACGTTCGCACCAAGGCGTTTGCTCGTTTGTCGCACGAGACGTACTTTTCGCGCACATGGTAGATAGGGTCGTCGCGCGGAGGCAGGATGACACTATTCCACAGCTTTTCTCTTGCGAGGACGCCCAGCTTGAGCTGCTGACGCATCACAGGGCTCATCTCATACCCTGCCTCGTTGAGGTATTCATCGAAGGATTCCAAACCAGACTCGTAGTATTCTTGGTAGTAGAGATCGATTTCGTAGTCGGAGAGCTGCAGATGTCCAGCATTCTTGCAGCAGTAGTCTAAGGCGTAGACCCTAAGGAAATTAGAGTTGATACGTGGCTCGCGGGCACGAACCGGCGAGACGGGAGTATAGGACCTGTGTGTTTTCATCAAGCGCGATTCAACACTGAAAGTTTGCAAAGGGATAGACACTGGCTCTGGAGCTTTAGTCTTCGGTAAGACATCGTCTGTCATTCGCTCATTAAAGTGAAGCAGCCCCGAGTGTGTCGGCAGCATCCTCAAACTTTTGATTGCTTTGAGCAGTTTCGTGGTTTTCGAAGGCTGCGGAGGCAAAATCGGCCGTCTGGAGGGAGCTTTGAGATTCGCAACATCAACGTCTTCCTCCAGTGGGTGCTCATGACACTCGCTGCGCACGCAGCAAGACTTGAGCGACATGAAACTGTTCATGTCGTATTCCGTGTCTGACTCCAATTGCCACTCTTCAGTAGAAAACTCTTCGAGCGAGTCGTTGGCGCTGGAGGTGCTGTTGGTAGTGTCGGAAGAGAGCGAGTCTAGCGAACCAGCGGACCGGTGGGACCGGAAACTAGTGGCCTGTTTGCTGAGCAGGAGACATTGCAAAGACGGCGTCGAGCACAGAACAGGACTTGTGTATGGGTCCAGACTATATGGTGATGACAGCGCAACCATCTTGAGCTAGAGATAGGGCAAAAAATATCTTTCCCTTATTTATATTCAATGTGCTAAGGGGAGTATGGGATGACCGTTTTAATGTCCAAAAACGGCATTTGCGAGCGGAACTGCACTCGCAGTGCCGTTCTGGAAAAATATTTTGCGGAAATTTGGTGGTGTCGCGCGGGCAACGTCGGCAATTCTACAAAAAAAAAAGGTTTCTATTTATGCTCAGTTACGTAAGCGCTGCTGGGCTTCGCCAATGGCAACGCTCATTCTGTCTATTGATTCTTGCAAACTTGAGGATCTGTAGTCGATTGCGCGCTCCTCAAGCCCCTTTATCTGCTCGTAAACAGCACACTCTCTGTCCAGGTCACTGAGCACCCCGTACTTGTTGGCGATGTCTTTGCACAGGGCTGCCTGGTTGCGGAGATAACCATTCGTAAAAGCTGCAAACTTTTGCTCTAGTCGACCAGCCTGTTCCGAAACTAGTCTGATGCTTTTTAGTAACTGCTCTGCATTGTCCGTGGCGCATCCATTTTCCACGGCTGCAGCGTACTTATTGTAGTCCAGCGCAGATAATTCCGTTTCTATAGCCGCTTCTAGAATTTCTGGCCTATCCACTCCAGACACCTTCCCTTCGACCAGACGGGCCATCTCCTCCAGAACGAGTCTGTCCACTCCAGACGACTGTTTGGCTAAGGCTAGTAAGCTTCCAGGATCAGGAGCAGGGAGCTTCAGATCGGCAATTTTATGGGCCCTTTCCTCTTTAGGAACATCCCGCACCGACACATTTTCTGTTTTGGGTTCCGGCTCTCGCATCGGCTCCTGCTCGCTGTCGCTGTCTATGATTTCAAAGTCATTCATTGGAGCAGGCAGCCTGGCCAACTTGGTCTTCAGAGACTCCCTCGGCTCCAATGGGTGGCTCTCTTCCTCTTCGTCCTCGTGAACTTTGGTGAATAATATAGACTTTTCATGCGTGGCACGATTCAGCTCCTTGGCCGCATCTTTGATCTTTGCATCAACATCCACAACTTCCTGGTCCTCTTCTGGTGCACTCAGCTCCAGCTTCCGCTTCTTGAATTCGAGGTCGTCGTCGTAGCGCTTGGCCGCTCCTTCAAAAGTCGTCTGGGCCTCTTCGGCCTGTCTCCGTCGCTTCTTATCCTGTTTCTCGTGCTCCAGGTTTGGAGCTTGGTTGCGCTCTGCTTTTTCGTCAAATTCGTATCGTTCTCTTTGATTTTGTAGTTTCTCCTGGCTTGTATCAAACCTGCCCTCTTCCGGCTCCCTAGCGAATGCAACGTCATTATTATAATCCATTTGCGTAGCAAACTTCTTCTTGGTGCGAAACTTCGAGTTGATGCCTGCTTGCTTGAGCTCGCGGCGTTTTTGGACAAGTGCAACGCGCCGGCTTTCGGCCAGCATCCTCTCTCGCGCCTTTCTTTTGGCCTTTTTGCCCTGCGTGTTGGCCAGTCTCGCACGGGCCTCGCTTAGCATTTCGCGTTCGTCGTCGTCCATGTCCTCAAAATCAGGACGCGCAGGCTTCGACTCAGGATTTAGGTTCAAGGAATTTGAACCAGAAGCTGCCTGTTGCATATTTCCTGTAAGTCGCAAATCGGAATCATCCAGATTATCATCCAGAAGCTGCTGATATCTTTCGATACACTGGTTTGCAGTTCTATTCATCAGCATGCTGATACTATTCCACTGGTTTGGACGAAGCCGGACAAGCTCGAGCAGTTTTTGGTCCTCCTCCTTGGTCCATTCGATTTTTTTGATCCTTGGATCCAGCCATTCTTGCCATCTCATTTTGCACTGCTTCGCCGTTTTTTTCTCCAACAAAGAGCTCACACGAGCCCATTGGTTGAGCCCATACTTTGAAATCGCTGCTTTGAGAATGGCGTCCTCAACATTCGTCCAAACTCCTCCCTTCACGTATATGGGAGCCATTTTAAGTAAAAAAACGAAGTACAACTTTTATTATTTTCGCTGCCAGCACGGCGCGGTTCACCAAAAAAAGGATTTCCTGGCTTTCGGTTAAACTTTTTGTATTTATGGAGCATGCCGTTATTGCCAAATTTCCGCCCCAAGCATCAGAAGCTCATCCTCCAATGCTATCCTTCCAAGAAACTTCCGCTCAATGAGACAAAACCGAACAATGCGGAGCTCAGCTATCTCTTGTACTATGCCTCGACCAGAAGAACCAAACTGGAAAAAGTGGCCATTTTTCTCAACAAGAAGACCAGATTGGACGTGTCTCACAATCGCATTGGTCATATCAAGGTGACCCTGTTTATCTTACAGGAACTTATCACCAAATGTTCCGATGACTTGGGAATCATGGCAGGTCATATTATTGACATTTTATCCCAAGTTGTTCGAATTAAAGATCTGTCTACATGCGAGCTAGCACTATCAATTTTCAGCAACTTTTGCAACAAAATCCAGCAGAACCAGAAGCAGATTTTGTCGAGCAGCGTAGATTTGCTGAGGAGCTTTTTGCGTCTCGTTTCTAGCTTCATTAGCCTCGGAGCTAACTCGCGCGATTACGGATGGTCCAAAATATCTTTGGACTCGACCACGGTTGTATCTAGATATATTGATCCCAACGTGTGCAACTTTGAAAACGCAAAACTTATTGAGAAGTCCATCAATGTGATTCTGGACAAAACAGACAAGGGAGATAATTCTGTGCGGTTGATGAAAACCTTGACGGGCCCCAACCACGGCAACGAAAAAAAATCCATCGAAGAACTTGCGATCAACGCTTTGAAGTCATTTTTTGACACCAATGCAAAGAAGCAAGTGGATTTGACCACAAAGGCGCTTGTTAAGTACGTAATTGAGCATCCAAGAGAAGTCAGCTGGTTTAATAGACTCATTGAATCGTGCGCCAAAAAAACTCATATCGAGCTGAGATACAGAATTGTGTCCATGTTTATTCTGGATCTGAACACGAGCAAAGACCCAGCGCAAAGAGAAACCATTGCGTACTTGATATCAAATCTCCTTTCGTCGCAGGACGTCAACATGGTTGGATTGCCGGTGAAGGAAATACTGAGCGATATCCTAAGATTTCAAAGAGAGGCCGTCATTTCCAAACATCCCACCTCGCTCAGCAATGGTTACATTGAGATTGTTCGCAGCCTAGGAACTCACATCTATTACAATGACCAAATAAATGATATGCTGGAGGAAGTCCAGAAAATTTACTACCAGATCATGAACATGAGCGAAAGCTTTACTCAAGCGTCCGAATTTGTGGAGATCTCGGATATTTACATTTCTAACATTAAAGGCATTTTCCAGAGCGTGCATGGAGACAGTCTTATTGATTATAAAAGATCTCCGTATCGTGTCAGCATATTCAATTTCTTGTTTTACACAATAGATTTCAAAAATGTTCCGTCGTTTGTTAGTCCGGAAGCAAAGGTGGGAGTCCAAGTGAAGTGGTTCCAGCTGATTGATAACTTCTTCTCGTTTGAAGCCGACTCAAAACTGTTTTCTAGACCGAACTATGAAAGCTGCATCAGCAACAAAACGGACAATGCTCTGCTGCTACTCCTCAATTCAATTGGAACCATTGCAACCAATTTAACTACTGAATTAAATGTTCAGATCTACAAAACACTTATACAACTGGTTCACACAATGAAGACAAACTTTGTGGTGAACTACCTCAACTTTGTTTCGGAGTGGTTCGCTTCCCCGGAGGACTTCAAATTTTCACTCAACTGGCTGGTACTTTCTGAAATTGCTAGGGTGTATGATTTGCAGGAGCTGTCACAGATCGCTGCCTCCAAAATACATGCCTTGGTTGCGTCGGGATTGTGGTACAAAGAGTTTCCAGCCATCACCGAAGAGGACACCTTCGTCAAAGAAACAGATTTTGGCCTCTCCTCCCGAGAGCTCATCACCCAGCTTACTGTAAACCCGGAACTCAAGACGTGGCTCTATGCAGCCGGATACGAGGAAGCTAGTCCCGAGAAACTACCCGTCGTTATCAGAACGTCTCCCAAAATGCTCCTCAGCCAAACCACCACCGCTACGGACTCGATTCTCAACCACTCCTCGTCGTCCATAGTGCTTCCAAACGACTCTCTGCCTCGTTCTGCTGCGGGATCTATCGGTAACGGCTCGCTCTTCCACTACTCCACTGCTCGCTCCAAGACATCGTCCAAAATGAATTCGAACTCAACCCATCTTAGAGACTTGCGCTCAATCATTTCTGGCAACAGTGCGGGCCCGTCAAGTAGAGAGAGCATGTACAAATACAGCATGGTCAAGACATCGGCTCCCAATTTAGGGCCGAAGAAAAGTGGTCTTGCATATTGCATCAGCGACTTGGACCTGAGTGACGACTCAGAGAACGAGTATGCAGACGCTCAAGCAGTTCAGAACGGAAACGGTCCGCTCACTGCATAGATTTACAATTGATTGTTTCTAATCGATTCATAACGTACATTAATCTTTTATTATCACTCCTCATCGCTCTCGATAGCTTCGTCCTCATCGTTCAAAGCATCGAACGCATTGAACTTGGACACCTGAGTGATGGCAATAGTGTCCCGAGTGTCCACGCTGGCTTTGCCAGAAGAGATCTTGGAACTGCTGGTCTTGACTTTCATTGTGTGTTGTTTGATTTCCTGTTTGTCGTCTTGAGCGGCGTTTTTCTTCGGCTTTGGAGTGACAAACGAGGTCCAGCCCTCCTCGTCGGTTTGTTTCAGCTCCTTTGGTTGTCTTTTCTTAAATCCCGTGAACGACTTTCTCCTCAGCCCCTGGTCATCGACGTCTCTCAGGGCTTCCCGAACGTCGTCGATCAGCTGGACAAATGAAGTAAGATCAATGCCAGCAGGAAGCACACCGTGGGACTCGAGGGCAAGCAATTCTTCTTCGGTGTACCGTTGGACCATTTCGCTTCGTTAAAACAAATTTCCAATCCTCGCAAATTTTTAATTCGTGTACATTTTACCCGGACCGGAACAGTACTCAAGGCTGTGCGACTAGCATTTTATCTCCAAACTTTTTTTATCGATTTGAAAATGCCTAAAAGTCTCTCCAGCGTGAACAAGAAGCTCAAGAACGCCAAGCTTCTGCATCCCAAAGGCCGCAGGGCCAAGCTGTTATCGCGTGCAACACTCCGAGAGGAGAATCTCGCGAAACGAAAGCTTGCCCAGCAGGAGAAAAAGTCCAACGAGCTGCAGATTGTCACATATTTCCAACAGGTCATCACAGAAAACGAGGAGTATAGCTCCAAGCCACAATTCAGTCTTGAAGAACTCCAGCAGTTCATTGAGGAGTTCATTTCGCGCGACGATGAGGAACTGGAAGAGCTCCGAGCAGAAAGAAGACCAGGCAGACCTGCATCGAAAAGACAGGATCTGCTCGAAATACGCAGGAAACAAGAAGCCCATGTCTACGAGACCGGCTGGAATGTTCCAGATTTGCGCGATCCCAAGACGGTGAAGCTTCTCAGAAACTGGAATGGGGATAGAGGCAGTTTGACCGCGCTGAAATTCAGTGTGGTGAAAAAGTCTGATGTGTAGATCGATATGGACAGGCATTGGGGATATCATGTGAAAGTTGTATCTTTGTTTTTTCTGGAGTCCTTGTAGTCTGCGAGCTGTGCGATCTCGTCGGAATCCACAAAATAGCTTAGGCCAAGAATAACGAGAAAACCTAAACCAACGACCGCGAGACTATTTCTTGCCCACAGGTAGAACTTGGTGGACTTCTTCCTGAAAAACACTAGCTTATCCGAATCTCCATCGAGAAGGTGCCAGTTTTGAGCTATCAGCTTGTTGATATTTTTGATATAGGCTTCGGGTGACCGTAATTGGGCTAATAGCCTCGAAACGTTGCGCTTTTGAGGTTCCACATCATGAGGATCATATTCTCGCACTTTCTCTGTCTCTCCGTTTTCATGCAATATCATAAACTCATATCCCTTTGGCATGTCTTTTTCTGACGCTAGGGAAGGGAACAAGTCTATCGTGGAGTTGTTATGGCCTGCAAAGATACTGCTAGGAACAAATGTGTTTGGAACAAGCACAGGCGTGAAGAAGTTGCCAGCCTCAAAGGATCGGGGATCCTTAGAAGTCTGCTGTCTAGCCCACTCGTAATTCTGTATGCTTTTAAATAACTGTTCTTGTGTCACGTCATTTTGGTGCTTCGCTTCTTGTAAAAAGGACTCTAGTTCGGCAGGAGCTTTAGAAGGTGCCTGATCTATGCTCATGATGAAAGGGCGGTAGGATGGCATTGGGGTAAAATTGGTCATTCTGGGGAGATCATGGTGGTGATACGATTCCTTTTTCTGGATCTTGTTGATGGAACTGAGGAGATCCTTGAACGACGCATCAGGTTTCTTCTTCTTTACTATCGCAGGACTTTGCTGTGGCTCTGACTTGGGAGATTCCTCAACCTTTGTAAGAAGAGAGCCAATGGTTTCTGACTGCCCCGATTGCGCCGGAGGAGATACAAGATTGTGTGATGTTCCGGACGGATTAAGTTGTGCCATCAAGTAATCGTAAAACTGCTTATTACGTTTCAATGTGGTGACGAAAAGCGAGAGGCGTTCTTTATTGGAAACATGCTTATTGTATCTGTGAAGGCTCCTAAACAAGTCCAGATTGCCACTGGAATCAGATGCGCAATACTTCTTGAACAAGTCAATCTCAGACCGGAATTTCTTGCAAAAATAAGGATATCCCAAAGGCTCAGTAACAGCTGGCGTCTTGGACTGGAACGAGGAGAAGCGGTAAAAAGACCTCGGACCGCGTAAGACCCAAAAAGTTGACAGCCGTGCACTTGACATGAAGCTTATTTAACTTGTCGATGTCTCTAAGTTGCAATTAAATTACGATATGCACTGCCAAGTGTAAATAATAAAACCTAAGAATTACATAATGTATCACTTCTTCCTGCCGAAGAAACCCCTCTTCTTCTTCTTTTTTTCGGTAGTCTTTGATTCCGACGTCGTCGGAGGAGTAAATGCTGGAGTGTTTGGAGCCGGTGTCGCCTCTGGCACCGGAAGCAGGTTGTTTGCCTGAGATGGAGCAGGCAGACTGGATTCGGAGCCGGAACCCGAAACAGAGGCCGAACCAGAGCCAGACCCGCCCTGGGGAGCAGCCTCTGCAGTGACAGCAGGAACAGGGTATGCTCTAGGAGCTTGTGCAAGCTCCTGCGGAGCAAATGGCTGAGGTTGTTTCTGAGGAGGAGCAGGCTGTTGATGCTGCGGTTTTGGCTGCTTGTATGGCCCATTGATGCCTAAGCCATTGGACGTCTGGCTCCTCCTCGTCATTTGATTCAAAGTGCCCGAGGAGCTTTGTCTCATAGGATATGGCTGCTGCATGTTGTTCATGCCGGGGTTCTGAGAAGGCCCGAGCATCATGGACTGTCTTGATGGCATACCCCTGGTGTCGTTCCCGAGCGCAACACCACTTAGTATGTTTGTGGACTTGCGGTTCTTTCTGGACGTAGGCTTAAATTGTCTGCTCTGCTGCCTGGCCATTTGCCCGTAGCAATCTTGTCCCTCGTACGTGGATTGGTGGCCATTCATTCCGGATATCATCGATAAGTTGTCCTGTGTGTAAGACATTGGTACTGGTTGCCTTCTGACAGGCGCAGGAGGTGCTGTCTGCGTCAAAATTTGCTGCTGGCTAGACAATCCTTGGGATGGGAGCCCGTGAGGCAATCCCTGTTGGGGCATGTAAGATGGGGAAGACGAGTCGTTGTAGTACTCTGTGCCTGCAGGAGGAGCGGTATATTGTTGTTGCACTTGAGGACCACTAACAGGTTGAGCAAGCTGTGCTGGATTCTGCTGCTGCGGAGGCAAATACTGTTGGTACTGTTGTGCAGGCTGAGTCTGAGGCTGGGGTTGCGGCTGGACCTGCTGAGCTTCCCGCTGTTGAGCAAAAATGTTCGGAGTCGGTTTTGCTTGGTAGCTGCCAGTTGGTGCTTGAGGGTTTTGCGTCTGGTCGGAGATCACATACGCACGGGCCATTTCAGAGAGCTCTTCAAGATCAGCATCCATGCTCTGATCCTGAACAACGGTTCCGTTGACGTATTGACCGTTGGCTGCCATAGCAGGTTGTAGATTCGTGGTGTATGATCTCTGGTTATTGGGCTGGTTGTACTCCTTATTTTCAAAGTTGAATGCATAGTTGTCCGCCTGGGAGGCTGGGGGAGATGGATGGACTGAGGAAGGCTGAATTGCGGGTTGGGCTAATCTGTTTGCCGATTCCGCAATCTCCTTCTCCTTCAAGGCGTTTTTCACTGAAAGCTCATCCTGTTGAAGTTTCAGGTGTCTGATATTTTCAGCGTTTTTGCGCAACCAGAATATCGACGTTGGGTGCTCTAAAGTGGAGACATTGCTGTTGCATGCTTGCGTCATCATGGCGTACAAGAATTCCAAGTATGGGGTTTTAATGTGGAAGTCATCCGCAATCAGAATAGGTTGCAGCACAAGAAGGTCCAGGTATATCTCATTCTGGTTGTAGAAGTCGTAAAACAGTTTCGGGGCCTCTGAATAATCGGGGCTTAGGTCAACGACCGGGTATAATTGGCTCAATCTTTGGAGCATGGAGGACTCGCTGTCATAACTCTTAAAAAGCTTGCATCCCATGGTTTTGATGACGCTGATGATCTCCTTGATCAACCCCGAGATCAGAGGTTTTGCCAAAATTTGTTCTTGGAGCTGATCAGGGAACGGTTTTTCGAATAATATGGACAACGGCTCAATAGTTATTTTAGGAAGTGCAAATTTCCATTGGTACGACAAGAACTCAACCGGGGTGCTGAGCTTGTAAACGTCAATCCCGGCGCTCTCGAAGAGGTCCGATATCTCGTTGATGAGTTTGATGTCGGTTTTTGTGTATTCATCCTCGGTACCACTACGGCCGACGTAGAGCAAATCACTTTCCTTTTTGCTTTTGTACACGTGGTAGTTATTGTTTCCCACAAGACGGATATCGTAGTCGGACATGATGGACAGCACTGGGACGTCTGCCTCGAGTTGCATTGACAGCTTGACAAACGGCTCCAAATTGACGAAGTTCGTGGACTCGACGATAATCGCGGGAACTGCGCCGACGGAGAGCTGTGCCACGAACACCTTGGCCAGCTTGGCGGACACCAAAGAAAGATCCTGCAACGACGTGGCAGAAACGAATATGTAGTCGATCTTGGTTCTGGAGAAGTCTGTGCTGGATAAATACGGATCGAGAGACTCGTATACCGTTGTCAGCGAGTACCTGGAATTGCCGAATTGCGCAGAACTCCACTGGAACGTGTTATTGGATTTTGCGGACGGACTGACCACCGTGAGATCACACGTTTTGGAGCTGAACAACCGCCAGTTGTAAAAGGCAAGGTTGGGATGAGCCCCAATTGACAGCACGTTGTAACGGGATGTCATAATAAAAACAAGTTGATCAAGGAACGGCCGTTAGCAATGAAGAAGGGTGAAAATTACTGGAGCCGGCCTTTGTTGAAGATCCAGCGAGTGCAAAATTTGGTCAGAGGAAACTATGTTTGACTTTTAAGAATTTTCCGCGAAGGAGGGATCTGGTTACTTGGAAACAGAATACGTTTGGCAGGGCAGGGGTGTGTGCAAGGAGCAGGGTGGGACTATCGACTTTAAAATTTTTTCCAGCTTCAAATATATTCACGTCTACTTTGCATTGGGCAGGACAAAGTGGCCTGCTACAATGCATAGTTCTGTGGGAACCCGCTCCGGACTCGATTGCTGGCTTGCCTCACCCGCTTTCTGGCTTTTGGAGTCAGGAGTACGGACCGACAGAATTCAGTGGACGAAGAGTAATCGAAAGCGTATCTCCGGTGGATGACTCCTGATTCCTCCGGTCATTGACTTTTGAACATTCCTTCTTGAACTGTAGTGGCAGACTGGTTAAGATAAACGCATCTAAGTTGCGCTACTAGAGGCTGACTGATTAGAAGGGAGAAGCCTAAGGAGATTCAAGGTAAGCAGGTTTCGGGTCGCCTCACATATCAGGCCTCTGCATTGCTCCTACTGTTTACAAACAACCCCCACAGGCTAGCCCTATAATTATCACACTGATGCCTGCCGTCGTGATATTAGTAATTGAGAGATTATTGCGTAAAAATATAAAAGGCCGAAAATTGCCATATAATTATTAGATTAATTTGTGCAAATGTCTTCCAAACACTACAAGTTCGATGTCACGATGACCTGCTCCGGCTGCTCCAATGCTGTCAACCGCGTGCTCACACGACTCCCAGGAGTGAAGAATGTCGACATTTCGCTTGAGAAACAGACGGTTGACGTGATAAGCGACCTCGACTACGACACAGTGCTGCAGGCCATCTCGAAGACGGGAAAAAAGGTCAACGGCGGCACAATCGTGAGTGCATAGGCGGGCGGCTAGATGCCCGCCGGCGTCTATTTGATCTCCGCGACTGAACTTTCCTGCTTGTGGTGGCCGTGGCGCCTCCGGCCGGAGTCACCGGACTGCAGTCACATGACAGAGCATGCTGGCATTACCGGTCCCGCCACCAAAAGAAGCTAAATGATAAGCTTTCTAGGTGTGGAGCTCTAATTTGCGCTTACTGTCTGCTATGTAGCACTGACAATGTAAACAGTAATTGCCCCGCCAGGCTCGAGGGTGAAATATTTTCCGATACGGTAAATTCTTGACAATTCTTCAAATGGAAAACAAACGTTCGGCGTTGTCCCTGCCGGAACCCGCGCTCTCGCTGATCTCCGGGGGTATAGCGGGGGCGCTGTCGCGGACTGCCGTATCGCCTGTGGAGCGCGTCAAGGTATTGCAGCAGGTCCAAGGATCAACAAATTCGTACCAAGGTGTTTTCCGCTCGGTGCTCCAGATATGGAGAGAGGAAGGGTACAGGGGGCTGTATCGAGGAAACGGCATCAACTGCATCCGCGTGATTCCCTATTCTGCCGTGCAGTACGCGTCGTACCAGCGTCTAAAGCGGTTTCTGGCCCGTCCAGACGGCAGCCTCAGCACAGAAGGCAGACTGGTGGCCGGGACCGTGGCCGGATTTCTGTCGGTTCTGGTATCGTACCCGATGGATCTGGTGAAGACGAGGCTCTCTGTGCAGACAGCGCAGCTCAGAAACCTCAAGAGCCGGGCCTCAGTCGAGAAGCCGCCTGGGATGTGGCAGAGTCTTGTGAATATTTATCGCAACGAGGGAGGCATATCTGCGCTTTATCGAGGTATTATGCCGACCTCGTGGGGCGTGGCGCCGTACACGGCGCTCAACTTCACGATGTACGAGAGCATGAAGGAGCTGGTGCCCGAGAAACACCGCAAAAACCCAGCCGTCGCGCTCACTCTGGGAGCCATCAGCGGGAGTGTAGGGCAGACTATAATTTATCCGATGGACGTTTTGCGCCGGCGGTTCCAAGTGGCGACGCTCGCGGGAGGAGAAATGGGGTTCCAGTACAAGTCGACGGCGGATGCGCTGGTCCAGATCGTGCGCAAGGAAGGGTACAAGGGCCTGTACAAGGGACTGCCTGCGAACATCTGGAAGATCTGTCCGGCGATGGCTGTGCAATGGATGAGTTACGATCTGATAAGAAATATGCTCCAATAGTAGGGAAAATCGAAAGACAGACCGACGGGCCAGCCTGTAGCGATGTGATAAGTGTGTATTTTTTTTACCGAGAACAATCACAGGGGTGAGTGCACTGCCCTGCGATTGCGGTGCTAGAGAAGCTCTGTACACAATAGGCCGCTAGGGAGAACAGCCAGCTTGGCGCACGATAGGCCAATCAGACCATAGGTTTCAAGATCCGTACAATCGTAATTTCCCTTTGCCTTATCTCTTGTTCAGTGCGACAATGCCCCGAGCGCTGAAATAATTGGTAATCCGCAAGCTGCGCATATTTCTTTTATCCCGACAATGCAAACAGAAAATCTGCCGACAGAAAAAGTGCAGCTTATATGCAGTAGGTTATGACTACAGTAATGCAACATCCAATGGCGGAGCCTTCTTATAAAAGGCCTCAAATCCAAAACTGATAGTGCTTTTAGATTCTTACACGAAGTTCACGTCCAGGTCACGGATTTCTACACACACCACTCCAAACTACCGGTGGACGAATCCAAGTTCACACTTTGACCCACTTTCACAACTTTCGCCCACAGCAAATGCAATACGCAAATGTTCCGGCCCAGAAATCAGAGTCCCATATCAAACTTCTGAAAAAGGAGATTGAACGGGAGTTCAGTGAGCAGTGCAACACGTCGCTGCAGATATGGCGGATGTTCAACAACAAAAATACCCTCTTGCCCAACAACAAGCGTATTCTGAACCTGTCCTGGAGACTCAATAGTATCGAAAACGTAAAGCGGCGCAGGAATTCCGACACGACCAGCAAAATCACCAAGACCCCTGTTCCCCGCAACACTCACAAATATTCAGACTCGCAATCCAGTAATAATTTATCCCTGGCAAAGCCGCATTTTCCTGAATCGTTGTTGGGCGCCGAGACGCCTGAAAACCCGGAATTCGACTACATCGAACACATCCGCAGAATTTCAAAGGAGGAGTACGGAGTCAACCCCGACGTCCGCTCCGCCAACGAGCCGTTCCGTTCATCGATATCCTCGACGGAGCACGAACCAGCATTCTCCATAACCGACCCAATTACAATAGATTCCAAAGAGCGCATGGACATTAACGACTACTTTTCACCGGAGACCAGCCATTCACTGTCTTCTAATACTAATTCAATATTCTCGACCGCTGCAGCCCAGCCGTTCCAGTTTTCTCAAACGCAGCACAGCCAGCTTGGTATGACTCATCAGCACACGTCCTCCCAGGGAAGGCAAACTGACGACTTCAACGTGGACCATTTCCTGAAATTCGACGACAACATGTCGGAGATGATGGACACGGCCAACTTTGCGCAGTCTGACAGGGAGAAGCCTCTGACTTCAATTAAAGAGGAGAAGGCCTCCTCCGACTACAGCTTGGCCAACTACATCAACACTCTGGAGGTTTCATTGGACCGTCGCGATAGACCAGTGTACGATAAACTGTCGCCCACGTTGACAACGGCAAGCACCCGGTCTGTGCCTACGGTGACGCCTGCCTCGGCAAAGGGCACTCAACAACCGATTTGCGAGAACTGTTTCACGTCAACGACTCCTTTGTGGCGCAAAACGTCGGACAACAGGCTTTTATGCAACGCATGCGGTCTGTTCTTCAAGCTGCACGGTGTTATTCGCCCTCTCAACAACACTGCATCAGGCCCGAAAGCCACTGAGCGCAACAAGCGTAAACGTGCCGCCGTGGAGCTTGGAGAACACAACTCCACGATGAAAGTTGCTCCCCGGCCTATCCGGACAGACAGTTTCAAGTCAGACAATATGCAAATGGGCGAGACATTTGCAGGGGACTGGGACTGGCTCAAATTCAATGTTTAGATGGAGAGGTTGACGTTAAAATTGCCGACGCCGGATCGTGACTGTTTGCGCGCGGAGCCCACGTTCGGAGACTTCCAAAATGAGAAAAGAGAGAGCCACAGAGAACTCCAGGACCACATGTTGCTAATAAGCTCGCCGCTGTTTTCTTCGTTGGTGAGTTCCTGGATGACTCTGTTCGAGAGTCTGTTGGACAGCTTCATTCGCGAAGTTGGTTTCTTGGTCCATCTGGATTTGCGGATCTTTGTTTTATGGTTCGGCTTGGTGGTGTTGTTTCGTAGATTGAGAAAAGCTGAGGAGTCCGAGACATAGCCTGTGGATAGCAAATTGATGATGGATCGCCAGATTCTTTTTGCAGTTCTGTACCTCGAATAGCGAGGCGGGGGCATTGACCGCATCTGACGATAGCTAGATCAAATAGTTAAATCTTGTGCGCTTATTACAGAGCACAGCCCGGAGAACTAATATCGAGAAAAAAAAATATTTATAATGGATTGACGTGTTATAGAAATACAGAAAATGCGCTTATGGGGAATTCTCTCGCTCTTTCTTCTTGCCTTTGTTGTGGCGGCCAAGACGGACTACTATCAGGTAAGTGTTGGTGCTTGGTAGGACTAACACTCAGATCCTCGGAGTTTCGAAGGATGCTAGCGACAAGGAAATCAAACAAGCGTATAGAGACCTTTCAAAGAAATACCACCCAGACAAGAATCCGGGCGACGACTCGGCGCAAACCAAGTTCATCGAGATTGGCGAGGCGTACGAAGTGCTTATGGACAAGGAGAAGCGTGCTGCGTACGACAACTTTGGCCACGAGGGCCTCCAGGGCGGCGGCCACCAGCAGCAGCACCACGACCCGTTCGATATGTTCGCCAACTTCTTCGGCGGCCAGCAGCAGCGCCGCGGCAGACCGCGAGGCGCAGACAGCTCGACCGAGCTGGAGTTCACACTGAAAGAGTTCTACAACGGGCTGGACACGGATTTTTCATTGCAGATGCAGAACATATGCGACAAGTGTTCTGGCTCGGGGTCGCAGGACGGAAAAACACATACCTGTTCGCAATGCCACGGTAGCGGCCGTGTGGTGGTCAAGAGACAGCTGGGTCCTGGCATGTTCCAGCGGTTTGAGAGTCCATGCCCGCAATGTCAGGGGTCGGGAAATCAGATCACCCATCACTGCAAAAAATGCCACGGCGAAGGTGTTGTTCGTGGGGAACGCAAATATAATTTCCATCTGCAACCGGGAACGCCTCGCAACCACGTTGAGGTGTACCAGGGAGAATCCAACAAGTCGCCCGAGTGGGATGCGGGCGATCTACGGGTCAAGATTGTCGAAAGCAAGAGCGGCAATTTGGGCTATCGACGCGTCGGAAATAATCTGTACAGGACGGAAATTCTGACTTTGAAAGAAGCATTGAGGGGCGGATGGGAGCGCGCAATTCCGTTCCTTGATAACTACGATAATACGGTGCTGCTCAAGCGCGCGCCGGGCGAGATGGTGCGGAGCGGCGAGGTGGAGAGGATCCGCGGTCGCGGAATGCCCGTGGCTGGCAGCGTGGACGAGTACGGCGACCTGTTCATCGAGTACACGATTCTGTTCCCAGCAAAGGCAAACATAAAGGATGAGCTATAGAGATAGAGGATGAAAGATCTTGCCGGAACTAGAATTGGAAGTCGTGGTATCATGAATTGAAGTTCCGTCTATCAGCTGAAATAATTTCCGAAAAAAGAATTGCATTTCTCTCTTATCTGGGTTCCTGATACGGGTGTAAATTCCGCACGTTTATAAAATACGGCCTATCTGCTCTCTGCTGTTGTCAATGTCTGCCACAGTTGCCAAACCAGCTCCACCTCCACCGGACACTGCCGACGAGAAACTTCTTCCAGGAGAGCACACTTTGCCTGCCTCCTGGTGGACCTCGCAGAAAGTTTTCGATTACGAAAAAAAAGCTATTTTTGCGCGGTCCTGGCTTTTTGTTACGCACCAGCAGCGTTTCAAAAAAGCAGGCGACTACTTTTCCTACAGCTTTATGGGCTGGAACTTCTTCCTGATCAAAACCAAAGCCGGCGAGATCAAGGCTTTCCACAACGTCTGCAGACACAGAGCGTATCCCGTGGTGAGAAAGCAGCAGGGCTCGTCGATTGTTCTTGGTTGCAAGTACCACGGCTGGTCCTACAACACCGACGGCCTGCTGACCAAGGCACCGCACTTCAACGAGGTTGAGGGCTTTGACCCTAAGGCCAACTCCCTGTTCGAGATCAGAAGCCACACCACGAAGGAAGGCCTGGTTTTCATTAATTTCGACAACACCGACGAGTACACTCCATTCGAGGAGTTTTTCAAAGGACTCGACGAGGAGATGGCCGAGTACGATTTTGACGACTACGAGTACCACATGTCCTACGAGCTGGACGGCGAGTTCAACTGGAAAACGCTGATGGATGGCTACCAAGAGTGCTACCACTGCCCTACTGCCCACCCCGGCCTCAACTCTGCCTTCAAGATGGAAACCTACAAGGTGGTTCCTAAGGGCAACTACTGCCGTCACTATGCGAAGATCGTTGAGGATGAGGTCGAGGAGGTCGAGGAGGAGGACCCGGACACCGAGTCGTCCTGGTTTGGCTTTGGAAGAAAGAAGCAGGAGAAAAAGAAGACTGTCAAGACCAGAGAGAACCCGGGCGGAACTTTCAATGGCCTGTGGTGCTATCTGTTCCCTAGCAACGGCGTGAACTGCTACTCGCCAGCCTTCTACTCGATCAGAGTGCTGCCTATAGCTCCGTCGAGAACTATTTTGCAGTACGATATCTACACCAAGAAGGGCCTTGCCGAGGACAAGAAAAAAGACTTTGTCGACTTCTTGCAGCAGGTCGAGATCGAGGACTTCAACCTGTGCGTCCAGACGCAGAAAAATCTGAACCAGGGTATTTACTCCACGGGCTACCTCCACCCTCTTAAGGAGCGCGGAGTCTTGCATTACCAGGGGCTGGTGAAAGATATGGTCAGGAAACATTTTGAGCTCGAACAGAAGGAGGGAAAAGAGATTAACCCGGCCAGAATCGGCGGCAAGCCAAACTCTAGTGAGGCTCAGGAGCTCGAGGAGTTGTGCTCCAAGATCGAGTGCCAGGGTTCGAACCCAGAGACGCTCGGCGAGCTCGACTGGTAAGCATATATATTTATATTCAATTACTTCTCATTTCTAGGATTTCGTCAATCACGCTCTGGCGCAGCGAAGAGTCCACGAACAGGCTCTTGAGCAGTCCGACGAGCTCGCTCGTCGCCAGCTCAAAGAATTTCGCGTCGTAGAAGCTCTCCAGGATCTCGCGCAGGCCCGAGTCCAGGACCAGCTTCATCTGCTCTAGCTTTTGGTAGCTCTGTATTTTCCGAAGTTCAGGCAGCTCAGAAGGCACCAAAAGACGCAAGAAGCCAGCCAACGTGTCGGACAGGATTTGTGACTCGTCGGAGTCAATGCTGGAGCGCGAAATTATCATCTGGCTCAGATATCCGCTGACCTGGGCCACCATCGAGCTTGCCACCTCGTGGACCAGAACGTTGTTCACGCCCGTTCCCTTCACGTACGCTTTATTGATCTCACCAAACACCCCGTCCAGCTCGTGTAGCAATGTCTTGGAGTGGCGTGCACGCACGCTGTTCTCGTAGCCGTTGTCGCGGAACAGAACGTCCTCGTGAGGACGGATGGTTTTAAATATGGTCTCCAAGTATTGCTGGACATGTTGTATGCGCAGCCGCTGTTTTAAGGCGTAGCAGGACTCGAGGTTCACAGAGTACTTGGCAGCCAGATTGTCGACGATCTTGGAGTAGTCGGTGTAGAACGCAACCCAGCTGCTATACGATTCGCTAACAACCATGAAAAAACAGAAGACAAGCTTTTTGATATTCATCTTGAACAAACCTTCTGCATTTTCCACGGACTCTGCCTTCGACTTCAGCTGCTCGTAGTTGTTGTAAAAATCTGCCACCAAATTCTTCATCCAACTGCAAACACATGAGTATCTCACTGTGGAGGAAACGTTCGACAGCTTGCTGTTTGTTGATATGGACTTGACACCCAGATCGTTCTTATCATCCTTCCAATCCTCATTCCAGGCGTCCCAGTCGTCATTCTCTGGTATTTCTGGGTTCTCGTCCCAACCCTTGTCCCATTCGTCGTTCCAGTCGTCCTCATCTGTCGGGTCTGCTTCTTTCTCGCATAGCTCTTCCTTTTCAAGCTTCTCGAGCTCGCCACTTATGGCCATTTCTTTTATTTCATCAAGCTTCTTGTCCACCAGCGTCTCTACCCAGTAGCTAACCAGATCGTCAATCCAGAACTCCAAATCACAGGTACCGTCCCTTGACCACCCGTCTTGAGCCAGAAGCTCGGATATCACCTGCAACTGGCCGATTGTCTTGCTGTCGCCAGCTCCGTATTTGCCCAGGATCAACGAATAGATGTTCTCAGAGTCAAACATGCGCTGCTTTAGTGCTGCCATAAGCAGCTTGGACACGCTCAGTTTGACGGCTCCCAGGTGATACTTTTCGCCATTTCTGTTGTGGTCCATAAACAGGTTAAAAAAATTAATCACGTTTTCGACGCTCTGAAGAAACCCAGAAAACGTTGTCTGCCTACCGAATTCGAGCACTATGTGTTCTCCATCGTACGAGAGCTTGTTGGCCCGTCCCAGATTCGCAGAGAGTTCACGGCCGAAGAGCTTATGGAAGCCAAAATAGTGCAAAAACTCGTCCTCTACCAAGGCGCAAAATTCGTAGCTGCAACTTAGATACTCCAGGAAGGTCAGATCATTGTGTTTGTTATTATACTGGAGAGAATCGTTCCCAAAACTGAGATATCTTGGAAGGAGCGCAACCATCTCGTCCTTTATCTTCACCCCAAATTCCTGGGTTTGCTTGTTGATCTCGGTCAGTATTATCGCTTCGCCAGCTATCATCTCCTTCAAATCCTTGGCCTTGCTCAGTAACTTCTTGTAATTTCTCACAGCACTGTCAAATACCACCTCGTCGCCCAAACACGCTGACAGCTCAGTGAGAAGCCCCCTGATCACCCACAACAGATTGCAGCATTCGAGTTGTTGAAGATAGTCTGATGCCTGCAGCTGAGCCGCCCCCGTGTCTACGGGCTCTTCCGCTCGCTCAAGTTCTCTAGAAAGCCTATCTCTATCGTAGCCTCGTATATACGAGTGCAACGCGGTGCTGATCGATTCCATTAAAATGCTTGATCCATAAAATAATACAAAATATTATACACACAGATATTTATCCATTATTTCTTCAGCCAGCTTAAAATTTCCGTTGTAGCAATAAATCAGGTAGCTATTATACGCGGCCTCGTATTTCAAATTATACGCGTCCTCAGGCTCGTCCAGCAACAGTACCTGGTCATAGAACTGAAGAGCCAGCGTGTTCAGCCCGAGAAGGTTGAAGGTGCGGCCGAGGTTGTAATTAATCTCCATCTCGTAGCCACCTCCAGCCCTGCGCAATTGGGCGTACTCTAGCATGAAAGTCAGACCCTGGATAATCTGGAAGTTCTTGTTGATTGTTTGTCGCTGCATCGACCGGTGAAGATTGGCAAGGCCCATCAGAAACACCAGCGAGGGGTCGTTGTAATAGTCTCTGTATATTTTTAGGCTGTACGTCAACGCAGCCGTGTACGACTTGTTCATGTACAGGAACGTGGAGTAGATGTAGTTCAGAAGCGGATGGAATTTCTCTGTGTCAACGTTGGTGTTGGTGATGGCTGCCATGCCAGATATCTCGCGCTTTTCTTTGAGCGAGTCATGGGTCTTGATCTGGCGAAGAATATACTTTTGGTTCGGGGCATCCACGTACGGATGGTAAAACAGTTCCGTGGGCTTGCACGCGGCCAGAAAAGTCTTCAACGCAGGCACAGAAAACTGATAGTCGTTCATCAGCATACGCAGATGGTTCATTATGACGGAAACCTCGTTAGTGATGAAGCCAACAGAGAGACCAAGAAGCGTAATTGTGAGCTCCTTTTTCTTGAAGACATTGATGTGGCGTGCAATCTCGTGGATCGAAAGCGCGTCCTCCACGTTTCCCTCGTACTCGGAAATCATCAAGGAGTACTTCATAAATAAGTCAAACCACTTCTCAAACGAAATGCCCTTGAACTCATCCTGCGGAATGGGAATTCTTCCCGAGTCCATCTCCTTCGACAGAATCATCTCGTCCTGCAGGTAAGGGAGTCGCGACAGTTTCTGGTCGATGCTCAACTTTTCGGTTCGACGACGGAGACCGGTGTTGAACTTCTTCGCTTTGTCAGAGGAGAAAAAGCAGCGGTATGTTGAAAACACCTCGATCAGCTCAGAAACCAGATCTATCCACATCGACGCGATTGCGTGCCTGTCGTGCCCCAGAGACTCCGCGTCGTCCTCCAGCCGCTCGAGCAGTCTGTTCGCGCGCACGTACTGCTCGTTGATCCGGGTCATGGATTTGAGCTCTTTCTTATGCAAAAGCTCAGGGTCCAAAGGAACAACCTTCTTCTTCTTCGACCTCCGTGACGACGGGTACTCGGCAATTAGTGCGAGCTGCTCAGAATCTCTTGCGCTCTGCTCGTCGCTCATCTCTTTGTCGTGTTCGTCCTCCTCGTCCTCAGAGTCTTTCAGCAAGTTGTTACGCGCACTGGCCCGCTCTTTGCTGCGCTGCTCTCTGGCCTCCTTGTACAGCTTGCTCATGCTCTGTATGTCGTCAAGATAAAAGTAGACCTCTGCCAAGGCCACTTTTATTTCGACGTTGTCTGGATCGTGCTCCAGAAGACGGGTGTAAGCCTCCTTTGCGTTTTCGAAATCTTCTGTCTCCCGAAGGCATTTGGCAATACTCAGCACCAGCTCAGCGGGATTGTTTTCGTAGACCCCCGAAACTGGGTAGAAATACCGCAGTGCTTCGTGATACAAACCAAATGTCTCCAGCTCCGAGCCGATGCGCAGGAACAGATCGGCAGTCTCCTGAATATTCTCGCTCAGAAGATACTCAAAGTGTCTGAGGGCCTCGTCGGTGTTTTTTGAGTTTAGTCTGAATAATCCGAGCTGAACTCGAATATCAATGGGAAGAGAGTACTCTCTAGCTTTTTCTTCTGCGTTCAGAGCCTGAAACTTCTGGTTATCGAATCGCCGATCATCAAATTCCACATCCACAGATGGCAGGTCGTCCCAGAATGTTTGCGACTCTCTGTGTTGGATCCATCTCGACGCCTGCTTGAGTGTCTTGATTGCCACGTTCCAGGCCGCCTTCTTGCCGTACAGCTCCAGCAGAATGTTCAGCTCGGACCAGTCAAACGTAATGGTCTTCAGTTCTGTCTTTTCTCCGCGGCGGAATTTCATGTTCTCCTCGAAGATGCGCGTGTACATGCTGATTGCGTCGTTGACACGATTTTCCTCAACATATATTTTGGCAAGTTCGCGGTATATCTTGGGCTCTTGAGGCATGATGGCTCGCAGTTTGTGCAAACTATCGCTCGCTCGCTTGTACTGACCGCGTTCTCGATACAAACAAGCTCTCGCAAATATAGAGTCGTAGTCCTTGCCGTTGCTGGCAGCTATAGCTTTCGAGTAGCAGTAAACAGCCTGTCGCGTATGCTCGAGCTCTACAGACAACTCTGCCAGAGTGCGCCAGAACTCAAAGTCCCATGAGTGAAGATGAGCAGCCAACAGCCAGAAATTGGAGCATTTGTTGTAATTTCCCTGGAGTCTGTATATCTCTCCGAGCGTCTTGTATGCACTGAAATTATTTTTATCGAGCTTCACCACCTCCAGATACAAGTTCTGTGCGGTTTGAAGATCATTGCGCACAAAAGCTTCGTTGGCTTCAGAAAGGAGCTGTTTCACCTCTGGCGAGAGCTCTTCTCTGCGCATCCTCCGTCTCATAGCAGCCAGTCCGCGAGTTTTTTTGCCCTTTGCCGGCTTGGGTTTGAAATTCCTGGCCTCGCGTAGAGCATTGCGGAACTCAAAGTCCTCGTCGATATCTTCCTCGTCAAGGTCCTCGTCGCTGAACCCGAAATTATCTTGCTCTGCCTCGAAGTCCTCGTCATTGGGATCGTCGTCTTCGGGGATAATCCCATCGTCAGAGAACACGATTGCCTCGTCATCTTCGCTCTCATCGTCTATCAGATCGCGCAAGGCGTCCGTGTCGTCGAGCAAATAATCCTCGTCCTCCATTTACCAGGAATAAATGGAGTAAATAAACACTTACAAAAATATTTGATTTAATATATTTATCAGCCTCCCAATGGTAAGTTCGTTGAATCCTACTCTAACGCAGTTTTCTGGATTTGGATTTGGCTTTGGCGAGCCAACGCTGCCAATGCTGCAGGGCTTCGATGACTATTTCCGCTGCTATCCCATTGCGATGATGCCTGACGTAAACAGGAAAGACGATGCCAACTACGGGGGCAAAATCTTTCTACCCCAATCGGCGCTTCACAAGCTGACAATGCTCCATATTAGGTACCCGATGTTGTTTACCATTACGTCAGAAAGCTCTGGCAAATCCACCCACAGCGGAGTGCTGGAATTCACAGCAGAAGAGGGCCGCTGTTATTTGCCACAATGGATGCTCGACACACTTGCTGCTGAGCCGGGATCGCTCGTCAACATCAAAACTGCAGACCTTCCGCAAGGAAGCTTTGTGATGCTTGAGCCCCAGAGCGTGGACTTTCTGGACATTAGTGATCCCAAGGCCGTCTTGGAAAATGCACTAAGGAAATTCACCACGCTGACAGTTGGGGACATCATCGAGTTGGACTACAATGACCAGATATACAAGATCAAAATACTAGAGGTCAAGCCAGAAAGCCAGTCACACGGAATTTGCGTTATTGAAACCGATTTGGAGACGGATTTCGCTCCGCCAGTTGGGTACGTGGAGCCTGATTACAAGGCGCTGAAAGAGGAGCGGGAGAAGAAAAATAAAATCAAAGCCCTCTCGCAGCCGTCTTTGAAAGGCACAGGCTCCATGGCACAGCAAATCAATTACGGCGACATTATCCGAGAAGCGAATAAAAGTACACAGAAGTTCCAGGGTGATGGTGTCAAATTGTCGGGCAAAAAAATAGCAAAGGAAGCGGAACCTTCTATAAATACGCCGGATATCGACCTAAATGGTCCTGTCAAACCCCTACACTTGCCAGACGGATACCTCTTTTTTGGGTTCCCAGTGAAGGTGTATAAGGATGGGTTTGAGGAGAAAGACGAAACGGCAAACAAACCTCATTTTCCCGGACAGGGGCAGTCTTTGCGGAGTGCGAAGAAGCGGAAGGATAAAAATAAGAATTTCCCTGCAGTGAAAGACAAGGCGCGGTCTCCGGAGACGATTGTGATAGACAGCGACTAGTGAACAAGCTTGCTTAGCTTATACATGCTGAGACCTGCATATTCGTCAAAGTTCAGTTTTCCGTCTCCGGTGTCGTCAAACTCCACCAGTTTAGCGGAACGCAGCAGACTTGCCATCCGTTTGAGGCCCGACTCGTCCCAGAGGTCAGAAATCTGCGAATAATCGTGCGTAGCAGCCAGCACTGCAGAAAGCCATGTTTTATAGGTGACAACAGCATCCGTGCTTGAGCTCATTTCCACAGAGACGACTTCGCCAAAAACCTCCATCAGCTGCTGAACCACTTCAGCGCTCACAAGGTCTGTTATTTGGGGTTTACTCTTCCACCGCACACGGACCTTGCACGGGAACCGTGACTTGTCTGTTTCGATATTTGTGGTGCTGCTGGCTTTTTCTCTTATTTTGGCTCGACGCAGCTGCTCTGTCTCGCGCCTCAGCTGCTCGATTTTCGCCTGTCGATACTGAGCAGTGGATTGATTTTGCCTGTATCTAGACTCTTCATATAACAACTGCTCTTTTAATGACTTTTGATGTGCAGATTGCTGTGCCATTGCTTTTTGCCGTTGCAATTCTGTCGCTAGGTGCTCATCGTACCGCTTGCGCCATTCTGGCTCGTCAAGTACTCGGTAACTGACCAGGATCTCTCTAAACTGCTCCTCTGCATCTGAGGACTGGTTTTTATCAGGGTGCAACACTAGCGCCTTTTTTCGGTACGCGCGTCGCAGATCCTGGGACTGGACGCTGGTGTCGACATCCAGAAGCTGATAGGCGGACTTGGTTCGGCTCAAGAGCCAGTTGAAATCCTCCTGCGATACCTGCGTCATTACCCGGAGTGATATTTTTTTTTTTTTTTTTTTGGAAAAAAATTGATGCTCGACGAAAACTATTCAACACATTTTCTTTTAACGTAAGTACAACTGTTATGATGATACCTTTTCTCAGCTCACTCTGAAGCGCATGAAGAGACTATCTGTTCCAACATTCATCACTTATCTGAGCAGTGGTACTAACTATTAGCGGCTATAAACAGAATTACTATATGTCATAAAATTCGGCAGCCTTATCGACGCTGTACTCGACCAAGTGGACGATCTGTTGATACGACGAGTCCAGCTTTGACAGGTGGTGCTTGATAGCGAGGACACGCTTTTGGACGTCTCCCTTGCTGAACTTTTTGACCGAGAGGACCAGATTGATGTATGCTAGTAACGTATCGCATATGACAGGGTCGACAGTTTCGTCAGCAAACGTCTCCTCTATCGCCGTGTCCAGCAGCTGCAGAATCTTTGCCCCGCGCTCTTCCGTGAATGTGATGTATTTCAGCTCGCGCGGTGGCAACGAAGGAGCAGAGACATGTAGATTCTCTATCTGCTTTTCCACCGGAGCCGGCTTGGTGCGCAGGATCAGGTCTTTGAGAATTCCAATCATACATGTTCTCACAGACTCCGCCGAACAGTTCTCCAGTGTGTCGATCACAAACTCGTAAGCGTCTTGCTCTTTCAGGTTGATTAGCACTTTCATCGTTAACGAGTAGAACAGTTTGCGGATGTTGAAGTCTGGGAACTGGAGGCACAGAGAAGATAGACTCTGAAGATATCCCAGGATAAGAATTCTGTCTTGGTTGGTGTACTCAAACCCTTCTGTCTCCAGTACCCTCATGCTTAAGATCACCAGACTCACAATGGCGCCTCCATGGACATTGGCGGTGCTCATTAGGGACGGGATCAGTATGCACAACTGTAGCTTGACCAATTGCAAGAACGACGGCAGCGGGGTGTTGTATTGAGTGCCCTCCACAAACCGACTGAACGTGTAGAGGACGATAGAAGCAACAGCAGAAAAGGGAATCGTTTCGGGCTCTTTCTGTCTGAACCCAGTGGAATTGTAGTTGTCGATCACGAGTTTGAAAATATCCTCATTCTCACCAATTGCAGCACTTTCAAACACCTTTTCTGCCTTGTCGATTTCCTCGCCAAACGACTTGTCCAGCTCCACGTCCATAGACATCGACAGACTCACAAAGCGTCCCAGGAACTCAAGCATAAGCACATTGTCGTCGTCTTTCATTTGTCTCACCTGCGGATACACGGTCGAGATCAGTTCTGGAGCCAACGTAGTAGAGGCGGTTTCGGCTGCCACGGACAGAAGCAGGAGCAGCAATTTCCGTTGGAGGTAATTTTCCTGATCAACCAGCTTTGTCAGGTCCTGTATCGAGTCCCTATTCGAGTCTGGGATGTCTGGTGGGACGTAGTCTCTAATGAACGTGTAGACGCGGCGTGCGACAGCAAGGTCTGTCATAGGCTGGTCTGGATTCTTCATGAAGTTCACCAACGCAGAAACAGCCATTCCTAGGAACTTCGACGGATATATCGTCTGGTTGCGCCGTAGGCTGGTATTGACCAGCTCCAGAATCATGTGGAACTTGATCGTACGGGTCCCTTCCTGCATTCTCAGCCCGAGGGGCGGATTCGCAGCCTGGCCTGGCTCGGTCCCGGCCGTATCGATATCAGCCCTGAGGTCGCGTATGATTTCGCACCCAGCCAATAGCAACTCCTTCGGACTGCCATAACGAGCTAGTATGTCGAAGATCTTCATAATGCACACGAGCGACTTGATTTCGACCAGCGGACGGGGCGTATAGTCCACGTTGCAGAACTTAAGCAGAAGTGCGGGCAGATCCCAGCCGATCTCAGGCAGCATCTCATGGTGGCGGGTGAAAATCTCCAGCAGCTTCTGGAGTATCCGCTCGCGCTCCTCTTCCTTGTACAAAATGGGTTCGCCTATGTAGACATCCAGAATTGTCAAAAACGAGATGTAATCCTTAGACTGCAGACAATCCTTGGCCCCTTCTTCTAGAACCAGTAGCGTTCTTGCCAGATCGGCAGGTTCGCGCGGCTCAGAAACACCAGTCTCCGACATTTCACTACCGTAGAGCACAGAAGGCCAAATATAAACTTCCGGAAAACCATCTTGTCGTAGTTTACGTAATCCTTATAGAAAGGGCACCCGTGCACCACCTACGAAGCATACTTCTCCCAGCCGTCCGGCTTCTTGAGGCCCATGAGGCTGTAGAACTTGGATGTGCAGCTGTACGGCCTGAATGTGAAGTCATCATTAGGAGCGCACATGCACTTCTTCTCTTTCCGAATCTTCTCGTCGATAGGACAGTTGTGGAACGGAACGTGGTAGTAGCCGATATCGTTGAAGAAGTGCACCTGGTCCTTTGGCATGAACAGAGCGACGGCGATCGAGTGCACCGGCGCGTCTCCCCACCTCTCGTAGAAAAATCCGCCCGCCTTGTCGAGATACTCGAAATACTTGAGGTACGCTTCGCTTCTCCAGAAGGCGAGCGAACCGACCTCGAAGTTGGACCAGAAGTGGCAGCCGTTGTAGCTGCTTCCGCCGTCCTCGGAAATCCAGTCCATCAGATTATCCTCGGCTATGTACTGCGGATTCTCCTTGATGAACTCCTTGGTGGTTTTCCACAGCGTAGGAATGGTCTCCTTGTATTCTGGCAGCGAGATGGTCCAGCCGTATGATTTCTTGTTTTCCCTCATGAACTTGAACACGTCGTAGTCGACGTCGCAGTAGATCTTGATACCGGGCTCAACTCTCCAGTAGTAGTCGTACTCCTCGAGCAGAGGGTGTCTGAAGAAAAACCCAGACTCGTACCGACACATGTGCCTGTACGAGATGGAGTCGCCGTAGATAATCTTCTTCTCCCGCATTTCCTCACGCACCTGTGCGGCCTTGTCGGTGTCGATCCAAGGAGGGAAGCTCCATTGGTCCTTGGAGATCTGTCCGTACTTGGTGTTTCCGGAGCAGAACGAGGAGGTGACCTTCTTGAACTCCTCGCTGAACTCGCCGTCGTTCAGGAAAACCCAGTCGTAGTGGAATTTCGAGTTGAATCTGTCTTCGATCTCTCTGATCGAGCCCACCAGCTCCCAGAGATCCTGATTTCTGGCCAGCGAAACAAAAGTGGCTCTTTCCTTGCCACCGAGAGCGGGGGCGGCAACGTCCGAAGCCTCCTTGGGCTTGGAAAGAGTGTTGTCGACAGCCTTTTCCGCCGTTGGCTGGGCCGGCTCGGCCACGCTGGACAAGGCGTCGTTGGCCGTCGAGCCGGTCGCTGGAGCAACGCCAGGGGAAATCGTGTACGACGAGGACGATCCCTTGGTCAGGATGTATCCGCAGAACATCAGCACGAGAGAAAAGATTCCCAACCTAATGAACCTAGCGTTTGCGTGTGCCATTTTGTTAACAGATAGCAGTTTAAGAGTTTTTCTTGACACCTAGGGAGGGTAAGCGCGTGCCGGACGCGAAAGATTATGTAAAAAAGCACGCGAAATAAGCCTTGCTCAGGCGTGGTACACTTCGCTCTCTATTTAGGCAAAACCCGGCACGCCAGTATATACAATGTGTCCAGTGGGAGGCGAGCTTAATTGGCGGCAGGAGTCTTGGCGGCACGCAGCCGCTCCTCGCGCTCCTTTTGCTTGCGCCGTCGCCTCTCCTCCGCGCGCTGGCGTCTCTCCTCCGCGCGCTGCTTCGCCGCCTCTCGTCTGCGCTCCACCTCCTCCTTCTTGCGCTGCTGCTCCTGCTCCTGCCGCTCAGCCACAACGTTCCTGTATTTCTCGTAGTCTGCCATGTGTGGCTGGTGCGCAACCTCCATGTAGTGCAGGTTGCAACTCGAGCCAGAGGTGATCGACCAGTCGAGTCCCGGATCGCACGTGCACCGCGCCTGGCGTCTGAACGCGTCGTCCAGCGGACACGAGCCGGCCACCGTGTGTTTGTACGAGATTTCCGTGAACAGATGGATCTCGCTCGCACGCATCATCTTGGCCACCGCGATCGTGTGCACGGGGGCGTCTCCCCACCGCTCGTAGAAGAAGCCGCCCGCACGGTCCAGATGCTGCACGTACCCCTCGTACACGGGGTTGCGGTAGAAGTCGAGGTTGGCGATCTCGAAGTTCGACCAGAAGTGGCACAGGTTGTATGTGCGGCCGCTGTCGCCGGAGATGAAGGAGAGCAGGTTCTCCTCGTCCGACGGGAGCTGCTCCGCCACCTCGGGCCGCAGGAAGTAGTCCAGACTGGTTTTCCACAGCGTCGGAATCGTCTTCGGAAACTCTGTGAGCGTCAGCGTGAAGCCGTAGTTGACGTTGTTTTCCACCATGTACTTGAACGGGTCGGTCAGGATATCGCATCCGTACTCGATCGACGGCTCCACGCGCCAGTAGTACTGGTAGTCGTCCATGATGGGGTGTTTGTAGAAGAACAGCGAGTTGAAACGGCACATGTGGCGGTAGCTCTCGCTCGAGCCGTAGGCCACGTTCGCATACTGTCTTGACTCTCTGATCTCCTTGGCCTTCTGCGGATCAATGTACTCTGGATACGACCAGTGCTCGTACGGGATGATCCCGTACCGCGCAGTCCCCGACACCATCGCCGAGGTGTGCTGGATGAACTCGTCGGTGAACGGCTTGTCGTTGAGGAAGACCCAGTCGTACTGATAGTCTCTGTTGAACCGGCTCTCGAGCTGCTGGATCGACTGCAGCATGTCGTAGAGCTCCTCGTTGCGCACGAGCGTCAGCATCGTGGCGTTCTGCTTGGCCGGGTTGCCGAACTTGTCCTTCACCACGCGGACTTGCTCGTACGGCTTGTACTCGTGGGTCATGGATCCCCGGTACCCGGGCGGCAGGGGGGCCCTGTCGGGGTTGCGTTTCTGGGGGTTGTCGAGATTGGTGCCTTCCAGCGGGTTCTGGGGGATCTCCTGGAGGGACTCCGACGGCGGCGGCGCGGTGGACTCTGCGGACGACTCGCTGGGCTGTTCGCTCTCCTCGAGGGCGGCCGCCTCTTGGGGCTCGTCGCCGCTATCCTGCTGGCCCTGCTCCTGGGCAGGCTCCCTGGCTGCCTCCGGCACCGGAGCCTGCCACGGCTGGTCCAGCGCAACGTGCGAGCCATTATAAGCCTCCAAGTGTTTGGTGAGCTCCCTGAAGGAGGTCTTGAACCGGTGCGTTTGGTCTACGGTGCCGAACGTGATCAGCAGCACCGTCAGCACAGAGCCCAGCATGAGAAACCGCAATCGTGGGGAACGCAGCATTCGAAGTCTCATAAAAACAAGTGCCTGGTGTCTCGAGGTTTGTATATTTTAGTGGCTTGAGAACGCAGTAAATATCGTGCACAGGCGAAATTTCTTGCAGAGCGGAAACAATATGCAAGGCTTGGCCTGCTGCGACGGATATTCTGGCACAGGTGCGCGCCAGGGCGGGGGCTGGCGAGGTTCTGTTCCTGGCGCACGTCGCCAGCGGGCGGCTTCGTGCTGTGTTCTTGGCGGCTGCTTAAAAAAAACTATAGATCTGCATACTCTTTCCAGTTCGGAGGCAGCGCGCGATTCGTGACCTTGTAGTACCGTTGGCCGCACGAGTACCCGCGGAACGTGAAGTCCGAGCTCTTGCTGCAGCTGCATCTGTTGGTGACCCAGACGTTGTCGTCGAGCGGACACATCGAGTACACCCCGTGGTTGTATCCTATGTCGTCGAAGAAGTGTATCTTGTCGCGGTCCACAAAGAGCGACACGGCGATCGAGTGCACGGGCGCGTCGCCCCAGCGCTCGTAGAAGAAGCCGCCCGAGGCGTCCAGATAGCTGAAAAAGTCCTCGTACACCTTGGACCGCCAGAAATCCATGTCTGCGATCTCGAAATTCGACCAGAAATGGCACAGGTTGTACGAGTCGCCGTTGTCGTCCGAGATGAAGTCCACGAGCGCGTTCGGGTGCTGCGCGTCCGGGTTCTTGCTCAAGAACGCCCGCACCGTGTCCCACAGCGAGGCTATCGTGGCCCGGAACTCGTAGATCGAGATGGTGAAGCCGTATATCTTGTGCTGCTCGCGCATCAGCCTGAACGGATCGTAGCCGAAGTCGCAGAAGAAGTCCACCTCCGGCTCCACGCGCCAGTAGTACCTGTACTGCTGCAGCAGCGGGTGCTTGTAGAAGAAGCCCGAGTTGAACCGGCACATGTGTCTATAGCTCTCGGAATCGGCGTAGATGATCCCCATGTCGGCCAGCCGCTCGCGCTCCTGTCTGGCCTTTTCCTGATCTATAAACGAGGGGTACGACCAGTGCTCCTCAGGAATCAGCCCGAACTTCGCCTCGCCCGACACCATGGCGGAAACCTTATTTTTGAATTCCTCCGAAAAAGGAACATTGTTAAGGAACACCCAGTCGTAATTGAAGTGGCGGTTGAAACGGTCCTCCAGGTTCTGGATCGACGAGATGATCCCGTTCAGGTCCTCGTTCCGACACAAGCTCAGGATCGTGGCGTTTTCGCGCTGGATGTTTTCTGTCTCGGGTGCCTTGTGGACCTCCCTCAGCCTCGGACCGGGCGAACTCTTGATCCAGTATACGTTCGCGATCCCCATGAGGAAAACAACAGTAACAGCCACCCGTAGAACGTACGCAGACCTCAGACGCGCCCGCTGGCGGACGGTCGATAGTAACATTTTATCAGCGAATCACACCGGCAAGCTGGAAATTTTATATATGTAATTTGTTTCGCTTAGGCCGCCTGGGAATTTTTTTTGTTACGTAGCGGACGTGCGGCTTGGAAGAAAACGTCGACAGCCGGCGCAACAATGTGCTACGCTTCTTTGGGTTTCGCACTCCCGCGTTGCTCGTTGACCAGCCGGATCAGTCCCAGCAGCATTATCGTGGCAAAGGGGCCAAGCAACGGGGTGTACACGGCCATCTTGTGCTCCTCTGGGAAATACATCTGCTGCACCATGTCCTTCTGGAAAAAGGCCTTGTCCGAGAGCACGTAAGCCTCGGCTGCCAGCGAGCTGGCCAAGCCCCACCTGCCGTTTTTGACGGCGGCTGCAGCTTCCATTATTCTCTCTATGGCCCGCTCCACCTGCTCACGCGTGCTGTCAGGAACACTTATATTAGGTAATTGCTGACACAGCTTGCACAGCGAGATCAGGTTGTCGATCGATTTGTGCATGTTCTGCAGCGACTGGACCCTGGTGAGGATGTCGGTTCTGATGGCCGGCGACTTCGGCGTCGACGGCGCGCCCACCAGCTGGAACAGCTGCGACGCAAAGATCTCCATCACGGGCAACAGGTCGCCGTACTCGAGCACCTGCTTATCGGTGTTGAGTATGGCTGCGCCTCCCCATTGCGGCACGATGAACGAGTTTGACGCGGAGTTTTCAATCAGAATAGGCCGCACCGCCGACGCAGGAACATATGCCACGAAATTGATCACCGGCACCGACTGGGTGTTCTGGTCCAGCCCCCATTCGGAGTAGTCGATGAATGTGGACGTGTCGGCCTCTTTGAGCAGAAACGCCTTCTTGTCGCCGTCGTACCGCAGTGCTATGTTGTCGGAGAGTTTCCCGTAGTGCTGGACCTGCGAATCGAGCGTGAAGTTCGCGTACGGCGACAGGCTGCGCAGATAGTTCTCGAACAGCGGGGCTGCCTGCTCGATGTCCCAGGCGATGGGGTCGGTACCGCCCTGCAACAGCGACAGCGTGACGTGGTATCTGGGCGAGTAGGGCATTTTTATTGCCGAAGCGGGCCGGTCGTAGCGCGCAAACATCTGGATCTCGTCTGCAAACACGTCCTGCACCAGGGCGCGCGCGATGAGGTCCGCGACTTTGTTGTTGCTGATCACAGTCGGCGACGCGTACAGCCTGATCTTGCGGTCTTCGAACGGAGAAACGTAGATCTTGTCCGACTCCCCGTCCATCACGAGTTCCACCTTGTAGTCGCGGGCTCCTCCGGCGCCGGGTTTGAGGACGATGTGCCACGAGATCGGCAGATCGAAGGACCCGAGCAGAGCGTCCAGACGCTGCTGTGCCTCGGCAACCACACCGGACGCTGTCGCAGGAACCGTCACGTACACGGGGATCTCGTAACTGACGAAGGACCTCAGCTGCGACGACAGGCTGTAGATCTGCGCGGTGGGCAGCTCTGCGCGGTGCACGGACGTGGTGGCATACCACAGCGGTAGCCCGACAAAGGCACAGAGCAGCAGGATCGAATTGAAGATCCGCCGTCTTATTGCGACGTCGTCTCCGGAAACAACAGACATGGCAAAATAAAATAGATATTTTTTTTAATTTGTGCGTCGCGCCAATCGACGCCGTCAGATATGTACATGCTAAAAGTCTATCACGATACCCGGGCCGTGGGTCGTGGAGAGCACCGTCTGGCCCAGAATCGTGGGCGACTTGCTCTGCGCTGCCGCCACCGCAGCCTTGACGGCCTCCGACACGGCAATCACGTTTTTCAGGAGGTCCTCGTCGGAAAAGTCGCACCTGCCAATCTTCAGCGCAATGTGGTCGTTTCTCTGTCTGAATGGCTGCAGAGAAATATTGTCCTCGATGTATTTCGTCACGTCTTCCACCACGGTGCCCCGCTTGGGGGCCGGCATGAGCCCCTTGGGCCCCAGGTTTCTGGCCACGGGCCGCAGCGCAGCAACCATGTCTGGGGTAGCGATGGCTCTGTCGAACGCGGACAGGTCGATTTCGCCGGCCGCGATCTTGTCGACAAGCTCTTTTCCGCCGGCCATTCTCGCGCCGGCCGCCAGGGCGGTCTGCTGCATTGCCTCGTCGGACGCGAAGACAAGGATCTGTGTATCTGTGAGCGGCCGGGCAAACTTGATGCTGCCCTGCAGGGGCGCGTCGCCCTTTCTGGAAACGACCCGCACCTGGAGGGTTATGACTGCTTCGTTCGTGGGACGGCCGACCTCTGCTGCCCGCAGGTACCGCAGGGCCGTGGGAACAGGCATGTACAGAGGGTTTTCGACGGCGGGCCGTCTGGCGTTCCTCGCCGCGACGGCCTCTCTTTTCTCGGCCCGTTTCTGCAGCGCACGCAGCTGTTCGGGTGTTTTCTTGACCTTAGGCGCCGCCAGAACACGCGAGGTGGCGAAAAAACGGAACAATCCGCTGCCTCGTGCCGTACTTTTCAACATGTCGAAATAATAAAAAATTTTGTCGCACCGCTTACATAAATCTAAAATAAAAAAATAAAAAAATATATGCTCCGGATGAGTTGCAAGGTCATATCAGTCATCGGCACCACCGGCGTGGGGAAGTCGCAGTTTGCCGTCGAGCTGGCGCGCGCCGTTGACGGCGAGATCGTGAACGCCGACTCCATGCAAATGTACCGCGGCCTCGACCAGATCACCAACAAGCACCCCGTGCCCGAGCGAAAAGGTGTGCCGCACCATGTGATGGACCACACGCCGTGGGACACGGAGTATTTCATTCATAGGTTTAAGCAGGAGGCTATGGCGGCGATTTCGGACATCCACAAGCGCGGAAAAACCGCCATTCTCGTCGGTGGCACGCACTATTATCTTCAGAGCCTGCTTTTCCTGAACAAGACCCTAGATACCGCCACGAGAGCGCAGCTGAGCGACGCCGAGCGGGCAGTTCTGGACGGCCCGCCCGACGAGGTGTTCCGCGCGCTGCAGCAGAAAGACCCCATTGTGGCGCAGAAGTTCCATCCGAACGACCATCGCCGCGTGCGGCGCGCGCTCGAAATCTACTTCTCCACCAAACAGCGCACGTCTGACCTCTACCGGTCGCAGCAGCAGCACGCAGCGTCGGCGCTGCGCTACGAGATGCTGTTTTTCTGGCTCTACGCGCGGCAGGACGTCCTGGACGAGCGGCTGGACTCTCGCGTGGACAAAATGTTGCAGCAGGGCGCGCTGGACGAGATCCGCGAGCTGCACGCGTTCCGCAGCCAGATGGAGCCCAAGATGGCGCTCGACCGCGGCGTCTGGCAGGTCATTGGGTACAAGGAGTTCCTGCCGTACCTGGAAGAGGGCCCTGAGCGTCTGGCTGGCTGCATAGAGGACATGAAGCGCAACACGCGGCGGTACGCGCGGCGGCAGGTGAAGTGGATCGCCAGGACGCTGACACGCGAGCTGGCACGCGAGGAGCAGTTTGGCTGGCCGAACGGCGGCCAGGTGGTGGTGCTGGACGCGACGGATTTGGGAACGTGGGAGCAGGACGTGGCACGGCGCGGAGTCGACGTCTGCCGCCGCTTCTTGGCCGGCTCGCCGCCTGCGGAGGCGCTGGCGGTGCCGGAGACGCTGGCGGGCGTGCTGGAGACGCGCGGCGAGGCCGCAAACGACGAGACGAAGTGGCAGCACCACTACTGCGAAACGTGCGTGGACGACGCGGGGCGGCCGACGCTGTTTGTCGGGGAGCAGTACGCGATCCACCTGAAGAGTAGGCGGCACCGCAGCAACGCGAAAAAGAGCCACAGAAAGCTGGTGCAAACGAAGTAACGAAAGTATTAGAGCTATTTAACTGCCTTCTTCTCCTGGGACGAGCTTTCCTCGACGCGGCCGTAGTCGTTGTCGATCACGTGCTCTTCGATGAGCTCGGACGCGGCGTCGACGTTGTCAGGCTCCTGCGGCAAGAACAGGTTGAGGACGACGCCGATGAAGCCGGTGACGGCGAACCCGGTCTCCATGACGAGAACGATGGCGTCATAGAAGCCGGAGAGCGAGTTGTTGTCGCCGTGGTAGGTGAAAACGTTGTTAAACCAGTCGGAGACCAGGGTGGCGCCGAAGCCGAACATGAGCGAGCACGTGAGCACAAAGCGGTCTCTTCTGGTGAAGGGCGTGGTGGCGATGATCTTGAGGCCGGACACGGCCACGGACGTGAACAGAAACGTGGTCATGCCGCCGAGCACGGCTTTGGGAATGGCGACGAGTGCGGCGGCGAATTTCGAGAAAACACCCATCACCACGAGGAAGAAGCAGCACCAGTACCCGACGGTTCTGGAGGCGCACTTGGTGATGGAGATGACACCGTTGTTCTGCGCGAAGGTCGACATAGGCGTCATGGTCATGAGCGCGGCGATGATGCCGTTGAATCCGTCGGCGAGCACACCGCCCTGGATGCGCGACTCGTAGTAGGGGCCCTCGATGTCGGTGCGGGACACGTCGCACGTGGCGGTGATGTCGCCGATGGCCTCCATCATGAGCACGATGTAGCACGCGAGGAAGGGCAGCACGACGGGGCCGTAGACGGACAGCTTGAACGTGTGCACCCACATGAAGGTTGCGGCCGGGGCGGCGTCGATCGAGTCGTGGGAGAAGTAGCCGCATGCGGCGGCGACTATGCACCCAACGAGCAGACCGACAATGACGGCGCAGGACTTCATGATGGGGGACCCCCACTTCTCGCACAGGATGATTGTGAGATAGACCAGGAACCCGAGCCCGATGAACTGTGCAGATCCCCAGCTGTAGCCCTTCGCACAGGTGTTGGGGGAGTCCATGCACCCGGAGCCACCTGCAAAGTCCTCAAATCCGGACTCGATCAGCGACACACCAATGAGCAGCACCACAGGACCTGTCACGACGGCCGGGAAAATGCGCTGCAGCAGCGCTGGAGGCAGGAACGAGAGCAACACTTCTAGCAAACCGCACACGGCTGCCGTGCCGAGAATGGCACCGTATCCGTCCGGACATGGCAGCTTCGTGCCGTCGCTGGCCACGGGACAGACTCCCGAGCTATACATGATCGGAAATGCCTTGCTGACAATGCTGATGGTGGCGAATGACGTGCCCACGACGGACACCAGACCAGTGCCAATGTAGTAGGGCGTGTATGGGATCTTGAAACGGGTGATCTGGATCGCAGACAGCAGACCAGAGATGATGAGCGAGCACGACACCAGGTACTGCTGTTGGTCGGCATTCAGGTTGGCGAGAGCGCCAATGATGATTGGCGGCGAGGCGACACCGGCCAGCATCGACAGGGCATGCTGGAGTCCGAGCAGGAAGCCCAGCACGACAGGGATCTCGTCGTCGAGCCCAAAGAAAGGCTGGACTTTTTCGGAGCCCTTCATAAATGGCAGACGTGGGGTGAACAGATAAGCATAATCGTAATCTCCAAGTAGTCCTTCCTTGGTGGAGAACTTGCGCACAATGCGACGAGCAACTTGAGACACAGACATGCTTTGGATCAGAGGAGAGCTAATTTCAGTCAATATATATACAAATTTTTAAGGGTCACTTTGGTGCTGATAAGCCTGCAAGCGTGCTCATTATCGTAAAGTGGGTGAAAAAATTGCAAATAGACAGGATTCAGATTCTATTTGAAGTGACCGGGCCTATTGTTCGCAAAGGGCCGTGATTGGCGTGTGCTGCAGCTAATCTATTCTGGCTCTGCGGCCGCTATTGTGTTTTTTGTTAACCTGCCTTTTCGGGTTTCCCCGAGCTGCCTGTTGCCGTGTGCCGGTGCGAGGCGGAACACTGCTATCTTGTGACTGCTTACGTCAGCTCACGGCAGACGCCGCCTGCAGGCGTTTTCCGCGCGCTGCGGGTTACTGCTTCAAGACGTCTGGCAGCTTGCCGAAGGGCAGCACCTGGTCGATGCGCTCGCACGCGGTGAAAAACATGACTGCGCGCTCGATGCCCATGCCCCATCCCGTTGTTGGCGGCAGCCCCCACTCCATGGCCTCCACGTACGCCGCGTCTGGCAGAATGGCGTCTCTGTCGTCGTGCTCGGTGCGTGCGCTGAGCTGCTCGGCAAATTTCGCCGCCTGTTTGAACGGGTTATTTTCCTCTTCGTATGCATTGATTATTTCTGTGCCGTCAATGTATAGCTCGAATCTGTTTGAGACATTAAAATTATTTTCGGTTGCAGATTTGGCCAGCGGAGACAGCACCTCTGGCAGGTTGTAGAGAAACGTTGGTTCCTTTTGGCACAGCGGCTCCAAATACACCGAGATGAGCTCGTCCAGCAGTTTCTGGGGCGACCTCACCTTGGGCAGCGGCAGCTCCAGCTCCTGGAAATACCGGACCAGCGCCTCGCTGGAGAAGTCTGGTAACGGCCTGCCGGTTTCGAGAGGCAGCTGCTGCAAGCAATCAATTTTTTTAAACTCGCCGCCGTTACGTGACAGGATCTGCTGCAGCCAGCTGCAGCGCTCCCGGCAAATTGCGAGCGTACCCAGCTCGGCTATCAGTCGTTGGAACAGCTTTTCGGTGAATTCCATCGTTTGTGTCAGACTCGTGAACGTTGCATAGAATTCGCATGAGGTGAACTCCGGGTTATGTGTCGCGTCGACACCCTCGTTACGGAACATCGGACCGATCTCGTACACTTTGTCGAAGCCAGAAATGACCAGTTTTTTCAGCCAGAGCTCCGGAGCAACACGCATGCTCAGCTGCACCGGCTCGTCTCTATTGTTCTTGACGTGGACGCTGGTGGTGGTGAACGGCGTGGCATTGGCGCCGGAGTTTCCTGAGCCCAAAATTGGCGTCGCAAACTCCATGAACCCGTGATCTTCCAAAAATCGCCGCAGCGTCGATACCAGCCGTGCGCGCGCCGTCATCACGTCGCGCGACCGCCTGTTCGCCAGGTAGTCGATCACACGGTTGCTGTACACCTTTCCCGGGTCCCTAAAAGCGGGCGGGACCGGGTGCAGCGCGGGCGCCGCCAGCCGCAGCCGCTCGCTCGCTTTCAGCGACAGCTCGCCCGTGTTGGTGGTGCCCGGATGCCCCGTGCACGAGACGTAGTCGCCTGGCTTGAACTGGCCGTGCCAGTCGGCAAACTCGCCGATCGTGAGCCCCATCATCTTGTGGTTCGCCACGATCTGCACTTTGTGGCCGTCCTGGACCAGATCGAGAAACATGCTGCCCTTTCCCGCGCGGCGGATGCTGGCGACCTTGCCGTTCAATATGAACTTGGCGTCGCCAATGACACGCAGCTCCGGCTGTGCCGCGAACACGGGGCGGAACCGGCTCACAAAGCTGGGCACGCGCTCCACGGCCCCGTCGCCAGCAACCAGGTCGCCGTAGACGGGATAGAACCGCGCGTCCTGCTCGGCGGTGGGGAGACTTGCGATCTGCGACTTGCGGAACGCAAAGTCGGACTCGGCCGTGATCTCGCGCCTGGTGGCAAGCCCGCGCGCGCACCCCCGTGCTACTCTTGTGCAGCGTGCTAGCATACTGAACAGTTCTCTAATTTATTTTTTTCCGTGTATGGATGCTCTTTGTTGAAAATTTTCACAAACATGAGTGTGCACTTCCGGCGTCTTCTGGCCACAACAGTGGCAAGACGCAACACGGCCGTCAAGAGCGCAGCCGCGGCCGACCAGCTCGGCCCCAACGTCGTCAAGGAGCTCAAGCACATGTCGCGGGCAGAGTTCGAGGAGCTGCTCAACTCGACGCCGCTGCCGACGCTCAACAGAGACGAGCTGGCGGTGCGCAAGTTCCGGGAGCTGTTCAAGGCGTTTCTGGGCCGCACGCAGCGCGACGGCGCGGGCTCCTCGCGGTCGATGATCGCCGAGTACCCGAACCTCGTCCCGACCGCGCAGCACGACCCGTACTCGGAGCCAGAGCTCGTGGTGCGCCAGAAGTACCACGACAGGGTGCTGGGCGAGCTGGGCGCGGAGATCCGGGGCGTGTACAGGCCGCACGAGCTGATCACCAGCCCGCCGTCGGCGAACCAAGTCACCGTCCAGAAGCTGCTGGCCGCGGGCGCCCACCTGGGCCACTTCACCAGGCTGTGGAAGCACTCGACGCAGCCGTACATCTACGGCGTGTACAACGACCTGCACATCATCGACCTGGAGCAGACGGTCGCGCACCTGAGACGGGCGGCGAGGGTGGTGGAAGGTGTGGTTGAAAACGGCGGCACGGTGCTGTTTCTCGGGCTGCGCGAGGGCCAGCTGCGGTCTGTGCGGGCGGCGGCGCAGCGGTGCAACGGCGTGTACGTGGCCAGCAAGTGGGTGCCGGGGACGATCACCAACAGCCTGCAGAACGCCAAGCCGCGCGTGGAGGTGGACATGGGCGACGTGCGGACGGGCAAGGCGCTGACGGACTTCGAGGCGCGGCGCGTGCTGAAGCCGGACCTCGTGGTGACGCTGAGCGCGCGGGACAGCCGGACGGCCCTGGGCGAGGCCGCGCAGTCGCGGATCCCCAGCATCGGCATCGTGGACACCGACTGCGACCCGGCGCTGGTGACGTACGCGATTCCGGCCAACGACGACTCTATTAGGGCTACAAACCTGATATGTGGGGTGCTGGCGAAGGCTGCGGAGCGCGGCTACCGCACGCGGCTCGACCGGGTCCGCCGGTACAAGGAAAAGCACGGGGCCAGCGCGTCGCAGCCAGTGTCGCAGATTAGCTTTGAGGCCTGAGTGCCATGTAGATAGGAAGGCCTTTATGAATATCGCGTAGCTAGTTGTTCTTCTTGTCGTCGGACTCGGACTCGGACTCGGACCGCTCGTCCTCGGCCACGTTCAGAAACACGTACCGGTACATGATCCGCAGGATGAGAAACAGCCAGTACAGGTTGACGAGCTGCAGCGCGAAGATCAGCGTGAACACGATCGGCTGCGAGATCCAGCACTTGTACTGCTGCGTGGCAAAGTTGAGCGTGTACGGCCCGACGGTCCGGAACTCGGTGAGCACCGACCACAGAATCCGGAAGTTGAGCCAGTGTCTGAGGTAGATCCACACGGCCACAAACATGAAGAAGAACGGCCCCACGAACACCGAGTCCAGGTAGTTGAGCGTCTTGGACGTGGCCAGGAAGAAGTCGGAGATGTCCATCGTGATGTACACGGCAATGCCCATCCACGTGAAGTTGAACCTGTACGACAGGCCGATCAGCAGCATTGTGACGACGTGGTGGAACACGAGCTCCTTGAAGTCCTTGCGCGGCTTCTCCAGCTGCAGGATCAGCACCACGCTCTGCTGCGCCCAGAACGCCGCCTGCGCCAGGTAGTAGAACTTGAACAGGTAGAAGTTGGCGATGTGCGGGTACTCCTCGTAGAACGCCCTCGTGTTGAAGTACCACATCGGCGTCTGCTTCATCACGTACAGCCCCAGCGGGCCGCTCACGCCGTAGTAGCACATCGAGTACGTCTGCTCCGTGAACCGTCTAACCTTGGACTCCTTGCGGATGCCAAAGTACAGCGCAAGCGGCCGCAGCACAACCTGCATGAGGAACTCTCTGTAGAACGTGAAGAACACCATCATGTACGCGACAAACGCAAAGTCCTTCCAGCCCTTCTCGTACAGAGGCGGGTTTGTGCCCGGAACCTGGTACGACATGGTCATAAACATGTGCAGCGGGTTCGACGGAGTGTAGTTGTTGGAGAACCAGTACGCCAGCTGCGTCGCGGCCAGAAACACCAGCGGAGGCAGCCACGGGTGTCTGTAGCTGAGGATCTTGACCGAGACCCAGATCTTGCCGAGCACGGCAAGATCGTCGCCGGAGTCTGTGGTTCTGTTGAGCTGTTGTTTGTGCAGCTTGGCCGTCGTCTTGACGTCCTTATCAGAGTGCATGGTGCGCAGGGACGGCACCGCGTTGTCTCCGAGATTGATCTTGCCCACAGAAGAGTGCCGACGTCTGCGTGTAGTGTTTTCCATAAGCAAAGAATAACAAAAGGCTTAAATGTCGCAAACGTATTTTCTGCCGCAGACGGGTGCACGGGTGTGGAAATAAAGTGAACAAACACCGAAGAATATCCAAACATGGGCTCCTTTGTTCGCCGTCTGCGACGGCGCGCGTTTTTCCGCGTGGCGGCGGCCGTCTTTCTGGCCGCTGTGGCCCTGGCGCTGTTGCCCCGGCGACGTCGCCGCGGGCTCAGCTACTACGAGCTCCAGCTTCAGTCTTCCAGCCTGAGCCGGCCGTTTGCCGGGCTGCGTGCCGGCGAGGCGGGTCTGGACGCACTTCTGGAGTACGAGCACAGCCTCAGCGAGCTGCGCAACTCGCAGGGGCCGCAGCCGGTGCGTTTTGTGCCCGTCGCCAAGACAGACAGCGAGCTGAAGCGCAACACGCAGTTCCAGAAATATTTCAAGGACATTTGGGCCACGATTCTCGCCAACAAGCCCAGGGTGGGGTTTGAGCTGGCGCCGAGCATGGCCGGCTCGGGCATGCCGCTCGACGTGCTGGTCAGGCGCGAGTCCGGTGCGTATAAGGCGGTCAATATCGCCATGCACGACACCGCCGGCACGCCGCTGCTCAGCGAGGAGTACCTGCTGAACTGTCTCAAGGTGCCGCCCGAAATGGTGGCCGACCTGGCTGCGTCGCACAAAAATGTGGTGCGCGACCTGCCCGCGGCGTATCCAGAGGGCCTCTACGAGGGCGCAGGCATTGTGTTTATTGGCGGCGGCAAGTTCTCGTGGCTGTCGCTGCTCGGGATCCAGAACTTGCGCGCAACGGGCTCAAAGCTGCCCGTCGAGCTCATCTTCCCGACGGAAGCCGAGTACGAGGAAATGCTCTGCGAAAAAGTGCTGCCCGACCTCGACGCCAGGTGCGTGCTGCTCACAGAGCGCGTTCCCGAGCTCCGCAAACACAAATACACAATCAGAGGCTACCAGTACAAAAGCCTGGCGCTGCTGGTGTCCTCTTTTGAGCGGGTGCTGTTTCTCGACTCGGATAACGTGCCGGTGGCCAACCCGGACGCGATTTTTGTGTCGGAGCCGTTCACGTCGCACGGGATGGTCACGTGGCCCGACTTCTGGCGCCGCGTCACACACCCCACGTACTACAAGCTCGTTGACCGCGAGCTCAGCGACGAACAGGTGCGCAACAACATCGACGACGTCACGCCAAACAAATATTATGCACGTGACCCGAGTCACGCGTTCTCGAGCATGCCGCTGCACGACCGCGCCGGCGCGCTGCCGGACCCGTCGAGCGAGTCCGGCCAGATCGCTGTGGACAAGCGCACGCACATCCGGGCGCTGCTGCTGGCGCTGTACTACAACTACTACGGCCCGCAGCAGTACTACCCGCTGTTCTCGCAGGGCGGCGCTGGCGAGGGCGACAAGGAGACCTTTGTGGCTGCCGCGCAGCATTTTGGGCTGCCCTTCTACCATGTGCGCAAGGCCGTCGATGTGATTGGCTACTGGCAACTCCAGCCAGAGGAGCACTACACGGGAGTGGGCATGATTCAGTACGATCCGGTGGTGGACTACAAATTGGTAGCAGCGTACAAAGACTGGTTTTCAGCTCGCGAAAGGGAGCACGAGCGACGCCAGGCGTCGCTTGTGGGCCGCTGGCGCGACTGGTTGTCCGGAGATGTGGTGTACGACCCTGCTCGAACGTTCACGGGCTGGTTCAACAAGACTAACAGCCGGCCGATGTTTGTGCACTCGAACTTCCCGAAACTCGACCCGGTCAGTCTGCGCAAGGACGACTTTCTGTTTGTGACGAGCGGGAGTGCGCGCAAGCGGGTCCGCATGTACAGCGACCAGTCCGGGCTGGACTTTGACTTCGAGCTGCGCCAATGGCAGTTCATCAAGAAATACTTCTGCGACAGGGCCATCGATCTCAATTATCTGCGCGTTGCCGGCGTGACGTCGCTGGACTACTGCGACTTCATTGAGCAGGAACTGGAGTTTCTCGAAAGTACCCAGCACCTGGTGAATGTCCGCAACGCTACCACTAGCGAAAAATAATTAAATAATTTTTTTAAAACATGCTAAATTATAGATTCCCGGCCGAATGAGCGGAGACCAGAGTACACGGGAATCGCTCCAGGAGGACGAATTTGTCGACTCCGTTTTCCGGTCGCTGACGGAGCGCACCATGGAGGAGCCGGCTCCGCTCGAACGCATGACCTCCCAGATACAACAATACTACGACAGCCTGCTCAACAACGCCGACTGGAACGTGGCAAACCTGCAAGTGCGGCCGGGGCAGCCGACGTTTTTGATCTGGTTCGTGTTTTCGTCGTACTTCCCGCTGATTTGCGGCTGTATCGGCCCGCTGTCGAACCTGCTTTCGGTAGCATCCGTGATTTGCAAGTGGAAACAGGACAAGGTCACGGGCAAGCCGGCGGGCGCCGACGAGAGCTGGTGCTACACGGTGAACTCGATCTCGATGGTGTGCGGGGTGGTGGCGAATATTTGTCTCTTGCTGAACTACCGAAGAAAAATGAGCTACCGCTATGCTCAAATAGTTTCCGTGACCGGCTGGTTTGTGGCCAGCATGATGCTGATGCTCCTGGTAGCCATCTACCATGTGGAGTTTCTGCGCCACGAGCACTATATCAGGTATTCTTATTCTTACGGGTTCTGGTTTGCGGTGTTCACGGTGGTCCTTCATTTTGCCAACTTTCTGCTGCTCAGTCTCAACACCCTCGGCGTGCTGCTGAAGAAGTACCCGCCGGATTTCAACATTGATGGCGTGCAGAACACGCTCATCTTGCAGAGCATGTTCTTCGTGTCCTGGATAATGTGGGGGGCCGGCATGTTCACAGCTCTGCTGCACGTGTCGTACGGCGAGGCCCTGTACTTTTCGATAACGACGATTCTCACCATCGGGCTCGGCGACTTTGTTCCGCAATACAGCGGCGCACAAACACTCACTCTGCTCTGGTGTATCGTGGGGCTGGTGGTGTTCGGGCTCATAATCTCGACCATTAGGGAACTGGTCATGTTCTCGTCTGCCTCTACGTTCTACTGGCACCGTTTGCAGAGGTTCCGCGGCGACGAGCTGAAAAATGCACCGTCAAATCTGTCGAACCAGGAAAGTTTCAACCGCATGAAAAAGGCCAGCAGAAAAGCAATGTGGCATGAACACATCTTCAGCGCGCTAACAATCCTCAGCGCGTGGCTGTTGTTCTGGCTCCTGGGGGCTTTGCTGTTCTCCGTCTACGAAGGCTGGACGTACCATCTCAGCTGCTACTTTGCGTTCTTGTGTTTTGTCACGATCGGGTATGGTGTTCCGGCCCCCACCACGAGTGGCGGCCGTTCATTTTTCTGTGTGTGGGCAATTTTGGCGATCCCGGTTATGACCATCCTGGTTATGAACATGAGTGATTTCATTTTCAGCTCGCTCGAGACAATACAGAACCTTAATATTCTGCGCAAGAGAAGCTCCTCCCATTCAGACGACTCGGACTCCGAGGAGGTGATCCTCCACCACCTGCTAGACCCGAAAAAAGCGTCTAATCTCGACATTGTCACCACTAAGGAGTACCTGTCTGCCTCCTCAATCGCGACCGAGCTGGCTAATTATAATAACCCCAGTTATCAACAGCCCGACCACTGCCACCTAGCTGCGCTGCGCAAAGAACCAAATACTGCCTCGCAAGAGTCACTTAAACCTCGTCTCCTCAAGCAAAATGATCCGCTCCTATCCAAAATGAGCCAACTACAACAAATAATCATCGAACTGCGCAAATCCACCCTTTTGACCAACATAAAGCCCGGCTTCAAGTATTCGTTCCAGGAATGGAACAAGTTTCTGTCTCTGACCGACCTCGACACGAGCTCCGAGTTCTGGCTGGGCGAAAAGTCGCCGTTCGGGTTCCCCAACGACGAGCCGCTCTATTTCACATACCATTTTCTCCATGCCCTCGACCGCAAATTGCACGAGCTGGCGTTGCAATATGACCAAATGAACTAATACCTCGCATCCGCCGATATGTATACTTACCAAATACTGAGATTAATAGAATGATTAAATGAGAATACTGGATTAATGATAAAAGGTGCTATTTGTTAGTGAAATTGAGATCAGTACATGTACCTAGGGATAAATTGCGATCTGATTAATACAATGGGCCCAATGGAATAACTACCATGTGAGAGTCAAGGGAGAATCAAAGGGTAAACCAATGGAACAAGGCGTTCTGCGAGTTAGTAGAGGCATGCCCAGCGTATGCTAAAGTATTAGATTATAAAGTATATGTTGCCCGCATGAAATTAATGCGATCGCGCGTTCTAGCAAAGATGACGTGAAACAGACGGTCGTGTCTGCAATGACGGATTAAAACAGCAATGGGGTTGGATATGCAAAGATGCGGGTGCGACGGCGAACAGGAATATGCAAAGGTCGATTATCTCTTGCGGCGGGTCTTGCTCGTGCTACGTTTTCTCGCGTCGCCGTTTTTGTTCTGGTGCATTCTGCCAACGTGGATCTTCATGTGGTCGGACCTGGTGAACTTGCGGTGGCAGAACTCACAGACGTACCGTTCGAGATGAAGATGGACACAGTTGATGTGACGCGACAGGAGCGCGCGGTTTTTGAACTGCTTGCCGCAGTTCTCCACCTCGCACACAAGCTTGCCGCCTGGCTGGATGAGCGGGCGATGCGGCAGCTTGACAGGGATCTTGAGCGTGATTTTAGACTTCGAATGGAGTGCCAACTCCGAGTCGTCGTCGCTGGCGTCCAGGTACTCTGCTTTGGCCTCCACAGTTGAAGCGTCCATGGCAGGCGAGCCGCGGTAGGAGATGGGTGTCTCCGGCGTGGACTCCGTGAGAAAGTCGTCCGGAAAAGCAGAGTAAGACGTGTCGAACCGGCCAAGACCAACTGGTGAAGAAGGCAATAGGTGAGGATAGACAGACTGATAGATGGACGCGAGCGAGAAGTTGTTGGCGTGGCTGGAGCCACTGAGATCGACTTTCGACGGGTCGATGGTGAGCTCCGGCATGTCTTCGTCGTCCGGAGCGCATTTCTGCTGCGATGTTTCAGGGGTGTTTGACAACCTTGAACACTCGAAATCGATATCGACGTCGTATTCGACGTCGGAGTAGTTGAGGTCGTCGTACTGGATTTCGTGCAAGAAGTCGCCCGCATTGAAATCGATCTCCTTCAATTCCGACACGAGCGACTCTTTTCTTTGTTCAACGATTTCTAGGTCTGAGTACCCGAAAGCGGATACTAGCTCCATCAAAGGAGTGGGAGTGTCTCTAGAATCCATGCCCTATGCTCTTCTTACCGCGTGGAATGCCTTAAATTCCAGTCGGGTGTGTCCATGAAAACAACAAGAAGCTGTGTTTTGTGACCGGATCGGGCATTTGCCATGCTTTATATAATTTTCTTATCAGCTTTGTCAGGCTACACGCATCGCCAGAAGTGCTTGCGGCGTGGTGGCGCAGTAAGTGACACATTATCGCTTCTCGCGGCCCGTTACCCGGTCGTCGCGCAAGGGCACACTTTGTTTGACCTTCCCGAAACATGCAGTCCACTTTTCCTAACCGGGTAACTACAGCTGCGACCTCGCCACAGGTCCAGCGCAGCCCCCCATCCACACAACATCACACGTGGTCCACAAGCGGCCTCTGCCTGCTCAAGCAGCACACTAACGTACGCACCGCCTGCCCGCCACCCCGCCCAATTAGCATTTCTTTCGTCCTGCCCGTCTCCGCTCCCCACCAGCCTCATCCGGCACAGCCACAGACCCTCTAAAAGAGCAACCACGCAAATTTCATCTCTTCCAGATAACCTTTGTTCAATGCTGTCGTACCAGGACAGTGCCCCCTCCATTACGAGTAAATCCACTCGCCAGAGTGTGTACCAGACCAACGGACGGCCACTCAGCGAGGAGGCCATCTACAGGGCCAAGTTGAAGTACGGAATCTACAACAACCCGGCCAAGGTCAACCTTGGCGTCGACCCTTCCGCTTCAGACACCGCCGCGCTGCTGGCCTCCTCTTCAGATCTGTCTGTGCATCCTTACAAGAGAGAATTGTCCGCAGAGGCCGCCACTGCCGCCCTGATTGCCAAGACGGACTCTGCGCCTAGGGCCTGGAAGCGCAACACCTTTGCACCGGAAGCAGAATACGCCGCCATCAGTGCCAAGTCCCAGAAGTACCCGTTCTTCGAGGAGGACGAGGACGGCGGCGACGCGGAGCTGTCGCAGGACGCGGCCTCGTCTGTGCTGCGCAAGTCCGCGTCGGCCACCGCCAAATCGGCCCTCCAGGACGTGTACGACTTTGACGACGTGCGCTCCGGCCGCACCACCATGAGCAACCTGCATGCCTCGTCGACCCCGGGCACCACCGTGCGCGGCGCGTACGAGGCCAGCAAGGTGATCAACATCGGCCGCATCCTCAACCGGGCCACCGACTCGGCCACCAAGAGCATGAACTCCAGGATCAACCCGGACCAGGACTTCCGTTCCGGCCTCACCACGGCCAACGCCTACACGAGCGCAAACGGCGCGGTCGATATATCCAAGATCACGTTCTCGGCCAAGGAGAGCGCGCTCAAGAGCATGTCCTCCAGGCTCAACCCGAACAGGGACGGGCTGTACGGCATTCCTACGGCGAGCGACAACCTGAACAACGAGGAGTTTGCGTCGGTCGGCGCTCTGGCGTCGCTCAATTTCGACCCGCGGCTGGACTATGCGGCGGCGGAGCGCGCGACGCTGGCGCGCAACTCGCTCATCGACAACCGCGTGCTCATCAAGGCCATCAGCAACGCCAATGCCATGCTCGACCAGATCGACAACAAGGCTGTGCAGGACAATATATTTGGCAACCGGGAGTGGAACGTGAAGGCCCTGCAAGTTGCGCAGGCGAACTTCGAGAAGCGCAAGAACCAGACGAGCGGCAAGATTGATGTTGGCGGCGGGCTTTGGATGAGCATTGACGAGATAAACCGCCTGGCGTCGTCGGTGGTGACTCCGATTTTGTCCGATCTGAACGACAAGGTGGAGCAGCAGCGTATGACGAACTTGGCTGCGCAGCAGCGCAAAGCCGAGCTGAAGCAGGCGCAGGCGGAGTTCTTCGCTGCTCAGAAACAGGCCAAGCTCGAGGCTAAGCAGAGACGCGAGGCCGGCAAGGTCTCACGTCGCCAGAAGCTGCAGGAAGATAAGGACACGCTAAGAGAGCAGCAGGCGCAGATGAAGGCCGAGCAGCAGGCCGCTCTCGAGGCCAAGCAGCAGGAGTTCCGCGAGCAGATCGAGCAGGAGGAGAAGAGCAAGCAGGAACTCGACGCCGAGCGGAACGACAAGCTGACCGGGCTCCAGAAGGTGAAGGACGGCAAAGACGCCGAGAGACAGGCCGAGCTGGATGCGATCCTCGCCGAGAAGGACGAGGAGCTAGCTCCGCTCGTGGCAGAGTGCGAGAAGGAGACTACTGCGTGGAACGAGCTTAAGGCGAAGCGCGAAGAGGCCGAGGCGTATTTGGCGGAGCACCGGGACCGCTATGAGATTGCTAGTGCGAAATTGGAGTCGACATTCAAAAAATTGGAGAAAATCACCGCCAAGATCGCCGAGGCTGAGGCTGCGGTTGCAGCCGCGTCGAGCGAGTCTAACAAAGTGACCTCCGAGAGCGACCAGGTGCACGAGCAGGCCGAGAAGGAGTACGAGCAGAAGATGCGGGAGCACGAGGAGTATGTGGCGGCGAGATCCAAGCTTACGCAACAGAAGGAGGAGCTTGAGGGGCAGAGAAAGGGCCTTGTTGCCGAGTTGAAGGACCTCAAGGCGGCTAACAAGCAGCAGGAGAAGAAAATAAACTCGATTTTGCCCGAGCATCTGCAGAGAGACATCAGCAGTGACATTTCCGACGAGGAGACGATCGACCATTCGAAGTTCAAGCTCGACGACGCGTCGATCCCTGAACCGCCGCCCGTGAAGGTGGAGGAGCCAAAGAAAGAACCAGTCGACTACGGATTTACCGAGGATGACGAGCCAAAGCTGGTGAAGCGGACGGAGCAGCAGCCAGAGCAGCAGCCAGAGCAGCCAGAGGAGCCGGAGGAGCCAGTGGCAGACGTGGCTACCAGCGAGCCAGCTGCGGTCGAGAAGCTTGCGGCTGTGGAGGAGAAGCCAGCTAAGAAGAAGAAGGAGGGTCTGGGAAAACGGTTCCTCAAGTTCATGACCCAGGAGCCACCGAAGCCAAGGAAGAAGGTGAAGGCTTCTCGTAAGGCAGCTCCACAGGCAAAGGAGACCAAGAAAGAGCCATCAGAGGAGGCGGCAGATGCATTCTCGAACTTCTCTCAAGGCTCAGAGGTTGCTGAGAAATAAGACTGTTCATTTCCTGTGCATTTGTATTAGTATTACGTAGGTGAGACACCTCTGAGGGATACTTTTTTTTCTATTTTTTTTTTTTTTTGAGACCAGCCACTGCACTTAATTATTTCCAAAGGGGTAACCAAAAAATTGTCCTGATAAAAGTTTAGGGCATTGTTCCAATGGCCAGATTAAATAAGCACAAGCCGGTGTCGACAACGCCAAAGACACCCAAGTTGGGCTCCAGCACGAGCTTCAAGAATTCGCCAGCCAGTATCAAAAAAACACCGTCAAAAAGCTCCGACACGCCAAAGGTCAAGGCAGGCTCGACTCTCAGCTCTGGGCTCGCGAGAAACCAGCCGGGCGACCCGACAGATATCAAAGCGCAGAAAAAACGATTCAAGCCCGGAACTGTGGCCTTGCGCGAGATCAGAAGGTTCCAGAAGTCCACAGAGCTGCTTATCAGGAAACTCCCCTTTGCCAGACTCGTCAGGGAAATCGTCCAGGACGAGTTCGGAACAAGCACCTACAGATGGCAATCGGTCGCAGTGCTGGCGTTGCAAGAGGCCGTCGAGGCGTATCTTGTGCATCTGTTCGAGGATACCAACCTGTGCGCACTCCACGCGAAGCGAGTCACCATCATGCAGAAAGACATCCATCTTGCCAGGAGATTGCGCGGGGATTGAGTCCTATTAGTGTATGTATACTACAACCTGTTGTGCCAAATACCAATCGGGCCCTTTTCCATGTAGTCCTCGCGCAGGAAGGAGCCCCCGACGGCGTGCGAGTTGAACACCTGCTTCGCGAGTATCTGTGCGCCCAGAAACGAGCAGTCCTCGAACCCGGTCTTCTTCCACTCGGCAAAGTAGTCCGGCCGGCTCAGCAGCTTGACGTGTTTCGGCACCTGGATCAGGTTCAGGTCCTGGATCATGTTATTCGTATCGCGGAACGCTCCGCCCTGAGCAGACGTCGCGCCCTGTCCAACCACAAAGTTGCGGTACAGATGCACCACAAGCGCCTCCTTGAACCCGCTGATCTTCGTCGTCTGGCCCACCAGGATCAAGTTGTCGTAGCACTCCTGCGCTCTTTTGAGATCTGTAATTTTCGACAGTGTGCGATGGATAGCCGCTCCAATGCTCTCGATCAGGTCCGTGCAGCCCTGAAACCGCTCCTTGCCCACGCTCACAACATTGCCCTCGCTGTCCACGAACGTGTTCGTTTCCAGCTCGCTGTTTGGCTTCGACTCTGCCGCCGCCTTGCCGCTCTTGCGCTTCTCCTTCTCCTTCTCGGCCAGAATCTCCCTGGTGGGCTTGTCGCTCGTCACGATCGCTGCGACGTCGAGCACGCCGTCGTCCTCCTCTTTTTTCTCCACCAGCTGCTCTGCGCCGAAAAACGAGTTTTTGGCGTCCTCCTCACTCAAAACCTCAAAAATCGCTGACCGCTTCAGCATTTCCACCTGATCGCTCGTCAGGTCCGGCAGGATTTTGGCCAATCTATCGTTTATACTCTTTCCGCCCTTGTCAATGATTTTTATCCCCGGAATGTACACCTGGTAGTCCAGGATCGGCGTGATCTCAGTCTTTTCGTAGCCAACGTCAACAACACAAGCGTTGGCCAAAGACCCGTACGCGAACATCGAGCACAGCGACGCAGGCACTATGGAGAAGGCCCCGAACTTCAGCGTCTCAAAAACGTACTTGGTGATCATTTCGATCGCGTCGTTCGACCATCTGTTGGAGGTCTGCACCACGGTAAAGGCGATGCTGTTGAGGAGCAAAACCGGATGGTCTTTGAGAATTGAGCGAGCAATACACTTGAACAGGAAATTCAGTCCGTGGACGTCGACGATTTCGCCCTTCACAATGGGGTACACAGCGAGTGCCTCGTCCTGAGGCTTGATGGTGTAGTACGCCGTGTCCTGTGCATTTTTGTACACTTTCGTGGGGATGCTGTATGCGGGAGGACTAAGCACGTCCTCAATCCCAAATCGCACGAGCGTGTTCTGCGAGCCCGGCTGGACCACCAGGAAATTATCCTCTCTGAACGAAGGCATAAAACAATATTTATTTTATTTTCGTTTTTGGAAAATGCCTACTCGACTTTTTGTTCTCCCCAAGATTACCCGGCTATTCAGCACTATATAAACGGCCCGTCCCCGAAAAATATTTTCTCATACTTACCTTGGGAAATCACAGGAGATCATGAAGTCCTTGTGATCGGGCCTGTCCAGTGTGCTTTGCACGTACCTGCTGCTGGCAGGCTCGCCAGCTCTTCCCTTTGGAGGAGTGTGGGTCTCATAATTTTTGATTTACACTTACAAAGTTCCAGCTTGCTGAATTTTGTATCTAGGTCGGCTTGACCACCGCGTTGTTGACATGTTTCATGAACGTTTGTAAGCTCACGTCGTCCGTGAGGATCACGGCGCCGCTGTCGGTCTGTCCGTTCGCCAGAATGTGCAGATCGTCGCCGTTTTTGTACGACGTGGTTGGGTTCAGCTTCGACATCAAAAACCGCGCCTGCGACCCGCCTTCCTCGGTGTCGATAAATCGCGGCAGTGGGAACCGGTCGACAAGGATGTCCGCGGCTTCCACACGCGGCTGGTTCAAAAACTCCTTGAAGTATTCGTAGTCCGGCAGGTCCTGGTACCCCTGTCTTCTCCACTCTGCTATTTGGGAGCCATGGAAAATTAGTAGGTGGAAAAACGTGTCCAGGAGCAGGATTCTGTCTGGTCTGATCGAGAGCGAGTCCAGCAGCACCGGCTCTGGCTCCTTTTCGATCTCAAACGACGTCAACGTGGGCTGAATCATAATGAGCGAGTTCATGCACTCCTCGGTCAGGAAGCAGTGTCGGTAGAACGCCGTTTCGTCCGGCGACGAGTTGAAGATCTGGATGAAATTGGATCGTCTCAGGTGGTACATGAACTGCGGAAAGAGGTTTAAATTCTGAGACAGCACCAGCGACCGCGGATCGCCCATTTTGTAGCTTCCAAACTTGGAACACAGGTCCACCAATATCTTGTCGCACCACCGAATAGCGTCCGTTGAGTTGTCTTTCAGCACCTTATAGAGCGCCTGACGGGCGACCAGGACGGCTGCGGCCTCCTGGTCGAAGAAGTCAATCAGACTCTGCCCCGGTTGCAGACTTGGCCGGTGACTGGTGGTCACGTGCAGTCTGCGCGTGCCGTCCGAATGCTGGTAGCTGGTGATGAATTGTATGATTCCGAACGGCTGGCTCGCCTCAACGACAGGCTCGAAATACACGCCGTACGTCGAGTGCACAGAAACCCCGCCCAGCTTCCACGTGTCGGTGCCCCCTACGCCGACCTCCTTGTCCGCAACAAACGGCGTCCTGTGCTTGAGCGCGATCACGTGACCGACGATGCCGCTGAGCTTGAGGTTGCTTGTGGTTTTGATCTCGAGCGTGGCGTTGAGGCCGAACTCGAGCGCGCCCGCGGGCGTACGATTGAAAAACCGTTGCAGAGACTGCTTGAAAATGGCGGTCGAGAAACCGTCGCTCTGGATCACCGTGCCGCCCGTTCCGTGCATGAGACATTCCATCTCGGCGAGTCCGACCTGGTCGTAGGAGCCAACGAATATGTCCACTGTGTGGCCAGCCTTGGATGCAATGGCCGCCAGTTCTTCGTAGAATTTTGCCGCTTTTTTGTATTGCTTCAGCATGGCCGGATCTTTTTGCAAATCGCTGTGTGATCTGATTGGGTTTTTCAGAGCGGTGTCCACGATTTTGCCCGGACCATATGTGCAGGGGCCTCCGGTAAACAGCATCAGACGGGCGCCGGACTTGGCGAACGTGGACGAAAGCAGGTTGGTGGCTACGTTCAGCGCAGCTCCCGTAGCACGCTCGTTCCGGTGGTATTTCTCGACAGGAAACGAGTCTGGGGCGAGCGACTCGATTAGAGTAGTGAGCTGGAACTCGCACATAGCCAGCTGCTGGATGAATCTGCTCGCAGGGTTGAGCGGCATTTCAGGCTGGTTCTGGACGGGTCTTCTGTGTGCCTTGAGGTCTCCAGAAAGCACGCCCAGAGTTTTCTCTATCTGGTCCGCGTTGTAGGATTTCAGCCCGTTGAAACAGTAGCTCGAGCAGGAGTCCTGGTGGCCGATCTCGTGGACGTTGACGTTTTTGCCAAACGTGATAAAGCCCACCAGGGCATCTGGGGGAATCAGGTTCAGTGCCACCAGCAGGCTTTCCTTCAGGGCAGCGAGGTTTTCCGGTTCCTGGCACAGATCCACCACAAAGAGGAACACGTAGGGCTGCTGCGTGGCCAGCGGCGGCAATATGTACTCGTAATTGACGGCCTCAGGACGAGCTTCGAATGGCAGATCGGTGAGCTCGTGGGCAAACTGGTTGCGCAGCCGACACAGCGAGCACGTCCACGTTCTGCTCTGCAGGTCAGGCTGGCAGTACGGGTTCAGCAGGGCGCGGCACGCGCGACAGGAGATGGGGGGCCCGTTTAACAAGAGCGGACTCTCCATGGGTCTGAGCGGCTGGTACAGACAGGAGAACGGCACAACGTAGTTTTTGGCATCACTCTTCGACTGCGGCAGCGCGTTCCACGCAAACCGCAGCCCCGTCACGTCTTCGTACGCTTCAAAAGACATGCAACTCGGGGACAACAACTGCCAGCTGTATTGGCGTATGTTTTTGAAAAAAAAAGATCGGTCTGGGGAGTAAATAAATATTGGAAATAAATCAGCCTTATTTATGATCGAGCAGCTGGAGCACGAGTCGCTGGCAGAGCTGGTGGCGGACATTTTGGAACGTGAGTGGCCGCCGGGGGAGATCTGTGTGGTCGACCTCGCTCCAGATCTGGCCCAGCCGGCCCGTCTGCCACGGCTGAGCGTCGCACAGCTCAAAACATACTCGCGGGTCAGATACGTGTGCGTGCAGCTGTTTAGACTGCACACGGTGGCTGCGCTTTTGGCCCGCTTGCAGTTCGAACCGTGCACAAGCGTTGTTCTGCATGGGCTCTGGGAGCAGCTTTCTGTGGTGTACTCAGAGATCCTTACCACGCCGGAGCCGTCGTACGTCTCTGAGTTCAGCGAATACAAAGTGTCGATTGTTGTTCTTGTGCTATACAAACTGCAGGTGTTGAGTGAGAAAAAACGGGTGTTTCTTAGCGATGGCGCCGCAGTTGTGCAGCGGCTGGGCGCCATTTTCGTCTCAAAAAACGACACGCTCGACGACGTGAAGAGGTTCCGGGAGCACAACCTCGTGTCTGTTGAGCAACTGGCTAGTCAATTTGGAATGAAGTTCTCTAGAAAGGCGACGGCTGGATCTGGTACTGGCTCTGCTGCGGGCTGAACCCGAACGTGGTCGGATTCGGCGACGGCAGCGGCTGGCTGTTTTTCGCGTCTCTCAGCAGCTGGTGGTACAGCTCGACGCTCGCGTCCACGTTTTTCTGCATACTTTGCAGCTCCAGCACTTTGAGCTTGTACAGATCCAATATCTGGCGCAGCGTCTCCCTCGTCTGCGTGAGCTGGTCCAATTTGCCCGGGATCTGGTCCCTAATCAGTATGCTTTCGAACTCCTGGCTGGAGATCGGCTGCGAAGCCAGCCGCGTCTTGAGATCGATCAGTTTCGACAGCAGCACCTCCACGTTGAACGAGTTGTCCAGCAGGGTGACCAGCTCGGCCAGCTCGCGCTCGGTGGCCTGCGGCACCTTCTCGACGTAGTTCACAGGCACAATGCCCAGGTTCCCGTTCAGACAGCCCCGAATCCAGTCGTCGTTGACCTTCTCGACAACGACGATGATGTCGTCTTTCCTGAACGACAGCGTGTCTTCGTCGTTCGATTGCAGATCGTACAGAGCACGCACTTTTTCTGGGGCCGGAACCGGCGCAGGCGCGGGAGCTGGCGCGTACTCTGGCGCGCCAGCAGGCACATCCGGCGTCTGCCCGGCCACGGACGCGCTCTCGGGCTCGCCGAACGGCGGGCCCGTCTCTCTCAGCGACATCTCGATCGCCTTTCTGAGCTCCTCGTCCTCGTCGCCACCAGCGGGCTTTGGAGTGCCGTCGACCTCAGACACCGCCTGCTGGCACAGATACAGGTACTTCTTCTGCAGCTCCTTGAAACTGTCCTCCATCGCACGCAGCGACTCGTCGCCCTTGAAGCTCTTGCTCAGCTTGTAGATCTCCTTGATGACAGCGTACTTGATGGAATTGTGCATTTTCGGATCGTTCACCAGCTTGACAAGGTAGTTGTTGACGAAGGACCGCTTGGCGATCTGGCCGCGCATCATGGCGCCGCAGTTCTCGGCCAAAAAGTCCAGCAGCGACACACTGCGCAGAATTACGTTGGCGTTGTTGGATTCGAGCTTGGTCTTGATGATGTCGACCGACTCCTCGATGTTGGCATCGGCGTCGCTCTTGACGATGTCGACGACGTCCAGCAGCAGCGCGAAATCGTCCTCGGTCAGCTCGGCCGACGTGGCCTTGTCTATGCTCTCTCTCAAGGACATGCAATCAAGTAAATATAAAAAGCATCCACATCTCTGCACCGTAAGTACCCGCTTGCCGAGGCCCGCATCATTATCCACACCCGTGCACCGGCACGGGAAGCGCCGTCCGAGGCGTGCCGCGGACCCTTGTTCATGGCCGAGCCTGCAGACTTAGAGATAAGGCTGCGGCTGCAGATTTTTCTTAGGCGGATGTCAGATAAAGGCAGTCCGTATGGCTTTTTGCTTGTTTGGCCCGCAGCCTGCATTGTTTGTTGGCCGCATGTCATCTAGCGTGAAAAATTTTCTATATAAACGAACGTTATCTGCCTCCCCAATCAGCACAAAATGGCCCCAGACCCTGAGAAGAAGATCGACGAGTCGCTGAGCGACGAGCCTTTCGTCCAAGAGACCTCCGAGGTGGAGAAGACCAGACTCTCTGGCTTCTACGCCAACATCATGAGCATGTTCCATGGTGAAACAAGAGGTATCGAGATGATTCCCGTGGAGGAGAAAACCCAAAGCTCTCTTTGGACCTGCGCGTCCATGTGGCTCTCTGCCAACATGGTGATTGCCACCTTCAACATTGGCTGCCTGTCCTACGGTGTTTTTGGCCTTGACTTTGGTACCTCTGTTCTGGCCATTATTTTCTTCAATCTGTTGGGTGGCATTCCCGTAGCCTTCTTCTCCATCCACGGAGCCAAGTTTGGTCTCAGACAGATGGTGCTTTCGAGATACCTTGTTGGAGATATTGCGATGCGGATCTTCGCCTTCATCAACGTCGTTGCCTGTGTTGGCTGGGGTGCCGTGAACATCATGTCCTCTGCCCAGCTGCTCAACATCGTCAACAACCACGCTCTGCCAGCGTGGGCCGGGTGTCTGATCATTGTCGTCCTCACCATTCTCGTCAGCTTCTTCGGCTACAACGTCATCCACGCTTACGAGAAGTGGTCCTGGATCCCTAACATGGTCGCTTTCATCGCCATCATCGCCAGATTGTCCATCGACAACGTCTTCGTCGCGGGCATTCCCAACGACGACGGAACTTTCACCACGTGGGGCTCGGGCGAAACTTTTGCCGGCGATGTTCTCTCTTTCGGAGGCACCATTTTCGGTTTCGCTGCCGGATGGACCACCTACGCCGCCGACTACACCGTCTACATGAAGCCAAACTCCAACCCATCCAAAGTCTTCTTTTCTGTGCTCGGCGGTCTGTGTTTTCCTCTGATTTTCACCATGATTCTGGGTGCTGCTGCCATCACCGGTATCAAGACCAACCAGACCTACGCCGACTATTACAGCGAGTACTCTGTTGGCGGGCTGGTGTACGCCATTCTCGTTGAGCACTCGCTCCACAAGTTTGGAGAATTCTTGTGCGTGCTGCTCGCTCTCTCGACCGTTTGCAACAACCTGCCAAACATGTACTCCATCGCTCTGGGCGCCCAGGCTTTCTGGTCGCCTTTGGCCAAGGTGCCAAGAGTCGTTTGGACCGTTGTTGGAAACTTCCTTACCCTTGCCATTTGTATCCCGGCATACTACCACTTCGAGTCTGTTGTTGAGAACTTCATGAATATCATCGGATACTACCTGGCTATCTACGACGCCATCTCGCTTTCCGAGCACTTCTTCTACCTGAAGGGCTTCAGCGGCTACAACCTCGACATCTACAACAACAAGAAGTTTCTGAACCCAGGATACGCGGGCGCGTTCGCTTTCTGCTGCGGTGCTGCGGGTACTGCAATTGGTATGGACCAGACGTGGTATGCCGGTGTCGTTGGAAGAAAAATTGGAGAGTTTGGCGCGGAGATTGGATTCGAGCTCGCCTTCGGCTTCTCCTTTATTGCCTACAACGTCACCAGACCTCTAGAGAGGAAATACTTCGGCCGCTAGTTTCGCTCTGAAATAATTTAATTAGCCCGAGTGAATATATTTAATTTTTTATTTTTAGTATGCCTCCAGAAGATCTTGCTGCCGACGGCAAAACGGGGCAGACCCCGTATAACCAGGAGATGAATGTCATCAACACAGATAACTATGGGGCTCTGTATCGTCTGGTGGACGATTTGGCGGAAGTGCTAAACGAGAACGCCAAGCTAAAACAGGATATTTGGGCACAGACAGATCAGATCTCTGCGTCACTTAATGCTAATTACCAGGGCCTGATTCCGGCAGAGGACGAAAGCAGATTTAAGTACCGCAATCTGAAGCCCATTGACGACACGCAGCTGTATGCGCCTTCGCCAAAAACCAGGCGTATCCAGGAACTGAGACTAGAGAATCAGCAACTGGCAGACCTTCTGACAAATAGGAAAAGATACAACCAGGAACTGCGCGATGCCGTTGACGACTCAGAGGAAGATCTCCTCAAGATTCTGGAGGTGCTGTCTCAAAAATGCGTCGAAATGAACAAACAACAGCTCGAAGACCAAAAACGCTACAGCGAACAAATACTCATCAAGAAGCAGCAGATGCACGCCAAATTTCTCCAACTTGCAGACATGGACGAAAAATTCAAACAGCTATATTCTCTATTCCACCAATTGCGCTCCTATTTAGACGAGAACGTCGACCTACAGATTGCTCCCCGATCCTAGTCATGCGCCTGTCACATCGCTTACAAAATACGACTTCCCAGCAGCAGGCTTGCTCATCATACTGGCGACGTTGGCGAAATCGTCGCTTGCCTGCAATTCGTCCTCCCACACCATCGGAACAGCACCGCTTTTGACCAGAGCGTCGCGCGAGGTTTGCCATGAAAAGCGCACCATGGAGTTCCAGCCAAACACGGGATGCACGTTCGAGTTGAGCCATTGCGACGTGCGTGGGTCGGAGGGGTACCCGGACCCCCAGTCTGTTCCGTCGGCCAGATGGTATAAACTGCAGTCTCTGGTCACTTTGGCCACAATGGACGCGGTCGACACGATAGGGAACAAACTGTCGGCCTTTTTGGTCACCGTCACTTTGACACCAGGGAATCTGCTGCTTAGTTTGCGCTGGTACGAGTCTGGAGGCCCAACAGTGTCCACGTAAACTTCTTTCAAATTGACTTGCTGGTCTAGAACCCCCTGAATCAGCTTGATCGTCGCCTCGTGCGCTTGCTCGTTGAGGTTAATATTGCCAATTAGCCTTGGCTTGAGCATTTCGCTCGAAATGTCTCGCGCGGTCATTGTGGTGGTGGCCCATCCCACGTTCTGACACAGGTCTCCGTCTGGCTCGATGATGGATTTCATCAGCTGGTCTCTTCGTTCCACTGTGAGGGTCTTGGAGTCTGCAAATCCATACACAGACTTAAGATCACTGGTATATTCTTTCAAACAGTACGCGATTCCATAAACCATAGGTCCCAAAACAGGGCCTCTTCCCGCCTCGTCAACTCCCAAGATCACCGGCTCGTCGGGCGACTCGAGCACTTTCGTCGGCACAGGCGACTGATATGTATGGGTTGCGTTGCTTACTGGAAGCGGAACCGACGGAAGTCGGAGATTTTCAAAGAGACTGGTCTCCATACGCGTCGGAGAAAAAAAAAAATTGGCCAAAATATTTATTAGCACTCCAGATCGATCCTTCTATTATGCCATCTTCTTACTATACTGTTCATGCCGCTATATTGGTCATAGGTTCCTCCTCGTACTCGATCTCAATGCGAGGCCTCTTTCTCTTTTTCTGAGGCTCGTCCCGATCCTCATCCTCGTCCTCCGAATCGCTCGACGACGCGTCCGAGCCATCTTGCAACCATTTCTGCAGATCCTCCATGTCGACCATCTCGTCCTCGTCGTCCTCGGCCTCGACGTATTCCACCTCTCCAACGTCCGATTCGTCCTCCTCGTCGGTCTCGAGCTCGATTTCGTCGTTCGAGTCGAAATCAGACTCTTCCTCCTCGTGCTCTTCAACCTTGCCTAGCACCTTCTTCCATATCTTGGAATCGACATTCAGAGGCTGGTCACCGTATGCACCGGACTTTAGACGTTCAAGCAATTCCTTCTCAATTGCCTTCTCGATACGTGCAGCAGCCAACGCCTTGCGCTCTCTCGTTTGTTCTCTTCGTTTCACTTTTGGCTTCACTCCAACATAGTGTCTCTCGTCCTCTCGAAGAGCCAATCTTCTTTCTGTGATAGCAACTTGCGTCAGCCGGGTGAGTCTCTGCTTGCATTTGTGTATAAGGAACTTGTTCCAGTAGAGTAAATGGTCATCCACTTGCTTCAATGCCTTTTTGTAGTCCTTGCTCAGCTTGATTCTTTCCCATAGGTACTTTGGTGTGTGCGCTCTCTCTGCAGTCTTAATGTATAAATACAGCTTCCCATCCACGTTCTTCACGGTTGCGTATCGCGCATTCGCGAGCGGGCATGATTGACGGTTGCACAAGCCGCTAACATTATATTCGTTTCTGCAAAAGTTCTGATCTTTGGTCGTTTTGATCTTGAATGCACAGAACTGCTGGTTGATAACCTGCCAAATGACCTATTAGGTTAGCTTCATGGCTTTAACGAGACAGCTCGCTATACTTACTTCGTCAGACATGTTTTTCTATGAGGCTCTTATCCTAGATAAAAAATTTTATATTTTTCTAAAAATTTTTTTTTCAGTATCAACCGTGCACCAGTAATCAAACGAAAAGAAGCCAATAGCACCTGCCAAATTTATAACCAACTGATCATTGCAATTTCTCCCGTAAACTCATAAACGTGTCATAATCCAGAGACTCCTTGATCCCTTCGTACCGAGTAAGCTCTATATCGGCCTCTTTCCAGCTGGTCTGATAGTAGCCGGCTTTCTGAACAAGGTGCTGCAACGTCTCCTCTTTCGTCCATCCTTGCTCTGGAGCAACCTCGGGCAAAAATGTAGCAGACTTTTTGCCATTGATCAAGATCCTGATTCCGTGTTTGCCCAATTCCCAGTCAAGAGCATCTTTTCCAGTCTCGAAGTTTTTGAGCAGCGTCACAGAGCACGAGAGCTTTGGCAATTCACGAAGAGTTATGGGCTCAAATCTTGGATCCTCTAAAGCAGCAATTAGGGCGTACTCGCGCACGCCAGCTGGCAGCGTTAGATCGCTAAAGTTTCCAATGCATCCACGCAGAACCTTATCTTTTCCCTGCTTTATGTTCCACGTAACAAATAAGGGGCACTTTTCGGTCACCACAGTTGAGTCGTTTTCCAGAGCAAGCTTCAACTTGGAGAACGGAATTGGGTCCGTGTTGTGCAACCTCGAGTATAAAGTCTCAAATGCGTAGGCAGTATAAGTTCTGACTGAACTCATAATAAATATCCGAGCCTAAATTATTTTGTCAGTTTTTTTCCATAATGTCCGCCATCTCAAAGACTCTGAAGACCACGCCTTCCAGCCAGGTTTTAAGCGTTGCTGCCGGCTGTTTCTGGGGTGTCGAGTATCTCTACAAGAAACATTTCAAAGACCAGATCATTGATACCAAGGTTGGTTACGCCAACGGAACTGCCTCAAACCCGGACTACAAGCTGGTTTGCACTGGCTCCACTAACCATGCAGAGACTTTACAAGTTTCCTTTGAGCCTTCCAAAGTGTCGTACAGGACTCTAGTGGACTTCTTCTTTGTGATGCACGATCCAACTACAGTTAACGCCCAGGGCCCAGATATCGGCACCCAGTACCGTTCTGCCATCTTCACTCATAGCGAAGAGCAAGAAAAAATAGCCAGGGAAGCTCTGGAATACGCGCAGAAAAAATGGTACCCCAATGACAAGATTGTGACAACCATCGAACCAATCAAAACGTTCTGGGACGCCGAAGAGTACCACCAGCAGTACTTGATCAAGAACCCGGAGCGCCACCTGTGCCCTACGCACTTCGTCAGAACGACTCCAAAATAAGGGTGAAAAAATACAGTTTCATCTGTACACCAGATATAGTGGAGCTACTGTAAAATGCGCTTAAAAGCGATAGGAAGTAGACAAAATAATTTAAGTGCAATCCGTAATGGTTGCGAAGAATGTGGCAATGAGCCTTCAGGAGCAGCAGAAAGCGCTCGAGGATGCCACGACCGTGATCCGTCAGCAGGTCGCGCTCATGAAAAAGTGTCTGGCCACCAAGAACAAGTTCATGGACGCCCTCAAGCATGCTTCGACATTTCTCAACGAGTTGCGGACTGGCGTGCTTTCTCCAAAGCAGTACTACGAACTGTACATCATGGTGTTTGATGGGCTGGAGATCCTGGCCGAGCATCTGAAAATTAACCATCCAAACAATCACCTGGCAGATTTGTACGAGTTGGTGCAATATGCTGGCAATATTATACCCAGGTTGTATTTGATGATTACCGTGGGAACAGTGTATATGTCGATCCCGGATGCTCCGCTAAGGGAGATAATGAAGGACATGATGGAGATGTGTCGTGGTGTGCAGCATCCAATTCGTGGCTTGTTTCTACGCTACTATCTTTCGCAGAGGACTAAGGATTTACTGCCTACCAAGTTTGTTTCCGACAAGGAGGAGTCCACTGGCGATCTCAACGACTCGATTCAGTTTATCATCACGAATTTTGTGGAAATGAACAAGCTCTGGGTGAGACTGCAACATCAGGGACATTCCTCTGAGCGCAATAAAAGAACGATGGAGCGCAAAGAGCTTCAGATTTTGGTGGGCTCGAACCTGGTGCGTCTGTCTCAATTGGAAAACATTGACAAGACGTACTACAAAGAACACATTTTGCCACTGCTTCTGGAGCAAATCATTCAATGCCGAGACGTTATTGCACAAGAGTATCTGTTGGATGTCATAATTCAGGTTTTTCCCGACGAATTCCATCTGGCCACTCTGGAGAATTTCTTCAACGCCACGCTGAGCTTGAATGATCAGGTAAGCCTGAAAACTATTCTCATCACTTTGATTGATAGGCTGATTGATTTCAAACAGCGGGAGTCCGACGGCGACTTCTTTGAGCAGTTCAAAGACTTAAATCTCACAGACATTTTTGATAAATTTATTGATTTCATCAATAAGCTGAATGAGCTTAAACCTGACCTGTCAAGTGAGGATTTCTGTGTGATACTAGAAGGAATTTGTCGTCTTTCCATTACATACTATCCTGAAAACTTTGACAACGTCAACTGCGTTTACAAATATGCTGCCGAAAAATTCAAGGAAGCGGGGACAAGCGAGACTTCGGCACAAAGCCATTGGAAGTCTCTTCTTCTTGTGCCAATGTCAGGATACTCTAGCATCAAGTCTATACTCAAACTCGATTCCAGTTATCTGGACTTTTTCGCATTGCAGAAGCCAGTGGTGAGAAAATCGGCCAGTCTCGATATCATTGACTGCTTGCTGGTAAATGATGTCAAGTTAACGACCGAGGAAGAGGTCAACAAGATTCTGGAAATTCTGAAGAACCTGGTCACCGCTGACGACGACCCGACTGCCAAAGATCTGGGTCTGACTCAAAATACAGCACAAAAACAGGCCATCTTTGGGCTGGACTCGTCACCGGATGAAGCACAAGACTCACTTGAAGTCACTCTCCAGCAAGAGAAGCTGGCCAAGTTCTTGCATTTGATCTATAACATTGATCCGTACAAGCACTTTGAGCTGCTCGGAGAGTCGAAGAAATACCTAAGTCTGGGGAAATCGAAAGTGAAGTACACTTATCCTACACTTGTGTTTATTGTTCTCAAACTTGTGAGAAAGCTTCATTTGTTGAAGAAGATCGAAACCAGAGAGGACAGAGCTAAAGTGTCTCACTTCTTCCAGTTCATAACGGGTATTATCAGCGAGATGAATGAGTTAAATATCAATCCGAGCCTGAGATTAAACCTCAATTTGGTGACCGCACAACTTGCGGATGAAGTGTCGCTGGTGGACATATCGTACGACTTCTTCATCGAATCCTTTGTGCTTTACGAACAGAGCCTTGTGGATTCACGTGCTCAGTACCAGAGTCTCATCACAATCATCAACAAATTGATGGAGTCCACTAGGATGATCGAGCTCAACATGGACAACTTCGACAAACTAATCACCAAGTGTGCTCTTTACGGATCCAAGCTGTTGAAGAAAACAGACCAATGCCGGGCCGTCTATCTTGCTTCACATCTTTGGTGGGTGACGCAGGAAGTGGACGAGTCTACAATATCGCACATTTCCTTGAAAAAGGACGAGAAAAGAGTTCTCGAGTGTCTCCAAAAAGCGCTTCGTGTGGCGGACAACATTCTGGACGCTAGGGCCTCCTTAGAGCTATTCATTGAGATCCTCAACCAGTCACTATACTACTTCATTCACGGTAACGACATGGTTACTGTGAAGTATCTCAACGGACTGATTGAACTGATTGATAGCAACTTCAAGACCGCAAGCAAGGAGCCTGCTACCGATAAGTCCAGCCTTGAGGCGACGTACAAGCACTTTGATCGCACGTTGAAGTACATGAACGAACAGCGGGCGATCGACGAGAGATTCAAGGAGATCCGGCTTTCCTTTGATTGACTTACCCGGTGCCGCACCAGGGCTACATAACGAAAGATCTAGAAGGAAAAAACCTAGCTATAAAAGAAAAAAAAATTCGTGAAATATTTTCTTGCAAAGTGTTTCTTCAGTAGAAGAGTTGCATCAAATGGTATGAGACTATCATGACTGCTTAGTGATGAAAACTGAGTTCTTCTTTCCCAATCCTATTGCGACGATGACGACAGGGTTTAGAAACGCTCCAGGGTTTGAATAAGGGCCGCTTTTGCAAGCGATTCATTTTTCTTTCCCGTTACTCTTACTCGCTTTTGCGAGTATTAGTGGAGCTTTTTACTTGCCAGTAATTTACATTTCTGACCAGCAGTTTATGATCAAGTCTTATGTGCTTGGAAAGTCCGCCATTTGATGCAACGCACCATTCTATTGCAGGCGTCATTGGGACATAATGATGAAAAGTTACCATAAACATTCGCAGTTTCCTCGGTAGATGCACACCCACAGGAGGGGCGAACCCAAAAATCTCTCCTGGTGCATTCGTGACCGCCCTAACTTCCTTGGATGTCTGATTTGTCCTAATGACGCTTGCAATAGTCTTGGGATGTTTCTAAAGGTTTAGAAACTTTTCAAGACTACGTTTGTTTGCATGTATCTTCCAGTTCTTTGTTGATATCCTCCGGGATATCATTGTCGTCCAGCTCGAGTTCGGAGTTTCCTCCAAAGTTCAAAAACTTCAGGTCGTCATTGAGTAATTCCTTTGGGGGCATTCCTAATTCTTGCAATTCCTCCAACTTGGAGCTGATAATCTCTTTGTTCTTTTTATCCTCGTGGTCGGGGAGGTCGAATGTGCTGATTATTTGCTTGATCACGGCGTATTGTTGCTGGTACTTCGTATAGTTCCCGTCCTGTTGATTTTCGGGGTTTTCCAGCCAGGCGGGGAACTTCTGGTACAGGTCGTTTAATGGCTCGTATAGGACATTTTTGGACGACAGTTTGTCCAGCATCTCGACCAGCAAATTGCCAACATCTTCGACTCCACCATTTTGCCCCTCTAATCCTTTTAGGTCCAAATTGAGATCAAGCGACTTGAGCAAACTCGTAATCAGCTCGTCGTTTCCGTCCTCTTCCTTTATGGATTTGTCTACTTGCTCTCCGCTTTCCTTGAGTCGGTTAATCGTTTCCGAAATCACGTCCTGGAAATTATTCCTTGTGGCCGGCCGAGGTGAAGACGACCCGCTATTCTGTTTACCAATATCGTCCAAAAAACCACCGAGGTTCTTCGAGAGATCGGGATCCTGAACACCTATTTCCTTGAGCAGTTTGCCGAACAGCTCTTTATCGTCCAAATTGGGCTCTTCGTCCTGCGTGGTAGTGTGTTCTTGATCTTGCTTCAGCGTTGCTCCAGGCGGCTTGCTCAAAATCTCATCGTCGAAGTCATCAAGCAGGTCGTCCAGGTCGTCCAGATCGTCGTCTGAGTAATGTACTTCGGATTTTTTCTCGCTCATTTATGCTTTGTGTGGGCTCTCGAACGTAGACTTAATCTTGCCCGAATAGATCGACGAGCAGTGCTTTAAATGACAGACCATTTTTTTACACTGCCAAGTAGAAAATAAATAAAGTAAAATAATAAGCATGGCTGAAAGAAACCTCCGAACTGAGCGCATACAACAGGAAAGGTAAGTACATTTGTTCCGTGCAGCTAACCACAGAAAAAACTGGAGAAAAGACCATCCGTTTGGTTTTTACGCCAAGCCCATGAAGGCTCCTGACGGATCTCTAGATCTGCTCAACTGGACGGCTGGAATCCCTGGAAAATCAAATACATTGTGGGACAACGCCACTTACCCGCTAACCATCATATTCCCTGAAGAGTACCCTGCCAAGCCTCCTAAAGTGAAGTTTCCTGCCGGGTTTTATCATCCAAATGTCTATCCGTCGGGCACAGTGTGTCTGTCGATACTGAACGAAGAACAAGACTGGCGGCCAGCCATTTCCCTGAAGCAAATACTGCTGGGCGTCCAGGAACTACTTAATACGCCAAATCCAGATTCTCCTGCCCAGGAACCTGCCTGGAGACTCTACACCAAGGACCGTGTCGCGTACGAGAAAAAAATCAGGGAGCAGACCAAACGGTATGCCAATCCAGATAAATGATTAAGCTATAGTCATCTAAATTCATGGGCACTAATACTGACAGTACGATGTCATTAAATATCTATATAACCTCGCCCTCTTTGTACTGAATAAATCTCTCCAGATTCTGAAATGCTTCTTCGGATAAAGCTTTGAGTTGAGGCTCGCTGTTTTTGTCTATGGCCTTGTATATCTTCTTGTAATGAGGCAAATTGTCCTTCAGGACTTGGTGAAGTCCACCTTCGTGGTAAATAGGCTTGTTGTATGGATAGTCGTCGTCGAAAAGATCAAATATGGAATTTATCGAATCGAGAAGCACCATTTCGATCAGATACCGATGTTTCTTGCGCAAGTCTCCCAGCCTGGTCGAGTTGTAGTATGATATAGGCTCCACGAAATTCTTGTCCACAATAAGCTTGGTGATATTAGTAGTCAGCTCCAAATCGTTGCAATGCTTGCCAATTTTGGTCAAAATATGCAACAGATGGCCTATGATCTGGGCCGAAACGGGAGTGATTTCCCCCAGTTGCATGGCAAATTTCAACAGCACCTCTGCAAGCGGTTTAAGCTCGTCTACAGACGAGGTTTCGGAGGACACCGCCAAATATCCGAGATACAGATTGATGGTTTCCAAATCTGGCTCCCCGAGTCTCTGCGAAAGTTGCTGCAACACGGCTGGTCTGACGAAATTGACGAGCTCATCAACACTCTCTGGTGTCTCATTCCTGTAAAAACACAAGATATTGGTCAAGCAAAGCAAAACTTTGACGCTGCTGAACTCGAAAACAGCTCTAAGGAAAGGAACCACGTGCGACTCGATCATACCTGATATCTTGGTACTAACAGGCTCTTCCTGGCCCTTGATTTCAACAATGGTGGCGAAAATGTCAAGGACCAGCTCGTAGACCTTTAGACTGCTCTCATCCCGGGAGTTCGCCTCTGCTACCTTATTGGCCACAGCAAGCAAGCTATCGGTGATCTGTATGGTCTGGTTGTCGTCAAGCCCGTTTGAAAACTCCAGAGTTTGGAAATGCAATCCAATAAGGTACACCTCAGACAGATCGTTAGACAACTTGAGCCCCGAAAGAATTTGTTTGATATTTTCGTCCTGGGAAAACGCTTCGATAAATGGTGCAGAGATCGTAGACAGATCGTAGAGGAACTCCAGAGCTGACAACGTCAATTTCGTCATATAATTGCGCTCGATAAGAACAATGATGAACTTTAGTATGTCGTTCGAAACAAGTTTCGGGAGGACGTCAGAATGAAACATCTCTGTGGAGATCTCAAGGCAAAGAGAGCCCAGACAAGCAATGATATTCTCAATGTAGTCAAAAAGCAAGCGGCGTTGTTCGGCAGAAACCTTGTCGTCATTCACGTGCTCGATGGAAACGCTCGCCTTCTTGAAAGCATTCTCGAGAACGGTCCAGATGTCTGATCTCCAGAGAAAAACGCTCAGATCATACCCTTCCTCAATTATCAGGTTCCGCAGAAGGCCAAACGATTCGACCACAACCTCATCGCTGGAGTCGTGCACGAGCTTCGTCAAAATAGTGCGAACAAGGTCGTTTTTCAGGAACGTTTTGCGGATCTCTGGGTCAGTATCGCATAAGGTATTGATGGCTCCGACAGCCATCGAACGGTCGTTGATGGCATCCGACTTGAGCTTATCCAGCAGCGGCGCAATTTTCTGAAACTCCTTGTCATCCTTGGAAGCCCCAGGCTTGCGCTGGGCAGCCAGTTTGGCACTTCTCGATCTCTTCTTGAGCTTACCCATATTTTTAAAAAATTTTTGCTTATGTCAGAAGACTGAAGAAGTAAAGCACCACCATTAGCTGCGGCAGAAAGATAGCAAAAATGCCATTTAATTCACCGGCTTCGAGACTGAGCTGTCTGCGAGTTGCTGTTCTTCCTGCCCCTCCCGGCGGATCGCCTCCCAGGTCACCTGCTTGCCACGATCCAGAAGCTTGTTGCCCTCTTCGTCGTACTGGGGAACCTCTATATCCGTACGCAGATTTCCGTCCTTGCGAAGCTGCTCAATGACTATCGGTTCGAAAAATTTCATTCCCATGTAAACTCCGGCGGCTGCAAACACGGTCATGGTCAAGGCCTTGTTAACGTTCATCGACATGGTTGGTTTTAAGAGTGCTTAGTTTTTTCTTTACACAGCCCTATATTTTTCTCCAAACTCTCTGTAGTACTCGAGCATTTCTGGGGTGATGTTTTTGCTAATGTCGTTTAAAGCAGTCAAGAAATGGCGCTCTTCCACCTGCTGGCAATCGTGGTCTTCCATAACCGCTGCTAGACCGGCCTCTTGGCACAGCAATACGGTCTCAGACCCTGAGAATCCCTCAGTCATGTCGCTCAGCTTCTCTATCAGCAGCACCCGATTTGGAAGGTTGAAATGGAGCGTATTCTTCTCCAAGATCTGCTTTCGAGCATGTCTATCGGGAGGCGCAACATAGACGTGCCTGTCGAGCCGTCCAGGACGCAAAAGGGCAGGATCGATCGAGTCTGGCCTGTTGGTAGCACCAATAATTATCACGCCTTTGAGCTCTTCCACGCCGTCTATCTCGTTCAGCATCGAGTTCAAAACCTGCCTAGAAACGTTTCCTGCGTCCTCACTGTCTCTGTTTGTTGCCAGGGCATCGATCTCGTCAATGAAGATAATTGACGGAGCAGACGTCCTGGCCTTGTGGAAGATCTCTCTAATTTTTCTCTCCGACTCACCAACGTACTTGTTGAACACCTCCGGCCCCTTGATGGCCAGAAAATTCAGCCCCGATTCCGACGCAAGAGCCTTAGCAGTCAGAGTCTTGGAACAGCCTGGCGGACCGTAAAGAAGCAGACCCTTTGGAGCAGAAATTCCCAGTCGTCTAAACGTGTCGGCTGCCGTCAGCGGAAGCTGGACCATTTCTTTGAGCTTTCGTTTCAGCACTTCCTGACCACCGATATCGTCCCAGCTCACTTTGGGCATCTCCAAGACAATCTCCCGCATAGCGCTCGGCTGAATCTCGCTCTTGGACTCCTCAACATCTGCAAACGAGACTTTTTGGTCTTCGTGGTGGGTGGAAATTCCACGAGAGATGCACTTGAGAATCGACTCTCGGCACAGGGAAACCAGGTCTGCCCCGACATATCCGTGTGTAGTGTTAGCGATGGCTCTTATTTGACTGTCTGTAAGTTCATGTTGGCCCTTCATTGCTGAAAATTGTGTCGAAAGAATATCGTACCGGCTGTCGGCATCGGGGATAGGAATCTCGATCTCCTGGTCGAATCGGCCCGGCCGTCTCAGACTGGCATCAATGGAGTTGATTCTGTTAGTGGCTCCAATCACAACAACTGCCCCGTCAATGCTGTCCATAGCCATTAAAAGAGTGGCAGTCACACGAGTGTCGACTTCAGAAACGTCCTCATTATTGCGACTAGGCGTGAGCGAGTCAATTTCGTCGATCAGAATAATGGCCGGCTGGTACTTCATGGCCTCTTTGAAGTACTCGCGCAGTTTTTCTTCTGTTCCACCGAGATACTTCGACACTATCGACGGGCCGCTGATATGGATCACATGACATCCCTGCGACTCAAACGCAACGCTCTTGAGCAGCAAAGACTTGCCCGTCCCTGAGCTTCCATGAAGAAGCACTCCGCGCGGAGGGTCGATCCCAAACCGCTGGAATATATCAGGCCGGAACAGGGGTATGTCTATGGTTCGTTTGAGAGTCTCGATCTGTTTGCGCAGTCCACCGATCTTTGAGTAGCTGTATGGGGCAGATGGTGGCTGTAGCTGCTCCACGGTGTGAAAGACAACTTTGGTGGTCTTGTGGTGTATCAAGAATGGCTTCATTGTCCTCTTTTTGCTCTTGCCTTGCAAAGATAGTTGACCGAGCGAGTCCGCCACAGCATCCACATTGGCTATCTGAGCTATTTGGAAGTCAGAGGTGGTCAGGTTTTCGTATACCAGGCCAATTTCTATAAGCTTCGATCGTATTTGTGTCTCATCAGTACTGTCGTGGATATTCACAACGATTTCCGAAGCATAGGCTGGTTGCGAGGAGGCTTTTTTCAGCTCCACTCTTTCTCCGAGCAGGAAATGGGTCAATTGCAAATACTCCTGCGACATCAAAATCACGTTCAGGTCATACATATCCTCTTCTTCCTGCTTCCAAGCTTGCAACAACAGAGTGACATCCGACAGTCCTCTTGTGATTCTGACAAAACTGCCCGCAGACCATCCCGTGATAGTGAGAATCTGGGGAGAAACGTAGACTGCCGCCGTGTTTTTGAGTTCTGCATTCGACGGCCGTAAAATAAACTCCGACGGAAGCTTGGCTGGCTTCGCCTTGGCTGGCTCGCTCTCGCTGGAACTCTTCTTTGCAGACGAAGCTTTAGGAGGCATTGGAGCAAAATAAAAATATTTTAGCACAGCCAGAGCTGGATAAATTATTTTCATGCTTCGACGGTTCTACCAAACGCTTGTGCCGTCGTTTGCTCTGCAGATTCGCCAGCCTGCGCCGTCGCTGAGGACCAAATTTCACCATAATATGCAGTTTAGGCGCAAAGCAGAGTCGAGAATCAAAATATTGCGTCAGATAATACCTACCGAGTACATGCTAGACGATTATCTCCTATACTACTGCGTTTACTTCAGAGAGCACGCTCGTCTCAAGACGCGAATCCATGGACTAGGTGGCAGCGACGTGCGCATAGATCTCGAAAATATACAAATGTTGGGGAGACACATCTTAAGAAAAAGGACATACATGTATCTATTTAACGAGGCGCTCAAAGCGGAACAGGCTGCCCCTACAGACGACCTGTTTGACTTCCCAAGAAATCTGCGCCGCATGTCCAGCGTGCACAATCGCACGGAATTTATAGAGCAGTTTTTGCGAGCGTTCGAGACTGAGTTCAGGCTGGACAGATTATCTGAAGATCAGGAAGTCGTCAAGCTCGAACAGAAAACGAGACCAACCATTCTGCTCTATATAGTCGGGTTCGTTCACTGCCAGTATGGAGAGCAAGCATGCGCAGAGTTCGTCGACGAATTCGTTATCAAGGGTCGTCTTTCAAAGACGTACACCCATCGCGGGCTGCTGGAAATAGCCAAAGAGGATAGGCCACGGTTCTCATACTGACCGTCAAGGTTGTCCAAAAGGTTTTGGCTCCCAAAGCTCATGTTGTTCGAAAAGAAACAGCGACTCAGACTTTTGTTTCTTCAGCGCTGGTTGAGACGAAAGGCCCGATACATAGAATGTGCGCATGAATTTTATTTGATCGTTCACTTTGGCTGTAAGCTTTGTTTGCTCCAGAAGCTGTTTGTGCTGACTGAGAGTTTCCAAAAGCGTGACTGTTGACTCCAGCGGATGCCTTGCTAGCAAGGCCAATATCACTCCTACGGAATGCACGTTGACGAACTTGCTGTAGATGGAGTTCTGGCTAAATGTAAGGCTGTTTGAGAGAAAGTACTGCAGCCATTGGGTGCGCTGCTCCGAGAAGAGCTCATTCTTAGTGTCAGCAGCTAAAAAAGTCTGGAACAGGCCTAGCACCACGTCGTAGCCAAGTTCTTCCAGGATCGGCTTGTAAAGCAGTCTGATGCCATTCACTTTCTTTTCATTGAGCGGCGTCCGGAGCACCAAACAGCTCTCGTACACCATGAAGTTCAATAGCACGTTTTGTTTGACGCTCTTCAGCACCTTCATCGCTTGCCAGTATTTTGACCCCGTTTCCGTCGAGTCTCCGAATTTGTACACCTTGTGGATGTCTTCGCGGCGGATTTTTCGCAGCTTTTTGAAGCTTTCGGTCAAAGCATCTATTTCCTGGTCAGTCTTCTCCTCGGGCGGCTCAGAAGACGTGTTTTCAACGACTTCGTTCCAGTAATTAGTCTCTAGCCATCCCAGAGCACTCTGGGCGCTGAATCGGAGCATTTCTAGTGACGGCAGCATTTCATGAGTCCCGGCGTGTCGGATCTCCACAAAATGTGTCGGAAGCTGCAGTATCTCTGCTAGTCTATTGAGACTCATAGCATAGGTAGATTTCTGGATAGGGTCCAAAAGACCGTTGCAGAACTTGATCAGAGACATCGCGTAGCTCAGTCTGATAGGCATGGGGTCGTCATTAGTACTGCTCAATTGCTCATCCAGCAAGGCCGCACTGGTAAGCAGCGAGGTGGACTCTAGTGAATGAGGAAGACTTCCTTTGGTAGCGTAAGCGGCTACCTTTTGCACTGCTCGTGCTCTCAGATTTGGATCAGCGCTATAGAACCACTTCTTCAGCTGCTCAAACTCGAAGGAGCTTTTGTACGGCGTGATCTGCGGATGTCGATACATATACTAGGTATCGATTATCGATATATTAATTGGATATTAATTTTTGATTTTATTTAAATGTAGAAATTTCCTGGTAGCTCTAATGAACTTGAGCCTGTATTAATCATTGACTTCCAATTATAATCCGTTATCCCTAACAATCTTGAGCATCTCTTTGCTGTCAACAACAAGCACCTCATTGTCCTTCTCGATCGGTTGCTGACTCAAGTAAAAAGCGACCTTTGCGACTTCTTCGCCCTGAATCGGATGTGCGAAAAGCCCTTCCAACATTGTGCCTCTCAAAAATCCCCCGACCTTTCTGGAGGCGCTCTCGAACAAGCTATGTGCATGCTCTCTTTCTCCGAGTAGCAAACCGGGTCTCAAAATAATTGTGCGTTTGAACTTCAATTCCTTGATCTTCTCCTCAATGCGGCCCTTGGTGGCCATATACAGGAAGTGTGAGGACGAGTTGGCACCAATACTGGACACCAGCACGGCAGTGTCGAATTTGCCAGATTCCTTTGCAGCGGTGGCAGCAGCAACATTGATGCCTTCGTCAATCTTTATGAAGTTCTCAGCACCGCCTGCAGCCTTTCTGGTGGTTCCAAACGAGGAATAGTATGTGGAATGCTCGGGAATCTCGAGATTCTTGATCAAAGCAGGCCATTTCTCGGTGTCAGGCTCCACAGTGGCAACGAGCTTGGAACTGTCCGTCGTGACTTTTGGTTCACGACGGCTGACAGTATAAATGCGAGCCACATTCGCCGAATTGGCCGCAATGTTGACGAAGAAGTTCCCGCATAGACCGGTGGAACCGAGGGCAAAGTATGAAGACATGCTGATAAGAGATCAAGTCAATAGGATAGAAAAAAAAGTACATCCCTACACATTTTGGCATACTATGCTCTTAACACTTTAACATTAACTATACACTGCTGGCGCAGTTTAGTGACTTAACGCAATTTGTGGAAACCGATGTCACGAGCCTTCTCTCTGAAACATTGTCTGCAGATGTTCAACCCGTACTTTCTGATCAGACCGTTGTGGGAAGCGCAGACTCTGCACTGTCTAGATCCTTTACCGTAGTTTCTTGGGTGGGAGTACCAAACGTTCTCGTGGGCCATGTTGACTGGATGTTAGAAATGATGCAACCTAGAGGAACAGTGGAAGGTCAAGGTGGTCCCAGCTGAATTGGAAGTTGGACATATGCTCTTCAAGGGTAGCCAGACGCGATGAAATGTCAGGCTAAATGGCGATCTTTGATGATTGCTTGGTCGACGATGGTGGTGTGTGTCTGGTCGTGTTTCTTCAACCTAGTTCCCTCCGCTGTCGCTCTGCTTGTGTTTGTTCGACTTACCTATTCACTAACGATATAGAGAAAATAAAATGAATCCAAAAATTTTTCACAGTCAGAGGATGAGACCTGTGCTTGAGCACGTGACTTCCCAAAAATCATGCCCGCGACAGAAAAAACAAAATCGGCTAGCTCGATAAATCGTCGTCCTGTCCGAGGCATCAGCACCTCTGCACAGCACGCTTACCTCAGCACAAAAAATATATCTAAAATTTTTAGGATCTGAAATAAATTTGTATAGTATGGCAGGACACAGGCCCACGCTGAAGAAACCGAACAAGGCGTTCAAGAGCGGCCACGCATCGAAGCGGGCTCTCAAGGCTGCCAGCAAAGGTAAGGTCGAAAAAGTCAAGAACAACAGCAGACGTATTCACGTGCCTAGCAAATTGGAAAGAAAAAACCTAGCTAATCAATTGAAGCATAATAAAATCGCCAAAACACTCGAGGAACGTTCTATTTTCGATCATGGCAATGTCGAGAGAATTGTAACAATCATTCCGTTGACGAGTAATGTTTCTGGAGTGGATATTGCAAACAAGATACTCGGATCTGCGGGCGAGGAAGGGTTGCAGATCAAAGAGACTTCGGGTGTCACCTCTGTGAGAGTCCAGAGATTCAAAGCAGGACTAAAAATCATCATTCCAGACATGAACAGCATCATTGATGTTCTTGACTGTGCAAAGGTTGCGGACTTTGTTGTGTTTGGTTTGAGTGCTACCGAGGAGGTGAATCCTGAGATTGGCGAGCAGATCATTCGTGCCGCGGAAAGCCAAGGTATATCGAGCGTTTATGGCGTTGTGCCAGACTTGTTGAGCGCCTATCCAAAGAGGAACCTTCAGCAGGACGTTCTCAAGTCGCTGACGTCTTTCTTTAAGCATTTCTTCCCACAGACAGAGAGGTTATTTGCATTAGAAACGCAGATGGAATCATTAAATCTCTTGAGGTCTCTCTGCCAGAAAAAACCAAAGCAAATAACGTGGAGAGATAGCAGGGGATACCTGGTTGCTGACAGCGTTGCCTGGGAGGCCGAAGGGCTGATGGAAGGGCATTTAATTATTGAAGGCACGGTCAGGGGCATTGGCTTCCATCCTGATAGATTAGTGTATTTGCCAGATCTAGGCGACTTTCCAGTGAGCAGGATCGAGACTCTGGGGAAAGAGCCGGCCGTATATGTTGCAGGACCCGAGCGCGAGTCTCTGGATCTTCTCCAGGAAGCAGAAGACCTGGATGAGGAGGACATGATCAGTGACGAGGACGACTGGGCCATGGAGGCCGAGAATGGCGAGGAAGAAGAAAAAACAGCAAAAAGGCTGCCAAAGGGCATATCCGAGTACCAGGCCAGATGGATGCAGGATGAAGAGCTCGAGGAGTTGATTGAGGAGAGAGGTTTGGAAAGCAACTCCGAAGATCAGGAGTCCGACATGGAGAGCGACGGTATGAATGAGGACGCGGACTCGCACATGGATCTGGAGCAAGAGGAAGAGGCCAGACAGCTCGAGGCGTACAAAAGAAGAGAACGCGAGGAGCTGGAATTTCCAGACGAGTTCGAGCTTCATCCCGAGGAATCTGCCGTCAAGAGACTAGCCCGCTACCGTGGCGAAAAATCGCTGGCGTCCGCCGACTGGGACTACGACGAAGTGGACGACAGAACGCCCCAGAACTGGAGCAGGTATCTGAGAGTTAAAAATTACAAGAATACGAGGAACCGCATTCTCAAACAGGCCAGAGCGGAGGCGGCTGTGAAGGCAGGACAAAAATGCAAACTATACGTTCTGGTGCCGTCGCAGATCCTGGAGCGCGTCGCAGATCCTGCGAAGAAACCGTTCGCCGTCTACTCGCTGTTGCCGAATGAGCATAAGCTTTCTGTCTGTCATTTTTCGGCTCAAACTTGGGAAGATTACGACGAGCCGATCAAGTCTAAAGACACCATGATTGTCCAGTACGGACCAAGACGGGTGCAAATCAACCCGCTTTTCAGCCAGGCCACAAACAACGCCAACAATGTGGCGAAGTTTCTGCGTTTTCTGCACAGGGGATCCATTTCGGTAGCCACTGCTGTGCTACCAGTAAGCTTCACGAACTGTCCCGCCATTTTCTTCAAAAACACAGAATCTGGAGCCAAGTTCATTGCACAGGGAACGTTCCTCAACACAGACTATACCCGCATCCTTGCCAAGAGAATCGTTCTCACCGGAGAAATCTTGAAAATCCACAAGTCTGTCGTCACCGTCAGATACATGTTTTTCAACGCTCACGATGTTCAGCACTACCAGCATGTTCCGCTATTCACGAAAATGGGCCGTTCTGGTCTGATCAAGGAGTCTCTTGGTACTCACGGCTACTTCAAGGCCACTTTCGACGGCAAGCTGAACGCCCAGGACGTGGTGGCCATGGCTCTGTACAAACGTGTCTGGCCTAAGGAAGCGATTATATAATCATGAAAATGTAAAAAAAGTTCGATCTATCGATTATGAGTCTTGCTTTCAATCAGCCGGGCAACTTCACCTGTAACTCGTGTCAGATTCGTCTGCCCACCGCAGACGTCCAGAGACTCCACATGAAAACCGAATGGCACAGATACAACCTCAAGAGACGGGTCGCTGGGCTGGCTCCGGTCGATTCTGTTATCTTCCAGTCGAAGGTGGCTCTGCAGCAGCGCCAGGAGGCCATCAACGGCGACCAGGACGAATTCGGGTTCCATATCCATCGGAGACAGCGCACTGGTCCCCGCCAATCCGCGAAGAAAGAGCCGAAAAGACGGACACGAAGAGACGAACTCGCAGATAGCAGCGTCGATCGACGCGCGCAATCGCCGGCCGCATCGGTGGTTTCGAGAGTGAGCGAGTTCTCTCTTGGGTCGATCCACAGCGAGGCGCAGTCTGAGTACACGATCGATGATCTCGTCTCCGAGCCGACAGTGAGCGACTATGATTATTTTAGCCCAGCTTCAGGCTCTGAGACGAGCGATTCTGAGGACGACTATACGGAAGAGGAGCACGAGTTAGAGCCGGTTATTTTGACCAACTGTTTCTACTGCAGCGCCGAGAACATTGATGAAGAAGCCAATGTGGCCCATATGTTCACCGCTCACGGTTTGTTTATTCCTGAACAGGACTATCTTGCTGATCTGAGCGGTCTACTGCAATACCTTGGAGATAAAGCAATAATTGACAGAGAGTGCTTGAAGTGCAAATTTGTGGGGAAAAACCTGGTAAGCATACGGCAGCATATCCAGAGCAAGGGCCATTGCGTCATTCCGTACGAAACGCGTGCAGAGAGAAAGGAGATAGAGAGGTTTTATAACTTTGACGAAAGCGACTACACGACAGTGAAGGTGCTGCCAAATGGAATAGAATTGCCAGACGGACGCATTTTGGGGAGCCGGTCGTTTGCACGCTACTATAAACAGAACTTTCCTCGGCGTGATCGTGAGGTTAGCGACGGAGAGCGAACCATGTCTTTGGTGATCAAAGATCGCGAGTTTCATGCTCCTAGCTACCATCGCCCGGTGATTGAGGCGCAACGGGAAAAAATCAGTCTACGACAGCTACGCAAAGGAAACAATCTGGCGCATTTTAGGGACCCTCTGAATTGAGGTATATACATCTATTTACTATTTTTGAGTCTTCCGGAAAACTTGGTAATGTAGTCCATTTTCTTTGGCGCGTGAGCGGTAGTGACATCTTCGTTGATCAGATTCGAAAGATCCGTGCCCGAGTCTTTGAATTTGAGCTGGTTGCTGAAGCTGGTGTTGATATCGAACGGCTGGCTGGATTTGAGGTTGTTGAGTCTTTTCTGAGACCCATCAAAATAGCCCAGCAGCTCTGCGTCGTCGCGCGAGGGTTTCTCGTCGTGGTCGTCTTCGAACTGAAGATGGACGATCGGCGTGATGGAATTGAGTCTGTTTTGCAAAGTCCGGAACGAGTTCGACTGAGGTAGCAGCATCAACAGTCCGTACAGACATTTGAACAGATACTTATTCTTTTGCGGGTTAAGCAGGTCCAGTCGGAGACGTGCAAACACTGGTGATTCGAGAAGTTGGATCAGCAGATCAAGCTGGATGAGCAGGTTTAGCGACACCTCGTAGTTGGCAAGATCGAGTACGATCTTGTAGCTTAACTTGTAGTTGGAGGTCAGAAGCGTCAGACACAGCACGGAGGCCGAATTCAGGGACCAGCACTTAAAAAGCGTTTTGAAAAGATCGAAGTCGTCTCCGCGAATGAGCTTCTGGCGCAGAGCGGTCAGTTCAGGAGCTATGATGAGGTTGTTGTTGAGAATCTGTATCATAATGGATAAGAAGCTGAGGTTTGACTCCTCCTCGCTCAAGACCTTGGATAACGATTTGTAGATGCGCTCAGCATCGAGGGACTTACACACAGTCCTGATGATAAAGTCTGCACGCGTGTCCAGCAATTTGCGGTCGCGTTTGAAGAGATTCAGTAGATCCACCATGAACGACTGGAAATATCTGTCGTCAGTCTGGTTGGAGATCTTGGACAGCAGTTCCAGATCCTTATTAATCACCTTGTCCGATTGGTCGTTCATAGCTTTCAGCAGCGTGACAAAGGTATTATCTGAATGTTCAAGGAACTTGATTGGATCCTTTTCGTGCAGCATGATCAGCCAGTCGAGAGAAGCAAGCCGCGTGCTCTCTTTCTCGTTCAGAAACTGCAACGTGAGCTGGTTCACAATGAGTGTGTAATTGATGTCGTAATGGTTGTTAGCAGCCAGCTCCATCAGCTTCGAGTTGAGAAGAACGGAGATCTCTCGGAGCTGTTTGTTGGAATGCGAGATGGTGGAGAGCAGCACAGCGAGCAGCTTGGCCATGAACACAATGAACGACTCCGGAGATATTTCCAACAGAGCCACAAGCCACTGCAGAGCAACTAGCTGGATCAGTTCTTCCGTCGAGTCGAGCGACGTGATGAGCAGATCGATGATCTTCGGATAATCAATGACAATGTCCTGGCCGGGAATGTACAAGTCCTTCTCCTTGCTGTCGTCTGTCTTCTTTTCGGAAACCATTTTCTTGATTGCTGACACTTTCTGGATTTCGTGGAGCAGCAGTTTGAGGAAATTTTCCGTCACCACGCGGACGTCTTCTAATGTAGCACTGAGGTAAGACAAGAGAGCGTCCAGGAACGAAGGCAGATAAGAAATCAGGTTCAAGCCCGGAATCGAGTCTAGGAGTCGGAGCCACGAAACAAGAAACATTCTCGTGTATGGATTTGTTGCGTACATGCGTTCTTTCAGCAGCGGGATAAATTTCTCCAGCGAGAATGCCTTTGGCAGCTGTGGTTCGTAAACCTGCAATGTTTTTCCTTTCTGATCTACCACCTTAGCGGACGGCGGCTCAACAGGTTTGGCAAGCACAGACACGTAGGTAGCGGCCTTCTCACTGGTGATATCCTTGATGAGTCTGTCCAATATATCTGCTGCATTCTTCACGCTCATCTCCACGTCGGCCACCAATTTGCACAAGACGTCAAATATTTCGTTAAAGTACACTAGAATTTCTCCCTTGGCCACCTTGGCAATATTGTACAGCGCCTCGCACGCAAAGTAGCGCACCATGGAATCCTGATCTCCAAAGCAGGCGAGGACAGGATGCATGATGCTTTCCAGGTACTTCGGGACTTCGTTCTGGCCCAAAGCAATGGCAACAGCTGCCAGGCCAATCAGGCCTCCGTACCGGGCATTTGGCTGGTGCACGGCATACGCATACTCGTTTCTCAGTTGCTTAATGATGTTGACGATCTTTTCTGTATCGCCCGTGCTCAGCGAGTCGCGCACCACGCGTTCGAGCTCGAGCGCTGCAGCCTTCCGCTTGTCGTATATCCTGTCGTTGAGACCGCGTCTAATTGATTTGTCTGACGTTAGATTTGGCAAAGGAGTACATACCCATAAAATAAAATAAGGTAGTTTTTTAGCAGTAAACAATAAATAATGTAACACTAGCTCCAGGAAAGGCAGAGACGTGGTAGTCAGAGTTTTGTTCGACAAGTAATCAGAAGAGATAGCTATTGAGCACTGAAAGCGGGCACAGGCCATTCGTGGAAAAAGGTTGTAGAATAGGTCAGTGCCAGGGGTGACATCCACTTGCTAGTCTGCCAGCTCCATACATAATACAACAAACTGTTCATTACTTTATACAAAGACATGTTCATTTCTGCAACTTTTGGAGTCTAGTCGTTAGTATGGCATATGCAACACTTACATCTCAACAATTTTGATGTTGGTGTCGAGGAAACGGTTCAGACAGTCGTTCATGCAGTTGGCCTCGTAGTTGCTCAAGTTCCCGTTGTCGATCGCGGAAACGCACTTTTTGAAGCATTTGTCGGTGAAACTGGTCACAGAGCTCTGAATTTTCATTTTCGAGGACTCCTGCTGAATGAAGGCAGCCACCTCCTGCCTGGAAGGCTCGTCTAACTGTTGAAGAAGCTTTGGATCTATTTCGCTCATTGAAAAAAACTGGACTTTTTTTCAGGTGCTCACCGTTTTTTCAACTGATCCAGCTCGAAATTATTCTCCCTCGCTTTTTCGTATAATAGGCGCTCGGTTCGGTCGCCGTGCTTTTCCTTAGAATCCTTCTTGTAGGCATAGTCCATTTTGATCGGCCGGTTCATGATTATCTTGCCGTTCATCTCCTTGATCGCCTCGTCGCTGGACTCGAAGTCTGTGTAGTAGATGAAGGCGTGGTTGCTCTTCTCGCCGGGGACGACCTGAGGCGGCTTGCGGAACGTTCCGAAATTGGCAAAAGTCGAACTGATACTTCCAGAGTCGACTAGCTTGTCCAGATTACCAACGTAGACGACCGGCCCTATATCTTCGTCTATCTCCGGAGCATCTGCCTGGCCTCCAATTAGCTTCTTCACACGCAACACCTTGTCGTAGAGGCTGAGTCCTGAGCAAATGTTAAGCACGTATTCGCAGTCCTTGACGTTGAAGAACTCGACAAACCCGTAGCCCTGATGTCTGCGCAACACCTTGTCTTTCGGCAAACGAATGCTTTTAACAGGCGCGAATTGAACAAAGAGCTCGTACAGAAGCGTCTCGTCGACTTTGGGATCTAGGTTTCCTAAGTAAAGCGAGACCTCTTTGTCGTTCTGTTTAGCGTCCATAGATAAATATTTTCGACGCGACGAACTTCAACTACAAGGGGTGAGCTAGCTGGGGCTACTCGGTGGCCTGAAAACTGAGGATTTTAATGCTTCACGTCCTGCTTGGATCCCTTGCCATATAGAGGCGCTCGCCGCAAATCGTCTGACTAATGCTGCAATACAGTTTGATTGCGTTAGCAAACTGCTTCCAAAATTGTTCTCCAAAATATTTATTTCTCATGTCTGACCTTGAGCTGACACCCGAGTACGACACAGCGTACAAAAAAAACCTGGAGAGCCAAATAGCGCTCAAAAAGCGGCTACTCCAGGCTGCCCAGAAGCAGCTGGAACTGTTTAGGCAGCGGAATACGACCGACTCGCCAAAGGTTTCTCAGATCGCTCTAACCGACGCGCTTGCTAAGGTCCCATTCCATCCGCCGCGGAACGACCTGATCGGGCTTTCGCTGGCACAAAATACACTGGGCACGCAGCTGGACGCCATCAACAAGTCCCTCGCAGAGATTGCGAGCTCCAATAAAGAGCTTCAGAGGCGCGCAGACGACATGGCTAACACAAATGCAGTGTTTGATATATTAAAGAGTGAGCTAGAGGAGCGCATAGAGCAGGAGATGGACAAGAAACAGCAATTGTTGAGCCACACAGTTGGGGACCACATCAAGGACGCGTATTTACAGAAGCAGGCAAAACTGGTGGACAGATCTACAAAACTGATCGAAATATCGAAAAAACTTATTGTGGACTATATCCTGCGGAAAGAATTCGAGGCACTTTTCACGGAAGAGGAGCTGGACGAAAGAAAACAGAAGTTTCTCAAGCTGCTGGAAATCCTGCTCAACAACTCCATCACCAGCACCGGGAACTCGAAACTGCTCGAGGTGGACAACAAAGACGACCCGCTCATTCGATACCTGATTCTCAACAATATCATTGTCGCCGACCCGAAGAACCCGAACAAGATCAAGCTCCGCGATCTCGCCACAAACCTCTAAAAGAAAAACATGCATATTATCCTATGCTGACTAGCTCATAAAGTAGAGTCTGCGGAGAATCGAAGCACAGCCGTAGATGTAACCAATTTCTCTATCATTTAGGTCTTTATTCGCAGTGCTGAAACACGTGATCAAACAGCCCCCAGACTTGTGGTACAGCTGCAACGTCTCGTCGCGGTTCTTCGCTGACGCGCGCTGATTCTTGCTCATTTTGCGTCTTCGAACCAGTTTGGGAGTCTTCCGGAAGAACGGCATACAAACCCCCGAGTGGTACTTGGCCTTGCTGTCGCGGGAGTCGTAGATGATTCCAAAGTCCGACTTGAAGGCCTTGTAGTGGAAGTTAGGCTGGAAAGTGGCCACGTTCAAGTTCTCTGGATACCCTTCTCCGCCAAGAAGCTTCATACTGATGTTTTCGTCGCTGACCGCTTGCAGCATGTCTTTGAACTTGTACGTCTCGCTCTCAATCTCGTTCTCCTTCGGGAACAGGTCGGAGTTGATTCTGAACAGCTCCGTGACTCTGATGTTCATCACGTAGACGCAATTGAAGCCCAGTCTCTCCATCAGAATGTGCGAGAGCATTTTAGAGGCAGAGACTGCGTTCATGCAACCCAAGAGACTTCTCCAAACGTTCAGGTCGATCAGGTCTCCGAGCGGTGTGCTGTATTTGCTGAATCTCAGATGGCTGTGTTGCTGATACCGACTTCCCGACCCGTCTCTCTCGTAGATGGACCCTAGCATGTCACTGCTGGTGGCTCTGCCATACTTCTTTAGCATGATTTTCGTGTTTTCGGCAGACGTAGGCGAGGTGACGGTGCTGCACTGGACCGTCGTGCTGGTGTCGGCCACAGAGACGTGTACCTCGTCTAGATACTCCATGATCTCTGCGGCAATCTGCTGCATAATAGAAACGGTGTTTTCCTCGACCTTTGTTCTTGGAAAGGCGTCAAAAATGGCAAACGTGCCGATGACATCCTTTGAAGCAGTAGCAAGAGGAACAGCAACATAGTACCTGATTCCTGGCGGACCCTTGACCAGCGGGTTGCTGGCGGTTCTCCAGTCTTGGGAAGCATCAGTCAGGGCAAAGAATCCAGCAGAAAGGATAGCATGAGCGTCGATGGAAACGGTTCGGGCACACTCTTTGAAACCCAGGTTGTGCTGAAATTTGACGACTTGGTACCTTGTATCAATCAAGCTGATCGAAGCTCCATTGCACTCAAACATGTTCATGGTTTTTGTTAGCAGCGAGTTGAATCTTTGTGTATTATCCCAATGGGGCAAGCTCGAATAGGAGTCGACAGCTTTCAGTCTTTTCGCCTCGTTGTACGCCTCGGGCGGTCTCAGAAGCGTGGTGTTTGCATAGCACGATGGACATGGCACGGTGGAAAGATTCCATTTGCCTTTGCTGTACGCCTCCAGAAATGTTTCCTTGGTCAAGGGGACTGCAAATAAGCATTTGTTCTGCATAGAAATAAGATAGGAATACTCTTGCTGTGGCGCTTGCTGGTAGCCAATATACTGGCTCTTCGAAGACGAGCTCTTGGGGTTCTCCTTGGTTGGAGAGAGTGCTGATCTGGCATTGTCGTGTCTTGCTATGTTAGCTTGTGGATACCGCTGCGAAAACTTACCTGGGACTAGCCTGGTCGAATCTATTACTGGACGAGTTTCGTTTATAGCCAGCATCCAGCATCTTATGGGCTGAAGACGAAAGCAAAGTGAAGTATGAGATTCGAATGACCAGGAAAAAAGCGGATCCGGTTCTATTTTATCCTCAGTCTACGCGCTGGAGCAACATGATGCGGCTTTAATTTTTTTATCATTAGTTAGATTCATCCATCTTATCGTCATCCTTCGGTTCTTCCTTGACGGCTTCTAGGTTGCTTTCTGCCGGCGCCTGTTCTCTCTCCTGTCTGGCACGTTCCTCTTCCAGCGACAGTCTGATGGCCAATGCCAGCTCGGGGTCCATGTTTGGGTCGTCGAAACCAAACTCGTCTCCCATGCCCATGCCTCCAGAAGCGCCTCCCTCCTCCTGGAACAGAACAGACCGGTCCACCTGCTCGTACAGAAGATTTGGGCCAGGAGGCACAGTGACCAGATGCGACGAGTCGTTGCTATTGGCCAGCGATACGAACCTCTCGAGCTTCTCAGTGTTGATCTGCTGCTCTCCAAAATTGATGAAATCAATCGATATGCCGTTCTTCTTAAGTCGCTTGGCCAGCTTGTCCATCTCAGCCTCGCTTTCTGTAATCGGCGACCCCACAAACACAATCACACGCTGCTTCTGTGCCTTGTTCTGTCGATTTTTCAATGCCAAACACGCCACCTGAATACCGTCCACAAGCTTGCTCTGTCCCTCTATACGGCTCTGATGCAGTCCACTGAGCACCTTTCCGTACTCCGTGGTTAGGTTGCTGATGACCCGCGGCGACTCCCCAGCCATCGTCATCAGGCCCACCGTGCTCTCTGGATTGGCGTTGGTTTTGCGTCTGAAGATCAGCTCCACCGTGTCCAGCTGCGCCTGGTACCGCGATGTAAGGTAGTCGCCATTTCTCATATACTCTGAGTTGTCAATGACTATCATACATGCCTCCAAAACCATATTGATTACTAGTGTTGGATTCGGGTTGGATTTTTTTCGCCACTACGTTTGGTAGTGCAAGGGAAAGAAAAGATATAAACATCAATATAAAATATCTATCTATATAAACATCAATGGCTTCTTCGGGGCCGCCGCGGTTGTCGAAAGTCCACAAGCAGCGACTGATTCAGCGTTTTAAGCGAGAAACCGCGCGCAGAGAACAGCTTCTGCGACAGGCAGGCGGCAGACAGGCCGAGGAAATCAGCCTCAAGGTGAAAAACAGACTCAACAAGATCCTCCGCAAGTTCTGGGACATCAAGATCCGCGACATCCTGGAGGTCGAGCGCGAGATGCCGCTGGACCAGCTGACCCTGCTGAAAGTCCTGCGGCAGCTAGAAATTCCGTCGTCCGCATCCGCTGTATAATATCTACCGCATCAAATTAGTGAATACACAGAATAATTTATGACACTCTATCCTAAAGATCCTCCGGAAGATCGTCCCAGAAAGCCTTGCCTTCGGTGGTAGGCTTGATATATCCGGCACGGATCACAAAGTCGCCGAAGTGCTCTCCTTCGTATCTCTCCAGCGACCACCTTCTGAACATTGGCACCAAAATGTCGAGCACCTGCTGCTCGTCCACGTTGGTCCTGTACAGCTTGTTCAGACGCTCTCCCTTGTATCCTCCACCGAGCATCATGTTGTAGGTGCCAGGCGCCTTTCCAACGAGCGCGACCTCGGCAAGCCATGGTCTGGCGCATCCGTTAGGACATCCCGTCATTCTCATGACGATGGAGTCGTTTCTCAGACCAAGGTTCTCGAGCTCTGCCTCCAGCTTCGAAATCAGCACAGGCAGGTATCTCTCTGCCTCGGCCATGGCCAGGCCGCACGTTGGCAGCGCCACGCAGGACGACGACGACAGTCGCAGCGCAGAGTAGTTGGTCTTGTCCAGCTTGTGCTCTCTCATCATCGTCTTGAGCGCGCTCAGGTGCTCGTCAGGCACGTTCGACAGCAAAATGTGCTGGTTGCCGGTGAGTCTGAACTCGCCGAAACCGTGCTCCTTCATGTAGCGCGCGATCTTGCCGAGTCCCGTCTTCTGAGGCGCCTCCACCGTGTCCTCGATTCTCCCGTTCTCGACGAAGCAGGTGTAGTGGTTGAGTCCGATCTCATCCTTGCACCAGCCGAAGTAGTCGATGTTGGAGTCGATCTTGAACGGCTTCGGAGCGTCGAACTTCTTGCCCCACAGCTCCTCGACTTTGCTCTTATACACGTCCACGCCCATGTCGTCGATTGTGTACTTCAGTCTGGCGTGCTTTCTGTTCTTTCTGTCACCGTTGTCTCTCTGGACAATCATCACTTTTTCGCACACGATGTGGATGTCTTCCACCGGGCAGAAGCCGAACATAGAGCCCGTTCTCGGGTACGTCTTGGTGTTGTTGTGCGTCGTTCCCATTCCGCCGCCCACCAGCACGTTGTAGCCGACGATGTTGTTGTTCTCGACAATGGCAATTAGCCCGATGTCGTGCGCGTAAACGTCCACGTCGTTGTACGGAGGCAGAGTCAGCACGACCTTGAACTTTCTCGGCAGGTATGTAGGGCCGTACAGCGGCTCAGTGTCCTGGATAGAGTCGCCGCCCACCTTGATCTTTCTCGGGCCGCCCTCGATGCCTCTCTCGAGATCCAGGTCGTCGAGCCACAGCTCGTGGTAGGCGGTGGTCGACGGAAGCAGGTGTCTGGAGATGATTTTGGACGTTTCGACCAGCTGCGAGTGCAGGTGCTGGTTCGAAGGCAGAGCAGAACACATGACGTTTCTGTTCACGTCACCGCACGCAGCAAGCGTGTCCATCAGAGCCGTGTTGATGCCCTTGATGGTAGGCTTCAATTTCGACTTGATCACGCCGTGCAGCTGGAACGTGGCCCTCGTGGTGATTTTGAAGGTACCGTTGCCGTTGGTGCTCGACAGCTCGTCGATCTTGAGCCACTGGTCCGGCGTGGCAACGCCTCCAGGAAGACGCACCCGCGCCATGAACGCGTACGCTGGCTCCAGGCCCTCCTTCTTGCGCTGCTCTCTCACGTCTCTGTCGTCCTGCATATAAATACCGTGGAACTTGGTCAACTGCTGGTCGGAGGCAGAAATGGCCCCCGTGGTGGCGTCCTGCAACCCTTCAGCAATGGTTCCTCTGAGGAAGTTGGAGTTGATCTTGATGTCCTCGTTCGTGATTGGCGGAGGCTCGTCTGCGTTCTCCACAGACACCCCCAGGGCCTCCCAGACCTTGGGCTCCCAGGCGTTGTAGCCGGTGTTGTAGCCGTCGGCGTCCTGGTCGTCTCCGAGCCCCAAGTCAGCGAGAACGTTGCCGCCCAGCAAGACCAGCTTCTTGAACAGGTCCTGGCCCGGCTTGTTGTAGTAGTGAGCGTCCTCCTTTCTTGGCCAGTACTTTGAGTCTCCCAGACCGAAAACGGAGAACTTGAGGTTGGCAAGGTCGATCGTGCTGGATTTGAGAGCCTCCCAGAACAGCTTACCGTTGGTTGGGAACTCTCCCTGTCCAGAGGTGGACGTGATGAAAACAACATTCGTCTCCATGGCCAGGTCGTCCAGCGAAAGCTCGTCCATGGCCAGAAGCTTGATCTTGAGGCCCTTGGCGGCTCCCCTTCTGCCCATCTTCTTGGCCAGGTTCTCGGCGTTGCCTCCGTCAGACGCAAACGCGATCGTCAAAGGCTCGCCGCTCAGGTTCTCGAGCATCTTGCTGAACGCGTCCTTGGACTTCTCGTTCATCTTCTTCTCGACCATATTGTTGTACGACTTAAGGTTGAAGTCGAGTCTAGGGCTCTTGGCAGCCAGCATCGTGAGCCTGTTTTCTCTGTCCAGAAACTCCTTGAGCTCGTTTCTGATGAACGACGAGTCCAGCTGGAACTTGTCCTCTTCGTTTTCCAGGAATGGATTGTATCTGTAGAGCGGCCAGTAGCCCATATCGACGGAGCTCTTGGTGTCCTTGAGGATCTCAAGATGGTCGTCGTAGCGCGGCAAGTACGCCAGCACAATGGCCGGGCCGTTCGCGAACCTGTTGGCCTCCAAAAGCGCAGTCAGCGTCTGCGAGTACGACGAATACAGGGCCACCGACGCGACGTACGAGTTGCCGTAGTTCATCGCATACAGCCCGGCGTTCTTCTTGCCCTGTTTTCTGTTGAGCGACGAATCAGAGTCAATGATCAGCAGCTTGACTCTCTTGTTGGTCTTGAGCACCTGGTGCAGCGTCGACAGGCCTTGGTCAAAACACCACTTGTCGGAACCTATCAGCCAGCTCGTCCTGATGGTCAGATACTCCTTCATGGCCAGAATGTCCTTGACTGCAGTGGCCTTGGACTGGGCCAGCTCAGCAGCCAGCTCTGTGCCGTCCACTTCCTTGCCCTCCTTGGCCTTGATCAGCCACGCCGCAAGCTTGTCGCTGAGGTCAGATCCTGCGAACTCGCCCAAACTATCCTCGACAAGGTTGATCAGCTTGCTTCTCTGCTCCTCCTCGTACAGGAACTTACCAAAGGCGAACTCTGGCGACGGATTCAGCACGACGTTGTTCAGCACAGAAGGGTTAGGAACAGCCTGGCGCAGCAGTCTGACGTAGATGTCCTCAGAGAGGGAGGACGAGCGCGAGATGGTGGCAGAGACAGATTTAAATGGTTTCCCCAGACTCATGTTCTGCACCGGCTCGTCCAGCTCCGAGTTGGCGAAAAGGTCACTGAGCACGTCGTCGACGTTTGTCGAGTCGATCTTCAGCAACTGGCTGCATATGACTGACGAAAACTGCGGCACCAGGTCCAAAATGTCCAGCAGAAGCGGCTGGAAGTCCAGCTGCACAGAGCTCTGCTCCAAAATTTGCAGCACGCCAGAATATGACGAGACCAGCTTGCCAAGCTTTGCAACGTTGAACGGTCTGTAAACTTTGACGGATATGAGACCGACGCCCGACGGAAGAGCAGAGCGCATAGCGTTCTGGTTGCCCAGCAAGAGCAGGATCTGGTCGTATTTCGAAAACCAGGAAGAGTTCAGAAACTCAAATTCCGAGTAGGAGCGGCCGGTCAGGTCTTTGAGAGCCCCAAAGGCAGCGTCGAGATCCCGGCCCTCAAAGCTGGTGTACGTCTGGGCGATACGAGAGTCAGGATAAGACTTAGGGCTCTGAGACTGGTCCAGATAAAAGTGGAGCACGGTACCCTGTGTAAACTTCGCAACGAGATATGACAGGATGAAAAAGTCAAGCGCTTCTTGTGGGTTGGAAGAGATTAAAATAGGAATTCCAAGATCCTTAAATGCCAAAACAACAGAGTAGTCGTCATTAGTGATAGGAGAATTGATGATGAGTTTTTGCGTAGAGTGGGACACGATGGGCAATTGCTTGAGCAAGTCGTCAGAATGCAGTCCCAGCACAGCGGCCTGCGAGTCCTCGATGAACTCGAGACAGTCGTTAGCCGACAAGGATTCGACTTGCGGAAATTCCTGCGTCGGACCAACAGAATAGGCCTTGAATCCAGACTCTGATTGCAAGGCGACTGCAACCTGTGCGAACGCCTGTTGAAGAGTGACAGAAGTCATGAATAGCACGAGATAGCTGCGGTTTGCGAATATAAAACTTTTTAGCTCTAGATCTGCTTCTCCGCGAAGGAGCCACACTGAGGCTAGTGCCCGAGCGTTTGTATGTGTCGCTTATTATATGAGCGGGTTTTATTGGCGGGCTTTGAGCGGCTCGGGTGGCGGTGCAAGATACTGGTGACGAAAGGTCACGTGAAATGCAGTTGGGAGCCGGGGATTGAAAAAAATGAAATTTTTTTGACGATAGGCAGAACTTATCAGACGGCTAGCAGCTGATCCGAGAGGTCTCCCGTGTAAGGGTGTATAAATAGTGTAGATAGTAAAGAATGGTACATAAATATAGCAGCTACTCAACCACGGTAGGGTCTCTGCGTCTGAATTGCATGATTAGGTCGTCTTTAGGGAAGATGGTAGCAAACACCTTGATCTGCTCGCTCAGTTCCGTGACCTTGTGGTCAAAGTCCAGGAACATAGCAGCCTTTCCGATGAAAGCAGTGAAGGTCATGAGCACATAAGTTTGTCCCAGACACCTGTGCACACCTGTACCGAAAACAAGCCAGTTCTTCGTGGCGGCCCACGCAGGTGAACCCTCCTCCCATCTCTCTGGCACAAACTCGTCAGGGTTTTCGTAAACTTCTGGGTCGTGCAGAGCTGGGTACAACGTTGGCACCACCATGGCTCCCTTAGGAATAGTGTAGTTATCGCTAACGGGATAGGCCTGTTTCACATAGTGGGGAACCATGAGGACCGGTGGTCTGTATCTCAACGTCTCTCTGACAACCATGTTGGTGTATTTCATCTCATCGATCAGCTTACCGGTCAGAGGCTGGTATGGGTTTCCATTTCTGATTCTGAGCTGTTCCTCTCTGATTTTCTTCAGGACGTCTGGTCTGTCAGCAACAAGTTGGAAGAGCCAGCAGCACAGAGAGGAAGAAGCGTCCTGGGAAGCAAACAGGAAGGTGAACACAGCCTCGGAGATCTCTCTGTTGGAGAACTCCCTGATTAAAATCTTGGCGTCCAAAGACTTTTTATCCTTGCTGTCTCTGGCCTCCTTCATGACCTTCACCCAGGCATCCATGACACACTTTGGCTCCCCACCGGCCTCAATGTGGTCCTTGGCCATCTGTGCGCACCCTTCAAAAATTTTCATAGTCATGTCTGCGATCTTCTTTCCGTACCAGGTCTTGGTGTAAGGAATGATGATAGGGAAGTTGACAAGCTCTAAAGCTGCGGTGACTAAGTAGTAATTGTCAGCAATCTCCTTGATTTGAGAATTGGTGATGTAGTCACCGCAAAACGTTTTCAGGGAAATCGCACACATCACCTCTCTGAACACTGGGAAGAACACTTTCGGCTCGTCTTTGGTCATGTCGGCAAACAAATTGATGTATTTGTCCATGATTTTCTCTTGGTCCGGGATATAGAACTCCAAAGAGCTTTTCGTAAAGAGCCCATTCAGTCCCTTTCTATATTCCGAGTGTTCCTTACCGTCCAGAAAGACCCAGTTGGATGGTCTCAAAATCTTCACGGCAACGTCAACAACACACGGTTTAACGTACTGTGGCGACTGGAAGATCTTTCTAGTAAGGTCCCGGGTGGAAGCAATCACCACAAACTTGTGGAAAATCGAGACACATGACAAGGGTCCGGAAGCCCACTTGCTCTGGTACTCCTCAAACTTAGGGTCCAGAGACTCCAAAAATGGGCCAATAACAGGCCAGACTTTGAAACGCGGACCGGCAATTGATCCCTTGTATATCTGGTATGCTATCTGGTCGTAGACCACAACAATAGCCATGAAAATGGCAGCTATCTGCCACCAGGAGGTTTGTTGCCAGAGGGAAAGAACAGCCGACTTCAGGCCCACATAGTCAAGCTCCTTGACGGCACCTATAACCGTGGTCGGGTTCAGAGTCGAGCAATTGTTATTCAGAAACTCCATCTTTTCGGAAGGTCAAAAGAATGTATGAGAAATGATCCGATTGTGATTGACTGCTTATATAAAAAATTGCAGTTGATTTTTTTCTGTATACGAGGTGAACGAAATCCGTTAACAACATCCGTACACCCGAAGCAGAGTCAATAGGCGGTGAGAAAGCACAGGTCGCGTGACACGCCAAGACGGAGCGGTCCACTACGTGGTGTGGCTGGGGGCGCTGATTTGGTTGGACAGAAGTATACAGCCCGCGAATCATGGTGGCTGCCGTCCGCGGTGGCACTTACAGAGAGCTGTAGCTACGGCTTGGCAACCAACTCGCTACGGAATTGCAACTTTTCCCTGACATGCTGCTATTATCGGCAATTTCAAGCCCGCGAGTAGCAGGCTACGTGAGAGAAATGGTATGTTTGGACTTGGCGATTCGATAGCACGCTACGTTTTCAGCGGAAATTGATCAATTACTGGGCATTTGATGTCTATTTCGTTAACAGCTCGCCGTTTTGCAGGTTGGTGTCTTTCCATATTAGCACAAGGGCAATGGTGATGAGGTAATTAAGAGTGTAGGCCGTGGTGGTGACATTGGCCATTTCGAGGAAAAGCTCGTTCACGTAGTCGTAGAGCACTCTTCCTCTCAAAATTAGCTCAACCAAGCTCATGATTGTGAGCAGAGCAAAAGTGAGCGCAAGCTTTGTGCGCACACTCCGGTTGGTGAGCTGCTTGTGAGTTTGCCATGCGTAATAGCAGCAGAGGAGGTACACAACAACCAGCTGCACGAAAATAAAGTCACTAAGGAAAGAGGCCCTGCCTCCAAGAAGAGAGTACACCGAGGACTCCTCGACAGCAAAGAGAAGAAGCTGAAGGAAGAGGAACGCGCATAGGACTCTGAAAATCCGTAGTTTCTTAGGGCTCTTCATATTGCTGAAAAACAGGAAACCTGAGGAAACGATCAGACAGTTGTACACGATCCATACCGTGAACGTTGCGCTAAAAGTGAGCATACAAGCGTTCATGACGATCATACTCAGACTGCCGTAGTATCCGTAGCCGTACTTGTTGAGCTGCGAGTAGATGATGACAGAGCTGAAGAAACCAAACGCAGTGCCGGCAATATAAAACAAAAGCTTCACCTGGATCGTAAACTGCTTGAACCAAATGGAGCTCGACAGAATGGCATTGGTTTTGTCCAGCCGCACTTTGCGATACAAATATGCAGCGAAAAGGGCAAAGAGCATCACGTAGGACAGGAAAAGCGTAAAGTCCCAGTAGAGGTAGTGGTAATCTGAAACTAGAAGATTACCAAAGCTCTGCTTCCAGTCGACAACAACGCGCAATTTTCCAGTGTCTGCAGGAATATCGTGAGCGGTGAAGATGACACAGTAAATGGCGGTGTTTTGAATCTCGAATTTGTGCGTATTTTGAGGTAATTCAGTAGGAATAAGCCTGTAATGCTCGATGGGAAACTCAAACTCCTCACTGTCGATCAGCTCGTCGAGCGTCATGCGCAACTCTAGCTGGTCGGGAGACGGATACGTGCACAGTTTCTTCTTGATGGCGCTCTCGTCACAAACCTTGACCATTGGCGATGGGTCAAGTTTCACACGCTCCAAATCACCGCCGGAAATCAAAAGTGTGTCAACCGAGGCGCCGGGCAGGTTTTCAAACTGGACTGCAATTTCAGGAGTGAAATGCTGCGAGATGAAAAACAGCTTGGAATTTTCGTAGTTGGCGACATATGCGCAGGTCTGAAACGCCCTGTCATTTTCCAGCATATGTTCATCCTCCAAACCAAAAATTCCAACTAGTAACGTCAGAAACGTCAGGAGCGAGGGAAGCATCGGTGAGCAACAGCGATGTAGAAGATTATATAAATAGGAAAAAAAAGTATATTACACAGCCAAAAATAGTAGCTAGCTTCGGTTAGACGTCTAGTCAAGGATTTGGCCAGCCAGGGGGCGGCCACATAGTCCGTGCAGGGAGAACAAGGTCTTTTCAGAAAATAACTGGTCGGAGAACAATGCCTGCGCATCTTCCCTGAGAATGCATTGTCTGCATTGAACAACACTGTTTGGGGCCCAAAAATGGTCGATCGACGGGTCTATTTGGGCCATGACTGGAGGTTGCGAGACTTCGTAGAGAACGGCTACTGGACAGGCATTGATCTGAAAACATACAAATGGCAGGATGTACTCAGCCGGGCCCTTTCTCGTGCTTTGAGATTGGCAGATAGTATTCTCAGAAGGGCTACCCGAGCGGTCGCTGACGTGTCCGGGTAAGCGGTAGATCTCCACGAATCAAAACTCAGCGATTAGTAAGAACACACAGAGAGACCAAGATCCGGCTGGTAAGAGGAACTCTCACAGCACCTGCGCCATACCCTGGCCATATGCGTGGCTCATATGAGAACCACGAAGGCTAGTGAAATAATTCAATTTATTAAACCTATAATCTGCTCAACAAACTATAGGCGTCTTATGACGTCGCCTCCAACATACTCAACCAGCTGATCACGTTCTAAGGAACAAAAAGGCCCCGACTGCAAGGATAAGGCCACCTAGGGCGACGAGAGGCAAAGAAGAACTATCGGACGATGACGAAGCTGCTGCAGACACAGCTGGCTTAACAGCGACGCCACCTTTCAGCTCGCCGACTTCAAGGTTAGCCAGGATCTCGTGAGCATCTTCCGAGTGACCAATATCTTCGAATGGTTCTGTTGCGTCGGTTCCGGCACAATCCATGATCACCTCTTCTCCTCCCGGGTGTTCATCCAAGTACTCACTGCAGTCGTATACTTTGCCCTTGTATATGATATACAAGTCATCTCTGGTGTTGTGCTGGGCGACCTCCTCCGCTGTGAAGACTTTCGACATGATACAAGTTTTCGTAAAGAAATTTGGTCCGTGTGTTTTTTTTCTTATCTGGTACTCGTATAAGTTACTTAATCGGGTTAAAAAAATCATGTCTAGTGATTTTGCAACTGGCGGCATATTCCGCTTTTTGCAACTGAAAAGCTATCCCTTCTAACCGTGACCAAGACGGTTGGCGAAAGAGGGTCTCTGGAATGGCTTTCTTCGGCTGGGTCTCTCTACAGCCCAGGCAGGCTCGCCCAACAAAAAGGTCTCTCCATCCGTACACCACTAACGTTACATCAAAAAAATTTTTAGAAGATATTTTTTTAAGGAACTATAATGGCCCGGAAAGCTGTGTCTACCCCGCCTTCCAAGAAGGTCCCCTCGCGCTCGCCTATCCTGACTAGAACCCGCAGCAAAAAGGTCAGCCAGGAGCTAAGAGATGAGTCGAAACTAGAGAAAAAGAAAGAAGAGATCAAATCCGAACTAGAAAACGACGAGATTGAGCTTCCCAGCGACAGCGACAGCTCTGACGACGCCGACGAGCTCGAGGGCTTTGAATCTGCGGACGATGAGGACGGAAGAGAACAGGGTGGCGTCACAAAGACAAAGCACACGGTGCACACAGTGACCAAGCCTGTTCAGAGCACTGACAAGAGCACCTCGAAACCGAGCGCCAAATCCAAGCACGGCGTGATATATGTGGGTAGGCTGCCCCACGGATTTGAAGAGAGGGAGCTGAAGAAGTATTTCAGCCAGTTCGGCGAAATCACCAGACTCAGACTCTCGAGGAACAAAAAGACAGGAAACTCGAAACACTACGCATTTATCGAGTTCGAGCACGCGGAGGTGGCCAAGATCGCCGCTGAAGCCATGAACAACTACCTGTTGTTTGAACACCTGCTGCAATGTGCCGTTGTGCCGGCTGAAAAAGTGCACGAGAACCTTTTCCAGGGAGCTAACTCCAAGTACAAGCCCGTGCCGTGGAGCAAGATCGCGCAACTCAAGAACGACAAGCCCAAATCCAAGGCCAGGTGGGAAAAGCTGCAAAAAAAGTACCAGGAGCAGAATAAGAAGAGACTGCAGAAACTCAAACAGCATAATATCGACTACGATCTCAGTGCTCTGTAGGGAGGGTGTAAGGTTGTATAATTTTAAGCAAATAGGGAAATCAAGGTTGTCACAATGGCCGCTAAACTCGAGCACCCTGTGTACGAAAAGCTCTCCAACTACACCTTTTATCTTTGTTCCTCGTCGCCTCGCCGCCAGGAGATTTTGAAGATGCTCGGGTTCAGCCCTGTAGTCAGGGCGTCTCAGTTTGAGGAAAATTTGTCAAAGCTAGATTACACGGTAGAAGAGTACGTTGCAGAGACAGCCAAAGGCAAGTGTTTGGCTGTCTGGGACCAATTGAAAAAAGAGGGCGAAACAGACAACGTGTTGCTGATTTCGGCCGACACAGTCGTTGAAAATCAAGGAGTCATATATGAGAAGCCAAAGACACAGGAAGAAAATTACCGGGCAATTTGCGCAATGCGCGACTCGAGCGAGCCCGTTCGCGTATTTTCTGGAGTCGTCGTGCTACTGAGCGACGCCAGCACACAAGGAAAGCCCGACAAGTGCAAAATCAAGACGTTCACGGAGATAACAGAGATAATCATGGAAAAGTCTGTGAGCAACGAGTTTGTGAGGAAATACAGCGAGTGCGGCGAAGGCCACCAGGTGGCGGGCGGATTCAGGATCCAGGGCTCGGGCGCTCTGATGATGAGAGGCATAAACGGAGACTACTACAACGTGGTGGGGCTTCCGTACACGAAGACGTTCCAAACGATCTGTGACATGTTAGATACACACATATAGACAGGCAGCGTAGTTGCTTAAACGATTTGTTCGCTTAAGCAGTTGGCAGGGGAGAAAGCAAGTTGATGAGGTTTGGTCTGTTGGAGGTGGATTGCCATCCGAGGTAGATGATGAAGGGGATCCATCCGTAGTGGGCAATGGTCTTGGTGGTGTCGAGGACCTTGGATAGTCTCTCTTTGGACTCTTCAGACAGGTTCAGGCCGGCGTTCATGAGGAGGATTGTGTTGGCACAGTTGAAAAAATGGATGAAAAAATCATCGACCCCACCAAGTCGATCGACGCCAGCAGGAGGCAAAGGAAAAGACCGATCCGCGAAGGACGATTTTTTACGGCGAGGAAAAAAAACAGCAGCTGATTGAATTTGATTAGTCCTAATTAGAGGCAATTGCTCATAACATCACCTACCTGCTATAAAATGTCTGCCATTGCCACGCTCAGATTGGCCTCGCGTCCTGCAGTCAGGCTCTCCAGAGCCCCAATGCTGAGGTTTACAGCCCTAGCAAGATACTATTCCTCCAAGTTCCCAGAGCACACCGTCATCACCATGCCGGCCTTGTCGCCAACCATGACCCAGGGTAACCTCGTGAAGTGGCATAAGAAGGTTGGAGATGCTTTGCAGCCGGGCGAGTCCATTGCCGAGGTCGAAACCGATAAGGCGTCCATGGACTTTGAGTTCCAGGAAGAGGGGTTTCTGGCTAAAATCCTGGTTCCGGACGGGACCCAGGACATTCCTGTTGGAAAGCCGGTTGCCGTGTACGTTGAGGACAGCGGCGACGTTGCTGCGTTTGAGGATTTCACCGCCGCTGACGCCGGCGACGCCGGCGCCCCAGCCGCAAGCGAGCCAGCGAAGGAACAAGCCCCTGCTTCCAAGGAGGAACCACAAGAGGCACCAAAGGAGGCACCAAAGGAATCCCAGCCAGCCAAAAAGTCTTCTCCAGCTCCGTCTGGCAGAATTTTCGCTTCTCCACTGGCCAAGACCATTGCTTTGGAGAAAGGCATTTCCCTGAAGGAAGTCAAGGGCACGGGTCCAAACGGACGAATTGTGGCCAAGGATGTCGAAAACTACAAGCCAGCAGCTCCACAGGCCCCTGCTGCTTCCGCAGCTCCGGCAGCAGCCACATACGAGGATATTCCATTGACGACCATGAGAAAGGTCATCTCCAAGAGGCTGACCGAGTCGAAGCAAACGTCTCCAGACTACATCGTCTCCTCGTCGATGTCTGTTTCGAAATTGCTCAAGTTGAGAGCCTCTCTGAACGCTGCTGCCAACGACAGATACAAGCTCTCGGTCAACGACCTGCTGATCAAGGCCATTGCCAAGGCGTGCGAGAGAGTCCCAGAGGTCAACGCCTACTACATGGAGAAGGAGGGAATCATCAGACAGTTCTCGAACGTTGATGTTTCGGTTGCTGTGGCCACTCCTACAGGCCTGATCACCCCAATCGTCAAAAATGCACACGCCAAGGGTCTCGAGACCATCTCCAAGGAAGTCAAGGACCTCGGCAAGAGAGCCAAGGAGAATAAGCTGTCTCCAGAAGAGTTCCAGGGCGGAACCATCACGATCTCCAACCTGGGAATGAACCCTGCTGTCACGCTGTTCACCTCCATCCTGAACCCTCCACAATCGGCTATTCTGGCCATCGGCACTGTCGAGAAAAAGGCCGTGCCTGACAAGGCCAGTCCGCACGGCTTTGTGTTCGACGACGTGATCAACATCACGGGAACCTTCGACCATAGAACCGTGGACGGTGCCAAGGGAGGCGAGTTCATCCGGGCTTTGAAAACCATTGTGGAAAATCCGCTGGAGATGCTTTTGTAAGGGATCTAGATCAGTGTAAGAATGTATTAGACAAGATTTGGAAAACAAAGTAGGGTAACTTTTCCATCAAGGGGCCAGATAGATATTCTTCCCCGTAAATTAAAGCTCGCAATAACTGTTGACAAAATATGAGCGGGTCATCTGGGCTGGATCAGGCCGAGCTGACCTACCTGATCGTCTTTTGCACGCTGATCTCGCTGATGATCATCTGTGCGCTTGTGACCCTCATATACTACTTATTCTTCAGAGACTCGCTTCTGGGGGCTCGCGACGACGAGAACAACGTGATCTGCGACGTGCTAAAGTACAACCCGGCCAACTACCGCAACCAGGCTCTGTTTCAATCTCTTAACAAGGTGGATAGGTTGCGTTTCGCTCTGGCTAGACAATTTTTTGAGGAAAAGCCTCCTATTCTGCGCTTTAATAACACCCAGGGCGAAATCGACACCACCTATTTATTAATCAGAGACCGCGGCATCAGCAGTTTCTATTTCGAGACGTACTGCGACCAGATATCGGAGCTGAGCCAGTCCTTGTGCGCTTCAGAGGCTGAGGAGGCGTCCGAGACCACCGCGTTGTTGCAGCCCAAGAAGCCCGATTATACGCAGGCACAGTTCAGGAAAGTGCCCTATTACGTCGAGGACCTCACAGAGATCTCTTTTGTCGGCTCTGAGCAGAGTAGCGCCATTTTGAACCTTCCAGTGCCGATCAGAAACCGCAAGAACGACACGGTCTACTTCGAGGCCAAGCTTTACGATTTCGACCACCGCCGCTGCATGGTGTCTGTGGGTCTTTGCACAAAGCCGTATCCCAACTTCCTGCTGCCCGGACTGCATCCTTATTCGGTTGCCGTGCAGACAGACGGATGTCTTCGTCTGAGCAACCGGCCGTTCCCCAACGACCCTGACTTGCCTGTTATTCTGCCCCAGCTGCTGGAAGGCGACGTCATAGGTATTGGCTACAAGGCCTCGAACGGCACTGTCTACGTCACGCACAACGGTAAGAAAATTGTCGAGGCCGTCCAGAACCTGAAGACAGAGCTCTATCCGTGTATCGGAGCGGTTGGCGGGCCGTGTACGGTCTCAGTAAACCTGGGCCAGATCGGGTTTGTTTTCATAGAAGCCAACGTGAAGAAACTGGGCTTCTGCGAGAATCAGAACGAGGGAACCATCGGCGCACCGCCGCTCTACTCCCCCAAATTAATCAAGAATGACATTCTGCTAGATCAGGGAGAGCAGTTGCCTCCAGAATATCCTTCTGACGAGGAGACGTTCTTTGGGCCCAAGCCGTATCTAGAGAAGTCCAAGAAGCGCGTGGGGACTCCCGAGTCTGACCCGCCTCCCTACATTGGAGACAAGAGCGAGAAGACGTCGCTCGACGACGACGAGCCGAGCGTCATGGACCCCACAGAGTACGAGCGACGAATCGATAACATAGGAACTTCGCCCGCTCTTGGCACCAGTAAGCGCGCGGGGCCATATATACGATAATGGAGGACGCTACTAATGCAACCGTTAGCAAGTTCGCTGCATGTTTATGTTGCTGGCTGTAGCTGCTGCGAGTTTTCACGGCAGTGTTAAAAGTCAAAATCTAGTTTTCGACTTTTTCACATATTCGTCCATGACATTAATTAAGCAGAGCGACCAATTTATCCAAAGATCGCTTGAATTGCTCCAGGCGAGCCCAGAGGACACGACAGTGTCAATAACATACACACACTCGAGGGTGAAGTCGGCCAAGACCGGCAAACCGGCCAAAGCATTGATCAAAATCAAGACTTACAATCCTCAAACCGGCATATGTCTAAACTTCAAGACGCACAAGGCAAAGGAGTTCAGCAGAATGATCAACGTCTTAGGGCCAAGGGGCAGCTCCATGACAAAGGTCGAAAACTCTGAGAAAAAAACCATACATCTTGATGGATTCTCTAGTGTTATGAGTAATGTCGAGTTTAAGGAGGAGGTCGCCCCTGCTCCGGCAGCAGCCCCTGTGCCGGAGCAGGCAGAGTCCGGAGGCAAGAAGAAAAGCAAAAAGAAGGGCAAAAAGAAGTAGTGTATTATACATAGGTCGCTTTAATGAACCACCACGAGTTAAGAGTGCTTGCGTCCTACATTGAGCAGATTGCTCTTGTGCGTTTTTTTGTAGATCATGGTGTCGTCCAGCGGCACGCTGTCGTCACTAAACTCGTCGGAGTCAACGTCCGCTCTTCTAGCTGGCGAGCAAACAGGACACGAGGCCGCTGGTTTTGGCGGCGTGCTATCTTTTTTCAGATGTCTGATCTGGACCTGTGGCGTTTTGGGCTCGCTTGAGTCGGCATTCTGATGCTCCGGTCTTTTCTGCTCCACCTTGATGACTCCATCGCCAACGGTGATAACAGTGAGAACGTCAGCATTGTGTTTCAGAACCTCCTTCTGTTTGAGCAGCTTCAAGTTCTCAGCCTCAAGTTTTTCCAGCTCCTCCTGCGTTGTGAGAGCGAGCTGCTTCATTTTCTCTTCGTTGGATGCCAGCTGATCGTCTATGGTGTCGGCAGAAACCGCTTTTCCCGAGGTAGTTGGGCGTTCCGACTTGGCTGGAGAAGCCTCCTGGGGCGCAGGCGCTGGAACCGTTGCAGCAGAGCCTGCTGACTTTCTCAGCTCTGCCAAAGTCTCTCTCAGCTTCATTGTCTCCATATAGTACTTGTCGAACTTCTTCTTCACGAGCTCGCTTGTAGAGGTAATGCGATGGTTCTCCTCCTGTAATTGCCTGAGTTTTGTGCGGAGCTCTGTGTTTTCGCGCCGCAGTATTCTGTTCTCGTCCTTCACCTCGTCAAACTCTGTGCTAATCTTCCTCACAAGTGAATTTAGTTTCTCGCCCTGCGCGCTGCGATCGTAGCTCAAAACCTTGTAAGTTTGCTGGAAAAGCGACCTGCTGGGATCGTCATCGTCGCTTCTGGAAACGTACATCTTTCTATCGTCGTCGAACACGTCGTCCGCCAGCTTTTCTGAATCCTTCAAGCCGTAAGAAGGCTCGCGTTTTTTCACGGGGCTGAGGTTATAGGACCGGCCAATCTCGACCGAATCGTCGAAAGATCGGCGGCCGTGCGGTTTCGTGGGCGTGGAGAAGTATTTGTGGTATTTTTCGGGGACGTGTTGCCGCAGAACAGGTTCGTAGTCGCCGTAGTCCTTCCAGAACTTCTCGCTATCAAGCACCTTCCCGCGGAGGTTACCATAAGGAAGCGGATTGCCGTCGAGAATGGCCTGGTAGTTCTCCTGGTACTGCTTTAAAGGAAGAATATCAAGCATCAATAAAGAGCGCTTCGCAAAAATAAACAAACAATTTAACCGTGAAACATACTTGGTTCGAGGTGTAGATGTATTTAACATATGTGGTCTAGAATATATGGGTATCTAAAGAAGACCGATCAAGACACCGAGGCCCAGGCCAGCTGCGTTCGCAACGAGAGCCGGAGCGCCTGCAGAAACTTGCACGTCGATGGACGACGAAGGAGCGGCAGGAGACGAGGAGGAAACGGAAGAAGTGGCCAAAGTGGTGGAAGAGCTGGACTCCTCGGCAACGGAGATGGAGCTGGATGCCGAAGTGATTGGGGCAGCCGACGAAGTGGCGACGGCAGAAGACGTTGGGGCAGCACTGCTGGACGAAGCAGCGGTGCTGGAGACGGCGCTGGATGCCTTGCTCGAGAAGCTTGCGGCACTCGAGGAAGAGGCTTTGCTCGACGAGCTGGCGCTGAAGTTGGCACCGACGTCTTTGCAAACGCTGGAGAATGAGTCGGCCGCGGTGTCGGCGTTGTCTCCGCACTTGGATTGCAAACAAGAGGACATCTCAGAGGACTCATTGCTGCAAACACAGGCAATCTGATTCAGCGACGAACATTGCGAAGAACCCTTCACAACCTCGGCAGCACAGGCCAGTAGACATGCTGGAGGAGTAGCAAGAGCCGGTGCGATGTTAGCTAGAACGAAAACGAGTGGCACGATGAACGACTTCATGATGGAAAAACGGGGAATGAAGAGTTGTGTATATTATTTATATTTGGTTTTTCTCTGTTATTGTCTCATCCGAGACAATGTTCTAAATACGGAAGTTATTTTTAGAAGGGAGGGTAACAGGGCCTAGAAATGCGAAAAAAAAAAAGAGGCAGAGGTTCGCCAAAGGCCAGACCCAGATTGGCGAGCCTTATGTGATGTGCAGATGGCCGGGTCCTGCATATCGTCCTACAGTCTCTCGTGCGCTAGCGTGAAAAATAAGCTGCCTGGGACATAAAATACATCCTGGCAGTGGAGAGAGCTCGCCATCTGCCAAATGGAGTAGTTCACACCTGCAGGACCTGCGACGGCGCTTTCGAGGCCCTTCTTTGCACAGGTCCTCGGGGCTCTTTTGTTATCACGTGATTCATGGTCACATGATGGAGAAAGAACAGACGTAAACTGTGCTGCGCCAGACATCGCAGAGTACTGCTGACGTGAGCATTTTCCAGGCGAATAATTTGTGCCGTTTTTCTACGCAATGCCTAACCCCCCCTCGCGGATCCCGAGAGAGCTCAAGCTTTTTCAGTCCAGCCCCACGTTGCAGCTCCTCCCGTCTGACAACCTCAAGGTGCAGCACGTGGACATGCGAATCCCAGACAACCCGCTCTATCCAGACACATACCGTCTGCGATTTATAATCGAAAAGGATTACCCCTTCGCTCCCCCGCAGGTGCAATTTGTGCGACCGCATCCGATCCCGATCCACCCCCACATCTACTCCAATGGCCACATCTGTCTCAATATTTTGTACGACGGCTGGTCGCCCGCCCATTCCCTGCAGACTGTAGCTCTTTCCATCCAGAGCATGCTTGCGGGCAACACCGATGCTTCGAGGCCAGAGGGAGACGAGAGATACTGCGCGACAGCCCCCTCGAACCCGCTGTTTTCGAGATTTATGTTTGATGACGATTCCGTATAAAGAGCCTCATTATATCTTCCTCTGTAAATGGCCCCCGCGTTTTTTGCCCTAACCTGTTCCTAAAAATTTCTGTTTCTTTTTATGCTCTCAAGATTTACACTTTGTCCAAGTCGTCTTGCTGGTGCTCGAATAAATCGTTCTCTGCGCAACATGTCCCAATATAAAGTTTTGAGCCAAAACCTTGAGAAACCAGACATCGACGACCGCCAATACCGTCTGATCGAGCTGCCGAACGGTCTGGTGTCGCTGGTCATCTCTGATCCTACCACAGACAAGTCGGCTGCTGCGCTGGACGTGAACGTGGGTGCGTTCCAGGACCCCAAGGGGCTGCCTGGACTGGCTCATTTTTGCGAGCACTTGTTGTTCATGGGCACTTCCAAATACCCTTCCGAAAATGAGTATAGCTCCTATTTATCCAAAAACTCTGGCTTCAGCAATGCGTTCACGTCGTCCGAGCACACCAACTATTATTTCGAGGTGGCCAATGAGGCGATGCAGGGGGCTCTCGACAGGTTCTCGCAATTCTTTATCTCGCCGCTCTTCGACCCAAATTGCAAGGATCGAGAGATCAACGCTGTGGACTCTGAAAATAAGAAAAACCTGCAGGCAGACGTTTGGAGATTACACCAGCTCAACAAGTCGCTCACGAACAAGGCGCATCCGTATAGCGGCTTCTCAACAGGTAACAAAGTGACTCTGGGCGAGGAGCCCGTGAAACAGGGTTTGGACGTCAGAGCAGAGCTACTGAAGTTCCACGAAAAATACTATTCCTCCAATATCATGAAACTAACCATTATCTCGAACGAGTCTCTCGACATCATGACCCAGTGGACCGTCGACATGTTCTCAGACATTGTTAATAAGAACGTATCTCCACCAATCTACAAAGACTCTCCATTTGACTCAGATACATACAACGGCAACCTGATCCGTGCAAAGCCAATCATGGAGCTGCGGTCTTTACAGCTTTCGTTCCCCATCCCCGACACGAGACCCAACTGGGACTCGAAACCAGCAAAGTACCTTTCTCATCTCATTGGCCACGAGTCTGAGGGATCTTTGTTGTTTCATTTCAAGCGCCAGGGATGGGCCAATAACCTCAGCTGCGGCCACGAAACGGTTTCTGCTGGGTATTCCGCATTCCTTATCAATATCGATCTCACTCCTGAAGGATTGAAAAACTATACCGAAGTGTTGCAGCATGTGTTCAAATACATCCGCTTGCTGAACGTGGAGGGGCCCCAGAAGTGGATATTCCAGGAATTGCACGAACAGAGCACAACCAGTTTCAAGTTCTTGCAGAAAACAGGAGCCAGCCAGTCAGCAAGCAGACTAGCCGGCTCTCTTCATGGACTGGAGTACTACGACACCCGAGGTCAGAACCCGTTGCAGAAAATTAAAGCGAACCCGCCTCGATCAACGATCCCGGCTGAAAAGCTTCTGAGCACCATGATCGTCAGAAAATACGATCCCGAGGCAATAAGCAACGTGCTCTCTTATTTAAGACCGGATAACTTCCGTGCAATGCTAATTGATAGGGAGTGTTTAGAAGGCGAGCATGTGCTGACAGAAAAATGGTATGGCACAGAGTACCTACCATCCAAGATCGAGCCCCAGTTACTCCAAAGTCTGGCTGATATCTACAGCGGCCCTGCTCCCTCAGAATACAGTTTACCGGAACGCAACATCTTTCTCCCAACAGACTTCTCACTCGTCGAGCCTCCGGCTGACGAGTCCAAGGAGATTGTCTATCCTAAACTAATCTGTGACACTTCTGACTCACGAGTCTGGTACAAGGTCAACACGAAGCTTGGAGGACCAAGGTCCAGCGTCACTCTCAAATTCAACCTTCCTGGATCCACCTCTACTCCATTGAATTACGTCTTGCTCTCTCTTTTTGTTGAGATGCTGGACGACGAGCTGAACAGCGTGTCGTACCTTGCAAGTATAGCAGGTCTCCACCACGAAATCGGTCTTGCCAGGTCCGGATTGAGCTTGTCCATAAGCGGATACTCGCACAAGCTCGACAGTCTTCTGGACAGGGTCACCAACACGTTGTTGAAGTTCACAAACGACGAATCCGTGTGGGACGAGACAAGGGAGGAACGCTTCAACATTGTCAAGGAGAAAATGTTGCGGAACCTGAAGAACTTCGGTTATTCTGTGCCTTTCCGCCAGATTGGTCCAATGATCTCTGCTTTGATCAATGAGGACTCATGGATGATAGACGATCAGATAGACTGTTTTGATGCCGCGACATTCCACTCTTTGAAGAGCTTTGTGTCCAATTTGTTTGGTATCTGTTTTGTTGAAATGTTTGTGATTGGCAATTACAGCAGGCAGGAAGCTTTGCACATCAACCAGCTGGTGGCTTCGAAACTTACCAAGGCTCTCTCATACACAGCATCTCAGTTTACCAGAGGCCGCTCGTTGGATCTTCCTGCTGGCGAGGAATACCATTTTGTCAAAAAGAATGTTGATGAGGAGAATGTCAACTCGTGCGTGGAAACCTTTATCCAGCTGGGCTACATCCCTGACCAACGCAACAGGCTGCTTGCCGAGCTGGTTTCGCAGATAATTCACGAGCCTTTCTTTGACCGTCTCAGGACCAAGGAGCAGCTTGGTTACGTTGTTTTTTCAGGAATAAGACAAACCAGAACAACGTTTGGTCTACGTCTCTTGGTTCAAAGCGAGAAGAGTACTGGCTACTTACTTGACAGAATTTCGAGATTTTTGGTGAAAATGGGACACAATTTGTCTTCCATGAGCGATAAGGAGTTCGAAAAGCACGTGAACGCGGTGATCACAAAGAAGCTGCAGAAGGTGAAGAATCTTTCTGAGGAGAAGAACAGGTTTTGGGACTCGATCGCATCTGGCTTCTACGACTTTGACAAACGAGAGTTGGACGTGGAGACGTTGAAAACAATCAAACGCCAGGAGCTTGTTGATTACTACCGCAACAAAATTCTCGACTCCTCTCAGCACGGGAAGCTAGTTGTGCATTTACAGAGCCAGGTTGCTCCAAAGCAGTCGTTAGTCAACCGACTTACTAGCATTATTTCTAATCTGGTATTTGATATGCCTGAATACGACTCTGTTGAGCTGAGCTCCAACCAGCTCGCTGAGCTGATAGAGCGAAAAATCAGCGAGGACAGTGAGATCACTAGAGACGCTCTGGAGTCCATCTTTGACGACTTCACGCTGATTCCTAACTTCGACCATAAAGAGCAATTTATCACTGCTATATTGGACGAGCTTAAAAAAGAATACAAGCTCACTAACACCATCGAAAATGTCGGTGAATGGAAATCGCAGGTGCCGCTCACGGGTGCTCCGAATGCTCACATCCCGGAGAAGTTCATGGATGAGGCCTTGCTGGAGCCCAAGCTATAAACTAATTATAGATTACGTAAAGCTCTAGAGATAAAAAATGTGTGGAGGTGACATAAAAAGTATGATTGACGAGGAAACCCCTTTGATTCAGCAGGCGCCGGAACCTTACGATGCGCCACTCCCAGATATATCCAATGCGAGGCCAGAGAGGCGTAGACTGCGACATCCGCGTACAATTGGCTTGCTTTGCTTCCTGTTGCTTATTATGGCAACTGGTGGGTATAAGCTGATAAAGAGCACGGGACAGGCGTTTCTCCACGCCGCCAAATTTGATCTTGACAGCGTGCGGGTGGCGAATGTGACCGATGATGGACTTGAGGTCATTATTCGGGGCGATCTAGAGTTTGACTTCGATCAAGTTAGTCCATACTGTCGAACCTGGGCCCGGCTACTTAGCAGACTCAATACAGTCCAATTATCACCTGACGGCCCATTTGATATGAATGTGTGCTTGAAAAAGGAGAGGTTCTGCATTTCCAGTGTTGAGCTGGTGGCGCCATTGACTTTGCAACTAAGACAACCTCAGACTATCGAAGCAGTTGCTCACCTAAGGCCCACAAAGGAGATGGCGCGGCTGATAAATCCAATCAGTCGCGGGCCCCAGGAAGTGGTCTTCGGCTGCTCGCTTGTGTGCGAGATTAAGGTTAAGGGCTGTTCGGTGGGACGACACACAGTGACTGGAGCTTTGCCGCTTGAACTGGATGGGGGCCGTATAATTCGACACGTGATGAAAGATGCGGTTTTGGAAAACCTCGAGATTAACGCTGATGGCACTAGACTTACAGGTAGTATGGCCGTGAGACTATCAAGCGGGGGCTTGGTAGACTACACAGTGGATGCAATGAGCTGGGAAGTGTTCATGGCAGGCTGCAGCAAAGTCTCTTCAGTCGCTACCATTAACACAGGCGAGTTTGGCCTTCGTGATCCGATTTTGATACCCACAAATTTCATCGTTCCCCCCCTGGACGAGGACCTCCTCCTGGATTGTGGAGACGGCTCCGCGATCAGCACATTGCTAACAAACCTTGCGAGCAACCGCGACGTTCCGGTAATTGTCAGGGCAAAGCCACTAAGTACGCAACCACGGTGGATGCGCGATATCTTCAGCGACCTTGAAATCCATGCTGCGCTTGTTATGGGCCAAATTGAAGGACTCAGCGGAGGTATTGAAGCTGTGGACATTGGGTATCTCGGGGTGCGCACGCAGGGAGATTCGTTGCTAGTGTCGTCGGACGTTTCGATCAAGTACAACGTCTCTGAGGGCATGGTCGTGTCGAAAATTGACATACCCTTTGTTAGGGGAGAAGTCAATTGCGGCCCCAACGTAGCGACTCTGGAGATGAGAAACTGGCAGGCCGCGAACCTGCGCTGCAAAAAGCAGACGATCAGCATTTCGCTTGAGGAGGCAGCAGTGAAGCCTGAAAATTTCAGCCTGATCAGAGACCTAGTTCAAAATGTCGCCACAGGCACCTCCGTCAAACTGGCGATCAGCCCGTTGCTGGATATCCAGGTTGCCTCGGAGTTTATGACCACGACGATTACGGGGCTGAGCACGGAGATAGACTTCGCTGTGCCTGCTGTTCCAAACGACCAGCTTTTCAAGAGTTTGGACGTGCGTCTCAACGAGCTCGTGCTGCTGGAATCTTCTGCTAATCACTGCGCCATGGTGATCAACGCGGCCGTTTCCGGCAGCCTAAACTTTGACAGCGCTATTGAAGGACTCAAGTTCGATCTTCAGTACAACGGATCGACAGTTGGCCGGATAGAGCCGGGCCCGGTGCACTTATCGCCCGAAAAGTACAGCAACATAAGCGCGAACCTCATTATGCACCTCGGCACGGATATCGATAAGTCCCGGCTCGAGCGTATGCTCGGGACGTACCTGTCTGGGTTATATCCGGTGATTGAGGTTGTTGGCCGTCAGGACTCCCAATTGGCGGACTTCGTGTCCGGGGTCCACGTCCCCATGCGGCTACCCCAGATTTCGCGACAAGAAAATATCCTGCACCCCGTGTCGCACGAGAGTATTTTTCTTGTCGATTCGACAATGCATATTATGTCATCGGAAATTGAGCTGACGGTATACAACCCGGTGGCGAACAGCGAGGTGGTGGTCGATCTGATCGAGGCGCAGGCAAGCCACGATAAGACCATCTTGGGCTACATCAGCAAGGAGCAAAGAATAGTGGCGCCTCCGGGACTGTACAAGACACCCCGGATCCCAGTGACGTACGCGACGAGCGGGATAGGTGCCGATATCTTACGCAAGGCATTAAACGGGCAGCTGGAGATCGACACGTCGGCTGTCATGCGCGTCCATCTTGGCGCGTTCGCCGTCGAGCTGCTGTACTCCGGGTCCGGCACTTCGACTAAGATCCGTCTGTAGCGCGGCGGAAGGCGATATGTGGCTGGAAAGATAAGTGGCTAGTATTTTCTTTACGACAAAAATTATGGGGAAAAATATGTAGGTCGAAAGGAAAATACTTTTCCTTTAGCCGGCTACGCTCTTGTTATTAAATGTCGGAAGACGTGGTTGAGATTGAGGAGCCCAAGATCCCGGGCAACTACTGTGCACGTAGGCAGAGTAGATGGCTTCCGCCTTCGTCGAGAGGCGAGGAAAACGGCGCAAACAACAAAAACGAGCGACATGTTCCACCCCACATCCATGAGGACGTAGACGAGATTCACAAGACGGTTTCGCGCTTCCATGTGTCCCCTGCGCAACTGTACTCTACAGACTCTGGGAAACTGTACCATGCCGGGTGTATATGCATTGTTTTGGTGGGACCGCCTGCGCGCGGTAAAACCAATCTGTCGATCAGTCTGTGCAGGTATCTGCGATGGCTGGGAGTCCGGGCCAATTTGTTCCACCTGGGTGACATTAGAAGAGAGAAAACAAAGCATGTACCGTTTGAATTCTTCGACCCAAAGCCTGAAAGCGAGGAGGCGAAACGGGTGCGCGAAGAACTGACCGACCTGGCCGTGCGAGACGTGCTCAATTTTTTCCAAAACGACATGGGCCAGATCGCCATTTACGACGCCGTGAACGGCGTAAGCTCGCAGAGACGTGAGCTGGCCCACGTGCTGCAGCAGCACAACGTCAGGGTGATTTTCATTGAGAGTTTGATCGACGACCCGAAGCTGCTGGAGAGCAATATAGCCGACGCAGCGAAATCGCCGGACTACATCAACTGGGACGCCGAGGAGGCAATTGCGGACTACAAGAAGAGGGTCAACGTGGTGGCCCGCTCGTACGAGGAGATGGACGAGGAGGAACTCACGTACATCAAGTTTATTAATTTTGGCGAGAAGCTTCTCGTGAACAAGTCAAAGCACGACTTCCTCACAACGAAAATAATATTCTATCTCATGAACTCGAAAATCAAGAAAGGCTCCATTTATTTTGCGAGATGCTCCAACAACAAGCTCGACTTCAAGAGTGACCCACCGTTGGACGCTAAGGGTCAGGAATACGCACACAAACTGTTCGACACAATGGTCAAACATTACCAGGAACAGGGCAACGAAAGCCTACCTGCGGATCTTCAGGTGTGGACGTCTGTGAGACTGCGCACGACGCAGCTCGCACAGGTATTCAAGGACATGGGGCTGACGGTGACACATCGCCCGGAAATGACGCAGCTGAACCCTGGCGACGCGTTCGGACTCACAGACGAAGAGCTAAAAAAAAAGTTCCCGGATGACTACCAGAAGCATCAGCTTGATCCCTATCACCACCGGTATCCGAGAGCAGACTGCTACCACGACCTAGCGTTGAAGCTGGAGCCGCTGATAATGGAGATCGAACGGCTGACGAACGATGTGCTTGTCATCGCCGACGAGACTGTCATCCAGGTGTTCTACGGCTACCTGATGGCCTCGTCTTGCAGCGACATCCCGTTCCTCAAGTTCCCGCAATCAGAGATCACAAAAATCACTTACAATGCTTACATGAACAAGGCGACCAGAATCAAGATCGAAGGGCTGCAAGAGTAACGCAGTGCTGAATTGTAAATATCAAATTCATGTGTACACAGAAACTGGGAAGGTAGAACTTTAAATGGTGTCTGACACTACGGCTTCGGGTATAGCCAAGGCAATTCCACTGCTTGCAGTTGCTAGCTGATCGGCCATCTCGTTGCCATAAATACCACTGTGCCCATAAACGTGCTTGAAGCATAGCGGTCCCCATCCAATATTTGCGTACTGGGTATTTATCGCTTGAACGTTGGCCAGAATCGCTCGAATTTCGTCCTGGTTCGCAACTGACTTGCCCTTTCTGTTCCTCCATCCGTTGGACTGCCACCTGTGGTACCATTGTGTCAGACATCCGATCACGTACCTGGAATCTGTCATGATCTGGAATTTTGTGTGCGTGTGTTCCTTAAGGTCACTGAGAATGATCCGCGTAGCCTCGCGCACGGAAATCAGCTCTGCTCTGTTATTGGTGGGCTTTTCAGTAAGCACAAACCCATAGTTTCGCGGATCATTGACGCCAAAGAACACAGCAGCACCGGCTTGGGCGAGTTCTGGGTTTTGGTTGTTCCTGCAGGAGCCGTCTGTGTAGACATTTACCACGGGGTCTCCGTGAGAATCAATATCATAGTGGTAGACGGGAGAGCCGACAGGAATGGAGAGCATGCGTATACCCAGAGTGCGTGCGCCGGATCGTCGTAGAAACATGAAAGTACGTATTTTCTTAACTTTTTTATCTAAAAAATGCTGGGCTGTGCAGACTATACCGGCCTAAACTATAGTTTAGCAGATGAGTTTCATATTGTACTCCAACGGTGCATGACAGAATCATTTCCTGTCTGACGGTCAATATCAAAATCATCGTTAGACTTGAATTATTCTTTACCATAAATTTGTGCCACATGCCTTGAAATGGCCTAATTGTCTATAGAATATATCACTGAGATTTGGAAGCCTGTAGTACTAGGCCAACGATCTTGTGCTCTCCGCAACGAGCACGTATCAGCATATCAAGCCAAAATTGCTTACTTTTATAATAATGCTCACTTATTCTTCATCCTCAAGCTCCAAAGATGTGCTCTCGATCGTTTGTTGCAGCAAGATAGCAGTTAAGATCGAGACAACCATCTGGTACCTTGCAACCACAGGAATCGAGACAATTTTTGACGCAAAATTATACTCATAAGCTCGTATTCAGTAGAAGACTAGCAGAAGCCATTTCCATGGCAGAATTTTGAACCCCGAACGTACAGTAAATTCTGGTTTGTCTGGAAAAACCAGTGGTGAATATGTTCTCCGAGTAACTGTGCGAATCCTTATGATCCAGGATTATTCACATACTATGCTTGTTCCCGCTGCTACTTTCTTTCCATACCGGCCCCCTCCCGGGCTAGTGCATCTGCCATCTCGTTGCCGTGATTATTTGCATGCCCACGCACCCAATCCACGGTCAGTCTGCCAAAACCATGTCGAGCGTATTCGTCATTTATCCGGTCTATCAGACCAAGGATTGCCTCGATTAGATCGCGGTTGGCGACGGGCTGTTTTTTCGAGTTTTTCCAGCCGTTCTTCTGCCACGTCTTGGACCACACTAAAATGCATTTCACGCAATACTCCGAGTCCGTGAGGATCTGGTACTGCTCGCCGTTACCGAACTCAAACTCCTCGAGTATGTTTTCCAGAGCTTGCTTGATGGCAGTCAACTCTGCGCGGTTGTTTGTCTGGACAGGGCCCACCAACGGGGCGGCAGTGTTGCGCGGGTCGCCGTCTCCAAAGTAAACGCCATATCCTGCCTTCGCACGCGCCGGGTCGTGGTTGAAGCTGCACGCGCCGTCCGTGTAGATCGTGTATATCTGAGTTGTGGGGGGCACCGGTTTCTGCAAGACCATAAAATAAAATTCGAAAATTTACTGCGATCTATGATAAACTGCTTCAGATTGTTTGGTAACAGATTCGAATTCTAATTCGAACGGATCATCCAGGCGCTCTTTCTGACCATTGAGAACACTTGTTGCTAGCATGGCCGCTGACGATATCTTACTTCGATTTCTCCCAACAGTAGGCGGCTTCCGTATCCTGTCCTTGCACATCAGATCAATATTGCAATTAGACACGCTGATAAAGCCAAGTCCACACATGAATTCGATCTAGAGTTACGCATAGGAGTGAATTGACCGAGAGCTACCAAGCTATTGTCAAAGTATCTGCTGGATTTGCTGGATCGATAGGTGCAGCTCTTTCTCAACTACCCCAGCAAGATTTTTTATTGCTTTTATGCCAAAAGGATATCAATCGTATTATCTCAGCTAGGTAGACTGATTCGTTCTTATGCTTTGGTACTGAGGCCCTATTTATTTTCCTACGCGTATTTTGAGCCTCTTCTTTGAGTGCCTGCTAAGCCTTTAGGATTTACTGATGTTGGACCCAAATGCTGCCATTTTGCATAGACGACATTACCCCACTAGAGCAGAATACAAGCAGTCATGTTATTTTCAAGCCATTGGTATACATTGTTGGCCACAACAATGCACTATTATTTAAACTCTATTTGCGGCCACTTGTTGTGAGCCATAACCCCAGCCATAGCCGACAGTTTTTGTCTACAAAGACACCGTGGTTCGCTTCAAGATTTTTGGAACAATGACCATATAGGTGTGAAATCTGAGCAAGACAGTTTTGAAGACATTTTGAAAAGCAAAAACGTTTGACTGAAAAGGAGACCCCTTATTGTGATCCCGCAAAAGAACACTTCAGAACAGTACCAGCTAACTGGATCCCCGTCCATCATGAGGGAATTTTCTTTGAATGTACAATTGAAGCACCTGTACCCTTAGAAGACGCAAAACAATCCAACCAGAACGCTGCCTCAATCACTACAAAACTTGTCTGAGCTTGTAGTGCTGCTATGCGACCTCCTTTTGTGGCTGGATTTTCCCAAGATCTGGATAGAAATCCGATCCTTATCTCAGATGCCAGCCAAAAAAATTGAACCCATTATTCATGAAGCTAACGGCGGGAAAATGGCGTCTGCACAAACGGAAATCCTAGTCTGTGCGTGAATGGATCAACACCCCCCAACTTTGATTACGATATCACCCCTCCAGAAAAAAGCACCTGTAACGTGTACTTCATTACCAGCTTCTGGGCCTCAGATTACTTATCTATGCAAACAGGAAATCCGTCGAACTCGATACTCATTATGATGACCTGGAAAAGGGATCCGAGCATGTTCATGGTTGGCATGGCACTTATCGGCCGCTGCTAAAATTAAACGGCTTTGTCGAACCTGATCTCCACGTTTCTTTACTCGTTGCAGTGCGTGAGAATGCTACACTTTTATCTCGCCGGCTGAGCCACCATGTCTAAAATAGCTGACTTCATCAGGTATATGAATGACTGTATCAAGGAAGTATGCGCAGACGGAGCTGTTTCCGCATTAGCCCCCTTTGTGACCGTAATGTCTGCGGTGGCCTCCTTCGCCGGCAAAGCGGTATGGGCTTTCCGCCAACCTCAAAACTGTATCCACCGATTTTGCCTCATTGTTTGCGGAATTCATCATCACCCGTCGAGGAGCAGCGATTATGAATATCGTTTCAGGCTCGGTGGCGCAGACATGGTGAATTGAATACTCGGCAGGTCAGGTGGTCATTTTCATCTTCCGTCTATTGAATTTCGCGGCTCCCATTGCTTGCATAATTATTGCATATTACTATATGATAAAGAGGCACAACCTGGACGTCTCTGGCGTGTGATTCTAACGAGAAATACAGCTACTAAAAGGGTTTCACTAGCGTGTTGCGCTTGCGTTTCCCAATGGCAATGTTTGGTATCTTCCGGGCCTGGCATCAGAAATCTGGGTCGCTTCTTTAGGATTCTGCTATCCTGGAGTTATAGTACATGTCTTACTTATATGAGTTGTTCTCATCTTTCGCAGTGTACATCGTTACTAACTTTAGTTAGATAAACAGTCGCAAGTTACCGGAACAGCCCTCTCTGTCTATCGAATGACGAGGTCGAAAAGATAGACGCTCTTATTGACTCAAAATTAGAAAGCTGCACTTATAAATTGATCGACGGTTCCATCAAGGATTATAGAAGACTTGTACATACATCCTACTGTCTGGAGGAAAATATTCAAAATCCGATTGAGCACACTTAGAATGTCATGGAAGAGCCCAAACAACTACGCGTTACCTGGCTGGTTGGAGTCGGAGAACTTTTGGAGAGATATTGCAAACTTGTGAAGCAAACATCAAGGAGGTTGCTCATCAGAAGTAAGCGAATACCGGCAAGGTGACTAGTGCTCACTGATACTAAAAACCAGAATTATTTGCTGCTTTTATGAACTCGGGGACTATGCCATCAAAACACTTCAAAAGTTGCTGCCCATACATAACAGCTCATTCTTCCTGTCGATCTGAAGCTCCTAAATTAGCTTCTGGCTTAAACTTTACCCCCGTCTTCGACCCGAAAGATCAGTTGGTTACAATGCAAGCTGCAACTATAAGCTCTCATGTTTTCAGAATTGATTGAATTTGATTATATATTCTGATCTAGGTGGACTCCACCCCCCTGATAATCATAAGAACATCACCAGGGTTGACGATATCACCCTCCTCGACAACCACCCCCAGAACCTCATACTTTTCGAAACTCGATTTGTTCTTGATATGCACAGGAATTTCCATTTTCATAGCTTCCAAAATAACGAGCGGATCTTCCTTAGGAACAACGTCTCCCACCTTGCACTTGATTTTAAAAACGTTTGATGGCATGTGCGATGTAATCTTAATTGCACCTGGAACGCTGCTGACGTCGTCTGATTTTGGCTTGGAGGCAGCAGCAGCTGCTTTTTCTTGTTGCCACAGCTCAAAATCAGCCTGTTCCTCACGATTGCACTCTTCAAACGCCAAAAGCTTGCGCCTTTTCAGATCCTTCAGCTCGTCATCAATTGAATCAAGGAAACTCCTGTACTCCACGAAATCGAAAACACCCTCGGTCGGCTCAATCTTCATCTTTTTCGTGAGCAGTAGATTGTTCATTCTTTGCAGCTCTTCCTCATCAACCTCATAGAAAACCACCTGGTCAAACACCTTGAAAGGCCATGGATTCTCGTGGATTCTACAGAATGTATCCCAGTACCAGTTTGGCAGAGTCATACCCCACATCATGTATCCTCCAGGGGATTCCTGTGGATAGATGGATTGCAACACGGAGCCGGTGGAGATCGTTCCGCTAGGGGTTGATGTACGTGTAGGGTTGTACTTCGAGGCAGAAAGTCTGCACCGCGGGTCCACAGTGGCCATCAGCACGTTAGCACATAAGAAGGTGATCGCAACCACCATTTCCGGCTTGCCTATAATGCAGCTCTTAAACTGCTCCATGTCTTTGATGAGGTTTGCTTTCATGAGGTATTCGGTATTTTTTGGCAAATACGTGGCATGTGAACGCTGTGAATGCATGTACCGCTCCAAACAGTGGTCAAGAGCTGAGTGCTCAAAGGCAACCGGCAATCTGAATGTTCTTGATGGAATCTTCAGCTTCTCGATCTGCGGGATTGAGGCTTCCAGTTCGATCAGTTTCTCCAGCAGTTCAGCTCTGTCCACTTCCATTGGATCATACAGGACTCCCATGGCTCCTGTACAGCACTCAATACTTTCAAACATTCCCGGCAGCTGATTTCTGATTTCTGTCTCCATCACGTGCTGGCGGCCATTTTTGAACAGATCGAATTCCAGGTTGCCAAAGTCGACCACGATCATTCTTTCTCCAGCCTGTCTAAAGCATACCTCCGGCAAGGTTTCTGACAACTCCCGTCTGTACAAGAAGTTACCAACCTTGCTTTTCAGTGGCTCGTATTCAGGAAGCTCGTCGTTGAACTTGATAGACGAGCTGCTAGGACGTTTGGAAATCTCTTCCAGATACTCGTTCCGCTGCTTCATGAGCTTGATTGCATCATTGTACGTGATAGGAGTGAAGTGAATTTTGCTGTTGATAGCAGCCTGGCCGAACCTCCAAAAGTCTGCCTCAGCAGGAGCAAAAATGCAGACAAATCCCGAGGCAGTGGCTCCATCCGGCCCGTACAGAGTCATAACAGACCCAACAGCAGACAAACCACACGTAGGATAGGGATACTCTAATATGTTACTTGGGTGGCCACCACCGTCACCACCTGAAGGCCTGCTGAACTTCATTTCTGGGCCGTCCAGTCGGGTAGCTCCTCTGTTGGAGTTGAAATTGACAGAGTAGGGAACGGAGTAGAGTTGCTCCATTCCTTCTTCCGATACGATGTCTGGCGTGTCATGGGGACCGCCAATAACACGGACCACATTGGTGGCTCTCTCGTAGTCAGGAATGAGCGATTCTGGGAACTGATAGCCTGTTTTGAAGACCTCGATTGGTTCTAGTTTTGAAATGTCAAGACAATCTCCAGGAAGTATGATTCGTCCCTGGTGGCCACCAAGCTGCAGACTTGGCAGGCAACCCTTAGAGCCAAGATAGTTGGCAACTCCTGGAAAGCCGCCTTTGATTGCCAGATAGCACTTTGCAGCAGATCCTAGGGGCTCCTTTATCTCAAGAAGACTGCCGGCAGGAATGAACAGCTCCGTGTACATAGGGACGTCCTTGTCATCAAGGGTAAACTTGAATCTGCCACCAGCAAGGGCAACCACTGCTGGGGCATGGAAACGGATGGCCGGTCCTTTGAGGTTTATCTCAAGAGCTTCACAGTGCAAAGGATTTCCAACAATGACGTTTGCTATTTGCAAAGCTAGCGGATCAACCGGACCGCCAATAGGGACTCCGAATCTGACCTTACGTCTTCCAGGGAGGTCCTGGATGGTGGTGTATGCTCCCCCACTTTCGAACTCAATCAGATGTGGCTTGAACACGAACCCTGAAAGCAAGCCGGTAAGCGTGTTTCCTGTGCGGAACTCAGGGCTGTCCAGAATATGAATACAGTACTCCACATTATTGACGGGGCCCTGTATCTTGATATCATTGAGAACTTTGATCATGTTGTCACTGTTCCGGACTGGAGACCAAACCATCACCTTAGCGAGAAGCGGGTCAAAGTAAGGCGAGACCTTGCTACCGGTCTCAATCCAGTGATCGATTCGCACTTGATAGTCCCCGTAAGTACCGTCTGAAGGCAGCGAGACATTATGCAAAATTCCGGGACAGGGAGCAAAGTTGCGAACCGGATTCTCCGCGTACACTCGAACTTCAATCGAATGGCCGTTGGGAATTTCAACGCCGTTTTGGTCGTATTTTAAACTTGCTTTCAAAATCTCAACAGGAATACCAGAGGAGTTGCTTTCATGTTCTGCTTGCAACAGCATCAAATAAACCAAATCAACGTCATACACCATTTCTGTAATACCGTGTTCCACTTGCAACCGGGTGTTGACCTCCAAAAAGTAAAAGTCGCCGGTTGTGTCGTCCACCAAGAACTCGACTGTACCGGCAGACTTGTACTTGATTTTGGTGGCCAGGCGTTTTGCTGCCGAGGTCAGACGTTCCCGTAAGTTATGCTTCGTACCAAGATCGGACACAAACGGCGATGGACATTCTTCAATGACTTTTTGGTGCCGTCTCTGGATAGAGCACTCTCTCTCTCCGTAGGTGACCACGTCACCCATACCGTTACCAAACATCTGGACTTCGATATGTCGACCTTTTTCGATGTACTTTTCAACAAACACACCGGCATTCGAAAAAAGAGACGTGCCTCTGGAAGTGACCTCGGCAAAGTTCGCCACAAGTTCGCTTTCGTTGTAGCACACCTTGAGACCCATTCCTCCTCCTCCTGCTGTGGCCTTCAAAATCACAGGGTACCCGATCCTGTTGCATTCAGAAACAAGCTTTTCGCTATCGCTGATCAAACTAGTTCCAGGAACCACAGGAACATTTGCCTTGATTGCAATATCACGAGCCAGATGTTTTAACCCAAATTGCTCAACAGACTCTGAAGAAGGACCGGCAAAAAGAATACCGTTCTTGGCCAGCTCTGCTGCGAATTCTGAGTTCTCAGAAAGAAAGCCGTACCCAGGAATGACCACATCGATGTTGTGCTTTGCTGCCAGCTCGATGATCTCTGGGATGTTCGTATATGCGCTAGCTCCAACTCCGCTCAGCAAGTATGCCTCATCCGACAAACTGACATGAAGCGATTCGAGATCTTCTTTCGAGTAGATAGCAACGGCTGTCAGTTGGTATCTATTGCAGGTTTTGATTATCCGCACAGCAATTTCACCCCTGTTGGCAATGAGCACCCGTCTGATGTTCTTGAAGCTGGACATATGGTTTGCAATACTTGATGACAGATTTTTGACACAAATAAAGAAAGATCCACCTTATCTTATCGAAAACGAGGATCTTTTAGCGGCAATGTGCCTGGATGTATAGCGGATGATACGAACCGTCGGCTCGCCACTGGCGGCACGGTCATCGGCGGATGATCGGCAGCCGCATGGCCTCAGACGCAACGGTAATAATTGTCTCCACTGATCTGAACATGAAATGCGATATGCACATTTTACATCTTTTCTAGGAACGGATTACTCGTGCATGAGAGCATGTATGCATAAGCACTTCTTCAGAGTACCAGGAAACTCACAGATTCACCTATCGCCACGAGCATATATTTAGCAGCATGTGGTTGTTCTTGAAACCATCAAAATGACTATCGACACTTCCAACGGACAGTTTGTCGTCTTCTCTCAGGGAGTCGGTTATGGAATTGTGATTGGTGTGGGTGCAGTTTTCGCCTTCACCATGGCACTGATTTCATGGCTGCTCTCACGCTACATGAATGAGGTTCAGGACTCAGAAATGTTGTCAACTGCCAAGCGGTCCATCAAGTCTGGCCTTATAGCTAGTGCGGTCGTTTCCAGTTGGACCATCGCTTCCACTTTGCTTCTTTCCACTACAACTACCTACAGCCTCGGAATATCTGCCGCTTGGTGGTACGGAGGTGGTGCATGTGTCCAGATTATCATCTTTGCTACTATGGCTATCGAGCTGAAAAGAAAGGCGCCAAACGCGCATACTTTCCAGGAGATTATTAAGGTTAGATACGGAACAGTTGGCCATCTGACTATGTGTTTCTACTCTCTTGCCCAGCAGGTGGTTTACACTGCAAACTTGCTCATCAATGGCGCATCTGTGTTTTCCAACCTGACTGGCATGAGCAAGGAGGCTACCTGCGTACTTTTACCTGTCTTTGTTATTGTCTACACTTTGATCGGTGGTATCAAGGCTACCTTCATGACCGATTGGACTCACGTGGTGATTATTTTTGTGATTATGATGACGGTCATGTTTAAGGTGTATGCCACATCTGATATCTTGGGATCTCCAGAAAAAGTCTGGGAGCTTCTGACGGAGGCCGCCAAGACGCAGCCTGTGGCACACAATTTGCATGGCTCGTATTTGACATTTACGTCGGTGAACAGCGGTCTCTATGGACTTATTCTGCTTGGAGCGGGATGGGCAGCCGCCGTGGACTCCCAGCTGTTCCAGAAAGCGATTGCTGCCAACCCTGCTGGAGCGCTTACGGGATACACTCTCGGAGGCCTCTGCTGGTTCACTTTGCCATACGCATTGGCGACCACTATGGGTCTGGCATGTCGTGCTCTTGAACAAACCAGCAACTTCCCGGTGCCAGGCGGACTCACAGAACAACAGCTATCCAACGGTCTGGTGTTGCCAATTTCTGCGTACGCAATTATGGGTAAAGGTGGTGCAATAGCCATTTTGCTGATGGTCTTCATGGCGATTACTGCTGCGTACTCTTCAGAAACAGTGGCTGTGTCTTCGTTGCTCACCTATGACATTTACAAGTCGTACATCAACCCGAAAGCAGACGGCAAAAAACTGGTCTTCGTCACGCATCTAAGTGTTATTATCTTCAGTGTTGTGGCTATTGGCCTGGCCATTGGACTTGGCCAGGCCAGCTTTGACGTGTCGTTCATTACCACTGCCTCTGGTATTATTGTCAATGTCTGCGTCATTCCAATGATCTGCACGCTTTTCTGGAAGAAGCTCTCGACCTTTGCGTTTGTCGCTAGTACCACGCTCTCCACGTGTATTTCGCTGGCTATATGGATCGGATACAGCTATTCAGCATCGAAATCGGTCACCATCACCACCTTATCTACATACAGAGCTCTGGCTGCTGGTAACACTGTCGCGATTTTCGTGCCAATTATATTTGTGCCACTGTTTACCTATTTGAAGCCAGCAGACTTCGATTGGAATAAATGGAAAACCGAGATTAAGCAGGTTGACGACTCTGAGTTCGACAAGAAGCAAGGGCTGACAAACGTTCTGAGCGGAGAGGACCTCACAGAAATTGCTCTCGCCAAAGAACAGGAAGAAGACGCCATGATGAAACGCAAGAGGAATTACGGTATTGGTTTGGCTATCTTCTTTGTCTTATTCTTCCTTGTGCTCTTCCCAATGCCTCTATACGGCAGCCACTACATCTTTTCAAAGACGTTCTTCCGGGGCTACATTGTTGTCACCTTTTTGTGGGTGTTTTTTTCCGTCAGCATTGTCACTGTGTATCCAGTGGTGGAAAGTTTGGACGGTATCAAGACGCTCTTCAAAAACATTCTTACAAAAACACGGAGCCCGGTGCTGTACTCTGAGCAGACTTTAAGCCAAGTGACAAGCCGCAGGGCGGATGCTGAGATAAAAGAGGAGGCAGTCGTGAATATTAGTACTGTTAATTAGCTCAAACAAATATATACTTGATTGTTTAGCAAATTCTTGGCGGCGTGCGGCTGAAGCACTGCAGCGTGTGCTGTGCAAATGTCATGCACAGATAATAGGCGCTTCTTGAGCGCTATGCGTTATCTTGCACCGAAGCAAGCCGACTCCCGTTTTAGCGCAAAGGCACATGTAATAACTTTTTGGGTAGCCGCCATTTTGCCTTATCGAAACTCGCTAAGCCATTAAAATACTAGTTCTCATACCACTCCCTCTCATATTCTAACTATGGCCAAAATACCAGAAGCCCTTGCGGGCTCGCCTGACGTGAACAATAAGTACATGAACAAGTATGAGATTGTGTGCGACATGGGAGAAGGTTTTGGAAAATGGAAAATGGGTCCTGATGAGGAGCTCATGCCATTGATCGACGTCGCCAATATCGCATGCGGGTTCCACGCGGGCGACTTCAACATCATGGCCAAGATGGTCAAGCTAGCCAAGAAATACGATGTCAAGGTGGGCTCGCATCCAGGTCTGCCTGACCTGCTTGGCTTTGGAAGACGGAGATTTGCCATTCCCCCAGAGGAAATTTTCAACTTAGTCATGTATCAAACAGGAGCTTTGAAAGCGTTTTTGGACGCCGAGGGCATGCCACTAAACCACATCAAGCCGCATGGAGAACTCTACTTCTACGTGGAGCGTGATGAGGAGGTGATGAGAGCGGTTTTACGGGTAGCACAGATCTTCAAAGTTCCTGTTATCGGAGCCAAAAACGCACACTACGAGAAAGTCGCCAAGGAGATGGGCGTCGATCTCATCCAGGAGCTATACCTTGACGTTGATTGGTCTGCCGACGGAAAACTTGTCCCTCCAGCTCTCTCCAGAGCTAAAAACCCATCTATCATATACAAAGACCTGGTGGAAGTGGCCGAAACGGATGAACTTTCCTGCTTTTCTGGAGAAAAAATCAAGTTTAATTTTGGTGAAACCCCATTCATGCTCTGTTTGCACTCAGACATGCCTACTGCTCTTGGAAACGTGACAGAGGCTAGAAAGGCCATCGACGAAATCAATAAGAAGAGAGGATTTCCAGTGAAGAAAAGCTACTAATAAGTCATATAAATAGCTATTCTATTCTGCCTGTTTGAAGCTGCCGAACTTCTTCAGGTACTGGGATGCAGCGTCAACAATCGATTTTTCCAATGAGATGAACTCGTAGCCGCCGACGGACTCGATCACGTTCTCGATACTGTAGCCGCTCAGTTCGGTGGCGTTATCCTTGTCTGGAGCACCAACAGCAAGCTTCTCTTCTGGGAAATGCTTGTTGAGAATGTTAAGGATGGTCTGTCCGGTGAAGTGGCCGGCCGCAATAAACAGACGAGTTCCGACAGCCGACTCTTTCTCAAAGGCTAATTGATGGAACTTAGCAACGTCTCTGACATCAATTCCCAAACCGGCAGGCTGGCTGACCAGCTCGTCGGTTGGTGGTGTCTTGACGATATTGTTGATCAGTTCATTGGATGTGTTCAAAGTCTTGGTGACCGCAGAGTCGAAAACTTGTGGACCAAAGACGTAGGGTGGACAGACGGTTGTGAGCTTGAAGTTTGGCTTCTCGTGGTTGACAAACTCCCACGCAGTTCTCTCGGCGTAAGTCTTGGAGGCGCAGTAGGCCTCGAACTCGTTTTTGCATTCCTCGAGTTTTATTGGATTCCAGTCCCGGTTTGTGTATTTGAAGTATTCGGAGGTGATTGTCATGATTGCTGCATGAGAGGAGGTGACGACAACGTTGGTGACTTGAGGAGCGTACTTCTTGACTGACTTCAAAACGTTTTTAGTGCCCTCAATAGCCGGCTTGAAGTAGATCTCCTCAAATGACTTGTCATGGCCGAAGGAGAATGGAGAGGCAGTGTGGAGCACGTATTTGATCTCGGGGTGCTTCTTCAGTAAGTCGTCAAAGGCGCCCTCAGCAGTGATGTCAGTTACAACCTCGTAGGAGAGGTTAGCGTTAGGGTATTTTTTCTTGAATTCCCCAAAAAGTGGCTCGAACTTGGACTCAGATCTGACAGTACCAATGACGGTATAACCCGAGTCTAGCAGGATGTCGACAATGTGGGAAGCAATAAATCCATTAGCACCTGTAATAAGCACAGACATTTTCTTTAGTTGATTGAGGAATTGGCAATCCGACGTTCTCAAGCTTATATAGTAAACACAGGCGTCTCAGAATACGGAGTTAGCAATTATTGCCGTAACAATAGAAAGGGATTGTGTCCCTCCCTGTGAAAAGATTATAAACGGGTTTCGGCGAAAATTCCCCGTAAGGGGCCACCTGTCAATTAATTGGCTTCGAAAAATATGGAAGAAGCAATAGAATTCCAAGAATGGTTTTGAGCACCTGTAGGAACTGTGGAAACCTTCCAATATTCGGACTAAGGGCGACACCAATATGTCCAATCCTTAAGTTTTGAAGTTTCACTTTGTGAATCCACCTTGTCGATCCAAGTTTTAGATATAATCTCCAGAGCTGAGCATATGCTATGGAATGGGCCAGCACCAGTTGAACTTATTAAATTGTACTTGTGCCGTGATACCTCTTTTTTTTGTTTACTGGCAACAACTGTTTCACCTGACGGGGTAAAGGTCTAACGTATTGGCACTCTTGGCAATTTTCGGAATCGCTTTCGCTTACGGTAATTACAAAGTAGGTTTTAAAGAGGGCCGTTTTACGGTCTCGAACTTTTCTACACCGAGAGCTGTGACCTTCGTCAGAAGCCAGGGCTTTCGTTGTTAGTATCGCATTCTGTTGTACTATTGAGCGAGTCGAATATCTCATAGGGATTTCAATCAAAAGCGGTCAATTACGATATATTATACAATTCCCACATCAAATAGAAGCATATTACTGAAAGAGATTCACAACCAAGGAAGGATACAATAACCATGGCACCATGTATGTATGTATAATTGTTTGACTTGATTAAAAGTTTCGTCGTCACTTGAACAAAATATTGTTTCTGAGCCACAATGACTACTTGATTGAGCCATCAGCCTGCCTCACGCTCGCCATATCGCTACATGCAATTACCCTAACCGCACTATAACGTCCAGTGGACGGCTCTGCGGCTATAGTTCTGGAGCCACACATCTGGAACTATATTGCTTTTAATCAGGTGAACGGTTGTCACCTAATAGTTTCAACCACTTTGGGCATCATATAAAAACGCTGTAGTTTTGATTGTTTCCCAGACCACCAACTATGACTTCAACTGCCACTCTAAAGCTCCAAGCTATTCCAGTCGACAAAGGAAATTGAAAACTTGATTAGAGCTTCCGAAAACATCTCCGTAGGAACGGTTCCTGGAGACAACCAACATTTTGGTCCGGACCCAGATGGGTTGACTATTTTGCCTGACTCTATCAGGAAGCGCTTAGTCGATGCAGGCATCGATATTTCCAAAGGATATCCTACCAGGCCAGACAAGTCGCTTATTCCTGTCTATCTTGATGAAGCAACCGCAATCCGCGATGACGACTACGAGTACATCGAGCGTGCCAAGAAAGCCGACCCTGAGAAGAAGGCTCTTCTTGGTGCTGCCAAGCAGGTGATTCACCTGACCAACCATATCGGTACCGAGATTGTTGGTCTGCAACTTGAGGACCTGACCGACCAGCAAAAAGACGAGCTGGCCTTGTTGGTTGCTGAGAGAGTTGTTGTCTTTTTCAGAGATCAAAAGCTTTCTCCTCAAAAGCAATTGGAACTTGGTGAGTACTGGGGGCGTGTTGAGAAGCACCCTCAAGTTTCCCAAGTTAATGGGTTGCCAGGTATCACTGTTATCTGGCAGGATTACTTCCAAAAGTCGCTTGGATCCAATTTCACCTACAAAAATATTAATCTGGGTAACTGGGATGCCACCAAAAACCGAATGAGGGGTGCTCAAGTTTGGCACACTGACCTGGTCCACGAGAAGCGTCCTGCTGGTATCACTCACCTGCACTTGGACGCAATCCCCGATGTTGGTGGTGATACTCTCTGGTCGTCTGGTTATGCGGCCTACGACAAGCTTTCTGAGAGTTTCAAAAAAAACTTGGATGGAAAGCAGGCAGTTTACATTTCTGCGAATGGCTACTTAGACAGAAAGAATCCATTTTCTGGTCCGAAAAAAGTTGAACGTGTTCATCCTTTGGTTAGGACTCACCCTGCAACAGGATGGAAGGCACTGTACGTCAACCGCTCTATGACAAAAAGAATTGTGGGACTTTCGTCTGTTGAATCGGACTTGATTCTGAACTATCTGTTTGACGTTTACGAGAAAAATGCCGACATTCAGGTTCGGTTCAGATGGACTCCATCTAAAGAAGGTTACGGCACGTCTGCCATCTGGGACAACAGAGTTTCGCAGCACAGATCGACTTGGGACCATGAAGGAAGACAGCCACGTCACGGAACTAGAGTAACTTCTCTTGCTGATTTGCCTTACTTTGACCCAGAGTCAAAGTCCCAAAGAGAAGCTCTCGGATTGCCTTTGGATGAAAAGGACTTTTTCTAACATATGACTAGAAGGGTTTTATACTAGATATATGAGACTGATAAGCTGCTTGTGTAGGTAATGCGGTGGCAGTAATGTTGGAGACGTTATGAGTCTTGTCGGGCAACTTTAATTAAAGCTCATAATAAAATTTGCTACCTTATTCTTTTTAATGTCTAATCCCATCAGTAGAGCCCGAGACATGAATAAAACGCTATAGAGGATATATAAACTCTTCATTTTCCAGGTCTGTTAGATCCAGCATCGAAACGTCAACCTTTCTGCGATCGTCTCCTCCATCCTCAACGAAGGCATTTTTCTTGCTGATTATATTTCCGTCGTCATCAAACTCCAGTTTAGCTAATCTCTTCTTGTTTCTGCGCGAAAGAATTACTCTTATCCATATCAGAAGCACAGAACTGAAAAACCATGCAACGACCAACTGAACTATCCAGGCTGCGTAGTATCTTGGCCCCGTAGTCCACATCTGTGGCGCAACTATGTTGGCCACACCATAGCCAATCATGAATACCGTTGTCCTGGTCAATCTTTTCGTATACCCTGCTGAGGAGGACTGAGACCAGCAAAGTCCTAGAATGTAAGCAAATCCATCTGTGTGCACAATTATGCAACCCGCAAGAATGCCAATGTTGTTTGAACACTATTAGAAAGTTTTCTGTTCAACTACTCTCTCATTTTAGTTCTCTGTCAAAAAGAATGGCCATTAGAGCTTGGATCACCTTTTGATATTTTCAATGAGTTTTTTTTGAAGACCTCTCTTCACCAGTGTCCCGTACCCTGAATGAACAATCCCGTGGTGGGTGCTGCACTGTCTGCAATTGAATTGGTTGCAAAAGCTAGTTGGCTTTGGCACTATTACAATTTTTATCCACAGCATGAGGCACTAGCTGTACAGGTTCATAGTGCAGCCAAATACTTTATCGCGCCTTTGCTACCACCAGATGTCAAATTTGTTCAACAAAAACATGTGTGAAGAAAACTTGAGGATAGCTGTTGCACAGCTCGGATTATGGCGAAGGCTGTCTACTGCCTGCTCACAAAACTTCTTTACCCCAGAATGGATGCCAGCGAGGCGCCGGTTCAGTCTCTTGTTCAGGATTCCCTGAAAGACCTGGAGCAGTTGGCGTTCCATTCCCAAACCTCTTCTATATGCACATGGTCGTTTGCGGTCATAGGTACGTCAATGATTAATCAAAAAGATCAGGATTATCTCATGTGGAGAATCGAGAATTTCGCTTCTGCCCTACGAATATCCTGCTTTTTGACCGTGGAAAGCTTTTTGAAAGGTACATGGGGAACTAAAGGTAACCCTGGCCAGGGATGGAACGTTTTATTAAACAAAAATTGTTTTGAGAAAGTAACGTTCTAGAACTGAACTACAAATCTCCGAGACATCCGCCTGGAACCACAGATTCGGCATAGACCTCCGCAATGTAGTACAGGTAACTGTCAACATTTCTGGTGGCAAAGGTGGCATTATTCTGCGCCAAGTCTAAGATTTCGTCGATCTCCTCATAGTACTCTTGGATATACTCCGTGTTCATAGCAGGAAGATGGAGGTACCGGTGCAGCATGTCAATTCCACCATAGTGCTTTGGAGTAGTCTCAACAATTGTGCCATCGAAGCACATTTTTGAGAGAGCAACTCTTTCCTGGAAAAAGTATGGGCAAAGTACGTTTTGAGACTCTTCATAACTGTACCCTCCCCAGGTAGGGTTAGGATCACACTTGTCGGAGATGTCATCGCAACGCCAGCTGATGTGATCCTTGTTCGCTTCAACAAGATAGTCGAGCAGACCGATGACCTCGTAGATGCTTCCGTCACCGAACCATCTCATAAAGATTTCGTCATCTTTACCGTACTCCATCAGACGGTTTCTGGCGAAGGCAGCCGCCTCCAACGAATCTTGTAGATGAGCATTAATTATTCTAGTGTAAGTCTCATTGCAAGTGTGAAGGATTGGGGCAAATTGAGGGCTTGACCAGCCATATGCACCGCTGAGTGATAACTCTTCAAGTGCAGTTGTGGAGTTGCTCGCGTAGAAGGTGGCTGCAGCAGCGTGCGTAGCAAGTAAAACGGAAGAAGTGAAAGAGAATCTTATGCTGGATATCAAGTTTTGTATATGCTCTCTACTCAGTGCGATGCTAAGGTGGTATCTAGGACGACCTTTTATAGAAAATATGTTCGGACTTCAGCTACGACCATGGTGGTTAGGTGCTACGAGATACGGCGATTACCGGCTGCGAAATCTTGACTTTCTCGACCTCGAGGCGCCACATTCGTTACCGTACATATCCTCTTTAGACAACTCGCAGATTTGGTTACCAGAATAGGTGCAAAAGGCAATACTTTTGCACCGCAATGGTAAAAAAACTGTATCTCATAATGCCTGTTCAGTTCGTTCTTCAAACAAAATACTGCGGGGCCAAAATACAACTCTCGACCCTGCATAATACAAAATGGACCCTTTACTTTCAAGGTTTTTCCCAAAATGGAGAAATTAGGTGATGCGTTTTGGTGCATCTAATGACACAGCTGCAGAGCTTCACCTCATAGGTAAACTAGAAATACATTTGGAAGATGCCGCTGTCCTCCGGAGATATGGTTGGCCAAGAAAGAAGATCATTGCTAACACGCTCATGCTACTTTATTACAATATGAATTGACGAAGACTAAAATTTTGGGTCAAATTAATCTAGAGTTTGATTAAAATCTAAAGACGAAGAAGAACTGAAAATTTTGTTTTGAGATCCCCGAGACGGCCATTAGAGGTCACCAAGACATCCGCCTGGAATAACGGCTTCAGAGTAGACCTCAGCAATGTAGTACAAGAAACTGTCAACGTTTCTGACTGCGAAACTGGAGTTAGTCTGGGCAACATCAAGGATCTCGTCAAGCTCCTCAAAGTACTCGGCAATGTAACCGTCAGAGCTCATGTATGGAACGTGCAGGTAACGATGCAGCAGATCAATACCAGCATAATGCTTTGGACCAGTGCTAACGATGGAGCCATCGAAGCACATGTTTGCGAGAGGTTTCTTGGAGGTGTAGAACAGATCGCAGATAACGGTCTCTCCTGAGGCATCCTCACGGTGGTATCCTGGGTAAGTAGTTGGGTTTGCAGCACACTCTCCGTCAATGTCGTCACATCTGTAGAGAAGACTGTCCTTAGAGGCCTCGACAAGCCAGTCAATGGTACCGATGACCTCGTAGATGCTTCCATTTCCGAACCATCTCTCATAGATCTCATCGTCCTTTCCGTACTCGGTCAGACGGGCTCTGGCGTAGGCAGCAGCCTCCAGGGAATCTTTGAGACCAGCGCGGATCATTCTGGCATTAGTCTCGTTACAGGTGTGGTAGATGGAAGCAAACTGAGGGTTCGACCATCCAGTAACACCAGAGACGGCAAACTCCTCCAGAGCAGTTGAGGAGTTAGAGGCATAGAAGGTGATGGCGCTAGCCTTGGCAGCAACGAGAGCAACGGCGGAAATGGAGAACTTCATTATGGTATCAAAATAGTTTACCTCGAAAGCAAATGTATTGAAACTACGGCCATAAGGTTGGGCTTTTATATAGCCCTGATCATAATCCCGAGAAGGGCCGCCCAAAAATTCTATCCGCTCTACAGCAGTTCTTCGGCACAAATTTGGAAACGAAAAATGGTCAGAACATAACCACTATGGTAGCTTCTGTACTTGATTTTATATGAAAGAAGGAATATCTGCAGGTCCGCGATGAAAAGTTTTTGATTTTGGTTCAATTAGGTAAAAAACCCTATTTAGGTTTCTAAATTGGTGTTCTGACGGGCAGGTCGTCCAATAGGACCCATGAATCAATACAATCTGCCTGTTTATAGACCATATTAATAGCATTAGAACTTGCCCGAATATCCGCTTTTGGCAGAGTTCAGAGCTGAGACTCAAATAGGCATTTAATTACAGAAGAAACACTTCCCAAAGCAGATGTAGTAGTGAATTCAATCAACGCGTGATTATTGCAGGACCTTTTAGCCCTAGTCCCTCTGTTGATGCCGTGTACCAATTGACACGGTTATAACGGTACACGTTGTTTAGCAGTGGTAGTGGCGAGCGAATGGACTCATCGGGTGCTTCATTGAATGAGACCATGCCAATAAACTATTTTCGATGACGGGTTAGGATGGCGTGCTAGCGGGCTTCATCTGGAAAGAAGCTTGAATTGATTTTCGAAGTGCCTTTGTTAGGCTCACTTTCTTTTTGGGTTTTGAAAAACTAACAGCGATGTTTTCACTTGTGGATTCCGAAACCTGATGCAAGTGAATCACTCTACATATGCTGCCAAGCCTGGCCGTTGATTACCATGCTTCCACTCTGCTGAGAGATTTAGTCAAGCGGTCGAATAGCTAGATTTCATCAGAGGAATCTTTGCTCGATTTGGGCATACTTATCAAACTTAGTCGCTCTCGGGTGAGCGCTCTTCTACAGTTTCAACGTGCTCGATATCGATGAGCTTTTCCGTAAGGCGTTCTGTTGGAGTCCTCTTAATCTCTTGGAGACCGTAGAAGATGGTATGAGAATCGAGGAAAATGTTCTCAATGTCTTCAAGGGTTCTCTTGGAGGTTTCAGGATAGAAGACAAAAAAGTGAATAGCTGCAACAGCGTTCGTCAAGGTGAAGACAATGTATGTTTTCCAAGCCAGATTTTCCGTCATGATCGGAGTGATCATCGCAATAACAAAATTGCAGATCCAATTCGTTGCCACACTGATTGCATTACCTTTGGCACGAAGTTGCAATGGCAGCACCTCAGCAGCATAAACCCATGGAACACAGTTCATAGCATAGCCAAATAACCCAATAAACGTGAAGAAGAATGCAGTTGCGGCGACTGACGATTCTTTGGTACCAACACGCAAAAGTACAGTGACGAGAAGCATTGAAATACATTGTCCAGCGGAACCGGATGCCATGGCAAAACGTCTTCCCATCTTATCCAAAAACAGCGTAGGGATAAATCCGGTTGCGAAAAAGGTCAGCATAATGCAACCACCCAGAATTGTCGCGAGGTTTGAACTTAGTCCAACGTTATTCTCTAACACCATTGGCACATAGTAAACCACCAAGTTGATGCCTCCAAACTGGTTCCAGAACTGACCAAATACAGTAAGCATGATTCTAAACCGGCCATGCATGGCATCTCTACCCATAATAATATCACCCCAGGTGATTTTATCGCCTGAACCTTCGATTTCTTGAAGATAGAGAATGTTGTCAATGATGGCAGAAATCCGCGGATGATCCTCAGGAACACCATTAATCGTTGCTAGTGAGTACCTTGCATCTTGAGTTCTTCCAACTCTCATTAACCACCTTGGAGATTCAGGGCAGAAGAATAACATCACAATCCCGAGTACCGCGAAAAGCATTTGAATACCTACTGGAAGTCTCCATGAAACCTGATCTGTTCTTTTGCTGCAACCGTAGCCAATCCAGTACGACACAGTGATACCAAATGCGACACCTTGAGGTTCTGCGGCAACCAGGCCACCTCTATGGCTCTAGTGGCATACTTCAGACTGATACATCGGTGTTGTACTTGTCTCGAATCCTGTTCCTAGGCCAGAAATGAATCTTCCGATGAAGAGTTGAACCACACTGTACGAGCTGCATTGCAGAATGACTCCAATGGTCACCAAAGTGAATCCCAGCCAGATAGCCCGCTTTCTGCCTAACTTATCACCAATCCAGATGTTTGCCATGCTACCAAAAAAACTTCCTAGGTTGTAGATGGCAACTATAATTCCCAGATAATTCCCTTGGGGATGGCCAAATTGACTTTGAAAAACGGCCTCGTTTTGCACATTTGCTAATTCTCCCTGTTCAAACCCATACAGGATAAATGCGAACATGCAGGTGACCGTCAAGATATGTTGGGTTGGCTTCCCAGGGCGGAAGAGAGGGTAATACGATTGAAGTTTGACCCTTTCGAGTAACTCTATTTCCCGTCAAGGCTTGCGGTCATTGCCAAACTCTGAGAAGTTGATCAGAGGACCATCCATATTTATATCACCGCCTTCGTCTCCCACATACGTTTAGCCTGTCACGCATTCAATTTATTATTCAGCCTATTTGGAGGAGAGGGAAGTCGAGATAAATTACGTCATATTCATGAAATCTGCATGCGCGCACTTTCGTACCCCGGAAAATTCGCCCAAAGAAGTTCGCGGTGCAGGTCTGCATATTTAATGACACGACGTGCCATGTCATCAGCTTGTCATCTAGTCAGTTTCTGATTCAAGGCTTGTAGATGTTGTTGTTTCTGATCGCATCCGAATCTCCTAGACAGGAATTGAAGCTGAGGTAACTGGACTGCCACCTCAAAGTCATCCTTCTGACGCCATTCTATCCAAAGCCCCTGACCACGAGGTTGCGGTGTCAGACCATAGAACAATAGATATGCTAAAATTGCCATTTTGAGAGCAATACGTCTACCGCTCTCTCCAACTACCTAAATCGATGCACAGCAACAATTGCATTCCTTCACCCGACCCCGAAATCTCGGTAGTTGCATATTACTCGATGCACGGACAAGGTTGAAGATTCTAGCCATACCTACTCCGCAACAAGATATCCCAATCAAATGTTCCGCTTTACCCCGCTGAGTGCTGATCTTCGCGTATCCGACCTGGTTGGGGCCAAGTCTATAGGCAGACGTTGCTGCCAAAAGGTAGGATGTATATATACATTTATATGCATTGCTATTCTACAGCTTTCAAATCGAGTAAGCCTCTCGCATTGAACGGCATGCATATCTACAAAGAGTAAAGGGCTCGTTCTACATTCTCGTGGTAGGCATGCAACGCCGCACAGGACGTACGAAAAATCCAGAGCATGTGATGTGCGTATATAATATATGACTAATCAATCTCTCTATTCATGTGACAATTGTCATTTGTGTAACTAACACCCTGTGACACCGATGTGCCATCTCAAGCGTTTTCGCAAGGTAATTACATTATACTTTCATACTGTTCTAACCAGGCACCATATTAAACTTGGACCGTGACGTTCTGTTGATTAGAAACCAGTGACATATGCAGTGCTGTGTCGCCGAGCATAATGTCAATTAAAAACGCCGAAGCTTACTGTACAGTGCCGAAAAGCTTGAAATACCTCTGTCGGAGTCCTTTTCTAAGAATTATTGAGGTGCCCCTTGCACCTTTCGAGATGAAATCACGGCGATGTGTTATTATATCTATAGTCGTGCAGCTGGCATGGAATATATCTTTCGCCAGTAGCTTTTGGAACTATTGTAATGGATTAGAAGTCGTCGTGCATGAGCTAGTACGTTTGGATATGCATGGTTTATATAAGCACCTGCGGAAACGTCCAATCAGATGCCTCACTTTAGTAACACCATGTCTAAAATGTCGTGTTTTATGGAGGTGTTAGGAGGGGTTGCAAGATCCCGAGTACCACGAAGGTGTTTTTGGTATGATTTTACTTGATTCAAACCTTTGTTTAGAAGCTCTCGGGAGTGTTTGAAAGCCATCTTTGGGTGTGAAGGATGTAACATCGTGCATGTAAATAGCATGCTGACTTCGTTATATGCAGAGTTCATGGGGGTTAAATCCCGCTCGCTATAAATATCTCGATTCTCCTCAGTAATTGTCAAGTCTGTTCCTACAATCTTAAGGTTCACGTAGTTTACACTTCTTAGAGGTCTCTATATTAGAACTGCTAGTCAAATGGGTAGAAATAGCAACTCCAAGAAAGCCACAAAGGCCAAGACAACTGCTCCTAAACAAAAAGGACCTATTCCAGTGACTTTGCTTTCTGGATTCCTAGGGTCAGGGAAGACAACCCTTCTGGAGCACATCCTTACTGCATCCCATGGTTACAAAATTGCTGTCATCATCAATGATATGTCTTCGCTGAATATTGATGCATCGCTCATTAGAAACCATAAAGTTCATAATACGGAAGAGAAGCTGGTCCAACTTCAGAATGGTTGCATCTGCTGCACTCTCAGGGGAGACCTTTTGGAAGGACTCACGTCTCTTGCAAAATCGCAGGATGTCGACTACATTGTGATTGAGAGTACCGGTATCTCTGAGCCTATGCAGGTGGCTGAAACTTTCACTACCGAATTTACTGAAGCCCTGCTTCAAAATGACTCCGGCATCCCTGAAGAAATGATGGACAAAAATACTGAAGAGGTTTTGAAAGAGATCATCGATATTGGGGGCCTGAACAAGCTCGCATACCTTGATACTTGTGTCACAGTGATTGATTCCATTAATTTTCTAGAAAACTTTGAGACAATCGAATTCCTCGCTGACAGATGGGGTGATAACGGCCAAGGTGAAACAGAAAGAACCATTACAGACTTGATGGTCGATCAGATCGAGTTTTGTGATGTCATTATCTTGAACAAAACGAGTGGAATTTCAAAAAAGAAAATCGCCGACATTGAAAAGATTGTCCATCAATTGAACCCGGTGGCTCAGGTATACAAGACCGATTACTGCAAAATTGACCTCAAACACATTCTTAATACCGGCCTGTATGATTTTGAAAAGGCAACTACATCTGCAGGGTGGCTACAGAGTATCAAGGAGATGAGCATCCGTGAGGGAAAATTTGGAGACAACCAATCCAGCAGACTGGCCCCAAAACCTGAAACCGAGGAGTATGGTATCAACAACTTTGTGTACACGGCTCGGAAACCTTTCCATCCGCAAAGATTATTTGACCTTCTCGTCAATAAGTTCTATGTTATTGAGCAGAAACAGTTTGATGATACAAAGAACAAGGAGGACGATGATGAAGATGATGATGAAGAAGACGATAGTGAGGAGGACGAGGAGGAAGACGATGAGAAGACTACTGTCAAGAACAAAAAGAATTCTGCGTTTGGTCCCCTCCTTCGTTCTAAAGGTGACTTCTGGATCGCTTCCAGGTACATTGTGAGAGGTGAATGGAGTCATGCGGGTACAATGCTCACTTTGAAAGGAGGTATGCCATGGTTTGCCGTCAGCAGAGCATTTTGGCCGGAGGACCCAAGAGCCGTCGAGATGATTTTGCAAGATTTCCAGGGAGGCTACGGCGACAGACGTCAAGAAATTGTGATGATTGGTCTTTCCATTGATAAAGAGCAAATTACAAAAGCTCTTGACAGTGCTTTGTTGACTGATGAGGAAATGGAAAGATTTGACGGCATTGTCAAAAATGGTAACGGTCTGCTGGACATTGAAAGAAAGCTCAACAAAGCCTTTGAGGATCCATTTGAGCCATGGTTAATGTTAGAATATGAGGAAGAACAAGAAGTGGACGAGGCTGCAGTCGAATCCAAAATCGTGACAAAAATTGAGGAGGCTCTCGAAGATGAAGGTGAGGAATCTAGTGATGAAGATGACGCCCAATCGGAGACTTCAAACTCAGAAGAGGTTGACAACTCTGAGTCCTCTGGCGCAAAGAACGAAAAAGAAAATACCCTTATTGAGAACTTAGTGCACGATATACAGCATGCTCTACACCATCATGGATCTGGACACAATCATAGCCACAGCCATAATCAGACTTCTCAAAACCTCGTTGCTGTAGCAGGAAAACTATAAACTCAGGATTACTATGCGAACCCACTGTGCAAGAAAGGACTAGCGCCTTTTGCTGACGCCACGCTTTTGTTTGAGATTGGAGTTCACAATCAAGCAGTGTGCGCCCAAATTGAGGAAGAGCCTTTCGGTTCTCAGTTCAAGGCAACTAATCTAATGATGTATAGCCCTAATAAAATTTAACCTACAAGCTCTGACTTTCAAGTTCTTTAGCTCCCATCACAACGTTTACGTTGCTCACATTATCGAGTTCAACGTTCTCCGAGATGCCGTATGCTTCAAAGTCATCTTCAGCCCAAGGAATAATAAGGTTGAGTATAACCCCCAACACGGCAGTCAAAGCATATCCAGTTTCCATGACCATAATGATTGCTTGAAGGAACCCCGTAAGAGCATCATTTGACCCGGAATATGTAAACACGTTGTCAAACCATGTCGGAATCAGAACAGCGGCACATCCAGGAACTAAAGCTCCGGTTGGAATAAATCTATCTCTCCTCGTAAACTTGCAAAGGCCAATGATACTGAGCCCAGAGGCAAACACGGATCCAAATAAGAATGTCGTCATTCCACCAAGCACTGCTTTTGGAATTGCAACCAATGCTGCTGCAAATTTGGAAAACACACCCATTACGATGAGGTAGAAACAGCACCAATATCCGACTTTTCTGTTTGCGCACTTAGTAATGGAAATCACTCCATTGTTTTGAGCAAATGTGCCCACAGGAGTGAGAGTAAAAAGACCAGACAAGACCCCACTGACACCATCTGCAACAAGGCACCCCTGGATCCGGGATTGAAACTGCGGGCCTTCTACTTCAACTCGAGAAACATCACAAGCTGCAGTGATGTCTCCAATGGCTTGTAATGCTGAAGTGCTGTACAGTGCAAGCATTGGGAGTACCGCTGGGCCATAAACTTTCAGCTTGAAAGTCTTGACCCACAAGAAGTTAGCAACAGGTGCGCTTGAAATGGATGAATTATCAAAGTAATTGCACGCAGCCGCCACAATACATCCAACTAGCAGTCCCAAGATGACAGAGCAGGATTTCATGATTGGCGCTCCCCACTTCTCAAAAGCGATGATGCTGACATAGACAAGGAAACCAAGCCCAATGAACTCAGCCGAACCCCAGGGCAGTGGATGTGGTGCACTCGCACTTGGACAATAGTCGCTCGACATACAACCCGATCCACCAAGCCAATCTTTAAATCCACTTTTCACCAATGATAAGCCAATAACAACGACAACTGAGCCCGTGATGATGGGCGGAAATAATTTCTTGATCACCTTTGGAGGTAAAAATGAGATAGCAATTTCAATAAGGGCACAAACAGATCCTGTCGCAATAATGGCTCCGTAACCATCAGGACACGGAAGTTCTGCACCGCTAGCATCAACAGGGCAAAAGCCAGAGTTATACATCATTGGAAAGGCATTGGAGGTGATGGTGACAGTTGTAAACGAGATACCTACCACTGAGATAAGACCACTACCAATATAATAGTTTGTCTTCCATATTCTTGCACGCGCAACTTGAACAGCCGTGAGGATTCCCGAAACTATGAGACCACAAGAGACAAGATATTGTTGGTCAGCATCAGAAAGGTTGGCTGATGAAGCGATTGACAACGGTGGCGGGGTGGCGGGGTGGCGG